CCATATCCGTCTCAAGAACCATATCCGTCTCAAGAACCATATCCGTCTCAAGAACCATATCCGTCTCAAGAACCATATTCGTCTCAAGAACTATATTCGTCTCAGGCATGATTGGTGGGGGGTCATCCCACCGTGCCTTCTTTCTTATGGGCAATTCTTGCACATCTTGCTCCCGCTTCCGAGACTCAATTGGCATTTCACACTCAACAGCTTCAGCTTCAGTCACAGCCACAGCCACAGCCTTGGCCGTAACCGAATTTTGCAGTCCTGCTTTTGCCTCGCGCTCATCTTCTATATCTGCCAGGAGCTGTTGAAACGCATCGTCGTGAGCAGGAACAAGCTTTTTCGAAGCGTCAATGCGGAGCAACGGACATAGGAGCGTACGTCTCTTTCGAACTCTGCTTGTGAGTGGCCAGTCTCCTTCTATTTCTATTTGTCGCAGCGAGCCATTCAGACTGGTGAGATCGGAACAAATGATTGGCCAGTAGAAGGGTGAACTATCGCAGCGGTAGGTATACAGCTTGATGTAGCAAAGGTGTGATCGAGCAAACGATGATAAGCCTTGTAGGAAGAACGGGAAAACGCCTCCAAGGTCCCATGGACAGAATTTGACGGAGTGGTACAGGATTGGAAGTGCTTCCTCGTATACAGAACGATTCGTCATGAGGAGGTTGACGTTGACTGGACAGCTTCGTTGCATTTCGAAGGCTGTTTCGATTTGCGGTAAGGCTGAACGCTTGTTCTTGTACCTAGAGTTCGAATAGCGAACACTAGGTGTACTGGGACTGTGAGGTTTGCGATATATGCGCAGAACCAGCTTGTCTCTGGAGGGGTCTGTCAAGACATGTCGCCATATGTCAAGACGAAGCTCTTTTGGTAGCGACAACAGACGAGATGGTTCCATAATATCCATGGCTTGTGTAGATGGGTCGATGGCTGGTGGATTTTGTTGCTTTCCGTGTTACGAGCCTCGATGGACACGACTTGAGGGTGAAGACTGGAGATGGCACGCGTCGACGACCCCAAATGTCGAGGGGTCAGAGTGCTAATCAGGGCGGTGGGAAGGTGCGCGAGCAGCTGATGACAGCAGGCTCGCGACCTCTGACAGCCTCACGGCCGCACAACACCTTGTTAGTCATGCCTTGCGTGGCACCTCTCGTTGTTGTCCACTGACGCATCTGGTGGCCGCCTCGCTACCGAAGTTGGTCCTCGGCCCCATCTTTATCGATAGCCTTGCCAAGCAAACCGCCCAAGCTCCAGCATGTGGCTACCCGTCAGTCCACCACAGACACACAACATGCTCTCACGCGGAGTACCGAGCTCCAAACGCCATGAATGGGGCAGAACCAAGGACAGATGATGAGGCTTATGCAGTGGAACAGCTTCCTACGCCAGCCTTGACCCCAGAACCCGATCATGTGGCAGCCGCAACCCGTCACCGCCATATGGACACGAGAAATGATGGACCCCTGCAGAACATAACGAACGTCTACATATCGGAGGCGAACGGTGGTCTAAGCGTCAGCTCGACGAGTAGGGGCACCAGTTCAAACGAAGAGGCCTTACTATCTGACGCCAGCGAGAAGTTCAGGCCCATCAAGCGTCCTGGAGATGGCAGGAGGAGGGGCAGCAGTGTGTCCGAGCAAGACAAGCACCTCAGGCTTAGCTCGCGGCAGATTCAAGAATTGACGAGCGAGCCCGCCAGCATTCCGGTCCGAGCAGCGACGCCAATACAAGAAGAGGCCTTGGGAGGCGGGTCGCGTGGGGAGAATGCAGACGGAAGAGTGAGCACCAAGGTGCTAGGTGTGGTCTTGGAACGGCCGATAGAGTTGAGCATGTCAAGACGCGACAGCTCAAGGAGTCGCGACAGGAGGCAAGAGAGGGAGGTTGTTGTCATCAAGACGCCCTCGACCGAGTTGGGACGAGGACGGCCAGTACCATATTCGAGATCGATTACGGCGCCTACAATACGGAGAAAAGATTCGAGTTCGAGGCCGCGGACGCAGACGTACGAGGGAGAGGATAGGAGGTCAAGCAGACACGTCCCTCCGCCACTTGGCATGGATGACAAGAATATACCATCCAAACCGTTGTCATACAACAAGCAGAGAGATTCTCATGATATGCGGGACATGGCCTCGCCAAGTCATATGAACCTGCCATTACCACCGCTGTCAATGCCAACATTCTTGTCGCTCGAGCTTTCTGCAGACCGCCCGTCCCCATTGTACATCTACCGAGCCTCGTCTGCAGATTTCCCTTACGAATCTTCCACGCTCAAGTATGAGCGTTTGCTCAATTTCTTGAAGATACCAGCCCAAGTCGAAGGCATCCTGGCTTTTGGTGCTCTCGCATGTCTGGACGCTTGGATGCACGTACTCACAATCCTGCCACTACGATTTCTGCTCGCGATCGCCATTCTGGTGAAATGGTGGGGCTCAGTGGTTGTGAAGGAGTTTCGCGATCTATTAGCTTTCGTGTACAGTGGGCTTCCTCGATTCTGGCGTCGAAGGAGGCAGGTGGATGTTCCTACGCCCCACCCAACACCAGCAGAGGAACAGCCTCCCCCAATGTCGCGGACGTCTTCCTCAGCCGCCTTGTCTGCTAGCCAAGCAACGGCGGTGAACAGACAGAACGGGGAACCCTCGACAACTTTCAAGTTCCCAGATCTGCAAGAGCTCAGAGCCAAGCGTCCACGTAATCCCCGCTTTCGTCATCGCCGGACCAAGTCCACGCCCTCTGCGCTTCTACCAGGTCATAAAGCAGATATTCTTAAGGGCCTCTTGATAATCTCAAGCTGCTTTGTCTTGATGCGATTCGATGCAAGTCGAATGTACCATGGCATTCGCGGTCAGTCGGCAATCAAGTTATACGTACTCTACAATCTTCTTGAAGTATGCGATCGCCTCTTGTCTGCCGTCGGCCAAGACGTTCTTGAGTGTCTGTTCTCACGCGAAACTCTTGACCGCAATGCAGACGGTCGAAGTAAGGTCATCCGACCCTTTTGGATGTTCATTCTCGCTCTGCTCTACACGGTCGCACATGCCACGGCCCTATTTTACCAAGTCATTACGCTCAACGTGGCGGTGAACTCGTACTCCAACGCGCTGTCGACGTTGTTGATGTCAAACCAATTTGTGGAAATCAAAAGCACGGTCTTTAAGAAATTTGAAAAAGAGAACCTCTTCCAGATCACTTGTGCTGACGTTGTTGAGCGTTTCCAGCTGTGGCTAATGCTCCTCATCATTGCTATGCGCAATGTTGTGGAAGTTGGCGGCCTAAGTATTCGCAGTAGCGATTATTCATGGACGTCGATGTTTACTGGAAATGCTACAACCAACTTCACAGCGTCTAGCATTATACCAATGAGCTTCACCATCTTTCCACAATACATCGCCCAGGTGCTCAATCCCTTCCTACTTGTGCTTGGAAGCGAGATGGTTGTCGACTGGCTGAAGCACGCATACATCACCAAGTTCAACCAGATGAAACCGGAAGTGTACGGCAAGTTCTTCGACGTTCTAGCAAAAGACTACTACTCCAATGTAAGCCTCTCCATCCCCTATCACGCATCTCCCAATCTAACAACAAATAGGCCTTCGGCGACGCAAACCTAACCCGACGTCTCGGCCTCCCCGTCATCCCACTATCCTGCCTCTTCATCCGCGCAGCCATCCAAACATACCACATGTTCATCGCAATGTACATGCCCGCCCCTCTCGCCGCATCCTCCGTCTCCCTAACCTCGAGCCCGACGTCCTCCCCCGCCACAACCGCAGCTCTCGCACACATCGACCACGTCATCCGTCGCGCAATTGGCCGCTCGCCCTTTGGCGCAGGCGTCCCGAATCAACCCTGGTACTACTTCTCGTCCTGGACGCTCGACGACCTGATCGCTGGCTCTACCATGCTGCTCGTCTTCCTCGTCGTCTACCTCATCTTCCTCGCTTTCAAACTCATCCTCGGCATGCTTCTTCTGACCGTGGCGCGGAACAGGTACCGCGGCATGGAGGAGCGGGAGAAGATGGATGTTGATACGGGAGGGAAGCGCATCGGTGGGTGGGGCGTCGTGGACGTGGACGAGGAGAAGAGACGCTACATATACAATGACGATCCGGATAGTTTGCGCAAACTAAGGGAGCGGGACGAGAAGCAGAAGAAGAAAGATGATGCGGAGCGGGAGAAGGGGACTACTTTCGGGCATGTGAGTCGGTATGCCATGGTTGCTAAGAGGATTTGGTAGTAGGATTATACATGAGTTGGTTTGGCTTGGTGGAAGATTGGCGAAATTAAAAGGCGATGTCGACATTCACCTTTCAATCATTCAAACGTGCATGTCCATCCACGCTCCATGTTCCCCTCTCACTAGAATACTCAAAAACCGCGACACCCGACACACTCACCCGCCCCCCCAGTGTAAACCCGCAACGCCCGGCACGTAGCGTATAGTAATCATGCCGTGCTCCCGTGAACGCGTCATCTCTCACTCGCCACCTCCGCTCCCCCATCCTCCTCCCTCTCCACTTGTCCCATCTCGAACGCACTGTTGGCGCGGCTCCTTTGCGTGCCGAGCCGTATTTCCGCAACCCCTACCGTATTCAAACACAATGTAGTTTGCACAAAATATACAACGTGGGCATAATTGTTATGAGCAGAGTAAGGCAGAGCAGATAGACAGCACACTGAACCTGTGACAAAACAGTGAAAAACACATGTATGTATAATATGGGTATTTGCAAAAAAAAAGAATATGGCCATGCTGTCTCTCTCTCTTTCTCCGCGTCTGCCTCTACTATGCTGGAATATAAATCCTTAAATAAATAACCTCCCACTTTCCCCGTTCCCCCTTCATGTTTACTTCCTTCCCCCCCACCCGCCGTCTTCCAAAATACTATGCCGCCTACCCGCTGTAAGAGAGCCAATTACCCAAATTGCCACCACCACCCAAAATACACAATATACGTACGCTACGATACGATACGGCACGGTACAGCCTTTTGCCCAAGGCCTCGTCCCTTCGTTTCCTTTCCGTTCTCTGGTCTTGTATTCGCCAGCAGCGCGTGGCCAAAAAAAGTTATATGTTCCAACAAAAAAACGCCACCCTTACACACCCAGTGTATGGTAGCGGGGTGTACATGGTCCCCCAAAAACAAGAAGAAGAAGCCTCGACCGGAAAAAAAAATGGTATGATGGATGATGCCTCCCAAAGCATGCGCCCAAACGCCGCGCAATATTTCGAATCAACTTTGGCAAAAAAGGAAATTCGTCGGAAACCATGCGAGAACACCCTCCCCCAACATCTATCCCATTCGCCGTCTAGGTAGGAAGGGGAGGAGGAGGGGAACTCATGTGTTGCTGATGATGACTCTCGCCCCCTCTTTACCAATGACTCCCCTCTCTTTGGCCTTGGGACTACGATCCCGGCCCTTTTTGCGATTGAGGAAACCTAGCATGCCCGACGGCTTTTCTACGGCTTGAGGGTTCTGCAAGAGCGCGGAGCTCTGATTAGCCATTTCCGACCAGGACCCGGTTTCGTTGAGAACTACCTGTACGCCTCCACCCATGCTGGTGCTGCGCTGCGAGCCTCGCGGACGGTTGTTCATAGGTCGGGAGAAGGACGGCGTTGGGATGGCACCCTCGCCAGGGTAGTAGTCGGAGTGCTCGCCACGCTGCGCTGTGGGTGACCCAGTAGAGGACTTTTGTGTATGGTTGAGGATAGCATTTGCTAGTGGAGGGCTGCCATTGGCCGAGTGTGTTGTGGATTGAGCAGTTGTTATCGATCGGTTTGGATGGAGGTCGCTCTCTGGTGACTTTGAATTTGCGAGCGGGCGCCCCCATGGATCTTGTTGCGAGGCGACGGACACGGGAGCTTGGTCGCTGTTGCTCTGATTGCTCGCTCTTGAGCCACCAACTGAATCTGCCGGGTCTGGGACGGCGACGGCGATTGGGCGGTAGTCGGGGATGGTCGTGTAGTTGAAGGGCTCGAACAGTGTCTCGATCATGCGGTGCAGCTCCTCTGCGCGAATCTCGGCATCTGTTGCATCGTCCTTCAGCGCTTCCCTGGGCTTCTGTCTCCGTGCCCGTGCCTCCAACGGCGCCTCCTCTAACAACAGCTCCTCGAGGTCATACGTGGCGTCGAAGTTGGTCTTATCGCTCGATGGGATGAACACGGGCGGAATCTCCTTTGCCTCGAGGGCAATGAAGTCGAGGGGACGGAAGAAGGGGTTGTCTGCGAACGACTCGAATCCAATGGCCCCTATGCGCTTCTTCCTGTTCTTTTCTAGTAACGAGCTGATGGCATGTAAGCAGGGCATCGAGACGGACGGGCTCGTGACGGGATATGTGGGCTCGCCCTTTGCGATTTTGGCGGCGAGGGAGTCGTGGCTGTTTGCTTCAAAGGGACGCTGTATGCGTTAGCTTGTGCCAAGACTTGATCTGACTTCAGACGGCGACGCACCTTGTTGTATATGCACTCGTAGAAGAGCACGCCCAGAGACCACCAGTCGACCTCGCACGAGTAGCCCTTGCCTTCGTACACTTCGGGAGCGAGGTAGGCGAGGGTGCCGGATTTGCTGGTCAGCGGCTTGTGTGGGGTGAAGTCGGAGGCGACGTTCTGGGGAGGTCAGCATGTATGGAGAGGGATTGTGAGGCGGTGTGACGCACAAAGTCAGCCAGGTGGACATGGCCCTCGGAGTCGAGCAGCACGTTGTCGGGCTTGATGTCGCGGTGCACGATGCCCTGCTGGTGTATGTAGCGCACGGCACAGCCGAGCTGGGCTATCCAGAAGCGGACGGCCTCCTCGGTGAAGGTCTTGCGGGAGATGTGGAAGCGCAGGTCGCCGCCGTTCATCAGGTCGACGACGATGTACAGGTACTCGATGTCCTGGAAGCTGTAGCGCAGATTGCACAGGAAGGGGTGGTTGAGGTGCTCGAGCATGCGGCGCTCGCGGATGATGTTGCGGACGCTCTCGGACCGTACGACTGTGACACGACGTCAGCATTGCGGGCGCGGGCAGACGGGCAGGGCAGGGCAGGCAGGGCAGGGCAGGGGCAGACGGACCTTCATCTTTGCGGATGTACTTGAGGGCAAAGGTCAAGCCCGTGTCCTTGCGCTCGACGATGCGCACCTTGCCAAAGGCGCCCTTGCCGACGACTCGCAGCAGGCGGAAGTGGTTGAGGTTGACTGGGGGCGGTTAGTCAGCGTGCATGCATGGACGTGTGATGGGAGCGTGGTGGGAGCGTGGTGGAGTGTGGTGAGGTGTGCTGGGCGGTCGGCTACACACCTTGGTCGGTGAAGACGACGGGCTTGCCATTGTTCTGGCCCATTGCGACGGCGGCAGACGGCCTGGTGGTGGGAGCTGCGGCGGTCAAGAATGCATGCGGTGCTGGCGGCGGGACACGGTCGATTGGCGGGTGGGCGAGAGGCACGAGAGGGACAGCAGCGTCCGCGTCTGGAGCCGGGCGTGTGGTGCGGGGACGGACGGCGGCGATGCAGGTCTGGTCGAGGTCTGGTCTGGTCGAGGTCGGGTCCTCCTGGCCGTCACGGAGACTGGACAGCGCTGGCGGCAGGCGTGGCTCTTAAGGCAGGCGAGGCTATCACGTCAAGCGAGAGTCGCAGGTCGCGGCGCGGTCGTGTAGGGCTGAGCTGGGCGAGGTTGCACACAAAGGCTTGAAAGGAGGCCCGCCAGTTTTGAGGCAGACATGTCTTGTCCGCGAGCCCAGGGCAGGCCTAGCTCTAGCGCATCTCTGCGCTGCATGGGCCGCCGCGAGGATGGATGCGTGGAGGCCACCCGGCATGCTCAGAGCCCCCAGAGTCAGCACCCCTGCCGCTCGTCGCTGTTGTCGCCGTGCTGCACTCCTCAGGACCCCAAGGGCAGGCGCGCCTCTCTCCGCAGCTGCCTCTGTCGCTGCCCACGCTGCTGTCGTGAGCGCGCCCGGTTCCTGGAAGCTCGCTGCCACCAGCCTGCCCGCTGCTGTTGCGCCTCGTCGGTAGCTCCGAGAATGGCAGCAATCGGCAAGCTGCAGCGCCATGGCAGCCTCCCCCGGCGCCGCCATCCCAGCAATCACGAGACACCGGCCAAAACCACAGATCAGACGTCGACTCGCTCCCTCTGATCTGCATGCACGCCTGCGAGTCCTGAAACACAAAACACACTACCTAGACTTCCACCACCTGCTCCCCTGGCGCCTCTAAATTAATCCTGCCTCCGCCTTGCCCCAAACTGACACCTGTCGCTATAATTCCCCTCTGTCTGCCTCTGCATCTGCCCGTCGCTCCTCCACCTTCTGTCCCCCAACACCACGTACCACGACGCCTCGACGTCGCCCACTGCACCTCGTGCCTAGCCGCAGATTACTTCCCCTTCCGCCTGGTTGGCTGTCTCTTCGGTCCGACCGCACGCCAACGGTCAAGCCAACAACCATTCCTGCACCGCTTTTGTCTTGCCCGCCCGCAAAAGCATCCTGCGCCTTTGCATCACGCTCCGTGTTCGTCTAGTGTGCACCTGCCAGCAACAGCGGTCAAGACTGCCTTCCTGAGTCTTCCAAACAAAACACTACAGCTGTTCCTCATCTCCACATCTTCCCGAACATGCACCTCTGCACCCCAAACTGACGTCAGCCTTGTAGACCGCCCCAATCACACTGTCCTTGTCTTGTCTCCCTAGCGCACATGTGATGAATCTTCTTTTTCTTCTCCTTTTCCCACTTTGTTGTTCAAGACTCTTTGTTCCAACCGGTACTTCCCATCGCGGAATCTCCAGCCGCGCCGCACAACCAGTCGTCGCACCTCACGGTCGCGCACGCCCCTCGTGGTATTCAATTACACGTACACAGCAGTGTCAAACTCTGTTACACCACAGTATGGCCCAATGTCACGGTCGTCTCGCCTTCTGCACACATGCACGCCAGACCTTGAAGTATCACCGAGTAGTCCACAAAATAGCCGTGGGGTAGGCTAAAGGCGTCTTCTAGAACACTGCCATTCTTCCCGACCGGCATACCTAGTCGATCCACATCCACGCAGGGCGAAGCGACTACGAGCGGGAAACTCTGCACAGGTACCTACCTCATCGCACAAGTTACGAGATCTCTTCCTACGCCGTCTGCCCCCCGTTGTTTTGACGTTTCGCTTGCTCTCCAGTTTTCCTACCCATCTTCTAGTCCCGGTAGGTTGGAACAAGCACCCAAATCACGCTATAGGCGAGCTACTTAGCAGGAATGCAGGAGGCATCCTACCTACCCCCGGCGAGGGTCCTCCCGCTGGGGATGCCCTTTCAAAGGATCGCTGGATATTTCCTAGTTGAACGCGCCATGACATTCGTTCGACGCAATTAGGACTGTTGATATAGCCCAGGTCCTTGCTATCGGTATCGTGTCGATCATGCAGAGTACGCTATGTCTCTCGGCGAAATGAAGCAGCTTAGCCGTTAGTCTCTCTACACTTTATCTTGAGCTTGGACGCTATATGGCTTAATCGCATTCATACTATGTACCTAAATCTAAAGATATTTTATCGCAAGCCTTTTCTACCTAGTCGACATCCGCTAATGATGTACATGCAGCCATAGCTCTTTGTTCACTCCCGCAAAAGCTTAGCCTTGCTATTCTGAATCCTACACCTGCCCCCGAAATCATGCCTTGCATATAGTTGAGCATCTCAATCAAACTCTCCATGCTGCCACCATGTATTTTACCTCGCCAAGAAAGAAAGAAAAAATCCTTCCATCAAATTTCCAACTCAACAAATCTCGGAGTTGGAAACTCGGAGTTCGGAGTTCTCAATCCCAAGCAAAAAGTGTGGCGCTGTTCTCGAACACGCACGAGACTTCCACAGCGCGCTCAACAGTTGCACAATGGCGTAGCTTTTGCTCCCCCAAGGCTGCTATGCTAATGCATAAGCATGGCTTTTGCTGAATCGAGTATAGGGTCTACGGTGTATCTCTGGCAGAATTCCTCCCTCCCCTCCCGGAACCCCGGTAAAGTCTTGTGCTTGTCCTGCGTCACGAAAAAACCCGTCGCGGAAACGTCGGCGTGGGCGTCGCTTCGATGCATCGAGAACATTATGCATGTCATCTGCAGACATGCCGGGGCCCACGGGGAGGTAGCGATGCACTACCGTAAGCGAGGCTGTTGTGGAAAGTTTGTTGGAGGAGGTGCGCTTGACGGGAGGGTACTCCGTAAGGCAAGACGAGGCGAGACGAGACAAGACGACACGACATGACATGACATGGTACAACGAACAGTCCATGCAGCCCGGCAACCACCGTCGCACACAGCACCACAGCGTCTTCGAACCGCCATCTGACAGCATAACCATAGCCTTCCTAACCAAAGTACCACATCTCCATCTCCGTCCCCAACCCAAGATCCGCGATCCATCCATCCATCCCACCTCCCAACCCACCCCAGCGCCACAGCCAGTGCGCGCCCATACCCTAAACCACACTACACTACACTACACTACACTACATCCCATCCAAGCGCCCCTTCCCGCCTTGGTACTCCCGCCCGGTTCCCAGATCCTCCACACCATGTCCCGCGGCAATCGGCGTATTACGAAATACGCTCTGGTGCCATGACTTGCTCTCTCTCGGATTGACTACTACTCGCTTGTCGGTGGTGGTTCGTGGAGAGGGCGTCGGTCATTGGCTTGGCTTGGCTTGTCTACTTTGCTCGCATGGGTGGGCTTTTCTCGGAGTGTTGGGCGTGTACCGCGTGTCGGGTGGTGTGGGATGTGCTGTGTTGAGGCTTGGGGTTTAGAAGGCATCTAGAATGTTCTTTTCGGTTGTGGCGGTGATAGGTGGTACGTGGGTGTTGTATTGAGGCGTAATCAAATGTCTGATATTTGAGATCTATAGGTATGATAGAGTGAACGTCTCAATAACCCCGACATGTCGCCGTGTTGATGTAAGTCGCACAAACCAACTGAATCTCAGCTAGTGAACATGGTGAAGAAGCTCGAGAGCAGAAGGGGACTAAGCAATAGACTACACGCCTGTGCGTCTTCATCCAACATCAGCATCGCAACCTCACACCCCAGGTTGGGTCTCGTTTGAGAGAGGCTCAACACTATGTCATAGAATGACCATTCATAGCGCATTGCACATCTTCTATCATCCGACATGAATCCAAGAGAAGGAGAGTTCAGACCAGAGGCCGCCGAACCCCAGCCGTCGAAATAAAGAGAGACAAAAGCTTGTGAAAGTGAAGTGAGGCTGATACTTCACCGACATGCAACGGAACTGGAACCTTCCACCAGTGCTCACGGTGAAAGGAAGACTACCAATTGAGGGGAGCATAAAGCTGTGGATCGACCGCCTAAAACTCGTCTACACACGACTATTACAATGTCAGCTGCAAGCACTCAACTATCATCTCCCTTCCGCAATCTCAACATGGCAGTTCAACTGAACGATGGGCAGGACGCCACGGAGGATGGTATCGAGGTCTCTCATAATGAGTCTACATATCAGGACGCATCAAACAGCCCATACATTCTCCTCCTAGTCGACGCTCACAGTCATTTGGTACGTCCCATCCCATCCCACGTCCACGCGTGGAACACACAAGCGCCACCAGCCAGCCATCCAACCATCCCCCAGTTCAGAGAAGAGATACTGCAAAAGAGTGCATCGTCAGTCGGCCGCAGGGAGATACGCGAGCGTCTCCACACCACCATCAAGCAGCACCTCGCGCGAACTGATCCCAAACTTGATAAGATGTACCGCATCGTAGTCCGCGTCTACGCCGACATCGCTGCCTTGGACGGTAGTGTAGCGGGCTCTTTGTGTTCTTTCGCCGCTAACTTCTCGTCCGTGGATGTGTTTTTCGATTTTGTAAATGTGCTGGACCAGGGTGTTGTGCATGGGAAGATCTCAGGTGAGGTGTAGACTTTCTTTCTTTACTTTGTGTTGTTTGTCCTGAACTGATTGAATTTTCATTGACACATGGACCTGCAGAGACGTTTTCGGCGGTCCTCAGAGATCGAGATTGCAAACATATCTTCCTCGCGGCCTGGCGACGACCGACGTATCTATCCATGCTCCTCCAAACACCCGATCGCAAGGTTACTCTCGTGGAGGGATATGGCATGGGCGCGGGATTCGAGTTCCTACCCGCGTCTTGCCCAATCGTCGCATTTCCAGACATCTTCCAAGGCGCTTCTTACCTGGAACTGGCCATGCCCACCTCCCTATCCATCTGCAGTGACGATGTCTGGACGCCCACTATTGCACACCTGATGCACCGCAAGGTAACTTCCAGCTCCCTTCCCAACCCCCAATCTCAGCACAACCAAAACAACAGTCTGACACGCTGCGCCCAGAAAGTCTGCGCCCCAACCCACTGCAGCTGCCATGAATTCCCCCACCTCCGCATCCCGACCGTCGACGCAACTACGCAGGCCCACACCCTCCGACTCCCAGGCTATCTCCCCACCAAACCCCCCCAACCCAACCACATCCCCCTAAACAAACACAACGAGCGCCTAGACATAGCCATCCGCCACCCCAAAGACGCGCACTACCTCGAGTACGCGAACCGCTTCCCGCGCTCCGCACCGCAACCTTGCTACTGGCACCACCTCCTGGCCAACTGCCACGATGGCACGGCGTGCGCGCACGATCACGGGGCGATGAGTCACAAGGCGCTGTTCTTCTTGCGCTATAAAGCGCGGTTGATACCGTGTGCGGATGGGACGCAGTGTCGGCGTTTTGAGTGCTGTTTCGGCCATGTGTGCCAGAATTCGAAGTGTCTTGGTAGGGAGGTGAGGGCGTGTTCGATGCGGGTTTTTCATCGCGTGGATCCTGTGCTTGCGCGGTGGGTGGAGGGAGAGGTGGTGGATGGGCGGAGATGACTTGATGAACACTGCACTTGTTACGTTTGGTCTGTGGTTGTCTGGTGGTTTTGGGGTGTTATGGACAAATGAACACTAGCTTTCTCGCATAGGAACTGGGACATCAGCTGGTGGGACAGTAACGGTTGAGATGTGTGGGAGGGCTGTAGCTTTTGAGTTTCTTTGCCATCAATCAATCACCAGCCTCATCGGGCTTGATCCTGGGGGTAGGCGAGCACTTTTCTAAGTGCAGTTCAGCCTCGAGGTGGTGAACTTGGAAATTCCTAACAAAATTCATCAACAAAGCTGATCTCACTGCTCTGACAATGACAAAGTCGACAGAGCAATACAACATGTTTGTGGATGTGAAGAAATTGACGGACGTATCGATTTCAATGATAAACGAACATGACAGAGCTTTTTACAATGTTACTGCAGAAACGAGAGTTCATACACATTAACCCCTTCCTCTCTAAACAACATCGTATTTCTCCCAAGAGGCACACATCATATCGACCACGTCGATCCACTCCCCTCTCGTAGTATCATGTCCAAGCCGTCTCACTCCTCCTGAACAATTGCTGCTCACTACGGACATTTTGCTCCCTTGGTGTGTATGTTGTGGGCGATCAGATAGCAGGGGTCATGAAAAGGAGGGAAGGATATGATTGAAGGAGTAAGTATAGAGGGCAATGAAGAAGGAAACGAACGTGTGGTAGTTTTACGTATTTGAGATGTGGCTATTTGTCTGTTTGACGTCTTTTTACTTCCATGGTTCAGATGTCAAAGGCACAGAGATACAAGCAATTTGGACATAATTTGTTAGTATGAAATAGAGAGTAAGTAAAACATCGAAACCAAAATCGATATCGATATGGTAAAAACCCATCACAAAATACGCGTATGCCTGAAAATCTAAAGTTCACCCTCACATGCCAACCCCGCGGAGAAATCCCACCCTCAACTCTCCACACGCATCATCCCCCAAAATAGTTCCCTCCCCAGCCTTCTCACGCCATCCAGCCGTCACACGCACCCCATCATGCTTATCCACAAAACTTCAGCATCAGAAACCGACGTCTGTCGGGAGAAGCCGGCGAAGGCGAAGCGAGGTGGACTGACAACTTCGTCATGGGGACACATTGAAACGACGACTGCGAAGTCATCACCGCTTCTCCACAAGCCGATGGGATCTAATTTTCCATGTTCCTCGTGAATGGGCGTGTACGTTTATCTGGACGAGCTAGAAGCTGTTCTTTCAATATCGCTATGTAACAATATCTACGACCGCAATGGCAATGGCAATAACAACGCCAACGGAACGGGTACCTGGCAGCCCCTCCCCCCCAAACTCTGCATCCACCCACTCGACGCAAGGAGGACATCCCGGCATCGCGCCAAGTGAGCGGAAGTGGCGGAGAAAGCGCCCTCACGTAAATAGGTAGGTGCGGACGTACGCACGCACGAGTTACGTAAATTGCGCGCCTTATTTCTACAGCGTTCTGTGTGCGTGCGTGCGATGGAATGAAAAGGTCAGTTTTTGCACATGCGCGATCAGTCATCAGTCATCAGTCATCGGGGGGTGGATGGTAGGTCAAGTTGGGTTTTTTTGAAAAGTGATGCCGCGGAGATGTAGTGTTGTGCGGGTTTTCTAGGATGAGAAGGGGTGTATATATCATGTTTGTGGGGAGAAACCGCTTCATCTCCAGGATATCTATTGTGAATATACTTAACTAGTCAGACACTTCATCAAAGATAGGAGAACTGTTTATACTCGACTACCATCGACAACATAGTAATAGAGCTGCCACTGCGAAAAGCTACACTACTTGCCCTATCCAACATCCGCCTTCCGACCCATCCAAAATGTCGCCCTTGACATTTTCTCAAGTTCAAACGATAAAAGCCACCGTCCCTGTCCTTGCCCAGTATGGCGAAACAATCACCACGAAATTCTACGCCGATATGCTCTCCGCGAATCCAGAGCTGAAGAACATCTTCAACAACACACACCAAGCCACCGGCCACCAACCACGCGCACTTGCCGGCGCCCTCTACGCATACGCAGCTAACATCGACGACCTAGGACGACTGGCCCCAGCAGTGGAGCTCATCTGCCACAAGCACGCGAGCTTGTACATCCGACCGGAGCATTACGACATTGTGGGACGCTATCTTCTAGAGACGTTGGCCGCCGTGCTAGGGGACGCAGCAACACCAGAGATACTGAGCGCGTGGGGAGCGGCGTACGTACAGCTAGCCGACATTATGATCGGGAAAGAGGAGGGCATGTATAAAGAGGCGCAGGGGTGGACCGACTGGAAGGACTTCAAGATTGCGCGCAAGGAAAAGGAAGCCGAGGAGATTACGTCGTTTTACCTCGAGCCCGTCGAAGCGGGCTTCACGCTACCCATGTTCAAGCCGGGGCAGTACGTGTCGGTGAATGTTTTCGTCGATGAGCTGGACGGCGGGGTGTGGCAGGCGAGGCAGTACAGTCTGAGCGATGCGCCGGGGAAGCCCTATCTCAGAATCAGCGTGAAGAAGGACCTGGGTCTTGAACTTGGCGAGGCGAAGGATATGACACACCCTGGGTATCTGTCGAACATCTTGCACGAGAGGAAAGAGGTGGGCGATACGGTGCGGGTGTCGCATCCGTGGGGGGATTTCTACTTCGAGGCAGAAAAGGAGGATGGAGATGCGCCGGTGGTCTTGATCTCTGCGGGTGTGGGCCTGACATGTTTAAACAGCATTCTCAGCAAGCTTGCAGAGGAGGGGACGACAAGGCCGTTGACCTGGATCCACGGCGCTCGGAATGCCAACACACGCGCTTTCAAAAAGAATATCGACCGGTTGGCAGAGAACAACAAGAATGTGCACACTGTGTATTTTTCATCCAGTCCGCACGAGGATGAGGTCGAAGGCCGGGACTACGATATCAAGAGTCGGATTGATCTGGACAAGATCAGTAGAGAAAAGCTGTTCGTGGATAATGACAAGACGCTGTACTTTGTCTGTGGACCGACAAAGTTCATGCTTGATATCGAGGCCAAATTGAAAAGTTATGGTGTTCCGAGGGAGAGGGTGAAGATGGAGCTTTTTGGCACAGGAGGTGTTCCAAGAATCTAAGCATGCGTTTTCAACTGCGAGAAAAACATATCTGGGCGATGCGACTAGTAGCGAGTTTGGATTGATTTTGTGTTCATAATCTGCCATTTTTTTGGAGTCGCATGTAACCACTCTACTCGTTTGTCGTCATGGAGTCTCTTTGCACTGACAATAGAGTGTTTTAAGCATCAGCAAGGTATCCAATTATTAGAATTTGGTGTATAGTGATAATGACCATGCAAGGGGACCACATGGTACGTGCTGGACATAATTCCTGGTTTGTGGTATGCAGTGCAAGATTCGACGATAAATATCGTCGCAGACATGATGCGGCGCTCAAAGCTTTAATACCAAATACACGCAAAGGGTCGTGCTCCAAGATAGAAGCCACATGATGGTGTTTGCAACGCTTCCATGGAAGAAGGGTGTACCAACGTCTTGGAACGAGAAGCACTGTTCATCGAAGCATCAAGCTCAGCGGAAGGCCGTGTGGTTGTCGTCAAAATCAGGGACCGAGTGAGCATGATCAACCGTCAAGTTTTCGTAGTTCTCAACCGTTAGAGAATCAGGGTTCACACATCCCAAGGATGTCCTCGTCCTCTGTGAGGGAGCTGATAGGCCATTCGCGTGTCTGCATTGATCCCCGAACGAGGGTTGAGCATTCGGAGCCACCGGCTTAAAGCAGGTCCTTTCGGCGCCATTCGGTGTGAAAGCTCCAGTGCAAGTCCCCTCGTAATCTGTAGGGCCGAACGAATGCCGTTGTATGGTTTGTGTTCAATGCGTCTGTCAGCGGCGGGAGTTGCACGCGCTCCCGTGCCTTGCTTCAAGTTCACCATCCGCGGATCGTGAACAATGACATATGCCGACACATATTCAAGGACCATAGCTCCCTGTTTGGCGGCAAGAAGCTCTGCCGCCCACCAGGTGACGAAGCCAGTCTCGGACCATCGGTGATTTCATCTCCACATATGCTTTTCAATGCGAGAGATAAAGGGGCAATGTTCTGGAAAAAGACAGGGGAGAAAGGAGACGCTTCGCGACGCGACCAATCCAAGCTCTTTCTAGAAATTGCATGGAAGGACGCTTGGACGCCTTGGGAGCCTTGCGGGAGGGGTGGTGGTCAAGGAGCCATCCTTGTGGACGTTGGTGTTTGGGCCAGTGGCAGGCGGCAGTGACACAAAGCTTAAGGAGTTTTGATGCGCGCTATGCACACTGTGACAAGAATAGCTCGTTTCACTTACCTCTATGCAGCAGGCTGTCGAGACTAACCGTGATGTTGATAGATGTGACAACTGGTGTACGTCAGATGACGGCTAAATACAAGTCATTAACGAAAACGATGGGCGGCAAGAGTCGCATTTGTTTCTTCGCCTTGTTGCTGCTTGTCCCCTGAACTGAGCCTGTAGGTTTGACTCTGCAAAAAGAACATCAAGGGCCCATATCTCGTAATTACTCGCTTACGCAGATGATGGTGTGCGGTGATCGCCAAAACGCTGTGGGCCCGGCTATCCGCTCCTGCATTGCGCAGCTGTGCATTTGTGGAACGTGATGCACAGACACCCAGGGTCTTCAGTATGAAGAACGAGTTGAGAAGTCCATATCTGGGTCCGTTCTCTTCATGAGTAAAGAGAAGCGCGTCGTCGGTGACCACCAGTTCGCGCTGCGGTGTGTCGAGGGAGATTGCAGGCGACGAGGTAGCAGCACTATGAGCAATATCTGGGATGGTCGATCGAGCTGCTCGGACCAGATAGTGGTTTGATTGCTCTGGTCGAATCGGGAGCATCCATACTTGGCAAGTGCAGGTGCCTTCCTTCTACCAGCCTTCCACAAGCCAAACATGGCCCGAGCAATGTCCCAGCATCCCAGCATCCCAAGATATGCCATGCGTTTTGAACATGCTGCGTTCACTAAGCAGTATGCCTGAGAAACGACGAGAATATCATTGTGGCCTGCTTCATGTCCAGTGCGTATCTTGAGACTCGACTGAGCGTCGTGCTCTGCCAAGTCGGTGTAGGAGTAGGTACCGCAGTCCCGCACAAGGTTGTGGAGATCTAATCTGCGCACAAGAGCGCCACTGACGCCTCCAACAAGGTCGTAGGACTGCCCGGGCGCCTTGACGTGTACTAGCGGAGGAGTAGGCAAGAAGCGTAATGGTGAGGCTGTGGCCTGCGAAGGCGAGATGACCACTAGGATGGTACTGCTGTCCACTGTGATGCTTGTGAGGCCCGTTCTGCGTATATGAACATCCCCTGCTCCTTGATACGTGAGAGATGCTTGCCTATCCGCTTCACACGCACCACGTTTGTCTGTCCGAAAAGCAGTGACTCCAGATTAGACTATTGAGCAGCCCACGTACGATCAATCTCTTGAACGCATCGAATCATCCAGTTGGCTGGGATCCACGGGAACAAATCAAGGTAAGTTTCACGTCTTGAGTGCTGATATGCCGGAACAGAGGCACAGTGGTGGGCATGACTGACGATGAGATGCAGCCACGACAATAATCATTAATTTGCTTCTGCTCATCTACACCCGCCACAACGAGATAACACCCCAACGTGCAGCCATACGGAGTGCCCCAGATCTCAGCTTCTGACAGGGCGAACCGGATTTCATCGTTTGGATCCCATCAAAGAGCGGAACGGCCAGATCCGGGCCATTCGGGACCAGAAAACAGAGTAGGCGGCAAAAGCACATTGGAGATCGCCCCCGTCAGCAGCAGACGGTGTGCTGCAGTCTCGCGCAAGAGCAGCGTGGGTGAGATTCGCGGTTTCAGAGTGCCACCGCAAGGCTGCTGCAGCCGGCGTAGTGCACACGAGAGCGGAGATCGAAGCGTCGGCGTGTAAATCGTTGTGCTAGGGAGGCATTTCGGATATATCACTACCCCGCATTGGGTTAGCGCGCTTTCCAATTACGCGCAACGAAAGGAAAGAAGTACCTTGCGACCCTCAACACCACGCAGTCCATCATCGCCATCCCCTGCCCTGCCCTCTCGCCCGCCGTAGTCATTCCCAGGTACGTGTGGCCGTTGTGTGCTGTCCATTGCCGCCCCGTGCAGCCCGCGCAGAGTCGCTGCAGGCCCTTCACCGCCCGCTCCCCTTTTCCGCCCGTGGTCGTCGGCCAGGGACAGCGTGCCTGCCTGCTAGGGCGACGACGCCGAGCGCGACTTTTCTCCCCTGCCTCGCACCTGCCTCGCACCTGCCTCTGCCCAACTCTCGACTGACCTCGCCGTGTAGCGCACCCTCTGCATTGACCTGCTCGCGATCCGCCCCAACCCTTCGACCCGACGTCCAGGACAGGCCCGCCGCCCGCCGCACTCACGCCCGCTGACCGCCAGTCATCACAGCGACAGCGACGCCCGCGCCCGCGAGGCCCCCGTCACACGCCGCCTGCTCCTCCCTCTCTGGTGCGCTCATCCCGTCTCACCGACTCCGGGCTACGCGAAGCACGACGCTTCGTCACCATGGAGCTCGACACGATACTGAACACGCGATTAACAGCCTTCGCAGGAACAGGACCACACTTCGCCATGCAGCACGCCATGCAGCACGACCTCCAGCCGCAGCACTTTGGCGCGCCGCCCTACATGACCAATGGCCGCATCAAGTCGGAGACGGGCTCGGAGCGCGGCGTCTCGCCCCATCCGTCCGACTCGTCGCGCTACTCGTCGCAGCAGCCGCAGCAGCAGCTCCCCGCGTACCCGCAGATGGCGCCCCAGCACATGAGCGCCCTGCGCTACCCCTCGCCGTCGCAGATGCAGGCCCCGATGCCCATGCTCAACAACAACAACTACATCCCCAACCCGCCCGACCACGCCTACGCCCAGCAGCAGCAGCAGATGGCCGACCAGCAGAACCAGCAGCACGGGGGCCGCCCCGCGTCCGACACGGGTCCGCCCAAGGCCTTCGCGTGTTCGACCTGCAGCAAGGGTTTCGCGCGACGCAGTGACCTCGCACGTCATGGTAAGGAGCTTGGGCCGCAACACCAAAAGCCATCGCGCTGACACCTGCAGAACGTATCCACAGCGGCATCCGACCGCACGTGTGCGACTACCCCAACTGCGGCAAGCAGTTTATCCAGCGATCTGCCCTGACGGTGCATCAACGTGTCCACACTGGCGAGAAGCCCCACATGTGCGAGCGCTGTGGCAAGGTACGCGTTCCACGATATATCTCTCCAGCACGCCACTAACGCGCGCCCCAGCCCTTCAGTGACTCCAGCTCTCTGGCGCGACATCGCCGCATCCATTCCGGAAAGCGGCCGTACAAGTGCCCATATGCCGACTGCCAGAAGACGTTTACGCGTCGTACCACATTGACACGCCACCAAAACCACCACACTGGCACCGTCGAGGAAGCTGCCGCTGCCACTGCTGCTGCTCTCGCCTCGCGTGCCGCTGCACCAAGCAGGACAGGTCGCTCCGACGGCGGTGAATATTCCGAGACGGCCTCTCCCCTGAACACTCCGTCGCCAAATGACCGGACAATGTCGCTGTCGCCTGCTAACGGCATGCCTGCCGGTGTCGTACCTGCAATGCACCGCCAGGGCTCTGATTACGCGTACATGGGCATGACAGTCCCTCCCCACATGCGCCAAGAGATGCCGCAACCCAGCCCACGTGCCTCGCCGGCTTTGGCCTCGCAGGCATACAACCCCAACGTGGGCAGCTCGCGCCCGACAATTACTTCGCACCCAAGCGCATATGGCCCGCCCCCGATTCTAGAACCACCTGCGTCTGCGAACCACAACCAGACTGGCGGCACGAGCAGTGCTAACGGCAGCCCTCACATGTCGGCCATGGGCTGGCAGTCTCCCTCGCAACAGGCTCTTCCATCCCCTGGAGGCGCTGACAATGGTTACGTCTACCCGGAGCCTCAATTTGGCAACTCCCAAAATAGCATGTACTATCAGAACCACAACATCCGTCGCCCCAACAGCACAGAGCCGGATCACTACAATCCCAACCAGCAGCGAATGGGCAACGAGATGTGGGCACCCGCGGTACAATAGATAAGCCGCTTACACCATGTATAATTACCAAAATCGAGTCTCGAGTCCATTACTCCGGTGTTCTTCGGCAGGATCCATACATCTATACCCAACCTGTTTTTTACAAAAAATTTCCATCATGCTGGCTGGTGTGTCATGGCGAATGCTTTGTGGTCTTCCCCGGCGATTCTTGGTTTCTGCGGAGTCTTGACGGCTTTGTTCCCAAGACGGAGTCGTCTGTTCTGAGTTTTTCTTTTGTCCCCTCAGATCAATCGTTTCCTTTGTTTCAGTCGTTTCCCATTTGGGTTCCATCTAGCGGTCGGTAACTTGAGTTCGCTCTCGCGAAGGTTCAACTGGAGGGCGGAGTTTGGCGTGGACGTGTATTTCCGGGCACACAGGCACTCTCACTAGATCGGTACTTAATGAGGATTTATATCCGCCTATTAGATTATACAGCATCTACGCAAGTAGAACACAGAATGTTAACACACACGTAATACCAACAGAAGTGGCTTGTCGTGGCGACTGTGAGGAAGCGTGCATGTTTGTGCCATGGATCGATTACGTATCGTGCACTGTCAGGGTCTGCTAGTGACAGGTTCAAAGACGCACATGTGAGGTGGATAAGACCGTGGCTTGCCCGTAGGCAATCAGACCATGCTCAAGAGATACGACGCGAGGGAATGCGGTGCCTGAGTGATGTAATTTGCTAGACCCTGCGTGGTGTGCACGGAGGTGGTTCGGAAGGTGCAGCGCCGAGAATCTCCAAGTGCCCCAGCCTCGCAGCAGTGACGTGCTACTCCTTGTCGGCCGCTCTTCAACTCTCACTCTCCCACACATCCGGAGCTAGCCACATCACCGCTGTCCATCTACGCGTCTCTGTGCTCCTCGAAAAGCCAGCAATCCTATCTATAATCTTCGCCTGGGCCGTTTGCGCTCCATCACCACCGCCGTTTGCTTCATTCGAGTCGACGACACAACTCGTCTCAACAGGGAGCTCTTGCATGCTAGCACCCTCGACCTGCCATTTAAGCGCAACCTTCACTGCAAGTTCGCGTCGACTGCCGCGCGCACCTCTGGCTCGTTCGCCCACCGCTACTTCCGACTCTTTACGCGGTCAGCCCAACAACTAGCTTCCTTCACCTACACGCAATCGACCACATCAGAGCGCCGCAATCATGTCCAAGGTTGTCAGAAGCGTGAAGAACGTGACCAAGGGTGAGCCTATCTTGATGGAATGTCAGGCACCAAGAGCTCCTTTCTAACCGTCTCTATAGGCTACTCGGCCGTCGAAGTCAAGGTCCGAAATGGTAAGGAATCCAACATCTACAGCACGGCGCACGCAACTGACAACCGCAGCAACCAGCAATGACCCCTGGGGTCCGGTGGGATCCGACATGGCGGAGATTGCTCAGATCACCTTCAACAAGTAGGGCGCCTCGTATCAGGGCGGGAGTTGCGCTAACAGCCGCGTAGCTCGACCGACTTCTACCAGGTTATGGACATGCTTGACAAGCGACTCAACGATAAGGGCAAGAACTGGCGCCACGTACTCAAGTCGCTTAAAGTTCTCGACTACTGCTTGCACGAGGGCTCAGAGCTGGTTGTGACGTGGGCGCGCAAGAACATCTACATTATCAAGACATTGCGAGAGTTTCAGTACATCGACGAGGATGGCCACGATGTCGGCCAGAACGGTAAGCTGCGGGATTTATGGTAGAAGCTGAGCCCGCTAACGCTTTGCATAGTGCGAATGGCCGCTAAGGAATTGACCACTTTGATCATGGACGAGGATCGCCTGCGCGCCGAGCGAGCCGACAGAAAATCGTGGAAGTCGCGTGTGACGGGCATCGAGGAGTATCCTGGCAACAACCGAGCAATCATTGGAGAAGGATCGCAGCAAAGGCGTCCGCGAGATCGGGAGCAGGGTCGCCCACGCAGAACCGACGAGGAGGAGTTCGAGATGCGATTGGCGCTTGAGGCGAGCAAGAACGAGGCAGAGGCGGAAAAGCAGCGCCGGGCAAAAAGCAGCACGGTTACTGACGACGACGAAGACCTCGCAAAGGCCATCAAGCTGAGCAAGGAAGAGGAGGAACTGCGCCGGAAAGAGCTGGAGCAGACCAATGCGGACCTTCTTTTTGGCGATGCTCCCGCTCAACCAACCTCGTACCAGCCCACGGGCAACAACCAGGGCTACCAACAGCAAGGCCAAGTCGATTGGTTCGGAAATCTTGTGGACCAAAATCAACAACAGCCGCAGAGCACTGGCTTTCTCAACAACGCGTATTCTCAGCCAACTGGTATGCAAGCACAGCAGACGGGCTTTCAGAATGGATACGGCGGTTACAACGGCCTTCAAGCGCAGCAGCAGCAGCCACAGCCTACCGGATTCGACCAGTTCGGCAATCAGCAGGCGCAGTACATGCAGCCCCAGCAGACGTCTTTTAACATGAACAACCCGTATGGTCAGTTCGGCGGTGGCTTTGGCGACATGGGGCAGCAGCAGCAGCAACAACAACAGCAACTACAACAGCAACAGCAGCAACCGCTGCAAGAACAGAGTACGCTTCAGCCGGGCAGCCATAACCCATGGGCATCCAAGTCGCAAGATCCTCTAATGCCTCAGCCCACTGGCTCCAACAACCCCTTCGCCTCAGGCTTCAATCGGCCACAGACTGCGCAGGCGCAAAGAGTGCCTACTCTCAACACCCTGCATGAGCAACAGAGCCAGGCACCATACAACAACACTCCGTTCAGCGCTTCAACATCGTTCTTGGCACCACAGCAGCAGGCACAGCCAGTGCAACAAGCACAGCCAATGCAGCAAGCACAGCCGACACAACCGCAGAAGGAAATGGACCCGCATGCTGCAAGACTCAATGCCCTTCTCGCATCAGGAGAGGGCCAGGATACATTTGGTAACGTTGGAAACCTTCGTATACCATCTCAGCACACGGCACCCGGAACGTTTGTCAACTCTGCTGGTGCGGGCCTGAACCGCGTCAACGCCAACGCAACCGGAAACAATCCCTTCCTCAACTCCCAGTTTACCGGTATGCCACAGCAAAACCGCCTTATGCCCGCTCAAACTGGCCCAGCAGGCAACTTTGGGGCCAATCCATATGGTGGGGTGAGCGCAAACCCCTTTGGCGCTCCTCCACAGGGGACTCGACAGGCAGGTGGCAACAACCTGATAGACTTATGAGTGTCACGTAGCTGGAGAGAAAGGATGTGATGTTCGCGTTCCCCTGATCTGACATTTCGCATGCGTTCCTTTAGTTAATCACGTTTGCGGATTCACAGAGTGGGATGCTCAAAAGCTTCATGGGTGGGAGACGATGAATGGGTGGCAAGATTTGGAGAACCCGGCGAGGCTTCTTTTTTGATTTGGTGATTTGGTGGATAGCGTATGATTCCCTTCATAGGCAGAGAGCAATTTTATATTCTTGGTCAGCTCGATGATACGCATGAGTTTGGGTGTGTGATGTGATTCCTCTGCAGATCGAAGCACGCGTAAATGACAAGTGCCATCATGTCAACCGCTAACACATCTTCACGTCTCCCATGCCGTTCACCACAAACGGCAGCCCCGCAAACCCCTCACCCCCCACTCTTCACCCCGCTTCGCATTGTCGCCACTGGTGCACGCGGCTGTTGCACTTGTTGGGTCTTGAACAGGCACGTTCTTGGCGTTGGTGGTTGCCTCCGAGACGCGTTGCCAATCGCCGCACTTGTTACACTTCGGCCTGGACACGACGGCTACTGGAAAAACGCCGCGCACGTTGACTTTCAGGGGCTTGGATAATGGATCAAAGTACACCGCGAGTAGTGCTGGGCAAGAGAGGGCGCGGACGAGGCATGGCCGAGCAATCCGAGGGTCAGGAACGATCACACTTCACAAGGAGACTGCGATCGAGGAGAAACGAGAGCGTTGCGAGTAGCCACGGCTCGTCTTTGTCAGCAAGCCGTCGGACTGGCCTTCTCACGCCCGAACAGAGTACTCTGACCGAGTCGCAAGCCACCGAGCCGGATCATGGGGACGCGCAGATGCCACAACCCAACGATGGAGGGCCCTCGATCGCGAAGCCCTTTCCCTTCATGGAGCTCCCCGCCGAACTACGCATCCTTGTCTACTACATGGCCCTGCACCGCGACGAGCCCATCCTCCTCCACGCCCAGCGCGCGACGCCCGAGAAGAGCGAGGAAGACGACGTACCCGACATCGTAAACGAGGCAAGATCTCAGGCAACAATGAGGAGCGGGCGCACCCGCGAACTGCCCCATTACATGCCTCTGCTGCCGAGACCTGCGTTTGCGCCGCCAGCGCCCGAAGACGCCATCGTCCCCGCCATCCTCCGCTTGAACCAGCAGACATACAAAGAGGCGCGCCAAGTCCTGTACGGCGACAACGTCTTCACCCTCAGGCTGTCGAGTGGCGTCCACACGCTGTCTACACTACACCAGCGCTCGCGCAGCCTGATCAAGCACGTCATCCTCACCATCCCCTCACACCACGACATCCTCGACGGCTTCGCAGACCTGGTGCGCCTGGGTCTACGCTACCTCTGGGGCCTCAAGACCTTCAAGATCATCCTACAAGCCAGCTTGCCAGACGACGGACGCATCCCTTCAGGCGCCACGAGCGTATACGCGAACGCGTTCCACATCCTGCGCTGGCTTCCCAAGGGCTGTAGAGTCATACTTGAGGGGAACGTGTCGGAGGTTGTGCGCCAGGTTGTTACTGAGGAGGGACGGCTGCAGAGCGTGCTCGACGATGTGGGTATTTCCGACAGGTTCTGCGGGTACGGCTTGCTGACACGCCTCCAGACGGGGTATCAGAAGAGACAGCATCAAATGCCTGAGCGTCACTAGTAGTGGGTTTGTAGGAATGCCGCGTATTTTTGAACCCATTTCTGGATACTGTTGTTGTTGATTACGTTGCACCTGTCCTAGACCTAGTGCATCATCGAAACCCTGAAATGCGGAACGTTGGATACATCGACGCAATTTCCAAGAGCACCACTCGACGCCCTCTCAATATGGACAGTCATACGGGAAATCCGTCTATGTCCATCTATCTAAAACAATCCACCCTCGAGGCCGCTCGCTGGTCAAATGCTAGCCACCCATCGTCTGGGGCTCCCTTGGCACCTCGAGAAAAAGAGCGCCGTCACACCACTCGTTGTAGCAAGAGGGCTGGGTATCCGCAGCAGAGTCGCCCGAATAGTGAGTCTGGGAATACCTCTCTGCTGCAGATGGCGATTGATAGTGCGATCTCTCGACATGCTTGTGCTAGATATCTGCCGCGCGTTGGACGGCAAAAGCAAGACGTGCTGTTTTCTCCCGGCAAAGGAGATGAGATCGACTTGGCCACTAAATGTATGAAGGACCAGCGGTGGTATCTTGCTCGAGCTTGTATTTCGAAGTGTTGCCCACATCTCGACGGCTGCCCGTTGAACGACTAGTTTCCCGCGATACGCTACCAGATTGGACGTCTCGTTGCGTAATCTGCGTTAGTCGTGTCGTTTGCATTCCCCAATTGCCTGGGTGTTGTGGATGTGGGTCGAGTCTGACCTACGGCGCGTGGGGGTGATGTTCCGTCATAGAACAGATTTGTGGTGACGACTGGTAGGATTTGGATGGCACGCAATATATCGTCAAGGGAATCAGCGTAGATGCAATGTGTTGAAATAAGACTACTAATACAGAACACGGAATATAACAATATATATATTGCGCACATGACGTCCCTCCCACCTCATCTCCCTCCTACTCTCACCACTCCCCACTCACAACGCCGTACTACACCCCGTCTGAGTAGTCGTCGCCGTCACCGTCGTCCCAGCCACAAACGTGCTCGTCGTAACCGTCACTTCGCCCCCCACAGTCGTCGTGACCACACCGCCGACCGTCGTCGTCCCAGGCGCACTAGCAGTAACCGTCGTGCTCTGCGTAGTCGTCGACGTAACCGTCGTCCTTGGAATAGGCGGGTACGTATAATCCGGGCCCGCACCTCCAATGGCACGTTCCCGAAGCAGCGCGCCCGACCGTCTAACCCGTGCTACCGCGACGCTGCAAGTGCCGAATATAGGCTGGCATCCGGCGGTGCAGTAGCTTGCCGTGCGGCCGCAGTATCCGTAGGCTGAGCAGCAGTCGCCGTAGCTGCTGCCGGCGCAGGTCTGGCCTGAGGTCTCGCCGCACCGTCCGTCTAGCGTGACTGGAAGCGTGGATGTGGGCACTGGAGCGGTGCCGGTCGGCGACGGGACGGGACACGTGCCGAAGGCGATCTGGCATCCGGGGCCGCAGTGGGCGGCGGCGTCACCGCACCAGCCGTATGCTGGTGGAAGTCAGCATGGGGAAGAAGCAAGGGGATATAGAGGTGTCACGCACGTGAGCAGCAGTCGCCGTAGATACTTCCTGTGCATACGAACCCCTGCGTTCCACCGCACGTTCCGTCTGTCGAGACATTGGACGTTGGTGTAGGGGCGGGTGGGGTGCTGGAGACGGGAGAGGGGATTGTGCAGTCGCCGAATCCTGGCTGGCAGCCTTCGGTTGTCAGGCAGTGGGCGTCGCTTGATCCGCACCATCCGTACGCTGTATCATGTTAGCCAATCGATCAGTTGGTATGTTGAATGGGTCAAGTCGACGTACCTGAACAACACCTTCCGAATGTGGAGCCAGAGCATGTCTGTCCGCTACGATCGCCACACTGCCCGTTCGGCGACACAGGCAAAGTACCCGTGGGGGTACTAGCCGCCGACGAGGTAGAGCTCGAGGCCGTAGGAGGGCATTCGAAATCAGTGACAGTGGTAGTAGCCGTAGTTGTACCGGTAGAAGTTTCAGTAACCGTCTGGTCGTCGCCAGGCACGGTTGCAGTCGAGGTGAATTCAGTGACACTACAGCTGTCAATCAAAAAGATGCACCACTTCTGTTGTTGGCAAAATATGACTTACGTGGCAGTAGGATCCGCACCAGATGCAGTTTCTGTCTGAATAATGGTTGCAGTCACGCGATCGGTCATGAAGGTGGGTGAGGCGATGATGAAGAGTCTCGACGAGATGGAAGGAGCACCACCAACGTTCGCCGGTTGGCTGAACCTCAAGGTATAAGTTCCAGGGGCCAGGCTATTACCGGTAACACTGGGGCACTCGAAACCGGAGTAAGTGGTTGAGCCGCCTGAACCGGGAGTTATGGATGGTGGTGCCAAGATGGAACATGTGGTAGTTCGTCCTGTAGCGACGATGAGTGGAGTGATGGCATACGTCGATGTACGTTGTTGAGTGACATAGCGAGTGGGAAAAGAGCAAGCCGCTCCGTTGTCTATGAGATGTAAGCAAAAGCTTTGAAACGGTATGAGGGCTGTGCTACTGGACGTGAAGCTTCCTGCAAGGCCCAGGTAGGCGGTGTTGGTTGCATCAAACGCAAAGGTTGGAGAAGCAGCGACTCCAGGCAAAGAAGTGACCAGTTCTGGGGAATTGAAACGACAGCCAGCCATTTTGAGATAGGGAATCGGCCTAAAGTCGAGAGCGAAGATGAAAACAGCGTAGCCAAGTTGCGTATCAGCTAGAGAATACACAGAAGAATGCTACTTGGATGATGCAAAATAAATGTATGAAATAAAAGACTCTTTATACTTTGAACTTCCCTACTCCTATGTGGAAGATAATCTATCTTCGTGGGGTGAGCATCCTCAATCCAACTGCTCAATATTGTGGCGTCTGCACCAGCTCTCTCAGTCACCGTCCTTCAAGGACTGAAGCAGTATCTCAGTTTCTTTGATCAGGACATGTCAATTACAAGCCACGGGTGGAGTGCATGCCATTGGAACTGAGGCTATCCTTGTGACACCCGAGAAGGGCCAAGGCTGCAGAGCAGATCACAAGGGAGGGATACTGTCGCCCAACTGGGAAATCCTCGGGCCAGATGGAGAAGGTCGTCGGGCGGACCTGGGAGCAATTCCGTTGTACCTGGGATCTCTGCTGCGCGTAAGGAGAAAGCATTGACTCTAATATAGAAGTCATGCAGGAACAAGGTCTAAGCGAGAGTTACAGGTATCATTTTTTCAAATGTAGGTACTTGCAACGAACGAAGGGGTGATGGTAAGTTCTCAATTTGATTTATGACTTGTCTTGAGCATGGTCTAAAGAGCATTTTGAGGCCATCGGAGGTCATCGCGTGCATGCGCAACGAAGATAATTGACGACAGTACGTTCCAGGTACACGCAGGAGTGATCGACCGCATAATGCAGGTCGAGTCTCGAGGCGATGCGCAGTCATTTCATGCAAGTTCTGACCGGGAACCTGCAGCTAACATTGCGTTGAGGACGGTGAACAAAAGACCCAGAGGCTTGGGTCGGAGACATGTTCTGTATTTTAGCGCAACGCGTGAGCGTGCCATATTTTCCCCCACACATGATCATCCGTTGTAACATTCATCTATCTTCTTGACCATGATTCGACTCGCACTCTCCGATTCTTGTTCGTCTTTCGCAATACCCACATATATGTATAACTCCTTGTTTAGAGTTTACTGAATCCACCCTCAACCGCACACTGGCCAATCACAACCTAGTCATAGATTTGCTCATTCTTACGAAACCCCACCTTCGCGCCTTTTTATACACCCAAATTCATCTATTAAAGGTCAAAAGTACGACCAAAAGTGTGGTTGTCAATAGTGCCAGTGCGGAAAACCCAGTCGTAGGCCCAGTATATCCTGAACTCTCGATGATCCCTCACAGGGATCGGTCAGTGCCTGAGATGAGATGCTACTTTGTTTTCAGAACTGAACGTCATAGAATGCGACACATAAAAACTCGCCAGTCAACGAGTTACAGAAGACTCATCTTGTTTGCCACCTAGATTGCTTTTTGTCATGAAATCTGCAGGCCATATCTTTCAAGCCTAGCACAGACCCGTTTTTCGTCTTGTTTCTATATCTTCTTTCTGTGTGCAGCTCTAAAAAATTTGGGTGTGGTCGTCCGGGAATTCCCGTCCATGTCAGAGAAATAGCAATAGTCGAAAATGCGGGAGCTGGGAAGACCACGACTGTTCGGTAAGTCCGGCTTCGTCCCACACAAAACATCGTCCGCTTCAGCCCCATCTAGTCAGAACTACACAGGAGAACTTGGTCGGGTGGGAGCGTTAGGCATACGTCTTGGTGTCAATTGAATGTATGACACAAACCGTTTGGAAAATGAGTCTGTATTCTCTTGTCGTCGCGATACAGTCAGAGGTGCTTTTGAAGTGGAGTCAAGTCGCCTCAAGCAAGGCGCAGTACTTGCACGCGAGAAACCTGGCCTTGTTCGTTTGGCCTCAGGCCAGGATCAGAGAGCATCCAAGAACCTCCGTTGGACTGGCATAATACCATACAACTGGCCAAGGATATGTCATACTCTTCCAAATAGCTTCCAAATACCCAATCAAGCTTACTTGGTTTCAGCTGGCAAGGGGAGATGGGGAAAGAGCATGGTACATTGCTTATGCATCATTTAGTTCGATCAGCCATTGATTGCGTCTGACAGCAGTAACCAGGTCTGGTATAGCTCGAACGATGTACACCTCTCATCCTTCGAATAAGACCACCTCTCAGCTTCCTCACACAACGTCCCGTCTCGTGCGATGCACAATGGCGTAATACCGCCATAACAACGGCAGCTCCGTAGTCAAGCGGAGTAATGGCTTCGTAAAGCGCAAACCTCCACACGGATTTCCAGATCTAAGAATCTAGTCGATGGTGCTCACAGGCTGAGAATGAGCACGAGAAGTGATGAGTTTGACATTGAACATCGTTCGGAATGTTGCAATGAAGATTACTATAAGTGGAAAATCTCGGCATGAACGTATATCATCATGCTGAGATATCTGCTCACCATGAAGCCGATGATAGGGTTTCTTCCGTAACCCCATTTTCTACCTTCGCTTATCTCTTCGTAAACCTTGTAGCTATTCTGGTCGGGACTTAATCAGCGGTGCGAGCAAAGCTGCAACCTATTTCAGGCTAGTCACCACCCGCGAAAGTCATGGCTGGGCGCCTATTTACCGTGCTCTAGACCTTCTTCCTACGGTTTCTCCAAAACGAAGCCGTCGTCGAGGGATCCTTTGCTTCATTCTCACATCACTGAACAATCTATCCACTGACACCATGACAATCTCGATAACATCTCAGTTACAACCACCTTCGAAACCAGGCCGGAAGTCTACACGGCTGGGAGAATACCGGGGGCTTGATAAGAAGCCCAAGAAAGTCAACAGCGAGATCCGGAAACAGCAAAACAGGATAGCCTCAAGGAACTACCGTACGCTACTTCTACCGACGAACGTGAAACGATGAACATCCACTGAGTGTCTTCATACAGGTGAAAAGCGCAAACGCAAACTAGAGCATCTCCAGCAGCAGATCGAAGATGGGGATTCAAGTGACCGACAGGCATCACAAACATCCCCACGTTCGTGCGAAAGCCACACACGATCTTCTTCGGAAGAATATGAGGTTGCAGAATCTAGCTCTTTACCCTTCGTGTTACCTTTCAACACAGATGTTGGACAGCTAGCCTCGAACGGCGTCAATGAGTTGGAAACAATACCAACGGCAATCATCTCGCCCTTTGATAGCCATATTCTGGCAACTACACAGTCGTGTTCTGCTCTTGAGATATCATGGAATCCTCCTATCTACGATTCACCTCTACCAATGAGAACCCCATGGTGGGCGCCTGACACGGTCTCGCCTCCACAAATACTCTCTTCGTCAAATGAACTTCAGTACGCACCATCACCAGAAGCGTCATCCTATGGTCAAACGTCCGCGCCCTCACAGGTACCACAACAGCTCTTTTTACATCCAGACCCAACTTCCTACACGCCCAATTATCCCTACCGGTTCTTGGATAGGTTGCCACATCAGGTACCCAACATCCCAGTGGTAAGTTTTCCTGCCTCTTTATCTTACTCTCGGTCTTTGTGTACTGGTATATGTTAAAGTAAAAGTTCATCAACTAATCCAGTATACAGTACTTCTTCCATCAGCAGCCCTTCACACTTGAGCATTCGGTATACATATGAGCTTTTGGTACTATCTACGTCTTGCTTTTGTACCTCAGTTGTGTGGGGTGAAAGACAGCCCATTCACCCAGCGATCTTGACGTTCCACGATATCTCACCCTCAGGATAGTGTAAGCCTAGTTAAGATGCAAATCCTGAAGATGGAGACTGGAATTCACAGAAGGGTCTAAACATACTCTAAACTCTCTTGGAGTGTCACGCCTGTTACAAACTTGAGACCGGATTAGCCAGGCTTACGTCGGGAAAAGCTACGTGCTATTCAGACATCACTCAAAGAAACTTATCCTGGGAGTTCGGTTACCAAGAAGGAAGTGACTGTCAGTTATTGTTTCAATGGAACAATCCCATCTTCCCACCACCCGTCCCTTCGGAAGCCAGAAACCATCCTATCGCAGCTCGTACGCTGTTTGACGCGTACGCATTCTAGGAAGGGTTGCTCACCAGTTCTCTGCTGACCAGCGCATAGCGTTGGTAAGACAGAAGGTTGTGTGTTGGAGATGATGGCTAGGAGACTTTGGGGATTGTCTATGTATCATGCCACGTCAGCGTCTTCGGGTGAGATGTTTATGTGAACAAAATAAAGCAACGCTGAAGTAATGACGCAGTACCGTTGTCGGACAGCGATTTCGAGGCAGGGTTTTAGACTTTTGTGGTCCGTCCTGAAATGTATATATTCTACTCTGCGACCTAGACGCTCCTTATCGTTTGTACAAGACCATAAGAGCTAGAATATCCTGCCGGGACTGACTGATACATAGCATGTCGACGCTAAACATGAACATCTCACGTCAGCCTTATACTTGCGAATTGCACTAGTTTGACTTAACATGCCGTGTATAGATAGAAACATCTATTGGTCCTTACAACACTCCCTTAGAGCCAACAAATCACAATTGGGAACCTGAGGCCTTTTCATGCAAGCCAAGCCCTAGAGTCCTCTGAATGTACTCTTTCAGCGCAGCCCTCATAGTCCGCGATATGGCAACATTTGGCTCAATCACAATAGCCCCATGATAAACTCCAGGCCACACATGCAACTCGGCCGAGCCGCCACACTGCCAGATCCGCGATGCATACGCAACCGCCGCGTCTCGAAAAACCTCGCACTGCCCGACGTCAATATATGCAGGCGGTAGGTTGGAAAGATCTGTGGCTCTGCCTGGACATCGAATCCCATCGATATCTTGCTCCCTTCGATCACTACCAAGGACGAAATCCCACGCTTGCCGGTTCGTCTTCCCCGGCCACACTGTTCCGGTTTCGAACTGCTTTACTGACGGCCACTCATCGCCGTCATCTAGCATGGGGATATTGAGTATCTGAGCGAGAATAGGAGGGTGCTGTCGCTTGCGAGCCAGGAAGCAAGTCGCTGCTGCCAATGCCGCGCCTCCGGAAGTTCCAAACAGTGCGATGCGGGACGAATCGATGCCGAGCTCGGCGGCGTGCTCGTACAAGTATGTCGTAGCGGAATAGCAATCATACGCTCCAGCCGGAGCGGGATCTTCGGGAGCAAGCCGGAATTCGACAGTGGCAATGACGATGTCGTCGTTGTCTAGGAGAGAAGCTAGAAGGAGGTCGATTCCGGCGAAGCGGTCGCCTACGATTTGACCTCCGCCGTGCATGAATAATAAAGCTGCGCGGCTGGAGTTTTGCGAGTCTTTTTTTCGGAAAAGAGTAAGATCAATAGTATTTTTGCCGCTAAGCTCCTCCAGTGCGGGAATATTGAGATCAGTGTACGCGAGCTGCGGGTACTTTACACAAAGACTCTCTCCGGTGATAACGACTGAGGGTGGCGTTTGTCGCAGTGTCTCTATGTTTAGAGCATCTGACCATCCAGGGACACCAGCACTGAATCGGTACGCTGAATCGAACGGAGGACGCGAGTTGGAAGTCTGGGACATGGTGTCTATACTAAAATAGTGAATCCGACTCTGAGAAGAGTTGATAGAGTGTTCCAGGGGATGGTGAGCGTTGTATGGCAGAAAGCAAATCAAACCCAGTAAGACATGAGAGTTATTGAGGTACCATCTCGCAGTCAGTCGTTCCATAACTACTATCCCCGCCTTTGGCTCTAGGTTAGCGTGTCTGGGGGAAGCGGTCCGATACGTAAGGTGGGTGCCGTGCTGTACCAATCGACTTTCGTGGAAGCTTGTCCGTAGGAACGTCGGATGCAGCGACGTCATAAAAGTCTGTTAGACAACAGCTCGCTGAGCGGAATGGATCATGTTCATACATTGAACAGCGTTGAGTACCAGATTGATGCTGCGTGAGCTCTCTCAGGATCATTGACGGCAGTACAAATTTACTAGAGGCTCTGTGTTCGAGATTCCACCGATTAGCTACTACGTAGGTCACGTTATGGCATAGTGTTATAGAAAGCACTATATCACAAATCACCTACTAGTAATGCAGTACCCATAAGGAGCGAACAGTTACCGACTAAACAAGACCCTTTTTTAAGTAGAGCAAAGATATCGGTCATCTACCATGATCTGTTAGATCTATAGAAGAAACGCAAAACTTACGACTCAAGAAGAGGAAGACGTAGAAAAAAGAGAACACAAGAATTGAGGGTAGATGACGAAGTTGGTGAGGAGATATCGTTCTGTCCATCTTACCTTACTTGTTCTTCATCTGACAGCTGACTCTCCACCATTTCACTACTTCTCTCCCCTCCTTGATGCACTGGAGTTAGCCCAAGGCGTATGTTCAGAACAGCAAAAGGCACCACAGATCTCATCTCACCGCCCCCAAAACTTCCCAAGAGCCACATATTACACCAGACCGCCTATCCAATCCTTTCCCCCCCATCCTCACACCTCCTTCTCAGCCCACATAATAATCTTCCCTTGCCCCCTCCCCACAGCATCCAACCACGCCCTAAAAGCCCCAACATCCACCCTAAACCCCTCAATCAGCGGCACACCGCCCGCCTTCCGGAACCTCAATACCGTGCGCTTCAGCGTCTGCGCGCCATCCTGCGGCTTCAAGCTCGTCAAGTCGCTGATTGGTAGTTCGGAACTACTTGCACAGCGGAGAGCCTGTCGGAATTGACGCTGCGAGCCGCCTAGCAAGTCGCCCAGATTCTGCAGCGAGCTGAAGCGCTTGAGTGGGGGTTTAGAAGGAGCTGGTCGGGGGATGCGGGATGTGCCGGCTGGGAGGATGGTGTGTAGACACGTTGAGATGTTTGTCATGGCGGACATGTGCCAGGCGAGTATGACGTGTGGCGGCGTGTCTCCACCGGCTGCCTTGTGACCTTGGATGAGGATGTACGCCCATCTGCCTTCCCCTGTAGTTACGCGCTGGTGCACAGCCAAGTTCTTGGTATTTTTGTTACTTGGCTCTTCGCCACGCTTGAACTTTCTCTTTAGCGCTTCGACACGGGGGTCTTGCTTCCGCCGCTCTCCGTCCGTCTCAACTTTGTCTTGGTCCGAGAATGTGTCGACTTCGTTGTATGTGAGCTCCGCTACGTCACCGGGACCCAGGAAGCGGATCTCCTTGTGTGGCTCGACACTTGTATCGTAAAAGCTGACAGATATCAAGCGTCTCTGGAGCGGTACAGTAACAGGATATGGAAATACCGGATGGATAGAGAGAAGCTTTGGGTCGGGGAGTCGGTTGTGAAATCTCCACATGACTTGAGACCAGTTCAGGAGGATAGTCAGCAGCGCGTGGGTGTTTCCGGGAAACTTGAATTTCCAGAGTGCTTCGGCATCCACGGGGAGAACAGGTAAGCCTGAATTGTCTTCTGCACGGGCCTTGGTGAGTGGTGGTCCGAATGTCTTCTCCCCTGATGTAGAGGCGCCACGTTTTCGCACTGTTAGAAGTTTTGTTGGAGACGGCGCTTGGACGGTTATGTCCGGTACTGGTGTTGGTGGAAGCGGAAATAGGTTCATGAGAAAGTCATCGTGTGTGGTCTCAGATGCAGGGAAGAGGTCAGTTGGAACCCATTCTGCGTTCGTCTGAACAGAATCCCATGACTGCTCTCCCACGCGAGGCGAGGGGAACAAGACTGTAGGAGAGGTGACTGCACGCTGACTTAATTTATCATGAACATATCGGTTTGGCAGGCCGTAGTTGTATGAGCTGGCTGGAACTGGAGTATACGAGTCGAGCCGCAGTGGAAAAGAATCGGTGACACTTCTTTGAGAAGGCCGCGATCCAGGACCAATACCGACATGGATGCCGCCAAAGTGGAGAACTCGAGCAAAGGAATTGATCTGTGTAAAATTTGGCGCATTTTCGGGTGGCTCAAGAGCAAACGAGCCCACTGCATCTGTCGAGCTTCTCGAATGAGGTTGTTGGTCTTCGGCGAGAGTAGTACTAGATCTGGCATCAACATGACTAGAAGCGACGCCCTCAGTTTCAGTATCGCCGATGTTACAACTACTGCTAGAGCGGCCAAGGTGGTAGTAGAGAGGTTGATCTACAGACAACGCAGGTCCTTGATATGTGAAGTCCTGATCGTTATCCGTGACAGCCTGAAGATAGTCGTCCAGATAACCGTCGTCATCCAGAAACGTAGACCGTGTACCAACCACAGCGCTCAATCCCACCTCCGAAGCCCGTGGTGGATTGATCCTCAGAGCTTTCTTGACAGGACTCTCACCCTCTTCACTAATCTCCGCCAACTCGCCCATCCCCTTCAAACGCGCAACTCTCATAACTCTCTCCCGGCCATACTCACCCAACCCCTCCTCAAACTCCTCTTCCAGTCCCCTCGGTACCTCAGGCGGCCGAGCAAACGGCACCGGGTCCTGCAACCCCAGTATTTGCTGCAGTGTCCTGCTCGCGCCAATAGCGCGCCCGAGACCGCCCACAGCGCTGGTCACGCTGAAGCGTGGTGTCTGACTGTTGAGTTTCTCATGAATATCTGGAGGCGGAGCGTCGGAATCAGACATGGTTCCTGGTGAGAGGGCGGTGTTGGGAGACGTGACGTTTGGGGTTTCGCGGCGGTTGGGATAGGCGGTGGATAAGATTGGGTGCTAGTGGGAACCAGATTTTGACTTTGTCATTTATTTGGGATTGAGATTGCGGAGGCGGAGAGGTGGTTGGGTGTAAGTGCTGCTAGAATGTTTCGGCGCATTGTGCGAGGGCGCTCGCTGGAGTGAGCCATGGTGAAAGGGGTGCTGTTTGTGAGGAGTGGGGTGAAGGTGAAAGATTGTACCAGAAGATACTATGTAAAAATGCGCGACTGAATTTGCCAAAAACGATAGCTAAGATTTGCGCGTTTGTGAAGGTGTAGTGATAATGCAGCTATCGTGACGATGAATTGGTTTGTGATTTACTAAGATTAGGTGCCTGTGACATTGACAGAGAAAGGGCAGATAGGATTGACTGAAGTGAGCAATGAAAAAGTCCTTGCTACCTACTCATTTAAATCGTGTGTATGCATCCAGTTGCCTTCAGCGATTCTTGCAGCTCCCAATAGCTCCAGAAGTTTGATGGTTTCCATATCGAGGAGTCGCCACAACCTCAAAGGGCTATCAAAATCCACAGATTCGTCATTCGGCGTAAGACATTAAGGTCGCCGGTCTTGATATCCACCAATGATCATTACTAGACTCTCCAACTCCCGTCCACATTACTGATTACTCGGTAGTAGAGAAGACATAGTCCGCCTCCAGAACATAAGCCGGACTATCAGGCCCGAAGATGTTCTTCTTCTCGCGCTGCCACTCAGGCTGGTTGATAGCATCAATCCAGTCCTCAACCTCCATGACAATGCAACCATACTGCTCCACGACGCGGGGGCGACCGTCCAGACCTTGTGTAGACTTGATCGGCATTGAGCCTGTATTTGTTAGTTACTGAAAATATATCGTGCGAAGTTTGACATACCATTCTGGCCAATACAGCTGTAGATCTGGAAAGCCTCCTGATCAGAGTAGATATCGATCTTGATACCAGACCACTCGCTCGACAACGAAGCGACGGGTCCAGAGTTGCGCCAGTCGAACGGTCCGTTCTGGTCGCGGTTGACGAGATAACAGGTATCGTAGCCTGTGCAGTTCGTACCACAGTTACCGTGCAGCTCGGGAGCCGTAAGGTTGGCGCCGATTTGCTTAGGTGCAGACCAGAAGTCGTTTACCGAGTACTGCTGGTTGGGCAGAATAGTGCCGTCAGGGATGAGAATACCGTCAACGCCGATACGCTGGCCAGAGTATGGCAGATGGAGCGTGTGGTTGAGAGCTGTTGGCGTGTCTGGGTTCGCGAAGCCGTCCAGATTCCAGTAGACCTATTTCATCAATACCAATTCTCCTAAAATTTGTGCAGGCAATACATACATGCGAACTCAGCATGATAGGTGTCTTCTTTGTAGTTGCAAGAGCCACCATCTTCAAATGCCACGTGTTCGGCGACATTGTGTACGTGATGTAGCTGATAACCTCACCCGGGAAACCCTCCTTGCCGTCTGGATCGACGATCGAAAAGGTAATCGAGCTCTCGGTGTGCGACACGACTGTAAAGTTGCGATAATCCCAGCCGTCAGGCCCACCGTGTAGCGTGTCATTGTTGTTGTTCTCGTTTGGCAGTACATGGTACTCGGTGCCATCAATGACAAAGCTGCTGTTCTTGATGCGATTCGCATAGCGACCAGGTACACCTCCGAAATGGTTGTGTGCTATATCTTCTGTGTAGAAGGTCGCATTATCGAATCCCAGAACAATGTCGCGCTCAACTCCGTCTTTGCCCTTGACAAAGAGATTCGAGATGGACGCGCCGTAGGGAATGAACAGACCACGAATGCCATCGGACGAGATTTCGTACTTGCCATCCTTGTCAGGTCCAAGGGTGCTGTTGCCGTAGCTCTGCGAAAACGCAGTCGCTGCAAGCAGCGGAATGACCGATGATATCCACATTGTGCTTTGACGTTAGGAGGAAGCAGAGTTGAGGTGGGCAATTGGGCAAGTGGTGGCAAGACAAGAGTTATATAGCTGCGGGAAATGATAGAATAAGTACACTTGTAACACCCCTTCACCTGTTAGCGGAATCCTGTAGCCAGGGTTTCCCCCTCGTACAGTTCCACCTGTGCTTACTCCAAGGTAACTCCATCAATAGCGTAGCCTGGAAGAACTGTCCAGGGATACGATCAAGAGACGGAAATGACTGACGGGTCACAGCGTGGAGACTGTGCGCTCTTTCCCCGCAAGAGACGTGCTTAGCGTCGATCTCTCAGGAACACCAGCGTTTATGTTTGAGCGACCAGCGAGTCGCCCATCTTCCAATATTAGTCAATTGAATTCCGGAGATGTGGTTTGCATAACCGACATGCTCTTTCTACCTGCCTCACCCTCTACATACTATGTCGCGATGGCTGGGCAACTCCCTCGATACTCCCGCGGACGTCATACTTCTGCGGAGTAATTCGGTGTATTGGGCCGCGAAGGAAGACCTTGTTGTCCGGCCCTAGACAGCGCTATGACAGACAGAACCGGCTATCCAAAAGACGGGTTGGTAACGCAAATGGCAACAACTTAGACGCGGCTTGCAGGTTGTAGGACATTCCCCAGGATTAATTCTAAACTTGAGGCGCCTACAATATGTTGAAGATGTTTGTCAAGGTTGAATACTAAATTACTGAGCGTAAGACCAAACTTGGGGTATTTTATTATTTCAAGACGCAGTGGTCTGACAGCTTCTTTAGTGATGTTTTGCATGGTGTTGTGGGGCTCAGGCATCGGGCTTGACTCTGGGGTTTTGGAGAATCTGATCATCCCTGCCCGTGCGTGATGCGGGGAAGCTTGACCAACCTCTCGGTCATCTGAAAAAGCGGGAAGTGAGTAGCATTCTTTGTAGCTCCTACAAGCTGCAGGACTACACAGCTAAAATATATTTATGTGCACGCGAGACGCTTACTGCTTAAACTCTAGGCACAAGATTTCTATACTACATTTAGTTGCAGTTGTCAAGCTGTTGCATGATTCCGCTGCACCCTGGTTCCTGGTATTTCGATAGACCGAAAGCAACGTCCATGGCCTGCTAGACACGTGAAAAGGACGGTGTGCTGCATGCAGTGACCATTCCGAACATGATACAGCGTTATTGGTCAAAAATGGTCAGAAGTGAATGGAGGTCTTTTGATAATTCATCTACCGTCACTACAGCCAGGACTTTTCCTCTCACTTGTCGCCGAGAGCGCAGCTTCTCTTTCGACAGTCTGGTGTCATTCCCAATCCGACCTATCATAGAAATACATCCGTACTTTGTTCTCGTCTGTTGGGAAGATTGCTGCAAATGCTCGTTGTAAGTATAACACATCTCGGGAATGATATTCCACCGCCCCAGTACGCGAGATCAAACGACACCGTCAAATAGCAACCGTTTTTGACATGCCAGATACATGCGACATGTAAACCTCCACGTTGTCTCCAAGTACAAGTCAATCCACAGATGTCGACCCGTCATTAGTTCTGAGGAGTATGTCGAACCACAAATTCATGTCTTCAGTTTCTTCTTCTCTGGGCCTGGCCCATCAGGCAGGATCTCCTGTTGGCTCGTTGAGACCTTGAAGTGGCCGTCTTCGTAGATCTCATGGTTCTCAATTCCTGAGTCGACTCGTAAACTCGACTGCGCTGCACATGGCGCAAAGTCCATGCCATCTTCTGGCTCCACCGATTCAGATGGTATCGACGGAGATGCATAGTCGCACTGTCCAACCTGCGAGGATGCAAGCATTCTGTGTGGCACCTGTCCGTTTCCATAGATCTGTTTACTGATACCCAACCCAGAAACTGCAACTGGAGGCAGATGGTAGTGACTGTAGCGAAAGCTTGGATGCTCTTGCTCGCGATAGGGGAAGGCCCAAGTAGGGGTATGTTGCATATTACGCTCAGCAATGACGGCCTGAGCATCCAAATGAGAAACAACTGAATCGTGCCGGCTAAGTGGTTTTGGTGCATCAATTTTGGAAGCAACATTAGCAGCAGTCAGCAGTGCGTCGAAGTTGCCTCGGGAAGGAAGGCGATGGGAATGATAAATCTGTGCCTCGTCGAGAGAATACTGGGGTAGAGCACGTGGGTGGAGGGCCTGGGCAACCATCCCAGGAAGATCCTGGAGAGTAGAGAAGCCTGGGATGATCTGCTGATCATTCGTTTTCATGATGGCAATCGCGAGGGTCTTGGGTGAAGACGTTGCAGCATTGTTTGCTTCCCGCTTGAGTACAGGTTGAGCCGAGTTCTTCCTGGGCTCTCCAAATGACATTTGCTTCGTTGAATGTGACCTTGCTGATTCTTCCTTGCAACTAGGATGCGCATCCCAGCTAACATTCGGCTTCTTGTACTTTGCCCAACAACCAGTTTTGGTCGCGAGGTCATTGTTCTTCTTACCCCAATGATGTTGCTTGACTTTGGAGCGAGTGGAGAATCCCTTCCCGCAAAGGTTGTGTATAAAGCGACCTTGTCCCTGTGATTGACGCCTCGAGTTACCAACACTTGGTCGTGTATCACTTAAACGGCGGGTCGGAGACGGTTCACCTTGGACCGGAGAGTGAGAGCGTTCCTCGCACTCTACATCATCGTCCGCTTCAACTTGCGTCTTGGGTTTGACATGAGTGACAGATTCTTTGCGTGGTCGTTTTTTAGAAGGTGGTTGCATGTCAACAGCAGGTTGACCAATGGGTATCGCGATAGGAATTCCCAGCATAGAGGGGGCCGCATCCGGAAATTTCTGCACTGGTGACGACATATGAGGGCTACGGACCCCATATGAAGGCGCAGACAAGTGGAGGTTATCGCTAGTAAGGGATGGTGTGCATTCGGAAGGATGGATCGAACGGGCGGTTGTCCAATTGCTGTAGCCTGTCCTTTCCCTCTGATCATTTGAGTGTGGCTGCTGGTGCGTATCGTTGTCAAACGCGTCTTGTGGTAGGCTGTAGTTGACACTGTAGTTCGCGCTTGTGTAAGGAGGGAACCTTGCTGCTTGTTGCATGGCAGGTGAAGCGGAGTGATGTGAGTATTGAAATTGCTCGGACATGTGCACGATAGGCGAAGAGGGCCCAAATTGCGTCTGCGGATGCCAAATGTTTCCGTATGACGCATACTGGGGCTCCTGAGGTTCTTGGTTCTCGAAACCCGCATATGCGCCATAGCTATGCAGAGTTGCCGGGTTGATTGATTGGAAGGTTTGAGAACCCGGGTACCAGGCTGACGACATGGACGGCATGCGCACCTGAGGCTGGTGTGTAGGCTGCAAAAGCTGTGGGGATAGTGGTAGCTGTGGTTGACGTTGCGGAAAACACTGGTCGATATCGAAGTCTCCCGGGCCCCAATTCGCGTCTTTATGGAAGAGAACGTCCATTAGATTCTGCTTGAGATCTTCGTGATTTCTAAGTGTAAGAACGATGGCGGAATGAGCGTCCCGTTTGGTTATCCTACGAGCACTAAATGCCCCCAAGATGCCATGAATCGTGTTCGACTCGGAAGATTGCTCGCCAAATCGATCCTATCCAGGTCAGAAAGGTGAGGCAAATTGGTGGCTGGCGAGGAAGTTACGAGCTTACCTTCATATTCTCCATGAACTTGTGAGCCACCATATCCAAACTAGGGGACGGGTGGCAACAGTCCGCTTGCTTCTGGTAAGCATTGGCCAGTTCAGAGTGCTCCACGGCGTCTGGGTTTGCCTCTAAAGGTGCATCGTGCAGTGAGCTATGCATGGGTTAGCCGAAACCAGCGAACCAAAAAGCAAATATGAGTGGCGTACGGGGGCGGCTGCAGGGTGCGTGCGATATCCATGGTGGCGAGCTCAGTGGCGGCAGTCAACGTGGTACAAGACAAGGTTGTGAGATTTCGACAGCACGAATGTAGTCGGGCAGGTGCAAGCTTGTTTGGTTGTTTATACAGAGGGCTTGGCGAACAAGCTGCGTTCGTGAGAGGGAAAGAGCGCGAGCGGTGTAAAATCCTGATTTCTACCTGACTTGACCGCTCTTCATCTCGTGAATGCAGGAGAGCGGCGACCGTTCGTATGAAGTGCGGACCGGTGCAGATGGGAGTGCAAGCGGTTTGATGAGAAACATGGATTGTTGACGCACTTCAGTGCAGTGTCAAAGATCACCTGACAGCGAAACGTTGTCACGTCTGCTCTACTTCACCGTGAGGTGTTGGGTTGTACACTACGTGATACGTGTTCATGTAGTCAGTCGGCCGCGATAGATTGTTTGTCGACTGGATCCTGCATCGTAGACCACTTCAGCAATGCTCTTCCTGCACCGCCACCCGCTGTCCATAGCATCAAACAGCACAAAGTCAGCCCGTTGCCCGGGGGTCAGGATGAAAGAATTTGGCTCGCAGCCAATGGCGGCTTTCGCTCGAGATGAAACGGCTTCCTGCAGTGTGGCGTTAGTCAAAGGCTCCGAGTTGGTAGGATATGGGCAATGTTCACAAAGAGCAATTCGGCGTCTTTCTTTGTTCCTGCCTGATATCTAAGATGAAGGGTGTTAGTGTTGTCTCACGATCTATATGTACGAAGGTTTCATCTTACAGGCCGACTCCCAGACTGGCAATACTCAAAGGATCACAGTTTCCTTGCGGTGTGAACGCGTTGCCAACATTGTTGACAGCAATCGCGCCGTTGAGGTCGTATTCGTTGATCAGCTCCACAATCGGCAAAGTACCGCGCACGTTTTCAGTCGTTCTCATCATGAACAGGTCTGAGGTGGGCAAACCGACAAAGGATACAGGGAGCTCGCCAATGTCCTGTTTCAGTCGTAGCCACTCTTCTTTCCGAAACCGTGTCAAACGGGTGCAGTGGCCCAGTGTGATCTGCTTGCCTCCCTTCTCCAGCCACCTCTGTTCTTTGACTATTCTTAAGGCATCCCAGACTAGGGGTTGTTTTTCTTCTTCCAGGAAGTAGTCCAGGTGAAGATCTAGATGCTTCTGATGCTTCAAGGCCAACGCAGAGATCCACCGTATATTCTCTTTTGCTTTCGTGTCATTTTCCTCTACGTATGGCGTACTTCCAAGCACCTCGACATTCTCGTAAGACGCAGCAGTGGTCATCAGCTTCCTGACCTCAGCACCCTCGTCTTGACCGGAGAAGATCGGTAGCTGGGCGAAGGCACACACTTGCACGTAGCATCTGTCTTGGAACTCCTCTTTCAACCTCAGACCTGCTTGCAAACACTTCAGCTGGACCCCTCCGTCGACCTCCACAAACGCTCGCATAGCGGTAACTCCATGTTGGATACTCTCCTCAATGAGCTGCTTGCCTCTCCTGTGAAGATCGTCTTCCTCAAACCTCGACTTGGCGTTTCCCGTCAATTCCATCGCCTCTTTGAAATCACCGCTCTCTATCTGAAGGTCGCTGAATTTGGGGTCTTGGAGTAAGAAGCACTTATCGAGGTGGATGTGAGCATGGCAAAGGGAGGGCGCGATCAGCCGGTTAGCCCCGTCCATGGTGTCGTCACGCCTGCTTCCATTGCTGTCGTGTGTCTCTACTGCAGACACCCTCCCGTTTTCAATGGTGATGTCCCACAACGTCGACGACGGCTCGTTCGGGAGGCGCACACCAGTGATCTTGCTCAACATGCCTGCAGATTCCTGGTCCTGGTGGTGTCTCGAACGTGTTTCTCCCATCTCTTGTAGCTATCTGATTGTGATGTGATGTGACAGAAAGGAGAAGCATAGATTGTGATGACAGAAGAGATGCAGACGATGACGTTTAGATGGATCTGAAGAGATGCTAGACTGGATAGACGCGTACAAGGCGTGAATAGGCCAGACGTCTCGCGACGACTATCGACTCCTCAGAACAGTTGTCGACCATGGCTACCAGGGCGTGTGAGGTGTAGGTGTTCGCGGGGCTGCCCCGCCATGGACGAAAGGGGGCGAATCACTATCAGCTCTGTGCTCCCTGGACGCTTGAGGCTTGACGCGTGCTCCAAAAAGCACGTTCACTCTTTCCATCTCCTACGCGCCTTCCACCGTTGGAGACATTCACCATCGTCGCTGCCGTTGACGACGCCCCCGTTTGCCCACAATGCAGCCGAATTATCGGAATTACACCGGCAATTACCCGCAGCAGCAGCAGATGGCCACACCTGCGCGGCGAGGGCCCGGTACGTAGCTTCCACTGCGCACCTCGCAACTTCCCAACATGATCAGTAGGGCTGACCTGGAGCACGTGTTAGGCCCTATTGTACACCCTCAGCACGCAGCAGCCCAGCAGTACCCCAACGCCAACGCCAGTGCAAGCATGCAGGCCCAGCAGCGCGCCGAGGCCGACCGCCGGGAGAAGATGCGCCGCGTCGCAAAGAACCCTACGGACAAGAACATGCCCGAGGGCGTCGAGGACATGTGCATCGGCGACGGCGTGGCGCGGTACCGCGAGCTGCGCGACGTGGAGCGCACCCTGGACGCGACCATGATGCGCAAGAAGCTCGATGTCATGGACTCGAAGCACCACTCGCGCGCCTCGCGCCACGGCACCCTGCGCGTCTGGATCTCCAACACGGCCGAGAACCAGCCGTGGCAGAGCAGCGCCATGGATGCCGACGCCTTCGACTTTGACAGCGACACCAACGCCACGTATCGCGTGCGCCTGCAGGGCCGTTTGTTGGACGAGCCGGCTGATGAGGGTCTCGAGGCCGAAGATGACGACGACGACGACGATGAGGACCGTGACGCCGACGCCGACACCGACGAGGACTCCAAGCCGAAGCCCGCGCCCAAGCCCAAGCAGCTCTCGCACTACTTCACCGCCATCACCATCGACTTCGACCGCGCCAAGAGCCTGCAGCCCGACAACTTCACCCAGATCGAGTGGAAGCGGCCTGACAACCCGACCGCCAAGGAGAGCAACTTCAGCGAGCTCGAGTTTGAGCGCAAGGGCGACGAGAACATCAACATCACCGTCAACCTGCAGCGCTACCAGAACCCGGAGATCTTCCGCCTCAGCAAGCCCCTCGCCGAGCTGCTGGACACGGACGAGGAAGATCGCGCCGGCGTGCTCATGGGCATCTGGGAATATGCCCGCGCGCAGCACCTGCAGCAGGACGACGACGAGCGCAAGTTTGCCTGCGACGCCAAGCTCAAGGCCCTCTTCGGCGGCCAGGACTCGTTCTACTTCCCCAACCTACCCCAGCTCATCAAGCCGCACCTGAGCACGCTCCCGCCCATCCAGCTGCAGTACACGATCCGCGTCGACAAGGAGCACATCGCGCCGTCCCCTGAATCCGGCAAAAAGCCCTCCGAGCCCACCATCTACGACATCCAAGTCGCGCTCGAAGACCCCATGCAGCCGCTGTTCCAGGACATCCTCCGCCGCCCCGACAGCATCCAGACCCTGCAAGAGATCCAGAAGATCGACGAGCAGCTCGTGCTCCTCATGGGCGCCATCGGCCAGTCCAAAGCAAAACACGCCTTCTTCACAAGCATGGCAAAGGACCCCGTCACCTTCTACAAGCGCTGGCTGTCCTCCCAGAAGCGCGACCTCGAGGTCCTCCTCGGCGAAGCCACGCGTGGCGGCGGCGAAGACGTGTCGGGCGAGGAGTGGAGGCGTGGCGGCGCGGATGGCGTGTGGGGCAGTGATGTCGCGAAGGAGAGCGTCGCGTTATGGTTGGCTAGGCAGAATATTAAAGCCCATGCGTAGTATGCGTCTGCTGACTGAATGTTTTCTTTGCCCTGTTTTAGGTTGTTTTCTGCGGGCTTTTCGGCTCGTGGCACGGTGTATAGGCGTACTGAGACGTTTTGAGGAGTTGGGATAGTTGCGGGGTTTTGGTGGTGTGGATACCGCTTTGAGGCTGAGCGAAAAATGGAAGAATGCTGGAAGTAGTGTTAGATACCCCATGGGGAAATCATTGATCACGTCGACGTCGATGTCGACTCGACTTGGATTTGTATTCAGATGGATATACGTGTGGTGCTTGTGTATTGAGTCTGTGCACCTTCTTCTTGCATGTCATTCACGCAACTCCTCATTAATACACGATCTCGAAAGTGTATGCAATAACATAATATTCATCTCACCTCATCTCATCACCACCACACACCCCTTCTACCCAACAAACCCCCCTCCCATCCACCATCCAACTAACTCAGATCCAAAACCTCAATCTCGCTCTCCCTCCACCTCCGCCTCTCCTTCCCCTTCAACACCACCCTCCCCGCACCCGCACCCGCATCATCCCCCCCATCAACAAGACTACAATCAACATCGACATCCACAAAATCCCACGCACCCACCACGCTCTTCCGCAGGATAATCTGGCGCTTCTTCTTCTCGCGCGCCTTCCAAGCCGCGGGCGGCGACGTGCGACACGCGGGGTCGGAAGACGTATGGGCGCGGGGCGAGCGGCGGGGCGGTGGAGAGGCTTTTTGTACGGGGGGTGGTGGGGAGGTCGGGATTGTGGGTGAGGAGAGAAGACTGAGGTCTAGGGTGTCTATCTCGGGGGACGTGGGCTTCGAAGACGGTTGTGAGACGGCGCGGGGTAGGGTATGTGTTTCCGGTGATGTTGATTTTGTTGTGACGAGTTGGGGGGAGGTGAGGTCCAGGGTGTCGATTTCCGGGGATGCGGACTTGAGGCGCGGCGATGGGCGACGGGTTCGTGTCGTAGGCGGGATAGTTTTGGGGGCTTTTTTCTTTGCCGGGAGGGCCGATGTGGAGGATGTGGAAGAAAGCGATGTGTTTGAGGATATTGAGTTTAGTGGTGGTCGGGCTGGTGCGGCGCGACGCGATCGTGCAGGAGGTGCTCGCGTTGGAGACGAGAGCGTCAAGTCTAGGGTATCGATATCTCCTTGTGAGGGTCGCAGTTCGAGGGGTGCTGGGAATGGCGCTGCGTCTATCGTGGTCATTTCTCGTAATTTCGTGGGTGTTGAAGATGCTCGCCAGGCATCCAATGTGGTTTGTCTCGATCGGCTGGGTGAGGAAGTTATAGACGTGTCGCTCGTTGTCCTTGTTAATGGAGCATTCCTCCCGATGCGCATCCTCGCCTTCTTAGCTGGTAGCTGCGATGGTGAAGGTAGTACGGGCGAGTCCACTAGATCCAATGTCTCAACTGTGTCTAATGGCGGAGGAGTGTTTGGCCGCTCAAGGGGGGCGCTGGAATCGGTCGGAATTGTGCGTGAGCGTTGTATTGGAGCTCGTCTTCTTCTCTTTGTCACACTGGGAGGCAGCTCGTCGATCGGGGATAGTGACTTCTCGCGTGCTGGCAGAGGCGCTGGTCTCGTACTTTGAGACCGTACGGGTGATGATGATAGTAGTTCGATTACGTTATCATTTGTGCGTGGGACGGGTTGCGAGACTGCTGGAGGCGGATCTGAAAAGCATTCCTGCAGCTTCGCCAGGGCTCGGGAAGCATTAGCGCCAGATCTTGAGATGCCTGGCTTAGTGACTTTGGCAAAATTTGCAATAGGAGCTTGCGGCATGTCAGCTGGGGGTTTCGTACGTTTTGCGCCACCTTTTGCTTTGGCCGTGGTCTTGCTGGGCTCCTGCACTGTAGCTGCTTTCTTAGGCTTCAGTTTCGTTTGTCGCTCGGCCTCCCAGTCTTGAACCTTCAACGGTACACCAACTTTGACAAACGTTTCGAGAACCCATATTCTCGCAGGGGCATGAGGATCGAAATCTGAAGGGCCACGCTTCTTTGGCGCAGCCTCTGCATCACCATTCAACTCCAAATCATCAAGATCGGCTTCGCCTGTTTGCGAATCTGGTGGCGGGGTTGAGAGATTGTCGTCAGGATCTTCCTTCTCCAAGTCGATCTTCACAAGCTCGATGGGTTTGAAACTCACACGAAGCTCTGTGGTGCTGTCAGTAACTGCATGTTGTCGCTTCCCATGGATGCCTTTGACAAGTAATGCTTCGTCCTCCTGAACCGCCTGGAGATCGTGTGTTGGAAGCCGGTTGAGACGTTCAGCTCGCAACCGCAGAGAACGGACAAGGAGAGACGGCGCAAGACTGCGGATGAAGTGTTTTGCACCTTCAAGCTGGACCCAGTCAAATGCATCGTGAGTGAAGTCGCGTAAGCCTGGAAGGTCTAGCTCTTGATCCCAGTTGATGGCCCGTCGCAGCTTATCCAACCCGGCTTGGTTGGAGATGGCAGGGTGCGTGTAATATCCAAGAATATCCAATCGCGGAAAGTTATCGGGGATCTTCAGAGCGCCGTGCTTGCGCTTGAAGAGCTTGCTCTCGTTTGTCTTCAGCTCGTGTTGCAGACGCTCCCTCCATTGCGACATGGCTCTGGCGTCGTTTCTCGGTATTTTGCAGAGGTCCTCTCCAAACCCAGCCTTTGCAGCTTCGCACGCCGTCTTGGGGCCGCACCCCGGGATTCCCTCAGGCACATAATCTCCACCACTCATCAAAGCGACCAAGATCATGCCTTCGCGATCCAGCGCCGAGGGCCCAGCCTTGGTCTCGACGGCGTCATAGACGTTGACATGTGTTGGCGTGTTGCCACTCTTCTCAGGCGACCAGTTGCGTATCGTGACACCACTCCCAAACATGAGCGTGTCTACATCCTCGCTCAGTACGGCGTCGACTATTCCCTCGCGCTGCAGTAGCGCGCATTCCGCCTCTGCCTCTCCCGGCGCAAGATGGATCGGGTATCCGAACTGCTTGAGGAGCTGCTTGGCCAGGAATTCGGGGATCGAGGCGACGTTGGGTCCCGTGCGCTTGTTGCGTTTGAACGGCGGCTTGTTTGGCCCGTCAAAGACAAAGACGGGATGGATGGCGAGGGCGACCAGGCGCAGAAGGCGGTAGTAGAAGGTGCGCAGAGCAGGATTCGTGCCGCCTGGGTCTGTTAGTATCTAGTACGTCGCGCGTAGATGCCGAACATGCCTTTGCTTGCTTGAATCTGGAAGAGCCATATCGATGTGTCGATGGCAATGCGCAACGGCCGGCCCGTCTCTTCGAACTTGTCGACGGCGAGCTTGGAGAGAGCTACACGCCGCCCAGGACCGATTTCTTTGTAGATGCTGCGCGCGTCAGCATTCAATCGACCAGCCAAGGAGATGCACTGGTTTGCTCACCCATGAATACCCATCGCGACCCCCTGCTCGGAAAGAAAATGGCGATCAGATGTTGTGCATGACCGTCTGCTGCAGCCTTCGACGCGATTGTTGCCTAGGCGACGGCCAGATACGTGCCACCATCCACGCGACGAGTCAAGTGCATCATCAACACCACCGCATCGCTATCACCACCACGCTACCCACTCTTTCTGGTCGACGTCCCGAACCACCATGGCGCCCCGCGGAAGACTTACGTCCGCAAGCGAAAATGCATACGACTCCTCACCTGATCCGCTATCCATGTCCATGAACAGCAACAACAGACGCAAAACAACACGCACCCCCAAAGAGGCCCTCAGAAATAGCTCGCCGAACAAGCAAAACCTTCGACCCGACGCCTCTGAGACGAATCCTTCCTCGCCCTCCAAGTCCATGGTTCTGAACACGCCGAGAGTAGGCGCCTCTAGCCCATGGCGCATCAAGGTCACCGTCCAGGCCGAACCAGGCACCGACGAGGAGAATGCCGACTCGCCCAGTGTGAACCGATATACCCGAACTCAGACCATCACAGTGCCATTAAAGGACGCCGACTCGCCCTCCCCAGTCAAACGCACCCGCGGACGGCCTAGGAAGTCGGACATTGGGACCACCACAAAGCCGAAGCGTAGTGGAACGCCAGTCAGGAGGAAGACACAGTCCAAGACACGGGATCACAGCATTGGAGCCGCAGGATCGAGTGCAGCAGATGTTGACACAGACGCACCGCCTAAGAGGCCTAGAGGACGTCCCCGCAAGAGCGTGCAACCAGCAACTGAAGATGAGGATACGATAGTAGTTGAGATACCAGAGACTCAAAATAGCCGTTCCCTGGAGGCGAAATTTGCGCCCAAGCCTCTCATATCGAACCAAACTCGCGCACGCAAAGGCACGCCTCGTTCGAACAAGATAGCGCCGGTGGTGATTTCATCAGACGAAGACTCGGACGAAGACAGCGATGTGCTCACACCGACAAGTGGCGATGAAGAAGATGCAGGGGGCAAGGCCACAACACCGGATCCGTATGTCTCCAGAACGGCTCGCCAAGATTCGTCGATGCCCAGTGAGAAGTCATCGGTACAATCCAGTGCAGAGCCTGAAGCACGACCCAGCCTTGAGTACGAAGATGATGACGAGTATGCTCAACCTTTCGACGATGCCGATGACGATGACGACGATATCGGCGACGACAACGCTCCTGATGTTACCAACTTTGCTTTCGAAGAGGGAACGACCAGGATGCCCGACGACATGACAATCCTCGACAGCGAGAACTTTAGCATGATCTCCGTCGACTCCCTGCCCAGCAATGGAGGCCTGAGCAGCCCGCTAAAACCAGCCGAGCCTGAGAATATCGCGTCAATGCTGCAACACGAATATTTGAGACCTTCAACTCTTGGTAGTATCCGCCTAGAGTCGAAGATGGCTACCAACTCCTCGCCAGGACCCCCACGTTCGGTGCCTGCCTCCTCGATGACGGTGGACTCCTCGCGCTCAGCAACAGCTCCGCGTTACAAGACGCCCGTTGTTGACGCCGAGAACCCCTCAGAACCACCCGCTATTGAGCCTGCCCAGATAACTGCGCCAAAGATGGAAACTCCGAGGCTGGGTCGAGTCGTGACAGCTGGCGTAGCGCTCCAAGGCCTTGTCGATCCCGTTCATCTCACTCCTGAACCTTCACAAACAGCACAAAACGAAAAGCAAAGTGATAGATTGAATGACCTATTCCGTGGTTTCAGTACAGGTACGCGAAAGGACCTACGAGCAGGGCTTCGTCTTGGCGAGCAGCTCGCACAAAGCAAAACAAAGGAACAATCCTCGCCCGTTCCTTCCAAGCCCATCAAAGCGCAGCCTGAAGCAGCACCCAAAGAAAGCGTATTTAGAACTCAAAGAAAACAGCGTTCGCGCCTTCTTACACCAGAAGAACAGGATGAACTGGTCACGACAGAAACATCCCCACCTGCCGAAGAAACGAGCGTTCAGTATCCAACTTTAGCAGTTACGCAAGAAAACAACCAAATCCCGAGTCCTGCGGAGAGCGAGAAAGAGATGAACTGGGGAACCGACGCTGCTCCTGTCGGCACCTTGAGTGCGGAAGGCAAACGGTTCATGACTGTTAGGAACGAGCATGGGGAAATGCTTCGTGGGACCCAGATCGCAGTCACTGCTGATCATGACAAAAAGGAAGATAACTACGACGACATATGGCAAGAGGAGGCTAGTCGCTCATCCATCTCGCCTGAATCCGAAGAATCACCTGCGGAAAGGTCCCCACAACATCAGGATCTGTTCGCGGAAGAAGGCCGCATAGGTCCAGCTCGTGGAAAGGCTGGCAGGGCATGGAGACGCAAGAACGCAACCAGCCCGGTCGATCTTCTTACCCCTCCCGTTACAGAGTCTGCTGCGCCGGTCGCAACATCACTGGAAAAAAGTAAGACAGACGAGGTCGAGACTGTTACTACTCAAGACGATGAGTCTGATGATGAAAGCGCAAAGAGCGACGCAAGTGACGATACTGGCATGTTCTTCCAATCCAATCTGCCATCCGTGTTCAACAAAAGACGCTCTCACGATCTCAAACAAAGAAAGGCAGATAAGCTGGATCTCTCTCTACTCATGAACGAGAGTGCAAGTCTGCTTTCAGAATCCTCACCTCCAGTTGTTGCGAAGAAAACGCCTGCTGGCAGGAAGTCAAACCCGTTCCTCGACACTCCACCGCGCTTCCCGGCGTGCCCAACCTCACCAAAGAAGAGTAGTCCTTTGCGCCGAGAGCTTCGCGGCTCAGACATCTCTTCGGACACTTCCCGACATGAGGACAACGAATCTTCACTGCCTCTTGTACAGAGCTCACCATTCCGTGTCCGCGTAGACGACGACAGTCTCGTTTCCGTGACTTCAGACCAACGCCAACTTCGCGACGAGATGGAAGGTGTGGCTGTGTCTAGCATCCGACGCGTCCGCAACGAGGCTGACGGTTACCTCGAAGCCTACGAGACGCAAGACCGCAGCTTAGACGAGATCGAAGAAGTCACCGAGGCGAGCAAGACCGGGCTGCAGGATACGAGCGTCATGCCTTCGAGCCCACCGCAGGCCAGGCAGAATCTAGAGCAACGCATGCGCTCAATCGCTGCTATGCGTGAAACCGCCCAGCGCGCCATGCAATCCACATCGTCGAAGACAACGCAGCCAAAACAGCAGCAGCCAGACAGCGAAATGACAGACGCAAGCGACGACCAAGCAACCTCTACAAGCTCCACCCAGCACACGCCCCCGACCTCAGAATCCCACCCCGAAGACACCCAACCAGGCCCAATAAGCCGCATGACAAGCACCCTCTGGACCGCCGTCGCCCGCCCCGAACCCGCGCCCCAACACCCTATCCTCAGCAAACTGACGCCCTTGCCTAAACTCGAACCCTGGACAAAAACACACTACAAAGCCCTAGACACCCTATACACAACGCACCTCAAGCACCCCGCCCTCTTCTCCCCTTCTCCCTCTACATCTACATCCCGCACATCACCCCTCGCCCAAACAAACGCGCGTCTCCTCGCACACTTCCTCGCCACAACCAACCACCCCTACGTCGGCGCCACGTTCTCCGCATGGGGCTACAGCATGCAAATGACGCAGGAACTGGTCGTGCTGGCGGCGGTGTTTATGCAGTTGCTTTCGCTGGAGAGTGTTGATGAGTATGAGAGGGTGGTGGGGAAGAGGATTCAGCGCGGGGATTGTGCGCCGGGGGTTAGTGGGACGCGGATTTTGGGGGAGGAGGTTGTTAGGCGGTTGGCGACGGTGGTTATGGGGGAGAGTGTTAGGAGGGATGAGAAGGCTGGGAGGAGGATTGAGAGGAGGGAGGGACTTACGGTTGTGTGGCCTTAGCTTTTTATTTTGGCGTTGGGGGGATGGGGATGATGTTTGTTTGGAGTTTGGACTGGCTGGATGAATGGATGGATGGATGGATGCTATATACCTCTTTGTCGCGGATTTTCAATCTCATCATTCCTGTTCGTTTATCCACAGATTCCCTCTATTCAACACATTGATCCAACATCCCCACTCAAGCAACAACCCCCACATCCTCACCCGCAAGCAACCCCCTCCTCTCCTCCTCCGCATACTCCCCTCCATCCCTCCACTCCCGCACACCCCTCGCCCCCCTAAACCCCCAATGCCACGCCAACCCAGCCACAAACCCCACAGCATCATTCCGAAACGCCAGCACCCCCGCAACCGTAACCAGCATCACCACCCAGCGCTCGCTCTTCTCCCGCCCGTCCAGCTCCTTAACCCGCTTCCCATCCCACGCCCGCTCGGCGTCAAAAACGCGCAAATCCCGCGCATCCGTATTAACGCTCTCGCCAACTTTAGCCAGCTCGACGCCCGCGGCCAGCACCAGCACGCCGAGCAGCGCCTTGGGAATACCAGCCAGCACGCTTACGATGGGCTGAGCGTTCCACAGCGCGACAACGCCGAGTGAGAATTTCACAGCGCCGAGGAAAACGATGCTGGACCCGCTGCGCGCGCCGAAGCGGAATTGGCCCGCCAGTCCGCCGGAGCCGTGGCACGCGGGCATGGCGCCGAACCAGCAGCCTACGAGGTTTAGCGCTGCGACGGAGAGGCCGAGGGCGGTTACGGAGGGGGTGGGCGGGTAAGGGGGGGAGGGGAGAAGGTCGGCTGCTAGGGCTGAGGCGGCGATGACGGAGTTTAGTAGTGTGAGGGGGAGTTGGCCGAGCGAGGCGGTGGAGGTTGCGGTCCAGAAGTCGTGGGCTGAGGGGTGCAGGATGGGGATTAGGGGTGTGGAGGGTGTGGGTGACTCGCTGCTGGTAGGGGCGAGGAGGGAGAGCGCGACCCCTGTGGTGAAAACGAACATCGCGTAGGGGAACTTGGGGTATGCGGATGTGGCGAGGAGGAGCAGTGCTGCTGCGACCGCCCACAGCAGGTTGTCTCCCCACCACGGCCCCGTCCAGCGCAGCGGGACCAGCATCGTCGTCCCGGCGCTCATGCACAGCGATAGCCCCGCGCCGACCTGGATGCCCTTTACGACGGGGACGGGCGTGACGCGATTCGCCCAGGCGATCAGCCCCGTGACGCTGAACAAGCCGACCAAGCCCGCGACGACCAGGCCCGCTGCGGCGTTCTCCTCGAGGGTGAATTTGCGCGCTATGGCGACGGCGGCGATGGCTTTCATGGGCTGGACGGGCAGCGGGATGCCGAATGCCACGCCGGTTAGTATGTTTGCTGCGCCGGTGAAGAGGAGTGTTGAGGGCAGCGAGATGGAGTGCGTGATTACTAGGGCGGTCATGAGCGGGAGGAGTGTGCCTAGGTCGCCTAAGGAGCCGGACAGCTCGGCCAGCGGTTGCGATTTGAATGTGTGGACATTGTGGTGGTGGATGCGGCGGAGATGTGGGATTGGGTTTGGGGGGAAGGGCATGTTCGCGGTGGTGGGAACGCTGGACGGAGAGACGAGGAGAGAAGAGGAATAGATGGAGCTAGGAATGCGATGTCATGTTACAACGATGACTGAATAGCAACGTGATCAAGACCAAAATCAAGATGGGTGGAGGGTTTGCGCAGGCTGGAGATGATTCGCGGCTCGAGTATCACACGGACGGAGCTTCCCCACACGAAAGGTGCCGGCGGCCGGATAGCAGTCGTAGTGTTATGTCATGTTGGCGGAGATGCTGGCGACAGACTTCACGACGAGAAGCGAGCTTGTTTACAGACGTTGATTGTCAAGAGAGGAGCAAGGGACATGAAGATGAACGGGCCGAGCCTTTTGTCAGCCCAGCCAAGCCATGAGGCTCACACGCACTCGGCAAACCTTCCAGCCAGATGGTGCGAGTGAATGCAGCGGGATGCGGGGCATAACGTCATGCGCCAGGGTCCAGCTTTGCTTTGCCAGAGCTACCCGCATATCGGACGTCTGTCGTCCGGGGTCGATTGAAATACAGCAGCTGCAATTCAATCCAATTTAATTCACTTGCTTGACGATCTGTCACCCTACATATAATCATGTCTGAAAACAAAGAAGAAGACCGAGCCTCGCTCGTCAACCGCCAGCTCCCAGAGATGACACTGTCGACGGCGGAGAACCCCCTCACAGCGCCGCGCCCCCCGCCAGCAGACCTCTCCGCGCCGCAACGAGCCCAGTACAGGTTCCAGGTCAAGGGCAATGCGATCAGTACGTGAACGCCCACAGCGGGGGTATACACGCCCCATCTCTCACCCCCCACACATAAACTAACATGTACACCTCCAGTCACAGGCGGCGCAGGCACACTCGCCCTGGAAGCAGCCCAAGCCCTCCTCGAGCACGGCGCCTCGGGCCTCGCGCTCTGGGACATGAACCCGGACCAAGCCTTCGAGAGCGTGAAGCTCCTGCACGCCAAGTTCCCCGACCGGCGCATCATCACCGAAGTAGTCGACGTGCGCGACGAGGCGCAAATCGCGTCCGCAATCGAGAGCACGGTGAAAGTGCTCGGCAGCATCGACATGCTGTGCTGCTTCGCGGGGGTGGTAGGCTGCACGCACGCCATCGACATGGCCGCCGCGGAATGGCGACGCACGCACGACATCAACCTAACCGGCTCGTTTCTGTGCGCGCAAGCCGCCGCGCGCCAGATGCGCGTCCAGGGCACGGGTGGCTGCGTCGTCTTCACGGCCTCGATATCCGCGCACCACACAAACTACCCGCAGCCGCAGGCCGCGTACAATAGCTCCAAGACGGCGTTGCTGTCGCTGGCGAAGAGTCTGGCTGCTGAGTGGAGCAGCTATGGTATCCGTGTGAACTGTTTAAGCCCCGGTTACATGGATACTATATTAAATTTTGGTCCAGGGCTTCAGAGGGCGCGGGATAGCTGGAATTCGCGGAATCCCATGGGCAGGATGGGCCATCCGTGGGAACTGACGGGGCCGCTGGTTACGCTGTGTAGTAATGCGGGGCGGTACATAAATGGGACGGATATTATTGTCGATGGAGGGGCTATGGTCTTTTAATAGTAGATGGTGTTATCTCGCATGTCGTTGCGCTGCGAAATGGAGATGCTTTGCAATATGTACATGGATGGACGGAGTGTGTATGAATCCAACAATCAACCAACACGCATCGACAAGCTTACTTTGACCATGCTTACTCAGCCCCCGACCTAGCCCTCACACTAACATTTCCACCCCTCATCCAGACCTCAATTCTTCATTCTTCCAACACCACACTGCAGCACCGCTCACATAGCCACCCAACACGCAATGACAGGAAAAAACACGACGGATTCATTCATATATGTAGGGCCCCTGCGAGCTTGCAGCCGGACTTGAAGCCGCCCACCCATCCGGCTTCGAGTACGGCTGCTCGTGGAAAAAAACCCTTGCTCGAAACGTCATGCGACGAACTAACTATCTGCGATGGGGTGTGGACTAATTGTTTTGTTGTGCTTGGAAGGGGTTCAGGTGATGGTAGGGGTGAGGGTTGATGATGTAGTTAGTTGGGGATAATGCAATGAAGAGTTTATCAACATATAATTTCAGTCTTGAACCGTGGATGTGCTTGATACTTTGGTGATGTTATGGATGAGCTCGTGTTCAAAGTAGTATAGCTTCGCATTTGCAAGGGCATTGGGGTACTATGTCTATGGATATGATTCTCGCTTTAATGTGAACGTGTGAAAGACGGTGCGCTCACTTCCCAGTATCCATTTCCTCTGTACTTGCACAGCGCCCAGCAAGGCCAAAGGTACTGTTCATACATGCGAACGCGTGATTCACGTTCTTCCCCACTCCCATTATGCAGTTCACCCCTCCAGCACCGATCAACCAACCACTCACTCCTCATCAACCGGTGGCGGCGGCGGAATACTAAACTCCTCAAGCCCACACATCTGACTCGACCTAAAATCCTGCGTCCGCCCAAACACAGGACTACTCCAGCCCTCCATCCTAACTTTCGTCGGGCTGGGGAAGCTACTCGGTATGAACAGCGGCGGCGGCCTATTCTCCGCGGCAAAAGGCTGCGAGCTGGCGATTTTCCGGGGCGTTGTATTGGCGCTGGCAAGGACCTGTGTTCTGTTTTTTCTGGGCGTCATTTCGTCGACGGTTGTTGCCTGGCTGAGCTGGTGGCCTGAGAATTGCGGTGGTGGGGGAGCGTTGCGTGATGGGAGGGGTGTGGCGTCGTAGCTGAATGGGTCGCCTGCGACGTGCATGCTGGATGATTGGGGTGGGCGGGCGTGGTGGTATTGCGAGTAGGAGAGCCATTCTCTTTGGAGCTGTTGCTCTGCTTTGCTGGAGTGCGATTCTTGGGTCTCGTGCTGGGCTGAGGGGGAGCGCGGGACTTGTACGGGCTCGCCGTCTAGATCTGCGGAGTGTTGGTTGGATGGAGAAGGTGGGTGTGGGATGATGTGTCGACCTGTGTGCGGGGGTGCTTGATCCGGTTCTTGTTCGTCATCTGATGAGTCGTCTTGGATGGGCATTGGTGTCGAGGGGATGATGCTTTCGTCCTCCATCCCAATCAGCGGCGGCGATGAACGCATGTGATCAGGTAGCATGGAGAACTCGGCTTTGGGATGGGTAGGCTCGATATCCTTATGCAATGTGGACGAGCCGATGATGGGAAGATCCTCGATATCATCAACATCGAGATCCGGCTCCGGCTTGACACCAACATGCGCCGTGTGATGCTCTGACAAGTTTTGGTCATTCAAGATTTCCATAGGTGCTTGCTCCTGCTCTTCTCGCTCGTCAGAGGCCGCATAGAGATTGTAGGGAGCCATTGAATCGCCTAATTCTTCCGAGGAAACTCTCTGGAGCCAGTCGGTATCCTCGTCTGCAATTGCACACGCTTGGTCAATCTGATCAAGCATGACTTGGGTGTCAGCCCCAATCACGTTGTCACCCTTAGTCCGGTTCATACTATAAGACTGAGCTGGTGTATGAGCGCCAATTGACCTGTCCCCTTCGGAAATATCTTCCTCGATAAGATCGTCGCTTTCGTCCTCAGAGTCCTGAATGGTGCTTTCAAATCGCCTCAAGGTAGGTGGCGGGACCTGCCTTTTCGATGGCTCCTGGAAAGTGACTTGTCTTCGTTTCGAAGGCGTATCCAGAACCTTTTCAGAATAGCTAGTTTGGTCTTTGAGTGGTGAAGGATGCGTCTTCTGGGGCGAACGGTATGTTTTCTGGGGCGAAACTTGAGTGAAGAGTGGCGACTCAGGAGGTGATTGTGAAGATGGTATCACGCGTACACGACGCTTTTCTGGAGTGGATAGCAGACTAAACCGAGATCTTCTAGTTTTGGAGGGTAGGGTCGCCTCAGCTTTGCTTGGTTGGGGGTCTCCCACCTCCTTGTGCATCGAACGTCGTGGTGTTCGCCTAGTCCGGGTGACTGGAGCATCAATGTACTGTGTTGGCTCATATTCGCCTTCTTCGTTGCTACCCACCTCATCCTCCACAGACTGTATTACTACAGATGGTATATCCGATGGATCAGCAGGGGATTCGTTGCCGTCAATTTCCCTTTTCACAGGGGGCTGCACATCAGGCATGGCCAAATCCTGACAAATGGCTTTCGTATTGTCTCCTCCAGTTTGGAAGAGGCCCTGTTGTCCAAGCCGTTTCGCAATTGCATCGTCGTACGCCTGGCTGTCCGAGTCCTGCGCCTCAAGCTCTGCCAGTTCCTCTTCTAGGTAGGCGTCCGAGTCTCCCAATGGCGTCAAACCAGGAACCATCTGCGTCAACGTTCTCTGCTTTTTGTCCGATTCCTGCTTCTTTCTTTTCCCACTCAAGCTTCTGCGCAGGCTGTGTTTGATGGGCTTGAACTCCGGCTCATCCGTGCCTGGAAGAGGCCGCCGTCCATCAACCAGCTGTGTCATGGTGGATTGTCTCCTCAACTTGCGGCTTGCATCAGTTTTTGTAACTTGTCCGTCCTCGGTTGCGGAATCGAGTTGCCTCGACTGGCGTCTCTCTTGTGGCGCTGTAGCTTTCCGTCTGCGTTTGGATATTGGATGGATAGGCTCTTCATCCTCTTCAGACCCCCGCTGTATAAAATCACCAGTCCTCTTCTTGTCTTTCTTTGCCGAACTTCCTGCCTCGCTCTGATGTCCCATTTCTTCTGTAACCACTGCTCCGCCATCTTCCATGTCCTGTTGAAGATCGTCTCTTGATTCCAGCTCCACATCTTGCTCACTCTCATCATCCGAGTCTCTCACATATATTTCACTCTTGATTCGCATCTTGTCCGGCAGGAACGTCATCTGTTTCTTTTTGGTCTCATCTCGTTCTGGTGTATCGCGCCTACGCACGACCTTCTTCCTATGCGGGAAATGAACTTGTTGTGGCACCTTTTTAGAGTAGTAGGCCTTGAATTCCGCGCCCTTGTTGCTTGATCGCGTGCGGGGCGTCATGGTGAATGTGGTGAAATGGAAGACGCGTCGCGCGTTGAGTGGGTCGCGTCATCATCTGAGGTCAGTGCGTCTCGCCACTCCAGGCAACCTCGACGTGCATTCATCCATTTACGACCAATTTCTTACACTTAACAATCTTGACACTCGTGAACAGAAGATTGGAACGCCATGCTTGATATTGCTGTATGTCCAGGATGTAGTTCCACCTTGCATCGATTAATTCTACTTGTGCCCCACGCATGTGCAACCCACCAAAAATAGCATAGCCAACACCTTTTTCTGAGTATTCTTATATCATCATCGACTGGATGTCGTAATTTATTCGGGATAGAGGTATGGTTCAGCAGGTCTCATAACCAATGTTTGTTGCCTCCTTCCCTTGCCAACTTTCTCACTGTGAGCTGAGGTTCCCTATACTTAAGCCACGTCCATATTATCTTATTTCATGATGAGTTGCTATGAAGCAGCAATACAAGAGCTCCTCTCTCAATACTATCAATGTTTCTATCACAAGCGATACGGCAAGAAAGACTTTGTGGTCGAAGGAGAGGACAATTCACATTCCGTTCAGTGCTCTCAAGGAATCGGCTGGAAATGGCTGTGATATATGTGCTATCATCTGACAAGCCGCGATCTATGCATTCGAACGGACAGTCCTGGAGTGACAAGGGTGTATCGATGAACAACTCTATTGCCGCGTTAAAGGACGAGATTACTCGTCGCTGCTTGGCTTCTGGTTTGAGTCTAGAAAAACGCGCAGACAGTCTAGGTAAATTCAAGTTGCACAGAGATCTCGTGTATGTGATTAATTCAACTACGACAAATGGCTCAGACAGACTCACAACACCTGGATATCCAGTAACCTCCAACCATCCCATACGTCATCTTGTGAGTCCGATATAGAAGAGGTTTAAAAAACAGGTCGGCAACACACGTTCAGATGCTACCGACGAATGCGAAGCTCTTGATGATGCAAGATCATCATTGAGTACAGTGTTTGACAGGAGATTGGCCTGGATACTCAACCAGCCACCTCGTATGGTGATATACATCTCTCTCAACTCAAACGGTGGAGTTGAATTGGATGAGGACGACATGCAGAGCCCTATCCTGGTCTAGGGTGGCAGTGACGGGAAGTGTGGATTTCCCCACAGGCGAAGATTTCTGAAGCAACGGATAGCTAAAGTGGGCAAGCCATTCAAAGAGTTGAAGCTGCAGAAGCCCTCATTATGATGTTGATCAAGACAGTGACAACTAACGACAACTGAGACTTGTGTAGGATAGGAGGCTCATGCAAGCTCAAAACTCGAAGATATGTTGACGCTTTCACAATGAAAACAAAACCACGTCGAATGCCATCGATCAGCAAAGGCCTGGCGTCTGGGACGAAATGAGTAGGTGGATATTCGTCCCGACTCACCTGATAAGCCTTCGCTATGTGAAGGCTCATTGGAAGTGTAATGTCTGCTCGTTACTGCCGAACTCACAATAGGCCGTGTTGCGCACGTCTGCTCAGTGACGGCTGTCCACATAATGAAAACAAACTTTCTTCGGAGAAGGATTGCTTCCGATGAATTGGATTCGGATATGTAAGTTGTCTGAACGGCACATGTAGAGACCTGTTGCATTATGTCAAGATTTCCAAGTGCTTGCACAATCTTGATGCCCGAAAGCGGGAGATTGAACTCGTCTACTATTCACAACATAATTGCAATACGAAGAAGTTTATTTCCAGCGAGTGAAATCTTTAACCGCAACTCTGATGATGCATGTCCAGTCACTTGAAACCCAGGTTTCTTCGTAGAATCGAAAAAATCGAAGTAATACACGACACTGATCACAGAAGCATTACAGACACATGCCATTCACCGATCCACCACCCCATTAACCCCCGATCTCAGAATTTTCCATCACGCAACTCGTTCCGAACCACCCAGCAAATCAAGCCACCCACTCGCCATTCACCACGGCAAAGGCCAAAAAACATGCCCAAATCCCGGAAAGTCGGCACACACGCACACACGCGGCAGTCCGCACCCGACGCCCCCCCGTTACCCTCCCAGTAGGGTAAGTAAAGCACACCCTTCTCGCGGAAGCGGCGATCTCTAATGGCGAAACCCGCGCGCACCACACCCCGGTCCGTCACCACACGCCCGATGTCACTTGGAAAAAAACCCCACAAACACGCGTGTACAGTCATCTCATCGCGCGTACGTAAGCCGCTGTCCTGCTCTCACATGCGAAACTCGGGACGAGAAACGCGCAACACGTCATCAGCATGCCCTTACTTAGCAAGATGTTCACAGGTAGGCCCGACTGCGGCACACGCAACACAGTCTGACTCGAGGGAGGCGGCCGCCCGCGGAAAAGTGCCGTGCCTCCGGCCCGTGCTTTTAAAGTTCAAGGGACTTTATGCCGGGAAAAAGCTTGTCGGTGCTTGTTTCTTGTTTCGTTGCTTGGTAGCGTGGGGGGCACCGGGAGGATCAGCGATTGGGGGGAGAGGGACGGTTGGGTTCCGCGGTGGATGCGATGTGGTGCGATGGGCCGCTGTTTGGAAATTGGCAATGAATGGTGGTAAAGAAATGTCTGGAATGGCATGGCATTAGTGGTGTTTGAATGACAATCGCGTAATTGATTGATTGGTAGACGCGTAATGTGCACCAGATACAATATCCATTGCGTTGGTCGGGTTGATTAGTGCGCGCTTATCCCGCCCCGTTAGGCGGGAAGAAATTCGAAAGGGTATAAACTTCATAACAGGGATAAAATCCTTCAACATTCCTCATGCCGTACATGTATTCGTACATGCTTCGCTTTCGCATCTCAAAGATCTGAAAACTCCTGCAATGGAGGCTGAATAACCGACCTCTTCGGTACCTCGGTGGCCTCCTGAAATGCCTATGCTTTAGCTAATTGATACGCGACAGCGACGATAGTTATGTGATCAAGTTGAAGACCTGTGACACCACTGAACAGTCAAATCACCAAACGTAGAGTCGTAAAAAAACAGACGGATGGAAGACAGATCAGGAAGACGCCATGAAAGTATCTTGTTTCAACCCACTGGAATCAAAGTTATTCCCGCCATTACCATTTGGCGACGCGGACATCTGCTGTTGCGCGGCAGCAGCAAACTCCTGGGCCTTTGCAGCCTCATTCGCAGCAGCCATAGCAGCCGAAAGATCGTCATCTTCTTTCGACGGCTGGGAAGGAGTACCGTTGCCACCGCTACTGATCGGACGCGCGTCAGCGCCCTCGCGTTCCACGGCGGCTGCAGCAAGGTGTTGCAGGCCAACCATGTTCGGCTGTGGCGCAGATTTTGTTTGATCTAAAGCATTGAAAGGCGACAATGAAGCCTTCTTCTGCAACAACAGCTCTCGAATTGCAGTGTCCCAGCCCAGGCCGTCCGGACTCCGATGTATGATTTGGCCGTTCGACAGAGCATCGCTCATCTCCTTGATGCCGGCGTGTGCGTCAACCTGTGTCTCTACTCTATTAGACAACTCAGTGAGCGATGTTGCAACGAGACTCGCAAATATATGGTGGAGTGGAGTTATCGCCCCATCCGCCAGGTTGGTCAGCAACTCTTTTGTAAGATTGAGAGTTTGGGTGGAGGTGACAGTTTGAGGGGCAAGCCGTGCTACGAATACACGAAGGTACTGGTGAGCGAGATGGGGAGGAGAGCTGCCAGTCATATTGACGATATCGATGGATTCTTGGAAGCCCGTGATTTGTCCATCGAGATATATCGATTGCGGTGACGTCGCCGTTACCTCTGTGAAACTAAGAGACGACGAGGGTTCGAGATTGGGAACGGTGCCCGCTCGGTTGACGAAAGCGACCTGCCCCACAATCTTGGCAGCGCCTGTCTGCTGTTAGTCAATTGAAACTTATCAGGTCGTGGAGCAGAACTTACGAGCAAGATGATAACCAACCTCGCCAAGAGCCGAGTAATCGTCACGGGATAGAGAGCCTGGATACAACGGAAGCAATATGTCCTTTGATCGACTGGATGCATGGAAGCGATCCAGAATGAACGCGGTCCAAAAAACACGGCGTGCTGTCTGGAAGACTTCCTGGTCTTGATCCCTCAGTACACTCAGAGCTCGTGAGTCGTTCAATCCCATCTCGGTGATGAAACCTGCAATTTGGCCAAGTAGTTGAGCTGTACTACCTACGGTGCCAGGTCCTGGTCGATCGGACGCAACGGCAAGCAACATAAGAGACTGACAATAGACCAGGTTGTTGTAGAATTGTCGTGTGCTATCAGCGTCACTCAAGATGTACTTTGCTTCGTCTACAGAGGCGCAGCATTGATGCAGAAGTTGGTTCAGGCTGAGCTCAATTTGAGGTAAGGCCTTTGAAGCAATTGAACGGATGCAGCCTTCGAGGGATAGGAAGAAAGCTTCTCGCAACTTCGGGGGGCAGTGGGTGAGGCGATTTAATGATGAAGAGTCATGGGGCAGAATTGGCAATGTAGGATGTACGATGTTGTAATATCTGTGGGTACATTAGCGGGAACTTGAACATGAATGACTTCAGACGCACGCTTTGAGAGTTCCCTCATTGGAGCCAGTAATCAGACTGCCGGCTAGGGTCATCTCCCCAAATGAGGTGCGACGATTGCCATTGAGTGATGATTCTTGAGGAGTCAGCAATGAGAGCATGCGTTGCTCAAGCGGGTGATCGTTACCGCGATCCTGGCTGGACCAGCTGGGGCGACTGGGTGCCTCGTTGAATCCTTGTGCCATAGAGTGAGTACGCTTTCGAGTGAATTGGGGTGGACTTTGAGTGTCTGCAAAGTTCTGATCACCCATGCTTCCAAAGTCGTAGTTTTGAGGAGTGCTTTGAGGATGCTGGATCTGGCTCTCAAGCGAATTCAATCGGTCGGCCAGTTCTTTGATATACCTAACAACACTTGTGAGCAAGGTTTGGTATGTGATGGACAGGAACAAACACCTACCCTTTGCTGGGCCCACGCTTCATTGGCTGCCTGCTGAACTGGCAGCGCGCAGCAGTCCTCTTACAGCTTGAGCATGCTTCCGGTCCGTTCTCGCTGGTCGCATCGCACCGAATCTACTCGACATGAGCAAAGAGCAGCACGTTGAGGGTAGTCGTCACGCACCTTCTTGCGCCGACACTCATCACAGGCTCGCGACACTTTCGACCGCTTGCGACTTGGATCGCTAGGGTCATACGGATCGTGGTGTTCCCCCAAGCTCATGACAGCATTCGCCATCTGTTGTGGAGAGTGCGCCGGTCGCGGGGGCTGCTGGAAATGCTGATGCGCGTTCATGGCTGGAGCCATCTGAGCCATCTGCGGGTATTGGGTCTGCGGCGGGCCGCTGGTATGTATCATGTCGCCGCTTTGGTGAAGCTGTTGAATTCCTTGCTGGATCTTGTGCTCCAGCCCATGCAAGTCTGCATCCGACATATGTTGCTGCTGCTGCTGGCCGTGTCCACCACCCATGTGCGCGTCTGAATCGACATATGCCGAAGTCATCTTGAAGCGCGTCAAGTCGCGATAGTAGTTTACGCGCGTTTAGGCGACTTCCAATCAGCTAGTCGTGGGGTGTTGGAGGTTCGCGCGGAGCCTGAATCGTCGTGTTGAGTGAGTGAATCGTGATGCGTAATGGGCGCCGAGGGAGGTTTTGCGCGCACGTTGATTTGGTACTAGCGCGCCAAAAGGCAAGACCAGAGACTCCCTCCAAGGGCCTCAGTGAAGAGTAGAATAACATCATGACGGTTGTGGTGCATTCGCACTCTCTTGCGGACTACAGTTGCTTGGATCCTCTAAGCTGTTTTCGACGATGAAGTCGCTGCCGGATTAACTACACGCTCCGGTGCGTGCACCTGCGAACCACTTGCACTCCATCACCAAGGTCAGACTGGATCGACATGCTGCATCTCTGGAAGTCATCATCTGCGGCTGGACGAACAATTTCACTATATGGACTGCTGGTCTTGCGCATTGCATCTGCAGCTTTCATATCGATGGTTGTGGTGATCTCTTGGTCAGACACGGTGGGTTGTCTGAACCATCAATCTGCTGGAGTAGATATGTGTTCTACACGGTGCATACTTCGACGAACCGACTTGACGTTTTCGCACGTTCAATACCATCTGATTATTTGGAACGGTTCAAGCACCTGATATGCTCTACTTAGTGTGCCTGAAGAGGCAAGTGATTTGACTCGGTATGATCTCTGAATCCGGTCAAGCTGTGCAAAGTATTTGCAACTACTACCTGCTTCTAAAGCGTCTAAGCTTATTACCTGTTCTCTATTTGCAGGATAACTTTGCAGCCAATCATCTGGACCTTGGATCATATCCCAACAACACTCGCATGTGTCCTGTTCTTCGTGTTCTGCTCTCCACGGAGCGTTTCAAGGTCAGCTGCCCATCTCAGCCTCCTACGACGGAAAGTTGCAGCTTGGAATCGCACACAAGAACAATGGCTGGCGAAATGCCAGGCTATAGTAAACACTCATATACGCACCGCATATTCAAGAACGAAAAAAGTATGCAAAGTCGTTTATGCTGTGCGGACGCCAACAGTTTGCCCAGCGATCTGGAGGCTTGGGGACCGCCGCTCTTCATTCTTCATTCTCCACACTCCACTCTCCCCACTCGACCTATGTGGACCCCGAGCCAGGTGTCAACATGCAAGCAGAGAACGTGCCTGACAGTGTACCTGAGAGAGCTGGCCTACCAGACAATCGATTACACAGACATTGCTGTTGCTTCACACCGGTGGACAAGCTTTTGGGCCTGCGATGCAACACGCCGTGTGCAGAGTGCAGCTCACCCCCGTCGCCAGCGAATGGCGGACGTGCTCCAGACTATACTAGAGCAAACTGCAGTGGCTGCTGCACGACGGCGGCTGCTCCAGCGAGGGCAAAGTGCAGGGTGCAAGGTGCGAGGCGCGAGGTGCCAGTCGGCAATCTCACCAGGCTGCAGATGACAGGATTTTCACACGGACGCGGAGCTTGCGGTGTGGACGTGGGATTGTTGTGTGCTGGTCGCCAGGCAGCCCGGCCGCCGCAGCTCAGGGCTTTGCTCTCGAGGTAACGAGGCCATGGCTGATCCTGATCATGCTTGCAGGGATGCGGGGCCCGTGCGCTCTTACGCACCTGCTGCACACGCAGCCAATGGCAGGCGGCGCTGCCGGGCGCTCTTTCCTCGACCTCTTAACCGGTTCGTCCCAGCCCGCTCGCTCTTTCCTCGACGACTACCTCACCTACAACAGCACACACACGTTGGTTTGGTCGTCTCTCAGGAGTCCCGTTCCACGCTCTACGGCCAGCGCCTCTTGCGCTCGGTTCCACCTTACTTCGTCGCCCCTCTCCACTCTCCACTCTGTCGCACTCGGTCCTCTTCCCGGCGTTCACGGTCCTCGGCCAGCAAGCCCTCCGGCATCATTCCACCATTGATCACGATACCCTCTGGCGTTTGATTTGACACTCTTTCGTACTCTTTCTCTTCACTGTATCTTTATCCGACGGCGCGCCGCTTCCCGTGCGCCGCCGTCTGTCTTTGCTCCAGCTGCCGCAGCCTGTGGCTCTCCTGACCCCTCCCGCGTGGCTGTTGCCAGCCAGCTGCGACGACCGTTAAGGCCGTGTCGACCGCGGCATGCCTGTTATCGATGGCGAAAAGTGGGCTTGCTCGTCCTGCATCAAGGGCCATCGAGTGAGCGGGTGCAACCACAATGGTATATCTCCTCGGCCGCGCCTGTGGGCCTCTCGCACCCAAGACACCAGCTAAAGCAGACTGTACAGAGCGCGAACTGCATCACATCAACCCCAAGGGTCGCCCCGTCAAGCAATGCGAGCACTGTCGCGGCGCGCGCAAGTCCAAGTCCCACCACGCCAAGTGCGATTGTGGCGATAAGAAGGACAAGGACAAGCTCAAAGACAAGGGCGACACGAAGGGTGAGACACTAGCTAGCTCCTGTGCTCGCGGCGACTCTAACAGTGCCCTAGCTCATGACAGTCCCTGCCATTCCTGCCAGTGCCACTCGGGCGGCAAGTGCATATGCGGAACCATCAAGAGCGAGACCCTCGACCTCAAGCTCGACACGGCCCGCCAGTCGCTCCACGAAGCACGCGCAAAACCCAAGCTGACGACGACGCACTCGGAGAGCCAGCTCACCGTCTTCGCCAACGGCCACCACAAGCCCTGCCACCGCAACAACAACACAGCCCACGTCTCGGGCGCACCCTACAAGATTCCTCGTCCGCACACGCTCCACGGCCACTCGTCTTTTGCTGCGTTAACACAAAGTAACCACAGCTACAGCAAGCCGGATGTGCCAGCCACTCGCTCCATGGACACGCTCTCGCTGTCCAACAACGATTTCTACGCCATGTTTGGCTCCACCCAACGCTCCGTGGACGGACTGCCCATGACGACCATGGCTGCTAGCGTCGATACGGTCGGCTTCCAGGACTCCCTGTTTACCAACCAGAGCGGCGCGTTCCCTCAGGAGAGCAACTCACCCAGCAGTAACCCCAGCGAGACGTTCTCGAGTCAGCAGTGGCCTTGGGCCACCGCGGCTACGCCCGTCAACGGCAGCTTCGCATTTGGCAGCCTGTCTACGTCACCATCGCAAGATTGTCTTCCCAACTTCGATAATGAGTGGTCAATGCCTTCTGCGGGCTTCAATCCGCTCTGGTCTGCAGGTGATCTTCCGCTGGACCCTAGCAAACTCGACGACAGCTTAACGCAGCCAATGTCACACAGCGGCGAATCCAAGCAGAGCGGACCTGGCCTTACAGTTGCTTCATCGGTTCACTCGGAGATCGAGGGCCCAACGTTGTACGGAGATATGGAATTCACGTCGCCTCCATCCACTGCCAGCGAATCGTTGTTTTGGGAGGATCAGCCTGTTTATCGCCTCGCTACTTCTGGTCTCAATCAGAATCTCGCCGCCCCTGTGTCTATGCCTGCTATGACATCTGTGCCAAACACTCAGGGCTTCGAGCCAGACCTTATGAAGAGTTTGAATACCGCGCCCACCACGATGCACAGTGCTTTCTCGAACGATTTTGCCGAGACTGCCGCCATCGCCATACCGAATACTATTGACGACATTTCAATCGAGCCATGGCCGATAGAACAGAGCACTGGCTCTTTCAACGCATTCAATGCTTTTGACTTGACATACCCCAACAACTGGTTATAGACGCCTGTATGGGCAATGCAAAGTGCTGCAGTTTAAGTCCTGCTGATGACGCCATGATTGATGACGCTGCTGGTACGCGATGATACCATTCGAGCCGATCCTCCATTCTTATTCAGTCTCTACGACTTCTCCCTTCGATACGGGGGCCTTTTTGGGTCCTCGGTGTATATTCCCCAGGCACTGGCCTCGACTTCGCTCGTTGTTTGTCTGCGAGGCCGTGTTACATAATTTTCGGTTTGCCTGCGCTTTTCTCTCAATCGCATGTACATGTTGGTTAGTGGTGTGGTTGTCTGTCTGCCAGTCACCTGGAGAGGGTGCTTTTTGGCAAATGGGAGGGAGGTGGTTTTCTCCAAAAGATATAGACAGGGCGATATGTTTAGTTACGTCCAGCAATGAAATGAAAAGAAATTCAAAATCTACATTCGCTTTTCGCTGCTTGTCACTTGTTCACCACACGTACACTTACTAGTCTATGAACGAGAGGCACGCCGGGTTTAGGCTATAAAACACCAATGTATGGTGCATGATGTATGATGTAGCGGGCGCGCCATAAGCCTTGAATGACGACGTCCTTCAGCCCCCAACGGACAAACACGCAGCCACCACCACCACCAAATAAACCACCTGATACACACCCAGCTCACAAGCGGCGTCACTCGCGGCAGACACCTTTACTCCCACGCGCTGGATGATGACGACAGTTCTTCCGCCATCTTGAACGTGTCATTGATCACTTACTCCATGTGCCTCACGCGCTTCACGGCACTGCACGCAGCTAGAACTGGGGCTGCGTGACTGAGCGCGCCTTGCAACATTCATACTTTCATGTACCGTACATCTGCACAGCCTCCTTCCTCTCTCCCTTCAATGTCGATGTCGATGTCGACATCCACGTTTGCATATGCATGCCGACCAATCAGATCCATCGTATTCATGTACACTCACTCTACAGCCGCTCGCCTGCACCTCGCTCCAGCAGCCAGCGAAACCCGCGCTTGAAGCCTCAAGCTACCAAGTCGCACGGAGAAATACCATATCTTGCACCTTGCGCAATTTACCTACCGAGTGAGAGGGCGAGGAAAAAAATCGAAAGACTTGTTCGCGCGAATATTGCGCAGGGCGGAAATGGCTCACGCATGCATGCATGACTGGGCTGGTTTCGTTCTGCGAACTGCCTACTTGGGATGTACCGGGTTGGGTATGCTTATGTGGGACTTGGGGATGCGGGTTTGTACGGGTGTGAGGGATGTGAATATATGGGTGTTTGTGTGGAGTGATGTTGCACGGTGATTTGAGACTTGACTGGCTTGTAGTGAGGGCACTCGTCTCACATGAGTGAGTGCTGTGCTGGTTCAGAGCGCGAGTTTGATCAAGTTCAATTCGTAAGTGTATACGCTATGCAACTCCATACTGTTCATGACCAGAAAACTACACACAGCCTGTCTGTCTGCCTGCATGTCTACCTTTAACCAACCATTCCCATCAAAAACCATACATCCATCCTCTCAGCTCAGCTCAGGTCGAACCCAGCCCCCGAGAAAACACTATACAGCAACTTCTCCTTCAGCAACGCCTCATCGCGATACATTGGCAATTTGAGCAGATTCACGCACGTACTCGTGCTAGGCAGCCTCTCCTGATCACCCCCTGCATCCCTGATACTGAACCGTGGATTCAGGGTGCCAAAGCCCAGCAGCGGCGCGCGAGGCGTGCTCGTCACGAACTTGAGGACAGCACGCCGCTCGTCGTCGGATATGTCCTTCATGATCTTCCAGAAGAGTTGGATAGTTGGGTGCTCGAGGCCGTCGTCGCCAATGACATACGTGCCGCCGTAGATGGTGCTGCGGCGCAAATCTTCCACGTCGATTGAGGTGCGGGTCCCGCTGATGAGGGTTTGCAGCTCCGACTGGTTGAACATGGAGAGCCAGGAGGGTTGGATCATTGTGCTGAGGCCGCGGAGGAAGGCGGTGGTTTGGAGGTAGGGTTGGTTTTGCAGGCGGTGGCGCGCCATGTAGCTGATGTAGACGAGTCGGTTTTGGTTGGTTACGGGAGTGTTCGCGCCGTCAGGCTTCAGCTCCTTAGTTATGGCTTTCGTCTTTGGGGGGTCTGTGCTACGATCTACGACGACGTTGTCTGTGACGGTGAAGTTGAGTGAAAAGTCTTCAACATCTCCGGAGTAGGTCTTGAGCTTGTGGAGCCCCTGGTACAATCCCTCGTCCAAGTCGCGGAGATCGTTCAGTGTGGGACGGTACCCGGACTCATTGGGAGCGGATCCAGCGCCGCCTGTCAGAGCCCACTTGCGAAGGAAGAAAGGAGCGAAACTGACATCGACCAAGATACCTTCATACAAGCACTTGCCGATGATACGGCCAAGAAACTCATAACGCTGGAGTTGTATGCTGACTTGACTTCGAAAGTCTGCAGAGTTCTCAGGAAAACCCTCCTGTCTTAATTCCTCCTTGAGCTCTTCGACTGCCGCAGGATTTGGATAGAGAAGATGTTGGTCGTTCTCCACAAACATGTCGATATCGTCTGATGGCATGAACGCTCGATTGGTCACGCTGGTAAGAAACTCTTTCGTCACACCGCCGCCATCGATACCAGCTTCTGGTGCGTCGAACTGGTCCATGAACGTAATCTGAATTGGCTCTTTCAGCCCCTGTCCAAGAGGATAGAATTGCTCGTATGCATCGTCAAACTCGTGCTCACGTCGGATCTTGGCTGCGTGCTTTTCAAAATGATGAGGAGCGTTAGGTTGTGTCATAATCCTCCATCGCCAGGCCTCAGGATCTGCGCTGCCCCTTCGTTTGGTCATATCCAAGAGTACAAATTCGCGGAATATTTGCACTCGAGTCGTGAAGGGTATGAAGAATGGCATGTTTTGGAGAATCTCCAAGCGCGGCGCAACAGCTTGCAAATACCTTCTCCTCGATGCCTTGCGTTGCTGCCGCTGTAACCTTTCCAGCCGTCGCTGTTGTTGGGTGCGACCTGTGCCTATGAGCTGTGGAGTATCATCGAACTCTTCCTCTTCCTCGTCGAGATCATCTGCATCTTCCTCTTGGATCTTGTGGCGTGACTCTTCCTCTTCCACCACAGCTGGGATGAACCCCTTCATGTCGAATCGCGAGGTCATTAGCCAATGATCTGCAGGCAAGAACTTGCGTCGCGAATCCCGCTCGTACACCATACGAAGAAGTCCGGTGACCAGTCCTTTAACGTAGTCCATCTTCAGGCCAGCGACACCTCCAATTGAGGGTTCAGCTGACTCTTTCTGAATTTGACTGTCAAGCGCGGCGGAGTTGAAGAAGCTCATACCCGTAGTATTAGTGGCACGCTCTTCAGCCATGGTGATATCGACTGCGTTAAAATACAATGTGAAGCCCAGATTTTTGAGAAAGGTTGTCAAGTCCTTCACCTCAGTCAAAGGCAGACCGTTGTCGCGAACCTGGTTGGAGTAGATGTCTTGCTTTCCTGAGGAAAAGAACTCCTCATCGTCCGTCACTTTCAGAACGAATGTGTAGAGCTCCAAGAAGACCAGAATGACTCTCCACTCATCTGCTATCGTAGCGTCACGGTTGAGCTCCTGCTGTGCCGGTTGCCAGAAGCCATGTTGTGTCAGCCCTGAAGTGCCTGGGCGTTCGGTAGTGCTGCCGTTAGCTGTCGACTTCGGCTTAAGAAGTTCAATAGCCGCGCGAGAGTCCCGGAAGATGGTTCCAAACACCGACGAACGCTTTGATGCTTCCCAGAAATATCGAATCGCTGGTAGCCTACGCGAGGCTTGTCCAGACCTTGCATCTGGTGGGCCAATATAGAGCCACATGCGAATCTCATCGCCTCTCCGTGGAAAGAAGCGTAGTAGTGCAAGAGCATAATTTGCCAGTTGTCTTGCTTCTTCGATTTTCTCGCCGTCTGAAGCATCTGATGCTTGTGATGATCCGGCCAACAAACTTCCAATACCTTCTTGATTGACCAACGACAAGACCTGGTCCCTCAAGAAGCCTGTCACTTCCTCAGAAGCCGTTTCAGGCTCATCTTCTTCTGAGACGTCTGTGATAGGATGCGTACCGTCAACAATGTTGACTGGGAGCGAGTTGAGCAACGAAGAGACGACAGCTACAAAGTCTTTGTGCACAGCGTAAGCTTCTGGAGTGTCGAAATTGTGGGCGTAGCGGTGAAAGTAGATGAACGATCCAAGCAGTCTTAACCGGCTATGTGTGGTTTTCAATTCCAGATATGCCTGTACGCCCGAGCCTTTGAACAGAGTGGCTAGTGCACTCGCAAGTAGCTTGTAGTTGATCGAATCGGCGAGCGAGTCTCGAAACTGCTGTACTAGTGATGATGTTGAGTCAGAGCTCAGAACTGGGAGTGTCATGAAGATGTAGCCAAAAGCCTCGTAAGCGTCTAGGGTGTATCCCGTCACCTTTTTCAAGGGCGATATGACAGATCCAAATATGGTCTCCCATGCATCTGAGCTAGCCGCGTCTGGTCCTTGGAGTGTGGGTGAAACTTTCGCTACGACGTCGGCGAGGGTACGGTAGAATGGTTTTGCATTTTGAGACGTCTCGGAGGGTATCTGCTCGGCTACGAAACGCAGGAGTGTGATAGTTTTGCTATACTGCTCCCAAGATGATGTCGAGGCTTTGTTCTGTCGCTGAAGAACCGCCAAGATGAGACGCTCTAGTCGCAGGTAGGCTGACGGCCACGATCCCGTCAATGTAGCACCTAACCTCGACGCCGTGAGCATCTGCCGAGAGCCGTAGTGTTGAATTCGTCGCAAGTCCCCCTCGTTCCTGGTAGAGGCAAAACGTAGCAGTCGTTGGAGCTGTGCGTGTGCTTCTGCCTCTGAGCGGTAGGCTGTATCTGCGGATCCCTCTACCACATCCCATTCTTGCCGTAGCTCGCCAGCGACTCTCTCCCTACCCGAATGGCCTCGCCACACTCTCTGTATCCGCTTCGCCGCATTCAGTGTATCTCGTTCTCGCTGCCGTTGGGCTCGCTCCTGCTGTGCGCGATCGATGGCGGCTTGTGATCCAGCCCCCGTGCCTGTGCCATGGCTTGTATTACCGAACGGGTTTCTTCCTCCTCCTCGGCCAGAGAGGTTGACCTGGCGTGGACGACGCGTGTTGCCCGAGAAGCTCGTGAACATGGTGGCGGAGGGGTCGAGCGGTTGCTGGAGATGCGTCAAGTCCCCATCTGGGTTGTCCTCAGGCGAGTGTAGCGAGTATAATCACAGAGACTAAGGAAGGGAAAGAGAGGGCGTGAAAGACGGATGGCAATGGATTCGCCTTCGAGAGGCTTCTATCAAGCTCTAGCATCAGGCAATGATGCGAAGTAGATTGTAGTAGGTAAGCAGCATCGCCGCCCTAACTCCGCATGAGGCCCGTGCCACAGTTCTGATGCAATCGCGTCGCTTTCACCCGACGTCGCCTTCCATCACCGATTCATTCTGAGTTTCATGAGCAAGTGTAACATACATGACAGCCATCTTTACTCCCAAGTACACGTAACTGAAGTCTGTACGCGCCACCACCAGATGTGACCATCCTTATCAGCACGAGTCAAGCCTTTTGCCGTAGCGCCAAGGTACCTTAAAGGCGTGGAATTGCGCTCGTGAACTTGTCTTAGAAAGAAGAGACTACAATTCCCCAGCCTTGTCTACTGTTTCTTAACTCTTCATGTTCGTTCAAAGCTTCCTATAAATCAACGCTACTTGTATATACCTTGATGTCGTCATCTTAATCTGATTCACCAAGTGGTTCTGTCTAATGAAACTACTGAACAGAGCACCAGAAGAGCGATAGTTTGGTAGTTGAGATGGTTGATTGAACAAGTAATCGAGGCATAAGGCCGAACTATATGCCCAAGATAATTGGGATGGCTGGGGCATTACATAATGTTTAATAGAAACTACCACCATATGGAAGAGGTTCAAGACTCAAGTGACCGAGAGATGTGATGGGTGGGATTCAGGAACACGACGATGGCTTCGAGGCGCATTACAGATTAATTTGTGTGTATTGTTGTTAGAGTGAGCGGGAGGGTGTCTCTCGGTCAACTGCAAAAGCCGGAAGTATGCTGTGTTCTTTGTGGCTCCTACAAGCAGCAGAACTACGCCAACAAGAGTCATAAAAGTGCCTGCTAGGCGTATACTGCTAGCGTTTCAGGCCGAAGATTTCTACGCTAACTTTAGTTGTAGTTGTCGAGCAATTGCAAGATCTCGCTGCGCCTTAATTCCTAGTATTTCGACTGACTGAGAGGATGTGCATGAAGGGATCGCCATATTACAGTAAGAGAAAGCACGGTAGGTATTGTATCCGGCAATGCTATATTTCACTACTGGTACCGAATCAATTCTGAGTACGGCAGACGGCAACGTGATGGCTGATTGAAATTCTGCATTCGAACCAGGTCAACGACGACACCCTAGGTATCTTAGCCGTGCCTAACAACACCTCTATCCCTATCGGTCACTAGCTAAGTCTATCTGCTAATGATACCCCGAGTACCTCTTATGCGACATGCATGACCCCTCTCTTCTAGTAGACGTAAAAGTTGATGGCCTCGTTGTCCTGTGCCCGGATCTTCTTGTTGTCCCTCTGCAGTACCACTCGAATGACCCAAGCAACGATTACCACGCCCGCAGAAAACCCCGCAGAAGCATACAATGCTTTGCTGAAACGAGGCGCATCGCTGTCGGGCCACAAGTATGGTGTGTACACAAACGACAAGTTTCCGAGAGTATTCACGATCGCGATCACGGCAGTTTTCTTCTCGTCAGTTTGCCCGAGAACAGAGGCTGCCCAGGACAGATTGATGTTGTTGACGCCGTATGTTGCACCGACAAATAGGATGATGGCGAAGTACCGCGCGCCAATGTTGAGGGACGCAGTTCCAACGATAAAGCCAATGATGGCGATAAGTTTGGAAACCGAAATATGCCATGTACGTTCGTTAAAGCGGCCTGAAGACCAGGAAACAGCGACGGAAGTGAAGACTGCGATGAGGTAGGGTGGGCAAGTCAAGACGAGGGTGACGGTGGTGCTGAAGCCTAGGGTGGCGACAGCAGAAGGGAGGAAATTCTTGAAGCCGTTGGCCGAAAGATGGAGGTTCTGCATCAAGGCAAAAAGCCATGTGCGGTAGTCGCAGCACGCTTCGCGGAGACCTGTCCAGGTGCTGACCTTCGCTGTACGACCAGTAGTATCACGGAAAATTCTGCCGTGTGCCAGCTCTCTTTCGGGTTGTGTGAGCCATCTGGTTTCGAGGGGCGCGTTGGGCAACATAAAGTACGCCAAAACAGCTGCTCCGACTGCAAGCTGGTTAGTATGACTTTGCAAATGCTAACACTCAAAATGCTTACCCGTGACCACACCCTGGATGATGAACAACCACCGCCAACCCTCCAAGCCATGCTTCCCGTCAAGGCCCGCAAATACTCCAGCTGCAATCAGACCGGAAAATGAGCTAGCAAGCAAGTTTCCCGTATAGAAGATACTCATTCTGGTCGCGGATTCTTTGCGGTTGTAGAACGCGCTAATCAAGTACACGCCGCCGGGGTAGAATGGCGCTTCGGTGATACCCAGGACGAATCTGTCATCTGTTAACCGACGGTGGCAGGATCGAAAGCGGCAGAACTCACCTGCAAGCAAGCATGCCCTTGTAATCCTTGACAATAGCCATTAGTGTCGATACAACAGCCCATGCCAACATCCAACCAGACATGTAATACGCGGGCTTGATGCGGGTGAGTAGCATGTTTGATGGGACCTGCCCAACGAGATATCTGTGTTGCAATTTAGTAGGAGGTGCAGCTGACCAGAAGATAGTATGACTTACCCCACAAAGAAGATGCTCACGCAGGTGTTGTACTGGGTGCCATGCAGACCGATGTCTTTGTCGAGGCCGTTGAGTTTGCCATTCACAATCGCGTTTCGATCCATAAAATTGAGGAAATACCTATTAAACATTAGCGGCATCGTATGAAGGGTAATAATAGACTTAAATTAGCCACAGCGTTGGAATGATGTGCCAGTCTAGCTTTCGCACAAGGGCTATCTCCTCAGGACTTGACTTGGCCGCCGCGCCGAACTTGTCGAGTTCAACATGCTGTGGCTTGTCATCGTGCTCGGCCACGCTAATGGTATCGAACTGCTCCACATCGTTCTTCAACTTGGTCACGGGGGGTTGAGAAGCCATAATATCGCTCGGGAAAGGGCGAGGACGGTTGACGCTCTATGTTGGCTGCAGCGAAGGTTTTATGCCAATTTGTCGTCTTCTCTTCTTTTCTCTTACTTGTGGATTTTGTTGTCATGGATCAGCGGGGTACTTCCCCATGGGGGGTTTGAGTATAGAGTGATAAGCATTTGTATAAGCGGGGAAATGCATGGCAAAGGAACGGCCCCGGTTTATCGTTGGTGATCGTGCGACGATGCGTGGAGTCGTGACTGGCACAAGACCGGGACTTTGGACGTTATCGAGGTGTTGCCGCTAGGTACAGTCTAGGTTTAGGATACATCGTCGACATTGGTGGTAAATTCCAAAGCCACAGAACCTTAGGAAGCCTGTGTGGTGAAGCAGCTCGGGTACCGGTTCCGCGACATGGTGCATCTCTATCCGACGAGTGACTTAGCCCCCTCTCCATAAAGATACCATACGACTCGACACCAGCGACAAAATATTTCCGGTCATATGCGTCCGATCGTTCATGGTACCATCTCTTTAAATTTTGTTGATCTGTCCAAATCATGTCTTCCACAACCACGATGACAGAAGAAGCGCCTGCCGAGGTATCTATTATCGCCGAGAACAGCGCCGAAATCCTCACTCTGGACGAATTGATCAGGCGACGCGCATCTGAGCTGCGAGGTTCAACAATCTTTGGGTATCCAAAAGAAGGTCTATTAGATTACGAAGAGCACTCGGCCCAAGCTGTGGACAGATACGTGGATGCCGCAGCAGCCGTCCTGCAGAAAAGAGGACTCAAACCAGTCGTCAGTACACCCTCTTCTCCAAAAAATTACTTTTGAAATTATTTCCTCCAATGTGTGTACTTCATACTCAAGTGTTGAGAATCTTACAATTGATAAGAATGTGGTGAGCTGGCCCAAGCGTTCAACAAATTCTAATCACGTGCGCAGGATTCAACCCTTGAGAAAGCTCCTGTCGTCGGCATCCTCGCGCATTCGAGTCTGCATTTCATCATCACACTCCTGGGTCTAAGTAGACTGGGTTATGCCAGCCTCTTACTCTCGACTCGACTTGCAAGCCCGGCGATACTCCGCTTGTTGGAGCTAGCAGAATGCGATACCATCTTGACCACATCAACCTTCCACCCGGTGTTGGCAGAGGTACAGGCTGAACGCAAAGTAACTCTGTTGGAATCTTTGGGACGAGAAGACTACTATGGAGTGGACGCACCCGTATTCTCCCGGGCTTACGATCCGGAAACAGAGAACCCCAAGGTTGCTGTGATTATTCATTCCTCAGGATCCACCGGCCTACCAAAGCCGATCTATCTCACAAATCGCAGCTGCATCGCCGCTTTCTCGGCAAACTTGGACAGAAGAGCGTTGATGACACAGCCTCTCTTCCACAGTTTTGGCTTCTACGAGACATTCAGGTCGATGTACTCTGGAAAGCCTATGTATTACGTGAATTATTCGTTGCCCATCACCAAGCAAAACTTGACCGCAATCATCGGCCATGTCAAGCCGGACCTGTTCTTCGCCGTCCCATATGTTCTGAAACTGTTGGGGGAGTCGGAAGAGGGCATTCGGGCTCTCGCTAATATTGATATCGTCATGTATGGTGGCAGTGCCTGTCCAGACGACCTTGGTGACATGCTCGTCAAGAACGGGGTAAACCTGGTGGCAAACTATGGCGCGTAAGTTGTCGAAAGCTGCAAGACTTATAGGTCTCAACTAACACATGCCAGAACGGAGACCAGCAGGCTGATGACATCTGTCCGGCCAGCAGGGGACCTAGCATGGAACTACCTTCGCATTCTACCGAAAGTGAAGCAGTATGTATTGATGGACGAGCTCGCACCAGGAATCCACGAGTGTGTCGCACTCGATGGGTTGAAGTCGAAGAGCACCATCAACTCAGATGACCCCCCAAGATCATTCCGCACAAAGGACCTGTTCATGCGCCATCCAGACAACCCAGACTTCTGGAAGTTTGTCTCAAGACTGGACGACAGACTGACACTGGTGAACGGCGAAAAGGTCCTTCCCATACCCATCGAAGGCCGTATACGCCAAGAAGGCCTCGTCAAGGAAGCAGTTGTTTTTGGCGATGCAAAGACTGTTCCTGGCCTTCTGATAGTCAAGGCCGACAACGCAGCAGACATGTCTGACGAAGAATTCTTGCAAGCAATCTGGCCAGCTGTCGAGGACGCTAATGCTCGCGCTGAGAGCTTCTCCCGCGTCCCACAAGAGCTGGTTGTTGTGCTTCCCGCCGCAACTATCTACGCTTGCACAGACAAGGGTACTTTCATTCGTGCCCAAGTGTACGAGCAGTTCAAAGAACAGATCAACACCGCATACACAAATTTCGAAAGCGATGCTGATGAAGGTGGCACAATAGCTCTGCCACTGCCTGAGCTCGAACAGCATCTACTTCAGAGATTCCGCGAACATCTTGGTGTTGAGCTGCCGTCGACAGAGACTGACTTCTTCGCTTACGGCGTCGACAGCTTACAGGGCATGAAGATGTGGAGCTTGATGAAGAAGGAGCTTGATCTCGGTGGCAGGCAATCCCAAGTAGGGCAGAATGTTCTCTACGAAACAGGGAATATCGCAGCGCTCGCCCGCTTCTTGGACGGACTGCGCACTGGAAACGAAGAGGCGGCGCAAGATCAGCAACAAGTGATGCGTGATCTGATCGCCAAGCACTCTTCTTTCAAGAAGTTTGAGAGGGAGAAGTCGAAGGAGGTAGTGGTAAGCAAGCTCTGACCCACATAACATGGTGCGAATCTAACTGTCTGGCAGGTCTTGACCGGTGCTACTGGAGGACTGGGTGCACACCTTCTCGCACAACTAGTACGAGATCCCAACGTGTCAACAGTATGGGCATTAGTCCGCGCATCATCCGACCACGCCGCGCTGGAAAGAACGCTGAAAAGCCTCTCATCCCGCGATCTCTACCTCACCGCCGAAGAGTCCCGCAAAGTCATCGCCGTGCCCTCTGATCTCAGCAAGCCGGACTTTGGCCTCGGGCCCTCGCGCCTCGAGGACCTGCGATCGAGTCTCACCCTAGTCATCCACAGTGCCTGGGCCGTCAACTTCAACATCTCAGTCTCGAGCTTCGAAGACCAACACATCAAAGCCATTCCCAACTTCATCAACCTCTGCCAGTCCACCACCCACGGCTCGCCCGCCCGCTTCTTCTTCTGCTCCTCCGTCTCCTCTGCCGCCGCCACACCGCGCCCGGGCTCCGTCCCCGAAACCCCCGTCAAGGACATCGCACACGTCCAGGGAACAGGGTACGCGCGCTCCAAGTTCGTCGCCGAGCACATCGTGCGCAACGCAGCCCACGACGCGGGCGCCAGCGCACGCGTCCTGCGCATCGGCCAGCTCATCGGCGACAGCAAAGCCGGCGAGTGGAACACCACCGAGGGCATCCCGCTGATGATTCAAACGGCCGAGACGCTCGGCGCGCTGCCCGCCCTCGACGAGGAAATGTCCTGGCTGCCCGTCGACTACGCCGCCTCTATCATCCGCGATGTGTGCGCTGCCGGCAATGCAAACCCAGATCTCGTCTACCACGTCCTGAACCCCACGCGCTTCCACTGGACGCGCGATATGCTGCCTGCGCTTGCCGCGGCGGGCTTGCAGTTCAAGACGCTGCCGACGGATCAGTGGATGGATCGGCTGCGCAATTCGGATAGAGACCCCAAGACGAATCCGCCGATTAAGCTGCTCGATTGGTTTGAGAGTAAGTATGGGCCCAAGGCGTCGACGGTGAAGAAGGGCGCGTTGGAGTACGAGACGACGGAGACGAGGAAGGATAGCGAGACGATAGGGAGCGTACCTGATGTTACGGATAAGGCGTATGTGAAGATGGTTGTTGAGCGGCTGAGGAGGCATTGGGATGCGTGAGCGTTTCTTACATGTTTACTACCTACTAGGACTTGAGAGTCGCTGAATAGAGCTGCGCGTATCGATAGATTCACTCGTCACTGTAGATCGAGTGGAATGGTATAGATGGCAGATACCAGCAATGGTACCGTTTCACGAATAGATTCTCGTCACGTCATACCTTGCATGTGAAAACCTCAGGTCATACTCTTGTCTTTCATGAGCTCTACAACATTCCATCACCAGACACATCGACATCATTGTACATCCACTCTTCACCACTCCCCTCCTCAACAAACAAACATTTCTTCAGCCCCCCATCCTCAAGCACAGACACCACCGCCCGATCCACAACTCCCATCGCCCACATCACCACCCTGACGCCCAGATTCTCCGTCTTCCCCTGTATGAAGACCGGTGCCGTATTATCAACGGGCTGATTCAAGAACGTGAGGCCGAGGTCGTCAAGCATATCTGTCGGTGACTCATCTGATGCTGACGCTTGGGCGGGGCTGGGAAGGCGGAGGAAGGAAGACAGGTTCTCGTCGATGAAGGTGTACGTTTCTGCGTCTTCGATGCCGTCTTCCAGTGCGGGAAGAGGGTAGGTTGCCATGAGTGCGTGGATGAAGGATGGCGAAGAGGTGTCTTGGGCAGGGGGTGGGGTTGCTAAGGCCAGGGCAAGGAACGTAGTGAGGAGGAGTGCCCATATCAAGCCCTCGTCTTCTGGCCCAGAGAGATCATGCTCTGAGAGGCCGGCGGTGAATTGTGAGGCGTGAGTGGGGAAAGAGGACTGCAGGGCTGCTAGGGCGTTGACTGGAGATAGTAAACGAGGTTGGTCGGGGGAACGCAGGTTGTTGATCACAGCACTGAGCTCGAGACGAATGGAGTGAATGATTTTGGCTTGTCCATCGCGGTAGATCTTCGCGTATCTCTGTTTATCGGTCTTTGGTTCGAGGTCGATGGTTAGTGGGAGGGTGGCGCATCGCTGGGAGATGGCTTGGTGTAACAACGTTAGGACTTGCAGTGTTATTCTTGCGCCTGGGCGCTCGATGTTGATTGACTGTACGTCGATGTCCAGAGCGAGCATGCACTGTATGAAGAAGAAATGCACGATGTAGGGCGGGATACCACGGAAGAAAGGTATGTGGTTATCGTAGCGTCCGAAAGGGTGATCTTTGGCGCGCAGAAAGTGTTGTTCCTTGTTTGGGTCTGTAGTCAAGAAAGATGTTGACATGCCGAAAGGTACATTCTTCGGATCTAACAAACCCATTTCCTGCGCATACTCCTGGAGCATAGGCGGAAAGGCGAGTTTCAAGGCAAATTGCTCAATAGGGTTGTCTGCGAGACAGAAACCGTACCCGAGGAGTAGCTCATCATTCTGCTTTGGAGCATAGTTGTTAAACAGCTCCTCACCCGGACCGAAGGTGGCACCATCAAGACACTTCAGAGTAAAAGAGCGATGAGGCTGGAAGTCCCATTCTACTTTGGCCGAGACAGAGTGGTTTAGAATGTCGACAACTGGGAAGAGGATCGGTATCGTTTCCTGATCAGGAAGGATATGTGTGGATATGAACGCGCGTGAGGTGAAGATTGTGGCAGCCCATAGGAGCAGATCCCTGATCTTCGTTAGCATATTGCCCACTGACAGTCGGTATAAGATTTTGAAACATGACAAGGGATGCGATAGGTTGTATCGGGCTTAGGAATGCGATAGGACGTATCGGGCTTATGGATACAGGATGTTGCATCGCTGTCTTGTCTCAGTGCCACGACGAGTTACTGCTCCACAAAACGTGGCAAGGCCACCTTCGTTGTGCGGGGACGTGGTCATGCATAGGTCTCACTCGTTTCGATTTGTGAGGGTGATAGGTAAACTTACAAGTGGATTTCGTCAGCCGTTGCGATTCCAACCTCTCTCATGACACCTACAGCCTGCTCCCATTGCTTATGCATATCTGCCTTTCTCTCTTTGGTTGCAGGTGCTAAACTGGTGCCTGCTAGGAAAGAGACGTCATGCTCATCGAACCACAGCGGAGTGGTCATGCTCTCCGGTCCCGGCAGACAAGCAATGTAAGCATACCATGGCGATTCCTTGCCCTTCTTACGCTGTTCAATCAAAAGGAGATACGTGAGTATGTGATCAGGGATCTTTCCTCGGCACTGCTGCAGGGGACTTGTGACTGGGATAAGTTCTTTTTGAGTTGGATCTAGGTTCAGACAAGAGAGAGTAAGCCTTAGGGGGCAGGACGCCACATTTGGCGAGCTCAGCGGTCTCAAAGCTTGCATGTGGAAGCCGCGCGCATGGCTAAACAAAATATGTACATCGGGACTGAGCCAGCCGCCTTGATGAGTATACCACTGTATCAGCTCTTCAGCTAATGGATGAGTACTGACGCTTTCTTCTGATCGTTGACGTGTGTTGATTGTATCGTCTTGATTCGGGGGTTGACGTTGATCTGATGACATGACGGAGCTTGCTGACGAGAGCCTTCTCGAGTCGGGAAGTTTCTATTCGTCCGCAACGGCGGTCAGAGTTGAGGTTGCGCTAAAAGTCGACAAGGGGCCGACCAAAGTTTGTGTTCCACGATGCACAGCTAGCGAGAGCTCGGCTGTGGCTGACAAAAATCTTCACGGAAGACGGGACTCAACGGAGCCGATTGCAAAGCAGAATCGAAAATTGAAGCCAGGATGCTGTCAAAAGGCGATCTGGCACGGGACCACCAATTGCAGCACGAGTGAAGGGTGCGGTGTGGAATGCAAGTTGAGATCGAGAGTCGTCTGTGGAAGGTGCGCACCGTTTTCCCCCAGATGTTTGGACAGTCGCGTATCTGCTCGCTTGCTAAATAAGGCTATCCCAGTGTTTCATTGATTCTCTTGCCGCTCGAACACTTCGGCCCGTACCCATGAGCCTTTCGTTCGAGTGTATCCAGGGACATCGAGCAAGCAATCAGGTTTTGTAGAATTAAACAATGATCCAAGCAGGGGTGACCACCGGGCGTGTACTTCAAACTCGTGCATCCAGTCGGATACAAGCGGACATTATGTAGCCTGCTGTAACACAGCCCTCTACTGACAGCTGGCCTGGCCATGAGGCTTCCGCTGACGGAGAACGGGAGGTCCGATGGCGTTGTCATGGCGAGGCATCCAGCTACGTAAACGCAGCTGAATGAGGAGTTTAGCTGCGAGAAGCGAGAGTCTAGTCAAATGAGCATCTGAAACAAGCTAAGTGACCAATCAAAGCAGTCCATGCTTCACGATGCACACCGGGGAGCGGACGGTTAGGAATGCCGGCCTGGGCTGATGAAGCCTCGTGCACAAGGCCAACGGACAAAAGAATGGCTCTGGCTTAACAAGGGAAGTTTCTTTCAGCCAAGTGAAGAGACGCGATGCTGCTCTTCATTATCCATCCTCTCTCCTGCTCACACCTAGCCTGACAGACATCGACGCATAGCATTATTGTAAATTGTAATTGGCTCTCCTAACCCTGCCTACGATCAATCGTCTTTTTAGCTGTGGCTTGTAAGTCCGCCTGTGCAATTGCGTATTCCTCAAACACGACGGCCGCACGTCCCCTCGGCGCCCTCCTGTCATTCATCTTAAGGCACGCCGTCGCCGTCCAGGCTGAGGGGCGGCGTGCTGATGCTCCCCTATTATTTGCTGTTTCTTCATCCACGAGGCTACATATACTCACCAAGCTCCCAGCATGTCGAGCCCAGCGCTGTAGCCAAAGTAGAGTTATGCTTGCCTTGTTGACACCCGATACCGCTGTCCCCAAACTTACGCCAACGCCGACACCCTCTCCTTCGCCGACAACAAATGTTGGCTACCTTGCCCAGATGCCTCTCGCTCTTCTAGGATCCTACTTGCGAGGCCAGACACCATCGCCGTCGCCGGTGGACCAGACTGCAAGCATTGTCGACTCAGCAGCCAATACGCTTGGCACAACAACACCGCAAAAACATGTCATGACTGCAGCCTCCCACATTCCTTCACGCCCTGCATCGTCCAGCAGCAGTGCCGTCACCGACGACAAACCCAAGAAACGTGCCCCTCGCGCAAAGACATGCTATATCCTAGCACAACCACCACCAACCGTTAACCCATACTCGAGACTGCACATTCGTCCCAAGGTCGTCCTACAGCTGCACCAAGTCCTCGCCTCCGAACGTCCCAAGCCCGTGTACGAGGTTATCCCCTTCTCGCTTCTCGAGGCCCGATCCACACGACGTCTGGCCCCGGCCTTCAACACCAGAGAAAGGCTGGGACACAACGACTTGCTGATTGTCAAGGCAGAGGAGTATGGAAGCAAGAGTGAGAAGACAAGGTCGGACGACGAGAGGTGGGGATCGAGAGACGTCATAGGTGTTATCTGCCCTGGCAAGGGCGAGAAGGGTGCACCAGGGAAGACAGAAATATGTATGAATGACGGGAAAAGCCGCTGGGAGGTGACTAGTCTACCTAATGGTGGCTACGAGTTCAACACCACAAACGAACACGGCCTCGCACTCAAAGCACGATGGGTCCTCAAACCTGCTCCCTCGCGTCGCTGGTCAGGCGCGTCAGCTGCTTCGCAACCTTCAGCAGGCCTCGAGGACAACAAGAAGTTCACCTTCAGCACCATCAGCTCCGACTCGAGACGCCATCCCATAATTGCGACCATGACCCGCACCCGTCTAGACGTGCTGGATTCGTATGCGATACCGCTGACAACGTCACCATCGACGCCCAGCCTGATTTCTTCCGCGCAGGAGCCAGTCCTTACACCTGCCAGCATCGACATGGACTCTTTCATAGACAACGCCACCGACCGCCCACCCACCACGACCGACGACGCATTGCGACAGTTCATTGTCGCATCTGGAATCTGGGTCATCGCCAAAACCTGGTCCCCAGACTACTCCGCCGTCTTGCCCCCTACTTCCACGCCATACACCTCAACATCTCGCCCGTCGTGCAACCGCACAGTATCCATGTCGACCCTGGTCACCTCCCGTCCCCCGTCTCCCTCATCCACCTGTGACGAGAAGCGCCGCTCTTTTCCTAAGCTCCTCAAAACAGGCACACGGAGATTGAGTTTCGACGCCCCTGATTCTCCCATGTCAATCAAAACCGCGGTCCCTTCTTCTCCCGTTGTAAAGACACGCCCACGCCGTGCTAGAACTATCGACACAACGAACCTCCACAGCATGAGCGGCAGCATGCGGAAACGCTACGCCCTTGCGTTCGACAACAACACACTCCCTGAAACGGAAGAGGAGAAACAAAGCAAGCGCAGCATCGAATTGCTACGAATAAAAGAACTGGCCCTCCCATCTATGCTCGAACGACCTTCCGTCGAAATATCAGCACTCGAAACTAAACCCATCCCTACCCCAGCCGCCACTCCTCTCCCGCCGCCGTCGCCAACACCCCCCGTCTCCGACCCCTCGCGAGCCCGCAAAACTCAATCCGCATACAACCCTATCACTACAGCCGGCATGTGGGATTCCGGCATCACCGAGGGTCCGGGCCTTAAGAAACGCCCAACGAGCATGTTCGTCATCAACGAGCGGAAGCGAAAGCAGGAGAAGAAGCGCGGCAGGGGCAAAGAGATGGAGATTGTAGTCAAGGAGAAGACAGAGTCCGACTACGGATCCAAGGCGAAGAACGACTGGATGCGCTTCAAGAAAAGCGTCAAGGGCCTGTTCAGGAAATCTACTTGTTGAACATGCATGGGAGATGAAGATGAAGATGAAGTTGAAGATGAAGATGAGCTTCAACACACGCCTCACGGCCACACCTGTTTTCTTTTCTTCCATTTTCTCTCCTTTGTGCACCTGTCTACCTATACCTGTAGCATGCATGACGTGACGGTCTGGGATGAGTGTCACGTCTGGCGTTTTTGCTTTTCTGAGTGACGGCGCTCCCTTGTTCGGCGGAGTCTCCTACACAGCCAGCCTTGCAAGGCTTTTTCCCTAGGTCAATTCATCCATCTATCCTTCCATTCTGCTCATGCACGCACACACAATATCACACCATCCTCCTGACTCAAGTCTGAAAAATCTGGTGCTCTATTTTGCTCCGTCTGTCTGTCTGTGCCCACATTCGTTAGCTTGCGCGATTCGCACTGCTTCTCGTCCGTCTGTTCGTCCGATCTTCTGGTCCGAGCATCCCGTGACATCACATTCTATCGTGTGTGCAGGTTGGTTTTTTTCGGCTTCCGTTGCGAGGTGGCGTCGGGTTCGGTGGGGTGCGATGGGCCGGGTGGAGATGTTCGGGTGTTCGGCTCGTGGGCGGAGGGTTCGAGCGCGGTGCGTGAATGAGAGGCTCGGGATGGCCGATGGGATCGCATGGTCAGTGCGAGGGATTGTGGTTTGCAAGGATGGTTGGATGAGTACCTACCTGGTGGTTGTGTGGCAGTGAATCTGTACCATTTTCCTAACGACTTTCGCTTGTAGTGTGCATTTTGTCGTACACGGCCTTGGTGTTATATTGTCAATATTACATGCCAGTAAGAACACTCGTTATACACTCCAATTGACTTCTGCTCTTACTCCTCATCCCTCGGTAGTCCCTTTACCATCCTCCTCACACCGCGTTCCATGTACTCGAGGCTCTTTTTGAGTTCCATGTTCATTTCCCCATCTTGCATCGCTCCTGCTCCGTTCATCTCCTCGTCCTCATCATCAGCTTCTCCTCCGTCCTGCACACCTCCCAAAACCTTCCCAACATCCTTTCCCGCTTTCCTCGCACCAGCTCTCAACACCCTCTCCAGATCCTTGACCTCCTTCCTCCATACATCCGCTACCGGATCATTCCCCTCTTGCTCACCTGCCAGCTGTACGATAACTTTGTGCACCCTCTCGTACTCTCTCACCAACTTGTCGCTCGCGATGAGAACCGCGGCTGCAGATGCAAACGTCCCATTTTCAGCGATGGATGTATTCGGAAATGTTGTGACGTGCCGAGCAGGACGACTGGGGGTTTGGAGTGCGGAAAGTAGCGTAGCAGTAAGTTCGTTGCGGCGCTGTTCATCTGCTTCTTTCCTACAAGCGGGCTAATAAGCACCGTTCATACATACGATTCGACGGAGAGTGAGAGCGAAACGTACGCTCTCAACATCTTCCGCTGCATCAACGCTCTGAGATCTTTCTGGTCTTTCGCCGTGCGGATGCGGAACTGTTGGGTTTCATTGTTCTCCTTGCGTGGTTTCTTGAGAAGAGGGGGTAGGGCGAGCATTTGTCTATGGATTTTGTAAGGTCAAGTTTCTTGCAAGACTGGTTGCCGGGGTGCGTACTGGCTCTCAGTGCTTCTAGCGTCTGAATCCGAGATGGAGGGTTTGGTGCGGCTTCGTGCAGCTGGTTCGCCTTCTGGGGGAGAATGAGCGCGTCGACGTGCCATATTTGTGGTGTGGGGTAGATATGTGTTGATTGGAGCTGGTTAGAGGTGAGGTGAGGTGAGGTGAGAGAAAATGTGCATGTTGACGGTTGGAATCGAAACAGGAAGGCACGACCCAGGCGACCTCATAAATCACATGCAAGCCTCGATGAAGCTTCTACTACAAGGAACGGGGTGGATGCTTGAACGACTCTTCTGGTTTCAGCATAACAGGTGTAAGGGCGACTACCGTCCAAGACGGGGCTTCAGTAGCAGTCACGCTCCGGTACTCACCTTCACTCACGTGCAAACATGGCCGTGTGGAAGTAATTTTGATCAGCCCAGGATGGAATTCGAGACTTGCTATTGAAATCCCGCGATGAATGTCAATGAGAGCTAGTTGAACCGTGAGGCTGTTGTGCGACTTACAGCCCGCACGTTTTCAGCGCATGCCAGCATCCCATCTCATGTGGAACCATTTCGTAACAGGATATCAAAGCTCATGTTGTTTCTCGCTCGTCGCATTGAGAGCAGGCTTCAAAGGCACGTTGTCCATCCCACTCAACCTTCTAAGGATATGTTGTACACCAAATGGCAGGATGCCCAGAAATTGTATGTAACGCGAGTACAACGGCAAGGCAACGTCGCCACTCTCGCCCCTCTCGATCAACCGTATTATGTTCTTCGCTATCTCAGCAGGCGTGACGACGGGCGCGGCAAAGTTACTCGGAGTTTTGACAGCCGCAAACATCTGCGTACTCATCTGGCCTGGTGTGACGAGTATTGTCTTGATCTCTTTGGCGTCAGGATGTTGGGCGAGTTCGGCGCGTAAAGAGTGGTGCAGAGCGAGGAGGGCGGCTTTCGAGGCAGTGTATGCGGAAAGATTGGCGGCGCCTAGGTAACCGAGCACAGATGCTACCGTCACAATTGTTCCACGGCGTTCATGGAGCATGTAAGGAAGGAAAGTACGGAGCGTCGTAAAGTGTGAGAGAGTATTAACGCGGAAGGTCCTGTGGCCAGTGTTAGATTCGTTACAGGTTGGTATGAGGAGAGACATACTGTTCGACTTCTTCAGCCGTGGTATCGAGGATCGATTTGGTGTGAACGATACCGGCGTTGTTGATAAGAATCGTGGGAGGACCAAGCTGTACATGTTAGTGACTGTCACTACACTTCTTCTGGAGACCTCACATCTTTGACAATCTTAGCTGCCACAGCTTCAACCTGCCTCGCATCTCCCACATCGCACTGATAGTACACCACACCCTTCTCTTCCGCCTCGTCCTCGTCCACCTTCTTCAAATCCAATACAGCCACGTTTGCACTTCGCATGCCATACGTCTCTGCCAGCAATCCGCCTAGGCCTTGTACGCCCCCGGTTATGACAATGACCTCTTCGCTCAAATCCACCTCCCGTGGCTGCCCAAACGCGATCCTGTCGCTGATGATGCCGAAGATGCCAATCGCGCTCATCAGCATGGCCCAACCCATTGCGATGCGCATCTCCAGAGCCTCATAGGCTGTGTATTGCGCGCGCAGACAGAGCACGATAATCCAAGATACCCATGGGTGGAAGAGCGTGTACCCAAGCACATACCAGATCAGGTCGATGGTGAGGTAGTGGTGCCATGGCTCGTCGGTAAATGCCGTTCTTTCGGGCAGCCGGATAGGCACTTTTTTCGACGCGGTAGGCATTATGCTCTTGCGATACAGGAGGTATGGTGGTGGTGGGGTGAGTCGGCGCGTAACTGAGGCTTGGGCTAAGTTGTGTTCGGCAGAAATTTGAGCACAGGAATTATCCAGGCGCGAGATTGAAAACGATTGTAGGAGAGACAAATGCGATCGAAGTAGTTGAAGCCATGACTTGTTTCTTCATGCGTTGCGTCCTGAGGTTTCTCGTGTTTGATCTCTGTTGCAGATAGTTGCTGATGTAAGCGGCACTTGTCGACGTCATTCATCTTCGACACGACCTTGCATATGTCAAGACATGCAAGAGTGGATAACCGCCAACTACAGCGCAGTAGTTGAATGTCTGTCCGATCCAACAACTTCGTTCTAGCTGTGGCAGATTTTGCATTTAATGCTTTCTATTCCTGCGGTACTTTGATGTTCTTACCTCTCGAACTCTTGTTCGCCCTCTTAGACCAGCAATTGATCAGACAAGATATTCATCGAGACTGCCATCTCTCCGTTATCGAAAGCCTGTCTTCCCTCCCGGTCCTCCCTTTGTTCTTCACTCAACTCTATCGTCAACAGCCATGCTCTTCCTATCTTCCATATCAGTGTCTACCATCATTCAAGATCTTTTTCCCATTTGTCTGAAGTTGAAGAAGCCTTCTTTCTCTACCATTACCGTTGCCACCCGTACCCTCGCCTTAAGTGTTCTAATAGTTTTTGTCCCGGCCAAACCTGTCGACATCTGTCATTGCCCCTACAATGTCTACCTCTAGTATATTAATGGGCCCAAGGATATCAATACTCTGTCTTTCAAACAGGGGGATCGCGACAGACCACCCCAGTATCTTGGTACTGTAGTCAACTGTGGAATTGTCATTAAGGTATTTGACGCCGGTATGATTGTGATTACTAAAGTTCAAACCAAGGAGCTCAATGTTTCTCGGTGAGACACACGAATCGTGTACTGTTTGGGAGGTCGAGGTCACCGAACACAAGCTAGCTCTGCTTTCATGGAGTGTTATCTCGAGTGTAGTTGGAAGATGTTGCGGAAGGAGAGAGAGTGTGTGTGTCGAGGATGTTGAATAGTCTGGGAAATGTTGGAAAGTCTGGAAAAGCACGTGGGTTCATCAATTCGTTCAAATGTTGCATTCATCCATACTTGGTGGCGCATAGCGAGTTCGATAACGTCCTGGATGGTTTGAACAGGTGAGATATAATGTAACAGTTTAGCTCGTTTTCTGTCCAACTTATGTGTCCAGCTATACGAACCTCTGCAGCTGGTAATATAAAAGGCACAAACTCGGATCAAAGTGGAAGCTAGGATATGGGCTATAGCGAAAACGGCTAGCGTCATTTAACTAGATATGGACAAGTCCTTGTCGCGAAAACCTCGCGACGCGTTTATTTATGAGTTCGAGGTCACTTTGGAAATTACAACCAGAGCTGATGCAGGATTTCCCACCAAACGATTAAATCATGGTCTTGTGGGTCTGGGATATGCAAGATTGTATGAATTTCCCAGATGTAACAGGAAAGACCACGATGAAAGGGAAATAGGTTCCAGGACTTTGAGATCAGCTCATGACAACACAGTTCCAAGAGGTCGGATGAGAGTAAGATCTCGGAATATGATAGAATTCAGAGTGAGCTTACTCCGTACGAATTTCCAGTGTTAGGATTGTACTTGCTGCAAAATTATACCGTGATAAAGTTAGCCTGTGCTGAAGCCTTTCTCGTTCTGTACTCTATCTGTTTGTCTATGTTGTACTTCTCCACCTTGTAGTAGTTGTAGGTTCTTCACCTTCACTATTCATATGAGTTTTCGCCACTGCAGTGTTCGTTTACCTTAACCCACACCCAATCAGCCGCGTAGATCGCCGCACTAGCGTGATTCCCTGTTTACTAACACGCTTGCTCCATCCTTGTCGCAAGGACGCCCTCCTTTTGCTCACGTCCCTTTGCCATACCCGCTCAACCACCGAGTCTGGGTCTTCCTTTCTTTTATACTAATCCCTTACTGTGAGAAATCACATAGTCATTCTCTCGCAACCATGAGCGACTCCATGGACGAGTCGGTCTTTGACGATGGCGCAAGCTCAGACATCGCGCCCGTCAAGCCCGTGAAGGCCACCAAAGCCGCAGCAAAGCCCAAGGCCACAGCACCGAAGAAAGCGGCTGGCCCGCCAAAGCCTCGAGGGCGCCCAGCAAAAGATTCCGCGCCAGCTGCGAAACCAAGGGCGAAGGCTGCACCCAAGAAGAAGGTGAAAGACGACTCCGACATCGAGAACTCGGACATGGACATGGATGCAGATCCGGTCAACATCGACGAGTCATTGCTCGCAGACACGCCACCTAAGCAGAAGAAGAAAGCGCCCGCGCCGAAGAAGACTAGCGACAAGCCGCTTGCAGACGTAGCAAACGAGAGCTTCGGACTTGAAAGCATGACTGAAGGGCTAGCAGAGAGACCCAAGAAGGGTGCTGGGGACGCCAGTGACAAATATCAGATGGTCAGAGCCCAGAACCACTGAGAAGGGGTATCGGCTAATATTCAAGCAGCTCACGCATTTGGAACATATCATGAAGCGCCCGGACACGTACATTGGCTCTGTAGAGCGGCAGACGGACAAGATGTGGGTCTACAACTCCTCCAGCGAGAGCATGGAGTTCCGCGATGTGACATACGTTCCCGGTCTATACAAGATTTTCGACGAGATCCTCGTAAACGCGGCGGACAACAAGCAGAATGACAAGAACATGAGCGAGATTCGTGTGACAGTAGACCGCGAGTCTGGCGAGATCTCTGTCAAGAACGACGGCAAAGGTATTCCAGTTGAGATACACAAAGTAAGGCATCTAATCAATGTATGCGAGATTAGACTAACTCGTCTAGGAACACGGCATATACGTACCAGAGATGATCTTTGGTCACCTTCTTACTTCTTCGAATTACAACGATAACCAACAAAAGGTCACTGGTGGTCGCAACGGTTACGGTGCGAAGCTCTGCAATGTCTTCAGCACCCAGTTTACAGTCGAGACGGTTGACTCGAAACAGAAGAAGAAGTACAGGCAGACCTGGACAGAGAACATGAGCAAAATGGGCAAGGCCAAGATCACCGACATCAAGACCGAGGACTACACCAAGGTCTCCTGGACAGCCGACTATAGCAGGTTTGGCATGGACGGTATCGATGACGACTTCGAGGCTCTAGTCAAGCGGAGAACATATGACATGGCTGGTACACTGCGGGGAATCAAGGTGTATCTCAATGGCGACCGCGTCAAGGTCACCAGCTTTGCCAAGTATATGGAGATGTATACCAAAGCCATCTCGCGGGAGCAGGGCAAGAGCGAGGACGAGGAGAAGAAGGAAGTGATCATCACCGACAAACTTGATCGTTGGGATATTGGTTTCGCCGTGTCTGATGGGTCCTTCAATCAGGTTTCGTTCGTTAACTCGATCGCGACCACTTCCGGTGGTACACACGTCAATTACGTTGCGGACCAGATCATCGAAAAGCTTATGGCGATTGTCAACAAGAAGAACAAGGCTGCTGTCAAACTCAAACCGGCTCAGATCAAGAACCATCTCTTCCTGTTCGTCAACTGTTCGATCGTCAACCCCGCTTTCACTTCTCAGACCAAGGAGCAGCTGACGACGAAGGCGAGTCAGTTCGGCAGCAAACCGGTACTCAGCGATAAATTTTTGAAGGCCATTGAGAAGACGGACGTCATTCAGAATATCATGCACTTTGCTCAGGCGAAAGCAGATCAGCTAATGAAGAAGACTGATGGCAACAAGCGCAATCGTATCAACAACGCCAAACTCACCGATGCCAACAAAGCCGGTACTAAGGACGGACATCTTTGCACTCTTATTCTCACTGAAGGTGAGTCAGCTAGTGTACTTGCTTTGGCTGGACGCGCCGTTGTCAACCAGGATTTGTTCGGAGTCTTCCCTCTCCGAGGTAAGCTGCTCAATGTGCGGGATGCGTCTGTCGATCAGATCATGAAGAACGCGGAAATTCAGAACATCAAGAAGTTCATGGGCCTCCAGCACAAGAAGGAGTATACTCTGTCGGATATGAAGAGTCTTCGATACGGCCATCTCATGATTATGACGGATCAGGATCACGATGGTAGCCATATCAAAGGTCTCCTTATCAACTTCCTCCAAGTTCAGTTTCCTAGCTTGCTCAAAATTCCTGGATTCCTTCTCGAGTTCATTACGCCTATCGTCAAGGTCTGGAAGGGTGATCCTAAAAACCCGCGCAACATGAAGAGCTTCTTCTCCATGCCCGAGTATGAAGAGTGGAAAGAGCAACACAAGAACGAAAAGAGCTGGGATCACAAATACTTCAAGGGATTGGGTACCAGTGATATTCCGGATGCTCAGATCTATTTCAAGGACCTCGACACTCACATGAAACGTTTCCAGGTCATGCGTGCCGAGGAGGAGAAGCTTATTGAGCTAGCCTTTTCCAAGAAGAAGGCTGACGCACGTAAGGAGTGGTTGCGAGAGTTTGTTCCAGGTAACCATCTAGATCTCACTACGCCGGAGATTTCCTATGACGACTTTGTCAACAAGGAGTTCATCCTCTTCTCCATGGCTGACAATTTGCGATCCATTCCGTCCGTCATCGACGGGTTGAAGCCTGGTCAACGTAAGGTTCTATATACGTGTTTCAGGAGAAACCTCAAGAAAGACATCAAGGTCGTCGAACTCGCCGGTTCCGTGTCTGGTACTACAGATTACGCTCACGGCGAAGCGTCCATGCAGGGCACCATCGTCGGCCTTGCTCAGAACTTCATTGGCACCAACAACATCAACTGCTTGGAACCTAGCGGCAATTTTGGTTCTCGTCTACAAGGTGGCTCGGATGCTGCCAGCGCCAGGTACATCTACACACGCCTGTCTCCATTTGCGCGAAGAATCTTTCACCCTAATGACGATGCTCTTCTCAAGTATGGCGAATCAGATGGTAACAAGATTGAGCCTGAGATCTATGTTCCTGTTCTACCCATGATTCTCGTCAACGGCTCAAGCGGTATTGGCACTGGCTGGAGCTCCGAAATTCCAAACTTCAATCCCATGGATATCATCGACAATATCAGGCTTCGTATGCAGGATGGAAATTCCAAGGAGGACATGAAGCCAATGATTCCTTGGTACAAGGGCTTTACTGGTACGACTGAAGACCTTGGAAATGGCAAATACCGATTCAAGGGCATCATCCGACAGACTGGTGATAACGAGATCGAAGTCACTGAGCTCCCTGTGCGATACTGGACACAAGACTTCAAGGAGAAGCTCGAGGATATCATCAAAGCTGAGAAGACCCCTTCTTTCGTCAAAGATTACGTTGACTACAACACGCCGGACCGCGTTCATTTCATCATCAAGATGGAAGATAAGCATATGGCCAACGCCGTTGCGAGCGGTCTCGAGGAAGCATTCAAGCTATATAAGCCCCAATCTACTTCGAACATCGTTGCTTTCGACGCGCAAGGTCGCATTCACAAATATGCGACCGTCTTGGACATAATGGAGGAGTTCTATCACGTTCGTTTACGGTACTACGAGAAGCGAAAGGCGCACCAGTTGGATTTCATGCAGAAGGAGCTCTCCAAGATGTCGAATCAAGCAAGGTTCATCCAAATGATCATCGACAACAAGATCGTTGTGTCGAAGAAGAAGAAAGCTGTCCTTGTCGCAGAGCTGAGGAAGCTTGGGTTCACGCCCTTTCCAAAGGTCGAAGATGCGAAGACAGCGGGCGAGAACGAGGAAACTTTGGAGGACGACGAGGATTCTGGTGATGTCGAGGGTCATGCGAACGACTACGACTACCTCCTAGGTGTAAGTGAACTCATAAAATGCTTCACTTTGCATACTAACATCGTATAGATGGCTATCTGGTCTCTGACTCAAGAGCGTGTCGAGAAGTTGCTGAGGCAAATCGGCGACAAGGAGGAGGAGATTGATACGCTCATCAAGCTCTCACCAAAGGACATCTGGACTGTAGATCTTGAAGCTTTTGTTGCGGAATGGAACCTCCAGCTCGACGAAGATGCGAAGCGCAAGAGGAAGATCGCCGGCATCACTCGACGCGCATCTCAGAAGCTTGGCATCGGCGCATCCAAGGGCGGCAAGGGAAAGAAGAAGAGAAAGATGGATGGCAGTGACTCAGACGATTCTGGTTCCGACTTTGGCCCAGCTAAAAAGAAGACCAAGCCGAAGAAGGAGGGGGGCTTGCTCGGCTATCTCCAGCAGGATCAAGAACCTGTGAAGAAGCTCACCGCAGCGGAAGCTCTGAAGAGCAGTTCTGCGTTCGGGTCCGCAGCTCCACAGAAGCAAGGCAGTCTCCTATCGCACCTAGTGAAGAAGGAACCTGCTTCTCAGGCCAACGGGGTCTCAGCAAGCAAACCTGCCGAATCTGCACCAGCAGCGAAGAAGGCGCGACCTGTCGCGAAGAAACCTGCACCTGTCATTGACTCCGATTCCGACATATCAGATGTCTTTGCAGCCGTCGCTCAAGAAGAGGCGAAGAAGCCTACAGCCACGACTTCTCGCGCCGCTCGTGGCGCAACCAAACAAGTCTCAAAGTACGCAGTCGACAACAGTGATGACGACTCTGGGGATGACGATCTTCTTGGCGATGTCAGCCTTATGGTAAAAGGTCTCGGTGCTGGCGGCAACGACGTCCCTATGTTCAAGAGCTCAGTTCGACCTGGTAGCTCCGCCGGTGTTACCAAGGCCGCAAAGAAGAGCAGCGCGTTGGATAATACCGATTTCGACATCGACGACACCAACTACGAGGCATTGGCGCCCCAGTCCTCTCCTAGGCGGGTAGCTTCTCGCAGTGTTTTGGACACGGTCATGAGCTCGGACGAAGACGATGACGATGACATTGGCCTTCTTTCTAGGAAGCCAGCTGTGAGCAAACTTGCTGCACCTAAGCCCAAAGCCCCCACCAAGCTTACTCCTCGCAACGATGACACAATCATGACTTCAGACGACGAAGACCTGGGTCTCGTCACGAAGAAGATAGCTACTAAACCAATGCCAAAAGCCAAGGCCACTGTTGCTAAGCCAGTTCCAAAAGCAAAGGCTCTCACCTCCACACTCGCCAAAAATAAGACGTTGAGCCCCGCAGCAAAGGCCTACGCGAAGAAGAAAGAAGAAGCCCTTGCTAAGCCTGCGCCTAAGGCGAAGAAACCAGTTACTGTCGACTCTGATGACGACATGGAGGATGCTGATCAGATTGCCAACGACATCCTCTCCGACGATGACGAGACTGAGATGCCTGTTGCTCGTAGCCGTGCCCCTGCCGCTCGACCTGGTCGTAGAGCTGCAGCTCAGCCTGCGAAGTACGTAGTCAGTGATGATGACGGGGATTCGGACGAGGAATCTGAAGCGAGCTTTGATGACGAGAGCGAGTAGAGTTAACAGTGTTTGGTGTAGTGGGATCTTTGACACTGAAGGATCGAGGGCGTTCTGGGCATGGGTACTGGGCTCTTCACATACCTACTTTTCCTTTCTCAATCAGGGATGGGGGCGCGTACTTGGATATTCAGACCCATGGTCTTTACGGTGTTTGGCTTCGCTTTCTCGGTATAATTCCTAGATATATGTGATATAGCGGTGCATAATTAGCTCATGAAGTTGGTTTGCCACATTCGACATCTCGTTTACAACCTGACCTGTGTTTGCATGTCGATCGGATGCCTCCATCGCCATCTTTTTTTCGGAACATATCACGAATTTGGTACCTTTTTTACGCACGACGGTGGTCAGAGAATTGTTTTCAACGGGCATGGCCTTTCCTTCCTCTACTCCACCCGTCACACTCAGCCAGCTACTTGAGTCGTCTCGATATTGTGTCCCTCCTTCGTTTGCAAAAAGTCGGGATGGTTGCAGGCCACGCTCACGGCCCGCATCTGACGGCTCTTACGGCCGTATGTATGTATACCAACAAGCTGGTCGGCCCCTTCTCATCTCACAATCAACTTTGAGATGAACGGCAAACCCCCAGCTTACAGATAGGCCTCCTGTATACCCGTAACGATACCTATCCAACGAACAACTACAACCTGTTCCCGCGTGAATAGTCTCATCCAGTCAACACGTCTGCTTTCGATGCAATTGCCGCACACAGCCCTTGTTCATTAAATAGTTCGACGCATAGCCAATGGATCTTAGCACTCGTAGCGGAAGTAGGCTCATTGCATGTGCATCGACCACGTTGAGCGGCGGGGCGGGTCGTACATGCGGTCGTGGAAGAAGGTTGAGTGCTTCTAATCACCAGCGATAGGCTTCTAGTGCCGATGATGGGAAGAGAGGAAGTGGGGCCGCAGAATATTGGAGAAGGCTGTGTACATGAACCAGTCGATGCGCAGATAGGTCGTGAATTGTATTTGTGAGTGTTTTGGGGCGCAGGGTGTTGCCGTTGCTCCGCCGTTCGTGCGACAGAGTGTGTTGGCTCATGTGGTCACAGTCCGTGGAGGGGAAACTCTGGAATGAGCAGAGAGAAGAGAGACAGGGAGATGATAGCGGGGGGCAGAGAACAGATGGAGAACAGCGTAAAAGAAAAGATGCTCGAAGTAGTGGACTTTATAGATAAAGAGAGAGACATATCAGTACCTAAGGTAAAGCGTGAGTCTCAGTTATTTTCCTATTTGGAATTTGTGTAACGCGTTCACACGTCCTCGCACGACGGCACCTGTCAAGCTGTCAGGGACATGTTTGTGGTACTCGCTCCCATCTGCGCATCTGACATGGCAAGCCCTGGCAATCCTGTTTTGCCAAGAAGATTCTACAAGTCCGTGGTGGTAGCACATCACAAATACGGCGTCCTGGTAGGGTATCTCAATGAAATAGACCGGAAGGAGTAGGTTGTTTGTGCGATCGGCCGTCTTCTTCTGCGTCTACGGCATTGGTATGTTCGTCTTATCGGCCGCTATGTTAGCTGTTTCCTGCAAGCATAGCGATCTAGGTACGTAGTTAGCAGGTTAAGCAGGACTTTTGATGTGTAACAAGAAATCAGTGATTGTTGGACACGCAAAGCGGTGTCGTACTTGGGCTCAGAAGGAGGGGTTTTTGTCACATGAGCAGTATCTACATACTTGCCATCATAGAGGAGTGCACAAGTACTCTCACCGTAAAGAAAATAAATCTATAGGATGCTAGAATTTCATAGATGCCTGGAGTTATGTCTTTTCCTCGAAGAAAACCTCGCCGCTGACCTGTTATCCTGGCTTGTCTGACCAAACCAGCAGCGCCACAAAGCTTGACTGCACCACAACAGCTGTCAGTCAGAACTTACCATAAGAACACAGTCTGCTGTCCCTCGATATGTGGATATCTCAACAACGCTTCTGCAGCACGCTGTGTCGTCAGTGCGCCGTCATTCGTGTTGCTTGTACACAACGATTTCTAAGATGTAGACGGGACATCGTGCCTGTGAATGGTAATCAAACAAGGACATCCCTGACAACTCCCGTGGAAAATAGCACGAAACCTTGCATTGAGCTCATGCTCGAAGCGAGGTAAGGATATAGGTGTGTATCGTTGCGCAAGAGCGGTTCGGTGAGTTATTGGGCTCCCGCACCCGTATACCTCCTTGAGTCTGCAACCCACGCTTCGATGCGCCATCCGTTTAGCACGAGAACGAGAGATTTTGACAAGAACGTTGTACAATAAGTTGCGGTCCGGCAGTGGGAAGCCTACTCGGTTCTCGGATGAAGGACCGAGTATGCTGTGAGAGCGTGCTGATATGCTGTGGGTCCATCATCTGCAAGTGCTGGAATGTCGTGGCATATACAAGAGGACCATGTATGCGGAGAAACTGAAGGCGGGTAGTATAGGCATCCTGTGCACCGATTCGTATTGGTGAGCGGAGCGACCAATTCAACATAGAGATAGAGTAGATTTGTCTTACCAAGTGGTGTAATGAGCACACATGCCAGGGCCGAAAACGGATCGTTTGTTGAATGTTGGAAATGAAGCTTGGTGTCAAGTCAGGATTGCGGACAAATGAGAAGCAAAGGGGATTCGGGAATGGACTTCCGAGAAGGTACTTAGTAACGCGAGAAAGGAGGTCTGTAATTTCACCTTCGCAAACCGAGAAAAGGGCGCCGCGTCAGTTGAGGGGTAAATACTTGTGTCGCTACACCTACACTATACCTGAGCCTACAGCATTGTGTCAAAGACCTATTACTGACTTCAAATCCCCTGTTGCTCGTTGTGTGAATAACCACAGCAGGCGTTTGCGTTCGAAATCGGAGATTGATATCGTCTAGAAATGTACACCGATAAGATCATACCATCCAACCCTCATACGACGTAAAGTTATTGTAGGATATTTTTGCTGAACCACGTGATTGTTTTGCTTGATGTGAAATGTCTCAACAGCTTAGTTTTGTGTGTGTGTCTTGCGAGAGGTGGGCGTTGTCAAGAGTGTCAGCCTTTCCACCATACTTTGCTCGGGGTAAAACCTGCCTGAACTCATGTCAACGAGGGCCCAACGTGAGTGCAAGAGGCTTAGCCATTTAGTATTACGCTACTTTTCCTCGTCCTCTTTGACCCTACCCTCTTCGAGTATTTAGAGTTGTAAAAGGTGTGTCCTAGGAGGAACTCGTTCAGTGAGATTTTGATGATGTTCATGGCCAACCGGGAAGGTTGCGATAAGTTATTACCACTCTCACTTGCTCATTCTAGTTAGTTAGCCTGACATATCAGTAAGTCGGCTTTGTGTAGCAGGCCGAAGCGGAAAGGACCCGCAAGATGCATGGTGAGTCGACAGCAAGGGCACACTGCCCCATCAACTTTGGCTCTGTACGAATGACAGGCGGTCTCGAACATGCATGCTGAGTTCAACCAATGGATATCACAGTTATGAGCGAGTCCATGGATGACCTCACCAAGGCTCTCTGCTTTGATCGGACGGAAGTATGAGCTGTTCAAATCTCCCACCGCCGGCCGCGCACAGTGACGGCGGGTTCAGAAGCACGTTTCCAAGAAGTCCCACTTATTAACGCCTATACGTCAGGTCTGAGGAATCAAAATTCTAGAAAGGTCCTAGGAAAGCCCGCTGTCAATCAAGGATCACGGGTTACGACAGTTTGAGCTGCAGCTTGGCCAGTCGTCTTTGAGCGGTCTGTACTGAAACATAAACACTGTGCTTCTTAGCAAAACAACTAAACAAGCGGTCAAACGCACGTTGACAAGAGTGAGACAGATTTCTTTGTTGACAGCGTCCGGTGAAGCACGGTTCAAGCAAATGTTCGTCCATCAAAACTCACATCTCGCAAGCGAGGGGAACATCCTTGCAGTAGGAAGCGCCATATCCCATTGCAAGTGACAACATCGTATATAGGGATGAAAGTGTCTTTCCTTCTCAGTGGTAGATTCCAGAGCTGCCGAGCTGTCATCTGGAAAGCAAGCGGGCCAGGGGTATCTCTCGAGTATTGCCAACGGGAGCAGGGCTGGTATTCTACACCGACAACGTTCAAGCCAACCATTTCGTTCGCAAGGCTTGAAATTGTGCAGGCTCCCGGAATATGCATTCGTATTGGGAAGTGGGTCCACGTTTGCAATGTAGATAGTGAGGAAGGTACGTGCACTTGTGATCCACGGGAAGCTGCAGGTAAACAACATAACGATTCGTTCTATCATACCATATTTACCGAGAATAGAGCAGGTAGACCTGGTCTCTTGAAAGGTGCCAGCAAGGTTGTCGTAAAGCCGCGGATGGTTGAGGCGACGATCTAGTGGAGTACAGGTCGTTTATCTAGCACTGTACTATTGTTTAGTTCTTCACGTCGCTGACGCTATATGACAGATAAATATCGCTCTGAGATCGGTCGTTCTCCCAGCGCTTTACTTCTATAACGATGAGATTCGAAGGGTTTGCCCTGGAAAACTGCGAAACGAACTCTCGTAGTGATTCTAATCAGGGTGGCTGACGATTCGCATGGTAGTTATGAGCTTGCACGTCCCTTTGGTGATTGGATATGTCTTGGTTGATTTTGTCGCCAATGCTCCCAGAACAAAGAAAGCACAGTAGAAGTCCTGCTTTGGACACAGGGTTCAAGGCGGGAGCGGTGTTTGATGCGGTGCGACTTTCTTCCCTCGATTCTTCCACGCCACTCTCATTAGCCTAGCACTTGCTTTCGGTAACTGTCGTTTGGTCCGATTAGTGGATATCCCGCCTTGCAACCTGTCAAGCCATTTAGTGTGCATCCTGAGACCCAGTATGCATATTTGCACACCGGACAGTCCCTGCAGGACGCTTGGGCAAGCTTTGGCAACGCAGACCGGGTAGTCGTAGCAGCTAGCCGGTAGAAGAGGTAAAAGATGACTTGTTAAGAAGACCCGGAACGGCACAAGTACCTTTTCCAGCCTTCGGTCCTCATTGGTCTCCGTTCCCCGTCCACCTCATCTGAACATCGTGTCATCGTCAAGGTGTTGAATGAAGTCCATTCCGTTGGTTTGGTTTTCGTCGTAGTCTGGTAAGAACGGCTTCTGTACGATCGCCCTAGTTCTGACATCCGCTGACTTGTCACTACCCCACAGCCATAGTCACTTGTTGAACTGTACAGTTACGATAGCCGAACGAGACTGTCCGCTGGACACCGCACGACAAGTTCTAGTTGCCACGGGACCGTGCCGTTTGTTACAAGAAACCACCTTCATACCAGGCCAAATCCAACGTGTAGCGCACGGCTCTTCACTACAGCAAGTTCCCAAGCGTCTCCAAGTGCAATACGTATGTTATAGAGCCGTTCTTCTCCGTCTCTTCCAAAGCCTGACAAAATGTAGATCATACGCTTTTGTGACGGTGATCTTATCCGGCGATCCTGTTAGTCTGTGGCATAAGGCGACTGTTCCGTCCTCGTGAGCACTCTGCAAACGCGGTGTTCGGTAGCCCCTTTCATCTGACCACTGTCAACGATCTTCATTCTTCCCAAAATACCCTTTCGTTCCACAGCAGCCTAGTCTCACTTCCCAATCCTGGTATTTGTTCGAAGACTGCCATCCTTGACAAATACTGGTACCTGACGGCAGATATCAAAGCATACGGCTTGAACTCCAGATCCAAACGAAGAGCTTCGTTCCCCAGTCGAACCATGAGGATACAACAAATGCTGAATCCGCTCTGCGGCGACCACCATGGGTGCGAGAACTTAGAGCTGCCAACACTGCCCTCTATGCCTCGTCTGACGGCCCCGATCACTGGCCCAAGACGACAGAAGGTGCCTAAAGACGCCCCGGTATTCTCAGAAGGCAACAAAATCATTGGCCATCTCAACTACCCGCCCTACGAGGCTGGAGACGACCATGACCTTGCGGCTCAACATCGCAAGTTCCAGATTTACCCGCTGGGAGAAATTCAGAGGAAGGGTGTTAGGCATATCCCATACAACAGCGATAAGAAAGATTTCCTGGACAAGACAGGACGCGATGCATTCGAGAGTAGGTTCCCTTTCGCGTGCTGAGAACGTAAAGCTAATCGAGTGACAGTGTTCCAGTACACTTACAAGAGGCCTGGTGAGGAGAAGGAGTACGTGGTTGTCTGGGACTACAACGTAGGACTGGTCCGTATGACGCCCTTCTTCAAGTCATGCAAATACTCCAAGGTTGGTGGTTGGTATTCTGTTGATGGAATGATATCGCTGATGATAATAGACAATACCGGCCAAGGCGTTGAGGGATAATCCTGGGCTGAAGCACATTAGCTACAGCATCACAGGAGGCGCTCTAGTATGTCAAGGTCAGTTCATGCGTTTCGAGTCTGTTCAGATGAATTTGCTGATCTTGTCCAGGTTATTGGATGCCGTACCAAGCTGCCAAAGCTATAGCAGCGACCTTTTGTTACGACATCCGATGGGCACTGACGCCTGTCTTTGGCAACGACTTCCCCTCCATGTGTGTTCATCCGAAGAGTACCAGTTTCGCAAAGTTCGTCATTGATCCGACAATCGTACAATACTGTACTGAACAGACGAACAAATTCCGCATAGAAGGCGCGTCATATCGTATCTTGGGTTCCAATCTCTCGTCACCTGTCGCAACACCTCAGCTGCAGTTTGGATCTCCACCGTGGGAAGCAAATGTGTTGAGGCAACATTATGGGCGGCAACTAGAGAGCGAAAGCGGGTATGGAACTGATACCGACCGAAGCGACAGATATCTCTTCTCGCCACAAGTGTCTCCGCGCAGTCAATTCACGGCTGTGAATAGCTTCAGGTCACTGTCTCCACCGTCTCCCCGGACAAACACCACTTCTTCTACCTTGGGCTCTCCAACCAACGCACAGTTTCCTCCTCGCATCGTCCTGCCAACTTCAGTTCCGGACGGTTACTACGAGGAACATCTTCGAATGAAGCGGACACACTCCAAAGTAGCGTTCAGCGACAACTGCGATGACGAACTACCATCTCGTCCCCGAACAGCCGCGACTGTCAATAGCGATGGCGGTTACGACACAGTGAATTTTGGCGAGAGTGGACACACGCAGAGAGAGATAGATGCCGCCGAGCACCTGATGATGCTCAGTGCGAGTGATAAGATGCTGCCGCCACCGACAAAGCGAACACGTTGTGGTTCCAAGTACTGAGCATGTCTCTCCTTTCCCACCTTCCTCAGTTCCTCGACAACTCGAGATGACCGATATCGATTTCCCTCTCCGTCACGCCGATACGCGACATCCCTAACTTCTCTAGCGCTTGAAGTCGGCACACTCGTTACCAGTTTGTACCAGATTTGACTTGTTCGTTTTCATTGAGGAGCAGTTTCTCGCATGGCATCGCTTTCAGTCCTACCTTATGATATCCCGAGAAAACAAAAGCACGACACAGCATCAGGCCAGGTTCTTTACTCCGCTCAATACAATATTCTCAAAGATACATGTAGATAGATGTGCCTCCGCTGCCGTTATGGAGCAATGAATTGAAAGATTATCACTGTTATTATGTGCCGTCGCATTACGCGACGTGAGCTCACTTTGACCCAGCCTTTTGCGCCCTGAGACTTTCGACCTTCTTCTGAGTTCGAGAGATCGTTGCGTCGTCCCAAATATATGTGACACTTTCCTGCTTGACAACCTCGGCCGCCCACTTAGAGAAATTGGGGAGTGCGTCGAATCCGGAAATGATGGATTGCGGGAGAAAACCATGTTTGGCGAGCGCGTAAATGCGGAGGATGAAGGGCGCAGTCAGGGCCTAAAGCATCGTCAGTCATTTCTCCTTGTAGAGAGTGTTTCTCCAACTAACCTCAGCCAAAGTAACTTTCTTGCTTCCTCCAAAGAATGGCTCAGCATTCTTGAGCAGCGGCTCGATCTCCTTACCCACAATGCTCACGAAATCTGCTCCAAGCTTCTCTTTCTCCTCCTCCGTGTCCTTCATCATAATTTGGAACCAAAAGCTACCGGCTTTGGAGAACCATGCATCAACGAAGAAGTTAATCCGGGCGCGAGCGAGCGCGCCCTCAGTAGAGGCTGGAAGCAGGTGCGAGGGATACTTGTCAGCAAGGAATTGCGCAACAATGCCCGACTCGGTGATGATTTCGCCATCGATGTCTATGGTGGGAACGAGTCCACGCTGGAAGATATTAGTGGATATGTAGAAAGCGGGTACAATGCTGTAGAGAAGGCACAGGAAGGATGATTAAAGCGGTGACTTGCAAAGCCTGAACGCTCTCAAATACCTCTTCACAGAGCTCTGACATCCTTGTACCCTTTGCCAAACATGCAAGAAACCCAAGATATTTGTAGGACTTGTTCTGAACATACCGGGTTGATCTCAAGATACCAGGCCTCCCTCGGCTTATCAAGATCAATGATAACCTCATCATACTCCAATCCCAGCTCCTTCAGCACGATATGCGCCCTATGTGCCCACGGACAACTATGGTTCGTGTACAGCTTAATCTTCGATGCGTTTCCGTTGACGTTAGCCATGTTGAAGTCACGAGTCGGGGCCGGGGTATGTGTGGGGAGGAGATGGCTTGTTGGTGGATGACGTGAATGGAGTGATGACAGAGTAGTTGTAATTCACCCCAAATGCCACGATTGCGTATGAGGCTTTATAGAGCGTATATTGGGCCTTACTAACGAAGTGCTTTGAAATCAATGGATTGCATCAGAATGTAAGATTATCACATGATGCCAACGAAACGTGGGGTATATCCGCCGAAACTCCGAACCATTACGCCCATACAGTAAGACTGCATCGCAGTTGAGTTGCAGCCCAAGGCATATGCTGACGGCGTTACCCTTACCATAGACCATGTGTGATGCCAGAGATGAACGTGGCCTTTGAAATACGCAAGACTATCACACCGATTAATATTATAGTGGAGAGCTTGTGGTCGTGAAATGGACCTGCATATGCAATCAAGCGATCACTCCATCACCCTCCACCTTCCACTCCATGGCATTGTTATCCCCCTTGTTCTTCGCCCTGCGCTTCTCGTTCCTCTTCCTTCTGCGCTCCTCCGCCTCTTGTTCCAGCTTCTCCTTGTGCATCTCCAACCGCGCGTCCAGATTCAACACCTCGTCGTTCTTGTCCTCATCCCTCTTGCGCTTCAAATACCGCAAGCGATCCCGTACTTCTTCGAGTGTCGCGCGTCGAACTTCACCCGACTGGCCAGTCGCGACCAAATGCTGCTTACTGTTCAGATGCTCAACGTATTGGATGTTGTCCCTATGACAGTCAGTATCGTACCGTGTTTTTCATACGTCAAGTAACTCACTTGAATGTAAGATCGCAGGCTTGACAATACGCGCCTGCGCCGCGTCCCCTCTTGCCCACAGCCGCCGCTGCTGATGTGAGGGTCTGCTTGCCGATCATCTTACTCCAATCTATCCTCTCGGTTCGCGCTTCCGTGTTCTTCAGGTCCTCTGGCGTGGACGCGCGCCGCCTGTACGACTTTCCGGCTTGCTTTGCTTCCCATCGTTCTTTGGCTTCGTCGCGGTCTCTGGCTTCTCTGTCCTTCGCCTTTTTGGCCATCTCCTCGCGATCCCATGTTTTCCTGAAGTCAGTGTCACCTCCACCGGAGGTGCCGTATGCGCCTGCCTTACCGCTCATGATGGGCAACGGGTTGGCGACAGGTAGGTGTACGGCTATGGATTGGTCTGTGATGGATTCGTGAGCTGTACAGTGACCCGATTCACGACCTAGTGATTCGCTAGTGGTTTTGAAAAAGCGGAATAAACTGGTGTCGAAGGATACAGTGCAATGTAATGAAGCTGTGAATGAGCTCAGGCGTCGAAAGTTCACTGCCAAGAGACGCACGGATCCATCGCCGCGGAGGTGAGGGCTGATCAGGAAAGTGAACGCAGAAACTATTCAAAAAGTCAACCAAGTGAACTTGGAAAGCTGTATATCATGTAAAAGCCTTAGATTCTAGACAAAAGGAAATCTTCATCGAATGTTTGAAAGCTTGTAGATAAACTCAGTCATGTGTAGATGCGACTAATTCAGGGTACATTGCATTGTTATAGCTCGAATAACTTTGACATATTGAAACTAACATGTACGCATATCTCGTATCCCTGATACTGTTTGTCACTAGCATTCTCAGCGGCGGCACTCTTGATGCAGCTCGTCCTGTATTACAAAACTCATCGCTATGCTTGACACTCGGAAAGGGATCTCCTCCAAATGGCCGGGTTTGCAAGTGCAAACACCGGATCGAGCTCTCTTTATATGCTCGATGTTGAGGTAGTCGTGTTTCCGTTGCATGATTATCATGAAGGCAGCTCGCTGTGGCAACGGATGTTCCTCGTTGGCTTCGTGAGTGTTGTGAAGAACAAAGTATGTAATGGTGATCAGACATCGACCTTCAATAAGGATACTGACCCGGAGGTGGTGGAGGGTACCCGCCATACTCGAGTGGCGGTGTAGGCACAGGTGGCGGCATTCTTATCAACCGGGTAACAGCATTATGCATCTCCGGCGGCGGTGCAGAAGAACCTTCCCTTTCCCTGTCCCTCCTTTTCTTCTTTTTCTTTTCCACAGTCACCAAAGAAGGATTCATGTACCCTCTATCCGCATACCCTGCGACAGCAAAGGGGGGCTGCACAACCCTTGGCGACCTGGGGTCAGGCAATTTGAGTTCGACGAGACTGTAGAAATAGTCGAGAATTTCGGGATAGCGGAGTACTGACGTGCGCCAGTCTGCATCGCTTCCTCGCTTCAGTTCGGCCTGTGCTTCTGTGATTTGTGTTTGAAGCTGCGCGACATACATGGGGTGTATCGGTGGATGGCCTGAGTAGCGCATGTAGACGTCGTAGTTCGGCAGCGAGGCGAGGTAGGCGGCGTGTGCATGCTTGCGGATTCCATTTAGACGTTCGAAAGCAGCCAGGATATGTTGACGGGCATTGTTGATGACCCAATTTCTGGAGAGTTGTCAACGTTGTCCTTTGAAAACAGAGTGGAAATAGAGCATACCGTATATCGGCCAATCTCTCATCCATAGCCCGCTGCTCAGCCTGTTTGACAGCAACCTGTAGCCGTTCCGCCTCGCAAGGACATTCAGGATAGGCCGGCGCGTTGCATATGGCGCAATTAGGCGCCGCATCCATATCGGGTACCATTATGAAAGGGCACTCTCGGGCATTCTCACGTCCAGCGTGATCGAGAGAAGGTATACGATGCTGTTTCGGTTGGTTTCAAATTCAAAGCGAAGGTCTGTAGGCGGAGGATGTGATCGAAGGATGTGTGGTTGCCAGGCAAGGCTGGAGAATAAGAGGTGCTCTTGGGATGGTCTTGCAAAGGCGGTGACAGTGTACACGCTGCATGACGACTGTTGTGGATGAGGAGCCTTGGGGATTGGCTAGCTTTGTACTGCTTATGAAATGGGCTGTAGATTGGGCAGATGGGCGATGCGTTGTGAGCTGGCACGTCGCTAACAATAACTGAAGATCCCAACCTCAGCGTGCGCCAAGCATGAGATTCTAGACGTCGCCAGTCTTTGAAAAAAGTGATGCAAATGTTACTCTTGATGCGTCGCCATCTCTGCAGTGAACCGAGTCATTCAGTTTACTATTGCAGTGAGCATCGGTATTGCATGTTTCGTTGGGATTGGCGGAGTCTACCCCGCTTTCTCGCATGATGCTACCCAGTCTCATGATCAGTCAGTGGAGTATGCCACGAACACTTCTTTGGAACCGAGAGAGTCTTAGACGAAGAAGGGGCTGAACGGAAGGACATGCACGATAAACCACAAAAAAACTCCATCAAATGACTGAACATCAGATTCTCATTTGGAGTTGTATCTATGCAAATGTGGAGTTGTGAGTCCAAGCACGATACAGGAATGAAGCGCCTGAAAATCGAATGTATCAGTTTGTGAAGATGAAAATGGTGTCTACTGATGTAGTGACGACTCGTTGTCGTTTCGTTGCAGCTGACGAGATTCTCCTGAATTCAACACCAACGTTGACGTTAAACGTGGCTCAACTCGTTTCTCCGAGCATCAACAGACCAGCGAATCCAGAACTTTTGATGTTCGGTTATCCACGGGTGGAATTCAACACTCGACAGACGTTGTTCATCATTCATGCCAACGTTAACCTCACGCTCCCCTGCAGCCTCCGAGGAACGGCGTCCTCCGCAGCTAGTTCACGAGCCCGTCAAATCCTCGTTGTGGAGCGTACGCGTGGTTTCCAGACGCTGCTCTATGGCTAAATTGCTCGTTTCGCATCGCCTGTCACAGTAGCATTGTTTAGCATCAACCGCTCAGCGTATCTGTTCGACACAGACTCGTTGGCTGCTATGATCGGATTTCAAGAAGCTTGAACAAGACGCCACATCCACCGAATGTTGGTCCAAGACGTCGCTCTCCGCCCATGAACACAGTGAGAGATCCATGCGCGTTATCACATAATTAGCTGTCTAATAGTACATCACAATCAAGCTCGTATCAGCGATGCCTAAACGACATTATGTACTGCCAGGCTTGATGTTGACTCAGCGGATGCAAAAGTACATCCCCAGCGTCAGGCGACCAATCCCTCCGCAATACGGTCCACTAAACTAGTCCTAGATTTGACGCGCCCTTCGACTTGACATTTTGTCCCAATCGAGCAATTAGCGTCCTCCGATCTGACATCTTTTCTTAGACTGCATATGTTTTGCCCAGACGTCTTCAGTATTTCTTACATATGAACTTTTCTTTCGCGCCTTATTGTCAATTCTGTTGCCATCTCCTCCCGACAGGGCGTACTTGTCTCTCAAAACTTGAGCCGAGTTGGCGGTTCTTTCAATCTCTTGACGCGTGGCTGAAGCCAAACCGCCAGGATGACACATCCAAACCCTGCCTCCGATATAGCACAATTCTTCGATTTCGGAGCAGCAGCCATGCCGGATATTTCACAGGAGACATCTCAACCCAATTTGGCTACTGGTTTAAGTGAGGGGTAAGTGAAGCCATCTCATCTGATTTCTTCCGGCATATCGTACATCGTCATTCGACAATGGCAATAAGCTATTATACTCTGCAACTCAAGAACCCCAGAACATGTTGCATTAGACTCAGTCTAACAAGATGACTCAGCTACCATATCCAAGACGATATCGAAGGTCTCATACACACCAACATTATCCAACCAGCTGGCATAGACTTTAACACCGACTTCTCCAGCTGGCTACCCAGATATCAGAAGCCAACTCATGCTTGTGACTACTGCCGGTCCAAAAGTCTTGAGTGTTTTATCTACAACAACGATGAGCCAAGACAAGGACAAGCAGGGTGCTCGCCCTGCAACGCCTTGTTTCGACCATGTAGCTTCAACATGCCTCAGAGTATGCCAGCTCGGAGGCAAAGAACTGCTCTTGACACATTGGATGTCGTGGCTGAAAATGACGTACGACAACTTGGTGGGTTTACTGGCCGAAAGCAGTTGCGGTCACTAGGTCATCTGGGTCCCATAGAAGATGACCCTCACGGAGAGCAAGGCCTTAAGAAAGGAGCTGCTGTTGTTCGCTTCCCACGAACGGCCGTCAAAGTCCTGAAAGATTGGATTGTACAACATACCGACAACCCTTACCCAAACGATGAGGAGAAAGAAGTATTGATAAAGCAAACGGGTCTCTCCCTGGGCCAGATCTCTAACTGGATGGCGAACACTCGGCGCAGGCAGAAATCCAAGCGGAGCGCGTCTCCAAGTATTCGGCCATCAACTGAAGCTATCAACATTCCGCCTGGCAGAACATGGGAGTCCCTTAGTACGTATCCCACTCCGAAGTCTACCAAGTTTCATATATCTATGGTATCTGGCAGCGCCGGAAGGTTCACAACCTTTCGTGTTAACCGTCAAGACCAACATGTTACTTGCGAACAAGACTCGGGAAGCAACACCTTAGAGGTGCCCGTGATGCAGCAGCAGAACTGTTTCGGTTAACTCGCAACAGATCCCTTCGAAAGATGGAAGCACTCTCCTCCAGAAAACGAGCCGGCGCCTATGGTAGCCATTGCACAGGCCGTCGACGCTTTTGACCCACCAGAACCCCCAAGCTCCAGCAGTAGCTACCGAAAAGATGCCTCCAACGACAGCACTGGCAGCTTCTCGGTGTTCAAAGCGCCTTCGGTATCCTCATTGGAAACTGGCTTCACGAACATGTCGTCTGGATCCCTTGGATCTCGCAACTCCGCTTACTCTCACGGCTCACGACACTCGCTTGGCTCAATGAATAGTTTGAAGTCAAAGGAGAGGCGTAGGCGACGACAATTTGCGACTCGAGTACCGAATGCAGATTCGAAAGATGGTTCGAGACTGTTCCAGTGCACGTTTTGTACAGATCGATTCAAATCCAAGTATGACTGGGCGCGACATGAGAAGAGTCTCCACTTGTCGCTCGAAAAATGGATTTGCGCACCACTAGGCGAAGTTATCACGGATGCAGCGACTGGAAAACGTAGATGTGTGTACTGTGATACACTAGATCCTACCGACGAGCACCTAGCTACGCACAACCACAGCGCGTGTTGCGAAAAGGGCTTGGACTCCCGAACCTTCTACCGCAAAGACCACCTGAGGCAACATCTGCGACTGATGTAAGTGATTTCTATAGCCGACCGAGTCTGTCTTTGGGTCGGAGCTTCTTCACTTCATATCAATACTAACATTCAATAGGCACGGTTGTAAGATGACCACCGGCATGGACTCCTGGAAGTCCGAAGCACAGTACATCAAATCTCGATGCGGTTTTTGCAAAATGAGCTTCGACAAGTGGCAGGATCGAGTGGATCACCTGGCAAAAGAATTTCGCAGCGGCGCCAGCATGAAGGACTGGAGGGGTTGTCGAGGTCTGGACTGCCACGTAGCTATTCACGTCACCAACGCCATGCCCCCATACCTCATCGCCAATGAGAGCAAATCGCCCTTTCCGTTTTCCGCCAGCAATTCGGCAAGTATGAAGGTGAGTGTCTAGTCCTATCAGAGCGCATCTTGTTGGCTACAACCGAGTTTCCCCCAACAAGATTGCTTGGACACAGGTGATAGTAGGCTGACCAGAGTACAGCAGCGCAACGCTAATCTCGAGGCTGTGGACCTGGAGTATCTACTTCCCACAAACACCTTCCGTCCAACAACGTATGCGTCTCATGACAATCGAGCCGATGGATCCTCAAGCACATCAACTGGTCTGCAAAACACAACCCCTCAAAGCCGTTTGTCCCGATCCGAGTCGCCAAACGACAACCCAAACGCTACCTGTTGGGAGATCCTCACACTCCGCCTAGGACGATTTGCTCGTCAGCACATCGAAAAGCATGGCGCGGACACACTCACCGATGAGATGTTGCAGCGAGAAGCTCGTCACATTTTGTACAACGAGCCAGATGACCTCTGGAACCAGACTGCAGCCGACAACGCCGAATGGCTCGGTCTATTCAAGAAAGCCCACGGCATTGACTCAAAAGCACAAGCAACAGGTACGTCAACATCAAATCCCAGGAAACATGGACACCAACTGACCCAACTCATAGCCATCAACTCTTACCATGAGGTGAGCGAGGATCTGGGCGTGAACTCAAACAGACTCCTCGACCCAGCGTTCTTCGACTGCCTCGACCTGAGCCAAACCGACCCAGCACGCGCCCTAGCCTTCGAATTCTCCCTATCCGGCACAACCAACATGATCGACCACGCGCGCGAGCTCTCCTCAGGCCACCAGTCCCCGCTCCATATACCCAGCCTACGCGGCTCAAACTCCACATCCCCCATAACCCCCGCATCCCGTACCTCATCCGCCGTCCAAGCAGGCCTGCTCGACCTCCACGCCCCAATCTCCGAGCTCGGCTGCTCAGACATCCCAGGCGAGCCCTGCTACGGCGAGAACGGGGAGGCGGGGTTCTCCATCCGCCGCGGCTGCTCCATGCAGAAGGATCGGTACTGGCTCAATGCGTCGACGGCACATATGCTGCCTTCAACTACGTCTACTGTGTCTCCTGATCACACTTCTACCTCCACTACCCACCAGTCGTTCCTGGACTCCTTCATGGCTTCCATCGCTGAGACGCCGTGCTCGAAGGCGGGCGCCTCGATTCACCTCCCCACTTGGGATCAGCTGCCTGCTGAGTTTCAGAACCCGGGGTCGAGCGCGGGATATGTGTCGATGGTTCCTCTGGCTGAGGCGGGCGCGGATGCGCTGGGTGGAGATTTGAGTATGGGGGTGAGTGGTGCGCAGGATATGCCATGGGATGAGGGCGAGTTGATGGACTTTGATATGGATTTTAATATGGAGTTGGATGGGGATGGCGAGGTGGGCGCTGGGGTGCTGGGGATGGGTATGTGATGGATGTTTTGAGTCGGGAATGGAGGGGGCTGTTTGAGTGTGATTGAGATGGGAGGCGGGCTGGAGGCGTTTTCATGGTGTGGTTGGGTTTTACTGTCTCTCTTCGTTTGGGTCTTGTGGTTGGATTGGTGTCTTGGGAAGTGGTGCAGCACGTATATATTGGCATTTCAATGATGATTACGGCTCGGTATTTACGAGAACTCCGCAAAATGATAGCCGATATGTGCAATACATTGAGGCTACATTTGTTGATGAGGAGCTTGATTAAAGCAAATTCACACTCATGGTTGGTCAAGTAATGGGGAAGTTGTTTGGTGGAAGGGGCGACGCACGTGGTACCTGCCAAGCATCGGCAGTCGGCGATGATGCGTGAGCCCTGCGCAAGTGATGGTCTGGCTGTGGATGGTCGGGCAAGTCGCAAACCCTCAAGCAGCACACTTCACCCTGCCACATGTCGTAGCCGCTGTATCGACGCACTCAGGCAGACGAAGCTCGCTGGCTTCTTGACATTGAACGTTGGGTATTTTACAGTCACGACAGCATTCATCGACGCCTGGACTCAAACGGAGCATTCGAGCCTGTCTTGCCCATTCCACACCCAGCACCTCCCTCTGCTATACACCCCACACCCCCAAGCATGGTGCGAAACGGCAGCCCGTCGCCGGCGGACAAGTTCCCGCTCGGGCACTCGGCCGTCTCTCCACAGCCGCAGCCGTCGAAGCGGGACAAGCGGCGCAACATGCTGGCCGAGAAGCTGTCCGACATGGTGGCTTCCTTCTCCGACAACAGAGACAGCCACTACCGGGCGCAGCTGCACGCGCTGCAGGCCGACATCAACCTCATCATGAAGGCAGACCCGTATGCGAACAAGCCGCTCGACGACGGCGGCGAGGAGGCCTCGGAGCTCATCGCGCAGATCATGGGCACCTCGGCCGTCCCGACTGCCCCCAGCGCGGGCACCGACTACATTGCCCAGTGCGGCAAGCACTACTCGCGCTTTGTCGATGCCGTCAACGACGCCATGGAGGAGCGCGACTACAACCTGACCATGCTCTTTGTACGCCTCTTCTTTCTCATACGCACCGCCACAGCTAACCCTTGACCCGCACAGAACAAGCACGAAAACACAAAGAACGAGATCGAGAACGCGCACTTCTACAAGGTCCAGATCGCCGAGGAAGAGCACAAGCTGCTCGCAGCCACGATCCGCGAGCGCCTCATTGCCAGCATACAGCAACGGACAAGCCGCCTGAAGCGCGAGAAGGAGCAGCTGGACCTCTCCGACAGCAACGCCATGCTGCTCCACCCCAACCAGTTCAGCATTGGCAACCCGGCCAGCCCCGGCGGACCCCAGGCGCCTCGCAAGACCAGGCGGACGGGCCACAAGTTTGGGGACGCCGAGGATCTGGCCGCCAATGCAGAGAACAAGCGCAAGAGGAAGCTTTTCGAGGAGAACGAAAACGAGTCGCCAGGCCCCTCTGGCCGCAACATAGAGATGGGCATTGGCTCGCCCTTCCGCGAAGCAAAAGCGCGCACCGTCCACGCGCAGTTCGAGTCTTCCGCCTACTCGCTCGAGCGCCTCTTCACCGAGAAGGAGCTGAACATGGCCATGAACCAGGCCACGACAGCCGCCTCGCACTTCTTCGCCAAGATGAAGAACGCCGAGCCCACGCACCACGAACCCCTCTCCAACGGCACAAACGGCGACCACGCGTCCGAAAACGGCGACACAGCAGACCCAGACCAGTCCTCGGACGACATCCCCGGCGCCTCAGACATGGCCCGCACCGCATCCTCCAACCCCCACGCGACCCGCGGCGCCACCCGCTCAGCCCTAAACCCCTCCGCCATCATAAACGGCCACGTCCCCTTCATCTTCAACGCACCCTTCATCCTCGACGCGAAAATCTTCCAAAAAGCAAACGCGCAGGCCCCGCCCCCGCCCCCCCTCTCCGCTCAAGACGTAGAGCAGGACCTCAAGCTCATGCTCAGAGGCGCAGACCCCGACGACGAACTCAACGAGAAATTACTACAAGCGGCTGTCAACCCCGTCAAGGCCCGCGACTTCCAGGTCCAGCCCCCCGGCTTCGTCGAGCCCGTTAATGAGATCACAAGCCACGTCCGCGCCGTGGTCCCGCATCTTGAGGTCGGCATGCAGGGCCTGGGCGGCGTGGCGATGAGCGCGCAGAGTAGCGCCGCCGGGTGGAGCGATAGGGGCGAGTATACGCCTGTTAGCAGACTCGCCGAGAGCGCGAATGGACATGGGGGTGGTGTGCCTATGGCGCGGACGGCGAGCGGGAGTGGACGTGGGCGCGGGAGGGGGAGGGGTGGTGCGTAGACGGTGGGTGGGGGTGTTGTCTTGGTGCGTGCTGGCTTTTATACCCTTGGCGTTTTTCTGTAGGTCATGGATTGGGTTGGGTTTTGGTTTGGGGGATTGTTGGCCTTCTGGGCTTTTCATGTCATATCTTGCTTGCATTTATATCACTGTTGGCGTTGAGGAGGGGGGTTTTGTACCTGGATTGGATAGTTGGGAAGGGGCTCAGCTCAGCGCATCTAGACAATGCATCGATTGCTATCTCTCTTTCCTGAAGTCTGCGTGTATGAGTCTATGTCTGTGTATATCACCCCCAGCCATCCCAACACCATTCCCAAGATCGACCCCAATCGGAACTCTCACAATGTACATTCTCGCGTCTTGAATGTTTCTTGATCGATATGGCATGAATATAACTTTTACAAATTGATAGACTAACATCCAACGAGTAAGGCGTGATGGCAGAGTGGTCTAATGCGCAAGACTTGAAATCTTGTTCCCTAGGGAGCGCAGGTTCGAACCCTGCTCACGTCGTTCTTTTTTGTCTTCACATTCTCATATTACCAGCCATCGTGATATATCTTTTGCTTTTGTTTTTGCCTATCAAGAAGTGCGGTACCATCCATCATATATCTTTGGTTTTGGAAATGGTTTGTGGGGAACGGGAAACAGCAATATAAATCACAAGCCATACATGCATTCAACCCAAATTCCATTGCAAAGCGCTTGAATTCAAACTTTTATGACCTACATCCTTACCCCCTCACTTCCTCACTCACAATTGATCCACACCCACCCTCTGCACCACAATCCCCGTCGCCGCCCCCCCACCATTACATATCACCGCGGCACCATACTGCCCCACCTCCAACTGATGCAGCAGCGTAACCAAGATCCTACTCCCGGAGCTACCAAGCGCGTGTCCAAGGGCAATAGCACCTCCCCTGGGGTTAACTTTTGCGTCTTCGAGGCCGAGGATCTTGGCGTTCGCTTTTATGACTGCGGCGAAGGCTTCGTTGAATTCCCAGATTGCGATGTCGGTTTTTGAGAGGGAGGATTGGGCGAGCAGTTTGTGGACTACGGAGGAGGGGGCGGTGGGGAAATCTATTGGGTCTGTATTTGGGGGGTGGTTAGTGCGGTGGTGGTGGTTGGAGGGGGATGGGAGACGTACCGATCGCGGCGTCGGCGTAGGTTATGATTTTAGCCAGGACGCGACTTTCCTTCCCGTATTGCTGTGCGATTTCCTTACTTCCTAGGACGAGAGCCGATGCGCCGTCGCTAAGGGGCGAGCTGTTTGCCGCTGTGACGGTTCCGTCGGGACCTTTTTCAAACGCGGGTTTCAGCGTGGAGATCTTGTCTAGCTTGAGTTTATTGTACTGCTCGTCTTCTGTGATGAGGATGTCGCCCTTGCGCGACTTGACTGTGACGGGTACAATCTCGTCTTTGAATAGCCCGTCTTTATACGCTTGCTGCGCGCGCTTGTACGTCGCAATCGCGTAGTCGTCCTGCTCCTGCCGTGTGAGACTGTACTTCTTCGCCGTGTGCTCCGCGCAGTTGCCCATGTGGATCTGGTTGTATACGTCCCACAGGCCGTCTGCGATGAGGCCGTCTTGCAGTTTCTGGTGGCCGAATGCGGGCTGTTGGCTGGCGCGGTTCATGTAGTAGGGCACGCGCGTCATGTTCTCCATGCCGCCGGCGACCTGGGCGTCGGCGTGGCCGAGCTGGATGTTCGCGGCGGCGATGTTGACGGCTTTCAGGCCCGAGGCGCATACTTTGTTTATGGTGGTGGCTTCGATGGTGGTGGGGAGGCCGGCGAAGATGGCGGCTTGTCGTGCGGGGGCTTGTCCAACGCCTGCGCCTAGCACGTTGCCCATGTAGACTGCGTCGATGGAGGATACGGGGACTTTTGACTTTTCGAGGGCGTCTTTGATGGCCGTGGCGCCGAGTTGGGTTGCGGATACGGTTGTGAAGTTGCCGTTGAACTGTTCTTGGATTAATATCTGTGTGTGTACAGGATGAAGAAGGGGTGATCTACCACCGCGGTCGGTGTCCGACTTGCACTCAAAATGTACGCATCTCTGATCTCCTTCCGCTGAGCTGTGGAGCTGCTAAACTGCCTCTGAATGCTCGCAAGGCGCTGCTGCGGCCGCGAAGCCATCTTGAACGATGTGCGGAGAGCTGCTGACGACATGATTTAATACACAGAGAGGGAAAAAACGGCCAGAATGTGGAAATACAGAGAAGAGCAAGTCGATGAATAATTATCACATGGCGGCGACTTTCCCGCAGCCTCGAAAGCTTCATGCCTGACGATCCGTTCCTCCTCCACATTTCCGAAGGGGCCGAGGTTTAAGTTAGCGGCATCAAACGGCTTAAGGCCGGGGATCCGCAGCTCGTCCGCGGGGTCAAGCCTCCTCCACATAAGCTGTTTTTACTTTGGAGTACAGTGCATTCCTCTTATTTCGTTGACGCTTAAGATAGGGTTGGTAAACGCGAGCACAACTGTTCGAACATGAGCCATCACAAAGACGTCACCAGCAGAGCTCCCGGTCTGGCCCACTGCGTAACCATCAGTCCTGCAACGACACGAACACAGTCACCCTCGACAAGCCCATCACACCTCCCCCATCTCACACCAGCCCTGCCTCCCCCATCACAAAAGTATCAGCAACCCAGATCCCATCTCTCCTCACCGGTCCAACCATCCCACCTGACCACCCCTTCTCATCAAAGCCCCATCCATCTCTTTTCCTCGCCCATCTCATTCGCTCCCACCGTTTCCCAAAAACCTATACTCGCGGGTGCAACAAGGGCGATTTGTGCCTGCGTCCCCCCGTCCCACAGCAGCAGATGGCTGCAGGTCCCTGTATCACGCACATGAGCAGCCCTCGACCTTCTCGGCAGACTTTGTGGCTATGCCCGCTGTTAAAGGCGAGGAGACGGAAGTGATGGTGCACGTGTAGCAGGTAGGTGAGTGGACGTGTTACGTGTGTGATGGGATGGATGCGGTGTGTGTCTATTGCACAGATCACTTTTCGATATTGGTTAGCTTTGGGTGTGGATGGCATGAGGGAGGGACAGGGAGATGTAATGGAGTGAAATGAGATGGCGTATAAAAGTGTCGTTGAGCCGCGTTGTTTTGAATATACAGACTCATCACCACGTTTAAGTTTAAGTTCAAGCTCAAGTTCACAACCACAACTTCATCAACAAAACCCACCAAACACCCAAACCCCACAAAATGCGTCTCTCAACCCTCCTCCCCACCCTCGCCCTCGCCCTCCCCTCCACCGCCTACCCCTTCGCAATCCTCCACAACCTCTGCCCCTTCCCCATCTACCTGACCTCCTCGGGCGTCCCCGCCCCGCCCACCCTCCTCCCCCCACTCGCCTACCACCTCGAAGAGCAGTACTTCTCCGGCACGGGCACGGCCATAAAAATCACCCAGACGCCCGACGGCCTGTACACGGGCGCGCCCACGCTGCACTTCTCGTACACGTACACGGCTGGCGTGAGCGTGTATTACGACCTGAGTTCGCACGGGGGCTTTGACTTTGAGGGCTGGACGCTGGTGTTGGGCGGCGGGAAGGAGGATGTGGTGGAGGTTGTGTGGGAGGGTGAGGAGGAGGAACAGAGGACGGAGGTTTATTGGGGGGAGACGGATTTGGTGCTTACGCTTTGTCAGGAGTAGGTGGGGTGATGGTTGGGCAAGGGAGGGGAGGAGGGTTTGGTCACTGGTGTGGGTTTATGTGGTGGGCTTATGTGGAGTGGATCGATGTTTGGGTTCGTGTTTGTTGTAATTAGCTACAATGTATGTGTATGCTGCAGATTGGCAAGATAATGCTCCTTCGTTGTCTCGATGTTCGATGTTGACAGATCTGTGATGCAGTCAGATCCAGTTCCCGAAGTGTTCGCACCATATCGTAAACGTACTGCCTCCCATATACGCAGCCCTTCTCATGAAAGCGCTTGTTTCCTCTCCAGCTTGTCTTCCTGCAGTCTCGATCCTCACTCACTTCCTATCATCCTCCTCAACATCCATCACCCCAAAGTCACCCTCATCGTCATCATCATCATCCTCCCCATCCCAACCCATCTCATCCCCACTCTCCAGAAAGTCCTCCCCAGAGAGCGTGAACCCCGCACTCTTCACCCGCCCATCCTGAACCCTCAACCTCTCCCTCTCTAGCTCTCCCAGGTGCCTCAGCCTCTCTCCCTCCACCTCACCCTTAGCAACAATCCGCGCAACCGCCGCCAACACCCTACGCTGACCATACCGCGGACCCAGTATCTCCAACACATCAGCGACATCCTGGTCCGTGATCGCATTGCCAGAGGCGGAGAAGAGCATGCGCTTGCACGTCGGGCAAGAGTTTCCGACATCGAGCCACGCGGAGAGACACTCGAGGCCGTGGATGTGGCCGCAGGCGACGATGCGGACGGCGCGGTGGGACTTGGTTGGGTGGGCGGTGTGTGGAGGTGTGAGGGCGAGGGGCCGCGTGCAGATGGTGCAGTCTTGGGAGAGGTGGGCGTGCGAGGGTTGGAGGTGCTCGAGCCCCAGGCTTGTGAGGGCTTCTTTGCTGGCGAAGACTGTCATGTTGGTGGTGGTTGGTGTGGTGTGTCGGTGTGGGCTGGATGAGGTGGTAGGTTAGTGGGTTGCGCGAGAGAGGTTCTACAGAGCTGTTGTGAGGCGATGTCTTGTAGTGGTTGATGAAGCAGCGCACGGTCGTTGTCGTTGGTGAGAGTGAGACGTATTTGAGAAAAGCTAAACGAGCAGCAAGTAGGAGAGTTATAGTTTCGAATGCAAACACAGGTAAAGTGAGAAAGGCTTTGGTATTGGCTGAGACAGAAGTTGAACTGCCGTTACCATGGTTTGTGTCTCTGTCAACCATGGTTCAAACAAATACTGCCTTCGTCTAACCAATCCCTTCAACAGAGTTGTCAGCTGAGATGGAAGTTCTGGATAATTCGGCACTGACTCGCTCTTTCTGGACCGAATGGAAGGTGCACTTCCTCTGAGCCTCCTCTTCCCAGTGACGTCTTGAAAATTTAACGAAACAGACTGCACTGGGTGTGCACTTACTCCCTAAGTCCGCCACGATGGACTAGTCAAGACAACGAACATGCTCCCGTCACGACGGTATGATATGGACGAGGACAGTATCAAAGCGTACTGATGGTACAGCCAAGTGTAGAAGAAAGTATGATTTGCATGCACGTCTGGACGACAGACGGGCAACGCTGACCAGAGACGCAAAGCTCCACGTGTGAAGTGCATCATTTTTGTAGCATAAAAAACTATGTGCCCCACATTAGGCATGCTTTCACCTATCATCATATTGTTGTAAGGTCACTTCAGTCACAGAAACGAATAGATCGTAACTAGGCAAAGTAGGGAGACCGCGAATTACAAAAACTAGGCGTCGACGTTAAATTCAGTCTGATATCGTGTTCTGGGGTTTAGAAACGAGGTATTGGTTATAGAGAAGTAGAGCATAGCCTGTATTACGCATGACTAGAAATATGGCCGAATGAGAGATCACAAAGGTTGCATGTTCACCGAGAGCGAAATTCGGATGCGAGTTGTGACTAAGAGAAGAGACTGGACAAACTAGCCTTGCAAACGTCAGGCTGAGGTGATGGGGAAAAAGTAGCTCGAAAAAAACATCTGCCTGCAACTTACGAATTAAAATTTCTACCAGACGACAACTGAACAATTTTACGAGAAAAATACACCTACTTAGCTGCACACGGGTCGTAACCTACTCACTCACCAAACATGCCTTACGAGCTGTAGGCTGCCACTCACTGTTTGCAGCCACAATATCACGGGCGTAACAACCGACAGCGCCAAACTTGTGAGATCCCACGACGAGTGGAGAGAGATGATTCGGCTGTCTACCCCAGCCTGCAAAGGCATGTGTAACGGCTCTCACCGGAAAAGAAGGTGTGTCGTCTGCAAGCTCTGAGTCATTCGGCTGGTGGCGAATAGCATCCGACCACAGCAAACCATGGAACCAACACAGGCTACGCCGACCAAGCCCGAGACGCGCAACCACTACTTGACTGCTGTTCTCGTGTCTGTTCGTGAGTTTCTTTCACGTTTGCTCTTTTCCTTGTTGTTTTGTCTCGCGAAATTGCAGGGGTGCGTATTTAACACAACGCCGGAAGCGTGCAGGCTGATGCACAGCGTCTCTGCACGCATTCCAGGGCGGCAACAGGTGTGCATTCCCAGCTCCAGCAAAATTCTCGAACGGAAGTCGCGATGAAATCTCCTTTGTCGTTTCTTGCTATCCAGTGGTGTGTCGCAGCAGGTGAGGCGATAGGCGATAAGGTGACTGGTCGCAGCCTGTATTCGCTAGGTCCGGGCCCCGGCGTCATCGCTGGTAATAATGGAAGGCACGGCCGACGTGTGCACACTCAATAACGCGACAACACCATCGATGCACGCGTCCCCGTCGAGCACGAAGGTGCGGTGAGTGCGACAGAGGCCGCTGTCACCGCCTCTTCAAGGCCCAGACGTCGTGGAGGTCGAGGTGAAGCTGCAAAGTGAAAGGAGTCGTGCGTGCGGAACCCCTTTTACTTGCGCAGAAACTTCTCGCTACAAGCAGCGGGGCGTGCTAAGCCACATATGTGACACCTAGCGTGACACTAGTGTCGACAGGCCAGCCCGACGGCCAGACCGCGCGCATATAAATACCTGGCCGCCCCGCGTATTTTTCAGCCGGCTTCCGCAACAGCATCACAGCTCGGCCGCCCTCAACCTTTCCGCACCCACCCCGACCGCAGCACAGAAGCTACTGTACTTCATCTGCGCGCTCTCTAATACTGCGACTGGAAAATAACCCCGTGCAAAGCCGCGCATCTACACTCTCTCACAGGTCGAATCGGTGTTTTGCGATCGGCGCTAGGCATATCACGTTTGCGACAGCCGCAATACGAGCAGCCCCATCTCCAGGTGCATATCCCGACTCTCACCACCAAAGGCTTGCAGGCATCGCTTTTGGTCTCTACCACCACATATTAACTCGTTGCTGTCGTCGCCGGCTGCATCGGGCTCCTCCATAAAAAAAAACTTGTCAGCGTTTGCGAGGGACACATTCGATTGTAGCTCTCCTGCGTCCGGTACGGTCCTCACCTGCCCCCAACAAGACCTCTACGGCGTCGACCGACTCGCTCCATCTGCGCGATCTCGTAGTCCGCCCGGCTTGACCGTCGCTGCTGTCCGAGCCAAAGTCTGACTTGTGTAGTCTGTCAAGAAAATATCTTCCGTCTTCATCTCGAGCTCATTACTCGGGACCCCATCCTCAGATAGCATCAATCATGGATCCTTCTTCTCTCAACTCGCATCCGTCCACCGCCGCCCAGGCCAAGACGGTAAGCTATGGTGATACTTGCATGTCTTCAAGTCGTTCTAACCTTCTCTCCTAGTTCGTGGCTCCGGGCTCTCTCGCGTATCCTAATGGCGTGGACCTGACCCCACCGACCTCGGAGAAGAACACTCAGCAGGTACCAGACAACGCGAATGGTGTTGCGACCCCTGCGGCTACCCCCGATACCCAGAATGGCCAAGTCCCCTCTGGTATTGTGCCTACTCTTCAGAACATCGTCGCTACTGTCAACCTGTCCGCTCGCCTCGACCTCAAGACTATCGCTCTGCACGCCCGAAACGCTGAATACAACCCCAAGCGTTTTGCTGCTGTTATCATGCGTATTCGAGAGCCCAAGACGACAGCTTTGGTCTTCGCAAGTGGAAAGATGGTTGTGACTGGTGCCAAGTCTGAAGACGATAGCCGTCTCGCTTCCCGCAAATACGCGCGGATTATCCAGAAGCTGGGGTTCAACGCCAAGTTCACCGTATGTTGCGCCGGACTTACTGTCCTTGGCCATGGCTAACAGCGCACAGGACTTCAAGATCCAGAACATCGTTGGCTCCTGCGACATCAAGTTCCCCATTCGCTTGGAGGGTCTTGCCAGTCGCCATCACACTTTCTCGTCGTATGAGCCTGAGCTGTTCCCTGGTCTAATCTACCGCATGATGAAGCCCAAAATCGTCTTGCTCATCTTCGTCAGTGGCAAGATTGTCCTCACGGGCGCCAAGGTTCGCGAGGAGATCTACCAGGCCTTTGAACTCATCTACCCAGTCTTGTCAGACTTCCGCAAGTCCTGAACGCTTCTTTATTGGCGGCTTGACATCTCGAGTGACGATGAGCCTTTGGACGCGCTTCATTGACGTGCCAGGCTTTGATTCGAACTCACTTTCTCTATACATTTTCATCTTTGCGGCATTGCATGGCGTTACGGTGGGCGGTTATGTCTCTTTTTTTCTCCAAAATCCTTCCAACTACCCCTAGACATTTGCAGGGCGCCTCCGCCTCCAGTAATTATGTTCTTGGAGGTCTTATGATGTGTTTCTCGTCTCTATTTTCTTTTAGCGGGTACGATTACGTCGACGAGAATGGACGCGTGTGGGGATGAACCAAGATTGATCAAAGCAGTGGTGGGCGTGATGGCGCGTCGGTGCGGGTGTGAAAGCCCTGCACGGAGAAGCTCATAGTGGCGGCCGACGAGATGCCAGAGTTTCTCGTGGATTGAGCTCTCCAGTAAGCAGCCTATCGTGGGCTATCTACGATCTACTCGTTGAGCGGAGTGGACTAGACAGTAATATATCACGATATCAAACTATGATATTTCCTCTATATTTTTGACTGTGATGATCTGTAATCTCAACAGCAGGGTCGAGGCCTACCGCTGAGTGTGAAGCGAGATTCGAGGACGTCGATACAAACTCGTGGGTCGTGCGTGCATGCGTCAGTCTGCGTGGGCCGATGTCTAGCGCCTGCCGGGTCCTCGTTTACTGTCAACAACGGCGCGCTCCTCGACACCACCCCACTCACTCCCTCACCCACTGCCTGTCAGGCCAGCCATGTAAACCGACGACGAAGGTCTAATATCTAATATCGCCTACCGATGCATTCCATTACCGCCACCATTTCATCTCCATACTCGCCGCCACAATGGGCATCCCGCGCATCCCCCTGTTCCGCATCTGGTACTCGTCAACGTATACAATCCTCGTCATCATCCTACTGCTCCTCCTCGCCATATCACCCGCCGACACCATCTACCAGTCGATCAAGACGCGTGAACTCCAGAAGATGTTCGTTGTTGGCGGCGCATATCTGCTGACGGGGCTGATCATTCTGCTGGTCTACTCGACTCGCATCTACACAAACCGCACGGTGCTTGGTGCGATTCCAAAGGCATATGTTCCTGTTGAGGATGGGGAGGTGGGGAGGCTGGTCAGGAAGATGATTGTGGGGCAGTTGCGGAGGAGCGCCATCGTAGCGTGGGATTCGCGACCGAGGGATATCAGGGAGGACACAGAAGAAGGATGGAGCAGGCCAGCGACGGCAGAGAAGGACAGGCACAGGAAGAAGACCAGTCTCGACGCGACGCTCCTCACCGTGTCCGCCGCCTCGCCGCCTTGGGGCCACGTCTCCCACCCAGGCTGGGCATCCCCGTGCTCCCCTGACCTGCCCAATCTCCAGTACTGGAGTGTCATCTGCGAGCTCCCCAACCTCATCGAAGCAAAAGCCGTCTCCCTCGCGCCGCCCGACCCCACCCTCGAAGACACATCCCACCTCTACCCCGGAGACACGCCCCTCCTGCCAGACGCGCAGATCGTAACGCTCCTCCAACGCCCACGCACAATGGGCCTCCGCTCCTACCTCGCGCGCCTCGCCAGCTTCGGGCTCCTAAACCCACCAACCCTAGGCCCCACCTTCCTCGCCCAATACGAATACGCGCGCTTCTCGACCGACCCTCTCACCGAACCGCAATTCCGCGCCACCATGTCCGTATTCGCCGAGATCCTCAACGGCATGACCATGCTCGACCCGCTCGTCATCGAAGAAGCGCGCGCCCGCGACGACTTCCCCCTCGACGCCGACGACCGCAGTCTCGCGCCCACGGAATCAACAACGAGCAGCAGTAGCAGTAGCACAAGCAGCGCACACATGCCCTACCGCACGCCGCAGCTCTCGCGCCAACGCACACACAGCCTCACAGACACAATGCACACCCCGCACACAGCCCGCGGCACCAGCATCCGCAACCGCAGCTCCGGCATCTACGCCACGCCGCGCACCTCGTCGGGGGACTCCACCTCGTTGTCGGATTCCAGCAGCGCTGATGACGCGGGTAGTGTTGTCGTGCGGTCGCAGCGCCCCAGGCCCGCGAGTGTGGTCAGACCGGGGTCTAGCACTGAGTCGCTGGGAAGCGTTATTCGCCTGCATCCTAATCCTAGCCTCGGGGAGTTGCCGTATATGTATCAGTTTCAGGGGCGGGCTGGGTATTCGGGGGAGGCGGGGTGAGGGGTGGGGGTGGATTGAAATGGGATTTTTTTACTTTGTGGGCTGAGTGACGGGGCTGAGTGCCTTGATGCTGGGCCGCGGGACGGCACGGAAGATGAGGTCGTGATGCTGCTGCGTCGTGGGGTTGGTGGTGAGAGAAGCGTGGGAGGGAAGAAGCAAGAGATGACGAACAAGGAAGAAGGAGAAAGAAAGAGCAGACTGCAAAAGTCACTCGTAAGCCACATCGAAGGGTGGGGAATACGTTCGAGATGAACGGTGTTTTTGGGCCGTGTTGGTACAAGGCTGCGTGTTTGTGTGTGTGATACCCAATTATTTATTCTAATCACTTCTTTATACTGAGCGTGTAGCGTTTGTTATAGATTTATTTGTATAGCATTTTATGATCTGTATATTATATTCGAACATGGTAGTTTTGTCTGAATAAACGTTAGGCTTGACTATTCCTGAAGGCGTTGAGTGATGATGAAGATGAATAAACATACACATGTACCACCCCTCCTGGGACTTTCATCGCAGGCAGTCACCAACGAATAGCTTATTGTGATGAAAAGTTGCTAGTCAAAGAAAAGACTACGATATGATTTTATCCAACAACCCCATCACCAACACCCAACAGACACAAAAACATATCATCACAAGCATTCTCCATCTACTCCGCAACCCAAACAGCAGCCATCCCCATCCCCGTCCCAATACACATACTCGTAACCCCGACCCTCTGCCCCGTCCTCTTCAGTTCCGTAAGCAGCGTACTAACCTGCCTCGCCCCCGTAACCCCCAACGGATGCCCAAACGCAATCGCCCCGCCCTTAGGATTAACCTTCTCCCTAGGGATCCCCAGCTCGTTAATACAGTAAAGACACTGACTCGCAAACGCCTCGTTAATCTCCCAGATATCCACATCCGCAGTCTGCAAGCCCGTCTTGCGCAGCACGACAGGGATAGCGGCCGCGGGACCCACGCCCATGAGCAGCGGCGCGACGCCGACGATAGACGACTGTACGTATTTCCCCACGATAGTCTGGCCGAGGCGGACGGCGGTAGAGCGCTTCATGAGCAGGACGGCCGCAGCGCCGTCGGAGATCTGCGACGCGTTGCCGGCGTGAATCGAGCCTGATTTACTAAACGCCGGGCGGATTTTAGCGAGGGATTCGGGGGTGATGCCTTCGCGCACGCCGTCGTCGCGGGACACGGTTATGCTTTTCTCCTCGTCCGTCTTGGGGTCCGTCCACTTGACCGTTAGAGGCACGATCTCGGCGTCAAACAGGCCTTGCTGCTGCGCGGCGACGGCTTTCTGGAACGAGGATGCGGCGAAGGCGTCCTGATCTGCGCGCGAGACGCCCTTTTCTTTCGCCATGGCTTCGGATAGCACGCCCATGCTGACTTTGCAGTTTGCGGCCTCGGTGTGGGCTTCCAGCGCGGGGCTGAATTCCGTCACGGCTTGCGGGCCGTACTGGGTGCTCATGCTCTCTGCGCCGGCGCCGATGCCGATATCGATCATGCCGGATTTAATCGCGTTGGCGATGTCGACGCACGCCTGTAGGCCGCTGGAGCACTGGCGGTTGAGGCCCTTGACTGCGGCGGAGACGGGGAAGCCGGCTGCGAGGGCGGCGGCGCGGAATTCTGTTGCGCCGCCGCCGGGGGCGAGGACGGTGCCGACGGCGATGTCTTCGACGAGGGAGGGGTCGATGCCGGAGCGTTGGATGAGCGCTTTTAGAGTGCCGGTTAGGAGGTCGGCGGGGTGCGTGTCTTTGAAGCCGCCTTTGCCGCCTTTTGTGATGGGCGTGCGGAGCGCGCAGGTCACGACGATCTTTGGGGGGGAGGTGTTAGATGTGTGTCGTCTTGAGCAGTTTTGAGCAAACTCACGTCGTCGTCATGCTTTTCCAATAGACTGTCTCTGCCTGTCTTCGCTTTGCTGCTGCTGCTTGCAGACCCGCCGGTGATGTGGTCTGCAACCTGCGTGAGGCGCTCTTGAACTGGTAAAACGCAGCATTAGCAGAGCTCTTATCTCCTCTTCACCACATCTCCAACCACACCACTACTACAGACACCCATACATACCTTTATTAGGAGCCTGATTCGCCATATCGATAATATCCCTCAGCTAGTCGAAATACGTATATTGTGGAAGAACAAGAGGAACAGAGTAACAAAGCAGAATATAAGACGTTTCGCAACGAGGTCATCTGGGCCCTAAGCCGTCCGGTTCAACGCGCCGAGGCATCTTCCCCATGCGGAGTAGCTCGGCCTGGAGAGTTTGTGGGGGCGCGTCATGTCATGCAACCATCATCGCTGACCCGACACGACACGACTCTCCCCAGACCGCTGATTTTCACATGTGAGACATCTTCACATGTCATGTTGTATTTTGTTGGTGGGTAGGTGGTTTGTCATGTGGGATTCAAGGGTTGATACAAGCTATGTAAGAATATTTACCTAGGCGTTCGTTTCTTTGTTTTCATGGTCTGACGGCTAAACGGCCTGAATATATGGGAGCATCTATGAGAAGCCGTGCAAGACCGAGGTATCGCATAAAATGAAATATCTATACTCGTGCTGTCTCAAACTCGTCCGTGAGTGTGAGTGACGCGCAACTACATCTAACAGAATGAGTCGCGTCTTCCCCTCCCCCAAACGCCATGCTTCAAGACTTCACTTCAGCGCACATCCACCCCATCACCGGCTGTCCTGCCTCGCGCGTCGCTCAAGCTCGTCTACAATGCTGTTCCTCTGCACCTCCTCGTACCCTGGCGGCGGCTCGTTGGGCGGCTGAAACGCCTCCTGCTGTGGACTCGCCGGCGGACTGGATCGCTGCGGGCTTTCTGGCGCAGCGACGGGACCACCCACACCCATGCCATCTGTCGGTGACCCAGGCACCGTATCTTCCACCTTTGCATGCATTCCCGTGTCCTCGTAAGCGGGCAGATCCTCCAGATGCACCGCGTTCAGATTGACGCCTCCCATCCTCCCGCCCCCACTACCCCGTCCATCCTGCACATCCACACCACTCTCGCGCGCAACATCGACAGCCTGCCGTAGCCGCTCCTTCAAGCGCTCGAATATGCTCGCAAAGTCGAATGCGCCGCCCTCTTTGAACTCCATGACGAGGTCGAGCTCGGCGTGTTGGGTTGGGATGCCGCCGCCGTGGACGGGGTTGATGATGGCTTCCCATTTGTTGGCGCCGAACCAGGGTGCTGTGACGCGCGAGTCGGCGACGTTGAGGATGGGCACGGCGAAGGACTGGAGCGTTGGTGTCGGCGAGACGGGGAGGTAGATCATCTGTTGGGCGGACGTCAGTGAGACTTCTTCTTGATAATGTAGTGGGATGGATGTGTGTACATACCCGTCGATTTGTGAGGTACACCACCCCCGACTTGCACTGCTGCGCATACCCGCCGCTCGTCTTGGAGTGCACCGACAGCGTCGTCCTTGGTGGAGATTGATAAAGCGTCTGTTCGCCCGGCAGAGGCGTATACCCACCGCTCTCAGCGAGCATAACCCAACTACGCTTGCGGTCAGACGAGCCCTTCTTCATCGTAACAAGCTCTGGGGGAAGTGTGAAGGGAAAGGAAAGCACATACTTGACACTCATCCTACTATATCAACCACGCGCTTCCAATAACACGAAACCTTAATGTCTATCGCGTTTCCGTTCCGTTCAAGACAGCTTGCTCGCCCAGCAAACAAAAGGGTCTCGCCCTTGCCTCGCCTCGCCCCTCCCCAGGTGGTGTGCCGCGCCAGGCACGCACACTCGCAGTTCGGGGGGCGGGTCGAGCTCCACCGCACGTCAGGGCGAGGGAACCGCTCAAACCGCGACTGCACGGGCCCGATCGCCACCAAAACCTCCCTTTAGCGTCAAGGTTGGGCGGGGGCCGAGCGGGTGGGTGGGGTTCGGTCGTGCGTGGCGCGCCTGTGTCGGTAATCGGGGGGTTCTGTTATGGTAGGGTAGGGTAGCTATATGTGTGTGCGTGTGTGGGAGCTTTGTACGTATGTCAGGGAAGTTGCTGGGGAGTTTGGAGGTTTGGGAGATAACGGTGGGTGTTGGCGCGTGAGAGTCCGCAACGAGGCTGCAGCGTTCGCGAGTCTTGTGATGTGGCTTGCGTCACCCACCCACACTCTTTGGGAACGGGGATCCGTGACATTTGAGTATTCACGATATTTTACCGACTCCATTCATATGTGGAGATATTGTAGACATGGGCTTGTGTTTCACTTGTTTCTTTTTTACCGATTCCTACTTCTCGAGTATCAAACGCTGGAAGATAACACCATCCTGTCCGATCATCAAACGACTACCTAGACATGACCATCCTACAGCAATTTAATCCATCAAATGAGAAGACGAGGAGAGACTCTGGTTCGCCTCGGTAACAGTCCACCTTCTCTTCGGCCCACTTTTATGCTCGTATATATCATCCAGTCTCGGCGGTCCCCACAGCTTCGTCGTGCCTGTCTGCGTCTTCGGACCGCCCCACAGCCCTTGCTTCTGAGTCGGAGTCTGAGTCTTTGGTTTCGAGCCAGCCCAAGTCATCGGACTGAACAACGGCGCAACAGCATCGCTCTTCTCCTTCTCTTCGTGCGTGCTGACGCGCGTGAGGTCGTTGGTCTCGGATGCACCGTCAGTGTTCGGAACGACGGATGGGGCAGCGAGTGGAGTTGAGGCAGGCTTCGGCTTTGGCAGTGAGTTGCCAAAGTTGAGGACCATGTCTGCGCCTGGACTCTGTCTTCCGTCAAGCGATGTTTCTGCGACTGCTGTTTGACGCGCACCCCAGAGGCCGCTCGTGGGCGGATTGACTGCACTGGCGCTTCGTAGGTGGCTTGATCCAGAGATGGTGGTCCGTCGTACACTGTTTACCGAGCTGTTCCACGTCTTCACAGGCTCACCAATAGTGAATGGCGGCTCGATAGGACTGCTCGTCGCAGATGAGCTAGAGTAGCGTTTGTATTTCGTCGTGGGACTCGGCTGTATGGACGGCGATTGAGTTTGGGGCTTTGGCTGTGCCTGTGGGGGTTTGGAAGGGTCGACGCCTGGTCGTAAGTGGTCGACTGAGGCGAGGACCTTCATATCATAAGTATCTGCCATTCCGGCATCTGCGACTGATACCCGGCGCTCGAGGGCATTGCTGTTCGTGGACAGCCGTGGCTTGTCTCTGCGAGCTGCTAGTGATAGGGACGCAAGACTGATATCCATGAGCACAGGCTGGTTTGTGATGGCACCGAGCAAAGCATTACACCCTGCCCCATGGGTAACCAAGACAAGCACGAGCTCCTCGTCCTCCTCATCGGTGGCTTCCCCATTGGGGATCTTCAGCTTAGGAAGAAGCTCTGGGGCGTTATTCTTGACTCCGACTGATGCCGCAAAAGGTCTCGTCGGGTCTCTGAACATGAAGCCTGGAAACTCATCCTGGGGAGGTTCTATGCCGTGTTGTTGATACCACTGCATCATGCATGCCAGTCCCTTGCGGAAGCGCTTGTGCATGGTGCTCCACTCATCCCCGTACTCGCCGCCATCGCCCCACTCCTGCGGTGACCGCATGCTATCCCATTGAAAGTCGACGTGAACGCAGGCTTCTCGGGCGTGCGCAACGTATCCCCGGGGTATGGGATCGGAGGAGGAGATCGAATACGAAGGGGCTGGTGCGTCATAGATGTGACGAGGTATTTGGTTCAAGTGCGTCGCAATCGCCGCCCGGTTCACACGCCCTGTGCTGCCCAAGCTGCCCGAACGCTCCCTAAACGGCGAGACTTCCCCCAGGCTGCCCATAGAGAGAGGTTTGCCACTGTCAGGGTTCTGCCGACCGACGGCAGCGCCCTTGCCCATCCAGCCTCCTGGGAAATGGCCTTTACTGCTGTGCGTATTTGGCTGGTCACCAATGTAGTCTCCTCGCCGCAGCAGGTCCGCTTTTGCGCCCGCCACCATCAACGTTGAGTTGGGCGGCGGTGTGATATCCTCGTAGTAATCCGGCGACAGCCATTCCCCCAGAAAAGCATCGATGCGCAGCAGTACCTTGTCCGGGCCTGTATGTGGTTTCGGGGTTCTGTCGTGCTTGGGATCTGCCACCAGCTTCAAGAATTTTGGCTGCGACGACTGCGGTGTCGAGCTCGATGCCTGTGTCAACGGAGAGCTGTTTTTATCCTTTGCCGGTTTTGGTGCTTCGACTTGCGGCGTGTTTGTGGGAGTGGGAACTCGATACTGTGATATTCCTGCCGCTACCGCTGTACTTGTTTGTACGCATCGCAAGAACGGGCTCGAGTGAATGACAATCTTGCGCTTCTTCTTTGGTCGTTGCGTGTCCTTGGAGACATTCTGCTTGCTGGACGGCGCTGTGTCTGCGCTCGAGCCAGCCTTTGTCGCTTCAGGCTTTTCCGTGTCCCTCTGGTGCAGTAGAGCGGCTATTCGCAGTCCCAGTGCCTTTCCTTGCGCCCAGCCGCCATACGTGAGGGGAGGATCGTAAGGCGTGGGTGAGGTAAGATGCCATGTCTTGTCAGCAGCATCGAGACGAGCACCATGTCTATTTTAGTCGATGTTAGATACGGGACCGGAACATGGGAGCCGTGAAACATAGGCATCATGAACGAACCTAGCGATAACAACGACTGCAGGACTCTTGGCCATGGTCGCGAAAGAACCTCGGCGCGAATGCAGCTGATAGTCGAGCACGTGCTACTGCTACTGCTACTGTAGTATTATAGTGGAACGTTTGTAATACTACCGGAAAATTATGTTAGAGCGCACGTCAGGGTTGATTGTAAGTTTAGAGCGCGAAAAATAGTGATCGAGCTTTCGAGCGGGGATGAGCCGTTTAAAGGCCTAGTGACCTCTGCGGGCTCCAGAAGCCTGCGAACTCCTCATCTTCGTGAGGGGTTGTCTATATTGGTCTTACCACCACTGCCAGGTGATGCATCGTACCACATATCCCAACATATCTATCGTCTCTGGACATACTTGTTTCTCATGCACGTGTTTGCAACGGAAAAAGTTCATCTGATTCTATGACCGTGCGGCCGCAATCGGCGCGGAGCTTGGACTGGAGCTTGAACAGTCCTTTAAATTTGTTGCCAGTTACATACTACTCCAGATAGTCTCCGCCCGTCTCCTTGTGAACAACGTCAAACAATGGTTTTGCTGAAAAATACCCCGCCATCGGACTCCCTATAGTTTTGTGTGTATACGCCGCCTCCTCCTCGCCAATCTTCACTGTCTCACATCCTCTCCCACGCGCCGCCGCATCTGCCAATAGCTGCGTGTGGCAGCACTTCTCCAGACTTATAAACCAGAACACCGCTTCCTCGATACTCTTCCCCACCGTCAACAGCCCATGGTTCTGTAGCAACGCCGCCTTCTTATCACCCAGTGCTTTGGCAATGTTTTGTCCTTCCTTCTGCGCAAGGACGACACCTTCAAAGTTGTCATACACGACATGGTCGTTGTGGAAGGCGCAGGAGTCTTGCGTCGTGATGTCGAGCGGGCGACCGAATGCGCAAAAGGTGCGTCCGTAGAGGGAGTGGGAGTGCGCGGCACACATCACATCTTCCCGAGCGGAATGAATGGCTGAGTGAATCATGTATGCTGCCGAGTTCAGGAGACGAACTTCGCCACCATCTATGACCTCGCCGTCATGGTTCACCAGGATCAGATCCGAGGACTTGATCAAGCTGAAGGCCACGCCGAACGGATTAACCCAGAATGTTGTTGGGTCCACAGGGTCCTGAGAGACGTCAGTATCACATTTTACCACCCATTAGTAAGTCAGACGTACTCGCAAGGTGATATGTCCAGCTACTCCTTCATCGAACCCATATTTTCCAAAGATTCGGAATGCCGCAGCGAGCCGGCCCTTCAGATACGCGCGCTCCTTGTACGGATCGTCGAACTTTGGCGGGCGTGGGAACATTGGCATCTTGACCTTTGCATCCTTCTCGTTCAATCCAGGCTCGTTGGGTGCAACGGTGTTTGGCTTCGTATCGTCGCCAGTTTGGGGCTCGAGTGCTGATGGAGGAGACATGTTGTGAGTGCTTGATTTTTGGTAAAGTCCTGATGAGATTGTTCAGAGAGATGATGAGTGTGAAAGATGAGGAGTGAAATAGGATCGTGAGACGGGGCTAAGCAGTGGCAAACGCTTATTTCCCTCCTCAACCAAAATGCCAACACGACTGCCTCGGGAACAAGTCATCCTAAATCCCACCCCCGCCCCCACTCACGACATGCTGACAGCGCTGTACTCTACCCTGTCGGTTGGTCGCAGGTCCAAAAGAGTGGAGTACGTAAAATGCGGGGTATCGGAGATCGGGGATAAGGCACGGTGCGGAGATTGTATACTACAGATCTTGCAGGCACGACACGAGATAAATACCACTCAGTGGTCCGGATCTTATTCGAAGGAGGGTTCTTGTTAAAGCTATCTTCATGTGCAGCCTGCATTCGCCCCTGGATATAGTAACGCGCGCGCAATATGTGACCTGTTCGATGTCGCTCACTATGTCGGTTTTCTAATTCTGTCGCTATCTGCTTTTGTATAAAGCTGGACATTGACTCTTGTCAAGAAATTGGGATCGCAGCCTCGACTTTGTCTGCTATAACACGTGCTGAGGCTGCGGGAGGATAATTTCATTTTCTCATACGCTAGAATTAGTCGCGGACAAGGCGAAGCGCTACCATAGCATCAGCACCACAATACCTCGGTAAAGATGAATGTTGCTCGTAACAAGAAGGTGATCAACGCAAAAACCCTCTTTCCACCTCCCGATATGTACAAAGCAAACTACTATGTAATCGAGTGAGCCTTGGCTGAAAGTGCCCGTCTACAGATGTAATCCAACATCCTTCAGCACATAGTCCAGGAACTGAATACTTCGGCGAATTAATAGCCCCGTGTACATGCGCAATCTACTTCGTCGAGAGATCCACCTTGGTCTAGCTTAAATTTTTAGTTTTTTGTCAATGATTCAATGCAGGAGGTTGGGAGTCTGTCATTGCTGTCCAATGATCGCTACAGGGGTTAGCCGAAAATACGCACTGTCACGACTGTATGGCCGGAACCAACTCCCGTGGATCTTGTTTACGGGTATCGTATTCCCATCAGGTAGTCAATCTTTACATGTAGTTTAGCTCCCGAGACAATGACTTGCAACTAGCGGTAACTAACTGCACTCGGCGATGCACGCTGACGTCTTGCATGTTGCTTCTCCAGTCCAAAGCGGAAGATTCATATCGCTCAGACGAAGGATGGCTAAAAGCTGTTCAATTCGAGGACACATACCACATAAACTAGTTGAAAGCCGCACGACTACCCAATGAGGCAGGCGGTCAAGCTCCAATCAGTCGTCTGGATCAGGGAATATTTGGCCCAAGTAGCGACAAGTTGAGAAGCGTCTTAGGGAGCTCTGCTAGTCTGACCGTGTCTAAGTTATCTGATTGGAGCTTGGCTGTCTCATTGGGGTTGTATAGTATCGCACACTCATCCTGTGTAGACTTCAGAGCTTTCTTCGAGTGCTAACCTCGCCGACCATGATGCAACTACACGAGGTCCACTTGACCAATAGCGGGTACGCCTCAGGCAGAGTCATGAAGAAATCCCTCAGCACCTACTGGCACTTGTAGTTTGATGAAGGTTCACATCTGTCAGCATGACGCGTCGAGAGATCTGCTGTCTGATGCCAGATCCACTTGACGCGAAAGTAGCAACATCGGAAAAAGCCAACATGGCATCACGCCGCATAAGCGTCGGACCATGTTCCGTTCCCGCTCCCTCCTCTATGTTCACGCTAACAACTTCTTGCAGCATCGGCTATGCTAGAAACGAATGGCGTTGATGCGTAGCGCTGGAGTAATGACCGCAACGGGACGGACCTCAGTGATACTCGATGATCCAGGAACTAGTCCTATACGCTTCGGAAAAAGCAAACGCTTTAGGTTTGTTAGTTTCGTACGTAAGGTAACTATACTGAGTTTGATCCGGACTCGCCATTTCCCTGGAGAGGCTGGCTTAGAGATACCCTAACCATGATAGGTCCTCAAGCTTCCATATCACCTGCAGCTTACAATTGAGATAGTACATGCAGCTCTTTGGTCTAGGCTGATAGTGGGACGCGCAGGACGGACTCGTGCAGTATGCAAGCCACTACGGCTGAGAGGATCATGAGGAGATCTGCAGAATGCATGATCGACCACCTCCATTTCATCCTCGCCCAGCTGATTCGCCAAAGAGTAATTTGACCGATCACGATGCGCCTACGTAGGTCAAGATCTAGTGTTGAATCTAAAGTTGTTGAGCCTTATAGTACGAGCAACTGATCTAGTTCTTGTAATCGAAATTTCCTATAAACCTATCGCAACTCAACTGTCCCACATCCCACCAGTCAATTCCACATGCTAGGGTTCAAGTCTTTTGGTTTGTCTGCCGTTCAGGTAACAATTCCACGCTAACACTTTTCTTTTAGGAAAGAGCGGAAAGAAGAAGGCCCAGATTATAAACAGCTCACCGGCAGGTAACGAGCAACCTTCATCAACACTTGACATCTCTACAACACCAACTACACCGTCCTCTGCAAAGGACAGTCCGACTCGTCCAGAAAGACCGAATTCTCTGCGATCCATATTCCGTCGCTCTTCGGCTGCTAGCTCTGTTGCAGACACCACCACATCGTCATTTGCCAATCCGCCGGCTTACAAGACCACACAGTCTTCGGAGAGCACGCGCCAGCCTAGCACGATCAACTCTCCGACCAGAAACTCTGTGTCATCACCTGCGTCTACTGACACAACTTCGACGAGACAAACGCAGAGCCGTGTTGCGCCTACTGTGCCTAATCTGTCTAAGGTCAGCGAGCAGTCTCAAGAAAAGACCACGCTAGAACCAAACACGGTGGCTGCACCTCCTCGTATGCAGCCTTTGACCAGTTCAAATATCTCAAATCACGCGATCCCTGACAAAGCAATGTCTCCCGGCGGCAACCCTCCACAGTCGCCCAGTATGACGTCCCCACGACTTTCCACATCTGGTCAATTTGACAGCGCGAGAGAATCTAATGGCCCCTTGAGTCCTCTGTCGTCACCCAAGCAGGCGTTACGCCCTCAGGGTCGACTACCATCGTTCACCTCCTCTCGCGCTCCGAGCGGTGCTTTTAGTGCCATGAGATCGGTCAGCAAACCTACCCGTGGCTCCGGCACCAACAAGATCAGATTTGTCCAAGAATCAGCCAGCTCGCTGAAGAAGAAGAGCTTGGCTGAACTAGGCGTTGGTGCTTATCAGGCAATCTCTGATGTTTCATACGTCAAGTTCCTTGAGTGGATTAGATCAGAACGTCTCACGACTCTGCCTCATAAAGGAAGTCGATGGGATAAGGTGCTCATTCGTGGCCTTTACTTTGCTGAGCAGCTACACAACTTCGAGCAGGTCATTCAAAATTTTGCTGTTGATAGTAGTGTAGCCGCTGCCATTGGGTACGGACATGCGCAGCTTCTTCTAGATGTACGTCTGACTTGAAACTACTGTCAACATTGCAACTAATCTGGAACAGCTCGGCCACCACAACTCCGAAGCCTTGGACAAAGCATTCTCAGTCTTCTACAAGTTCGCGACGTCATTCTCCTTCGTATTACATCGTTCGGAATTACTAGCAGCTACACCAGAAATTCAGGAACAGCTTTGCCTGCTGTACACTGATCTCTTGTCACTGGTGACCGATGTTGCTATCAAGTTCTACAAAACAGTCAATGGTAAGAATCTCTTGCGGATAAAGATTCAACTCTAACAACGCCAGGTATGACTTCAGATGTCATCAGCTTCGACATATTCGAGCTTTTTGGCACCTCGATCGAGACTTTTAATACGCGACAAAGTTCGGTTGTTGAGCTAATCTGGAGTTTTCAGATCGAGAAGGCGGAATTGGAGGATGGAGAAGGTATTGTCTGCTTTTCACATCATTCTCATCGGTTTCTGACATTTCTAGCCCTCGATGTCAAAGTCCTCAGTAACTGGCTGGAACCGAAAGACAGAGTCTTGGCCTCACTAAACCGAGATCACTCAACTTTCGTTGAACAACAGGCCGACTTCACATGCCTTTGGTTTCAAAAGAAACTCTCAAACTTCATTCAAAGCGACGACAATTTCTTGTTGGTCACTGGCCAATCAGGAGCAGGAAAAACGACACTGGCTGGGTCTATCATTGAGCGCCTGCAGCGACCTGTGAACCGCAAGCAGTTTGATACAGTGTTCTGCTCTGTGTCACCCAATATCCCGACTACCGCGACTTCACTAGCTGTCGTGAAGTCCCTCCTTTCTCAGCTGCTCAACATGAGAGTTGGAAACATGGGAATGTACTACGCGCTCTTCCGGGCTTATAATGAGTGCAGAGTCGCGGGTGATGCAAAGGCTTTCGAGGATCACCTCTGGCAAGCGCTTATTGAGACCCTTCAGGAGCCTGCCAAGAACTCAAACGAGCTCGTCATCGTTGTTGATGGCCTGGACGAGATTACTGAGTCCCAATCGACCTCGGTTCAAGCCAACGGTACCGCTAACCCTACCGCGTTGCTCGAGAGACTAGTTAGCGTCACCAACCAGGGCCTTGGGGTAAGGTTGATCACGTTGTCTTCTTCGATCAAAACCCCAAGCCTGAAGGGATCTTACCACGAAATAACTCGTGACGATGTCCGAGACGATATTCACGCCATCGCTATCAGAGCTTTCACTCGCAACCAGCACTTCACTAGTCAACGGGCATACGACCAAGAGACTTTCCTGAACCGCATCATCCAGGCAGCCAATGGATCCTTCCTATGGGCGTCCCTCGCCTGTGAAAATCTGAATACGCAGAAGTCCCCTGAGGCCTTCACCAAGAGTCTCGAGAACCTAGAAACTTCGAAACCCTCTGTCCACGATCTGGTTTTGAAAGTATTCACTGCACTCAACACGACCAGTCACGCGAAGACTCTTCTTTCGTGGCTGCTTGCAGCGGAGCGACCGCTCACTATCGATGAGATCCACACACTCTTCACAGTTGACATCCGCAGCGGAACACTGTCCGATACGGGCATCAACGTCAACGAAATTCTCGACACACTCAAGCCGCTCCTGATTTTGCACGAGCGTATTGTGCGTTTCAGGCACCCGCTTGTTCACTCTGCTTTGGCCCATCACGGCCAGGTTTCCAAAGAAAGTCAGACAGACTTACTACTCAGAGTTCTTACATACGCCAAGGTTACCTTGCGTGACGAGAACGAGCCTCGATGGATCGAATCTTCTGATACAACTGTTGCCGATCGTCTTTTCCATAAGCATCCGTTTCTCGAGTACACTGCAAGATATTGGGTACTTCACCTTCAACGATCCCCTCTAGCTCCGAAGCCGAATGAAGTGTATAAGGCTACCGCGGAATTGCAAAAGGTGTTGCCTTCGACTACGCTCTTGCCTGTCTTGGAACAGCTATCCTGGAATATTGAACCTCCTACTCGAACAGTGGAACTGCACAAGCTTGCAGGAACTGTTCGCCGAGCGGTCTTCACCGTAAACCATCCTTCGGTTCTCCAGACGTACCTGGCCATCGTTACGAACTACCTTCTACGCTCCAACACGAAAGAGGCTCAAAGTTACCTTTACTATTGTATCACCATCGCTCGGAAAGTACTGAGCGACATTCACCCTTTGACGCTGGAATGCGCCAATCAATTCCTCATGATTACTGAGACTTTGACAACTACTTCGCGCACAGAAATCATGACGCGTCGTGAAGAGACTCTGATCATTTTGATTACTGCGTATGAGCGCCAATACGGCAGCACATCTGAGCTGGTCACCCAAACTCGTAAGCTCCTTGCCGAGCTGTACACCTCAATCAACGAAGAGGACCGTGCACTGGAAATTTACCGCCTCATCCAGGAATCTGTGGTACAGCAATATGGCCGAGGGTCTGTTCAATCTCGAGAAATGCAGAGTCAACTCGGTGTAACACTTGGGAAAGGTCAAAATGGACGTGATATCGACAGCTACCAACATCACCTCTTTGAAGAGGAGGACGAGGATGACGACGAGCTTCAAATATTCACCCTCGCCTCCATTGGTCTCTACCTGAGACGAGCTGAGTCACACATGTCTCGCAAGGAGTTTGCTTTGGCAGAGAAGACTTTCGTGGAACTCTGGATGGAAGTCTCCTCTACATGCCGCACTGTCCAGTCCATCGAGTGGCACGAGAAACATATCGAGGTTGCCACGATATACTCGCAGTTCTTGAAATCACAGTCGCGAACCACAGAATCTGCCGCCATCTTGACTTGCATTTGGCAGCAATATTCTCAGCATCAAGTGTCGTTCGCCGAGTCGATCGTTTCACGACTCTCTAAAGTTGCTAAGGAGATGAAGAGCATAGGTTGTTACTCACAGGCCTTGTCGGTGTTCAAGTTCGCCAACTCCTATAATAAGAGAGTGCGAAAGGAGGAGTCCCAGTTTTCGCGTGAGATCGACAATGAGGTGTGTTCCATCACTTGTTCTTTTATGGCAATGCTTACATGATGCTAGATTTCGGAAACATCGACCGAGTTGGTGAAGCAGAGCCTGTCTGGCTCGTCCAGTGTTACCGAGACTACAAGCACCGTCTCAGAGTCCGTGTTCCAGGACGTTTTCTTCTCGATCATCCAATCATCCAAGGCTGTTGATTCCAGTACCATTGCGCTTGCAAAGAAGCTGACAGCTCAATACGTTGAGAAGAAAAGCTACACTGAGGCTATCAACGTCATACATGCGACTCTGAAACGGACTTGGTCTTCCTTTCTCTCCAGTTCTATTCAGGATGTCGTTATGACGACCACATTTACGCAAGAGTCAATCGAATTGGTTGAAATCCTTGCCGAGATCTATGTACAAACCAGACAGTTGGACAAGGTAGAAGACACGTACAGTCGCTTTTTCCGAGCCACCTTGGTTTCGCAGAACGTGGACAAGGTCACTTTCGAGAAAGCCAGGACGTTACTGATCGGCTTTTACGATAAGCACGACTATGCAGACAAAGCGATCGGTATCTTCCAAGAGATACTTGTGACCTATCGCGCTCGACTCGGACACACCCACGAGTTGACGATTCAGACGCTGTACACCTTAGCACGCAGGTGTCAGAGTCATCCCAGAAACCATCCTTACTGGATTGACTACTACCTGCAGATCATCACCAGTCTCAACAAGGATTCAGATGTTTGCCACAAAGATGCTCTGGATGCGATTATTATTGTCACCAATACCTACTCGGAGGATCGTCGCTATGCGGAGGCTGTTACCATCTACCGCGTTCTGTGGAATACCTACGTTCGCAACACGAAGGAGCACAAGATTTTCAGCGATGCCAAGTTCGTCTCGACGCTGTACGAGCGCTACTACCGATGTCTCGAAGAGACGAAGGCCAGCTACGAAACTCTATACCAAATCACTGACGAGTACCACAAGACCACCGTCGCGACGTTTGGCGCAGAATCTACCATCGCGGTGGAAGCCATGCTGCAACTTGCTTCCGTAAGCCAGCGTAGCGAAAAGCACCTTTCTCAGGCAATCTCTCTTTATGAGTCTATTTCCAAATCGTCAAAAACTTCAACGACGAAGATGAGCGTCACGGATATCAATCAAGCTCTTTCATCGCTTTACGTCCGTCAGATGCACTCGGCGTCTTCTTCCACTGTCAAGGCTGAAAGCGTTCAGCGTGCCTTGAGCATGACCGAAGAGCGATTTGCGGAAAACGCGAGCAAGTTTGGTTATTCTCATGAATCCTCGCTTACCCAGCTACGAGAGCTTGTTGTGTTGTACCACCGTCAGCAGAAGACAGATCTTGCGGTCAAACAGCTTACAACTGCTGTTTGCGAGATCATCACCAAGGAAAAGTCGAGCCAAAAGATGATTGAATCTGCGGCTTCAATTGCTGCAAGCTTCCATGCCTGTGAACAGACAAGCACCGCGCACAGTCTTGTCGAGGAATTGCACCGTCAAATATGTGCCAAGGAGACTAAGTACACAGAAAAATGGTCGTTTGTCTTGACCAAGACCGACCGTTCGACTTTGGCTTTCCTTGCTTCCCTTCAGTACAACCTTCGCGAGGACTTGACCGTCACATTTGCCGAGATCATGGCTGATCTCACCATGGAGTACATCTACTTTGAGCAGTTCAGACATGTCCTGCAGAACAACGGTAGCATGAAAAACATACTCGTGGCAGCTGCTCCTCTCCGGTGGTTCTTGCGCCGCAACGGTCAAGATAAGATGATATCAGTCGTCGAGGACCAAGCAGTTGGCCTCTTCGTCAAGAGTGATGCTAAGGATTTGAACACACTTAGCAAGGAGTCACCGCGTATCTTCCTTATCGGCATCCTGGAACATATGGGCAATGGCCGCAACAAGGACTTCAATCGATCCGTCATCCTTGCGAGCAACAACAGTGTCGCGAAGCTTACGAAGGCCAAGAGGTTCCCCGAAGCGTACGATGTAGCCAATCTTGGTTTCCTGTTTGCCAGTGGACATGATGGTTACAATGGACCCAGGGCTATCGGTCTCGGCTTCAAGCTTGCGTCCTTGCTCGTTGGCCTCAATGGTGAGAAGAGTGCTGATCCTGCCCTGCGCAAGAAGACACTGGAACTTTCCAACCGCATCGTCAAGAAGATTCTGGACATCTGCAAGAAATCTGAAGTCAACTTTGCTCAAATCCAGCTGTCTGAGCTCAGCAACCTGTCAGCACTGCTCGGTGAACAACAAGATTACGAGACGCTCGAGGTAAGTCCTTCCTTGTTAACTAGTCAGTACGATGAAGAATATACTAACATACTATGCAGTGGCTTCTCAAGACCCTCTGGAACACACGCGACGCTCAACGATCCTGGCCAGCAGAAGTCTTGCTCAACCTTGGTCGCCGTCTCATCTGCGCCCGCTACCTCGCCGGCCTACCCGTCAAAGCCATCCGCCTCGCCGAAGACATCGCCTACAACATGCGTCGGGCCCACGGCCCCCGCGCCCCCATCACAATCGAGACATACGAGCTGCTCGCCCAGCTCTACACATCGACCGGACAATCCTACCAGGCCAAGACCGCATCGGATCCCTCTGCCCAGTCGCTCGCTCGCGACTACTTCAAGAAGGCTCTGGGCGTGCACGAGGATATCCTGCGCGTCGTGGTGCGCGAGAAAGACGACGACTCGGATGAGGAGGACGAAGCTACTGCGTACCTGCTCGCGAAAGAGGGCGTCAGCGTCAGCACCTCCAACGGCCAGCATGTCAAGGCCCTGGACGCTGATAGCATTGATCGATCTGCTATTGCGCTTCGCCATCTACACCTCCTGAAGCTGGCGTACCAGCGACTGGGTGCTTGGCCCAAGTCGAACGACGAGTACATCCGCCTGAATGCGCAGGTCTTTGGCGCGTTTGGCAGCGAGTCCAGCTGGAAGGGCGTGCAGGGCGTGGAGAGGTGGGATGCGAAGCAGTTCGGCTCGGGCAAGGCTGAGTCGCAGGAAGGTGTGTTTGCGGGTGTCAAGGACTGGGGGTTTGGCAGCGATAGGTTGATTCTGCACGCTCAGGAATACCCTCAGAATGGTGTCTAGTTTTGACGTTGTTGAGAGAATAGTGTTGTGGTAATTGGGATGGTGGTGAAGTGGGGAGATTGACGGCATGGATGCTTGGATGAGATTATGTTGATATATTTCCATTGTACCAAAAGTTAGCGAGCGTAATGATAATGTTTTGATATACAACTTTATTACCTACACCTGGTGGTTCATGATCAGACTTGAGGGGTTTCTATCCATTAGAAGAGGTGAGACAAGTTGCCTTCCGCATTGAGAAAAGTCAGGAATGGATAAACACAGTAAAAAGGAAGCAACAATGAAAGCATGTTTTCATGCTCTAAATAATTACAAGTCTAACACGCTATCACACACGATAATTCAAGAGCCAAAACATCATCCATCGAGAAGCGCTCAACGGAATAGTTGAACATGCATCAGCACCAAAGCAGTCCGCTTTCCATCTCTCATGTACGCCAAAACACCATATCATGCCACAAACACATGCTACCCTCTATTTCTTCTTGCCCTTGCCCTTCGTCTTCGTCGCAGACCCATTCGATACGATGCTGCTAGCTCGGGAGGGCGCAGGAGAAGCCTTGCCCTTGACGGTATCTAGCTGCTTGTTCTGTCGGATGTTAGTACCTGCAAGACTTGAACCGCGTAGTCAAACACATACCTTGACGCCGTTCTTAGCCTTCTTCTTGACCGGCTCCTCCTCCTCTTCTTCCTCCGTCTCCTCCTCGTCAAAGGCTCGCTTCCCGCCCTTGCCGTTCTTCAAATCGCCACCCAACTCACGCACAACAGCCTGGATGAGCGTTTTGCAGCGGCGGCCAATCTCCTGTGGTGTGCGGCTCAGGAAGAACCAGTCAAAGCGGAAGAGCGGCGACTCGCGGATTTCCTCGCGGATCTTGTCATAGATAGTATCGCCCTCAACGCCATGCTTATTGAGCATGACGAGCAGGAAGCGATCCTCTTCTTCGGTGTAGACCTTTTTGTTGGTTGTCGAGACCGTGTACTCGACCTTCATCTGCTGCAGGGGCATGCGGTACATGCCGATCTTCTTAGCAAGCAGTGTCTTCTTCTGCTCGAATTGGCGTACTTCAAGCTCTCCCTCCTCGATGACACCAATGTGCTTCTGCCAGTTGTCGAGCGTCTTGTACTTCTTCCAGAAGACCTTTGCGTAATCTGCAATCTCTTCGGTCGTCTTCTCCCCGACTTCTTCTGCGATGGCCTCGTAGTTTGTTCGGCCGTACTTACCAGAGCCGCGCAAGAAGGCTTGGAAGTCGCGCTTTGACCATTCAGGGAAACCCTTCTCGAGTAATCGTTCCTTTTCTGCTTTCTCCTCGTCTGTCAGTGGCTCGGCATTGTCGATCTCCTTCTGCGCAAGCTCCTGGTCAGCCTCGCGCGTCTCGAGATCCTCGTCAGGGCCGTCAGGAAGAGGAGCCTTGAGGTCGTTTTCTTTGCGGTACCAGGCTGTCTCCTTGTCTTGAAGCTCAGACAGTCTCTCCGGGAAGAACTGGTAGTCGTGTATCAAGATCTGCTTCGGTGCTCGAGGAATCCTGGGCCCCTTGTTCTCGGTCCGCCCGCCAGTTGTCAGAGCCTTTCGGTAGTACGAGTCGATGCCGTAGTTCTGTTCTTTGCGTTCACGCTTCGCTGGGTTAATCCAATTCAGACCAACGTCTTTCTTACGCGGCTGGAACGTCTCGCCATTCCACTCGTACGTAGAGTCTGAAGTAAACTTCTGCAAATCATCAAGACCCAGTGTTTCGTACTTGGAATTGAGTTTCTGCGTCAATTGTTCGCCGCGCTTCATGATTGCATCGAAATCCTCGTCATCGGCATTTTTCTCACCCGTGACCGCATCCTTAGTGTTAAATAACTTGTCGGCGCCATGTTGAATCATGGTCAGGAGCTCGTCCTTGGAGGCGGCATTCTTAACGGGCTGCTGCGCGCGACCCTGCTGAATGACCAGCTGGTCGAGACGCAGCTTCTGAGCGGCACGCTCCAACACCTTCTCTTCAATGGCGTTCTCTGTCACAAACCGGAAAACATAGACCTGCTTGGTTTGGCCAATACGATGGGCACGGTCCATGGCTTGAAGATCTGCTTGCGGATTCCAGTCGCTGTCGAAGAGGACGACAATGTCTGCAGTGGTCAAATTGATACCCAAGCCACCAGCACGAGTAGTCAACAAGAACAGAAACTTCTCTGAGCCTTCCTTGTTGTAATCGTCAATGGCTGCGATACGGTCCTCGTGAGCAGTAGAACCGTCGATACGGCAGTACTGGTAGCCTCGCATGACAGAATAATCTTCCATGATGTCCAGCACACGACTCATCTGCGAGAAAATAAGGACTCTGCTGCCTTGGCCCTTCATGCGCTTTAGTAGCTTGTCTAGAATGACCATCTTGGCCGCATTGTTGACCAAGTGTTCGTCGGTAGTATATGGTGGACCAGGTTCGGCGCCTTCGAAAAGATACGGATGGTTACAGCACTTGCGTAGTTGCATGACGATGTTGAGCAGACGGGTCTTGGACTCCTTGTTGCCAGCGCCACCATTGACCGCATCGATGTCCTTTTCGAGAATCTTTTTGTACCATTGGACTTGCATGTCGGACATGCCAACGTACAAGTTGACCTCCTTCTTAGGCAGCAGCGACTTCTCAACATCGGCCTTGACACGTCGGAGTAAGAAGGGTCGCAGAACCTTGTGAAGCTGCTGGACAACCGTGTCAGAGTCTCCCTCCTGCTGAGAGAACCAATCATCGAAGGCGGCAGCGTCACCGAAAACATCCGGCAATAGAAAGTTGAGAAGCGCCCAAAGTTCGTGCAGGTTGTTTTGAAGCGGAGTACCTGTGATGAGCAATCGGTTTCGCGAGTTGAATGAGCGAACCATCTGTGCGAGCGAAGACTCCTCGTTCTTGATGCGATGTGCTTCATCAATGATGATGTATTCCCAGGCGAATTTCTTGAGATGCGACTTCTCGCGCAGAATCATCTCGTAACTAGTGATGCAGACATCGAAGTTCTCATTGACCAGTCGATCCTGGATCAGCTGGGCACGTTCGTCCTTGTTTCCCTGCAGCACAAACACATCGATGTCTGGACACCACTTCCCAAACTCGCGCTTCCAGTTGTCTAGAGTAGATTTGGGCACAGCGACCAGATGAGGGCCGGTGATGCCACCGATGAAGCGGAGGTAGCCGATGAAGGAGATGGTCTGCAACGTCTTTCCGAGACCCATTTCGTCGGCCAGGATACCCGAGATACCGTTCTCGTGGAGGGAGATGAGCCAGTTGAGACCAGCAACCTGGTAGTCGCGCATGGTTCCTCCAGCGATGAAGCCTGGCGACTCCCGGAAGACCGTCTCATTGTGGCCGCCGTGTTTTTCCTCGCGCACCAGCTCAGCGTCCTCCTCCTGCTCTGTCTTGCGGCGACGCTCCGCAGCCGCGCCACCTTTGCGCACCTTGCTGGCCTTGCTCTTCTTGACCTCTTCAACGTCTTGACGGTCGATCTCGGCGAGGATCTCTTTGATGTGCGGGTTGGGGTTCGTGTCGATGAAATGGCGGAACAGGTCTGTCAGGCCAAGCAGGTAGCGAAAGCGTCGAATTGTGTCGTCTTCCTGTGGTAGCGCGAAGCGTTAGCGGAAGGGCCAAAGTCGAATGCGCTGGGTGGTGTCAGCGTACCTTTGACGCGCCCAGGCGGTCATGCTTCTTGCCAAACATGCTCTTGCGCATGTTCATCTCAGCGGCGCGTTTCTTGCGACCGTCTGTTGGCGCGTCGCCTGTTACGCTGGTTGCGCGTGTGTTTGGCGTTGTGTCTGTGTCCTGGTTGCGAGTCAGCGTGTTGGGACTGGGGAGGCACGAGGAGGGGGGAGAGTTTGTACTGTGTAGTCGGGAGTGTCTTGATTGTACTGTGGCTGCAACGTTAGCCTGATTGCTTTGTATTCACACCCCCCTGCATCCAACCCAGTTTCACTGCGGTGAGGCAGGGAGGCGCATCAGATCGCGCTTACCCCGAACTTCTTGAAGCCGTTCATCTTGTCGTCCTGGTCCTGATCCTGCATCTCCGTGTCTTCGTGTGTCGAGACGTCAACTATCGAAGGCTCCTCCGCATTCACGCCGCTCCTGCTCTTTCGCGGCATGTTGCCCGTCTGGGCTGTTCGCCGCGTCTAGTTGGGTGGATGAAGCTGCTGCACCTGCACCAAGTCGAATGATGCAATTCCTGGCGGAAGTGGAGCTCGTGGCTGATGGGGATCGCGTACGCGTCGACGTCGTGGGCGTGGTAAGTGAAGTAGTAAAGGGCGGGAATGTCACAGAATAATGCGCGTCGAGTACGGCAGGCGCTTGAGCCATTAGCGCCACTATCATCCGCGCCGGCTCCTCCGCGCGAGAGACGAGACTCCCTGGTCACTGCCAGGCTGTTTTCAACGTGTCAAATTGGCGACCCAATCCCTCACTACGAAGCCTTCGCTCAGTCTCAATCTCGCATCTATCGCACACTATCAATGGACGCGTCTTTAACATGACGTCAGACTTCTTGATGCCGAGAGGCTAATCGATGTTCCTTTCAGCCCCATCAGACGCCAGACGATTCGACAAATACATCTGTTGCAAATTTCCCGACATAGCTAGATCTCGTTGACTACGATGCTAAAATCATTCGCGTACTCGCAAGATATGTCGATAAGTTCATCGGTGTCTCCAACCGTTGCCAAGTATCTGTTGGGGTAGGGGTAGCTTTATCGCGCCCACTGCAACGCAACTCCACTTCCCCGAACACCACGCGATAAGAGTAGTACCTAGATCCGGGAGGACGCCGGCATTTCTCGAGTTCCTCTTTGCGATGAATCTCAAGCCGTTTACGTATTTACGCCCAGTTAACTCGCCGTGGCTGAGACGTTGACCTCTCAAAGCCCGACTTCGTAGGGCTTATCTCCAGCCCAAAGCCCGTTCGTGCAGATATGCAGGCATTCAACCCTCGTTTTGCTGTAGTGTTTATTGATATAACGCAAAGGCTAACGAAGGTGGGATTTGAAGTGGGTCTGATCATGACTTGGACGAAGCAACGCAGCAATCAATTGTCGCTCTGCAAGGTATAAAGATGAAGACTGAACCCCCCGGTCAAGTTATCCTTCTCATCAAGGTCTCAAGTCAAGATGGGTTTCCTCCGGTCCTTAGGTGTTGTCGGATTCGTTTCCAGCGTTCAAGCTGCCGTCTCATCTACTGGTTTTACCGTGTCCCTGACGGATATCGACTACTTCCTCCCACCGAAGCCTGTTGCCAACATTGCTGGATGTGATATAATCGCATCTGCCTTCAAGGATGCAGACTTTGTACCTTTTACTGTCGTGAAGGTCAACGGCACCCTGGATATTGCTTCCACTACGGCCCAATATGCGGAGCAGGACGACGTCTGGCAGGAGGCCTTTCTCGAAGGTGTGTGACACCCCTGGACACTTCTCACCATTCCAAGAGACTACTCGGTCAAACTTCGGCGTTCTGAGGCTTTTTTGGTTCTCATCAAAGAAAACCGGAGGCCTCATCATTCTTGTCAAACTAACTTTCCATAGCACTGTATATTCAAGGGAGCAATCAGCCGGCCAACAGCTCTGTCACGGTCCTTACAGGCACCACGTCCAGCGAGTTGAACCCTGGCCCGTATTTTATCAATGCTGCAGGCAATGTCTACGAGGCCTGGAGGCTGTACTCAGATAAACAGGGTGCATTCTTCGAGTCTGTTATTGCCAGTGACGGAGACTCCTATTCAGTGCTTCCAGCTAGCACCGTGGGTCAGAAGCTCGCCATTGCCGTGCCTTCCCGTTTGTACTTTACCAAAACTACCGAGAAGCCATTAGCTGGCGTTCGCATGGGAATCAAGGATATCTACGATATTAAGGGTCTGCGAACCTCCAACGGCAACCGAGCATGGTACTGGTTCTACCCTCCGGCCGAAAACACAGCGACTCCTGTTCAAAACCTCATCGATGCTGGCGCTGTGATTGTCGGAAAGATGGTCACCAGCCAGTTTGCCAACGGGGAGGTGGCTACAGCCGACTGGGTCGATTACCACGAAGCTTTCAACCCCCGAGGCGAGGGTTACCAAGACACGTCATCTAGCTCTTCTGGTGGAGGTGCTGGTGAGGCCTCATATCCGTGGCTCGATGTTACGCTTGGTTCAGACACTGGAGGAAGTGTACGTGGTCCTTCACAAGTTCAGGGAATTTACGGATGCAGGCCTTCTCATGATATTGTTTCTCTCGAACACACAATGCCGCTTAGTCCTGTGCTCGACACTGCTGGCTTGTTGGCTCGCAACCCCATCCTCTGGAAAGAAGCGGCCCAGGCCATGTACGGCTCCAACTTGACTATCACCAACACCTATCCAACACGCGTTCAGACACTTGCCTGGCCCACGACAGTCACTAGCGTTAGCGACCAACTTCTAATCGATTTCCTTGGAAATGTTACTGATTTCTTGGACGCCAACGCTACCGCATTCAACATCACCGCCTCCTTCAGCCAAGACAACCCTACCCTTGCGCCTCTGACTACAATTCTCAATCTCACCTACCCCCTCCTGATTACCAAGCAGCAGATCGGGCTTGTCCGCGACCCCTTCTACGCCGACTACGCCGCGAAATACGATGGCCGCCGTCCTTTCGTCAACCCTGTCCCACTAGCACGATGGGGCTGGGGTGCAAACGCAAGCGAGACCGTTGCGGAGGCCATTGCTAACAAAACAACGTTTATGAACTGGTCCGAGACAACTTTCCTCGCTCCATCTGCACAAACATGCTCCCAAAGTCTCGTCATGTATGTGGGTTCCACAGGCCGAACGAGCTATCGTAACACATACCTGACCTCACCTGGTGTTCCGTTTGGCTTCAGTAATAGTCGCATCTCGGTGTTTACCGAAGTGCCAGATTTTGTCGTCCCGATTGGTGAGGTGGCGTACAACTCGACAATTACTGGGCATGTAGAATATCTACCAGTGACCGTGGATTTCATGGTAGCTAAGGGGTGCGATGGCATGTTGTTCTCGCTTATCCAGGATCTGTACGAGGCAGGCATTGTCAAGGAGAGCCTGACCGGGAGGAGCGGGATCACGGGCGGAGAGATTTTGCTCAAGAGAGGATTAGGGTATTGATGGTGACATTCTGATGATTATGGATACGGCCTTTAGATAGCAATGACATGTCCTGTCGGAATTATCAAAAATGAGCCTGTGTAGCTTCATTGATATTGTGTCGATATTTAAATGCGATGACAGAACTCGTTGATGTCTTTCGAGGATGACGGTGGCTGACTCTTGCCCCGCCAAACGCCACACCTGTCATTTGTGTCTCACGTTCTCGACATCTTGATCCCAGCTCGTGTGCAGCAGCCTCCGCGTTTCCGAGCCCCAACAACATTTCTGGCGCCTCTAATACGCCCAGATAGCCGTTCGCTTTTCCACCGGAACATTAGCTGTCGAGGTTCGCGAGAACTGGAAGGAACAAAACTCTAAATATCGCAACCTTATCATGGCGTGATTTACTCCTGCCTCCTCACACACACGACAACCAATAGCGCATAATTGCGCGCGCTCCGGAGACAACCGAAAAGTAAAGGTAGCTATCACTTGAGGAAGACTACAGAAGCAATAGCTGACTTGTGCGCAGCCAGCAGCTTCCAGCGTGTCCTTGCTATCTTGTATCTGGGCTGCGTACGCGTACTCCAACTCTCAACCCTCACCAACCATCTATCGCTATCCACATACAAACTCGCTCTGAATATATATACAACATCGCAAACATAGCAGCCTGCGAGGCGATATACCCACCATGGCGAAAGACAAGAAACCCCTTGCGGTTATGAACAAGGTGGTATATGACAGCTTTCTGTCGACCTTCTCTCTCCTGGTGGAGCTCTTCTTCAGAGAGGTACATCCCAGGAGTAGCTGGAAAGTGCCAAAGGAAGGCCCCGTCATATTCGTATGCGCGCCACATGCTAATCAGGTAAACTATCATATTAAGCACACTACGACATTTGAAGGCTGACATGGACCAGTTCGTCGACCCGCTCATGTTGATGCGCGTCGTCAAGAAGTACTCGGGGCGCCGCATCCAGTTCCTCATAGCCGACAAGTCGATGAAGCGGAAGTTTGTAGGCGCAATGGCAGGCCTGACAGGTGTTGTGCCTGTGGGCAGGGCAATGGACCAAACCAAACCAGCCGAAGGCAAAATTTACCTCCCCGACCCCATCAACGACCCATGTATAGTTCGGGGCGTTGGCACCAACTTTGAAGATGCCAATTTCCAGGTTGGCGGTTCGCTCGTGCTTCCAAAGGTCGACAACAAAGCAGCCACTGCGGAGATTCTGGAGATCAAGGGCCCCGAGGAGATCAGGCTGAAGCGATCCTTCAAGGGAGGAGTTGCCATGCAGCAACTCACGGGTCGCAATGATATGACCAAGAACGGCACTTTCGTCGATGGAGCTGCCGAGAAGAAGGGCACTGCCGATGGGTTCGAGGGCATCAATTTCTTGGTTGCACCCAAGCTTGATCAGTCAGAAGTCTACGATGCTGTCCATGCTGTGCTTCACAACGGTGGAAGTGTCGGTATTTTTCCTGAAGGTGGCAGCCATGACCGTACCGACCTTCTACCTCTGAAAGGTACAAAAAACTGCATTCGATGTCTGGTTCTTTGCTAATGATTCGTAGCCGGTGTTGCTATCATGGCTCTTGGTACCGTGGCTACCCGGCCCGATTGCAACCTGAAGATCATTCCGGTTGGCATGAACTATTTCCATGCTCACAAGTTTCGATCCAGGGCCGTTATTGAGTTTGGCACTCCTATCGATGTCCCGGCAGAACTCGCACAGAAGTTCAGTGGCCCTGGGCGTCGAGACGCTATTAGCGAGTTTCTGGAGTCGGTTCGCCAGGGTCTTCTTGGAGTGACTGTCACTGCGCCCGACTATGATACACTCATGGTACGTTGAGTTAGAGCAGATGTTTTGATACTCGTCGCTAACACATGGGATACTAGGTCATTCAAGCTGTTCGTCGTCTCTACAACACCAAAGGCACAAAGCTTCCGTTACCTAGGGTGGTTGAGCTCAATCGCCGTCTTGTACAAGGCTACGAACGCTTCAAAGATGATCCACGCATCATTGAACTTAAGAAGGAGGTGGTGAAATACAACTCAAAACTTAGGGCAGTTGGGATTAGTGACCATCAGGTGCAGCATGCCAAGATACATCCGTTCCGCGCCTTCCTCCTGTTCTGGTACCGGGCCTTGAAGTTGATCGTCCTTACACTCTTCGTCCTCCCCGGAACCATACTCTTTGCGCCAGTGTTTAGTGCGTGTAAGCTGTACTCGAAGAAGAAGGCTAGGGAGGCACTCGCAGCTTCCAACGTCAAAATCCAAGCCAGAGACGTCATGGCCACCTGGAAGCTCCTCGTCGCTATGGCCGTTGCTCCTACTGTCTACTTCTTGTATGTTTGCATTGGTCTCTACTGGTACTCGGCTAGCAATTGTTGGGGTTACCTTCCTTCTGGCATTAGGAAGCGATACCTGGTCATCGCCCAGATGATCTTCTACCCCACGGTCACGTATGCGGCGCTCCGCTTTGGCGAAGTGGCAATGGATATTCTCAAATCTCTGGGTCCCCTCTGGAAGATGACGAATCCGTTCTCCAACAGCGAACTTGCGAAACTCCAGTCCCGCCGTGAAAACCTTGCCGTTCGTGTCAACGACATAATCAACACTCTCGGTCCGGAGATGTACGAGGACTTTCACGCAAAGCGCATCATTCAGGACCCCTTCAGCCACGTCTCAGATCCAAGCGAACACCAACAACACGAGAAAGAAGCCACACCCAAGACTCCTACGCGCAAATCTACTATCGCCCCTGAATCGACCTCGCCTGAACACCAGATCCCTCGCAACGAGTCTTTCGAAGACCTTACCAACCAAGACATCTTCTCGTCCGGTCCACATACGCCGAAGAAGAGCCGCAGCAGGAATTCGAGTTCGGCGAACCTTGGGTTCCAGCTCAAGCCGTTCAGCACAATTGATGGGAATCTCGATGAGGTGAGGAAGAGGCTGAAGGACGGGGTGAGGGACCGGACAAGAAAGAGGAGGAGCAGTGGGATGGGTTCGGAGAGTGGGGAAGAGGGTGAGGAGGAGGGTTTGAGCTTTGGGAAGAGAAAGTAGGGTTGATATAGAGAGAGGAGAACATCAAGAGGGAAGAGGCTAATCGTTTCAAGGTGGAAAAGTTTGAGCATTGGGCGCGGTGATACCACTTCTTTGAGACTTGTGTCTTTTCCTTGCTGGTGGAAAGTAGTTTATAATAGAATCGTACATGAGGATTTTTACTATATGTTTTCGAGGAGTACGAACATGACAAAAGAAAATTGACCCGTTATATGGTGTTTAGACGCCTCACATCACCGTCGCCCAACTTACTTGCATACTACCATTCCAAAGCTCTATACAAAACAAACGACGAACGCCAAAAGATATGCCATACCAAACCATACCATGCTATGTCCCCCCCAACCTCCCAACCTATCCAAATCAGACACATATCACATACGCCTTCGTATACGTATATTAATACCCAGATCCATATCTAAACCCACCCAACAACCCAACACCCCACCCGCCACAAGAACCCAATCCCCGCGAAAAGTCTACCCAACAACAGCCTTCATACTCAGCCGCTCCAGAAACCCACTCAAATCCTCCTTCCGTATCTCAATCACACACGCCTCGAAGCTGTCCATGCGGACCCTAGCCCCCGTCTCGCGCACGACCTCCTGGAACGCGTTGCCGAAGCGGTTCCGCCGCGCGCCGGACGCCGCATCGTCGTCGTCGTCCTCCGAGTCGGAGTCGTCGGAGTCGTTTTCCGATTCGGATTCCGTGTCCGACTCCTCTGCATCGACTTCGTCGTCCTCGAGGCCAGCAGCGAGATTGCGTGCGCGCCTTGCTTCAATCTTCTTCTCCTTTGCCGCGGCCTTTGCAGCGCGGGCAGCTTCTTTCTGTTTGAGTTTCGCCTCGCGTTTAAGCAGGCGTTCCTTTGCGCTTTCTGTTGCGCCGCCGCCGCCGAGGCCGACGACGACGTAGAGGCCGCGGGGTTCGTCGAGGCCGGCCATGACGAGCTCGCTGCCTTTGCTTTTCTTAGTGCCGTTTAGCTCGACGATGGCTTCTGCGATCCAGAGAGCGAGTTTGGTGAGCGCGCCGGGGTGTGTGAAGAGCTGTACGTCTGGGCCTTCTTTTACGACGGCCATGCGGAAGGCGCGGAGGTGGCGGATTTGCTTTTTTTCGATGAGTTGGGTGCCGGTGCGCAGGATGGCGCGATGGAGGTGTTGTGCTGTTGCGATGTGGGGGAGGAGGACGTCGATGGAGGTTAGGGCGTCGTAGGCCGTGTAGAAACGTGCTGTGATGTGTTCTTGGGCGGCGATTTGCTGGTCTTGTGTTGTGACTTCGGTGCTTGGGGTCGAGGTGATGTCGAAGGAGGGCTGGGTGAGGGACTTCACGTCGCCGACTTCGAGGATCGCGCCGAGGATTACGCCGACGTCGATGGCGGAGAGACAGGCTTTCCAGCCCCAGCAGCGGACGAAGCCCCATCCGTCTTTCATGTCGCCGCTGCGTGGGGGAGGGGGGACGAGCCCGTCGAGACCGTACTGTGGGGCGAACTTCAGGAGGCGCTCGCGAAGACCGCGCTTGAGCTCCATGTCCATGTGTGTGTATCGTTGTTTGCATTCAGACAACGACACACCCATCTTCGCTAGCAGCTTCGCAAGGCGTTTCTGCCCTGCGTCGCTCCAGATGTGCAGTTTCGCAGATAGGTATGGTGAGTGTAACATGCTTTCGTACAGGGACCAATGGCGTAACAGTAGAAAGCGCGGTTCAGGGGAGAGACGGATGGATTTGTCTGTTGCTGAGCGGGCGCTGGTGGGAATCACGCCGCTCGCATCGCCCATGCTTGCGTCGCGGGCTACACCATGGGCGTCGGTGACGGGATTCAGACGACGAACTTCGTCGCGTAGGACGGATCGAATTTGCTCGCCACGATTGCCATTCCAGCCTGCTGAGCCGCCGGCAGCTGAAAGGGGATTCAGCCCTACACCGCTTCCTGTTCGACCATACAGCTCCAGACTGCTGACACCGACGATAGCGTTCCAGAGGAGGTCGTTGTCTTCGCGACCGAGGTCTGAGGCGAGGTTGTAGACGAGGGACGAGACTGGTTCGGAGTAGGAGGCGCCGAGTTGGTAGTACTTGTCGAGAACGTTTGTGTATTTGTTGCGCATGGTCATGAGCTGTTTCCGTAGGCTCTTCACGGACTGCTCTTTGGGAGCAACTATGGATGGAGATGCTGAACGGCTGCGAGAGTCTGAGCGGGAGAAGTCTGAGGAGTTGGCCAGTTGGTTCTCGATCATGAGGCCTCGTCGTGCTGGTCTTCGTTCTGGTGATGACGGTATCGACCCTCCCTATGATGTTGTCAGAACTAATTCCGACTTGCATTCTTCTCATACATACCGAGTTACTTCTCCGTCTCTGTGGCGGCCGCTCGTCGTCAGACATGCCATCGTCAGAATCATCCTCCTCGCCCCATGACTTCCTCTTCTTTGGCCTCTGGGCAGATGACTCCCCCTCCTCTTGATCTTCCTCCTCCCCCTCCTCATCAGAGCCCACATCCTCACCCACCTCAGGCATCTCTTCCAGTCCACAATACGCCGCTCTTTCCACCTGAAGCTCCTCCTCAATATCCCCATCGTCAAACACGATAATCCCACCCTTCGAAGACTGATACGACTGCAACACCTTCCCCTTGTCCACACCAGTCTGTCTCCGCACCAGCTCCCCTGTCGCCACATCCTCACCAACAGGCGTCCCAAACACATTCGCCAGATTCCACGGCCGTCTCGCATCCATAATCCAGACTTCCACATCTCCACTTCCTCCTTCCCCATTCTCATCCACGTCCAGGCCTAATATCTCTTCCATATCCACCATGCCACCAACACCTAAACACACAACCACGCCCCCACTTCCGCCCTCTGTTGTCCGCATGGGCCGTACCAGCTCTTCTGCGGCACGTGATAGATCGCCATAGCCGGCTATGGGTTGGATTTTGTGGGGTATATAATCGCGTTTCAGCAGCGCGGTGAGGATGCGGCAGGCACAGAGCGCGTCTGGCTCGAGGGCGACAAGGAGAAGTACTGGCGGGGCGGCCGCGTGTGTGCGTTTCACAAGGTTTTGGTAGAGGTGCGCGATTAGGTTCCGTGGAAGGTACATGGCGGCGGGTCGTGATCTACGAGTGTGCTGCGCGTGGGTTGTTGGAGAAACGCGTGTGGAGACGCGTCGAGGGGGTATAGAATAGGAGGGGGGTTTGGTGTGGACCCGGGTCTATCGCGTGTTCATAGTGTGTGTATAGAAGAATATAAGGTTCGCAAGTATTATGAAGCAGTAAAGGAGCAATTGATATGCGTGGTGCGGGAACTTGCACACTTTCCATGATGCTGGGATGTAACGCGTAAATCGCGCTATGACCGGAAGGGCTAAAGTGGTGATGTGTTTCCGTCTCATCTCGATCGCGTTCTTAGCTGCATCGCGTGTCCGTCATCTTCATCTCTTTTTCTGTCTTTAATCCTAAGAACGAAGGAAATCAACGCATTGTGCTTGTCATTTGATCAGAGGTGTTTGTAATCATAACACCTTAGAGGGAGCGAGACGATACATTTTCCAACTGCAACGTCAACACACAAGAGATGAGAGAAAGGAGATGCTGTTTATTGAGTATTGTACTCCATTTTCATTTGGTATCAGTACTACGGCTCGTGTTCGAAAAGTTACACTGTTGTATGACTTTGCCATGATGCATGGCTAGGTGAGAAGAAGAAAACACATTCCTCCATAGTACTCGATGCGTCTGCCTTCCCACATCAGGAAACTGCCCCTCCATCCCATCGTTCCTTCTGTCACAAAGACCATATACTCTGCTTAGCGTCTGTTCTTCCCATACACATCCTCTGTTGCATCTCCCGAGACCCTACACTTCTCAACGCCGGTGTCGGCTGCATCGGTCTGCTTCATCGTTGCCATATGCTCGAGCTGGACCAGGGTAGGAACGATGTCGTAGCGTTGGTCGAGATGCTTTCCATGTGCGTCGCCCCACTTCGTCAGTCCGGGATTGACGATGAAAGCTACCACGCCCTCGTCGATATCTTCGCCATTAGGATCGGGCATTGAAGACATTTCTTGTTCATTGAAGTTGGCCCCGATTGCCGGATAGGTGACCTGGAGACGAGAGCGCTGGAGCGACATTTCCATGGCCAATGTAAAAGCCTTGGTGACTATCTGGTCGACTTGCGAAATATCAGTCGTCGGGGAGATTTTGGTCAGATTCTGAATTACTCCCGTGACATTGGCCCGGAGCTCGAACACACTACCATTCTGGTAAGGGTATTGCTGTTTCGGCTCACCAAGGGCAACCATATCACGACCTAAGAACTGCACAAGGTGTTCTGTTGTTGCACGTCGCCAGGTCTCGCATGGAGATGATGGGCAAGGCAGACCTTGGTGGTGTTCCGCTCCAAACAAGTTCATCCATACTACGCAGATCTCATCGCACTGCTTTCCAAAGATGGTGAATGGTGAACGGAACACGTCACCGATGAGGACAGACCAGACCCATGCCTCCACCAGGTATTTCTTCCTCGAACGGGAGTCCCAATGGTGCCGTGATACATCCTTTGCTAAAGTGCAAGAGCCAAGACTCTCGACAACATCCACCCCATCGGTAAAGCGAGATGAGCGACTCAGAGTTTTGACGAGCGCAATGATGCTTCGGAAATCCTTGGCAAATTGTTCGTCAGGAATTGCTGAGACTTTGTCAACTTTGGCAAGCAGTTCATTCTGTAAGATTCGGATCTGATCTCGCATGGAGTCGAATTCCATAGCTTGTAGGAATTGAGGCTCTAAGACCGCGTCGATGTTCTTTGGTGTCCAGTTCGTAATCCCAAGGTGTTTGGCTTTTGCATAGGGACTTAGGTACTTTGTGATTATGCCACTGACCAGAGGATTTAGAAATTCAGCTCTCGCTTTGTGCTTTTTCAGAACTTCTACTTGATCGCTAGCGTCGGTGCGCAACCTGGTGTATTTCTCCTTTAGCTTGAGATTTTCGCTCTCCAGCTTGTCGTTCCGGGAGCGCTCAATACCAAGCTCGTGCTCACACTCAGTGAGTAAACCTTCGATACTTGCTAGGACGTCCTCCGCGACGATAGCCGGTCGGCCGCTTCCGCCTTTTCGCTGTTGAGTCTCATTGGTGTCGCCTATTGCATCGTTCGTCGCAACACCGGTCCTTCTCGTGCTGCCGTTTGCTACACCGCTCTGCAATACAGATCGAGCACGCATCATCGACTCATCCACACTGAGACTCTTGTGATGACGACGAGGCTCGGCCGTCGGAGATGATGGCTTGGAATATCCCATTAGACCGAAGATCTATGCAGTCAGTTTAGGCTACCGAAAAGAACGGCTTATGACATACCACGTCTACGACCCCTCTCATCCCTGAGTAGAGTGCTTGGTTTCAAAGTGAGTTCTGCCTCACCAAAGGTTGATTTGTGTGTTGTGGTCAGAAAGAGAGTGTGGTTGAGAGAAAAGCTTGTCCCAAGCAGCAAATCCAAGCGGGAAGCGACAAACGGTTTGTACCTCACTTTCACTTTCACTTTCACCACAAGCCACTGAAAATTTGCTCCGCTATTTTGTTAAAAGCCGCACTGCCCCTCACCTCGTCTCAAAATCTCAAAGTCCTCAACCTCTCACCCGCGCCCACGCTACAAACGCATCGAAGCTCATCATGATAGGTAATCGACTGGTCATTGGCCTGGACTATGGCACAACCTACACGGGTAAGTAATTCACAGTACCCTTTCCATCACAAATACCTCTCTGATAACGTAGGCGTCTCGTTCTGTGAGACCTCGGACACCGGTGTGATAGGTAAGGACATTGAAGTCGTGAAAGACTGGCCATCTCGACACACCAAGATCGGCACAAAAGAGAAAGTCCCCAGTGAGATCGCGGTGTCGGATCGTTCGCATTGGGGCGCCCTCATTGCCTCGAACGAGCAACGTCACATGTGGACAAAACTTGATCTTGAGGGTTCTCAGGTCGGTGAAGCGGCCAAGATCTTGCAAGAGCTGTCTCTATCCACTCAAGGACCCCACGAGCAACCCGTCGATATCGTTGCAGACTTCCTCACTCATGTGAGGAATCACTTGGTACAGAACTTGGACAATCAGTACGGAAAGGAATTATGGAGAACATTGCCCATCACTCTGGTGGTGACCGTTCCTGCAGTCTGGTCAGATGCTGCTAAAGATCGCACGCTACAAGCTATTCGCAAGGCTGGCTTCAATGCGACAGGATTTCCCAAGCTGAAGAGAACTATCACTGCGACCGAACCAGAGGCTGCCGCTATCTACACTATCCAATCGCTTCGTGGAAGTGTTCAGGATGAACAGTTCGCCATCGGTGATGGATTCATTGTCTGTGATATGGGGGGTGGAACGGTGGATCTTATCTCATACCGTGTATCCGACCTCGAGCCAACGACCTTGGAGGAGGCAACCATCGGCAGCGGTGATCAATGTGGCGGCAGCTTTGTTGATCGTGGCTTCATGAAGTGGTTAGAACGTCGACTGGGTACCACTGACTTCGTCAAGATCGCTGGTAGCAGGAGCGAAGATATTCCCCGTACGTTACTTTCCTCAAAGCTAAGCCGTATGGTTCAGGACTTTGTCTTGGAGGCCAAGAGTGGTTTCTCCGGAACCGAGACAAACTACCTGCGTCTTCCAGTACCTCTGAGTGCCATCGAAGATGATGAGTCGAGGGGCATTGTTGACGGGGAAATCGTGATCACCCCGTAAGTTCCGTGACTTCCCAGGCAGGCGCAAATCTAACACAATTAGGGAAGATATGAAGGAAATGTTCGAGTTCCCTCTTCGCCGAACGTACGAGCTTCTTCTTGAGCAGATGCGGCAAGCACGACAAGGCGGCAAGATCACCATCAAGGTTCGTGTCCTCTAGCCAGCTTATATGGCCTTCCTCTCAAGGTATTCACGTACGAACGTCATTCGCTAACGATAACAGTATGTCTTCATGGTTGGCGGGTTCGCAGAGTCCCCGTATATCTATGATAAAATCAAATCTTTTGCAGAAAGCAACGGTATCCAGGCGATCAGGCCAGCATATGCGTCAGTCAAATTCTTTTCTTTATCTCGAACCATCTAACGAATTGTACAGGTGGTCTGCCGTAGTGCGAGGAGCAGCAGCCAAGGGTCTTGAAGGCGATGGTCGCGCACCGATCAAGAATCGCAAGTGTCGTAGGTTCTATGGCACTGCTTTCAGTGCGCTCTTCGATCCCAACCTTCACGATGAAGCGGATGCGTTCGTTGATAAATATGATGGCATGATGAGGGCGCGCAATCGGGTAGAGTGGCTGCTCAAGACAGGACAGCAGCTTTCGACGTCCGAAATGACTCACGCGAAACTTCAAATGTGTGCGTACCTCTGGCCTCACGATATCAGGGAGAGAACTGTGAATCTCCTGGCCTCAGATGAGACTGTGGCTCCGAGCAGTTCGTACTGTGGGGTAAGTAGGAGACTCTGCTACACAAGCTGGGTGCTAACTTATGTCATAGGAAGTATACACGGTAGCTAGGCTTCATGTTGATCTACGAAACGTACCCAAGCACTTGTTCGTAGCCCGAAGCTCTCCTTCAGGCGCCGTCTACCATCAACTCAAGTATACAGTTGAGGTATCTCTACAGTCCTCGCTGGAATTCTTCGTGACGATCAACGGATCCCGCTACGGGTCGGTGACCGCAACGTATGCTTGACTGGTGAACGAAAGGGGCCGTGTGTGCCGGAGACGACATGGGTGTTTGATGAGCAGGCAACAATGCGGTCTACTTTGTTTAGATTCTGCAATGTCATGCTGGATGTCGATACACTTTACGAAGCATGGAAGACTCACTAGAAGGGTTGATTAATAGCGACGTCTATGACCGTCACAAGTTCCGCCGAGCTTCTATCAGAGTTCTTCCACATAGTTGACAAAACAAACATGCGCTATCCCTAGAGCTTCTTTCCACCTGTTTCAGAAGTAGATAGTGACCAAATCAAAAATGGCAAAACATGTGCAACCCTTCCGATATCCCCACCTCCAAACCTTCCTTGCTGCGCCTTCATGCCCATTGTCCCCAACATGTCCGACTCAGCTCACATTTCCCGCCAACCACACCTCTCAAATGCGCCAAGTCCTGCCTGCACTTAGATTAAGCGTCGACTAAATCACATGATTGAAATCCTCTGCGATTAACCTGCGCGTCATGCGACAAGCGCGAACTAGGCTTGCGAATCGCTCTCGCCGGTGATCATTAGCTGGATGCGCGCTAGCCCTGTGTGGCACTGCGCTACTTCCACAACCTCGTAACGCCTCCTTTCATGCATGGCGGCGGTCAAGACGCCGAATACGATGGAAGCTGCGTTCTGACGTGCACACGCGGATATCGCGTACTCTAAAACGGAAGTGGGTTTCCTTTGTGGGCGCTTTTCCAAATCACGGAGGTATCTGCATGCCTGGCCTCTACGCACGGAGGTCCGATAAGTATGCGTCTTGCTTTTTCGCTGGTTTGCTTCGTATGAGCAAGCTCGCCTCGAGATTTTGTAGGCACTTGTTAGAGCGGACACGAGAGAGCGATGACAGGGAAGTGTGACTTGGGTTTTCCAACTTTCTTTGTATTAAATAACTAGCGCCTTAACACCTCTACCTAAACTCCACCATTGCCGTGAACATGCCGTATAACATAGCTGTGGGGAACTCCGTGACCTTGATGCTATGACTTTTATCGTATATCGCCTCCGTGGAGGATACCGTAACTCCAAACTCCGAGCAATGAACCTGTCGTGAATCTACCTCATGTGGAATACCGAACCCTAATGCCATGGATCGATATACGAATAGTCCGTAGTGGAAAGCTGAGCGGAAAGCTGGGTAGGAAGTTGAGTGGGAAGCTGACCAGGAAGCTGACCAGGATGTTGATCAGGATGCTGAGTGCCATGCTGGGTGCCATGCTGAGTGCCATGCTGAGTGAGATGCTGAGTGGGAAGCGGATTGGAAAGCTGAGTGGGAAGCGTAGTAGGCATAGATGAGCCACTCACGGAACTAGGGTATACCTGGAAGGCGGGATTGCTATACACGCTGGATCCTAGCGGAAGTGAGCCCCCAAAGTTGTAGTTGGGGATGGAGTTGTATGCTGGAGATTGATACGCTGATGGTTGGTTCGAGTACGCTGTGACAGGTGGGTGAGGTGGCTCGGGAAAGCTGTCGTTACGGTGTCTCTTGGGCATAGGCTGATACTCGTGGGGGGAAGACTGGTCACTGCTTGGTCGGAGAGGTGCTGGAGTAGTCTGGCTCTCGTAAGAGCGCTTTTGACCTGCCACCACTCTAGGTTCCTTGCGGAGCCGCAGCCGAACACCTTGGTCCGCGACTGTTCGTGAGAGTTGTGTCGACGATTCCATGCCCTTGAAGTCTTTGGGAAGCACAACCTTGAACTTGTCGCTGAAATCACTGCTCAACCACTGTACAAACCCGTTTTGGAATTCGAACAGATCGAACTTAAGTCTGAAAGTGCCTTGGATCTTGATGGATATGTCGCCGAAGACGAAGAAGGCACCGTCCTTGTTCGAGGTATCCTTGAGGCGGTGCAAGGATGAGACCTGAGTGCCTGTGAGAGGATTGCCCTCAATGGGCTCGTCGGTGTCTGCTTTGGCTAAAGACACCGCCATGAATGTGTAGGGGTTTTGGAGGTGTGATCGGAGAGGATCGGCATGTGTGTTGACTGAAAACTCAATGATAGGCGGCGGATCGATGGGCTTCCGAGTCTTCTCCTTTCCTGCGACGGTGAGAACTGCCTCCTTGGGCTGTTGCCGCATATGTAGTTGGCATTGATGAGGTTGTAGGAAACCGACAGCCTGTTGTCCACGGTCGTAGAATGGACTTGGAAATGCCATTGTCAAAGGATTAGCAAGAACCCTCGGCGTGAGTTACGAACGTTGGGTTGGTTTTGGCAGAAAACCGTGGAAATTTCGAGATTAGACGGACGCCTGGAGAGTTGGCGACGAGTTGTGACCGGAAGACAATGGGATGAGATAAAGCAGACTGGCTAGTGATATCTGGTATGGACAACTTTTGCTCAATGCATTGGGGCCCTAACGAGGTCAAAGGTTAGTGGAGGGAGAGGCCACAATGAAAACAAGACCATACCACGTGGATGTGAGTTGAGTGTAGGTTGAGTGTAGTTTCAGTAGTGGTCGCTGTTATATGGGAGGGACGAAGGTAGGTAAGGGAGGGAGTAACGACTGCTCTCGGTTTTCCATGGACGCCGCAGACTTGAACGCGCTCAATCCATATAAACAGAACGTAAAAGAAATAGCCTGCCCGCGTAAGGCCTACGATAATCTGACTAACCCGGTTGCTGAGTATCGTTTTGTCAATGGCTGGTACGAGGGTCGATCCCGAACTCCAAATGCGGAAGGGAGTAGACAGAGAATGGATCTTCCGGCAGAGCGGAGGGTCCTCCAGACTCGACTTTGGTTCGGTATAGAGCGGGAGATGACGCGATCGATTGCACCAGTTGGGAGTAGGTGGGTTGTATTTCAGTGGCTGTGCTTTGTCGAAGCGTAAAGTACCGATGGGGTGGTTGTGCTTGCGGCTCCTTCCTCCCGAACCAGATGATACGCCTGCGCGAAAGCGGAACTGAACCGTAGTAGAGTACAATCTGGATCCTGGAAACACAGACTCCAGTCACCCTCTGGGAATGGTAGCGCGTAATCAATAAAGATGTGTCATTGGCGAAGGCTGAATGGAGAGAACCAAGACGGACGTGATTTGAGCAAGGACAGCTTGGGAGCGGCAACAGCAGCGTTTCTGCTCATCCAGCTGGTAACCCTCGGCTAATTGTTCCAGTTCGACTATTGTGTAGTTCTTTGGATCAGGCGCCAAAGCTACCGCGTCTAGTCTAAAGTTCAACGGGCGCCGAACTTCCTGGCGCCACGGTTGATCTCTGACTAGCTGCTTCGATATTCGATCAGCAAGGCCGTTTGCTACCGAAATCGTCACGAAGAAAGGCTCTGTACTGGCCAATAGGAGTCGTTGTACAACCTGTCCTCTACTTCCTTTTTCTTTCCAGCGTGTGTTTTGCCCTTGCTCACTCTCTGCTCCGTGTCCGTTATCGTGTTCCCTTGCTGTTCTATCCTGAGCTGAATACAGTCGCAATCAAGAACGATTAAATCGAGTGTGCTCTACGGATCAATAGGATTACGAGGTCGCAGTCCAGAGAATTGCATCAAGGCAGGTCCGCGGATGTATAGGGGAAAGTTACTAGGTGAGATGCATAGGTTAAGACATCGTAAAGTCAGTGATAATGCACTGCAGCAGTGGCACATGTTCAAAAGACCGTCGATTACTAGTCAAAAGACCCGAGCGGAACAATGATAGTCCTGTCGCGTACATGCGAGCGTGGGTTCCATGCAGCATAAGAAAGCTTCCCGTGATGCACAGACAGATTGAGCGGCGGCAGAGCATGGGTGTAGCAGGCCCACATTTGTGCTTCGATCCAACGGTAATCCCAGGTTTGCGTTAGCACTGTCCGCAGCACCATTGGAATACTTAGGCGCATGCGACCGACAGGTGCAGAGCACTAATGCGCAGGCTGATGACACTCAGGCTTCAGCTTCTCAAGAGCCTGTCCTGTTCGAGATCATGCGATTGACTCTTCTTTGGTGCTGATATCGCGGGTTCTTCCTCGAAACCCAAACCCAGATACTCCCTCAGCCCATAACCTCAAGGCACAGACAACTGAAGTTAGCTGAGCACATCCCAGCATATTCGTGTCGGTCATTTCTCAGCAAGCAACGTCGTACCAAACACCCGTACGCACATGGCGGCTGGCACTTAGATTCCCCGTCGGCGTTCAGGGTGGTCCGGGAGTTACCTTGGGACTCAGAACCATCGAACCTGACATAACACCGCAGTTCATGATGCACTCTAGAAGTTTGCGAACAATAGTGGTTCCAAGATAACGTACTCTACCCATCCTAAAGCGGATAGACGATGATGCAGAGTATCTGTCATGTGAAATTGCAGGTCAACAGCGATGCAGTGACACCACTGCGCGCGGCACGCTGCAGCTCCAAAAACGGAGAGCACAGGCGCATCATGTCGTCAAGCCGTCGAGTCGCGAGTGGTGGGAGATCGTCAGATCTCGCGGTGGCTGGCAGAGTATTGCCTTGCAGGGACCAGGGACGTTGTGTTTAGTGTCTGACTAGACTTGGCGGTATCACGAGGCGAAGATCTTACGACGGCGGTGCATTATCACTCGCATCCTATTCGCTGGCTAGTTCAATCGCAGAACAAGCACTCTGAACCCATCAAAAAGCATTGAGGAACTGTGCGCTCGGCGCTCTCGTTTCGACGTATACGGTAGTTATACGCAACCCGGTTCTTAGCGGGTTCTTCTGCTAGACTAGCCCCTCGATACTCGCCGGGTTACCGTTGTCTACACTTCACTTCGATACCTCGCCCCTATGCTTAATCGGTACGAGTCCTTGGACATGTCGCTCCGGTCTCGCGACACAGGCATCCTTTTGGGACTTCGACCGCTGTTCCTGCAGATGAGATTGCATATGTCTCCGGGTGCACTATGCGATGCAAAGATCATCCCAGTGTCTACTCTGACGCGCTCAGTTAAATCCTTCCCCTTCCCTTGGAAACCGCACAAATAATTCCCTGCTCAACTGTGCCAGCAGTCGGCTGTGAAATGCTAACCAGTGTAGGCTCCGACGCCATTTTTTCGGCGTGGCTCCTGCTCCTGTATGCTTTGTCTCTGCTGCAATCTCTCTACTGTCAAGCATCCCAGGAGTCCGCCTCGCTTGGCATAGCATGGCATGTCATTGCTAGACTTCATGATTTGTTTGGTCCTGACCAAAGAGGAAGTCGGGAAGGGGAGTATATCACCTTTCAAACGGTTTAGAGCCACGACGCTGATCAAATGTGGGCCTAGACATGTTGGTCTTATCAATAGGCTTGTTGTGCGCTTGATATGTCTGTAAGTGGCACAAGAACATATAGGCTTCTATAGTCCAATACTACAGATGACCGTCATTTCTTTCGAACGCTAATCCACATTTACTCATGAATAGCTCACTACGTATCGCTTAGTCCAGGCGCCATTCGGGCGGCTTTAGCAGCATCTATCACGAAGTTGCAGCTAGAAGGATAATCTTGATTCATGATTGCACGACTTAGGGAAGCCGTGCCTGCTTGCGACTTGAAAACACTACGAAGGTTGGCAATGTCAACCAGCTATCTTGTTGATGATCTCATAGCCTGTTCGTAAACCATGATCCAATCTGCACTGCTCAATAGTAGCCTTACCAGCGCGGGCAACTTTGGACCCCACTTTCTTATACTCCTCTAGCTGCCGACTACTTCACTTTGCGCAGTACTCAACGGCGGCCAAGCAAATGGTTGGAACTCGGAAGAAGAGATAGGTTCGTTGGCCTTTCGAGGAAGCAGCCTTCATACGGTCATTAACTCGATCCATGCATCCGCCCGCCAGTGAAGCACCACCAACCCTGGCTATTCGCGGTAGTACTAGTCTGGTTCCCCGCTCGGTCTGCCCACTAGGTTAGCTAGGACCAGGTTTGCCGGACCCTGTAGAATCCACTTGTGTTTTTGTACCAGTTCTCACAACGTGCAGATGGCCTCAAAGCTACGACGATGAGCAAATCGACGTCTCGGTACTTTCTTGTAGCTATTTACAGCATCTTTGACAGTTCCCTCAGGACCTAAAGACTAGTGTGATTACCTATGCGATACCATCGACCTGCATACTTGCGATGCACTTGAGTGGGCCTGATGCGAGCCAAGAGGCATACATCATGAGCAGGCGCGTTATCACTGGTTGCACATACTACCAGGATACCCTGGAGAAAAGGCAGCTTGCATTCCTGGCACACAAATCCGCTCGCTTGTACATTTCGAACGATATCCAAGGGTGTGGGCTAGAGTATTGGTTTTCACGTTGAGAAAGAACATGTCGATCACCAGGCTTCATGCTTGGGCAGCTTCACAAAAAGTCAGGACTGCCAGATTCTTGTTCCTACTGGTTTTCTGCACGCAGTTCTGATTCTGGTTCTGGTTCCCATGTTTGGCAGAGTTCCGATATCAGGGACCCCACGTTGTGCGGCGGTGGCGCCTTTGATCTCAACCATGGTTCAGACTTCAACGGCCTGAAATTGCCGCACTGCAGCCCGGATCATGCCTTCCTCGTATCAGTGGCCCGTCGATAACTCCTCTGCTTGTTCTTTCACCTTCCTCTGTGCGCAGGACTCATTGTCTGACCAAGTTTGATCGACGACCACAAGTGACGAGTTACTCCGTCTTCGCATACTGTTGCCTATGAACCTAGGCCCTCTAGCTTTATTATGAGCTTGTCGCTAGTTGGTGGGGCGGTGTAGGCATCAGATTGCTCGATGCCTTTGTCGTCAACGATCGTCGTGCTGTAGTTCGAGTACAGTGCCGCGATGATGTATTTCATCTCTAGAACCACGTTAGCTAACGGATCTGCAAGGAAACTCTGGTCGAAGTTCTGGACGGCCCGCTACAATTCTCCAGGAGGTTCAACCACACTTTCCCAGACAACTCAACCCCATTCTGTACCCAGCTCGACCCTGATTCCTGAACCCAGCTCGTCTGTGCTTCCTCAGACAGCTCGACCCTGATCCTTGAACCCATCTCGTCCGTGCTTCTTCAGACAGATCAGGCCCATATTTGTACAAAGCTAGGCTGTACTACTCCAGATAGTTCAGCCCTGTTCCTGTACCTAGCTCGTCCGTGCTTCTTCAGACAGCTCGGCCACACTCTCTAGACAGCTCGTCCGCGCGTCTCCAGACAGGTCAACCATAGATGACAGACCAATCGATGAGTGATGGTGACCCAAAGACATGGCTAGCCGACCTGCTGCGGGAACAATTACCACTCTCGACGAGAGTTTGGAAAAGTGAGGCGGCATTACGTTCGATACGGTCGATTTCGACAAGAAAAGATGATTCACACTTACGACATACTGCGAGATGCGATCCAACGCACATCCGTCCACCACTGGGAGTCGTTAGTCGTTATTCTTCACATCTACCGCATGCAACTGAACTAACCTCCCAAAGGCCCAGAACCACCGGCTCTCCATGTCCTTCCTCCTTTCATCGGCAAACTTCTCCATCTCCAACCACCGTTCGGGTCTCCATTCGATAGCTTGCTCGTAAACATGTTCGTTCAGATGCAACAAGCCTGCACTCGCGCTCACTCTGACTCCGCCTGGGACATCGTACGATTGACCCTCGGGGCCAAGACGGCAGCCTTGTGGAGGAGTGATACGAGGCTGTGGACCGGGGATAGCCGAATGAAGACGTAGTGTTTCCCAGATTACGGCATGCAGGAAGGGCAGCATATCTATCGTCTTTTGATCCGGTAGAGTCGGCGAGGATTGCCGGATGAGACGTGGTGAGAGAGTTCGGAGCTCTCGCTGGAGACGGGACTGGATGTCTTTGTGCTGAGAGAGTTCGTGGACAACATAGGTGAGTGTTATTCCTGAAGTGTCAAAGCCTGCTGCGAGGTGGTCGAGCACCTCACTCGCAATGAGCATGGTCGACTGAGTCTCTACTACTCCAGTCTTCTTCGCTTCTTTGGCCAAAGCGGCTTGTAGCTGCTGGTATACCACTGGCGTATCCTCTGCTTTTGCTTCGTCTGCTAATAATACGCCAGCAGCGCTGTCGCACATTTTCTTTGTCCATGTCTCAATCTCATTGTTTGCTTCGCCAACCCACTTCGGCACGAGTCTGTATTTAAGCCACTTCTCCAAAAGCCCAGTCAGCTCTGGAAACTCCTGCGGCCAGAAGTTGAACGACCGTCGCGAATTATACAAATCCAGAAACCAGACCAGTTGCTTGGAATCGCGGATGAGATTGGAACTAGCTTTCAGTCCAAAGATGTATCCTGTGACAATGTCCATAGTCGATGCACTGAGAAATGAGTAGATATCCAACACTCCTGCGTTCTCACCGGATAGCGTAGCATCCAGACATGGCAAGAAGCGTTCGTAAATGATGGATGACAACTGAGCGAGCAGAACAGGCGACGCAGTGACGACTGACTTGCTGTAGATATTGCTCAACATCCTTTTTCGCCCAGCATGAGGTTTATTGCCGCCAGTAGAGAACATGTTGTTGATCCTAAAAGTATCTTGGAATCAGCAATTTGATAAACAATGATCTCCCCTGTAATCCGTTCTTTTGATCTTGCGTCCTCGAGGATGGATATGACGACTCACCCTCCGTAATTCCCAAAGAACGAATACCAATTCCACTTCCCGTCACCCTTTTCAAACCCTCCCGCGTACACATCGCGAATCCCTCCCTGAACGCAGTTTACACTGACTTCTTTTGGGCCAAGACATATGATTGGCCCAAGACGAGCGTGGGCTGCTTTTAGCGTGCGGGATTCGATACCGCGCCAGCGAACAGAGTGCATCCAGAGCGACGTGAAAGGCGCAAGAGGATGTGCGGCAGGAATCCTACGGAGGGGGTTACGAAAGTAGGATACCAAGACATTGAAGATGACGAGTAGAGGGAGGAGCAGGGCGAGCATCTTGGCGTGTACAATGCAAATGATGTTGTGGAAGAAGCAACGAGTAGTATTCAGACTTTCGAGTCTTTAACATCCAACCCACATCGATGTATGAGTCAATAAGCCTGGCAACTGAGGGGACGTAAACATCTCCCCGCATTGTCAACGGGGTCGCTTATCTTATCTTCATGGTTCCGTTGTTAGCCGCAGATCATCTAACTTGTTTGATGATGGCGTTCAGCCTCATCGATGACCTCAGTTCTGTCTCGTCTCATCTTCAACTCTCGCATTCGTCGTCCTTCCGTTCACGTAAAAGTCTGACTCCTAATGTCGGTGAGGTTTATCCGTCTCGTCCCACCAAAACAGTTTTGATGCCCTGTCTCCGCCCATCGTTCCACAACACGCGGATATGCGCAGGACATGCAGGCAGAATTGGAAGGGGAAAGCATATTTTAAGACACTCGCACACGTACGACCTGTATCGGTTATGTTGTGACCTGCAAGGACAGCGCACTCAAGAATCCCGGTACAGAGAAGCGGTCAAAAAGTACAACCCAGGGATAGGACGCGAGAGCGTCAACCTAGAAGTCTTCTCTCCATGTCTCTGCTGCGGCGCGTCTCTGCGACAGCGGGAGTCCAAGTTGATGTGGATGGATTTGTGTTTGATATTTCCTATCTTCTTGGTTAATCTCTAGCACTCGTACGCATGCACGTTAGATGCATATAAAGTGCAATATGCTGCTCCTGTTGATGCGGTCGGAACGTTTATGCGCACCATGTGCCGACTGATCTCTCTGCTCAGGGCTCCCAGATGAATGAGAGATTGGGGGTGGAAACGAAGTCTAGAGACAACATCATTGTTAAATTACCCATTATGGCCTCTGAATGACAAATTGTATTATTATTGCGTCTCCAGGGCCGGAAGATAGTCAAACGTAGAACATGATAGCTGTTAAAATAGAGCATGTCCCAAACTCTATATAAGATCAGCAACAGCAGAAGTGAAACACACTATAACTAGCTTGACACATTCTAACCACCTTAATTAACCTTCTATCTAATCCTCCTTGCCTCTCAAACCCCTGTTTTGAAGTGCAAAGACTGAGCAAGGAAACACACATCTATCATCTACATCCAACATCCAACATCCATTATTCAGCAAAAGTCTGGCTCGTCCACATGAACCATCATTACCTGCACCCCCTCCGAAGCTGCCCTAGTCATGTATTCACGATTACTAGTCGAATGAAGAGATTTCCCGACCCAACCACGGTTCATTCCCCAAAGCCGAACCAAACTTCGATTAACATAACAGCCTGGGCTCTCGAACACGCGTCCGCATTAGTACATTGAGCAGCTAGTTGTCAAGAGACGGTGTGCTGATCAGCTCTAATCTTTACTGTGTGTGCAAAGGGGCTGGGTGTTAGCTTCTACACTGAGTTACTATACTAGATTTTTTTACTGTGTTAAGTTTGTCTGCGAATAATAAGCATGGATATGCTATGATCTCGGGAATAATATTTAATACGCATAGCAAACTTATACTAACTACAGATACAGTCACAGCTATAGATACAGCTACAGCTACAACTACGTACCATACCATACCCACGTTACTCTCCTCTTCTCTCCACCCAACATCTCATCCCATCGCACGCACCCCTCCAATTTCAGTTTCAGTTTCAGTTCCTCAACCCCCCAAACCGAGCCCAGCCCATATACCTAACCACACAACGTAAAACTAACAGTGCGTGACTAAGACCGCGAGTTAGCGCCTCATCACCAGAACTCACATGTTATACCACAAACAGAGAGAGAATGAGGAAGACACAGCAGAACGCATATACACGCATTCGAGAAGCCAGAAAAGGAGAGGAGGGGAGAGAAATGTGGAGCGGGATGTGATCTAGTTGGAAAGGAAGGGGAAGGGGAAGGGGAAGATGAAGATTAAGCTCGCGATTCTAGGTCTTGAATCTTTGCGTCTGGAGTGAAGAACCGGATCTCAAGTTTTGAGGGTCGTGTATGAGGAAGGAGGGATGAACACGATATATCGAAGCGTCACGTCCCCACAGAATTCGAAGTTCAATTCTGAAGTACAGAAGCAAAAAGCCAGTGGTGCGTAGAAGACTTCACTTCACCTCACCCAACTCCCCCCCGTCTGCCAAGCCAAATACGAACAGAAATAGATAATTACTCATGCATAGTCTATTATCGCATACAACATCTATCCATCCATCCATCCATCCATAGATACATACACACACAGACAGACAACCAGATACGAACCATCTATACATATCCTATCTCATCCCAATCCATCACATCCCCTCAGCTCAGTCATTCCTCTAAATACAACATTACAATACTCGTCCTCTCCTCAGAACGTGATAGTCTATTTTCCTCCCAAAGAATGCGTGGACGCAGTGCCACTCCAAAAAACGCCGGTGTATGATGCTGATATGATGCTGATACGCTATGCTAATGCCACGTAGCGTAAAGCGATGTAAAGCGATGTAAAGCGCCATGCTCAGCGTGAAGAATAAGTGTGTAGGTAAGGGAGGTAAAGGGGGGTATAAGTCGACGTAAAAAACGGGAGGGGGAGAAGGACACAAAAGGTGACAGCACCGTGCCCTAAACCCAAGAAATTACATGCCAGTAAAGCGTGCGTAAGAAGATCACACCGCCGCCGGCGTCGTCACCGCCGAAGCAACCGACCTATTAAACCTATGCGCCGACTGCGGATTCGCCTCCTTACGCAGCTGGCGCACCAAACCCTCCAGTTTCCGTCGTTCCTCCTGCTCGACCTGTGTATCGTCAGTACTCCATCCGCCATCCCACAACGCCACATAAAAGAACAGAACTCACCCGCAACGCCTTCAACCCCTCCGCCGTACGCTCACGCATCATACGTCTGAAATCCTCCCTCAGCATACGAATACTAGTCGCACCCAGCTCCAGATTCCCCTGCTGCGGCGGCACACCCGGACTCCGAATCCCCAACCACTTGACCTTCTCATCGCTGAGCTCGCGCTCCAACGCCTCCTTATCGTCGCGCAGCGCATCGATCTGCGCTTCCAGCACGTCGCGATCGCGCTCGTTCTGTATCGCATCACGCGTGATAGCTTCGTACTCTGTCGCCATACCGGACAGTTCAGCCTTGAGGCTGCGCTCCGACTGGCGGGCCTCAGCCTCGGAGGTCGAGGCTGCGTCTTGGACTTTCCGCAGGGCCTCGATTTCGTAGAGCAGGGATTGGTTTTTATCGCGCAGCTCGTCGATTTCCTTCTTGATTGCGGGGTTTGCGGCGGATTCGGCGGCGCGCTGGGAGCGGCTTCCGTACGCGCCGTCGAGCTCTGCTTTGGCGAAGGTGAGTTCCGTGGTGAGGCGGACGATTTCGCCCTCGAGGTCGCGGAATTCTTCTTCCTTTGTGTTTAGCGCGTTTGTCGTTTCGAGGGAGCGGGCTTCTGCGGCTTGTTTTTCGGCGGTCACGGCTGTGAGCGCGGCGGTCATGTGGTTGATTTTGGCGGCGGAGTCGGTGAGCTCGGCTTGGATTGTTGCGGCTTCGATGCGTGCGTCGTCTGAGCTTTCTTGCACTTCTCTGAGCTTGGTTTCGAGGCTGAGAGCGCGTTCCTGCGCGTCGCGGATTTGCGCTTCGTAGCCGGTGCTGCGCTCTTCGTGCTCGCGGGCTGAGACGTTGGAGGCGCTGGATAGCTCTTGGTTGTCTTTGAGCTCCTTCTCGTAGGCGGCGCTGCGCTTTTCGGCGTCTTGGGCCTGGCTCTGGTAATCAACGGCGCTTTGCTGCACGTCCTTGAGTTGGTTCTCGTAGGCGATTGCGCGCTCCCTGGCTTCCTTAAGCTCGGTCTCAGCGGCCGCAAGGCGTTCCTGCATGTTGATAGTCTGAGCCTCAAGCCCTGCGTTGCGCTCCTGCGTCTCGCGTAGAGCCTGCGAATCAGTCTGTAACTTGTGGTCGTCGAACTGTTCGAGTTGGCTCATAGCGCGCTCGAGCTCATCTTCCATGGACATCTTTGCGGACCTCGCGCTAAGCACTTGCTCGTTGAGTCGTGAGAACTCCGCCTCCTTCTGTGCGTCTGATTTGCTGTTGAGTTCGCGCTGCTGCTTGATCTGGCGCAACAAGATGGATTGCTTGTCTTTCAAGCTGGAAGCGCGGCGGAACAGCCATTGAACCTTGGACGAGAATGCAGGAAGCGAGTACTCCTCATTGCCGTTGTCCTCGTCAGGCGATAGCTCCTCGTTTGCCTCGGGATCCTCGGCAAGTAGACGGCGACGCTCGCGTTTCTTCTCCCGAGCCTCCTCTTCACCTGCCAAGATGATCTGCCAGAGGCCCATGATAGTGGTTTCGTATTTCTCTGCTTTGTCAGCGTCTAGGTCATCGATGGTAGGCTTCGATCGTAGCTCATCGATCTGGTCATTCAGGGAGTACTGTATTTGCTCGAGATTGTAGAGTGACTCTTCCATGTAGCTCATCTGTTCGGCCGTGTCATTGCCTGCGTCAGGAGGCGGAGGCAAAGCGTTGTGGTCGTCCTGTGGCATGGATTTGCTAAGTATGGTGTGCAATTGGTTGTTGATGCGTCCTAGGCGGTCATCGACATCGCTCGAGGAACTCCCGGCTTTTTCGCGCATATTTACATGCTCAGCGCTAAGGTCTTGAAGGCCCTGCTCGAGAAAGTCGAATTGGCGGTCGATAGACGAAGCATCGAGAATCCCAGCTGCTTGTGGCGGGAGCATGTATTCCTCGTTTCGTTCTGGGTTTGCCTCAACAATCACCTCTCTTAGGCGTTCGTTCAATTCGTCCAGTCGTTTGCCCATGGCGCTCAAAGCTTCGTCCTGGCGATCAACCGATTGCGACCGGTGATGTGTGCCCTTCTGGAGGGCGTTCATAAGGCTGTCGAGGTTCTCTGGTGATCTGTAGAAGCTCCTCTCGTCAAACATGTCATCGCCCAGGGCGCCACCAACACGCCCGACTTCGTAGGTATTCAAGCTCGCAGGGCTGTCTGGTCTCTGGATCCCCCCATTCGACACACCCGACTCCCTCTTGCGTGTCTTTGGGCCCTTGTGTGTGAGCTGCAGCACAGCAGCCGTGTGCATCAGCAACTGCATGTCGATCATGCGCATGCGAGACTCGATTTCTAGGAGCTCGCGGATGTGCTCCTCGACCTTCTTGTTGCTCGCCTCGAGGCCCTCGAGCGACTTCTCGTCGTATTCCCGCACCGCATTGCTTCCAATACTGCTCTTGCTGTCATTCCCCCGCTGGTGCCCGTTCTCCTTCTTCGAGGCCAGTCTCGTGAGCGAGCGTGTGGCGTCGCGTATCTTGGTCTCCGACTCCAGCTTCCTCCTCGCGGTGCCCAACCGCGCATCGAGCGCCTTCTGCTCCTGCTTCAGCGCATCCAGGTCTTCGACGGTCAGAATGTCAAAGTACTGGCTGTCCCCTATTGCCGTTTCGACTAGCAGATGCATCGCGACCGGGTCCGTGTCCTGCGCGCCTGAGGCCCGTTTCCTCCCGTCGCGTGGTGTGTAGCCGCCATTTTCCCGAACCGTATCCCTGCGGCCGTCTCCAAAGACGTCGGTCGGGGGGATAAAGGCACTGGCGCCAAAGCGCGGCGATATCTGGTAGGCCATGGGGAAGAAGCTCGGCGACGCAGCGCTGCCATAGTTTGAGGTGGGCGAGTAGTCGTAGGGCAGGCGTGGACTGAGCATTTCCCCTGCGGAGGGGAACTGTGTGCGCAAGCCATTGCTCGTCATGGCCGGCTTCAGCGAGCGGCGCGGTGAGGGTTCGGTTCGGAGGGAAAGCGCAACGGGGGTGTAGACGAACAGAGCCCGGGCAATGGAGTGCGACCGTGAAATGGTGGCTCACGGCGAACGAGGCATGGCAGCTGGACGGCTAGGGCTCGTCGGTGTTAAGGCAGGGGAAGGAGGCTGAATGTTCAAGACGCGCGCATGGCATCTGTCAGGGGTCTCGCCCGCCATTGGACGTTGAGCCTGGACTCTCCCAATCCCAGTCGCGGTCTAACCTCCGCCCTAATGCCGACACTCCTCGTCCACACGTACTATCTGATGGGGAGCCAGATCGCTTTCTCTACAGAAATTTGCAAAGTCCAAGTATCCCCACCTAAAAGTGTCCATAAAATGAACAAGTGATGATGCCAAGACGGCACGCACCCGCATCTGCATAGCCGTATCCGCTATGTATGACAATGACATCAATGTGCGCCTGTGTTCGATAATCTCAACTCCCACCACCTCTACACAGTACTATCGCATCTCTACAGCGACCAACACGCACAATGGCCTCCTCACCCCCTCTCCAGCCAACATACTCGCCCTCACAGATCTCCCAATACCTCACGCACCTGAAAATCCCGTCTGCCCACCACCACGACTCGATCCAACACCTCTCCCCGCAAGAAGCCCTGTGCTACCTCACTCTCCTCCAAACCCACCACCTCTCCCAAGTCCCCTTTGAAAACCTCACCCTGCACTACTCCCCCCACCGCCAAATCTCCCTGCAACCGTCCACCCTCTTTGCAAAAGTCGTTGGCGACAACAACAATCGAGGCGGGTATTGCATGGAGAACAACGCCCTCTTCGGCACGCTTCTACGATCCCTAGGGTTCAGCGTTTATTCTGCGGGGGCGCGGGTGTGGAGCGCGGGGCATTGGACGGGCTGGAGTCATATGGTGAATTTGGTGACGATTGGGGGCGAGAAGTATCATGTTGATGTGGGGTTTGGAGCTGAGGGGCCTGTTGTGCCTATGCGATTACAGCGAGATGGAGAGGGCGTGCTGGAGAAACAGGTCAGTCCTGCGACGGCGAAGTTGCAGTGGCGCGGTATCCCGGGGACTACCGATGCAGAGCAGAGGCTGTGGGTATATTCGTATCGCCGCGATGCGGAGAGCGAGTTGGTGATGAGGTACTGCTTCTCTGAGATGGAGTTTCTGCCGGGCGACTATGGGGTGATGAATTACCATACGAGTACCAGTCCTAAGACGTTTTTCACGCGCACGATTGTTGTCGAGAAGAAGATCTTGAGGGAGGGGGAGTTGGTGGGGAGTCTGATTCTGGGGGATCGGGATGCCAAGCGGAGGGTTGGTGGGGTGAAAGAAAAGGAGATACGATTTGAGAGCGAGGATGAGAGATTGAAGGCGCTGGAGGAGTGGTTTGGGATCAGGTTTGGGGAGGCAGAGAGGGAGGGGATTAGAGGGTTGGCTTCGGAGATCGAGTAGGCGTGTTGCAGTGGTTTGACCGTCTTGGCTCTCGGACGCAAAGAAATAGCATTGATTGAGTTTGACTGGCTAATGAACACGCTGTCTGGTCGACACAGTCTATGCTTAGAAGAATCGCTGCTCGCACTGGACCCTGTTAGCATTGGCGTTGCATGGCGGTGGGCAATCCATACCCTCCATGGGTTGTTGAGCTCGAAGCCTGCGGGCGCCTCTGACTTGTCTGTCTGTCCACGCATGAAGCCAGTCAGTCGGCGGTCGCGTTCCATCACTGCGCGCATTTAGTATGTGCATGAGGTCATTGCGGAGGTGTCGTACTTTGCTGTGAAGCTGTTAGCAGAGCTCTTTCCCCCAATGCAAGCACGACTCACCCTGTCCCATGCGTCAACTCCCCGACGGCCCGGCTTTCCTCCGTTCTGCATCTCCCTGAGCTTTCCAACAGAGATGGCGCTGAATGCGAAGAACTGCGGCGCGTTAGCCTCGTCCAGTGCAGCCCAGGCCGGCAATGCGGGGGCTCAGCATACACCCGTCATAATCGCGTACGGCAGCAGCGCTTCGAAGGGGACACCCATGGTTGCGAGAGTGCCTGCAGGCGGTGTGGTGCGGTGGGTGGTGTTTCAATGGGTGCTTCTAGGGCGAGGACGTGAGGTGCGCTGCGAGAAGGCGCACCACTCACCAGCACCTCATCCAGACGGGCCTAGCGCCATCTCCACGTCCGCAAAGTCACCACTTCAAGCAACAGGAACGCCATCCTCACGCCCGCTGCCGACGAGCCGTGTCTGTCGTCGGTGTCGCCCCGTCTCACTCGTTCGTTTGAATCGCAAAAGTCGGCGACATCGCGCCCCGGGCCGCCTACATTCACTCGACAGCGCGTTGGCGGCAGTCGCAGACGTCCGCCCCTGCCCCGGCGACGACCAACGCGACTACGGCGCTCTGACTGCACTTTCTGGCGCTGCTTGGACGACGGACGCTATACCACGCCGCATCTTCACTGCATCGACACGCGACGCGCTTTCACCCCCCACGACGCGCCCAGCTACCACACAACATCGCCAGCACCGACCCGCCCGCCGCCCGCCGCACGCCCAACCGATGCAATAGAGGCAGCGACCCTGGCGTACTTTGCGTCCAAGCTGGCCGCGGCCGTCTCCTTCGCCATGGCGGAGCCCGGCAGGCTCATGGGCCAAACAGCAGACCCCAACCTGGACGACGCAGACGCAGACGGCGACTATGACATGGACGATGTCGACGAGGAGCACACGCCTGCCGACGACAACGGCCCGGACACGTCCACCCACACCCTCGATGCGGAAGGCTCGACCATCGACGCGGAGGGCGACGACGTGGACGCCGAGGGCGAAGAGGTCGACGACTACGACGACGAGGCTGAGCCTGTGGGCGCCGTCAAGATACGCGCATCCTCCGACGACAACGAGGACGAGGACGCCTTCTCGGATGCCAAGACCAGCGACAGCGAGCACACCGACGCCAGCAGCTCCGAGTCTGAAGAGGAGAACCAGTGGCAGGCCGAGAGCGAAGATGGCGAGGAGGCTGAGGTTGCTAGGACCGACCCCAACGTCTGCATGTGCGTGTCACCTCCAGCAACACCAAAAACAAAAGCACCCAGGTTCTAATCGTGCATCAGATACTGCAACCAGGACGAGGAGCACGACCCAAGTCCGGAGTTCGAGGAGTATCTCGCTTGCATAGTGTGTGGAGATAATGGTTTGTATTCCACCGAAATGCCTGACAATTTTTATCCCGGCTGACATCTTGTCCCTGCAGCACATCGGCAGTGCGCCCGCGACGCTAACACGCTTAGCCCCGACGATGGTATACCCTCCTCTCCCACAATTGGCCAAGCCGCTAATGCTGACTGTGTAATGTAGATGCAACGCATTGGCGATGCACGGCCTGCATACAGTACGACCTCCACGAAGATGAAGCTGGAGCAGAAAAAGCAGCCGAAGAAGAAGATGACGACGACGAGGAAGACGAAGAAGAGGGAGAGGAAGAAGAAGGCGCACCCTCTGTTTCAGCATCACTCGCGTCACTCACTCGCCGTAGGCTCTCATCCGTGCCCAAGCTTGCTAGGGACTTGCTTCCTTCGCACCGTGGTGGTGTAGATCCAGGCGGCCATTCCATCTTCAATGAGCTAATCCTTCCTGATGAGCCAACAGATGGAACACGCTCGCTGCGAAAACGGAAATCTTCACATGAACACGAGCTGCGTCCCCCATCGAGGCAAACACGAAAGAAGCGGCGGCCCTCTGAAGTGTCCAAATCGGAAGCAGGTCCTTCGATCGCTGCGTCCTCGCCCCGTGCGCCAGCAAGAGGTGCAGCGGCAGATGATGATGAAAGCGAGGATGGTGCGCAGCACAGTGGATCGGACGAGGAATCCCAAGTGCGATCGACACGTGCACGCCGCGCCATACCTAAGAGGAATGACAAACGGCCACTCGTCTGGATTGAAGAATCTCAAGGTCTAAGCTTGATAATTGTCTTTCATCTCACTAACGAGAAAGTTCAAAAAATCGTCACGTCCAAACCGAAAAAGAGAGCCCCAACCCTTACAATCGAACAGGAGCGTCAGGAGCGCCGACGAGAAAGGGATAGGGAACGCCGAGAACGCAATCGTCGAGCCGCACAGGCTGCTAGGGAGTCACCAGAGGTTACTCACTACCCTTCCATCCAGCCAATACACGCTGCACCGTTCCCAGGATTCGTAGACAAAGAAGCAAACGAAAGCAAAAGCAAGCCCTACGGTGGCATTCTCTCCGAAGCTGATGCTGACACCTCGAAAACCTACCCATCGCAAGCCGATAGGAAGCGATTCGAAGATGCCCGTGTGAAGGCCGAAGAGGAGTGGACAGAGAAACAAGCTGCACTGTACGCCAATCTGGAGCCTGCGAAGCTAAACAAGCAAGCAACGACCGCGAGCAAGATCAAGTGCGTCAATTTCGGTGGGTGGGAGATCGACACCTGGCATGCTGCACCTTATCCAGAGGAATACAGCAAGAACAGGGTGCTATACATTTGCGAGTTCTGTCTTAAGTACATGAACTCTGACTATGTGGCGTGGCGACACAAGGTGAGCACATGTGTGGAGAGGTCTTGAACGTTAGCTGACCAGGATGTAGCTCAAATGCCCAGCCAAGCACCCTCCAGGCGACGAGATTTATCGCGACGGCAAGTACTCATTCTTCGAAGTCGACGGCCGGAAGAACCCTGTCTACTGCCAGAACCTGTGTCTTCTCGCCAAGCTGTTCCTAGGTTCAAAGACGCTCTATTACGATGTGGAACCGTTTCTCTTCTACGTTATGACTGAGAATGATAATTATGGATGTCACTTCGTCGGTTACTTCTCCAAAGAGAAACGACCGAGTTCACTCAATAACGTCTCCTGTATCCTTGTACTCCCGATTCACATGCGCAAGGGTTATGGACAGTATTTGATCGAGTTCTCATACCTTTTAACGCGCGTCGAGAGGAAGACAGGAAGTCCGGAGAAGCCGCTCAGTGACATGGGTCTTGTGAGTTACAGGAAGTACTGGCGCCTTGTGCTGTGTGAAGAACTACTCGAGCAGAAGGGACCCATCAGCATTGCGGCTATATCAGAACGTACGGGGATGACAGCTGACGACATCGTGTCTGCTCTCGAAGGGTTGCGTGCTCTTGTGCGTGACCCCGTCACGAAGAAATACGCCCTGAGGCTCGACTTGAACTACTTCAAGCAATACATCGAGAAGTGCACCGCTGCGGGGAACCCAACAGTCAAAGCTGAATGTCTCGTCTGGACGCCGTACGTCATGGGTCGCCTGGGTCAATATGAAGACGGCCCAACATTACACGCCGTCCAACAACGCGACGACATCGAGGATGAAGACATCCCAGCCCAAACCCCAGAAGAAGGCGTCCAAATAGCCGAAGCCGCAAAAGCCAACAACTCAACAAACAACTCCACGCCCGCCCTCGCAGACGACACCGAGCCCACACCCGACATCCCCCAAGAAGACTCCATAAACGGCTCCCCCGCCCCCGCCACCCCCCTCGCAAACGGCTCCACCATCGCCCTAGCCGGCTCGCAAATCGCACCGCCCACAGACCCCGCCATCCCCCCAACACGCTATGAGATCTTCCCGCCCATCCCCGGCCAACCCGCAGCAAAGCGCCGCCCAGGCCGCCCCTTCGGCGCCCGCCGCCGCACCAGCACCCCCAACCGCGCCCGCAACACAAACCTAACCATGCACACAGCCCCCGTGCCTAAACTGCGCTTCTCGCCCAGCAGGGCGCCCGCTACGCCGGGTACCGTCTCGTTGCGCCGCACGAGAAGCCGGCTTGGTGAGAGCGTGGTTAATCTCAATAATGACGAGGCGGAGGAGGATGGGCCCGGGAAGGTTGTTAAGCTTAATGGTGGCCGGAGGAGTACGAGGAGCTCGACTACGTCGATGGGGAGTCCGAGGAATCGGCCTGATGGGAAGGGGAAGGGGAAGGCGGTGCCGATTGATGAGGAGATTGAGGAGGAGGGCGATGGGGATGTGGATGCTGAGTATGATGATGCGGATGTGGATGCGGAGGGGGAGATGGACGTCGATGCTGAGGGGGATGTTGATGGTGATGGGGATGGGGATATTGATGCGGAGGGGGAGGATGACGATGATGTCGTTATGGCGGATGCGTGATGGTGGGTTGATGTGTGTATTTGTATCCTGGAATGGCGTTTGGGGAGTCGCTCATCGATCGATTGGGCGGGATATGCGTTGGCTGGGTTCTTTCTTTTTTTTCATTCTGCTGGTATTGATTGATATTGGTAAGGGTTTGGCGCGCGGAGATACCTTGGGTTGGATGATAGGCATGGCTTGGCTTGGAATGGGGAGTTTGGGATGAGGGTCTTGTAGTGTATTGTATGGGTTGTTTCTTTTGGTTGGGGGATAGATGGGAGATGGGAGATGTTAACAACTCTTCTTCTTCTTCCTTCTATTACTTGCTTCTGTGTCACTGTCGGTTTTGTGATGTATGTGATGTGTTGGCATTTGCTGCGTCCAGGAAAGTGCCAAAGACATGTTGAGGGCAAGTTTGTACGTTACATCATCCGGGTATCTATCTCATACACATTCATTCATCCATCCACACAACCAATATCATACACTCCCCACCCCCCTACCCCAGCCTCCGCACCGCCAAAAAGTAATTCCCCCACTCCTCACTCCCCCTCACCTCCCTCCACCCAAACCCAGGCACATACACCACGCCCTGGACCCGCACCTCGCCCCACCCATCCTGCTTCCCGAACCACGCCCTCAGCTCCCCCGCATTAACATACTTCCCCCACTCATGCGTCCCCTTGGGCACAATCCCCAACACATCCTCGGCCACCAAATTCGTCACAACCCAGCTCGTCCACGTGCGCGCAATCGTGCTCATAACCAGCCACCCCCCGGGCTTCACATGAGGGAGTAAGTGCGTCAGAAACGGGCCTGGGGCGTGTACATGCTCCAGGACCTCGAATAGCGTTACGACGTCAAACGCGTCTGCGGGTTTCGCCGGTAGAGGGAGGTCTTCAATCGACGTGTTGACGTAAGTCAGGCGGCCGGGTGCCATGAGCGCGGGGTCGCGCCGCTTGTGTGCTTCTGCGATGCTCAGCACGCCGGGGGAGGGGTCGATGGCGGTTACGGCGCGGGTGGTTGGGAGGCGCGCGGCGGATTCCGCGAAGATGCCGCCGCCGCAGCCGACGTCGAGGATGCGTAGGGTGTGGGAGGCGGGCGGGGAGGTGGATAGGCAGCGTGTGATGAAGGTGTGGCGGAGGGGGTTCATGAGGTGCAGGAGTCGTGAGGAGCCGTGTGGGTCCCACCAGCTGGAGGCTAGGGCGTTGAAGTGCGAGACTTCTGTGGCGTCGACGGTTGAGGGGGACGGGTTGTGGTGGGTTGGTGGGTGGGCTGTGAAGGCGCGGGTGGGTTGTGTGCGGAATTGCGTGGATTTGGCGGGGCGGAAGAGGCATTTTTGGAGTGAGCGTGCTGCTCTTGTGGGGGCTTGTGGGCGCATTGTGGGTGGTGTGATGCGGTTCGAATTTCTGTGTTTGGAGTGCTGTTGCTGGGCTGAGAGGTGATGGTACGGGAAGGTTTTGAGCTCGGACGTAATGCTGGTATGACGAGGGTTGGACGCGTCGAGACGTCACCAACTCCGCGCGCTTCCAGCTGACATGAACTAAACAACAACCTTATTGTGTAGAATTATTGTCGGGAAAGACAATGGATGCCAGTCATACTCAAAATCCACATTGCTCACATAACACTCCATCTAGTCCTTCAGCCCGTGAGAATCCCATATTCATCATGGCCAGGATCTTCTAGCACTCCTTGTACCAGCCACGCAAGACACAAACCCATCGCACGAATTTCCAGCCATTTCTCAACTCTCGAATCCATGCTATACCACCGAATCAATCTTCCGCTCCATAGATATATGCTTTTTCACTTTTTAATAACCCAGACAGATAACGAGGGAGTCTCGCTCTGATTCTACACTTCCACAGACCTCCAGCAACAGGACATATGAGTGCAATGGGTCTGTTTTCGTAGTGCCTCCGTGGATGTGTTGCGGGGAACGAGCTTCTCGGCCTATGTCATCAGGCTCCAGATTTTTTGTTTTTGGAAGAGGGTCGTCGGGCTCCGGAGACATAAACGCAATACGAATCCGTTTTTACAAGCCGCAAGACCCATGCGTTGAATATATGGTGTGTTTCGGTGCCATGCGATCAGCTTGGCCGCTTTTCGAGGAAGAGAAGATTTTGCAGTGTAACAGGAAAATGGCAGACAGGACGAGGGAGACGGGTTTATATATTCTCCCCAAGATCCACGGGAGCGCACCATGTTCAACTGCTGAACATCTTTTGAAAGTGAACAACAGGGCGCACAACTCAATCCATCTAACGAGTCGCTTGTTCTTTTGGTTTCGAGAATCCTCACACATTTCGCTCATATTCAAGGATTTTCGAGTTGACTGAGACCTCCATGGGTTGCAAGGTGCAGCGTTTTTGTGTCGAGGAACGAGGAACGAAGAAGAGGAGAACATACGAACATAAAACAAGTCTTTTGATCCAGAACATACTTCGTCCTTCCACATATTTTGGAAGTCCAGATAGATGGATAGATAGATGGAGAGAGGGGCTGAGGGAAGAGGGGAGGCGCAAATATATATATATATATATATATATCAGTAAGAGGCTAATGCACTGGCAATGTGACGAGGCGTAGCAATTTTGTTGTCAAACGCCTATCAGAAGTACAATCTTGGGAGAGGTATGTTAGACCCATAGCTTTGCCCACGTTTCAATTTCAACCTTGTACGAACTTTGTCACACTAGTCCACAGCCACATATTGAGCCAGTTCTCATGTCTTTCGCGACAGTAGGAGAACATCAATTTGTGGAATCTTCTTTTTGGGCAATAGAAGGCAGGTCCTCTCGTCATATGGTGTTTTCAAAAATTGATATCAACATGTGTTCGGTAACCTTCTGTTTTTGAGCCTGGAAAAGTTATGAGTGTTCTCGAGTGTCTACGTGAAATTGAATCGCTTTGTATGTTGATGTACGTATGAGCATCAAACTTTCTATAAACTGGCACTGTCCTAGGAATCGGATATGCTGCGAGTTGGGAGTGTGAATAAGGCGAGTGAGAGATCAGTAGGTGGACGATTGGAAATCACGGAAGGGGTACCAGAAGCAAGGCGCTCCACATGAGTATCTCTGGTCTGCAAGCTTGCCAAATCCTCAAACACAACCAGATTCAAGACAACTGGGAGGGCGACGCAAGCCGTCATGCAACAGCGTGATTGTCTTGCTAGCTACGATTCTCAAACAACTGGCTTCTCCTTGGGTATCAGACCGACCATCTCCATTACCAAGGCAGTCAAGTTGATCATGCCGTAGAACATCATTGGAATGACCTGTACACAGATTAGCACCCGCACACCACATTCTAGAACAAAATGATAAACTCACTCCGAAGAACAAGTTGCCCAAGATCCCTCTCCTCGTAATGGTCTCCGCCAACTCCGTTCTCGCAATGCCCGGCGCAGCCTCGCTCTTGAAGGGGCCGACCAATCTGTAGAAGGTGACGAAACTCGCTCCAAAGCAGTACACAAACAGCACCTTCAACCCATGTGCTTTCCATAGCTCTAACAGTCCCGGTGCTCCGCCAAAGTCTTTGGCCAGCGTGCTCATGTACGCGCTGTGGTCAACGCCGTACTGGATACGCGCAGTGTCTTTGGATAGGAGATGGTAGTGGGGCGGGTCCGTGGGCATAGTCATGCGGTTTGTGATGAGGGCTACCCACCACATGGCTTGCTGCTCGGCGATGGGCGGGATGGCACCGACGCCCGGGCGTACGAAGCCAATGAATGAGACGGTAGGCTCGGTTGGAGCGACGATATTGCGGATCGTAGCATCTCCAGCTGTAGGATAAGATTCGTGCAGGTAGGAGAAGGACTGCTTGTATCCAGTGCAGTAGACAACGCAGTTTGGCCGCACTTCGATCTTCTGCATACGCCGCCAGTCTTTTCGGTCCGGTCGTTTTTGGAAGATCACTCGTCCTGTCTCGTCGATTCGCTCGGGGAATGTGCATGTGTCGACCCACCTCTTTGACTGCGCATCTTCTGGTGGGTCTACATAGCCGTTCCCAAGGAAGCCGAGGGGGTGCTTTTCTTTGTACGGCCTGTTGAGATACGGCATCGCCTTGCTGCTCTTGTTCAAAAACACGAATGCTCTGCCAAGTCGATCATGCGGCAGCGCTCCCACATGCTGGTTCATGCCAGCTTGTGTGCCTGTCAAAAACCAGAGCACGCGCTTGATGACGAAGTCAGATACGAACCAGCGCATGCGACTGGCTGCTATGGAGCGATGTACATATGCAGTCTCAAACAGGTTCGTGATCAGGCCATCGATGGGCAACCCACCCTTGAATTGTTTACCGAATACTTGGAATCGTGATAGGGCTTTGGGGAATGAGAGAAACCCTGTCCTGAAGCACATTGTTACCGACTTTGCGTCTGCTTTGATGGCCTCGTATGCGACATCTGTGGATGTTAGCACGTTGATGAATCAAAAGAGGGAGACATACCCATTGCCGTCTCGCCGCAGCCCATGATCAATACATCTCGACCGGTGAGTTGCGCACGCTTCTTGTATTGGGCTGAGTGAAAAACTTCGCCCTTGACGTTCTCAATTCCAGGGATAGTAGGCTTGTTAGGCTCGACATGTAACCCTGTGCAGATGGCGACATGCGAGCAGTCAAAGAACTGTTCTTTGCCGTCGTCTTGCTTTTTTACATACTTCACTCGGTGCTTCCATTTTAGACCTGGCGACTTGGCGAGTGGTTCGATGCTGGTGACTCGACATCCCAGTTTGAGGAGTGGTTCAAGACTGAAGCGTTCCACATAGGATTGCAGGTAGTCGACGTACTGCGGAAGGGATATGTGATCTGGTGCTGAAAGAGGGAAGCGGTGGTCCGAGAATGTCGTCAGCTGCTTGGAAGAAACAAGCTCAGCGTTTTCGTATGCGCGATAATGGAAGGTTCCTCCAATCTTTTCCTCACTGGATACCGTTTAGAAATGGCCTTTAGACACAAACAACAACCGCATAGCAGTCTGAAGATTTGATCACTTACGCTTCGAATAAGAAAGCTTCAATTGGCCGCTCAGGCGTTGAGGCTTCGAGCAACGTCTTTAGAGTCGCCAACCCGCCAGGGCTTTGTTTTATTAGCAGGTCTCTATGATGCCTCTTTCTTATGCATCACGTACCCTGCGCCTATTACTGCTACACGCATTACTGGCATCTTGTCGGTCCCAGCCATAGTGCAGAATACTCGATTGACCGTGTCCTCCGGGTGATTTAAGAGATTTATTAGAGGGTCTATAGCGACTATAGCGGCTCGTCTGCGAAACTGTTAAAATGGTGAAGGACTTACCAAACTACAAGACGTTGATACACACCGCGCATTGAGGCAGGTACGCGACGCCACTCGGGTTACGCCACCCCACCAATCAAGTTATGCAATTTAATTTCATCATGACATCAACAATCGTCTGCGTTTCACCACACCGTCTTGTCCTCTGTGAGATCGTTTCGCGATGCCTTCTTTGGCAAGGTTAAATTGCTTTCTTGATGCTTACCCGCCCACCGTCATCATTCGCGTGCGTGGATACCCGTTGACTCGGTGGGACTGCCCTTTGCGGCTGCCACTGGGGTTATCTGTTTCCATGATTCTGCGTGCCGAGGAAGGAGGCGCTTGCTAGATAACTTGCTTGCCATGATCGCTGGATAGTTACTTCCTGGTGCAGCCTCGCCATAGCTTCGCCATAGTCTCTTTTCTCTTCAATCTCAATCATGGAGTCGCAACAATGCATTCGGGTAGCTATTGTTGGGTCTGGCATGGCGGGGTTGGTGACCGCAAACTTGCTGTTACGTGATGACCGCAAACGGTACGCCGTGAAGGTCTTTGAATCTGTAGGTATTTATTGTTCTGCAATAGACAGACGTTAATAGTAACAGGGAAACTCTCTATCGCTCGACTCTGCCTCCGTATCGATACCCAATGCTGCACGAACTTCATCAGATCGCGTTGACCTGCCCATGCGCGCCTTCGCCGGGGGCTTCTACAGCAACCTGAAGGCCCTGTACGACTACTTGGGCGTGCAGTATCATTCACAACCTTTTCTCTTCGAGTTCGCGAGGTCCACCAATGCGCCATCGCAACAGGGCGCCCAGCGAGATGCCACCTACTTTGCGCACGCTTCGAATCTCCATCAATTGGCGCCCCGACCGAGCACAATAGGCATCATCCCGTACTTGATGGAGTTTGCATACATGGCAGCATGCTACGTTTGGTTTTCACTATGCTGCTTCCTGGTCGCTACACACCCAGGCGAAACGCTGCAACAATACCTGGAACGAACGTGGACGCCAGAGCGATTCGTCACATACTACCTTGTCCCGCTGATATCAGGCGTCACCACGTGTCCGCACAAGACGTTACTCGCGTTCCCTGCAAGTGATGTAATCGAGTACAAACGGAGGACACACAAGGCGCCACATTACACTGTTTCAGAAGGTGTCCAGGCCGCGCAGGATCGCTTGGTCCGCGGAGTGGATTACGAGCTTGGCGCTGCAATTACGGCAGTGGAACCGCAAGAGAAGGGTGTCAAGGTATCCTGGAAGAAATCTGACGGAAGCGACGACAGCGTTCAAAGCGAGTATTTCGACAGAGTTGTCCTCGCCGTGGCGCCAGATGTTGTTGGTCGGGTGTTTGAGCCGCTGCGCCACCATATGACCCGCATACCGACTGCGGTTGTCGAAAGCGTCGTGCACACTGATTCGAGCGTTCTTGCCCAGGAACCGCAAATGCAGAATGCCGCTGACGCACATGGCGCCCAACTAATCCACCTCAACACCTCGACCACCGATACACATACAACCGAATCTCACCATGTCCAGCCCTGCGGCGCCATAGTCACGACCTGTCCCTTCAGCCCTATCGAGCCATCACTCACAATTCATTCGGCAAAGTTCACGCGCGTTCTTAGGAGTCCAGAGAGCCAGCGTATCGTGAATGCCATGTTCCGAGAAACTGAGGAAACTTTTAGCGATGAGAAATCTGTTCCGCTTTGGAAGAACGGAGATGACAATGTTTGGCTGGTGGGCGGATGGTGTTGGGACGGCATGGTTTTACTAGAAGGCTGCGTCATATCGGCGATGCGAGTTGCACATGCATTTGGTGTCCAGATACCCTGGCAATCAGAGAGAGCATGAGTAAGACATATAGGATAAACAGTTTATTTACATATCCCAAGTTGAACGTGATGGAAGGCATCGATCGCCTACATGTTTCTAAATCCACTCTGGACTAGAATCCTGAAGATGCAATGACTAGGAGATCAGTTGGTGAAATAATTCTACGATACGTGGGATGTTGTCGGCTGTCCAAGTAGGCGTGAAAGCAATATTTCCAGCATCTTTGACGGATACAGCACGTGTGACCTCATCATGGTTAGCGCGGTTAATCCATATGTATATTCCCACGCTTCCATCTCGCTCTGTATCTCAATTCACTCGCGACACTCCCAGATGTCACCCCCAGTCAGAATGCCTGCCCAAAGTGCATCCTTCTTCCTCGGTGTTCCTATCACAGAAAGATTGAGTACTTTCGCCAGGAAAAGTGGGATGGAGAGCAGTTCGCTGGTGGCTGTAATAACAATCTTGTGCATCACATACGGATTATATACAACAATGGGGAGGCGGAAAACACGAAGAGACGAAGATATGGTCTATGGCCTCCAACATGGAAGGTTGCATATACAGCCTACCGCGATGTGGATGAGTACGTAAATCCGCTGTAGGAGCCACAAACGGTGTATTAATGTCTGCAGATATGGGGTATTGGTCTGTGTGTTCTCCTGTTCCTATAAATTGGGCATCCCATTTGCAATACGTCAGCTGACGGCTCCAAGAACCGACATGAGGAAGACGCAGTCAAGAACAAAACTATGGCTGAAGCATGCCGCGACCTTCACGATGAGGTGCTCGCCCAAGCAGGCTTCAACCACAAAACCGAAAGCGCCGAGAACGTAAAAGTTAATCGACGTGCAAGATGTCTCATCGACTTAGGTATTGGCTGCGGCGACCAAACCATCCATGTGATGAGTAAGACTCCCATTCGACCTTGCGACGAAGCCTGGTGGGGGAAACGAGATCACAATGTTATGTTCGACTCGTATATCGGCATAACGAACGACTCGACACAAGCCCAGTACGCTTCCGAACGCGTCGAAGAGCTCAAACGCGTGCTTCCAGGTCAGAGTCCCGCTATCTCTGTTTTCTGCGCCGACGCATCTCAGCCCGAGGTTTGGGACGCGCAAGTTCACTCCAGTATCCAAACCGCTCAATCAGGCACACAAGAAACATGGGTACTTGCGCTGGACACGGCATACCATTTCTCGCCCTCCCGCTGGCCGCTCATCAATTACGCATGCCAAACTCTCAGGGCGTCTTTCATGGCCTTCGACTTATGTCTCTCCCCCACGGCCACGTTCCGACAGAGGCTCACACTCCGTATCCTGACAATGCTCATGGGCGCGCCGTGGACAAACTTTGTCACACCGGAGCAGTATCGGCAAAACTTGATCGCGGCTGGTTACGAGGAGACATCGGTCAGTGTAGTAGACGTGAGTGAGCATGTGTTTTCGCCGCTTGCAAAGTTCATGGAGGAGCAAGATCGCAGGCTGAAGATGCTTGGTCTTGGTTTGGGACGATTCAAGGTTGCGAGAAAGATGTTTGCGTGGTGGGGACGCTCGGGTGTTGTTAGAGGGGTTGTTGTTGTTGCTAAGCAGAGGAACGATCAAGATGAGTTGTGAGGCAACGACATGGATGTTGTAGATGAGAGGATATCTTGAGGGCATCACAAAGAAACTCTCGCAGATTTGCGCGCGTGCTGTGCGACGAAACAACGAAGAGCGTACCATCCATATTGCTTGGTGTTCTTGATGATCATCCTAACTCCATGTCTCTCACTCTATCGTGATTGTGAAAGACTTCCCGGTCATGCGTTTGTAATCGTTGTTTGCAACACACATCTAACAATTCGCTTCTGTTTGTTGTCTCAACTTAAACAAACAGGTTCGACTGTCTATGGTCTGCTTAAGATGGGCCGTGTTCGTTGACTGCTGGGGAAGCTAGTTCCTCCCCAGCATTATGCCTGTCTTCGACACTGTCATCAAATGCACCTCAGGCACTCGCAACGACGCCATCAGACCCTCCACAAATGGCGAGAATCCTTCCATCTGCACGATTTGTCTCGAGCCCTTGACCGTCACGTCGGCCCATAAAACCCCACCACACGATGCCCTCACCGAGCCGGCCGTGACAATCAAGAAATGCGGTCACGTCTTCGGACGCGATTGTCTCGAGCAATGGATGCGCAACTCGAACACCTGCCCCATGTGCCGCATCGAAATCTTTCCCATGTCGAAACACAAGCGAGAGGGGGACGAGCAGCAGCCAGCGAGCAACACCGACGTGCCACATTTTGCGCTCGGGGCGTACGCGGGAAGCTTCGTGTTGATGCCCAATTCCAGAGAACGGATCATTGCGCAATATAGGGAGCTCATGATGGAGGAATACGGCGATGAAGAGTTGGTGAACGAGATGACGAGAAATTGGTATGTGAGCTGATGGGGGTGTAAGAGAGGGTCAACGAGAGCAAGTGGAGAGGCTCAGTTGGACAAGCAACGACTCGGAAGCCATTCACGTCTAGGGAACCCATGTGTGCATTGTCGTGGTTATATCGACCGAAGATGGTATTGGGCATGAAGTCATGGCTGGACTGGGTCTGGTGTCAGCGCGTCCATTGGCAATGTTGATGTATTTTCAGTTGTATCCAATGTCAACATGTGTTTGAACTTGCAGCCATGGTTTTACTGTAACTTGATGCAGTCCGGTGGTTTCTCTGTTTTCCTTGATGTTACAAGGAAGGGTGTGAGATTGACAGTGTACATTTGGAGGGCATGTTGCCGAGAGCGTCGTGAAGAAAGCCTAATATGATGCTCGTATTTTGTACGTATAGAGTATGAAGAAGATGAGGATGTTTCGTAGGATATATATAATTGGATCATGTAGATGTCTTGAAGGTGGTGCACGCCGAAAGGAGCTGCAAGTGGCACTTAGTCAGCGAGGACCCTGAAACATCGGCTCCATCGCGACTTCTCGTGTCGTTTACGCCTACGTCATGCTACTGTGGGAATCTAGCAAAGCAGAATGGGTAATGGCTGCTGATACTTATTCGAATTGTGTACAACTGACCCATATGGGCTTACGTATAGCTCTTCAGTATTGTTGTTCCAGGTTTGCGCCATCAATTTTCAGGTTTTGCGGGTCGATCCTGAATGATTCGGCGACAACCTCACTGGCACGCGACGTGTAACGTGTTACATGTCATGCTAGCGTCCTTGCAAGACACGCAGGAGCATACAACGGTCTTGGGACTAAGATGCAAACACACAGCAAGTAACTAACAATAAATCGATATACGAGTTTTACACACACGCGCGCCATGGCTACCGAAGAAACCGTTCAACTCAACGAACCGCATGCCCCTCATCAACCCTCCATCGACGCTATCGACTCGATTCTGGAGTCAATCAAAGCGGAGTTAATCAAGCTTCGACGTGACCATGACAGTATGTTACTCCTACATACTCCTCAAGCACTACTAACGCATACAGAACACGAGCCCGAGTACTTTCGCGCCGTCAAGGACCTCTCTGACGCCGACCTGACCTCTTTCTCGTCCAACGATCTCGAATCCGTCCGCGTTGCTATCTCAGCATACGGCATTCATATGTTTGGGAAGATCAGGTTACCTGCGGCTGAGGGCGCATACATCCACGTCCGTGTGTTTGGTGCAGCGAAGGACGGCACGGACGGCAGCAGTCTTGACGAGAGGGAGTATAATCTGCATAGTATCCATACAGAGGAGGTGATTAAGGATGATGGGGATAGAGTTTATAGGGCGATATTTGGGAAGGATGATGCCCTGGAATGGTTTGACACATAGATGATCTCGAGCTTGTAGGTTGAACTCTATCGTGTAAGGTAGTTATCAAGAGCCTCAAATCTGCATCGCTTCACAATATGATTTTCTCTCTATAATTGCCTCTTCAACGAAACTCTGCCCTCGCTCGTGATGATCTTGCACACATTCGTTGGGATCGTGTATGGGCGTTCATTGGCGCAGTCTCGGCTCTCTCTCTCAAGACAGAACGCGCTAGCTGGCACCCTGCACCTCCAGTTCGACTCTAATCCAACGACACACACTATGTGCTGCGAATGGCTGCTGTCGAAGGCGAAGCCTTCTGATTCAGCTGCGATAGCGTCGCTCTTTGCACTCTCTTGGACTTCGCCCTTCACCCGGCTTCAGTTCGGGAATGTCGACGCCCAGGCTCTCAGCACAACGATGGCACCTTTCATTGAACAGCAAATAAAGCAACAGAACAGACAATTCGTTGTGATTCGCCAACCTGCCACAGATGAGGTTGTAGCTGTAGCACAGTGGACCTTGCCTGTCGCCAAAGCCTTGAGCGAGGATGAAGAAACACCAGAAGAGAACAACGAGCGACAGCAATTTGAGGACGAAGCATATAGGAAGAAGCTACCAGATAGTAGCAACAAAGATCTGATTTTGGAGTTCACCGTCGGTTTGAGAGAGCTGAAACAGCAGGTCCTCCAAGGACGGCAACACTTTCTGCTAGAGAACGTTGCAACACACCCTGATTTCCGAGGGAGGGGCTTCGCAAGGAGATTGGTTGAATGGGTGTTCCCTCAGGCTGACGTACTAAACGTGCTGGTCTACCTCGATACAGCGTCCGACAACCCTGCGATGCGTTTGTACCAGAAATTAGGGTTTGAGGAAAAAGGCCGTCACACTATCCAGGACTTGAGCAAGTTCGTCACGAGCCAGGAGTTGGAGGTACATGGAGCAAGCAATGATCATACCCACGTTGCGTTTATAAGGTATCCAAACTGCGTCAGTTGATGACTTACTCGGCGTTGGAGAATGCATGCATTCGCTCCCTCTTGCAGCGACACTCAGACACGCTCTATTTTGTGTGACATTCATCGTTACTGAGAGGGAACCATCATGCCAATTTGTCATGTAGTCACTTGCGAGAGCTCATGCCCTGATTCTAAGTCCCTGCGAACTCTACAGACTGCCTGGAAGAATGATTCTCTGCGTTGTAATTTTGCTATATGTATTTATCAACACATATATCTGCTACATACGACCATAGGAGACTGAATATAGAGCTTCCCGTCCGCTCAGCTGTACTCAAGCAGTCTACCGGCGGATTAGTAGCTTGGTTGGTGACAACAAGCGAATCCCCGCTGTTGTATGTTTTTGTCCAGTTTTTGAACTTCTCCACTGATCACCCCTGCATTTTTGGTCGACTCGATCAAGGCTAGCAGGGATTGAAGCGAAGCGACGCTAGAGCTCAGTCAGTGGCGCGGAGTGGCTGTGCAGACCGAAGGATGACTCGTTTAATTGGACACCCTGCTTGGATAGCGTAAGCAAAAGTCAGACTTAAGCTCTAGAGCACGACTGAGGATGAAGCAACAACTGACCATGGTCGAAATGACATAAATCATAAGCCAGCAAGATTATGTTGAGTCACTTCTTTTACGGCGGCACTCCTACAGATCTAGAATCTCAGTCTGTAGATGGCGTCCATCCCTGCGCCACGCAAATCCTGCCGTAACGTAAACTACATAGGATACTTCGACTTTGATCAAAGATGTTCCAACACTTGTGTTATGATCTTCCCAAACTGTATTTAAGTCGTGTTCTGTAGTTTCTTCCGTAAATGTAGTGCTACTTCTAAACGAATATTACGCTGTCGTGATCGTATGCGTGCTGATCTAGAGAAAGTCTTTGAAAAGTAAATAATGCTATCGCTATTACAACATTGCAAGTCGAGCTCTCCAGCTTCAAGTACTTCTTAATGAACTTACATGAGTTAAAACCCCTTTGGCAAGGCTGATAAGTCGTTCTCGGCTCGGTGGCCAGTGTGGCGCTCGAATTTATGCGTGATCGCCACCCCGGTCGGTACCAGCCAAAAGCTTAGAGCACGTGATATGTCAGCATCGTCTTCACGGCTGATGGCAAGAGCGTCCTCGCCGTTCCAAGGTGTGTTGTCAGGTTAGGAAAGGCACGCGGATTGATGTAGAATCAACGCCCAGGCAGCAGAGAGTAAGATCCCGAAGTGATTATACACTCAGCGTCACTTACGGATGTTCCATAAGCGATGCGACAACCGTGACATAGAGCCATCGCAAATAAGCCTAGCTCAATACAGCATAACGGCCGACAAAGGCTAGAGCCGGAGTACAAGAGGATGATCTACGCCTAGTCATCTCCACAGTCGTCAGATCTTTTCAGCTATAAACAGGGTACCTACTACAACTTTGAGTATTCATGACTCTGCTGCTGCCCGAGTTTGGTGAAATGGTGGCTTCCAGGTATACTGTGGTACCCTCCCTAAGTTTAAGCCATTCGCCACTTCATAGTACTTTTCAAAACGCTCACAGATTGGTCAACACCGTCTAAATCGCCAATCCTGACGAATCAGAGATCAACTTGTAAAGTGGGGATGGCTTAAACTTAGGGGGGGTACCACAGTATCGCATTCCAGCTTTAGGCATTGATGTCCCTAGCACCCAGGAATATCGTTGAAGAATTATTAATCGCAGCGCAACTGGTCACTTTGCAGCCGCGGGCGATAGTAGATACAAAAGTCTCACAACGATTGATCGTGCTGGCCCCCCGTCTAGAATCTGAAGATCGAAGGTACACCACTCATGTCTCCTGTCCCTAGCTCGACCCACAAGAAGCTAGATACGCGAATAGACATCATTCAACATTCCTGATTTGAACATACTCCTACCCTGCTAGGCCGATATTTCAAGCCTCATCAGAAACTACCAAGCTGAAAACTGTGGTCACAATAATTGATCTCCCGTAATTTTACGCCACAGAACCGCACCGACAGCGCCCTCAAAGCTGGAAGGGAACTTTACACAAGCTTTGGGCTACCTTTTGAAGGATCAGGGCAGTCTTCGAGAAGAAAAGATGTTTTGAAAAATATCAAGAATTCAACCCGAGATAACGATACACTGTGTGGCAAGATTGCTCCAGATCGATTGCTCCAGATCGCCATGCACAGTCCAAGCCATCGCTTCTAGAGCACGGACGGTCGCAATAGGTACTGTGGTCCCCCCAGAAGTTTAAGCCATTCGCCACGTACCGTTAGTGTAGAGATGCACTGTAAGCGAAAGTGGCGAATGGTTTAAACTTCTGGGGGCCACAGTAGCTAAGATAGCCGCAAAGCATACACTACATAACCGCGTTAACGCTGTACGCAACATCAGTCCAACCTCAGACGTGCCGCCATTTTTTGTCAATCGTTCTGTTCTAACCTGTCAAACGAGGTCCTTTATATTTGTCTGTATACGTTCTCGCAGTACCCTAGTCCACTGAAGAACCAGGGTTATGCGGACAGTTCTGATCTGGGCGGTTACCGCCTTTGTAGCTGTTTCTGCTCAGAAAGTGAGCACGAATGGCCGCTGTGGTTCCGAATTTGGCAATCGCGTATGCAAAGGCTCATCATATGGAGACTGCTGTTCCCAGTAAGCTTAGGAGATACGAGCTTGCTCTACGTGCTGTATTCTAACGCGCGTACCAGATATGGCTGGTGCGGTAGTGCCTCAGGTCAGTCCTAAGAACTCTGGTGAGACAAGCAAGTTTAGAACGTAACATGCTAAACCTTGAGTAGGCTACTGTGGGACTGGTTGTCAACCCAACTTCGGTACTTGCTCTGGTTCTGGTGTATATTCAACAATACCTTCTTCGACTCTTCGTACTTCGACAATCCCTAACACTCGGTCTTCGTCCATTCCTCCATCTAGCACACGCACCTCATCTACTGCCATTGCCCGATCGTCCAGCACATCGTCGGTGCGTTCATCCAGCACATCGTCGGCGCGATCGTCCAGCACATCGTCGGCGCGATCATCCAGCACATCGTCGGCGCGATCATCCAGCACATCGTCGGCGCGATCATCCAGCACATCGTCAGTGCGTTCTTCCAGCGCCTCACCATCGGTACAATCCTCCTCCGCGTCAAGATCAATAATTCCAGTATCTTCCTCAACCCACGTCAGCTCTTCAGTTTCAACTCAAGTTGGTTCATCAACAAGCTCGTCCATTGCTGTTTCATCATCCGCGTCATCCACATTGGTCCTTGGTTCTGTCACATCCTCGTTAGCTTCTGGGTCACCCTCACTTATCTCCTCTATCGCAACCACTGTTTCGAGCCAGACTTCAGTTGATATCATATCGACGAGTGTAGCCGAAACGGTCCCTTCTGTCGTCTCAATGCAACCAAGCTCGACGCCAACCGTCATATCTCCAGTTCAAATTGTGGTAAACCCGAGCTTCGAACTCGGGGACGGATCAGACCCTACCGACTGGACTGTGGAACGTCTTTATATCATTGATGCCGGTGCCTCTGGTCGCGTCCAGAGCAATCCGCATACAGGATCATATTCCATCCGTGGTCGAGGCCAGCCAAATGGTGGGTACGACGTATATGTGAGCCAGACTGTGACCGTCGTGCCTGGTGCTTCGTACAACCTCGAAGTCTTTGCGAAACAGACTACCGATGGATTTTGCTCTATAAGTATCTACCTTGGCGAACGAGCCATTCGCGAGTATGTCCCTCCGGGCACTTCTTATACGTCTATTTCTGCAGTCGTCGATATTTCTGCGGGAGATCCTGCACAGCAGACCTTGCTCATCGACGGAGCATGCAGTCTGCCTGATGGGAATGCTGAGATGTACGATTTATTCATCGATGATGTAACTATGACCCTTGTCGTGTAGTTGCTTAGAGGCTGAAAAGCAGTCCGTTGCTGTAAAATAATTATTCGCTTGGCATTTTAACATCAGTGAGCTCGGCTCCCTCCTTACAAGATCGTACAACAGCACGTAATTCAGTTCTTTTCTCACGCTCGATAACAGCACTGTAACACTAAAACGCGGCATTCAGATTTCCCCGTTAGACTCTAGCGCCTGAGGCCCCCAATAGCGGTTTCCGAGAGAGCCCAATTTATGCGGTAGGAAAGCATAAGCAGTAATCAGACTTCAGCTCTAGAGCATGAAAGTCTAATCAATGTACTATGTTGTTAGCTACTACCAATAGTAAACGCCTCTGTGTTCCTCCGCCCCCACCTCCGCCTCCGCCTCTACCTCCTTCTCTGTCGTAAGTTTGCATCTTATCATACCAATCAAGTTCTCGTGCTGACCAAACACTACGCTCAAAGCTCTTCCAGTGCTGCTCAAAACCATGAAACGACAGTCATCCTCGACACGGACCTGACCACCATCGTTGATATGGCAAACGCAAAAAACATCGCTCCAGATAAGATCGACACATCAATATGGCACCTGCAAGACTCCGACAGGATACTCAAGACAGGGCCTAACGTAAAAGTCTCGGAAGCGGATGCGCTGCGCTTCCTTGCCTCACCAACACAAATTTCCGTACCAGAGGTTTTCGGTGCTTATGAAAGACAAGGCCAGGGCTACATTTTCATGTCCAGAATCCAGGGACTACCACTTTATGACGTCTTGCACATATTAGACGAACGTCAAACAGAGTCAGTAGTCCAACAGTTGAGCAAGTTCGTCAACATGTGGAGTGAGCTCCAGGGAGATTTCTACGGATCTATAGGGTATCAGCCTTGCCGTGACGTGTTCTTCCAACACGTACCTGCCATAGGGAAGCCGACGCGAGAATACGGCCCGTACAGATCCCGAGAAGAGTATTGCAGTGGGCTGATTGAAGCCCTTGGAAACTCCAGACCTGTCGGAGAATGTAACGAGCACGATGAGCAGCTCATCAGCAGGATCCGAGAACTCGGCAATGGACCGGCTGTGTTCTGTCACGGTGATCTGACCCCAGACAACATCCTAGTGGACCATCAACTCAATGTCGTCGCAATTATTGATTTGGGCGTTTCGGGCTTCAGTATACCTGAACGGGAGTTCTTCGAGGCAAAATCCCGGGCGAGAAACCCGGTGTGGTCGGCTATGGTCGACCGCATAATACCTGAGATCTCACACAAATCTTATAAGTTGCTCGCAGATCTTGAGCGAGAGCTTGTACGTTATAGTGGAATTTGAATACGCATCGAGTTTAGCCACATTACAACTCTTAAGCTGCTTATCTCCTGTTTGGAGTCCATCTCGCTCCTACTGCTGTTGCAACGTCCTTGGACGGCTTTCCGATGATATCTTGAATCCAATCAGAGGTTCCTGGAGGAAGCAGTTCCTCAGCCTCAAGCCCTATCACACACTCTAATATCCAATCCTGACATCGATCCTACAAATTTGTTAGCTTGTGAATAGTCACCAATGTACTAACCCTTACCCTATTGTTCCTAGGTGCTGGTTCCTCTGATATAATCTTAACGACCTGGTGATACTTCGACGTATCAATGTACCCCAAGAGCACTCTGCCTTCGCAACTTTGGCTATCCAACGGTTGTCCAGTTAGATACTCGTATTGGTATACTAATCCTCTTAGGGACAGTAGTTGTACCTGGAGCAGATTGCCAACTGAGCTCCCTGGCATGAAGGTCAAAAATCCCCAATGAGAACGATGGTTGGGATCTTCTCCGTCTCCAAAAACTGCGATTGATAATGCGTAAGAGGCCATTGGTTGTTCCTGCTGCAAATGTTGTCCTGAATCCAAGGCGAATCTCGTTCAAAAGTCCAACACCATGTAAGCGCCGTCAAAACTGAATTGAAACGCGCTCTTAACTCAATGATACAGCCTGATCGCTTGTGGGATTCTAATCTGGTGTAGTTTGTAAAGCTCAGCTAAGATAAGAATGAAGCCAAGCCATGTCAGCCTATTAACCGCGCGTCAATAACTGAGTCCTGTTTCAGGCAGGCCTTAAACGCCTGCAACATAGACATTGCGCGCCAACTGTGCAAGCAAGATGTGTACCAAATAACAGAGACCTATCTCTAGAGACAACACTACCACCACTATCCTTCGCAAGTCTAATTGAGTTGCGCTTATGCTGGCCTTTCTTGACGTTGTAGTTTGATTGTTGGCGGAAAAAGGCTGGGATTTTGTTACCCTGATACATAGGATGGATGTGAGCATCGGTGCGTAGCTGTGCGTCTCGGCTGAAGGCCTTCATCGCTATGGAGTCGGGCTAGGAGCATACGAATTGTGTTTTGCGTGCAAAATATATATCCCTCAGGGAGATGTACAACAGTGACTACATTCTATACGCGGATCTGTCTGTTCAGAATACATATAGGCTACACAGACGACTCATGTCTCGCTATACTACCTGACTCAGACTAGGAACGTAGGCGGCAGAACATATCTCCTCCTGTTCAGTGCTTAGATTCTGCTGTGACCAAACCATCTCCACTCGCATCCTCCCGTACCAGTGTTCCTCACAAATGGAGACGGTTTCTGCTAGCGCAACGATCGTGGGAATTGGCATATCGAATGTCTGCGGCTCGACGCGTTGGAACACTCGTGCTCGCATCGTGATATGAGCCATGAGCGTGATGCAAATGCCCTTCATACGTGCACATCCATCGCGGCGCCAGGGGTATATGTGCGACAGAGGTGGCTCTTCATCCCGCGGCTTCCTTGACCTTGTTGGATTGTGGCGGCTCGTCGATGAACTGCGGGGGCGCTGCCTCATCCATCATGAAGTTGGGCATGCCCGATGACTCTCCGATACCCTCAAAGTCGACCTCGTCACCCAACGCCTCGAGCTCAGCATCAAGCTCTAGTTCGTCCACATCCTCCGGCACATCGTAGCTGCGACTTATCGCGTCTTGGATATCGTTTCCCATATCCATGAGATCGGCCATTTCGTCCTGCAGCTTCTCGATCTTATCGATGTTGACCTTTCCGTACTGTTTGCGCAGCTCCTTGGTCGTCGTCTTCATAGCGTCGATGGTGGTCATTGTGTTTTTGAGGTTGTCCTGCATCATGCCGGCCTGCTCCATATTCCAGGACTGGGACTGGAGCTGGTCGCGCTGCCCCTCGTACATCTTGCGCTGCTGTAGGACTTTGAGGGCCTTCTGCTTGATGGCCGTCTTGCCTGGGCCGTCGCGCATCTTGGCGAGCTTTTGCTGGTAGGCTGAGAGCTCTGCGTTGAGCTTGGCGAGCTTGACATCGAGGCTTTCTATCCGTGTGTCGACCTAGAAAGGGTCAGTGGCGTTGGGGGCTGGGGTTGTGGAGCGCTCACGTTGGAGATGGCGCTGTTGAGTGTGGGCTTAGGCGCCGAGCTCTTTGCCCCGAAGAGGCGATTCATGGTGGCGTTGTGTGATTCCTGCTTTGAGGGACTGTTGGAGAGAGGGCGGCTAGAGAAGTGGGGGAATCCTTCTTGTGGGAGGAGCGAGGTGGTGGGGAGAACCGCAGGCAGTCGCGACCATGGAGCACGCTCCGACTCGTCATATCACGTGCGACACAGATAGCATGCACTCGCCCAAGACCACGCATGCTACCACACGCACATTTCTGACGTTTGTATTTGTAACTACCGTTCACGACCGTCCCAGTGCATGGAGTGTCCTGCATTCGACTCGCCCACTCGCCATTGCTCTTCGCTGTGTTCCCCGCAAGGGACAAAGGTACGGGACCTGCCTGTTCCACCATCTGCTGCCCAAGCTATCTGCTCCACCACGCGCCCTCCCTGTCCCCCATCACATTCGCTAACATAACAACCCACGGCGCAGACATTCCAACGACGTCACCCTCGCAATATCAGCTCTCTCTCATGAGCGTTGGTCACGACAGGATCCAGACGCATGAGCCCGCCCACCCGTCCCTGTGCCCCGCTCTGCTAGTCGCAGAGTGAGCCCCCCAAACCCATCCCACCATGTTTTGGCGCTTCGGAGGCTATGCGCAGCTGTCGTCGCTGGACAGCATCCTCGACAAGCCTGACGTCACAGTCGAGGAGCTGCTGGACGAGTCGGATCTCATACAAGAGCTCAAGCAGCAGAATTCGAAGCTTATCGAGTACCTACGCGACGAGAAGGTCTTGAAACGTCTGCTGCGCTATGTCATCGCCGTGAAGCCGTCCGCATCGCTCGACGATGAGGCGGCTGGGGAAGGCGCGATCGAGGCTGGAAGCTCGCACCGCACCGGCGCCAGCTTCTTCGGCAAGGTGAGGGCGCGTTCGGTGTCTGCGGCCAAGTCCGACTCGGGCGACTCTGAGGAAAGCAAGGAAGAGCGACAGCGTATGAAGTACGCCTATGTGTCGTGTGAGATCCTCGCATCTGAGGTCTGGTCGATATCGGAGGCGGTACTCGAGAATCAGGAGACGCTGCGCCAGTTCTGGAGCTACATCAAGCAGTCCGCCCCCCTCGATCCTGTTCAGGCTGGGTACTTTACCAAAGTCAATGAGTCGCTGCTGGACCGCAAGATGGAGGAGATGTTGGACTTCTTCAAATCTCTCGACGGCGTCGTCACAGACATGCTGCAGCACGTTGACTGCCCCGTCATCATGGACCTTCTCTTGAAGATCATCAGCCTTGAGAAGAGCGAGGGCGGACAAGGCATCGTCGACGTGAGTCACCTTCTCGTCGCGCAAATGACAAAATACTGACTGCAACATAGTGGTTACAACAACAAAATCTCATCCCACGTCTGATTTCCTTCCTTGCGCCAGACCAGTCCACATCCACACAAACGTCGGCCGGCGACTTCCTCAAGGCTATCATTACCATATCTGCCAACGCCACCACCCAGGACCAATCCGTGATAGGACCCAACGAGTTGACACGCCAACTTGTGTCCGAATCATGTCTTAAGCAGTTGATCGAGTTTATGTTGCGTGGTGGCAATCCTTTGACTGTTGGGGTTGGGATCATAATCGAGGTTATAAGAAAGAACAATTCTGATTACGATTTGGAGAATCAGATTGGGCCTGTGCCGAAGAACTCGGATCCCATCTACTTGGGAACGCTGCTGCGCCAGTTTGCGCTTCACATCCCAGATTTCATGGAACTGGTCCACAGCCCAAGCCAAGTCGTCACCAATCTCGACGGCAGTACCAGGACAAGGAAGCGGGAGTTGAAGACTGCGTTTGGCGAGAAGATTGAACCCCTCGGATTCGATCGATTCAAAACTTGCGAATTGATGGCGGAGTTGTTACACTGCAGTAACATGGCTCTGCTCAATGAACGAGGAAGTGAAGCTGAAGTGAGGAGGCGGGATAGCGAACGCGAACGGCTGAAGGCGGAGGGCACGCTCACTTCTGGAGCCAATCTCGGCGACTTCTCGACTAGTGTGGACAGCCAAGGCTTCCACCACGCTCGCGCTCCCTCTGAGGACTCGCCTGAAGAGATCAAGCCACTCCAGGTACAGAACAGCGCGGAAGACGACTTTGAAAAGGTCACTGCACCCGAAGTTCCGGTCGAGGCTTCAGAGGAGAACACCGTTGAAAAAGACCAGATTGGCGAGCCATTGGAACGCTCGCCCAAGACTGCATCAAAAGAGTCGCCATTCGAGAAGACTGGCGACGACGAAGACAAACTCGTTGACGAGCCTCTCACCCCACCGAAAGATACGGCCTCACCTGTCGCTGCTACGTCAATTACAAGCAAAACAGATGACAATGCTGAATCACCCACGTCGGCAGGTCTGTCTGCCAAGGTCGGTGATATTGATCTGGACAACGACACTTTGATGAACGACCTTCAAGAATCATCAGAAACTGCGAAGCCCGAGTCCGAGACCAAAACACTTCCATCACTACTGACCCAACAGCTGGCCCAGACTGCAGCACCTGGCAGCTCAGATACATCGGAACAGCTATCACCACATGTAGACGACAGGCCTGCACCGCTTTTCGCGGGTAAGAACCGTGATAGCAACACTGAACCTGCCAAGCTCGATACTTCGCGGTTTACGGCGGCCCCAGAATTTGATCCATTAGAGGCCACACCCATTGACGAGACCGCCAGCGTACGCTCTGTGGTTTTCGGTAGCTCGGACACGGGTGGCCACGCAGGGTTTGAAGTAGATGTCGACGGAGCTCCTGTGGTTGGTGATTATCTGAAGATGACGTTTGTGCACAACAAGGTCGTCCCAACAATACTTGTAAGTCGCATCCTCCGTCCAATACATTGACACTCCACTTACAAATCTAGGACTTCTTCTTTCGTTTCCCTTGGAACAACTTCCTTCATAACGTCGTGTACGATGTTGTCCAGCAAGTGTTTAATGGCCACATGGACCGAGGCTACAACCGCAATCTAGCGATCGATCTCTTCGAGACAGGACGGATCACGGAGCGGATCATAGAAGGACAGCAGGCGAGTGACAAGGCTCAGCAAGAAACCCACATGCGGTTGGGGTACATGGGTCACCTTACCCTTATCTCGGAAGAGGTGCTGAAGTTTACGGAACGACACCCAGAAGAGATTCTTTCACGGAGTGTGCTCGACAAGGTGCAGAGCGAGCAATGGATACACTATGTCGAAAACATTCTGTCCGAGACGCGTGAGCGCGACAACGCGATTCTTGGTGGGGTTCGACCCGACATGAGCGTCGGCCCACGACAGGCGGTACTCAATGCAGTAAACGCAGCATCGAATTTTGGCGGAGAAAGCGGCAGCGGCGGCTTGACAAGCGGCAGCAACGGCGGCAACGTGGGCCTCGATAGCATGGAGCTCGCCAATCAGGATGATACTGGAGGTGGTGGGTACACCTTCAGCGGTGGCTCCTTGCTTAGTGGCTTTACTAACTCGAGTGACGAAGAAGACGAGGACATGGATGACGGCGATGGCGATCGAGAAACACGGCAGACGCCAGTCGACGATGCCGAACAAGTGGGTGAACTCTCATTTGACGATGTTGATATGGACTACCGGTGATGCCTCCTCCCGATATCCTCCCGACCAAGAACCCACCAACACGATGTCGTTTCGGCGCTTGGTGCGTTTTATTTCTCCTTTCGCCGTTTCTATCTCGGTCGAAGTATTGTTTACATGAGTTATGACGACATGGCACGTGTCGAGTATTTTTTGTACGTACACCCCCGGCCCTCGACTTTGAACGGGTGGTTGCGGGGTGTATGGAAAGGCCTTTGTAGTAATATGCGTCGTGGGAGGCGTTTCTCCCTCCCCCCTTTCCCCCCATTCAAAACCCTTCTATCTGATTTGATTCATTCCTGTATTTTTCATTGGTGACGCGTTTTTGCTTTTTCTTACTTCCCCCCCCAAATCATTCAAATCACCCAATCAGCCCCATGGTACCATGCTAACCATCCAGCTATAGAGTATAATTACCCCACCGTCCGCTACTCAGGCGCAACCTTCGCGCGCGCGCCGCCAGTTTGCTCTCCGTCTCGCCCAGCGCAAGGCGCAGCTTGAATCGAATCTGGAGGCGGGGGACGAGACGGAAGAGGAGAAGACGCAGGAGCAGGAGGAGAGGGAGGGGCATCAGCGGTTTGCGAGGATGTTTGAGGGGATTGACGATTCGAGTGATGAGGAAGGTGAGGGGGAGGGGGAGGGGAGTAGCGAGGAGGGTGGTGGAAAGGGTGGAAAGGAGCACGAGGGGGGCAGTGTTGTTGTGTAAGTTGAGTTGGTCTGGTGGGGATTTGATTTGATTTAGTTTGGTCTGGTCAGGGGAAATGGAGCAACCTGGGATGGATGCAAGGTGGGTGGTGTCGCTTAATTGACTCTAGATACTCATTTACATCGACGCACATACGTACTACCAGCTCGCTATCTGCTTACTCCTGTCAAATCCGCCGCGTAGCTGCCTGTCAGGCTTGACCACCTTACCCTGCAACACGGTGTATCGAATGATATTCTCGCAGTCCTCGGGCCGCACGCGCGCAAGCCATATACACTGCGCCGCCTCACCATCCTTATCCACCTCCTCCTTATCCACATCCAGCACCACCTCGCCGCCCTTGTGGTCCTCGATCTTCAGCTCATCCAGCAGCTCCTGCACGCCGTTTGCATGCCCGTTCGCCTCCTTGGGATGCTCAACGACAGACGAGTGCCGGTAGATCATGACGTTTGCAGAGAACTTGTGCCCCCCGACATGGCTGATGAAGTAGATGCCCACGCCGCCGGGCCGCTCGTCGTGCAGGTCGCGATACAGGCCCAGCGGCCGCAGGTGGCGCTCGAACTCGCGGCGCAGGAGCGGCGCAGACTGGCCGCAACGCGCGTCGCGCGTCTTCTGGCTGCACATCAGGATCAGGTACTTGTGCGGACATGGGCGGGCGGTCAGTTGGGGCGTGGGCGTGGCGGGGATGGTCGGCGCGGGTAAAGACTCTTCCGGTGGGGGAGCTGGGGTGTGCAGTGGCTGTGCGTTTGTCGGGCTGGCGCTGACGAAGCGGGTTATGAGGTCTGGTGTGTTTGCGGGCGTGACGTTGTCGATGAACTGCCAGGACGGCAGGAGCAGGACTGTGGAGCTGGTGTCCGAGTGCTCTGGGACGGGCATGTCTGAGGCGGAGAGCATGAGTTTCTACATGAGGTTGTTAGCTTTCTGCTTGATATTTGGTTATAGTAGAGTCCAAGCAAAAGTCTCACTCACCCCATTACTAGGCTTCACAGTCCCCTTATCCACAGCCTCCATAATACTCCCTTTCTCATCCGCAACATCGCGCACCCAATCCGTCTTGCCCGTCGCGACAATCAAATGCGTGCTCCACCCGCTCACGTGCCCGTACAGCTCCTCCGTCTCATCGATTTCGAATTTCCGCGGGTATTTCACCGTGCACGTCGCGCAGTCGTGCAAGCAATCGTCGCCATCGGTCGCCGCATCGGTCGAGGGAAATAGTTGCTCCGTCTTGCTGGCCGTGGAGAATTCGCCATTGCTCTTCAGCGTCGGGACTTCGGACGTCGAGCCCAGCGACGTGAGCTTGTACGACAGGTTGCGCAGGATGGCTGTCATTCTGTACGCGTTTAGAGGTCTTGGGGGGGACTTTGCACGCGTCATGGGTGGTGGAGCGAGGGTTATCTTTGTATCTGATTAGATTGCCAAGAAGCGGGATGTGGGCGGCGATGACGAAGCGCTGCGTATGTAGACTAGGTATGGGGAGATGTTACTAAACCGCGCGTGAGTTGGACTCGGACTTTAGGACTGCGATTTATAGGCTTTGCTTCATGCGGGTTTGTGCTCACTCATGCTCGTTGCCCCGAGCTGCGGCGGTAGAAGACCGATTGTTTGGGCCGGTGATTCGGACTTGTCGTCTTATCCTATCTCCTTCTCCGAGCTCCCTTCCCTCCACGTCCGCAAGAGTACATGTGAATATTCTACAACCAGTAGGTAGACGCGTTAATCTCGCTAGCAATGAGGCTGAAGCTGTTGAACGGTGCACCCCTGTGCGAGCACCTTGACTTCAGCGAGGGTTCTCTCCTGAGCGTCGATAGATGTAAGGCGTTCCACGCCACGGCCCGACAAGCCGCATCAAACGGAGAACATGCGGCGGAGGAGTTGAAATGGCGCCATCTCGCAGCCAAAAACACGCGTCTGCACACTGGGTGGTCACAGCCCTATCTCCCAGGAAACAGCCAAGCTGATATAACCCTCTCCTTCTCAATCCCTAACATTGGGCAGTCTTCCATTCTGCCAGAATTCAACACTAGTATTCCCGACGACACGACAGCCACGTTCTTGGAAGACGAGACAGAAGTTGATGGCTATCTCGAGCACTCCCTCACTTTCCATAGCAACCTCGTGTCATCCCAAATTGCTCAAGATGACAACACAATCTCCTCGTCCTCGTTCCTCACAACCTCTTTCGGCACTACTACATCCGAGCCCGACAGTCCCTCAACGCTCAACGAGCACGCCATTCTCCTACAAGTCTCCCCTACAATGAGCGTGACGGCATTAGCATCCCTACCCAGCGCCCAGCACATCCGATCCATCTACCCGCAGACGCCCACGCCGAATCTCCTCTGCGCGCTAATGACGACGCCAGAGCGACGAGAAGTCTTCGTCCGCAAAGGCGCATACAACATGAACCTATGGGAGATCACAGTAGCCGACGACACCGCGTCCAACTTCAAAGTATCCTTCTGGCTCCGTCCACCCCGCGAGTCGAACAACGAACAGGCCAATGCACAGTCCCTTCTACTCCAAACTTTGGAGCGTGCTAGAGTCGGCGACATCCTCCTCCTGCGCAATATAGCTCTCACGTCTTTCCGCGATGCCGTGTACGGACAGTCTCTCAACCCTGCTATCACTCGCGCGCGGACGAATATCGATGTGCTGGCGAGTAGTAGCGGGGTGGCTGTTGCGCAACTCGGTGGCCTCCCAGCAGCGGTTGTGGAGACGTTTGTGCGGGTTAAGAGGTGGGCGAGGGCGCATGTTGCTGCGGATAGTGCTGGTGTGAGGAAGAGGAAGGGGAGTTTGGCGAAGAGAGATGGGTCGGCGAAGCGGTTGGGTGGAACACCGCTTTATGATGATTCTTTGCCTCCGGATACTATGGAAGGGCTTTGAGACTTACCAGTGACTGGGAGTGGGATCTGCTTGTTTCCACTGCTGGTCGGAGATTTCAGGCCGTATTTAACTATACAAACAACCGCTTCATCAATGGCGAGTTGTTCCAAGGCTCGATACTCACTAGGAGATCCATTGACCTTTTATGCAACCCTGGCATTTGTGTATAGATCGAGTCACGCTGACATATACAACGCCCGCTCGCCCGTATGATCAGAGATCTCGGCAACTCGGAAAGCCTAGTGGCAGGTAGAGACTGATGCTTGCAACGATCATACCAAAACACCAATGGCCCGTGCATCAGCCCTGCCAATCCGCTATTCGGAACTGCAAGGCTGTTACTCACTCCACTGTCTCTGCAAATTTGTTGCGAGTGAGGCTGTGCTAGGACTTGGGATTCTTCCCGGAAGTGGGTTGTCTCATCAATCGCAACCAGACTGAGATGTGTTCGATGTTGGGTGTCTCAACTATCAGCTTATCCAATTATCAAACACCCATACAATGTCACATCGCGCACATCTTGTTCTCTGTGAATACCACGTTCTCGCGGTATTACGTTCTCTTCCTGAGCGTCATATGCTGATAGGTCACTTGTTCCGTTTCCCCATTCTCGGCAGCGCTGTATGGGATGAAACCAAACATGTTTCGCGTATCATCAAGACCCAAGGATGGTAAAAGCAATTACTGCAACTTCTAACAGTTACAGCCTGTCAGATCGAGGCTCATACCGTCTTGCATGAAATGCCCACGGCACGTCAGACGCAAGAAGCGGGGCAACGACCTTTTGCATATCCATTTCATCTCACACGTTATTTTATATAACCTGCCGTTCTCCCGTTTGGACGGCATCATCGCGGATCCGGTCCTTCCTGTCTTTTCTCTCAGTCCTAGTGACATACATTCTTTTTCTTGTGCTACGTTCTCACCTTCGCTTCTTGGCTGATCCAATTCCATTCTTTACCGTCCGGTCACGATGAAGTCTTTCGTTCTTTCTGTTTCTGGACTCGCGATCTCCCTTTCGTTCTTTGCGGGCGCTCATGCTGCGTCCAATTCTACCACTGGTCCGTCGTGTGGGGTAGCCAATGTGGACGACAGTTATTTCAGCGTTGTCGGGGTGCAGGGCACCGGCGTTCACCCTCGACAGGAGCTTCGAGAGCTCGAGAAAGACGCCGAGTTGTGGAACATGTTTCTGCAGGCTTTCGCTCGTTTTCAGGCTGCAGACCAGGATGCAAAATTGTCTTACTACCAGGTCGCGGGTATGTTGCAAGTGCTTAATTCATGTTAGTAACTAACATAATCAGGAATTCACGGCGTTCCCTTTGGAAAATGGGACAATGCAACGGGCTTGAAGGGCCAGGAGATGATGGGGTATTGTCCCCATGTGAGCAACATGTTTGGCTCTTGGCACAGGCCCTACCTTGCTCTGTTCGAGCAAGTTCTCCATGATCGGGCTGTAGAGATTGCGAAGGAGTACGCAGTGGGCGAGGCCAGAGACAAGGCCATGTTGATTGCCGATAAGATCCGACTACCTTATTGGGATTGGGCTGTAGACCCCCCGAACAAGGAGGAAGGCTCTATGCCATCTTGTCTTCGACGACCTATGGCGACAGTCACGTTTCCTAACGGGACTACGAGCGACATCGCTAACCCTCTTTACCGCTACGATTTCCACCCTCTGAAGTACGACGACTTCGCGCCATTGGTATGTACATCGACACGATGGCTTTTCCTATGCTTAGCACCATGTTTGTCAATGAAGCGTGTCCGACTGACTCCCCAATAGAGCGAATTCGAGTACAAAGACTGGAACTACACTCGGCGAAACCCGCTCGATGGCTTTGCGGCTAACGCTACCAGCCGCAATCGCGAGTCTGCGAAGCGTATCAATGCACAACAGCCGAACAATAGAGATATACTCTACAAACTACTCACCACCTACCAGCCTTTCAATCAAGTGAGCAACAAAGCTAACGGTGGAACCATTGGCAACTTCGAGACGCTTCACGACGGTGTCCATAACGCGTTCGGACTGGGCCACATGGGTATCGTTGAGGTGTCTGCTTTCGATCCCATTTTCTGGTTTCATCACTGGTGCGTACAGATCACCCTACTCTAGATGATAACCAGACTGATTATCTGCAGCAACATGGACCGCATCGTTGCTTTGTATCAATACCGCTACCCAGATACATGGGTCGAAGATGCCGAGCAAGTCAAGGGAACGTTCGCCACGCTCAAAGGCAGTATCCAGGGCCCAGCATCACCCCTCGCGCCCTTCCACATGAACGCTCTCGGCGACATGTGGACCTCAACCACATCCCGAAACTGGACTTCCTTCGGCTACACCTACCCCGAACTGATGACGCACCCCACCAACGAAACATTCACCTCAACGCTCAACACCCTCTACAAGCCATCAGTCCAAGGTCTAAACAGCACAAACACCACACTCCTCCTCCCCGGCAACAACGAAAACACCACAACCAGCAACACCACCGCAGAAGCAACAGCCTGGCTCTGCGAAGTCACAATGCCAACCGACATCCAAATCTCCTACTCCGTGCGCGCTTTCCTCGGCGCCCCCTCCGCCGACCCCAAAAACTGGCCCACAGACGATACCTACATCGGCCAACTAGCTTCCATGTCCTCGCCGCGCATGGCCTCCGATATCCTCGTAACAGGCACCATCGCGCTCTCAGAAAAACTCGCGCAGAAACACGCATCCGGCGAACTCAAAAGCCTCGACAAAGAACACGTGCAGGCGTACCTCAAAGCGCACTTCACATGGCGCATCCAGGCGCTGGATTTCAGCGAGATACCGCGGCATAGTCCGCCTCGGGGGCTTAATGTGACTGTGTTCAATGTGCCGGTTAGTGTTCCGGAGCGGGATACGGAAGTCCCCGTTTGGCATGGCGAGGTCGAGTATCATGCTGATATTGGGGGGAATCCGCCGGTTTATGGGGGGATGGGGGGTGGGGGCGGGAATCTGACTACGCCTGCTGCTGGAGCGGCGGGGCGCTGGAATGCGAGTTCGGGGGCGTTTGAGTGGCGGAATGGGACGGAGGGGATGGCGAAGGGGGAGGAGACCACGGCTGTTGTTACGCCGTGGCCGTCTGCGCAGACGGGCGCCGTTGCTTCGTCGGTTGCGAGTGGGAGTCCGGTAGGGCGGGGCAATCAGACGACGTCTGGTACTGTCATTGTTTCGCCCTCCGCTTCGTCTACACTGCGGACGTCGCTGGGTTCCGCCGTTTCTGCAGTGGCACCCTTGCCTACGACTCACGATGTTAGGACGAGGGTTGTGACCTCCGTTGTCATGGAGTATGTCACGCTTTCTTGAGTAGAGAGCAGTGTAAGTGTGGTGTGGTGATGGAGAGTCGAGAGTCATGGCACGGCTTTCTTTCCTCGCTTGGGTGCTTCTGTGGCTTTCTCTATGCACGTGTCTACACATCTGGGGTTCTGGAGATTTGCTAGTTACTCTTTGCTGGCCAGGAGTAGTAGCTGTAGCGCATATGACGAGAATATGAAAGAGGAGAAACACATGCTTTATGACTTCTGTGTTTGGTTGTAAGCGTACCCATGCCGTGGCAAGCATAATCACCCGCCCTAGTAACTTCCACCATACAGTTCAATCCACTCCCACCTCTCAACGACGACGTGTTCCAGCATCAACGCTTCCCTCACTCACAGCAGTGCTTACCCCCTCGTCCAATCCCCTGCTTAGCTTGCCCACCGAGTCCATCGTGCGCTCCCCAGTACTCTCGCCCCCACGCAGCATCCACCAGCAAACCCACGACACCCAGCAGAAAATAACATCGAAGCCAACGCTGCTCACAGCCGGGTGGCCCAGCAACGTAGTCCAGATCCCCTGGAAGCCAGCAACGGCGTAAGCATTCGCGGTAGTTTTGACTAACATGAGGGCGCCGGTGCCAAGGACCAACTGCCACATGCGATTGTACGCTTTGTCGAGAAACTCCGTGTTCCCGCCAGAGAGGCTTCGTGTAGGGAAGAAGATGCGAGCGAGGGGTAAGATCATTAGAGCGGCGTGTGGGGTCAGCAGGACGGGCATGAAGGAGGGGCTGTGCCAATAGTGTGCGTCGGTGAGGAGCCAGGCTGGGATTACTGTTGCGATGATGGAGAGGAGGGTGATGAGCCATGAGCTCAGCCATTTTGGACTACGGGTCGTGGTAGTTGATGGACTTGCTGGGGGAAGAGGGGGAGATAGGAGGACCGTGAGCAGGAAGAGGTTCGTCGCGACGCTGATAGCCACAATCTGCCCCAGAAGCATGAACGCCCACGTGTATGTAATGCCGCGACGAACACCTGTATTCTGTTAGAAAGGCACGTCGAAATCAACCCTTTATATCGTGTCGTTTTACCTTTCTGCTCCAGATACAGCCCAAGTCCTAATGCGAAGAAAAATATCTGGTGTGACCACCAGTACCGCGTCTCCCCAACGATGACCGTCTCCCACGCCTCGCGGAACAACGACGTCTCTCGCAGCCACAACCCCCAATGCTTCTGCTGCGGATCCAGATCGAAGTGCGAACGTGACATGAACCAGTCTTGGTACGAGGACTGGAAGTAGCGTATCATGAAGCCCCAGGTAGTGAGCAAGCTACCCGCCGCCAGCGCCGCGAACAGCCGCACATGTTGAGCCGGCGGGAGCAGTGCAGTTTTGGATTTCCGAAGCGCGGTGGCGTTCTGCGCGAGTCTGGCGATAATGAAGATGCAGAGCAGGAGGCAGGTTCCCATGTACGACCAGAAAATGAGGTATGGCCGGGCGTTGGTCGGGGACCCCTCGGGCGATGGAGGCTGCGTCATGGTGTTGCGGGATTGGTTTGGACGCCAGTAGAGTGCTTTGCTTCAAATGCCCATCTCATGTCGGTCCAGGGTTTTCGCTTTGCCATGTGTCGTTTGTGCTCCAATCAACGCCATGGCTGGTGATGGATCGGCCAGGGGTGCAGAGGCCAGGATGCAACCCAACCGACAATACAATTTACCTTAGCTAACTATGCTAAGGTCCTAATGTGTTATAGTACATACTAAGTTAAGCTAACTTTACTAAGTAAGCTTTTATTTTAAATATAATATAAGTATAATATAAAATAGTTTAGCTAATAATAGTACTAGTAGATATTTTTAAATTATTAATTCTTTTAAGAAACTATATAAGTCTTTTAAATTAATTAAGATTATATTATTAATATATTTTAAGAACTTTATTACTAATACTACTATTTACCTATACTCTCTTTAGGCTATCTACTATTTTATATAAATACTTAAAACTAGCCTATTATTAAATTTAGTAAGATCTATTATAAAGTACCTTTAGGTAATAGTAGTCTTTATAAGGTAAGTAATTTTAAATATATTATTAATTAGTTCTAATTTAATTAAAGGTAATATATAGGAAGAAAGGTATTCTAAGGACGTATATTACTAGGTCTTATACTAGTTATTATATATAAGTTATACTAAGTACTAATATTATTAGCCTAGCAAGTAATACTATTTTTAATACTACTAGAAGTATATTAATCTTAATATATTTTTAATTATTTTATATTTAAATTAATAAGATAGTTTATTAATTAATTATTAACTTATTTAATAGTTTTCTATTAGAACTTTATAGCTATATATAATATAATTATATACCTAGAAGAGTCTTTTTCTAATAAAAACTTTAAGAACTCTAAAAAAAATAGTAGAGGAGGTAGTAGAGGTAGTAGTAAAAGTAGTAAGTTTTAGTAGAAATTAATATTAATTAAATAATAACTAATTTAATATAAGTAATAGTAGGAATAATAATAAAAATAATAATAAGTATATAAAAAATAATAATAAAGATAATAATATAAGTAGTAGTAGTAGTAGTAAAGGTAGTAGTAGAAATAATAATAAAAATAAAAATAAAAGTAGTAGTAGAAATAAAGATCTTAGTAAGTTTTTAGTAAATTTATTAATAATTATTTCTTAACTAATTTTACTTTTAGGCTTACTTAAAGAAGATAAAAATCTTACTAAAGAAGGTAAAAAGCTTACTAAAGATAATAAGAAGATACCTAATACTTTTTTTAAGCTAGGTCTTAGTATATTTAGTTAAAATTAATTGTTATTTAGTTCCTAATATATTATATAAAGAATAAGTATTTTATAAAGGTTAAGAAAAACTTTAATAAAGTATAAGTAGTAGAGATCTACCTATTAAATAAAGATAAAGAGGTAATAGAAGAAGCTAAAAATATTAAGTAAGTTTTAATAAATTATTTATTATTATATTTAAAGTAATTACTAAAATATTTATTAGTAAGTTTTATAAAAAGAACTTACCTTTTATTTAGTATATAAAGAAAAGTAATAAGGTACCTAGCTAAAGGAATATACTATACTATATAAGTAATAAGGAACCTTAGGTAGAAAAAGTATAATTTTATTATAAATATATTAATAGTATATACTAACCTAGCTAGATTAATTACTAAAGGATAACTAAAAAGCTTTATAATTAAGATATTAAAGCCTTTTATAATTACTATTTATTAAGAAATCCTAATACTCTAAGTAAGTTAGCTATAGAATTAATTAATATAATATTTTAATTTAACTTAGCTTACTTATTTAGTATCTTAAGTAATTATAAAATAGAAGCTATTAATAGAACTCTATGTATATATTATACTAATATTTATTACTTTAAGTTAATAGTTAGTAGCTTTAAGCTAAAGTAAATATTAAGTATATAGTATATAAAACTAATTATAAATATAATTATAGTAACTTTAAGTATTAATAAAACTAAATTAAACTTTTATTATATTTAGGTATTTTATAAGAAATTAAAGTACTTTCTAGAAAAGTAAAACTTTATAAATATATAGAGTTATTTTTTAGCTTTTTAATAAGGTATATAGAGAAAGTCTAGTTCTTTTAACTTTAAGATATAATAATATTTATAAAAGTTTAGCTAGATTATAATTAAAACTTATTTAAATTATAAATAAGTATATAACTTACTACTTCTTTTTTATAACTTTTCTTTAAATTACTTAATTTATAATTTAGTATTTATAACTAAAAAGTCTTTTTCTACTATTTCTTAGTAAAAGATATAGGAGAAATAGAACTATTAACTATAGTATTATTCTACTTTTAAAAAAAAGAGCTAGTATTAAGTTAAAGAATTTTAATCTTAAATAACTCTTTTTTAAAAAGTATAGAAACTTATTCTTTTTTTTTCTATTTTATTTAAGGTATCTTAATAGCTAGTAAGCTAGTTAATAATTAATTAAGAGTATATTAAATAGACCTTTTTTTTTTACTTTTATTTACCTCTTTTTATTTTTTATTTTCTTTTTTATTATAAGTAAAAGAAGCTTTTTTAGAATTTTAAAGTCTTTTTAGTTAGGTATAGAACTTATTAATATAAAATTTACTTTACTATATACGTTTATATATATCTATAATAGTATTAAAGTATATAGTAATATCTAGATTACTTAAGTAGAACGTATTACTGTTACGCTAAGTAATTCCCTCTATTTCCTCCTACTACCTAACTAGGTCCTTAGAGATCTTGCTAGAGATATCTAGAGCACTGCACTAGTACTAGTAATTACTTACCTTAATCCTTTAATTATTAGTTTACTATAAGACGCAGCGTAGAAACTCCTAGGCTATGCTAATAGAATTATATTATTAGTTAGGCATAATCTTAGTTATAAAGAAAGATAAGATAAGATAGATAAATAGATAGATAGATAAAGTGTTTAGATCTTAACTCTTAAGGCGCAAAGGATATTTATGTGCTAGCTTACCTACATAAAGAGTTTTTACAACCTAGCTATAGTTTATAATATAATCTAGGGTTTATAACTAAACTAGACTTTAACTAATAGCTACCTAGGCTCTTAAATACGCGTCTATACTAGTATATTAAGCAGCTAGTTATTAAAGAGACAGTGTTTTAATTAGCTCTCTATTACTATTACTATATACTTTAACTAATATTTACTATGTAAAAAGAGGCTAGGTAATAGCTTCTATACTAAGTTACTATATTAGATTTTTACTATATTGTGTCTATCTGCTTATACTAGAAGCATAAATATACTATAAACCTAAAATAATAAAGTATATAATAGTAGTATTTTATTTTATAATAGAAGAAGTTCTAGCTAGTATAAGTAAAAGTTTATACTAAGAATAGTACTTTTAAATATAGTTAACTAAGGCTAATCTATATTTTAATTTTTACTAAATTTAATTAAAGTATAATTTTAATTTATTTAGACTATATACTTATACTATATAGTAGGTTTATATCTTATACTAAAGTAGTAGCTTAAGTAAAAAGCTTTTCCTAGTAAATAAGATAACTAGTATTACTATAGTTAATTTTAAACTCTTTTACCCTAAGTAGTAGTAATTTAAGAGAGGTATAGTACTTATAAGACTTTTAATTATAGTTAAAAAGTAATCTAAATATATTAGCTTTTATATATACTTTATATTAAAATCTTTTAGCCTATTATTATAAGTTAAAAAAGAGAAGTAAGAAATAAGAATACTAAAATAAAGAGTAAATATACTAAGAAAGGTAACTAAACTTTTTTAAGTTAAGTTATAAAAAAAACTTTAAATATATTTTAACTATAATATAAAGTTAATTTAACCTTAATATAGTTTAGTTTTATAATAGTCTTAGTCTTAATCTTTCTACTTATAATATATTTTTTTATATTATAAAATTAAAATTATTTTTTTTATTTTTTAATTTTAAACTTTTTTTATTTCTTTATAAGCTTATACCTAGCTCTTTTAAGTTTAAACTAGTTTCTTTCTTTTTAAATAACCTAACTTACTAAAACAGCCTATTACTATAGACTCTAAGATAATATAGGCCTAAATTAATATATTAGTAATATACTTTTAATATAATTAGGTTTTTTATATTATAGGCTCTTTTATAGTAAGAGAAGATCTTATAAAAAAGAAGTATATTAAAGAAAAGTATAATTCTTCTTTTAAACTTTAAGTACTTTTTCTTTTTTTTAGTTACTATATAAACCTAGATAAATTTAAAAGATAAAGAATCTTATCTTCTTTATTAGATATTATAATTATATCTTTTAACTTTAATTAAGTAGTTTCTTTTATAAATTTATATTACTTTAAAATAAATTAAAATAGAATTCTAATATATTTAAAATAACTTACTCTTTTTTTTATCTAGATTATTAGAATACTACTAGCTTATTAAGAGGGTTTATTTTAAAGAATACTAAATAGAAAGCTTTTTTCTAAACTTAAACTCTTTAATATTTTAAAGGTCTATTTATATTACTTTATAAAATATATTAAAGACTTATCTATAATAAAATAATAATATATATATATTTACTACCTTAATAAAAAGTAACCTAATACTAGTATAGTATCTCTTTTATTTAGCTTATTTAACTATATTAGAGTAGAATTCTAGCTAATACTAGTTAGAAAGTAGTATATTACTATAATACTAGATAAGATCTACTATAATAATAAAGTTCTTTTTATATATAACCTATTTCTAAACTACTTTTAATCTTTCTTAGGCTATAAGCTAATTAGATTATATTACTAATATATTCTAGCTATTTTATATATATAAAAGAAGTTCTATTAATTTATAGTATTTATTAGAAGTACTTATATTTAATAAAGATTTTATTTACTTCTAGATTAAGTTTACAGTATACTTTATAAAAGAAATAGCTTAATTAATACTTTATATAAAATAAACCTAGTAAATCTAAATATAGCTAATAAGCTATTAATAATAGTTTCTCTTTTTAGAATTAATACTTATAAGATATTATCTAAAGCCTAGAATATATTAGTAATAAACTTAAAATATAATTAGCTATACTTCTTTTAATAACTAACTAAATATCTATTTAGTATCTATATTTACTATAATACTAATAATACTACTACTAGATAAGTATTTTTATTTAGATTATATTTATATTCTTTCTAAGTATAAAGTAAAGAAGTTTATAAATACTATTTAGTATATAGTAATAGTCTATATATTAGTAAGAATTTAGCTAAGAGTAATAACTAAATAATATAAGTAAGTTAATATAAATATATTATAGATCTAATCTAAGCCTTACTCTTTTTATACTTCTAGTAGAATACTATAAATAGAATTTCTACTTACTTATTTCTAATATATTTAAATAATATATCTACTTAAAAAGTCTTTTATTTAAGTAAAATCTTTACTTACTTTTAGTAAAAGTAGATAATTATATTCTTAGCTATAGAGGGTAGAATTTTCTAAATATAGGCCTAATTACTATTAGAATATTATATTAATATATTTTACCTTTAAATATACCTTTTTAGTATCTTAGTACTATATTCTCTACTTAAAGATTACTTCTTTTAGTAACTTACTATAAAGAAACTAATTAAGCTTTTTATATTAAATAAGTCTTAAAATCTAATCTTTATTAGTAAAAGTAAAATAAAAATTTTTAATAAAATAAAACCTTTAAAACTATAAATAGGCTTATAGCTATAGTAACTTTAAAAAGTTAACTATAATATAATATTAATATATTCTTAATATTCTTAACTAATTTACTTATATTAGGTTATTTTTAGTATTAATATTAGTTATAGTATATCTAAAATACTATTAATATTATCCTCTAGTAGAAGATATAGTAGTAGGAGGAGGTATAAATATATTTTAGATATAATAATAATAAAATATAGTATTTATTATATATTATCTAGAATAAGAATATAGAAAGTAATATTATATTTTATATAAATTATTACTTTTTATTGCTATAAATAATAGATACCTAGTTATACTTAGAATATACTCTAAATAAATTAGTTTACTTATATACTATAAGCCTTTACTTTTATTAATATTAGTTCTATTACTATATACTATTTAGGTATTCTTTATAGTAGTCTATTACTAAAGAGAGATTAAAGATACTTAATATCTATTATTAGCTTTACCTTATAAAAGAAATATCTTTTAGTATCTTTATTTAGTAGTATCTAGTTTTAGTAACTAATATACTAGGTATACAATTTAATAAGAGGCTAAAATCTATTAATATTATATTTATAAAGTATTAGGATAAAAACTAGTTTTATATACTTATAGTTTATTATTACTATTTTAGTATAAGCTTATAGTTATTATAGTTTAGTCTATAAATTCTTATAGTAAAGTAGTAAATAATACTTATATATAAACTATTTTAAGTAATTAATAATATAGTTTATAAAAGTTAATAACTTATTAAATACTTTATTACTATTTACTTCTTAATTTTAGGAAGTTCCTTTACTATATACTTATAAAGTTATCTTATTTTCTTATAAAAATTATTATTAACTTAGTTATAAGTATATATTTTATTTATATACTTAATATATTTATAATACTTTATACTACTATATTAGTATTTCTATTATCTTACTTATTCTTTAAGAAATAGTAATTAAGATAGCTAGTTAAAGAATTTTATAGTCTTAAAGTACTAAAACTATATATTGTAAGAATAATATATAAAGTAATACCTTTTAGTAATATAAGCTTACCTATATAGCTTTTTTTAAAACTTATTTTTTTATTAAAGAACTTTCTTTTATATTCTATATAACTTATATAATATATATAAGCCTACTAGGTATACTTTAAAGGTATATTAAAAGTATAGAAGTATACTTTACTTTAAAAGTATAGAAAGTATTACCTTTACTATTCTTAAGAGTAAATAAGATTAAAGTCTAGTATAATATATTAAAAAAGTAATTATAATATAATTTAATAGTCTTACCTTATTATAATCTCTTATAAGGCTAATATTAATATTAGATAGTTTATTACTATCTTAAAATAGTAAATTACTATTCTAAAATATAAAATTAAAATTATTACTATTAATATAAGGATAAAGTATATCTAAAAGTAGAAATTATTATTCTATTATAGTAAATATATAGTAAATATATTAAAACAGGATTAAAGTATGTAATTATTATTATATATACTAAGTAAGGTACTACTTTTAAGTAATAATTAGTTACTTACTTAACTACTAATACTAAGTTTAATTAGTATTATAGGTTACCTAAAGGACTTAGTACATAGTTAGCTAAGGTACACCTATAGTTAGTTAAGATAGTGCCACGTACAGAGGCTAAAGGTTCCCCACACCACGTGCACCATGCGTCGGCCAATTATACGCATTATCCATTTTGGCGTGCGTCCTGGTTCTGGGATATATGCTTTTTGATCGATTTGAAGGTCACGAGTTTGGCAGGCTTTTTTCGGCACAAGCATTGTGGTTGGTTCTTTGTCTAGATCTCGGTCCAGACCATCGTGTTTTTAGCTGGTGAAACGAAACGCTGGATGATGTCAGGCACTCGGACCCGTAGAAATTTCCTCGGTCCATTGGCCGTCGCTTGCACCTTCACCGACACTCGGCTCGTCGTGCAGATTCGTATTTCAACGTCTTTTGCTCTGCATTTTACTTTCCTCTCGCTGTAGAATTGCGAGAAGAGTGTTTGTTGACCATGGCCGACACCCCCCAGACAACAGCTAGCCACGACCCTAAGGAGGCCCGGGTTCTGCGCCAACATCTGGATCCCTCGTATCATTTCACAGCAGACTTCGATACAGCAACATCAACAACAGATAATCGTTCAGGAAGTCCTTCGAGTTCAGCACGCAATGCACCAGAGTCGTCGTTGCTGTTGCAGGGTGGCGACATTCACCGCGATCTTTACAAGATTGCTGCACAGAGCAAGCGGCAGAAACTGCATCAACGAGCGGCAACTTTCTCGCACACCCATCACGCTCCTTCGGAATCCGACTTTGATCATGATGCGCCCTCGTTCGCGCAGCAGCTGGTCCCAGGAGGGTTGAGACGGCAATTCCTCCAGCGCCAAAGCCAGCGTGTTAGTTACATCTCGGAGCCAGTCACGAAGAACTTCATCTCTTTTCTGTCGTTGTATGGCCAGTTCGCTGGTGAAGATCTTGACGAAACTGACGATGAAGCTATTTTGGATGATGAGGAAGAGGAAGAGCAGCAGCAGCAGCAGCAACAGCAACTGGCGGGAGAGCGCCGACCTCTGCTTGGCCGGAGACAGAGCTCAAAGAGGCTTAGGGCCCAGGGCGATGCTGGGCAAGTAAAGACGTTTTTCACCCTTCTCAAGGCCTTCATTGGTACTGGAATCATGTTCTTGCCCAAAGCGTTTAAGAACGGCGGAATGCTGTTCTCATCCATCACAATGCTTGTGGTAGCTGTGGTCACGTTACTCTGTTTCGAGTTGCTCCTGTCGTGCAGGAAACGATATGGCGGCGGTGGTTACGGAGAACTGGGAGAAGCTATCAGCGGCCCGAAGTTCCGAGCACTCATCCTGATCTCCATCACCCTCTCGCAACTCGGCTTTGTGTGCGCTGGTCTCATCTTCACGGCGGACAACTTGGCCTCATTCCTCGATGCCGTCACACACACCAAGGATGCGCCACTCTCCACCCCGGCTCTCATCGGTATCCAGCTCATCGTCTTAATTCCAATGTCGTTCATCCGAAATATCTCCAAGCTTGGTCCTGCCGCCCTCCTCGCCGATGTGTTTATCCTCATCGGCATAACCTACATCTACGGATACGACTTTTCCGCCATCAGCAAGATGGGTGGCTTCCACCCTACCATCGAGCTCTTCAATCCGCGGGACTTCACCATGACCGTTGGCTCAGCTATCTTTACATTCGAAGGCATCGGACTCATCCTCCCTATCCAATCGAGTATGAAGCAGCCAGAACACTTTAGCAAGCTGCTCTACATCGTTATGCTCATCATCACGGTTGTGTTCACCTCCGTGGGTGTTCTCTGCTACGGCACATTCGGCGAAAACGTCTCTGTCGAAGTCATCGACAATTTCCCCCAGTCCAGCAAACTCGTCAACGCCGTACAATTTCTCTACGCCTTGGCCGTCCTCGTCGGCACACCAGTGCAACTCTTCCCCGCCATGCGTAACATTGAGCTCAAACTCTTTGGCCGTGCATCTGGAAAACAGAGCAACCTCACCAAATGGAAGAAGAACGCCTTCCGAAGCGCCCTGGTGTTGCTCACCGGTGTCATTGCGATACTGGGCGCCAGCAACCTCGACAAGTTTGTTGCGCTGATTGGAAGCTTTGCTTGCGTACCGCTTGTGTACATCTACCCGGCGTATATGCACTACAAGGGTATTGCTGAGCGGCCTTGGGCGAAGTTTGGAGACATTGCGATGATGGTGACCGGGCTCGTTGCTATGGTATATACGACCAGCGTCACCTTGTCCAGGTGGTCGGAGACGTAATGGAAAGAAGGCGAGGAAAGTGTCAGAAGAGGTACGATGATGTGAGCTTGTTGTTGGACGTTGTGTTAAAAGTAATATTTGCGTTGCATTGAAAAAGCATGGTGAGCGATTATGGCGTTATTGGGAGTCGACGTTTGAATTGTACAATCGTCGTCCAGTTAGCATGTACGTAGTTTATCGCATTTGTATAGCAGTTTTTCTTTGACTGTGGAATCTTGGTGCCTCGTTGACAAGAGCAAAGTAGTCTCGGAGATTGGAGAATTATTAGTCTAGAGTTCCTAAGGGTGGGGATGACGCCTACTACCTTGCGTCTCCACACTCTCTCCAAGTCGAATCTCTCTCCACCACGCCTTCTCCATCATTTTCCCAAGAATAGTAGGTGGTTTTGCCGCTGCCCATCCGGACAGTTCGCAAATCGGTAGCGTTGCCGAACCCTTCGCCACGACGACCACCATTGTGTTCATTCGGCTTGGCCCCTAGAATCTGTTGAAGTGTGCGCAATGTTGTCCTGAGGCCAAGCCCTCTACAAAGGATCGGAGACCGTACCGCTCGAAGGTGTTTGGTTTTCTACTAGCGCTCTGCAGTAGCACTCTCCGCGTTCTCCGGATATGCCGTCATCGCGCCTGACAACGGCTGTCAGTTAGACAATTCAAAAGTATGTAAGTCCCGTTCACGTCTTCGCGTTGTCAAGACTCAACTTTCGAGACATCGAGCCCAGCATCGTTTAGGCGTCAGCATCACTTGCGTACTCTACAGTTGAAAGGCGTATCCACTCGTTCACTACCTCTATTTCTGTCCTCATGATTCCTCCTATTACTTCTATCCTACGATGGTCCTTGTTTGCGCAGTGTATCTCAGCGCAAATATCCTCACCTAGCAGCGTGCTCAACTCCTCAATGTCAACAACCTTTTTCAGTTCGACTACCTCTGGGACGTTAAATGCTACTGCAACACCATTATTCTCGACGCAAACACCCGATGTCATAGGCATAACAGGCCGGTCAACGTTGGTTACGTCTAGAAATAGTACAGCCACCACGGCTGCGTCGCCACAAGCTTCCAACACTCGGCCCTGCAATGGACATGTCGAATACTGCAATCGCAAGTTCTCAAACATCACTCAGGTCATGGCGCACAACAGCCCTTTTGTAAGAGAGAGAAACGCCGCCAGCAACCAAGCCCTCGAGGTTGAGGTTCAGTTACGAGATGGCATTCGAGGCTGTACGTTTAACACATAACATCATATGGATATCGACAGCTAAAACAGCAGCACAGTGCAGTTCGCGACCATAAAACCCAACTCCACATCCGACATACGCCTCTGCCACTCTTCCTGTGACCTCCTCGACGTCGGCACACTAGAATCCTACCTCATCCGCGTGAAGACCTGGCTGGACAGCAACCCCTACGAAGTAATCGCGATAATCATCGGCAACAATCCAGGCCAATCCGACCGCATCGCCCCCTCCGAATACGCCGCCGTCTTCCAATCCGCCGGTATGCTAGAACACGTCTGGACGCCCCCAGCAAGCAGCATGAGCCTCTCCGACTGGCCCACACTCTCGCAAATGATCCTCCTCCAAAACCGCGTAGTAGTCATGCTCGACTACGGCGCCGACCAATCCACCGTCCCCTGGCTCATGAGCGAATTCAACTACATGTGGGAAACTCCCTTCTCGCCCACCGACGCGTCCTTCCCCTGCACACAGGACCGCCCCGCCGACCAAGCTGAAGACGTCTCCCGCGACCGCATGTACATGGCTAACCACAACCTGAACATTGCGCTCACGGCGGAGATTCTTATACCTGCGTACTCGCTGCTTAACCAGGTCAATGCCGATGCGGGGAATGGCAGTGTGGGCCTTGCGGCGGCGAACTGCGAGGCGGCGTGGGGAAGGCCGCCGAATTGGCTGCTGGTCGATTATTATAACTTCGGTACTCCGTTTAATGGCTCGGTTTTCGAGGTTGCGGCACAGGCGAATGGTGTGGAGTATGATAGGGCTTCGTGCTGTGGGTCGGAGCGTACGAGTGGTGCGGGTTTGCGGAAGAATTCGGTGGGGTTGGCTGTTTGTGCTTTTCTTTTTGTGTTCGTATTTTGGGGTTGATGAAGAGTGTGTTGTGAGGGCATGGTACGGCGTTTGAACGGTGCTGTTGTGCTCGCGAAGTGTTGGCTTTCTGCCTTTTTGGCTGTTTGGTTGTTTTCGTTCGACATTCCATTGAGGCGAAAGGTGTTCTACTTGTTTAGCGTTTGAGTTTGCATAGCGTTTCTCGCATTCTATCTTCCTACCTCTATTAGTTTCAATGTTTATACTCTCCCGCCACTGGTTGTTTGTTTGAGTGGGTGGGGTGTTTCTGTCAAGCACCCGTGCTTCTTTGAATAGAAGTGATTTCTACCTGTTCCCCTTCTATATAAATCCCCTCGCTAGACTTGTCCCATCCAGGGCAGTGTCTTTTGCGATTATGCGCCTTTTACTAAAGTTTCTTGAATATTCTGAAGAAGCGTATATTCTAGCAACTCAGCCTGGCCACATTTAACGAGCGTCATGTAGAGGAACGGCCAGTGTGGCTCATCTATACTACTCATTCACTATGGTGGCCCGGGGTACTTATCTTCGGCCAGGTAGGCCTTTCCCTGCACTCAAGGCGAACACCAGTCACATATATAATATTTCAATTCTTACACCTCTGATATCTCCACAACGTTTTCTTTACAGTGGTCAACCAACCCTTCAACTAACCATATATCGAACAACGGCAAAGCCCGGCAGCAACCCAACATGCCGATGTTGGAAACTCGCATCAAAGACCTCCGCCTATCTGCAAAGCACAATGGCGGAGAAGATCTCAACCGCTACTTCACAGTGATGCTCCAACCCCTCCAGCAAACAAACTGCAGTCGCTTGACCACGGTGACACCAAATACAAGTATAATTTCAAACCCGCGCCATTCCAGCATGACGAAATCATCCGGCACATCAAGCTCGCCGTCCGCGATCTAAACAGACACAACATTCTCATCGCAAACATGAACTTCCGCATAGTGCCCACCAACAACTCGCCTCCCTTCTGGCCGCCAAGCACCGCTTTCCCCCAGTACGACACGAAGATGTACACCTTCTTGGACGACTATAACGAGTTCCCCGCCACGGCATGGATATCGCTCGTCCCGCGAATGGCTGGCTTGTCCGCAGACGCGCTCCATGCAAAGATCGGATCGACGTGGATGCCCCTCAAGACATGGCTGCTGTCGATGCAGTCACCGACGTCCAGACTGGATGGTGAGCGCGGCTTCAAAGCCCAGCGCAAGTGGTGGCGGCTCAATGGGCAGAAGTTCAGGCTCCTTGACCTTCCTGCCGAAGTGCGCATGCTTGTCTTCGAGCATGCGTTTGGGCCGCGCCTGTACCCTCTGAGCACAGTCAGCGCACACGACGCATTCGATGAGAGCGCTCGGCAGAATGCGGCTGTGAAGTTGGGCCTGGGACGCTACAATGCGAAGGACCACGCCAATCCTCATACGGGGCTTAGTTGGTTGACGAGCGGATGTCCGGCGAATACGATTGACTACACTGTACCTGCGCCCAATCTCGCTCTCCTGCGCGTCAGCAAGCAAGTTTTCCGCGAGGCTCTTTGCGCCGGCTGGGAGAATACGCGCAAGACCTTTTTCTCGCCGCGGCACTTTGCCTCTGTGCTTGATGCTGGCATCACGCCAAGCTTCAACTGGCTCAACAAGCTCATTCTCGACTTCAGTATGAAGGAATGGTTCGAGTTTTTCGGTATCACATTCCGCCCGGTGTTCCATATGGAATTTGCAGAGTGTCTGGGCTACCTTCTACTCACACTGCCTACACTTGTTAGCCTGCAGATATGGTTCAGGAGTCCGGATGATGGCTGGAAATACAGCCCCTGGGGATGTTTTGACACGCTGTCCCTGTATATATGCTGCCAGCGTACCATGGTTGACTGGGTCATGACGTTTGCGTGGCCGTTCGTCAAGGATCTACCGAAAGTCATTATTGGCGGCGCGGTGAAGCGCGATTCGAAGCGCAAGTGGGACGATCTCCTTGCTTTGCCCATGAGAAACAAAGTTGCCGTTATCGACCAAGCGGCCGACGAGGCAGCTATCTTCAGCACTGTCGGGTATGTATATTCTCCAGCTAATTTGTTTGCATGTGCATCTCGCTGACTGCTTATACAGCCCACCGCCTTGTTTCTGCCGTACGCCTTGCGTAGCGACACATGCGTCGCGTTATCGGGAGGAGTGGCCCTTCTACAAGGACGAAGACGACTTTGATTACGAGAATAATTTTATTGACGATCTCGAGGTTGAGGAGGCGGTCACTACGGTCGAGAGGCATGGTCGAGGGGGCGAGGGGGTAGATCTCGCAAAGACATTTGTGAACCTAGGGATCAATAGCTTTTAGATGTAGGATGAAGAACGTACCAGACTTTAGCTTCGACTTTCTCATAGTGAGCGTTTTTATACACCTGACACGAAGTGAAGTGCTCTTCTAGTCCACCGAGTTCAAGACTCGAAGCTGTGGAACCGTCTGGTTTGAAGAAAGCGTGGGTGTCTCCAAACCCCGTTTATAAGACCTTTTCTAAATTGACACTCTCAAATCGATCCATCAGCTACCTGGATTACGGAATACTTCTAGATACATACTGTAAAAGCATCGAACCGCCCAAAGGCCAAACCTAACGTGCTATTGTAATCTGCCGTGTAAACGCAGTGTCGCCCATCACCAATCATCCTCCACCCAACGACACAAAGCATCCAAACTTCTCCGACTGGGACGCTCGTTCTCAGACCCCTTCTAAAAGTCCTTGATCTGCGTGCCTATCCCCCTCTCATCCGCCAACCGACACAACTCCGTGCCGACAACAACATCCATCAACCCCAGCCCCACGCTCTTGTATATAACATTCCCACGCGTGAGCCAGTCAATCAAACTTTTATGCGCCTTATCCTCCTCGTCATGATCATCCTTCGCTTTACCGCCCCTGCGGTTCTCCTTCGTTTTCTCGCCCTCGCCCAACGCGACCCCGGCACAGTGTGCATCTTCCTCGCTCTTCCTGGTTTGGCGACGTCGGTCAGCGTCGCGCTTCAGCATGACTAGTTCTCCCACTTCCACGACCTCGGACGGCGAGAGGCCTGCTTGGATAATCTCTCCGGCTTCTTGCATGCAGGCTTCCACGCTGTCGACTATAATCGCACCACCCTGCGTAGCATGTTTGTGGAAATGGCGACCGTGATCTGGCGCAACGTTCTGCCGGATGATGTCTGGGTGTATCTCTATCATGTGCGGTTTGTATGACCCGATGGCTGCGATGTATCGGCCCTTTTTACGGCCTTCGGCATTTGTAAGTAGGGCTGCGGGGAAGAGAGGGGTAAGTGATGGCGTGGTGCAAAATATTACGCTGCTCGCACGTATTGTCGACTTGAGCAATCTATCATACTCTCCATGGCCGGGAGTGAGGATCTGAATCTTCGGTCGGTGGAGATCTGTATCTTTGTTCTCCTGCCTGTAGGCAGGCACGTGTGCATAGTTCGCTGACCATTGCGATGGCTGTTCGTTTGGACTGTACAGCTTCTCAAGAAGATGGTGTACACGCTCGAAATCGCGATTTATAATGTTCAAGTGGTGGATGTCGGATCCTCGGAGCAACAGCGCAAGTCGGATGTGCCAGTATGCTTGCTTCCCTGCGCCGAAGACGACTACGTCATGCACATTGTCCCTACGCCCTAGAATGAACGTGCTCGCAAGAGCAGTCCTGAAGGCGGTAAGCTCTTCTGCATTGATTAATGCTCTGGGCGACCCAGTCTTGTCCAGCAGTGTGATACTGCCTTTTGGTGTTGTGCTTGCGGCTGTGGATGAGATGGCGGTTTCGGATGACTGTTGCGAGATCGAGAGCGATTCGATAGACGATGTAACGGATGTTGATTTTGAAGTCTTTTTCGAGCCAGGCTCGGACAGTGTCACAACCTTGATGCCCATGCCGTCTTCAGAGCTCGCGGGCATGAACAGCGTGGTCTGACCATCATTGCGTTTGAGCGTGGTACGAAGGGGTTGGTATTCGGCGCAGCAGCCATTTGAATCATCTACAGTGGCAGTTGAATAGTGGTGCAGGGCATCGGCAAGACTTTGCTGCAAATCGAGTATATCCTGCTTGGTGAGACTGTGGAGTAGAGCGCGAACGTCTGAATCTGCGAGAATCGTTAAAGGCATCTTGGACAGCTGAGGTTTGATTAGTCGAGAAGAATCGTAATTCCTTTTGGCGCTTCAAAAATTCAAACGATGATGTAGCTAGACATGATGCAAGAGCAAGGATACAAATTGCAGGAAGTATCGAGTTCCCAAGGTGGGGTGAGGGTAAGAGCCCCACCACGGGCTTATTCATCACTAGTTCGGCAAGAAAAAGGTGACAATGGCGTGCGTTATCGTGATAGATTCCAGTCAATGCAGTCGCTCTGACTGCTTTTAACCCTCCTAAACTCCGTGGTATTGTGACCGCCTACATGCAGAGATAAGAGACACGCCGTAAAATTCATTATGAACCTTCCAAAGCCTTCAACGATCCACTTAGATCTTGATAGCGCTCTCGATAGCCTTCCTGCGCTTCTCCATGCGGGCATTGGCCTTGGCTCCCATGATACCACCGCCCCAGTGGCGCGAGGCGTCCTTGTGGTGTGACTCGAGGTAACCGTCGTTGACGGCAGAGATGAGCTTGGAGAGATCGGTCTTGTCCTCAGCGCGGACCTCGGTCAGGGCGAGAACGGCAGCGGTCTTCTGGTGAACGACCGTCCCGAGTCTGGCCTTGCCCTTGACGATAACGTAAGGGACACCCATCTTGCGGCAGAGGGCGGGGAGGAAGACAACGAGCTCGATGGGGTCGACGTCGTTGGCGATCAGGACGAGGGCGGCCTTCTTGTTCTCAACAAGACCGACAACGTGGTTCAGACCGAACTTGGCGACGTATGGCTTCTTGCTGACATCCTCCTTCTTCTTGCCCTCCGAGATGGCGGTGGCCTCCTTTGTCAGGCGCTCCTTCTTCTCGGGCTTGGTCTCAGGGCGGTACTTGTTGAGCAGCTTGAAAGCCTGTGTAGCGACTGCGATGTGTTAGCTGAGTTCTTTCATCGCGTTTGTGTGTGCCTTACGGTTGCGGTCGGCAACGTGCTGGAACTGGGCGATCGAAGGTGGGACCTTCAGACGCAGGTTGAGGATCTTCTTCTGGCGCTGAAGACGGACGTACGCGGGCCATCGGACCATGCGCGATACATTGCGCTGGGGCTGGATGTCCTGGCCGATACCGTAGTTCTTGGGGCGCTTCTCGAAGAGAGGGTTCTGCGCGTGGTTAGAGCTTGCGGGCAGACGTGCAGAGGACAGGACGCAAACTCACCTTGGCAGCCTTCTTGCCGCCAGCCTTGCCCTGGGGGAATGGCGCGGGCGCCGCTTTCTTTCCTTTAGGAGGCATCCTGAATACTGGTCGAGGCTGTCATAGAGAACAGAAACCATTAGCGAATGTCCAATCCACTAAGTAGGTTCTGAATCTCGTAAGAGCAAGAAGGCATTGCTGCCATTCTACGCTCTAGCCATCTGGGTATTCGACATGCACCATTACGGTCGCATGCGATTGATATGCTGGAAAGCAATCAGGCGAGGGTTGCGCTTACCGGTTAGTTGTTGGCGACGGTCGACGACGTTGAGATTGACGGAGTTCGAAAAGAGTCGGGCACAACGTTTTCGAGAAGTTCTGCTTTCCGTGCGATGACTAAGCTGGGCTCGCTTGCGGCCGCGCTAGTGTTAGTGGGGCGCTAGAGTCGACCCAATGGCGACGCGTCACTCTGAACCTCGTCAACAATCTGCAATGGCAGCGACTTCTGAACGTGCAGACAATGGGCGGCTAAGGCAGCTCGTATTGGTCTTTTGTGCTTGGAAAGTACTCCTTCTACTTCTTGCAGCCTACTGCCCGGGCCCCGGATATGATACCTCGGCCCTCATCTCCCTTGACAATGGCAACAATCGACATGACCACTTCGACACCTCTCCACGATACTACCGTCTCGCTTTGAACCTTTTCCGGTGGGACGCTCTGTACTTTGTCAAGGGTGCTGAGCGAGCCAAAGTTCATGAGCAGGAATGGGCGTTTAGCTGGGCGTACTCACGGGGTTTCAGCGTCCTGGGACAATGTAAGAAGATCCGTTCATCATCTTGACCTAACGTTAACAACAACGAAGATATTTCTGGCGGCACGGCATGCTCGTCGCAGTGCTACGTTTGGGCTGGGATCGCCGTGTCCAATGTCTGCCACCTCCTCTCCGTACTGGTTCTGTATCGTCTCTTGTCCGTAATTGTGGGAAAGCCACAACAACGTCGCCATACCGCTTTTGTTGCATCTGTCTTACATGTTTTGACGCCAGCCTCTCTCTTTCTCTCTTCACCATACGCCGAGGGCTTATTCTCCTTGCTTAACTTCACCGGGATGCTGTGTTACGCGCAATCAAGAGCCACAAGTCAAGTTGGAAGTCCGACACTCTATGAAGACTTTCTCAAGCTGAGTTCAGGCTTGTTTTTTGCTTCCGCCACGTTGATGAGAAGTAACGGCTTGTTGAGTGGCTTGATCTTGATGTACGACGTTGCGCGGTATATACCCCGCATAATCTCAATGCAGGTCAATCTGCATGACATGAGAAGAGTCTTTGTCACATGTGTGTCAGGCATGTTTGTTGCACTTGGATTTATCGGGCCTCAATATCTAGCATATCTGGAGTTTTGTAGCCAAGGCATTGGTTCCACCACCAGACCATGGTGTGCGAGAAGCGTCCCGAGTATCTACTCGTGGGTACAAAGCTACTATTGGTAAGCTAGCTTCGCCGCGTATTCTCCTAGTCTGACCTCAATTAGGGATGTAGGACTTTTCCGATACTGGACTCTCTCAAACTTGCCCCTTTTCTTACTAGCAGTACCAATGCTGTGGCTGCTGGTGGCGTCCAGTGTAACGGCACTGCGCGACTGCTTTCGCCAGCCGTTGCATGGGCATTCTGTACCCCAGACTACTGTAACCCGCGACCCCGATGGTACATCTTCCACGTACAATCTTCCAGAGCTGGCATTGCCGCAGTTGGTATTGGCTGTCGCCGCAGCTACCAGCTTCCATGTTCAGGTCATCAATCGTATCGCTTCCGGATATCCAATTTGGTACGTCACAGTCGCTACATGGCTCCTGAATGAGCAGTCGGCCCATGACGAAAAGAAAACCCGACGTCAAGGCCAATGGGCTGTTCGTGGCATGATCATGTATGCCATGATTCAAGGCATGCTGTTTGCGAATTTTCTCCCTCCAGCTTGATTCTGCTGCACACGTGTTTCATTGTTTTGCAAGATCGAGAAGACCAGATGCAAGAGCGAAGCAGTCCATCTTTGCATGAGACTTTAATCGCTATATCTGCAGTGGGTATCCGACCCCACTGCTTTGTTTTCAGTAGCTGATATGCGACCTGGCATGTTTCGGAACCGCATGTTTGGGTCGTCCTCAACATGTCGGCTTACAAGACCATTGTATGGGGAAGCCACCCCCACCTTCTCAGGCTGACGTTGTTCAACTCTGGTTGGATTCAGAAGGTTGTGGACCATGGACTCGGCAGGTAACTAGAGCTTCGGTAGCATTTGTCTTCGAATTGACAGATGCGGGCGCCTCGATGTCTCTCCTCAAAACGGATTCAGTTTCATTGAACAGGCGTCGTACTCGTCGCTCAATGGTTGCAATCTGGTCATGGAAAACCCACATTTGGGACTCTCGGTTCACGAAGGACATGTTGTACATCGAAGCATTTGCGGTGATTCATGGTCTCCTTTTTCGAGGATGCATCCATGAGTCGGTAGTTACAAACCTTGAATTTTGTCCAGGGATATCATGGATCCGAAGGCAGCACGCCCAAGCGTCCCCATAGATCGAAACGAGAATACATGTGGCCGATTGCCTGATCGGCAAAGTGTATGGCATTGATCAGTTTTTCATGACAATTGTAGTGGCCGATCAGCAAGTACACTGGTCACGCGATGATCTGACAAAACCCGACGATTCACAGCGTACTACTAAAACCTTCGAACGTTCCCAAAGCTCGTTCTTCTTATATGTTGTGTTTACAGCATTGGTGTGCGGAATGGCAAATACATGTGGCGACACGTTGATCCATATGAACTTGACCGCCAAAATTGTGTTTGAGTGTGGTACCTGCACAGGCCATCGTCATTGAGTCTCTCCTAATGTTTTAATATGAGCTGTTTTGTTGTCTCGTTGGTCGTATATATGTCGACACGACAGTGTGCTGTACGTCAAGCATGGACAGAACAGGGTATTCATGTGGTACGACGTGCCACAGCTTCGACTCTTATCCCAGAAGTTCTGCATATCGGCGCCGTTGCTCATGCAGTACCTGCTCCAAGAGGTATTCGCTTGTACAAAACTCTTCTCACTACACTGTTTCGTCTAAACATGTCGACGCTTACAACTACATCCGCAGCATGGGGGCAGACAAATCGCAACTTCTCAATTATTGCTATCTGTCTCACACTCCACCATCGAAGCTAGAGACTTCTACGACGACAACCAAAGCAACACAGAGCTTGGTAAATGCGCCACTGGCTTTCTGCTTGTATCTTGTTGGATGGAGTCTAGCGCAAGATGAGCGAGGAATTGTACCAGCTGCAACTCCCAGTTGCCCCATACCATAGTGACATATAAAGATCAATGCTCGGAGTATAGTGGAATTCTACACCAGGTTCATCCAGCTGTTCTTTGAATCACAAGATGAAGTTCTCCACCCTCATCGTTCTTTCAGGCTCTTCGTTCGCCATCGCAACGGTATTGGAGGCCAGGCAGCGGCCATGTGCCGAAGACAACTGCTGGAGTGCTATCTGGGGCACCTGGCCGGTCCCGGATCAGACTCTTACTGCCTTCTCCGACTGTCAAAAGTACATGACAACGTCTGTTGTAGTTTATCCGCTGTTAGTACCCTACACTTTACCCCAACAAACTATGCTAATGACCATGCTTCAGTACTACTGTTTTCGTGCTTGAAACAAGCACGTTGACGGCAATGCCTAGTTGTACTGCTACTCCAGGAACCTCTGCTAGTCCTGGCAGTTCTTTGAGCTTGAGCAGTCTTCCCACCTATGTCACTTCGACAGAGCCTGCAATCTCAATCTCATTCTCACCTGGAGAAACGCCTTCAGCAATGCCCAAAAATGCGATCATCGAGGCACGTCAAGCCGTAACCTCACGACCCTCCTCTACAGTCACAATCTACGGTCCCATGCCCGCTTATGCTACTCCAGTATGTGAAGGTGCAAGGTACGCCAGTGCCTGCGGTTGTAAGCAGATTGTCGAAACTGTCATCACCCTGATCAGCACTGTAAGTCAAAAATCCTGTAATACTCTGGAATGACAAGCCTAAGACCCTACAGACGATGACTACTTCCTCCACACTCACGTTGACCGACACAACAATCGAGTCATGCAGCACAATTTTCACTATCACCATGACACACGATTCTTCCACATCTATGGCTACTCTCACGATGACTTCTAACCCAGACGATACCTCTACTGGCACCGGAACTGGCACCGGAAGCATCACACCCACATTCTCAAGTTCTCTTCCCACAGACCCTCCTTTTACCAACTCAACAACTACTGCGCTCCCCTCTCTCAATACAACGACGGCTTTACCTCCGTTCACAAACACTACAGTCAGTTCGCCGACATTTACGAATACCACAATTGCCACCCCAACTTCCAGTCCACCAATCTGCAATGGCCCCGGTGTTGCCTTCTGCGGCGGCATAGGATGCGTGGACACCAAGACCGACACTGATAACTGCGGCCGTTGCGACAACAAATGCGCACCTGGCATGTACTGCGTCAACGGCGTTTGTGCACGAGAACCGTGCGACTCGGACTGCAGCTGGGACAGGTACTGCTCGCCCGGCAATGGTACTCTCGCCTGCATCTGCGCCTCCGAGGAGCAGGGTTCTGGTATTTGCTTCGACAAGGCCCGCTATCAGTGCTCGGATCCTAGTCTTCAGAAGTGTAGAACGACCTTTGGAAGAGTTGGGGGCTGCCCGGTTGGCTCAGTTTGCGTTAAGAGCATTTGCAATTGTTCGGATGGTCCTCAAGATGATAACGTGGGTATCTGTGTTAGTTCTGCGGGCTGCGGAGAAACGGGTGCGCAGGTTCTGGGACCACTGGTTAGAATTGGGCAGATGGAGAAGCGGCGTCGGTCGTTCAGTCTTGAGATGTGAGTGTTGGGTTATGGGTGGAAGGAGCGTAATACTGTACGCGTTGAGGGAGCGAAGAAGATATTACGACGTTTGAACGAGAGGTAGGATATTATGGCAATTTTGGGAATGAAGTGGTGGAGATGGTTACATAGGAAATGCACGACGTTCACATAGTTTATCACAACATCTTACAGCTGCTCTTTTGCCGAATCTTATTCCATACTATGCTCTTTCCATCAGTTCAAGTCCATGAGGAAGTACTTACGTGTCTTGCCATCAAATGCTCCTTCCCAAAAAAGAAAGTCGGATCCGCATATCGGGCCTAATCCCCCAGATCGACTCCCCACAACAAGCACAACATCATCACCGGCATATTCGCATGCACAAGGAATGTCCTCTCCATCCGCACCACCGTTCCCCCACCCACATCCACATCCAACCTGGACCATCCAACCCGTGACACACTCCACCACAAACGAAGTAGTAACCTTCATCAACAAAGCGCGCCGCACCCTCTTCCCAAACCTCCAGCTCAACAACGCCCCACTCCCAAATGACGTAGCCCGCACCCTCAAGCGCGGCGTCTTCCTCACCGCGCGCCCCACTTCACAGCATGACAAAAACGCGCTAATCGCCGTTGTCGGCTATGTCCCATACGACTACAGCTTTCCACAACTCGCGCTGCACGGCCCCGGAATAGTCGAAGTCGTGCGCTTGTTCGTGGTCCCTGAGTATCGACGCTGCGGCTTGGCGAGTGCGTTGTTCGGTGCGTTGGAGGAGGTGGCAAGGCAGAGCGGCGTGCAGTGCTTGTATTTGCATACGCATCCGTTTCTACCGGGCGCGGTGCGGTTTTGGGAGAAGATGGGGTTTGAGGTTAGGGATGTGGAGGATGATCCGGTTTGGAGGACGACGCATATGTTGATGGGGATTGAGTCTGGGGTGTCGTTGCGGGAGGAGAAGGAAGAAGATTGAAAGGGGTTTGGGTTTGATGAGCTGCTGATGAGTTTTGTGTGGTTTGTGGCTGGGAGGTTTTCCTGCATTCAGTTTTGTGTGGGTTGTACAGGCTGCATCGCGGTGTTGAGATGGGTTGTGTCGGCATTGTATTTCTAGGTTGTTAACATCCGGATTGTTGTTCAGGTATTCGAGCCTGTCAGATGGGGTCATAGATGACTTTGTTGAGAGTTCACATATACAACACTGCCAGCATGCAATCCTTGATCCGCAAAACAGGACGACCTCAATCTTGTCACATCATCAATTCGAAGTTGAAGACACGACTTCTCGGATGACCCCCTCGAAATACACGTTTACACTCGCATCCCCCCAACTGCCGCTCCATCTGGCTCTCCCTCCTCGTTTGCATACAACCGCAAGACCTGCACTTCCCTAATCCATAGCCTCCACGACTTATCCTGACACTTCTCATTCATACGCGCACACGCACGCGCCTGTTCCGGCGTCAAGTAATCCACCGCCTTTGGATCTCCGCCCGCAAACACCAACGCCTGCGCCAGCAGTCGGCAATTCGTCTGCGTGTAGACCGCGCGGTAAACAGCCTGCTCAACGCTATCCCCGAAGGTCGTGAACCCATGCTGATGCTGCAGGACAACAGGCTGGTCAGTAGTCAGCATACTGGCGAGCGCCTGCCCGAGACGGCGGGTTTTGATCAGTATGTCGTGTGTGAGATCGTGCTCTGCGGGGACTTTAAAGACGGGGACTGGCTCCGCGCCCAAGAAGCCCGCCATATGTACGACGGGTCTGACGGCCGTCTTCGCCAGCGTGAACGGCACCACGACGTCTGAGTGGCTGTGCACGACGCACTTTGCGTTTGGGAATCGCTTCAGCACTTCGCCGTGGATGAAGCGCTCGCTGTAGCCTTGGGGTGCGTCGTCGTCGACGGGCGATGAATCCGAGATGCGGTATGCAATGAAGTCGTCGCGGGATTTTACTAGGGCTGGAGCGCCGGGGTCGTACGCGGCGAGAATGTATTGGTCTGGGGCGAAGGGGTGGCGGATGGATATGTGGCCGAATGCGTCGACGAGGTTGTGGTGGTGGAGGATGTGGTTTGCGCGGATGAGGAGGCGGAGGGATTGGAGGAGTTGAGGGGGGAGAGAGGGTGGCATCGCGACGTTGACGGAGTAGTTGTTTAAGTTTTTGGTAAGACCAAGGACGTCGGTATGAATTGGGGTGTTGTCGGTTTGGGTTGGAACGTCGTTGATACGGTTTGAAATATCGTTGCCACAACCAGGGCCGTAGTGAAGCAATGCTCGTGGTCCTGGGAACGAGCCTTCTTCAGTCCCAGCCCTTGGTCGTCCAGGAGAAAAGCACTCTTGAATCTCAACTTCCTGGTGTGATGGCAAAAAGTACTCCTCAAGTCCTGCTCTTTCCCAGTTTCTCATTCGCTACGCCTGATCAAACTGTGTTCAAGAATTCTGTCAAATGAGGAGAGTTATGTTGTGTGCGGTATCGTCCAGTCATGCATAAATTTTTAAAATTTCCGCCCTCTAATGATCCGGCCAAAGGAGAACCTTGTGTTACCTACGTGGGCATGCGGAGTCGTTATGAGCTGCAGATCAGCGAGGGGGTGGCTGGCTTTAAACTTTCGGGTGTCCTGCACATGTCCGCTCTTCCCTCTCATCACATCGCGACATTACGAAACAAACGGTATTCCCAAAATACATGCCTCGAACCTTGTTTTGAAAACAAAGTCCATAGAAACGTATCCGCATAATCGTGGTTGTTTAGTTGTCCCTACTCGCATGCCTGCCAGCATCGCACCTCTGAGAGTCGTACATCCATCCATGAGCGCCCGAGTGACTACAACAGCAACAGCAACTGCAAAAGCCCATTCGCATCATCAAAGAAGCCAAAGGGTCGTCAGAATATAGTTTTCAGCTATCCAACATCTAAAAATAAACTCTTGAAGCTGCGACAACGGTGCCTCCATACCTCCTCGCTAGCGTTTCACTACTCGGCCTAGCATTCTACTACGACTTCACGATCTGGCAGAACTTTGGTACGACACGCAGCAACGCGCCTTTCATCTCTCTCCCTCAACCTGCACACTAATACCAATACCCACCAGGCACAGGCAGCACGCCCCCAACGCTCAAAAGCTACCTTAAAATCCGACGCTGGGGTCTCTATCTGTTGTCTCATTGCCAAAATCTACGCGACCCGTCGCCCATTCCCAACACAGGGCCATCTTACATCAACGCAGAAAAGGTTCCGCATCGCGCAGGCGTCAGGCCGAAGCTAACACGCTGGACGCTGCCGCAACGCCAGTTTCCGGTGGAAATCACACCGCGAGCAAAGGCTATGCTGCACGGTATGATGTCTGGGTTTGCTTCCGCGTCGCCCTATGCCATGTATATCGATGCTGCGCCGAGCAAGGCTGAGGGGGACGCCGGGGAGGCCATCTATGTGAGGCAGGATGTAGAGGGTATGAATCCTGATGCGCGGAAGACTTTTTATGAGGTCGCTCATGTGCATCCATCGGGGAACTCGCTGCATGTATACGTAAGTCCGGCAGACGCAAGGTTAGTGATGGAGCGCAGATGGGGCGAGAGGTTTCCTGTGGGATGGTTGGCGCTGCCAAGTTGGATGATGTTGTATGCGCCGCGGAATGAGGACGAGGTAAGTGTTGTACGGGAGATTGTGCGGGCTGGTGTGTGTTTTGCCGTGGGCAGGGAGTTGAAGGAGTAATGTTAGGAAGAAGAGCAGATTATCCTTCGAGAAGTATTCTCCTGTCTCATTACTCACTGCTTACACTTTAGTTCATAGCTTCTTATTCGCAGAATTACAACTCAATTCCCTCGATTCCCTCACACGCACTAATCCGCCCAAAATACCATCGATGCGCCTCAATATCGATCCCGAAATCCCCCTCATTCCCGCTGAAATTCAAACTGCCCGTGACAACCTGCACATCTCCCGTTCTGACCTGCACCTCGTTCGCGCTAGTAACGTAGTACTCAGGGCTGATATTTCTAAACCCGAGCAACGCGGGCGCCAGCTTGGGCACAGGATCCCCTTTATGCGTAACCCTGTACGTCCTGCCCCTATCTGTCTGGCCCAGATATTTCGAAAAGCTATCCAGTCCGACTTTGGGCGCGCCGTACGTGTACAAGTCGACCGTGAGGCCTTGGCTGCGCATTGCGCCCGCGGCGACGCTGGCTAGTGCGCCGCCGAGAGAATGGCCTGTTGCGACGATTCGGTACGTAGGGTGCTGAACGCGTGCGGCGGTGATGGCGGCGAGTACGGTGGTTTGGGCTTCTAGCCAGGATATCCAGAATCCTTTTGCGGCTTTGCAGTCGGCGCAGATGGTCGTCGGGATGACGGCGAAGGCGAGGTTTGTCAGCCAGTTGCGGACGGAGCGGGAGCCGCGGAAGGAGAGCACGATTAGCTTGTTGGTGGTGTCGACTGCTACGAAGCCGGTTACGTCTGAGGCGAGGGAACTTGGTTGAGTGTCAGCGAGGTTGTTCGTTGGATAGAGGCTGGGTATTTGCTCACTCTTCGAACTCTGTCAGCGTGGTAGTGTTCGCTGACTCAATTCGAGCGCAGTTTCCTTGCGGGCAGGTGATCTTTGTATTGGGGCTGTTGTTGTTTATTGGGCAGTATGATGCGGCGGAGTACTGGCTGAAGAACTGGAGTTGGTCGAGAATTGTAGAAGAGACCGCTGTCTTGATGTCAATTCAATGTCCAACCCAACAGTCGGCTATAGAACTGAGACGCGTGACACAGGAGAACAAATTTGTAATGTCGTGAATTGGATAGCAGAAAGAAGCACAAGCCATAATCCTAAGAACAAACGAAAACAACATACCTCTCTTCCCAAGCTCTACATCCACTGGCGCCGCAACCACACCACCAATCGCTCCAAGGAGCAGCGCTCCCAGTTTCATAACATGCATTATATCAACTCGACAACTCTTTCAGACAGTCTACTCGTGAGCTCTTCTCTCAAAGCCAACCAAAGACCGAGCACCAAGATACCGACAACGAAGAGACAACAAGAAGTGACTGACAACCAAAAAAAGACATAACAGCGAACACCCCTCAACTAAATACTCCGCCCCCACTACCACCCACCACCCATGGTCCGGAATCACGCCAACTCTATACCCCTAGTTAGCAAAGCCAGTCTTACTCCACATACACCCCAGGGTCCAAGCGCGGCTAGATTAGGCCGAGCTGCATCGCCGTTACTGGGAGTGGGGTTGTTGATGTGAGATCGTGAACTCGAATGGGAGGTGGAGGTAACGCGCGTAGACCATATAGGTACTGCGTGGGCTTATTGGTGCGAAGAGAGGCTTGATGAATGTTTCGGAGAGTCCGGAGTCCTCAGCTTTCGCCTGTGATGCAACGTACAACGTACAGAATAGGAATTACCAATATGTAATAATGTTTGGCGTTAAGGCACCTGCGGTTTAGAGTTGCGCGTGCATCTTGGTGGTGTAGTGGTGTTGTTGAGTACATCAATATATGCAAACCCCCAAATTCGTCCAAGCAACACTTCCGTTCCCATCTAACACGGCGTTTGCGATCTCGCTTCTTTACCTGCAGTAGGTAGGTGTAAAATGCCATACGCATGCAAGCGTCCAGAAGCCTCGAAAACCAGGGGACGCCGTCGGGGATGCAACCAAACCCAGACTAGCAGGATCGGCATGTGTGCGGAGAATTATTCTCCAACGCGGAAAAATTCAACGTCGATCTTCGAGTTTTGATGTCAAAAGTGGAGGTATTAATTTCCCAGCTCTCGTAAATACCTTTCTGAACCACGCCAACTGGTCACGGACATGGTCAGGAATAGGAAGAACATGCGAATCAATGAGTCGTCTATTGGTTACTTAGTTTGACGAGACTACGTTTGGTATCTAGTGTTTGCTTCTACAAGTGCGCTCGATTTGAATACGAACCGCGTGGTATCGTTAGGATAAACTTGCAAGGGTCCTTTCATTTCCGCCAGGCTGGACTTGCACCGGGAAACCGCCGTAGGTATACTAACCTGCACTCTTTGTAGCGAGTCTAAAATTCGCATGCACGAACGCTGAGAAAAACATCTGAGAGTCGAGATATTGTCGTGTCGCAGAGACCCGCGAGCTTACTCTGGGGGTACGAAGGGCGTGACGAGCATCTCACTGAATCTACAATCTGTAAGTATATACCCCTGATAGAAGGATACCGAATACTCACTTGCTCAATTTCTCCACTCCTCGAACCTCCTCTACCAACAATGGCATCTTGACGACATTGAACTCATCATACAGCTCTTCAATCTGATCCAGGTACTTTTTCTGCATCTTCCTCCTGGCGTTGCACTGCTCGCACGGGTTGTCCTTCTTTGGGAACAACAGTTGGTTAACAACAATCGCGTGTGTATCGATCTCGTAGCTGTTCAGCTCCTGGATCATGCGCTCCGTCTCATACAATGACAGGAATTCAGGAATGCAGACACACACAAAGGTAGTGAGGTCAGCGTCTTTGAATTGACCGTTGACTTCTGCGATAGTCTTTTGTAGCGCTTCCATTTTTTCAACGATCTCATCGATGTTCTGGCCATTAGGCAGGCGACCTGCACCACCGAGAAATGTGTTGAGCATCGGGCCAAACTGGCGGGAGAGTTGGGAGACTTTGGAAAGAGCCTTCTCCATGACCGTGGGGAATTGGAGAAATCGGAGTGTGTGTCCTGTGGGGGCCGTGTCGAAGATGATGACTTCGTAAGACATGGACTTTACTTGTTTGAGGACTTCGGCGAAAGACATCGCTTCGTCAACACCAGGAATCTAATTGCGTGTCAGTGTAAGACAACAGCTTCTTGTGTGTAGACACGTACACTGAAGGCAAGATCCTGCATCATATTTCCCATGCCTCCTAAGCCAGCCATGGCATCCTCTCCGCTCTCACCGCCTGCCGCAAGCAGATCCTGTATGCTGCCGTTGGGGTCGATTTCCATGGCGCTCAGGTTGTCGAAGCCATTCACGAGTCGTGCGTCCTTGCCAAACTTCTGGTTGAACGCATCTGAAAGGTTGTGCGCGGGATCGGTAGAGATGAGGAGGACCGATTTGCGGTGCTTGGAGAGCTGGATGGCGAGGGAGCATGACGTTGTCGTCTTTCCTACACCACCCTTGCCGCCAACAAATATCCAGCGTAATGTCTTCTGGTCGAGTACGGCCTGGAGCGTCGGCTCCATAACCTCGTCGTCGATGATGGCTGCGGTCGCCATAGTGGGCTGCTATCAATGCGCACCTTTAACAAGAACCTGTTCGAATGTTGGTAGATTCCTGATAGGATCCCTCGTTGCTGAATGCGTTGGAGTGTAGAAGTGTGTTGTTGAAGTTGCGCAAGATAATTGAACGTTGCAGGCGGGGCGTCATGGCTTGTCATGCCTGTGCGTCACCCCGCCATGTGGCTTGCACCAACACCACAGGCGCCACGATGGAAACAAGACAGATGCTAAAGTGACTCTGTCTGATTAAGTACGAATCTACATGCTACATAGTTTCGAAGACGATGATACATTGCATGCCAAACACTGTCATACTCAAGAGATCAGCCACTGGTAGTTGCAGCAAGAGAAACATTCAATCAACGATATCGACCACGAAATACTCTGGAAACCCCCAAATAAAACCCGTACAGTGAAAAAGAACCCAAAAGTCTATAGAGGAAAAGAGAAAGAAAGTCAAAAACACCACAACTCTCTTTGCCGTTACCAAAAACCCAGATGAGAACAACCACCACCCTGTGCTATACCGAACAAGACTCGTAGATGCATATACCATCACCTATTCACTTACGAATCCTGTTGTCGAACAAAACATGTTTCCAAAGCATGCCGCTCCATACACCACTTACACAACTGTTCACTTGGTCCGAGTGACTGCAGCTGGCGTTGCAGGCACTTGACCTTCCTCACTTATTGCACCCCTTCTCGCTCTTTCATTATGACGGCCATCGCGTCTGATCTGCATGTCAACAGCTTGTAATCCGGGAGCTACCTCATTGCGAGTTTCGTGCTGGAGAAGCTTGTGGCTGGGGTTTTTGCGGTGATTCTCAACGTTCCTGCTCGGGTTGGCGTGCTTCGAGTTGGCCAGGCCAAGTTGCTTTGAAGGTGTCCGCTTGGAAGGCTTGGGAGGTGAAGACTTTCGCTTGGCGACCAACCTATTGGACTTGGTGTCTTCTTCGCTCGAGGAGGTCAAAGAGGCTTTGGAGTGGCGACGAAGGCTTGGTCGAACGGTGTACTCAGTTCCTCTCACAACCTCCAAGTTTGATTTATGAAGCCTTTCTTGATTGGTCACGACTGATTTTCTTTCGTTGGCCTTGGACAACTTGTCGTCGATCCTCCGCAGCTTCTCATCGTTCCTTTTGACCGATTTGTCCTCGTTGCTCAAGAGCAACGGAAGATACTCAGTGGCGGGCGTGGAAGGTGAGGCGCGATTGGACAGACTCTGCGTATCGGAAAACTCATCACTGCGCGAGCTGCTCGACAACTGCGGGCTGGGTGGAGGAGCCGGTATCTCGTCAAAATCGATGAGAAGATTCACAATTTGACCTGTAGGTTTAGTCGTAGTAGGTAGAGACCCTTGCTTTGGGGAAGCCGGTTCTTCGCGCATAGGTCCCCTTGCAGAAGTGATTCGCTCACGCTCAGAAACGCTGCAATTACGTTTGAGAGCGCCACGCAGCGAATCGAGACCACCATCAAGTGGACAAAGTGCATCTCGTCTCGTCCTGAACGCTGCAGTATCAGGAAAGGCGTATGGTACTGGATATTCGTTGGACAGTTCTCTGTTCTCTGTCCCCGCCAACCGACGCTGCATCCAAGTCAATTCTCTAGCACCAAGGGCGGATTTCTCTTTCCACCACTTGGGCAAGCCCTGTGTGAATCCCAATTCACGCAACTTTTCGGCTGAGGGCATCTCATGCTTGAACTTGCAGCCGATGGAGATGAACGCGCATTCTCCAGTCTTGATCCAGTGAGTGCAGTACTCCTTTTTGGATGGGTCGGGCTCAATGCCTGAGGGATAGGGTGTGCGAAAACCGAGGCTCTGAGCATCTTTCTGATGTATGGAAGCGAAGCTGTCCGTTGGAGAACATGGACGCTCGAAGGAGATTGGGTTAACGGAGCGAGGCAGTCCTGATCCTCCCTCAATGAGAGGCAGTGGCGGCGGTAGTGACGCCCGAGCGGATCGTGGCTGGTCAATATACATGGACGCTGACTCGGTACGAACATGGTGGTCTGGTGCAAGGAACCGGGGTTTGATAGACGGTGTTGACTGAGAAGGAAATCTTGTGGTTGGAGCCAAGATTGGAAGGGGCGATGCAGGTTCATCAGTTTCTTCCACAAATTTCCAATGTTCTTCACACAACTGGCGGTGATCCAGGCGACGAGGCACGCCTTGAAGTTGGAAGGGTAACTGATCCACAGGGACCAAGGGTACCATGACATTATCGCGCAGCACATAATGCCGAAGACTTTCCGGTAGAGCGCAAGGCCGCGGAGGCTGAACGGCCATTGCAAGTACCTGCGATCAAGGAGGATTCAGAAGGTTGGCAATGATCTTCTCAAACGAAACTTGCTATAGATTGGAGTGACGTTGGGTGAAGACGAATGAAGTAGAGAAGAGAAGATCAGGAAACATTATATCTACTCGTCGATACCGTGCACGAGACAGCAATCAATGTCTCTGATGTTTTGCCAAACATGTTGTCGCTGCTTTGTTGCCGGCACGAGGCAAGCACAGGGACACGATGTGCTGCTTTCACGCCAGACTGGCATTTGCTGATTCGGGTTTGACAAGATGGCATGAGCTCGAAGAAGACGATACATCTCGTTGTCTTGTGGGCGGCGAGGATGTTGGATCGCAGAGATCAGAGATATCTGGATATCGCGACTTCTTACCGCCAGATGGTCGTTACTCAATTCAAGACATTCCAGGTGAGACAAACACGATATGGCGGACGGTGAGAACATTGAAATCTCGCATGTCGTGTCGCAGTCGTTCCTTCCCAACATTGGGAAGAGCTTTGGCTGTTGCAACGGATTCGCGTCGCGCTCATAACACATGTGAAGCGTAATGAGAAATCTAGTGGCGGCAATAATTGGCGGGTAATCCGACAACCGAGGCATCTCATTCCTGAATCCTGGAGACCATCATCGGCTAACTGCAGCTTGCATGGGCGCTTGGATAGTGGCCATCGCATCAAGGTTGCCCTTGTCAGGGTCGCCCTTTCGCGATGTTGATCGAAAGTACTATCCAATCCATCAAAACTCGCTTGCCAGTTACGCGAATAGTGGTAAGGCAGCACACGGGAACAATGTTGACAAAGCAAAGTCGATGTAGTCATGAGTCCAGAGATGATCACAGCGTTTCCCCAGCTCGGAAGCGTAGCGTCTGCCAAGGAGTACGTTTTGCGGGTACACTGGGGCGTCAAACATCAGCCATGCGGATAGTTATTTCCGCACAATAGGGGGCGTCAAAGAGCTTGTTGAGTGGCTGGAGGTACGCCGCCTCACGAATCTCAAGTTGCAGAGATTTACAGACTGCTGCGTGCTTATAACCCCCTCACTGGCTGGCGTATTTTCATGAGCTAGGCAGAGTCGCTACGCTGCCGAGCCGGGGGCGGGCGGGCACTGTAACCTAGAAGCGATATTCATAGGGGGGATCGCCACTGGGTTGCAGGCTTCGGCCATCTCCTGCCGGGCCATGCCCGATCCGAAACCGATCTGAGTTTAGATGCTATTGCGATGCACTTTGCCAGTCATATAATCCGGTTTCAATGCCTGTGCCTGAGTGATTATCCTTGCCAAGTAACTGATATCGATGATGCAGTGAATGTGCTAAGTTTCAGAGGGTCGTAGGATCTCTATGAATATGAAATACTTTGTTTTGACTGATATTGGTAATGTTTACGATGAGGTAGTGCCCATGCTCCAACGTCAATTCCGGCTTCTTCGACATACCGAGGATATGGTCCATCTCGACTGGTAATCACCAACAGCACACCGCGGAATATACTCCGATGAATATTCCCAAATTTTTCGTCGAATGGCATCCTTGTCTGACATGTGTTGTGTCATCAGAACGCCTCTGCCACGAAACTACTCACTCGGGACAGCTGCTGGATACGGTGCCACTCAACGGGCCCCAATTATGCTCTCCGCGAGACGGGTGCGGCAGCTTTGGGTTGGTACAAGGACCAATGCATGGGAACGAGTTCGAGTTACCAGTAACGGTAGCCTGTGGCTTGAAGCAAGAATCGATCGGTCTGCAACAATTGTTGTAGTACGCCGTGAGAAAGACTTTGCGCCTGTCTCTTAGCTATCACAAACGGAATCTTTTGTCTCGATTTGACTTCGAAAGTTGAGGCCTATAACAAAAGGCTTCATGTTATGTGTTTGAGTATTTAGTAGGTACAAAGAAAACATGTTGAGAAGAAAGTCAAGCATGACTCAAATGCAGGCGGTCATTACCCGTTCCAGGTTCGCGCTTCGAAGTTAAAAAAGGTTCTACCCGGATCCTTGTCGAGCACAGGTCACTGGAACCTTTCGGGAACGGTTGGAGAAACTAGGTCCGCATGTCTACATCTCTGGAGATCTTCCTTCTACCTGACACCTACCTTCGTAAAGTTGTGTCTCCATACTTTTCACTTTGACAAACTTTAATGGCAAGCTAAGAACGACATAAATGCCAACTCGGACCCATATTAATATTGTCATCCATCGAGTTCTAGCATAGGATCGCTCCTCGGTTTGACCATGGAAGATCGACGTAACGTGGTGCTTGCTGTGGCTGGGCTGTTCTCTGTGTTGACATGGTTAACGACCGGCCTGCGAATGTATGTTCGTGGCTATCTTCGGTCAAACACGTGGGGCAAAGACGACTGGTTCATGTTGGCTGCAACAGTATGTCTTGTTTTCTGTACGAAGCGCATTCTTCTTTTTCTCACCGTTATAGGGCATATTCTCAGTCTATCTCGCGTGTCAAATAGTGGCAGCAGTCTATGGAACAGGACGACATCGATCGGATTTGACAGACGATGACGCCAGAACTGCGCTCCTCGTAAGTGAGCCCTTGCGAACCACTGATTGGTTTCTTACATTCTCCAGTTCTGGTATCTTTGCGAGCTCCTCTACGTCCTGGCTAGTTGCGCTCTGAAGTTTTCATTACTGTTCTTCTACCTACGCGTCGCCCTACAGCGCTGGCATATCTGGACAATCAGGATCATGATGGCGGGCGCTGCTTCGTTTGGAGCCATATATTTCCTGCTCATCACATTCCAATGCAGGCCCAGTATGTGTTCTACTCTACTACATATTGACTACTTGCTAACAAGTCCCAGTTAATGAGTTTTGGAATAACCGTCCTGCATCAAGCAAATGTTTGCAAAGGGGACCGATGCTTGGAATGACGTACACAATGTCAACTGTCAATGCCATCGCAGATTGGACGATTGGGGTCAGTAATCAAACTAATTGCACGTGAGATCGATTCTAACCATCACCAGATCCTTCCTTTCTTCATTGTCTGGGGCCTGAGGATGGAACGAAGAACCAAGTTTCTCGTCGCTGGAATCCTCGCTTTCGCCGCGATTGGATCAACAGCCACTGTAATACGCATGGCGTACATCGACAGTCTCATGGATAGTGAAGACTTTTTGTGTATGGCTCCCTTCCAAGGAATCGTTTATCAAAACTCTCATGAACACTCGATAGCTGACGATTGTCGCAGATTCTACTACTGACATCGCAATCTGGAGTACTGTGGTAAGCTTTCCTTCTTTCATGAACTGTTTTCAAAGTCCCCATATAGATACTTGATAACTAACAACCTTCATAGGAGCCTGGAATTGGTATAACAGCCGGAAACATTGCAACCCTACGTCCGCTCGTTCGAAAGTTTCTATCAGGTATGGGGTCCAATGATTCTTCCGACCGTGCAGGACGTGCGCCTCACCGCGCTTCCGGCCCGCCAAATCGCCAGGATCGCCGTGGCTACCGACGGTCTTTGAGTCCTTCTGATCTGATTCCAACGGAGCACACCGGTACGACTACGACGAAGATTTACGCCCAACAGGACAAACATGACGCCATGCCTGATGCTGATGCGACAGTATTTGATGACATGTCGAGTATGAAAAACTCAGTTGCGAAATCAAGCGAAGCACATCTTTCGAACGATCGTCATATAAAGCAAACCATCACAGTGGAACACGCCTATGAAGATCCTGCACGTCCGCGCCTCCAGGATAGTTTCAGAAACAGCTTTGGCGGAGCAACGTCCGTCAGTCTCGAGGACCTTCCGGTGCCCACGAAATGATACACAAGCCGCAAGATCATTGATCGATTTTGATACTATGAAGTACGTGGAAGATCAGTGGTCGGGCTACGGACCTGCTCCTTTTCGCCATGGGTCACTCTACCCAATTGTTGGGGCCTTGTCTACGAACTGCTACCGACGCCATCGACCCTGACCGCATCGCCAACAGAATCGAGTATCCCAGAAGAGTTTATGACAAGACAGCGGTTGTGCGATTCTTCTACCTTTAAGGTCTCGCCAAGTCCCTTACCCATACGCACAGTCTGCACATCACTCACGTCGGCACGGCTGTGTTTGGGCGCGCGCCTTTACCACATATGAGCGATGGAGAAACCTACCAAAGATCTTACAAAATCTCTCGCGGTAGCACACGATACGATCGATACAGTACAAGCCGATACGTCCGCCAGTGACGACATCATGCGTTTTGAAGATCTCTGGCATACGACCGTCTGCATACTGGAAGGGACACTGCAGTCTGGTGACTTGGATGACCACCTAAAGTTTGGCTGTGGTGAATTCGGGCTATCGACAGGGCATGTTTTCAGCTCGGAGAAAAAGACGTGGTTATCAGTGAAGAAGAGCGGATATGTGCACGATGGCGCAAATCTGTTGTTACAGCAGTTCTAACAAAACAATTGGGAGATGATCAGGTGTTGGCACACCATTGCGGTTGTGGAGAGCTGAATCATCATCGGGGATTGCGAGTGAAAGACGTGGAACAACCGTGGACCAGGCGAGTGTCGCCACCAGTCATACTGGTAGTCCTATCGACTGGACCGAAGACGACAGCGGGAGACGGAGTGCGGGAATCGGACAGAACGCCGAGGCCCTGTAGTAGCAGTAAGGGCGAGCGCATGTCTAAGCATACTGCTCAGAGGTCTAGACCGGCTCCTCATGGGATAGGGCTGCCTCGTTTGCTAGCGCTGAGCGGCACAAAAAACGAGACCAATCATACCGTTGCTGAAGGCAGCGCATTGAAACCGTAAACAAAAGACGGGACGAGTTTGTGCGAACAAGTCTGACCAAGATCAAAATATTCGTAGAATATCTCATCGGCTCCATACACCATTGAATGTCTTCTTTGAAACCGTTTTACGTGGAATGAATGTCTTTCATCTCGAAGGCCAGATAAGTACTAATCTTCCTGTCCTACATATCGACTTTCTTTGGCCGTTTTCTTTGATGTGTATGATTCCACGACGCCCATAATGACGATATTGACGTTCTGGTTTGATGGCATCATGGTGGTCTTGTATCGGCGCTCTTGGGGTGTTATTCACTGATGGAGTCTGTTCAACCGAAGCAGACAGCATTGTATGACCTGGATACAATGCCGTGAAGAATCCCTAGAGCGTATAACAATGTGTATGTCTTTGGCACAAACAAGGCATCTTAAGCGACCCATGGACCGACTTTTCGGAACCCGCATGACTAACTCCGTATATCCACAGCATAGTCTATTGTGGGGACGGAGAAGTGTATAGCTCTAACCCGGGATAGCTAGCGCATTTCATCCATGCAGATCTACGAGCACGACATTGCACCCCTCGATTTCGCGAACATCCCAATCTTCTACAAGAATATGCCGTGTCTAGCAAAAAGAACATTCCTGTTGGTAGATATTAAGCCATGTCCCGGCGGTATGCTTGATCTAGCCTAGTTGCAGCCGTCGATGCCTGTCTTTGGCGTGAAATCAACGTCAGATGCGCATGGACTGTTAAATCCACGTTCTTGCATCATTTAAGGTTGTCTGGAGTAGAACAGCTGTAGGCTCAAGTACAAAACATGTCGTGAATCCTTTCCGTAACCCACAGATCTTTGATCGCTTCGACACAGTTATGTCTTCGGAAAAGCCCCAAGTTGACAGCGGCGAGCACACCCCGTCGTCCACGTCCAGTTCGGACGTCGAAGTCGTTCCAGGATCCATCGACGAAAAGAAGCTGCTTCGAATGCTGGATTGGAGACTGCTTCCCGCCGTGTCTATTCTCTATCTTCTTTCATTCCTGGACCGTAGCAATGGTAGGGATTTGACAGAGTTCAACACGTGATTTTGTTTATCGAACCTGACATGTCCTAGTCGCCAATGCCCGTATCGAAGGACTCACCACCGACTTGCACATGACTGGTAACCAATACCTCACTGGCCTGACGCTCTATTTTGTCGGTTATGTCCTGTTCGAACTTCCATGCAACATCATCTTGAAAAGGACCACACCCAAGTTCTGGCTCCCCACATTGACGTTGGCGTGGGGGATTGTGGCGACGCTTATAGGTGTCACCCAGAATCTTGCGGGGTTCTTTGTAGTGCGGTTCCTGTAAGTTGTCAAAAACGAAACTTTGAGATGCGGCTAACAATGCAATAGTCTGGGTGTGACAGAGTCAGGCCTTTTCCCAGGAGTAGTTTACTATCTTTCCATGTGGTACAAGAGGAACGAGCGTCAATACCGCATCTCACTTTTTTTCAGTTGCGCGAGTTTGGCAGGCGCCTTCGGCGGTATCCTGGCATGGGGTATTGGCCATATGAGGGGTGTCGGCGGGTATGCTGGCTGGCGGTGGATCTTCATACTCGTATGTGTGACATTGATGTATTGTTGTTTATCCGCTAACAATATTATAGGAAGGCCTGCTTACCGTTGTAATTGCCTGCTTCGCGTACTTCTTCATCTCGAACTATCCAGAGACTGTCAGCTGGCTCTCCAAAGACGAGCGTGCTTTCATTCAAGCTCGTCTCAAGGCTGATAGCGACTCGACAAACCATGAAGTATTCCGTTGGGGTGATGTCTGGGAAGCCTGTAAAGATATCAAGATCTGGCTATATGGCCTAGCGTTCCACACCATGAGCCTGCCTCTATACACCTTGTCTCTCTTCTTGGTAAGCTTGCAGTCATCATGTTCATTGCCACATAGCTAATATTGTACCAGCCAACCATCATCAAGGACTTGGGCTACACGTCTGCTAAGTCTCAACTCTTGACCATTCCGCCCTATGCCGTGGCGACTATATTCACCGTCTGCTGGGCAATCTTATCCGAAAGATACTCCCGTCGCGCTCCGTTTATCATCTTCACCACTTCATTAGCTATTATTGGCTATATCATTCTTCTGACAAATGAACATCCTAACAGGAGACCCGGCGTGTCTTACGTCGGTACTTTCTTCGCAGCAGTGGGCATATACCCCTCTGTTGCACTGGTCCTCTGTTGGCCTGCGATCAACGTATCTGGCCAGACGAAACGTGCGACAGCGAACGCGATGCAGATCTCGATCGGCAATCTTGGAGCTGTTCTGGGTACGCAACTGTATAGGCCGAAGATGTCACCAAGATATCTGGTAGGACATTCGTTTGCGCTGGGTTATCTGTGCTTGAATATTGTAATTGTGAGTTTGTTGTGGTGGAGGTTGACAAAAGAAAACAAGGACAAGGTAAAACATTTGGTGGAACATCCCGAGACGGGTGACTTTCATGACAGCGATGAGGACCTGAAGCTGGGAGATCGCCATCCAAGGTGGGCCTTCCAGACTTAATGACCCTGTGTGAGCGTTCATTTGGGTCAGTGGTTATACGTGCAGTTTGAATCGGCCAAGAACGAAATACGCAGAGGTAAATTGAGGTTAAGACACTGTAATTACGTTGCGAGCACCATTACCTCCTGATCACAGACGAGCAAGCACTAATGTACTCAATAAGTGAACGATCGTCGTGAAACACTAAATCAGTTCTTCAAACCAACGTCATAGTTGTCGTTATGCGCCTAGATTGTGAAGGATGATCAGTTCGACTACGTCACAATCCTTCGCCATCTCCGCTGTCTGGCAATCACATCCTGACTTTCACACCACCTCGATAACCGCTGCATTGTTCCCGTGGATCGAGAGTACAAGCCTAGAACGGTGATGTTGCCCAGGGCTTGTGTGCAGACCAGTTACACCGTAACCAATCAAGAATCTCGATCACCTGGCTCGACCCCGCTTCCACGCTATCCGTTTTGGCTAGTGCTGCTCCCCTTCAAGAACGTCCAAGACTCCAAGAGCACTGTCTCTACCTCCATCTACCGCTAGATATGCTTGTGTCATACTGAGAGCGACCCGCCTTACCACAGAATACGTAGGATCTATATGTTCACGCCTTTCGGCACTTTCCACCGTTATGGCGTCATACTTTGACCTCCCACCGCAAACAAAAGCGAAAGCTGCGGCCACGGCATTGCCAGAAAGCGAAAGAGGAGAGTGGACAGGAACAAGTCTTTTGTCTCCGCAAGTTACACAATTGTTAGCCGAATTAGACTTGGAAGATCGATCGAGCAGCGATAGCGAAGAAGGTAGCTTGTCAGAGGAAGACATACAGCCCAAGCATAGCAGCAAGGGCACCAACCATCACGGCCATAAAAACAAACAGGTGGCGATATCCAAGAAAGCCGCGCCTTCAACCCATCCGCCAAGAAAGTCCGCTTTGGATTCCTCCTCAACGTCAACTTCGAGTCAGGTCAACAACCTTCCGCCGCGTCCCGGGAGCGGAGCTAAGTCCGTGGGAGTGCGACAACCCCATATGAACCGTTTCCACTCACTTCGAAGTATCTTGTTTTTGTCTAAGATCGAACAAAACCTTATGGAAGTCAAACGGGAGGACCGCGTGCGGGAAGAAGCGGCTTCGGAATGGAAGAATCAACATGATCAGAGACAAATCGGCAAACCAAAAACACCCGAGAAAGAACTGACACCCAAGGATGGTCTTTCGCGTAGGATCACCACCAGGATACGGCGCATGACTAGCAGAGACGTGCCGACTATGGGGCAGATCAGGGAGGGTGTGGATGATAGATTGGATGGCCGTGAATCGACTGCGAGCTCTGACAACGAAGACGAGCAAACAAGTCCTATTTTGAATCGCCGTAACAGTGACGAAGGCAGCATTGATCACTCCGATTTGGACGACCTCATGCGTTGGGTCAGCAGACAAGATCCACCCAGCGACGGGGAAGTACGAAAGCGAGAAAACCTGAACTCCGCTGAGAACCATGGCGCACATGAGAGCCTAGGAGATTCAGACGTCGACGAGTTGGTTCAATGGGCGAGTAGGAAATCCGATCCGGAGGGAAAGGAACAACCCCTCCCCGGGTATAGTGACGCGTCGACCGAGTCCGACTCTGAAGCCATCAACGGGTCATCGAATGATGAAGATGCGGATGAACTCGTGCGGTGGATATCGCGACGCGAAGGGCCAAACGCAGGTCCAGCCCGCCAAAAGGCATTACCGAAACCTGTTTATCTGGACGAAGATTCCGAGGTTTCGCAATCCGATCGATCGATGTCACGACACGACGGCAAAAACGGGGGATCAAACCTTCTCAGCAAACGTGTGGCATCTACACACCAAGATGACGACTCGCCAGGGTCTCCAAGAGGAAGGCCAATAGAACGGTCCTCTCCAAACAAGTTGGACCATAACCTAACAGACGACGATGTAAACGGTCTTGTGCAATGGGTTTCTCGCAAGGATTCTAACCAGCAAAACACACTTGAAGACGACGCTCGAGTGCTGGCACTCCAGCATCAAGGAAACGAGTAAAAGAAACAAATCGGCATGGGTGCAAATCGAGAAAGTCGAAGTCTTGGGGATATCAAGGAATCATTGAGATTCGGAAATAAGACTGCGGTGGATATTGAGTTCACCAGAATGAAAAAAAAGTCAGATCATGTTCTCAGTGTGCTCGGGCTAGGACAAGATGCCATCGAAGATGAAATTGAAGAAGAGGGGAAGTACGAATCTTATGTAACGAGTGGAATTAATAATTGCGTTAGTCAAAGGTCATGATACCTAGCTTGATATCTTTTGTGGATTTAGCCTGCGTGTTTGTATTTGTCAGAGTAATTTTGTAAGATCTAAATGACGAAAGATACTTCCATATCATACCAGTGTGACCTTCCTCTTTCTCGAAGACGTTCAGAGTCTCAACATTCACAAGCTCCATTGTACATGTGTCTGAACCGTCTGGTGATTGCCACATGTGGTTGCTTAGGATTAGTTGCTTGCCCTTCATACGATCCACTATATCCAGGCCCACCTTACCATTGACTATACGAGGAAGGTCGTTTTCACTGACCGGACCCACCTCGTCAGATTCATGATCAAAGCGTCCAGTCACTAGGAACGAGTTCCTGCACGGAGCTCCTTCATACTCATCACGATGTTCTACCGATAATCTGCCGATTATAGCCTATGTGAATATGACCTTTCGTGATGAAATCAACGTGCAAGCCGTCCGACAACCATAAGGAGCAGCATATCACGTATGACTGATAACGTGACAAAAGTAGAGAATCACGTTGTCTTTGGAGATGCCATTTCGAGCCTAGTGGTTGTGGGACTGACAGAATTCGATGTCTCCATCGGAATTATGGGGCTCAATCTATCCAAAGGATGGAACGGGCCGCTCGAAGGATCGCCTTTCGGTGTATCGGTATCCGGACGAAAGTCAACTTTTCAAAAGTTGACAAAGTCATCTTCAAGGCCGGAATAGTAAATCGTGTGGATAAGGCTATAATTTAGTCCTAAAGTCTGCTTTGAATCTACCCACTTCTATAGTTTGTGTATGATCACGCAGCTATAAGATCTCTTCTGGTGGTTCGATGAGCTGCACTAATTACGGAGCTTCGACGGACCGAAAACTTGATCAAATCTGGCTTGCTCAACAACACACTTCTTACAAACTCCGGATACGATGGCATGATCGCGGCGATGTTGGAATTGCCAGTGTTTGCGCCAAGGATGTTAAACTTGCTCATGCCCGCCTGAGTACTAACAGAGAACTAGAGATGCAAGAGCGAAAAGAAACACATGTACGGAGGACGAGGAAAAGCGTCCAAGAATGGATCGTCCGTCTCGGACAGGCGTAGCGTAATAGCTGTATACGATCCTGGCGGTTACGAAGCGCAATTGCGTCTCATTGTGGAAGGTCGGAAATATCGTGTGGTCGGAGACCCAGTCGGCAAGATGAACATCCTGCGCCGAATTCGTACCGGCTTAGATGACTTGCATAGCCTGGTCTATGATGTGAAATTACGACATCTGATACCGCAAATTACAACCTGCTGTTTAGAAGGTCATTGCATGACTTCGCAGGAGACAATAACTCAAGTCTGAGAAACAGACGTCATGTTGTTCTTGGAAGAAAAGCCAAGACATCTGAGAAACAAAGTCTGGCATGCATAGAGTCAAGATGACGACGCTTCCATAACCACGAGTATCTAAGTTAGATAGTTGGTTGTAAGCACGTCTAAGTACGTACCTGCATGGGGGCTTACAATGATGAGAGCCAAGGCATTGTCATTACTCGAAGAGGAAGGAGGCCTGGAGTTTAATAGCGCAAGCCAGAGCAATCTTCAGGACTTTGGCAAGGTCCTGGTCATCTCCAAGCCACTTTTGCTATCTCGCGTGTGGGGTAAGCGACGGATGTGAGCGCCTGACTCCATTACGTGCTTGATACACGCGGCATGTCACGAAGATAGATCGCCGCCGGGGCACCTTCGAATCTTCTCTCGAGTACTGGAAGTGAAATTTGATTACTTTAGTCACCGAGTCAGCCTTGTACAGTGTACATAACATGTATAGTTGATGCATGAACATGGGAGTTCAATGTGGTTGGGGCAGTGAGGTCCAGGAACCTGCATTGATAGGTTGGCCATGGCAAGTGAGGGCTAGGCTGGTTGTTCAAGGCATGGAAAGAAGGCCGATGATCCTTGAACCACGAACCACTGGAGGGGTTTGCCCAGCAATACATTCGCAAACTTGTCCTTTGCAATGTAGGCTACTGTTAATGTTAGACGCGTGCTTCGAACCTTTACCAACGTCTCTTACCGTACTACCCCTACTGTAAACCTGTGTGCAACTTTGCATGACTTCAACAGTCCCACAGTACCAGAGACTGGGAAACAGATTGGGTGGGTCGTCAATCTACTCGACCACGGCATAGTCGAGTCACACGCTTCTGAAGCTAGGCAACAACCGCGAATGGAACCAAAACGGCGGAAAGTCCAGGGTTGTCTCGCACGGCAGATTCACAACCTGTAGTTGTAAAGGCAGCATTGCTTCCGGGGTATGGCAATGGATGCTATATGTCAGAGCTGTAATTGGGCTGTAGAGCGTGTAGGTTGACAGTTGATTTCTGGGGCAGACGCCAAGACACTAAGTCATCCTGTCTTGGCGTCCGCTGCAAAAGCTGTGTAACAAACCTTCCCGCCGCTTTCTCACAACACAACGCCAGGCCCTGGAATCTCGTCGGTACTTGAGCCTGTACCGATAGCGACATATGAGCCAATTTAGCAGCGGGATACGACTCACAAGGGGCAGGAGCATCTACAAAGCCATCACGTTCAACGCCACGGCGGCGTGTTGGATCGACGCCGCGACAAGGATTCTAGTCTCGCCTTGCGCTATCCAAGCCATGAACTACAACCCGCGGACTTTCTGGGGGAGGCTTGAAGGAGCGCTCCTTCAGGGAATACCCGTAGCTTCGCGCAACCTTCTATCGATTTGCATCGCAGCCGTTCTCCTCACTTGGCGGTCTGATTAACCCTGTCTGAAACCCATAGCACCTGCGCGGTCTGCTAGGAAAGAAAGACATCGGATAGCTTGCAAATAGATCAACTGAATGACGCGAAAAGCCGGGAGGCCCGCACACCATTGCTGATCGACCGCGAGACATCCGTGACTTCACCAATTGGATTGCGAATGCATCTCTATTGGCCCCATTGATGAAATATGCCCAGCCCTACTATCGCAGCCTTATCTGAGCCCTAGACCTGCGGCTACGGAATTATATTGGTTTGCATCGGTCAGATCCCAAACAAGGAGGTGCTCTTGAGATTAAGCTTAACCTTAGCGTTCTTGGTCTGATCGGCTGATGAAAGCCAGCATTGTTCTCGCTTAGGAACACCAAAGGACCCGCATGTTCAACGGTTCCACATTCCCCCCCTTCGAGATCCTGGTCAGTCTACGAACGGGCCGCACGTTAAACATGACGAATACATGAGAAGGACACCAAGCAAATCCATCGCTATAACCCCCAGTTCTATTCCAACTTTCGCCCGCGGTTGGTCAAACCCAAGATTATGCTCACGAACCCTGCAACGATCATGGTGGGTGGATCAGCAGACATCAGGCAGGAATTACTCCCGACTTCATCAAGAATCATCACTGGGAAACTGGAGATTAGGGTCTGTGGTGTGAACACATCTACTGGGAGTCAGGCTCTTGCGGTGTTTTCTTGTTGCAAATTCTTGAATGTTTCGTGGGCTGTAGCCATCTCTTCGCTTTCTGCATCTCGACACTCGTGCTCAGCCTATTGCATATGTGACATCTTTGACATCTTTGCTTCCTTGCCACTGGAGCATGTTCCCCACGGTTCCTGACTCGTGTCTACTCCAGGAGTTGCATATTATATGGTCGAAAGAACATGAGGCAAATCCTCCAAAGGCCTTGAATTTGCTCACTCTGATTCTGGCCTACGCCTCCGCCCCATCACTATGCGTCTGGAAGGCTTGGCGAAATCAATGGGGGCTACGAGTGCCAAGCAATAGGGGCTGCGGGAGCGCATCTGACAACTCCCAAAGGCAGACGCGTGTACGGGGCAGGTTCATCTTGCTTCCAGCCACTAAGCCCTCCCCCCTTATCATAGACATGTTCAAGGATAGAAGGCATGATAGATCGATTAAGCCTATGTCCAATCGTCCATCTTGAACACCTTCTAGGTTGAGCCGTCTATGCGACTGTTCTCACATACCTAAACTAGCAAGCAACTTAATATGAGATGCATTGTGCCAAGAATACAGACATGTGATCTTTGGCATGCATTCCGTGATCCTTCTGTTTCCTGGAACACTCCACCATCTTCCACGGTTAACATAGGGTCTAGCTCGTCGTAGTGTCGGACAGTGTCGTACCACCTCCCAATCTGGGTATCGAAGCAACACAACTACCATGTTGCCAAGTTGAGCCGCTCACGGCTGTCTGTACCGGGCATAGATTCAGCGACTACAGGCGATAGCGTACTGTCTTTCCCAACTACTCTCAATTTGAAAGTAGACCACTGCCTTCCATCTTGACTCTATCTGGCTTCGCATCAGATCTATATAAGGAGTGCGAGACACCCTTCCAAACAGCACCAGGCAACCATCACTTCGGTCTTCGCTCCAGCAACATCAGCCTTCCTCGACTTTCGCTCCAACAGCATCGTTCTTTGACTACCTGCAACCATGCAGCTCTCACTTCTCCTCGCACTCTTGCCTCTGGCTCTTGCCGCCCCGGCTCCGATCATTGTTCCCCGCGCTGGTTCTCCTATCCCCGGAAAATACATTGTGAAGCTCGAGAACAAGAACCTCCAGTCTCTCATCGATGCCGCTTTGAAGCACCTCGTGAAGAAGCCCGACCATGTTTACACCTTTGGCAACTTTGGTGGGTTTGCTGGTGAGATGGCTGACGACATCGTCGAGCTGATCCGCAACCTGCCCGGTGTATGAAATCTTAGTTATACTTGGAAAAACATCTGCTCACTACTACTCAGGTTGAATATGTTGAGCAGGACGCCGTCGTCACTGCCAACCTTGGCGAATCCAGCACACTCGAGAAGAAGGCCTACGTTACTCAGACCTCCGCTCCTTGGGGTATTGCCCGTATCTCCCACGCAACGCGTGGTAGCACAAGCTACGTGTACGACAGCACCGCTGGTGCCGGTACCTGCGCGTACATCATCGATACTGGTATCCAGGTTTCTCATCCCGAGTTCGAGGGCCGTAAGTTGATTTTGTTAGAACCCATGTTCTCTGTATGCTGACATTGATGGTAGGCGCCACCTTCTTGGCCAACTACGCCGGTGACGGCTCAACCGCTGATGGCAACGGTCACGGTACTCACGTGGCCGGAACCGTTGGCTCCAGGACTTACGGTGTTGCTAAGAAGACCTCGCTTTACGCTGTCAAGGTTCTCAACGCCGCTGGTTCGGTATGCTGTACTCTGAGGTGTTTTGCTCTCCATTATACTGACTGAGCCAAGGGCACCAACTCCGGCGTCATTGCTGGCATCAACTTCGCAGCCACCGACTCTAGGACCCGCTCCTGCCCTAATGTATGTTATTACCCATATTATAAGTAACAGATCTATCTCTAACATCGTTTGAGGGAATTACCGCCAACATGTCACTGGGAGGATCGCGTTCCACTGCCGTCAACTCTGCTGCTGCCAACCTCGTCGCCGCTGGCGTTTTCCTCGCTGTGGCGGCCGGCAATGAGGCGCAGGATGCTTCCAACAGCTCGCCCGCGTCTGAGCCCACTGCTTATACCGTTGGTGCTACTGACAGCTCCGATCGCCTGGCTTCTTTCTCCAACTTTGGGTAAGTCATCCAACTACCCCTTACTCCTGACGGATTTGGTCACGTGATCGTTTTTGGTCACGTGTCTGAACTTCACCCCGGTGAAATGTGCAGCTTGTACTGACAAGGTCGCAGGCCTGTCGTAGATATATTGGCACCTGGAGTGTCCATCCTGTCCACATGGATCGGAAGCTCTACTGTAAGTGACTGCTTTTTCGCCCCACAAAGATTGCCAACCCCAGTCTCCGCGAGACGAATACCTATGTGAATAGCGAACTGACACTGTAATAGAACACCATCAGCGGCACGTCGATGGCTAGCCCCCATATAGCCGGCCTCGGCGCCTACATCTTGGGTCTTGAGGGTAAGAAGACACCCGCCGCCCTCTCCGCCCGCCTCACCGCCCTCTCCCAGAAGAACAAGATCACTGGCCTGCCCAGCGGCACCAAGAACTACCTTGCCTTCAACGGCAACCCCAGCGGTTAAGCGGACAAAGTCCCAGTCTCGACACGACAATCGCCGTCATTGTGGACGCACGGTGGCGGATAAGGAGTCGCAGATGCAGAAGACGGTATAGAGTTGGAGGATTTCCTATGTACCGTCCTTCTTTACGAAGTGATGATGTTGTTGCATCCATGTTGAAGATGCCTTGTTCTTTCATTCTTAGGTAGCACTTACTCGCAATGCCATTACCTCTTTTTCTCTTTCTAAACCCATCTCATGCCATATACTGTGATAGCTTATGTTCAACGTTTTACTGATGTATCATGTGAATATAGTACCAGCGTTCACTAGCTGATGTGACATCAGTATCTTGTCCTTAGAGAACAATCTGTTGTTGGAAAGGGAGTTGACATAACACAGATAGGTTTTGTACTGCCGTTACACCTACTAAAAGCTCGCGCTGTGTATCGAAGCAGTCTAGTCACACAAGACATGTCACATGCCATCCTTCCAGTTGCCGCGAGCTAAACTACCAGGGTCAGGTCTGCCTTGAGGCGTTGTGGCGGGATGTGAGTGTTTCGTGGGCCTGGCTTGGAGAAGTGAGTTTCCTGGAACGCTTATTCGGGCCGATTGAGAATTGTGAAGGCTGATATTGTTGATAAGAGGGGTGGGGCGGACACCCGTACCACGCAACTTGCAACATCTAAACATCACATCATAACTCATCTTGACGACTACATGCGCTGCTCGTAGTCACAACCGGTCTTCTAAACTATAGTAGAACAGCAATCCGGAGTTGTCTCCTAATGGACATATGCAAAGTCTGTGTATCCTCAAGGCGACGACTGACAACCTTACGTCCAGATAAGCTCTCCAGATCTACGCCCCCATGTCACATCGAATCCTGCGTCCAGATGTGCATGCACAGTACAGGTATCAATCTTCCTCAAGAGTCATGCAATGCCGCAACGTCTCCACTTCCCCAGGCGGGACATTCCGTGTGTCAAAATTGGTTTAGAGAACAGCCGTTGTTCGGAAGGGGTAAGGCTAAAATCGGTTCAGGGTGATGAAACAACCAGATGAAGACTGGAGAAGAGCAGTCTTGTGGAATTTAATCAATGTCGTGCATGAATTCTGTGCTTTACAAGCTTCACAACGATCGGAACGATCCGAGCCAAGGGCGTCCAAATAAACTATTCGTATTTGCGCAAGCGATAAAGAGATCGAGTTTCAAAATTTCCATGCTACGGGACGGTACGCACAAAACATCCGTGTCGATTTTCTCTAGTCATTAATGCATCATCATATAGTTGCACTGGCACACGACCAGGCTGCCCTGGTCGCTGGGGACGGAAGACAACACTGTATATATCTAGTACAAGTACGTTCTGTCCAGGATGTCAATGATAAAAGCGGTCGATATACGTCGCCGTCTTCATGCGCATGACGTAACATATCTGATGTTCTTAGTCATAAGCCCACACACGTGATTTAGTATTAAGTCAAATCTCAACTATGTATCCGAACGAATATTCTTGAGGGTATCGCAGCTGGTCATTACGGTCTGGGTTGTTGCCACGTTTATAGAGGATTTGTGGTAGTGTCGCGTTGTGACTAAATACAATTGATCGCAAGATCAGCAGACTTGACTTTGAATAGGAACTCGAAACCTGGCATATCAAGAAGTTCAGTAAGAGGTGTTGGTTATTTAGAATTGAGAGCAAGACTGTCAGGGAGTTCTAGGTCTTGAACGGAGAGTTTGTTATGCACTTTGGGTCAACTCTCGAGGAGAGAAGTCTCTTTGGGAGAGGCAAGACGTAGCGATTGTAGTCCGGGCCGCTTCAGGGTTGGCGCGACAGAGATCGAAGACGAGAGCATAGTCTCCCACGGTTTAAGTTTCTTCTTCGGGTGTATGCCCACATCCTTCCAGTCCCCTTTCTTTTCATCACTGAGTGGGACGTATCTTACTGGAAAGACTTCATCGCGTCCAGAGCCGTACTCGTCATGATCGGAAGGCTCACTTCCGACCACAGGCTCACACCGCTTTGACTGAGTGACAGGCTTTATGTTTCGCAGATCAGTCAAACGGTGGAAGTCGTATTATCGTACTCCAACAAGAAACTTGCCTTGTGACGGTCCAAGCAAGAGTCTCCTCCAACTATCGCAGGGCAAACGAGAGGACGCTGTAAAGAGCAGGGAAATAACAAGATGATGTTTTGCAGCAAGTCGCGCAAGTGCCCTCGTTTCATTATACAACATTGACGTCCTGGCTGATCGCGCAGGTGACTGGCTCAGTTCGGTAAGTCCAAAGAGTTCAGTTGCTGGAGTGAGAGACGTTGGAGGGAGAGGTGAAAATACAAAAACGAGTTCGATTTCCATCGGGTTCCAAAATTTTCTTGCTAGTCACGGCTGCCTGTGTTTCGTTTGCTATCGTGACAAGATTTACCCTCACTGCTTGGTAGCCTTGGCGTTCGTAGTGTGGTATCGTTTGCTGCCCTCTACTTTCTCGATAACTCCGCACAACAGCCCACCTCGTCGCCTCAAGCCCTACTTCGGTCACACCATAATGCAGGACGCCATGCCAGGAAAGATCTACAAAACACAGTTCAAGGATGCCCAAAAAGCGTTTGAAGAAGATAAATTCGAGTTGGCGATTGCTAAGGCGAAGTACAATCTCACGTAAGTGTCTGGCAACATGATATGACCACAGCTAATTAGTTCCAGGGACTATACTCTTCCTCCTTATTATTACATGGAGAACTGCATGCTCATCGTCGCAGCCCTCGACGATTGGGATGATGCCAACGACTGGCTGGGCGCTGCTGAATACAGCTACCTTACTACGCTCGATGAAGCAACGCGAAAGAATGACACGGACTCCCTTAAACTACTTGTGTATCTACGATCAAAGTTGGACCAGTTCAAGGATTTCAGAATGCAAGACCTCATGGGAATGACTATAGCAGAGTCTTACGGTTACCAGGAAGATGACATGGAGGCGGCTGAGGAGGCTTTGGCGGAACTCGAGCTTGGGGAGACTTCCGAAATGGACTTGGAAGATACTGTCGCGCTCGCCAGGGCGGAGGAGGAAATCGGAACCGTCGACCATTACTCTTTGCATGAGAACACCGCTGCAGACACCACCCAATTCCCTACTCTCAACATCGTTCCACCTGCTGAGGGCGACCAGACTCCAACGATTGCGAACGCAGCGGGAACCACCAGGACATATCGCAACAAGAGCTCCAAGCGCAGCAAAGGCGGTGCTTTCCATGCTCAGCAGTTCTCAAAGTCAAGACCTGCAGCTGAACCTCGGGCAAGCATCTTGAGCTTTGACTGGACGCCTAACGCTAGCGAGCACAAGTGAACGACTATGATATTGGTCGCCTGTGAGGGGTTGGTATTCGGAGAAACATCATTGGATACACGTTGCTCTCGCACACTGGATTTTGGTACACTTTGATAACTCCATACAACTCAGGTGTATACCTGTATGATTTGAGAAGTCAATGTATAGTTTGGACTTTCTATGTAGTTGTCTAGCTATAGCAGATTTTTGATTCGAATTGAATCTGGCTTCTTCCAAACTATGCTGTATTTACTCCGATAGAACTTTGAACATTCATTCAATTAAATTTTTCGGTAATTTTTCAAGTTTGTTCCTCCGACTATGATCTTACCCGATTCACATTTGATGCCAAAAAGTTCTTTGAAGCGCAACACTAAGTCCAAGTGAGCCCTTGATCCGTGGACCTTTTATGCAAACAGGATTGGGAAACAATTTGCACGGTACTTCCAGAGCAAGCTTGTGCGGAAGTTACTTCGTATGTCAACTGTCACGCAATGCCACAGTGCACAAACAAATTCCGGGACCATCGACGGCTCCGAGCAACACCAATCGATACTGTATGTTCCAGAGTTGTTAAGACAATCCGAAGAACGATTGGACTGCTTGTGGTCAGGAAGGACATCACGTGGCCAAGGCATTGTTTGCTTCTATCAAGTGATAGAACAGTGATAGCACTGCAAGTAAGCCTGACACTACGTAATAAGAAAGTAACGTGGGAAGGCTTGCTCAATGGGTTAAGTCAAATATTGTATTACTATAGTAGTCTAGCTACATTAGAGTAATCTTACAAAGTTTCTTAGAAGTATTAACTTTTTTCGATTGTACCAACGTATTCGCCAGCCAGCTGTCCGGCCTGCGAAAGAGTATGTACAACATGCGTTCTTCAATCTCCCTCGCCGTCTTTTATCCTCCCCAGCCGTGTGTTAAAACGGAATCATCTCAATTAACGTGCTGCAGGAGTATTCAATTACTTTTGCACATTCAACACCGTGCACTAACTGCCGTACAAACGCCTGGATAAACTTCCTCGTGACTCCCCCGCCCCAGTGCAGAAGCGAATTGTACAGATGCTATCGCGCCTCCATCCCCACTGATCTGGGACCTACTGTCCCGCTTCCGAGACGAGATGGTACATCTAGTAGTACTGGTATAGGATTAGTAGCGTACTGTAGCGTTCATTTAGTGCTCGAATGGGGTTAAAGCGAGGTATCAGAGGATCTTTTGATTCATGAAATAAGTTTTCGGACTCAAAGCTCAAATTGTGAGCTTATTGTGAGCTTGACTCGCTAGGGAGGATGGTAATAATGTTAGGCTATATCTGCTATTTTATCACTAGACCTTTTGGTAGTGTAGTCCGGTTGGGATAGAAGCTGTGGCTAACAGTTAGTGATCTTCGGTTCTCGTTTATTTTTGCATTATATTTTAGTCTTAACAAGGGAAAATCGTGGACCCCTTTTCTAGAAATTGTCCTGCAAGCGTTTCTTAGAGACTAAGGCTGATATCATTACGCTTTACTCTTCGACTGACTATCAAGAAATTATTTTTGTTTCAGCCTTAGCTTCCAGCACGTGACCAAATTTTCACTTCTGTTTAGGTAGTATATGCCTTCTCATTCTACCTACGTTACAAGTGCTTTAGACTTGCATTGGCGCCGCTAAACCTCGGCAACGCATCCAAAAGCGGTCGAGCCTAAAGTTTGTAATGGGCCGAGTAGTACTGTAGAGTTCTGCTCAACAGATTCACCGCTAGATGACAGTTCTACAGTTTTTAGTCTCATCAATTGTCCCAACATGCAGGACTTCAAAATGAGAAATATCCATTTAAATTAACCTAACTCTGCCGAGTCTTGATCGTGTCGCTGGAACTCTTTTTGTAACTTGGCATCAGTGTAGGAATTCCACACTAATATTTCCAAAAGAAAGTACTAGTAGTAAAATGCTATGGAGTGATGGTCGTGTTGCAGAAGTAACTGCCAATTTTCTTAGGAGAAAACCTATATCAGAACTCTACGGTAGAATGACGATGTGTGTACCGTATAAGTTTGCTCAGTTCATAGATAGCTAGATAGGGGTTGTAGCGAAGCGAGTCCTCTGGCGATCGGGCATATAAAGTGGCTGAGTGGCTGTGCTTATTCTACCACTTACAAGTTGACTCGCTTCGCTTTAATTCCTGTCTAGCTATCTATGAACTGTGCAAAGATACGGTACTAAAACTCAGGACAGCCCTACAGAGCATTACCAAGCACGATTACAGAGCATTACCAAGCACGATTACAAATCATTTCAACATAAAACAAAAGCCATACAGCGCCATAATGAACCCTCTCTACGACTTGACGGATCAACATGTCTCATTCAATCTTGATTACTGGAGCCTCTGGGTATCTGGGAGGATCACTGCTCGTGCAGCTGAACCGTGCCAAACTTCCACCACATAAAACATTGTATGCCCTCGTTCGTTCTCAAGAGCAGGCAGATGCAGTCAAAGAATACGGAGCTGAGCCTCTATTTCTCGACCTTAAGGATCAAGACCGGGTCATCAAAACCATCGTTGATGCGAAGATAACAGTTATCTTTTTCCTTGTCGACGCGGTCACGTCAAACCTTCAAATTCCCATGATCAAGGCTCTAGGCCAAGTCAAGAAGCAGACTGGAGAGGATGTACACTTCTTACATACCTCTGGCGCCAAGATCTTTAGCCAGCACAGCAACTATCCAACGGATAAAACGATTCTCGACTCGAGTTCGGAGGTTTATGAATTTCAGAAATCATCAAAAGCCCCCTATGACATGGTCGCGCAGGTATACCTTCCGTTTCCTCTAAGACCCTTTCCTTTAGCACGAAATGACGCTGACAAGATGTCTAGGCTATGACTACGAACAATACGGTCATCGAAACTGCTGAGTCTTATGGTGTCTACAGCTATATTTTCATTCCGTGTATTGTGTACGGTGAAAGTGAAGGCTTTGGAAACCGTATTTCTATCCAAAGTACCGCTGTGGTCCGGGCTGCGAAGAAAGCTGGAGCAGTGTATGACGTCAACTCTGGAGGCGCAGTATGTATATACATCCTCTACTACACACCCAGTCCGAGGAGGCTTAATACCTCGATAACAGTTTTGAGCTAACATCACACACAAGACTTGGCCTGTCTGTCACGTCTCTGATAACACGGCATTATATGTCAAGCTCCTCGAAAAAATTCTATCGGGCGACAATCCCGGTCACGGCAAGAACGGTTACTACCTCGCGTCTTCTGGTAGTGTAGCGTGGATCGACATCTACACCGCCTTCGCCAGGGCTCTTGCAACGCGCAACGTAATAGACAGTGCTGAGGTCAAGAAACCTGACGAGACAGCCTTGGAGAAGATGGCACAGGCATTATACTGCCCGAAAGAGATGATTGTTGTGCAGCTAGGCGGCACGTAAGTGGATCATTCTGATGTGTTGATAGACTTATGATCTATTTACTGACATGATATACAGTTGTACCCTCAAAGCAGACCGCGCCAGTAAGATTGGGTGGAAGCCAAAGTATGCGCCTGAGCATATTCTTGAAGTAGCCGATGCTGAGGTAGAGCTCATTCTAAAGCATCTAAAGGACTAATGTACTCTGAAACCTCAGCAGCAATTTGAAAATTGGCGTTATGGTAATACGAGAGAAACCTCAGACTTAAAGCCTTGCTTGAGTGGAACATGCCTTTCTTGTCTCCCACCCCTCCTCTGCGTTAGTATTGAAGTCTGTATGCAGTATCTACGTTGCAGTCCTCATCCTTTGAACACCCTTCGTATCCGTCGAAGCACACTGGCTAAATTGGCAACGCAAGTCCCGCCGCACGGAAAGGTTCCACGCCTGGTCGCACCCGCGTTGCCACTCCTGTACTTGGTATCTTGATGGACATGAATCCTTGACCGAAAGACCATGACTGGCCACACTACCCAGACACCGTAACAGGTGCTTATCATATTGTAGATCAAACCACTCGTCGAGTATGGCAGAGCATCATCTTCGATTTCAGAACGGTCGAGGCCCGATGCTGTTTGATAGCGCAAAGATGCAGCCCTGCAGTGTCACAACCTCGGTCACAGTAGTGTACATGCAGACGGCACACCCCATGCGCATCTAGGTTGGTCGCACATTTACGGTTAGTTGGAACATACAAGACAAACTGATGGTAACCGACCGGTGGCGCAACCCACTTCAATTATGTCACAGAGATTCAAGGTATGCTTAGTTCTCAGTTTGACGTTCAGTGAGGACTACTGTGATGAATTTGTCCTGATCTACGATTTCCGTCGTTTTCTACAAGATATGCTTCCTACGCACGAGAAATTCAAAAGCCCAGAGGGCAGAAATCTAAAGTTCGACTTGTACTATCATTATGTTTGTCTCCTCAACCACAGTTCTTATCACTACACTCCCGTCGCAGTGGCCTTTGCTTGGTCTCGCGTAAACATACCATGATATATTCCTTCTTGTGTGTAACATTGTTTTGGATTTGTTTGGCCGATAAGAGGACAGCAATCAATTCGTGTCACTTGAGATGTTACTGTACCTTTTTCGTCACATCAGATACGTATGTACCCGGGCACGTATTTATGCACTCTAATATCGACTCATCAATAACTCTTCACGCAGAAGAACTTGCAGTCTAATCTATGGTTGGTGTTCTTGTGTTTACCATAAAACAATCTTTTTCTTTGTGCTCTCCAGGTTACACCGACCCTTACTAGTGTGTGAACTGGCCTTCTTTATGGTATTTCCGACGGAGCAGTGACACAGTACCGTCATAGTCGAAGCACTGTCGCACCGAAAACATCTATCAACTACAGTACTTAATGATGAGTCCGATATTCGGAAGTGCTTGCTCAGTTTGCGAAGCCTTGACACTCCACAGTTCAAGTCTCAGGTCATCTCCTCACAATATACCATTCATTTCTATAAGATCATCAGTTTCAGCTTACTAACATGTATATCTTCCTACTCTTCGCTCTCGCATCCTACTCTTTCGCTGCGCCCTTGATCAAAGCAGGACAGCAAGCAACCGCAATCCCCGGCAAATGGATCGTCAAGCTCAAGGGCGATGTAACTACATCAGCCATGACGAGCCTAAAAGCCATGATCTCGACTGAACCAGATCATGAGTACTCAATGGCTGGATTCCGTGGATTCGCTGGCACTCTATCTGAGAAAGAACTCGCGCGTCTCGGAGCCTCTCATCAGGTACACTCCCTGATTTTACCAGAAAACGACTTGCTGATTTCGTGCCAGGTGGAGTACATCCAGCAGGATGCAACGGTGCACGCTTATTATCGCGTCGAGCAAGAAAACGCGACCTGGGGTCTTGCGCGGATCTCCTCCGAGGAACCGGGCAGCACGTCGTACTTCTACGACGACACGGCAGGGGAGGGGACTTGCTCTTACATCATCGACACGGGCATATATGTTGAGCATCCGGACTTCGGAGGACGTATGTCGACACCATATCATCTAAGCAAACACTTACTGACCATTCACAGGCGCCGAGTGGCTCGGAGACTTCTCTGGAGAAGACCTGTTAGTAGATGAACAAGGCCACGGCACGCATGTTGCAGGTATAGTTGGATCGGCAACTTATGGCGTGGCGAAGAAGACTAAACTCTACGCTGTCAAGGTCTTGGACTCTTATGGCAGTGGGACGAATGCTGGTGTACTCGCCGGAATTAACTTCGTGGTCAAAGATGCGAAGACTCGCGATTGCCCAAAAGGTAGGTTTTACGAGAATGCTTTTGTTTGAACTGTATTAAATAACTCTCGCAGGATTCTCAGCAAACCTTAGCCTTGGTGGATATAAGAGCACTGTGCTCAATCAAGCTGTGAGTTTTTCCAGTTTTTAGACTACGCCGTCTAACAATCTCTAGGTCGCTGCCGCCGTCCGATCGGGCATCTTCTTCGCCGTCGCCGCTGGCAATGAAGGTTCGAGTACAGTCAATCTGCGGTGATGAAGAGCTGACATTCCATAGGTATGGATGCCAAGTACTCATCTCCAGCCTCGGAGCCCAGCGCCTGCACAGTCGGCGCAACGCACAGAAACGACACGTTCGTATCATGGTCGAACTTCGGGTGAATCATCCAACTTCTCTAGATGTGCAGCTTATGCTAACAATGCTTGAAAGACCACTGGTTGACGTCCTTTCCCCGGGAGCTAATATCACCAGTACGTGGAACGATGGATCCATCGAAACTCTCTCAGGCACGTCCATGTCTGCCCCTTTTGTTGCTGGCATGGCGGCGTGTATGATGGGGTTCAACTATACTGATGTTAGTTCGATTTGTGATATGATTGGTAAGATGGCGGCGATTGGTGTGGTGAAAGGAGTTCCAAAGAACACGAAGAATCTGCTACTTCAAAATGGGCAGTGAGTATTGAACGTGCAAAAAGCGACTCATCGACTCGTGAAGATCTGCACTGTGTAGAGCATTCAAAGATACTTTAACAGTGAGTAGTGGTGGGATCACGTGTATAGTGTCTGTTTGTGTAGTTCAAATTAGCAGGTTGTTGAGACATGTAATGTCTTAGCTAAAGCATTAAATCAAGCTTAGTAATTCATGGACTTTACATAATAATATAAGAATAGAAGTTGTAAGTTTCTAAATATATAAATATATAGGCTAGCAAAGCAAAGTTTATAAGTATATATTTACAGAAAAATAAAGTAGTAAGTATATATAGATTAGTAATTATTAGTAAAAATTACCTATATATATTTTATACTAAGAAATTAAGATTTTATAAACTAAAAAAGACTGTTAAATACCTCTAGAATCTAAATCTAGGATATATAAACTATAGTAATAACTATAAAACTACTTATTTATATTTAGAAACTATATTTTTATAAAATTATTCTTAAGAGAATTAAGTACCTTTTTAGTAGTATATAAGTACTTATAGACTTTATAGATCTTTCTATATATACTTAAATAATTAATTATAGGTTTTATAACTTTTATAGACTTCTTTATAGAGGCTTTAACCTTCTTAATACTATTATTTTTAACTACTACTAGTTCTATATAAGCCTACTTATAGCTAAGTTTCTTCTTAGGTATCTTCTTTTTAATAGGTAAAGAAACGTAATTTTTTATAAAATAGTTAGTAAATAGCTATATTAAAAGAAAATATTTAAAAAATAAACTTTAGAATAAGTAGTACTTACTTTTAAACTTATAATAATAGGTAGTATACTTAACTTTATATACTTTATTAAGTAAAATATAGCTATTAAATAGCCTATAATAGCTTTTATACTTTTTTTATAGAACTTAGCTACTATTTTTTTAACTATTTAAAGTAAAGTAGCTTTAATATTTATAGCTTATTCTAAAGAATAAAATAGTTAGTAAATAGTTATAAAGAAAAATAAATTAAGTATAAACTTACTATTAAAAGTAATAATATAACTAGTATAAACTATAATTTTCTATTTTATAGGCAGTTTATAAAGTATAGTAATTTACTTAGATATTAATTTAAACTATATTACCTATTCTTTAAGTAATATAGAGGCCTTATTATTATTTATAATATTATTTTTAAGTAAATTATAGATATTTTTAGGTAAATTATAGCTATTTTTAAGTGTATCTTAGTTAATATTATTTAAATAATAGACTATACTATACTTCTTACACTCTTTTAAAGTAGGTTTATAAGTAAAATTAATATAATTATAAGTAGACTTAATAGTATTATAAACTAGTAGAGTAGATTTATAGTTTAATATAGTAAGTTTAAAAGGTAGAATAGAAAGTTTATAGGTTAAAACTATAGATTTACTAGTTAAAACTATAGATTTATTAATTAAAACTAAAGGTTTACTAGTTAAAACTATAAGTTTATAAGTTAAAACTTTAGGTTTATAGATTAAAACTTTAAGTTTATAGGTTAAAACTTTAGGTAATTTAGTAGTTTTATAAATAGAATTAGTAGTATTATAGGTAGAATTAATAGTTTTATAGGTAAATTTAAGGTACTTATTGTTCTTTCTAAATATATTATTATTAGTATTAGGTTATAAGAGCACTGTAAATAGGTAATTAAGATATAGAATAAATAGGTATTTATTAAGAGATTAAATAAATTCTTAGAGTATAAGCTCTAGGAATTTATAAGTACTATATACTATAGCTCTAAGAGCCTTACGCTCTTAGCCTAGAGGTCTACTAAAGGTAGGCTAATAAGAGCTTAAATAGAAATACCTATAATAGAGCCTTTTCTCTTCTTATAGTTTATCTTAAACTACTAGAATTTTTAAAGTAAATAAATAGGTATTTAATTTACCTAGTTACCTTAATTAAACTTTATAAAAACCTTTTATAAAAAGAAAATAGTTTAGAAGAAATTTAGTACTAAATTATTTAAGTTTTCTTTAAGCTAGTTACTAAATCTAGCCTAAAAGCCTACTATACTAGGCCTATATCCTTATTACTAAGTTTTTATAACTTTAGTAAGTATAGCCTAGTTTATTATAAGTAACTACTAGGCCTCTATAAAGAGTTATATTTACTATTATTCCTAGATTATAATCTTTAAAAGTATAGTTATACTTACTATATATTATTATTAGTAACTTTATCTTTATAAGTTTTACTTTATTAAGTACTTATTAACTATATAGATAGTTTATTAGGCTCTATTACTTCTTTAGCTCTATTCTAAAGGCTTTATAATATATAATTATATAAAGTAAAAGCTTAATATAGAGTTTACTTATAATAATTTATTATTTATTTACTTTTTTATTATAGTTAGTATTTATACTAACTTATATAATTATTTATAGGCTAGCGTTATTCTTATAAAGTATATTACTAGTAGTCTTCTTAAAGGTTTATTTTATATAGGTAGTACTTACTTTAATATTAGTACCTATTATACTCTCTATAAAGTTTATAACTATAGTTTTTTTATAGAAGTCTATTAGCTCTTTATAAATAGTTTATTAGGTCTAATCCTAGTATCTTAAGTAGTATTTATTATTTATTTATATTTTAATAACTTTTTATAGTTATTAGTATATATAAAGTAAAGTAAAGTAGTATAGTATTATAGTAGTCTTAGAAGGCCTATATATATATAATAAATAGGTATAAAATACCTAAGTATTACTTTATAACTTTAATATTACTATACTAACTTTCTTTTTATTAACTTACTATACTTCTACCTTTTTATATTAGTAATATACCTTTACTTAAGTAGATTTATTAGCTTTTTACTAGTATAGCTTCTTAGCTTACTCTTACTTACTTCTAGTATATAAGCTATATTAACTTTCTTACTACTACCTTTTAAAAGTATCTTTTTAATAGCACTATTATATTATTTTTTAAGCTATAATAAAGTAATAAGCTGTACTATAAATATAAGGCTAGTTAAAGTATCTATAGTAGTTATTCTAATACTAAGACTAGAGGTTATACTAAAGTAAGTTTTCTATTTTATTTTATTTATACTTTATTTATTACTAACTTTAATAAATTCTACCTAAGTTTTATTATACTATTAATATTCTTAACTACTACTTTAAGTATACCTTATATAAAATTTAAAAGCTTACTAGCTTTATATTTACTACTAACTTTAATACGCTCTTTATAGATAACTAGGTATAAGCTAATTAAGTAAATACTTATACTTATACTAAGGCTTATTATAAGAGTTTTCTTAAGTATAATTATACTAAGTACTATACTATTACTAATAGTAGTCTTTTTACTATAGCTTTTAGTTAAGCTTATTAAGTTTCTACTTAGTATAACTTAAAGTAATATAAAGATAGTTTACTATTATTTTAGTATCTTTCTATTACTAATCTATTCTAGTTAGGTTTTAGTACTACTAGCCTATATTATTTTAATAATATTATTATTTATACTTCTATAAAAACTTACTTTCTATATAATAGTACTTTTAAGAATATTAACTAGTACTTTTACTACTATAGTACTAATATTCCTAATACTAAAAAGAAAGAAATTCTATTTTTACTATTACTTTAAAAGTATTTTTATCTAGTAGCTTCTTATACTCTTAGTTAGAAGGTAGCTAGTAGTACTTCTAAAAAAGCTTTTATTACTAGCTCTTTTAGTTTTTTAATAGCTAAGTATAACTTTAGTAGTATTAGTTTTAACTTTATAGTATTTTAATAGGTAACTATAAAAGTTTTTTTAGTAAATATATATTTTAGTTTCTTTAAATAGTATAAGAAATAATAATTATAATTTTCTATTTTTACTAAGGCTTATATTATTTTATACTAGTTTATAATTTTAGTTTTAAAAGTAATTACTATACTATAGCTTTAGCTTTCTTTTCTTTCTTTCTTTAAGATATTCTTTTTAAAATATTCTTATTTCTACTTTAGTAGATTATTAACTTCTAAATTTAGTAAAGTTTTTACCTTTTACTTATATTCTTTAAGTAGCTTATAAGTACTTTAAGATATATCTTATAAGTTTACTAAATAGTCTTAGAAGATCTTATTATAGTAATTAAGATTCTTAAGTAGTTCTTAGGTAGTATCTTTATTAGACTAACCTAGCTACTTTACTTTATACTTTTACTCTTAGGTAGTAGTATTATAGTATTTTATAATTTCTTTAACTTTATACTTATTTCTAAGTAAAGTATTTTTTAGAAGTTATATAGGCTTTAGCTAGAAGCTCTTTTTAGTAAAAAGTTTCTACTATAGTTTAAGTAATAATATATTAAATATAAAATATATATACTTTATAAAGAGTAGTAGTACTAGTTTATAAGCTAATTTCTTAATATACTTTATAATTATAAAGAGCCTAAGGTACTTAATATTAAATTTCTTTAAAAGCTACTTAGTAGTAATATTTTTTACTTAAAAAAGTACTTATTTACTCTTAGTATAGTATTTCTTAAAGTACTTAGTATTATACTATTTTATTATACTTTTTTAAGTATACTTAAAGCTCTACTTTACTTCTTTCTATATTTTTTACTATTAAGTAAGTCTTTTAGTAACTTACTAGTAAAGCTTTAGTACCTTTATATTCTTATTTTAAACTTTAGAAAGTTATCTTAATAAGTACTTATTTAGAATTCTATTAAAGCCTTTTAGGTTTAACCTAAATACTACTTTAATAAAGTATTCTTTATATATAAAGTATACTTTAAAGTTATATATATATTTAATATATAATAATAATAAAACCTAGTTATTCTACTTATAGTTTATATAGATATATAAGTATATTTTAAGCTTCTAGTTTAGCCTTTTAGTTTAATTATTAGTTTAGAAGTAGAATACTATACTTAGGTAATAATTAATTTTAAAGTAGTAGTATATATTTAACTAAAATTAACTAGTAAATACTAAGCTATAATCTAATAGTAAAGTATCTAGAAGTCTTTATTTTAAGAATACTTTTTTAAGAAGTAGTTTAGTTACTTTCTAAGATAAAATTATTTTAGTTATATAAAGGTAGTAAATATACTTACTAAACTTATCTACTAATACTAGAATTAAATAATATATATTTCTTAGATTATCTTTTAACTTAAGTAAGTTAATAATAAAGTCTAAAAAGTAATATTACTATATTATATTAGATATAAAGAAAGATACTAGTATCTTCTATAGCTTATACTATTAAATCTTATATAACTAGTAAGTAGTATATCTTTTAATATATTTATAGATATTTAGTTTAAAGTATAGCTAGTAATACTTTTTTATAAAAAAATCTCTAGTTTTTTTAACTTTATAGTAACTTTCTATAAGATTATTATAGTTCTTTATAAGTATATTTTAGTATAAAGTAATATTATTAAGAATTTATACTTTTCTACTTTTATATAGAATACTACTAGAGTTAACTTTCTATAAGGTAGTACTTTTAATTACCTTATTATCTTTCTATATTACTAGCGCTTTATTTATAAAATAGGCTTTATTCTATTCTTAAACCTATTTAATAAAATTAGAAAGATATTCTAGAATTTTTAGTATATTAGTATTTTCTCCTTATATAGCTTTATTTATAAGGTATATAAAGGCTAAGACCTAATTATTAAGCTTATAGTCTAATACTATAGCTATATTAAAGTTCTACTTTTAAGCTTTAAATAATTTAAATTAACTCTAACTATTATAGCTTATAGAAGAGCTATTAACAGCTAAGAGTAATATACTACTAGTAACTAAACTACTATTAAGAAATTTCTATTTAGAAACTATTTTAAAGAGTTAATAAAGCTATACTAGCTTACCTTTAAAGTAGTCTTCTACTAAGATTACTTAATTAATTAGTTAAGCTTTAGACTTTTAAAAAGTCTATATTTAAAGCTTTTATTAAAGTATAAGTAGTATTATATTATAAAGTACTTATTATTTTTTAACTATAAAGCTTTATATATAGTTAAAGTATTTTAAAAGACTATTAGCTAGGTTCTTTAGTTTTAGCTTATATTTAACTTTAAAGTTAAATTAAGCTAGCTTTTTTATCTAATATACTTATTTAGAGAAGAGTTTCTTTATAGTTATAAAGTACTAAAGGTTATTATAATTAAAAAGGACTTAGATTATAAATAAAGTATATTTAAGGTAGTATTTCTATTACCTAAATAATTCTATAATTATAGAAAGCTCTTTATTATATATATACTATTAAATTAATAGGCTAGTAAACTTATAGCTTTAAAATACTACTAGCTTTTAATAAAGATTAGTTACTAGCTTAAATATTTAAGGCTAAAGTAAAATTACTACTATAGTAAAGTTTAATATATTAGTTAAAACTATTACTAGCTTTACTAGATTAAAGTACTAAAGTATAAAGGCTTTTATAAACTTTAATTAAATAAAGAAGAAGGCCTTATAAACCTTATTAGGCTAACTTTATAGTTAATACTATTTTATTAAACTTTTTTAAGTTTTCTTTAAGTTTTTCTTCTTTTTCTTATCTATACTAGCTTTTATAGAGGCTAGTACTAGAAACTAGATAGCTATTATATAGTCTACTAGTAGGTATATAATACTAAAGTAGTTATAGATAAATCTTTTATAGAAGTTTATAAAACCTAAAAATACTTAGATATCTTTATATCTCTTAGGCTCTAGCTACTCTTTAATAGTTTATACTCTTACTAGGTTTATAACTATACTACTAGAGGTAACTATAAAGCCTAGAAACTTTATAAAATTTATTAAAAAAATATTTTTTCTTACTTTATAATATAAGCTTTACTTAATAAGCCTATTAAGAATCTCTTTAATATAAGTATTCTAATCTTCTTTATTCTTAAAGTAAATTAAGATATTATCTAAATATACTATATAGGTATAATCTACTAGGCTACTTAAAGCTTTATAGATATAAAATTAGAATATTACTAGTATATTTACTAATTTAAAAGATATAACTAAGTACTTAAAATAGCTATACTTTATTTTAAAGGCTATCTTCTACTTATTACTTTTTCTAATCTATAGCCTATAATAGGCTTTATAAAAGTTAAGCTTAAAAAAGATAACTACTTTTAATAATTAATCTAATATCTTACTTATAAGTAAGATAAAGTATTAATTCTTAATTATAACTTTATTTAGTCTATAATAGTTTATGTAAAGACTTATTATTTTATTAGCTTTTAGTAAAAAGAGAATTAAAGTACTTATAAGTAATTTACTAGAATAAATCTATTTCTTCTTTTAAGCTATATTAAAGTAGTCTTATAGAATTTCTAGCTTATAGCCAAAGAAGTTATAAATAGAGAAATTTAAAACTATAGTTTTTAGCTTTAAGTTAATAAAGTAATTATATTTTTTATTAAGTTAAAGTATACTTACTTAATACTTACTAAATATAAGCTACTTATAGTATAGCTTTTTTAGTATAAATTTTAATTTATTTAGATTAAGTATATTATTTCTAACTACTAGATATAAAGTATTTATTTTAATATTATTAGTTAAAATATAAGCTATACCTAAAGGTAGTCTAGCTTAATTAGAGTTCTTATTATATATACTAGTAACTATTTAATAAGCTACTATTTTTAGTAGCTAGGCTAAGTTTAGATAGTTCTATATATAGTAGTAAAAATAATTAATAATCTCTAAAAACTTATTTTTTAACTAAAGAATCTTCTTTTAGTAATAGTACTTTATATCTTAAACTATATTTCTTTCTAGTTATACTCTACCTATAAGTATAGGTATTTTATAGTCTTTTTATAAAAGTTCTTTATATAAGGCTTTTTAGCTACTAAGTAGAAACTTATATACTAGATTACTAGAGTAAAGAATATATACTTTTTCTTTTAAACTTATATTATTTAGTAGTTATTTTATAAAAAGTAACTAAATTCTATTAGTATTATTTACCTACTATTTAAACTTACTTATTAAGAAGTAGATTTTTAGATCTGCCTTTTATAGCTAAAAGTATTCTAGTATAAAGTTATAACTTATAAAGTTTACTACTTAGAATATCTAAAAGCTTACTTCTTTAGTAGTTTTTCTTATATTACTATATAAAAGTATAAGTTTATATAGTTTAAGAATATTTAAATAGTTACTATTAATAAAGCTTACTACTAGCTTTTAATAAAATAGACTATAAAAAAGATTTCTTTTCTTAACTATATATTAGTTAATAATATTAATCTCTACGCCTAAGTTATATAGTATATAAAGAAGTATTATAGACCTATTAAACCTTTATAAAATTATAGTAACTTTAATATAAGTTTATTTCTCTTTTAACTTTAGCTTTAGCTATAATAAAAAAAGATTTATAATTAGAGCTTCTTTTTTTTTAAGCTTTAGCTCTTTAAGTTTTAAAGTTAGTTAGTATTAGTTTTTTAATTTAGTTTTTACTAACTTTTTTCTTTATTATCTTAATTATTACTAGTATTTACTACTTACCTACTACTTTAGTTCTAGGCCTAAGGTAAAGTACTAGTAGATTAGTTCTAGTACTATTTTAAAGGTTTAAAGTTATATCTTTTTTTATAGCTACTTTAAGTTAAAGAAGTAACTATTTATTTAGGCTTTATAAAGTCTAATAGTTTTAACTTTATTTTTATACCTATAGTAGTTTTTATATTATAAAGAGCCTACTTAAATTCTAACTATTTAGTAATAGTCTTTAATACTCTATTATACTAAATCTCTTATTAGTAAGCTTTAAGGGCCTTTACCTATACTAAAAAGATCTTTAACCTATTATTTATACTACTATTTATAAGCTTAAAGAAGCTTTAATAAAGTAGAGATTCTTTATAATTTAAGTATAGTAAAAATATATTAACTAAGTTATTAGTATACTACTTAAAGTTTTAAAACTTTAAATAGTTTTTATATTATATAAAGACTAAGTTTTATACTAGCTTCTACTTCTTTATATAAATATTAGCTTAGGTATAGATTACTTTTTTATTAATCTTTTATTAGATTAATTTTTAGTATACTTTATATTAGATAGTACTTCTTACTTAATAAGTTCTAGTTATAGAGTTCTTTAGTATTTAGGTATACTTAAATACTATATTTATATTCTTAACCTACTAATCTACTTATTAAGAGGTAAAGATATAGAATTCTATACCTAATTTAGGCTTAAGGTTTACTATATTAAGTACCTTAATTAGCTTTTCTACTATATTAGATATTAACTAGAAAGGCTTTACTAAAGTAGTAAAGTATCTTAGGCCTAAGTACTATAAAGTAACTTAAAAGTACCTTTTTAGAATTATAATATATTCTAGGCTAGTATCTTAAAGTTATTTTTTTAAAAGTTTACTTAAAATTAATTAAATATACTACTTACTACTTAGTAAAGCTACTTATATATAGACTCTTAGAAGTAATTTTTAAAAAAGTTATAAAATACTAAACTAGTAAATTACTTTTAAAACTTTATTAATACTACTTCTTAGCTATATTTTAAAGAAAAGTATATAGCTTATTTTTTTAATTAAAAGTTATTTTAAAAGGCTTTTATATATTTTCTTAAGTAGCTAGTTCTTTATTAAGAAGTAAGTTACTTTTTACTTAAATATATCTTTTTCTTTATTTAAGCTTTTTATATTTTTAATATAGGTAGCTAAGCCTTACTTTAAAGCTAGGTTACTTTTAGTCCTAAATAAGAATACTATTAGGCCTTCTTTAGGTATAATACTTTATTCTTTTTAAAGAGGCATTATTTTTTTATTAAAGAAAATAGCTTTTATTTATTTTAAATTAACTACTTTTTTTAAAAAGAAGTATAAAGGATTTAAATTATAAGAGTACTATAAATAGGTAATTAAAATATAAAATAAATAGGTATTTATTAAGAAATTAGATAAATCTTTAAAGTATAAGCCTTAGAAATTTATAAGTACTATCTACTAGAGCTCTAAAGGCCTTATACCCTTAGCCTAGAAGTTTACTAGAGGTAGGCTAACAGAAGCTTAGATAGAAATACCTATAATAATAAGCTACTTAAAAATAGTAAATATAATTATAAAAAAGTTCTAAAAGAAATCTTCTTTATATATAAACTTTATAAGACTATAAAGGCGTAATAGAGTAAGTTTATAAGTATAAGTAAGCTTAAAAAATAGATTATAAGCTAATATATACTAAAAAGATACTATTTAAGCTTATTATAAAGTTAGTCTTTCTATAGTAGTAAGTAAAGAAGAATATAACTAATAGTTATAATCTATATATAAATTCTATAAGTATATTAAGAATAGATTATAATAGAATAGAAGAGTTTTACTAAAGTATATACTATATATAACTAATATAAGGCCTTAAAGTAATTAGTATAAAATACTATAATTTCTTTATTAACTTTATAGCTATTATAGAAGATTAGAAATAACTTTTAATAAACTATAAAAAAGAAATTAGGCTATATTATAAAAAAAGAATACTTTAGGTAGACTATAATAAACTTATAAATCCTATTTATAAGTATTACTATTTAAAATTTAATAAAAAAAGAAGAAAATATACTTAAAGTAGTAAAACTATTAACTAAAGAGTAGTATAAATAAGGAAAATACTACTACGTAGGTAGTATAAATAGAAAATAATAACTTTATATAGTAATAGTAAAGGCTATAGAGGCCCTATAGGTATAAAAATTAGTTAGATAAGTAGTAGTAAGTTTTACTATTATTCTAATACGTTTTCTAGGCCTTGTAGGCCCCTAGGTAGTAAGTTAAATGTTGTCTGATTATATATTAGATTAATGCTAGCGAGGTTGACGAAAGACACGACACGGGTTTGTTAACAGGGTTCACGCCAAGCGAGGCGCCGCATAGACATCTGTGCATCTCCAGCACTCCAAGGTCAGGCCTCAGCATGCAGTCGCATCTTCCAACCACGATGCAGAATGAACTCGCGCCCCTTCACCCGTAACGCCCAGAAGAGCTTCCGCCCCGCCTTTGACTACCTGAGCAACTTCTCACGACCGAACGCGCAACACGCCCGCGACAGCAAGCGCAAGCAGTCGGACAGCTACGTGAGCCGTCGCCAGAACAGCACCAGCTCGCTCGATGACACGGACTTCTCCGACGTAGAACAGTACGCCAAAATGGACGGCGCACGACGGAGCCACTCGACGCAGAACTCGCTGTCGGAGCTGCAGCCTGCCGTGCCGCTGATCGATATCAGCAGTCGCAGCACCAGCCCCTACCCGCGCACTCGCAGCGCTACGCAGAGCGAGGACGAGGACGACTACTATGAGCCGGCGAGCAGCATACGGCCGCTGGTAAGCCGCGACATGGGCAGAGGAGCGACATCGTGGAAGGGAGTGTTCAGACAGGGGGGGCTAGGGGGCTTCTTGTTTGGGACGTGGCTGGGCTGGCAGATATGGGTTGGCCTGCTGGTATTTTGGGTGGGCGGCTGTGGATTCGGCCTGTTGCTCATGAATAGGTTCATCATGTTGACGGGCGTCTACAAGTGAGCATCTCAATCAGACAGGGCCTGGCCTGTGGAAGCTAATCGAGACAGGTTCCCCTTTCCGCTCACAGGCACATACATCCAGCTCCTCCTGACGCACACCATGCTCATCACCTTCTCCAGTCTCACGCGTGGTCTTGCGAGTCCTCTGCGTAAGCTGGGTCTTGGTGCTGCCGTCGCACCTGCCATTCCAGTCGCACCACAAGGAGGAGCTTTCAGGGGAGGGGGCAAGCAGCTCACTGTCCTGCAGTTCGGACGCTGGTTGTCCAACGGTTCGGGTGGCATAGCAGGTGGTGGTTTGTTCGAATTCGAATACCACGTCGCCAAGCAGGTTCTGCCACTCGCCGTTATATTCCTCGTCAAAGTGCTTCTCAGCAACTTCTCGTTCGCGTACGTCACTTCGAAGTATACTACGTCTTCATGCTAACACGACTCCAGTTATGCACCCCTTCCCGTCTACCAGCTCGCCCGCATTGGCGTCACACCATTTGCCATAATCTTCTCCTGCATCCTACAAAAGGAGAACCACAGCGGCGGTACCCTCTCTTCCGCCCTTGTCGCAACCCTCAACCTTCTCTTCGCTACTCTCCGGTCGAACGTCCGAGTGACCTGGGAGTCCATCGTCGCTGGCGTCTTCTCCTCGCTCTTCGTTGCCTTGTACCCCATCCTGCTGCTCCGCACCTACCGCATCCTCCTAGCTGGCCTTGTCCCGCTGGGCGACGTGCTCACTGGCTACCCCTCAAGTGCTGAGGAAGTCGGCAACAGGGAGGAGACGCGTGCATACTTCCGTACACTGCACTACACGTCCCTTCTCTCTCTAATAATCCTAACGCCTATTGTCGTGCTGTCTGGCGAACTCGGTGCCATCTACCACAACATCCCGTTCCTCGACGTACCATTCTTCTGGTTCATGATCTGGTGCGGCGCGCTTGGTTCGTTCGCCGTCTTCTCCTCCACACTGCTCCTCGTCAAGGCCACGTCCCCCCTTACAGCGACCTTCATACAAGTCCCCCGGAGCGCGTTCCAGCTCGTGATGCTGAGCATGTTCAAAATGCCCGCGCACAGCTGGATCGGCGTGGTGCTGTGCTGGATTAGTAGTGTTTGGTTTTTGGTGTTGAGGCGGAATGAAACGAGATCAAAGGATCGTTTAAAGTTGGAGGGAAGGTAATGGCAGGAGCGTAGCATAACCAGACTACTACCTTGCTTAAATAGTAGATTTTGTGATTTTAATGCTAATTTTACCACACAATTTTTTCGCAAACCGTACGCGGTGAGCGTCTTCATACGACTCACGCGCTGAGAGCTAGCTTCTTACAGTTAGGTGGTATCTTCCTCGATGCGTCATCGCTATCCTTCTCTCACCATCACCACACTACACTACCACCCCAACTACACACAGCTGTTTCACGATCAGTACTAGCACATGCAGCTCTCATATACTTTGATGTAGCATTTCTGCCTCCAAAAAGCGCTTCATGGCTATCGGCATGAATCATCACGAACTCGTATGAGCAACTTTGGATAAAGGTCGCGTGCTATCACTCGAATCCAAGTTTTTTTCGTCAGCTAGAAAAGAAACCCATGGTAACTCGACTCGATCAAGTCGAGAAGGTATATCAACTAATCGTTCTTGCTGTCTCCCAGGAATCCAACAGCATGCTCTCGAACATTCCATTTCTGCCTCCCGAGATCCATCGCATTATCTCGCAATATGTTGACCGCGCTGACCTCCCGAGCTATCGCCTCGCAGACAAAGCTCTCGCGCAGATAGGTGCCGAAGAACTGTTTAGGACAATCACGATCCAATACAGCTCAACAAGTATAACTCGGCTTAACTGTCTCAGAAGCAGTTCGAATCTTCGCAAGTATGTTGAGACTCTGATATGGGATACCAATACCTGGAGAATACCCAACGTACGTGATTTTAAGGAATGGGAACGCTATTTTTCCAACAAAGTGGAGGATACATACATCTGGAGACGCGTTGAGCCCCGATACGTACAGCACCTGACGCGGATCAGACGAAACCGCCAAGAATGGGAGGTATATGCAGATCGACTAGAAGACGAGAGACGTGCCAGAGGGCATCTCCACAACAAATTGGAGAGCTTGCTTGTGGGATTCGACAACTTGGGCAGAATTGACGTCGTCAACGGCGTAATAATTCCTAGTCATCGAGGCGTTGAAAAGATTTACGACGAGCTTTTTCGTTACCCAGGCGATTCTGACGTATATCGCAAAGGTGAAGGTCTCTTCAGTAACGGGCGTCACGTCGACGCGTCTTCTCGACCTGCCGTTCGCGCATTCTCCGCCGTGGTCGCTCTATCCAACCTTAGGCTGAAGGAACTGAAGATCAACACCCTGTGCTGGCAAGCATTCAGATCTCAAATTTGTCCAACTGCTGCTTTAAAGAGACACCTGACAACCCTCTACATTCGACTCACATCACGAGCCGAGTACAACTATGACTCGTTTCACTCCTACCACGAAATCGTGCAAGCACGCCATGATCATTCAACAGGCTCCTTTTCAGACTTCTTAACAGATCTTCCAAACCTTGAATCGCTACGTCTCGATTTCAAGGATACAACAAATCTCACAGACGAATCAGTACACTATCACCCTACAATATTCGAAAGCACCTTTCGCTCCGAATATACGTGGCCCAGTCTGCGAAAACTGTCGCTGCGTAATTTCGAAACCACTCCCGAAGCCCTGCTATCCCTGCTGCAGCGGCAGAAGTCGACCCTGAAAACCCTCACGCTGCAGAAAACCATTATCGGGTCCGAAGAAGACGATGCACGGCCGAGTATGGAATGGGTCGAATTGATCCGGGAAATACGCAGCATGTTGCAGTTGGATGACGAGAGCTGGGCTAACGCGCTGGGAGTCCAGGTTGGGGTGGACTGCATATTTACGAGCTTTGATGCATATGAAATGCTCGCAGCTGCTGCTACAACGTTGCCAGTCGAAGGCGGTGAAGTTTGTTGAAGATGGCCGGAATCGTCAAGGCTGGATGACGTCCATTCATGAAGCACTTGGATTTTGGGCAGAGTTGGGTATGAAATTCCTGAAAGGTCATCAACGCAGTAGGAAGAACATCTCATACGGAACACTTTATCGGGAAGATGTATTCATACTACCTACTTGTAACTATCTAGCCCCATAACTGCACATCGCAGCTCCCATCGAGTAGGGGGTATCAATCACACCGCCCACCGCCATTCCCAAAGCCCCAGATAAGTGTCCAGCTAGTGTCAACAAATCCCGTTATCAGAGACTGTCATATAACCCTTTCCTGAACTTTCGGTTCTTAGCACCAGCGAAAAAGCGCAAGCAGCCCAGCAACTCTCAACACAGCACTGCTCACTTAGAAACCCTCTGCATAGCCATTCGCAACTCCATCCGATCAAGCGGGGCCTTCTTCCGCTCCCTAGGCAGCGGCTTCCCCGCGAAAATGGCGCGCAATTTGGGATTCTGAACGAGTCTCTTGACGGGGTCTTTGCCGCGGTAGGGGTTGACGGGGCGTTTTGTAGTGGTGGTGGGGAGAGACGTTAGGGGTTTGTTGAAGAGGCGGATTGGGGCGGGGGGCTTGGAAGGGAGAGGTAGGGAGAAGGAGGGACATGATGGAACCTTTGATGGAATCTTGGGGGGTTGTGGGGAGATTGCCAGCTGGGTGGGTTGGGAACTGCAGAAGAGGGGGGTGGAAGGACTTGTGGTGTAGTTGATGTGGTTGTTGGTGATGTCGATGTTGATATTCGAGTCTTTGTGTTGAGCGTGTACAGTTTTCCTCGCGTGAGCGCCATCTTCGAGTGTAAAACCATGGGGCTTTGCACCGGTGAAGCGGTACTGTAGGCTGCCAACTTGCTGGGGACGAGGTGGATCAGTACCGCCATGGTCGACGTGAAGTTGCCTGTCTCGAGCCGCCACGCTGTCTGTCAGACGAGTGCGACTGGCATTATCTTGAGTAGCACCATACTCTCCTCCCGTCATGCGGTCCACGAGACGGCGTGTAGGAGTAGGAGGAGGCGGTCGGTCTCGACGTCCATCCCGCTGGCGTCTACGCTGCACTTCTCTAACCCTCTCTCTAGCTCGATCTCGGTCTCGATCACGTCGCCTTGCAGCGTCGATACCAGCCCCCGTGTTGGCCTGAATGCGTGCACCTGTTGCACCACCAGCCGCAGTGCGGTGGCCAGTGTTTCTGTGCGCTCCACGCGTGTAGAAAGGAGCCATCTTGAATGGAGAATAGAACTATTTGATTAGTCTGGGGAAACCCTGAGCGCTATACACCGCGCTGGCGGGGTTGGTTGAGTCCACTTGTGGTTCAGGTGTGCTTGTTGTTGCGTGGTGGTGGCCGCCATAACACCGCCTTGCGCGTTGTTTGTTTATATGCTGCCTGGCGCGACGGCGTTATCGGGGGACGACAGGACGATAAGGACTGGTTCCTTTGGTGAAAGGGAAGAGGAAAGTTAAAGTGAAAGTGAAAGGGAATAGTTGATTGGGTCGGGGTGGAGCCTGGTGACGCTGGGATGGGATGGGATATCGTTCTTTGCCGTGGACCTTGTTTTGAAAACAGAACAAACAGGAACAGTGTTACGGGTTTGAAGTATCGGAATATATCTACGAGCACCGTCTTATAACGATAGTTTCGGTCTCCGACCTCTTGAAACTTCCCTATGGGCATTCTGCTAGAGTGACGAGGGAGTCGGGCATACCAACCTTTCTGGGGCCTAGCCAGTAAACTCGGTGTTACGTTGTGCTGTTGTAGTGATGTCTGGAGGCAAACATACTACAAAAAACAGATACCGGTAGAGAGGAAAAGGATGAACCAACGACTGAGTGACTTGATGTTATAGACAACTACGAAACGACCTATAAACAAGATTCTTGCGTTGAGACCAAATTGACTTCCGACGACAAGACGAAGAGAGAGAGAGGGCAAGTTGAGAAGCAAGAATATATCAAGTGTATAAATAGATGAAAATATCGTTACCACATATAATACCCAACGCCACCACACCCAAAAGTGTACCCAACAGACGGAAGGCTTTCCAATACCTCACGCCCTGAACAACAGTAATCCAAATCCAAACTCAATAGCCCAACTGGAAAAGGGAGGGCGTACAATGATGATCCATCATGTCCGTACGCCTGGGAGCGCCTTGAACGTCCACTTGCATAATCTGACTCCAACTGATTCTCACAAAGACATTCTAAATGTCGTCCATATTCCCCGCTGCCTCATCCTCATCACCCGACTCGTAACTCCCTACGGAGCTCATTTCGTCGTCATCGTCGTTGTCTTGATCCGAGTCCTCCGAGATGTCTTTCGAGGCGTATTTCTGCACATACTCTGTATTATTTTAGCGCCTACCCGCCACTCGCATCGCATGCTATGTATATATACCCTTAACTTTAACTTCGTAGCTCTTGGGCTCCCGCATGAGCAGCGCGGCTGCTTCGCCGTTGAGAGGGTCGGTGGGGTTTGGGTAGCGGAGGAGTTGCGGGAGGAAGACTTCGAAGATGTTGATCATGTCGTACATGGGGGACCAGGTTTGGTTTATGACATCGAGGCAGACGGAGCCGGAGCTGGGAGTATTCAGTTAGCATGCTTGGAGGAAGTTGGTCAAACGTGTAGGGAGGCATGGAGAAGGAGTCTGGCATAGCGTACAGTTCATCGATGTTGGGGTGAAATATCCTGTTCACGAAGCCGATGCTAGGGCTCTTGTAGGGATACTGGTCGGGGAGCTCGACATGGATCTTCCAGAGGCCGCCTTGGAAAGGAGCTGCATCTCGTTAGTCACGTCCTTGTAGTGTAGTGCGAAGTGTACGTACTCTCTTCAGGGCCCTTAAATCTGACGTAGAACTCTTGCCTGCGTGCGTTAGCGACATTGCGACGGACTTGTAACTCAGCGACGAGAGACACGAACACTGCAGCAAGGTCAGCGACAATCCATACAAAAACAAAGAAAGAGGCATACTGTTATCGTTGACCAGCGTGACCTCATAGTCACTCATGAGCCTGGTAAGTATTAGTCGCTGTTCCAGCGGCGCAAGGCATTCCGTGGCTCGACATACATCCTGCACAGCTATTAGCATACTATGCACCACCCCACGACTTTGGCAACCTACTTCATAACCTACAACCATTGCAAAACACGCTGGTCAGCTCTTGCTCTCAAGTGTACATCGTCCCGGTGTCAACATCACCTACATCCGTCTCGATGCGTCTCTTTGGGGAACTCATATCGGCGAGTATCTATCGTAGGCGTCTCTCTTCGCTGTCCCTTATGTTGAAGTCTGGTTCGATCGCGGGCTATGACAGGTTGCGCCGATAAGTCGCGGTGGATGACGATCGCGGGGCGGTGGAGGGGCAGACGCGCTGGCGCTACGTCGGTGCTTTGTTGGCGGTAAACGGATGCTTGTGGTGTTGGATGGACGCTCGCCGAGATACAGGAACAACGTGATGCTCGAGGATGGGGTAGTTAGGGAGTAGGAAGGAAGAGTACTGAGCTGGTCGCGGTCGATTGATGATCGCTGCCGGGAAGTTACGCTTGGGTTCGGCAGCGCATCGCCGAGACATGGTGCCACCGCGTAGTCATGCGGGTGACTAGTCGAGTGGGGATGTGTAAAGTAGTCACAATGAACAAAACGTCAATTTTTGTTATCTACAACATTGATCTTATCTGTTTAGTGGCTGTCTTGGCTGTCTGTTATGTCAGTACGACTTGTTTCCAGATGTTGGTAGATGCACCGTAAAGGATAGAAGACCAAGACATCGGTCTTGAACGGCACTCGACAGGCTCTACTGTCAAGTCGAAGCCAAAAGTCAAACCCTATAATTTGGAGGCCGGTCAATCTCTACGACGAGCTCTGCATCGCTACCCCTACAGAATCAACAACGCAACTTCTAAGGCTGACGACTGTACGTGTATGCTAGCATGTCAACATACTAACACGGCTTTCTTACAACCTCTCCTGGCGACAAAGCGAGCATCGTACACTCCAAAAGCATGCTTGCTGGCTGACACCAATCGCATTGAAGCAATGCCGCGTCTCCTCCGAGGTCGCGACGCACAGACAATGGCCTCTAATCACCACGAACCAGACACTCTCGGACACATATTCCCAACGACCAGAAAGCTCCAGACTTCCTCTTCCATACCGCTACCCGAAAGAGTCGAACAAACATGCGGGGGGCTCCAGGCAAACAGTCGACTCGCGAGATAGCAGAGTCCAAGAAAGGGGGGACCCTGCCGAGTTGAACGCACGGACTGTAGCCTCGGTCCGCTACCCACCCCAGAACTCCCAAGTATAAGCTCTTCTGCGCAACTCTCTGAACAGCTGCTTATAAGCAAATTGCGCCGCCCCTCAGCCATGACTCCTCAACACTTGTCCGTACTGTCCTTGCGGGCGCGAAGAAATTTTCTTACTTGCAATAACAATCACCACCTCGCTTTCCCGACATAGTCGCGATGTCGCGTGCCTTACTCAACACCGCTCGAACGGCTTCTTACATAAGTCGAACAAGACCACGTCTCACCTCATCGTTGCTGTCGATTCCGGGCGCCCTGGGGCCTACTCCTCAATCAAGATGGAGTTCTCATTCACCTATGGGCGCTGCGCCAGCGATAGTCCGCAAGCCTGTCACTATCAACACTCTCCAGAGTCTATATCGCAAGAACGAGCCTATCACCATGATCACTGCGCACGACTTTCCTAGCGCACACGTCGCCGACCATGCCGGAATAGACATGATACTAGTCGGAGACAGTCTTGCGATGGTTGCGCTAGGCATGGAAGATACAAGCGAAGTCGTCATGGAGGAGATGCTGTTGCATTGCAAATCAGTTGCTCGCGCGACAAAATCTGCGTTCACGGTATGCTGCAATACGCTCTGTCATTGTTGGTCAGTCTACTGACATACTATAGGTGGGTGACTTGCCCATGGGAAGCTATGAGATCTCTCCCGAACAGGGTCTAGCATCCGCCATCCACATGATCAAAGTCGGTCGTGTAAAGTCGGTCAAGCTCGAAGGCGGAAAGGAGATGGCGCCAACAATTGCCAAAATCACCGCAGCTGGCATACCCGTGGTTGCTCATGTTGGCCTTACACCTCAGAAGCAGAACTCCCTTGGTGGATTCCGTGTTCAGGGCAAGAATACCGCATCAGCGCTCAAGCTGCTTGAGGATGCTCTTGCAGTTCAGGAGGCAGGCGCTTTTGCTGTTGTAGTAGAAGCTGTTCCTGCCGAGGTTGCCACACTTGTCACGAAGAAGCTTAGCATTCCCACGATAGGCATTGGTGCCGGCAGCGGCTGCTCAGGTCAAGTCTTGGTTCAGACCGATATGCTTGGTAACTTCCCGCCTGGTCGTTTCCTACCCAAATTCGTCAAGAAGTATGGCGATGTTTGGGGCGAGTCCATAAGGGCAATCTCGCAGTACAAAGTCGAGGTCAAGGGTCGAGCCTATCCAGCACTCGAACATACGTACCCGATGCCACAGGAGGAGTTTAGCGAGTTCGAAAAGCTGATTGAGGAAAAGCGGAACACAGATTTGTGATAGCGGGATCATTTTGCATAGTCATTGGCGTTGGAGGCTGTCGTGTATCATACCCCACCCTACGTTAGTAGTGGCTTGCGTTCTTAATACTTCTAATAACTGCGTTTCCTGGAATAGGTATCGTTGGTGAGATATCGTTGGTGTATAGCTAGAACATCCTCAGTCTATAAGTTTCTCGAATCTACAATTCACTCCTGGGTATCTCGTTCAGCTTGTCCCGGCTCAATATAGTGATTCATCATATGAACGAAAAGGACATGTCAAACCAACATCGACGACCTAGGCGTTCCTTCATCCAAAAGCAGGCGACATAGCATACCCCACAACGAGTTCGTCATTCTGTTTGAAACACTGGACATGAACATTAGCAAGCAGAACCTCTCATCTCTCACGGGATCAAACCAACTTACCGTCCACAAATTCCCCACACCTTCATCCAGCGCTGGAGAGAAAACATTCCCAATATAACAAAACACGCTCTCATGCTCCTTGACTCCCAACCTCTTGCGCAGAAAGCGGACGATAGTCTCGAAACGCTGATTTGTAGAGAGCTTGAAGACGCGCTGCGTGAGATGGGGTGCTGAGCCGATTGGTTGCAGACGGACGGTTACTATGTGTGCATCAGCCGGAAATGTAAAGAGCCCGACACCAGCAAGAGCGATACGAGAAAGTGTAAGGAATAGGAAACGAGTTATGGAAGATATCGGACAACCAAAGAAGCATACGCACTCTTCCCGACCGTCACGTTCCCCGCCGTCTCGAGAGCCTTCGAAGCATCGCGGGGTAGATGTGTCAACACGACAGAAGCAGCCATGGTCAATGGAGCCTCCGCTGTATCATCCTCGTCTGGTATCTTCTCTCTGGGGGATTCAGGCATGACGCTAGTAGAGCGTCAAGGCTCAGGATGAGTTAAAGATGAACGGTAGTAGTTTGTAAGGGTGTTGGCAACAGCCCGTGAAGAGTTTACTTGCAGGTCGAAGAATTCGAAAAGTTCGTGATGTGGACTGCGTGAGGTGAGAGAGTAGGAGTGATGGAAAGGGAGGTCGCGATGCAATGCAAACGGCAACCTGACCAATAAGAACCCCGCCAGCCCAACAACATCACTCACAAACGGCATCGACAACACTTAACATCTACAGTCGCATTGATACTTTTCTGAAACATCTAACACGATAGCGATATATAACCTGGCCTCCCATATGACAATCGAATTTCCGTTGCCACGTCTGTTTCACACTGATAAAATGCACCTGCCTACGGTAATCAATGCCGTATTCCCAAAACATATCCGCCAGCCGTTCTGCAATCGCAACAACAGGCTACAAAAAAAGAGCACAAAAGGAATATGGTGCATGCAATAGTTATATGCAATGACTCATGCATCGTAAGCCTCCAAGTGTCGAGGGTGTACTGCATGTAAGAGGATGAACAAGCCTAGCCGCCAAAAACAAGAAGAGAATGCGCCTTGACAATGCTGTAGGTCACAAACATACTGTGAAACGGGTATTCGCAGAGTAAGCGGCCGGGTGCCGTAGGGTGTAATGAAGTGAACAAGAGTTGGTACAAGTAGTAAGTACGTTATAGTATTAGGTCGTGTCAATGCCGATGGCGGTGCAACGTGAAAGTCGTGTGTTGTATGCAGCAGTTCAATGACGGTCGAGCTGAGCCAACAACTGGTCAAGCTCGAGCCAGTTCTCAGTAGTTGTTGCGAACCTGCGATGCTTGCGGGTGACGGTATGCTGCGATATTGTTAGCTTCAAGTGACTAAAAGGGCTATTCCGGTAATCACCTCTTCGAAGTCGTTGAACTTCTCCCTGCAGTTCTCGCAGTAACCAGGCTTGAGCTCCTTCTCAGTAGCCTTGCGCCTACGGAGAATGGCGACCTTCTGAGCCTGCCTCTCTCCGTGCTCATCCAATCCCATATTCTCCTGAGCCTTGCGCTTGGCGGCTCTTGCGGGTTGAGCATGATCCTGGTTGAAAGCTGCCCTCACATCATTCATGACTGAGGAGTGGCCACTGGTTGTTGATGGAACGCTATTCTTCTCAAGAACCTTGCGTTTCAACTGGTTGACCTCCTTGCTGTTGCCAGCTCGGGGCGCAGCGGCGGTCGAGGAAATCATCTGAGATCGAATAGCAGACGTAATGTTTGATTGATGAAGACCAGATGCAATTGGCTCTCCGGCGATGCATCGAGGCATGGCTCGGATGCTAGCCTGAGCGCTGCCAAACATGGGAGGTGCACCATCTGTTGCCGCACGTTTATGAGGGATCGCTCGCGGAGGCTCCAACGGCTTCACATCTCCCTCCTCCTCTCCATTGACGATGGCGGCTGGAGCACTGGGTCGCCTTGCCAGGTTGTTATTCTCGCCCAGAGCACGCTTCTCTTCCAAGGCGGACGCTGCACGCGTACGAGGAGCTGCCGCCGCTGCCGCCCTCTGTACGCGTCGAGCCTCTTGTTCCTCCTGTTGTCGACGGCCAAAGTTGGGATCCTCGACAAATGGGCACTTTCCATTGCCTGAAGCACGGAATTGCGGCCATTTGCCCTTCTCTTTCTCAACTTTCTGGTACTCTCTGGTCATGACCGGTCGCGTGGCCTCGTCCATATCGTGCACATAGACGTAGTATCCACGTAGCGGGATCATGTCCTGGGAAGCAACCACGTAGTCCCGGTCCAACTTCTCATTCTGGAGCAACCTCTGGAGGTCAGAGGGACGGCCCTTTTGCTGAGATGCAGCCATTCCATGACGCGAGTAGGCCGCGGGATCCTCTCCGGTGTCCTTGTTGAACATGGTGTCGATCATACGCTGCAGCTTCTCCACCGACCATATCTTCATCCCCAGCTCCTTGGCCTTATACAGCACGTCCCCACGAATGGGCTTTGGCTGGAGGGCGGCATCAAAGACGGATCTCTTATTCTCAAGCTGAGCAGGGTTGACGGTGCCCTTGGCGTGTGACGAGGAGCTGGAATCGACGTCGGCGGGAATGGGACGCGTTGTGATGACGTGGGTGGCCTCCTTGGAGAAGAAGGTGTTTTCTCGCTGGGGAGAGTTAGCAAGTGTACACTGGTATTGGTAATGGTGGACGACATACAGAACCTAGAATCTGAGCCCTGCTCATGAGCTTGTCCTTCTGGGGCTCAGAGACGCTGTCAAAGTAGAAGACAAACTGCGGGAAGAGCTTGCGGTAATGACGCTGCCATTGTCGAATCGTGTCCAGGTCGTTCGAGGCACGCTGGGCCTTGTCTGCGTGCCTTGGGGGCACCTTGTTCTCGCGTGCTGCTTCGAGCTTCCGCGTCAGGGCAGTCGGCTGGGCCCCACTCCGGCGGATGAGTCCATGACGACGCGCCTCGGCATCGTCGACCTCGATGATCTGCTTCTTGGGTGGGGGCTGGCCGTACGACATGTCGCGCTGCTCGCTGGCGTGGGAGCGTTGACGCTTTCCTCCGATGGCAGGTGCGCGTAGAGGCGAGTTGGTGGCATTCTGCAGGCTGGCGAGGGGCACGCGTCGGTTGGACATGGTGACAGGCACCTGAGGCGAGGGAGGCAGGGCGACTGCTGCCATGCGTAGTGACGAGCAGCGGTGGCTGGGCCCGAGAGGTAGGGCACGCGAGCGTGAGTGGTGGAGGGGCACGTCCTAATTTGGCGGCTCACGACGCGATGTACGAGGCACGTCGAGGGTTTTTCAGCAGCGCGTAGCAGCCATCACAACACGCCAAGAGTATGAGTGAAGAGGCAGAAGAGAGACAAGAAGCAATTGAACGAGAGAGGAGCGCGTTGTAGAACAGGGCTGCCGGTATTGGGCCGTCGAGAGATGGAGTTTGTTGTGAGAGAACTGCTCGTTCGCGTTCGGTGGCTGGATCGGTTAGCTTAGCCCGTGCCAGTACCACAGCAACCAGCAGGTCACCCATGTGTCAACACCATCAATACACTCTTGTCACCATATTCGACAATTTCCCGAGAGGTTGTTCCATGTCTATTTCAACTACTTCGATTGTGCACGTCTGACTGCTTGGAATGCACGTTCTTTGATCGCATGCGGAGTGCACAAAGAAGTTGTCGTCATAGGGGACCAGTTTGATCGTTCCAGATTCACGCGAACAAAAATAAACATTCTCATTGGTCTGTGCAAACAACAGCCTTCGAAACGTCCGAGGACTTTAGAAGACCAGTAGAAGCTGGCATTACCACCTCGCCTATTGCAGAGCTGATGGCATGCAGACGCGGTTCCTGCATACCCGGCTGATCGTGTGGCTCTTTCCTTCCTATCCAGTCTCGTTCATGTTCCGATCTTGTGTCCCAAAGTACTATGTTTGTAACGCATGCACCCCACACTACGATCATCTCAGGCGAGTCGAGATTGGCTTAGGAAAAGTACAGGGTTGTGTCGAAGTTATATTGTTCGCTGACCTGCTTCTTGTGTGAGCTACTGTTTCTGTCTACTATGTTCTTCCTGCCTTATCGTCTCAGTCTTCCCCGAGCTCGTTGCCTCAAAGGTACGGGCTCGTCATGTAGCAAACAGCACCACTGAGATGTCTCTATCACTCGCTTTCACTATCCCAATCCACAATAACACAAACTCGCAACTTTTACTTTCACTATTGTTAGAACATGTATTAAAGGCCAGCCCCGCCTCCGCCAGCGACCTGGTTGGATCCACCTCTATCTTCGTGCATCCTCAATCGAATTACTGATCAGCGAATAATGGCTCGATGCAAGCTTCCTCGCCGAAACCCAAGTTGGAACTGCTGGCGCGCCGGCGATGAGCCTCTAGGCTCGCCTGTTCAGCATGTCCGTGAAGCCCACCGTGGTCGTCTTGCACAGCATGGCTCTCCCGAGCGTCGGCCTGCGCAAACACACCCACAATGCCAGCAACCGTTGGAGTCCAGTCATTCCGGTATAGACAACTTATCTCCCGGTCTGCGTCGCAAGCTTGCCGCTCACCTAACACCTGAGCCCGAGCTCAGACAAGACCAAGGGCCTGAGGTGGAACAAGAGCAAGAGCAAGAACTAGGCCACTACCACGACCAAGGCAACGTAGAAGAAATGGTCGAAGACCTCCCCCAACTCTGGTCCCCCGCCCTTGACACACTCATGCGCCAAACATCCCGCGCCTACGATCTCGTACTAGCCTACCCACGCGACGCTGAGGGTGGCTTGCGCTGGTATACTTCCGACATCCCACGTATCCGCAAGGTGGGTCGCCATCTTCATCACGACATGTGGGCGTTGAAGCATTGGCAGCGCAAAGTCAAAGAGCATGGAAACATGGATAAGAAGACGGTGCGGAAGATTGAGAAAGACGCGGAGAATATGTGGGATTTGTGTAAAAAGGTACAAAGGGTCATTGGGGAACTTGAGCAGAAGAACGAGTACGAGCTACTAAAGACAGGAGAGTTTGAGTTGGATGAGGAAGGCAGGATTGTGAAGGTTTCAAAGCGGGGTGTGGAAGAGCAATCGGAACAGGTCAGACGTAGACGTATCGAGGAGGCGAGTGATGATACCGTTCAGTTCGAGAGGGAGAGCGGCAGGGCTGCTTCATCTCCGCTCTTTCATCGCGATACCGAACCTTCTGGCATGTTTCCACATCCTCGTTCAGCCTCATACTCCCGTAGCCGCTCTTCCTCTATCAGGTCAAGAGACCGCGCTCAGTACGGCGGCCGTCTTCGTCGCAAGGGTGGTCGAAACAGTCGAGGAGAATACGATTCTTACCGACCCGATCGAAACACCTCGCCTAGGCATCGTCGAGAGGACTCGCACGTGTCTCGTAGAGGGGGATCTACAGGTGGGCCAGGCAAGATTGGCAAGCATGCCCTCCATTACTAGGCGGGCTGCATGATGCGATTCATCCTTTCAATGGCGACTACAATCAAATATCTGGACATAGAACTCGGCTCTCGTATATCTCCAGAGCTCCCCTTAGCGAGCAGCGCCTTCTGCATCGGAGCGTATCGCTTGGGTATATCTCGGGCTCCGTTGGAATGTGATTGACAGAGATTCGCGACTAAGAGCCAGACCAGGGCTAGACTCATAGCAAGAATGCAGCAAGAATGCAGCATACATTCAAAATCTGGACCACAGAAGTGCAGAGACGTGTCGTCGTCGTGGCATCGTTGTGCGGCTGACAGGCGCTCGGCCACTCGTGGACCCTGGCCCCCACATTAAACCAACGGCTTTCACATGCTTGCTTTCACATGCATCAAAACTCGTTCTTCATTCATGATACTCAGCTCACCGCCGGGCATAAAAATGAGGCGGGAATTTCCGGCCTGTGATTGTAGTCAAATCTACTTCTGCTCCTTCTCAACATGTAATTTCTCATAATTCCTCGTCACGGATCCTTTTCGTAGGACTCTCTCCACTATCTGTGTATGCGAAATCCTGCAAACCCCGGTCCAAGACATAGATAAGCAGACGACATGATACGTGCCAATCTTTCTGAAGCAGACTTCGACCCGGCGTCCCTCTTTGAACCAGACATGAGCGTACGGCCCAGCATGATATTCGCAGTCTTACCTGCCGTGGTACAGAATCGCATACCTACCATTCCCTCGATCCGACGGTCGATCAGCGGGATACGCGAGCGAGGATTTTATAGCAAGACCGACTCGTTGGTGGAGTTATCGGTACTGGAGACCCCGCCACCAGAATACACATCGACAGTTGAGAGCGGCAGCGCGACACCGAGTAGGCACTCGATTGTATCTGAGGAGACGGAGTATGCGTACTCAGACGACGTACCCGAATCGTCGAGCGGTCCTATGGGTATGGTAACACCGATGTCGTCGAACTACGAGCAGAAGACCGGGATCCGTTGGAAGCATGCGAGTTCAGGTATGCCGACATTCCTTCACGACGACGCAGAAACTAAGCCTGGCAGGAATAACTCTCATGAGCCAAGCATATCGCGAATCCATCACACCTGCAATCGCCGCCGATGAGACATGCGCCAGTCTAACAAGATCGTTATATCTTCATGGCCTGACATACCTCATGCGTGGCCTCCCAGCCCACCTCACGCCAGAGGAGTCGTCGAGCCTCCAAGCCGCGATCCCTCCAAGCATCATTAATTCGTACGCCACCCCATGCACCCACGCCCTCATCTCGATGCCCTCGCATACACAATCGTCGCAAGAAGCATCCCCACAGGACGCCACAATGCTGCACCGCGTAACAGCAATCCTCGTCTTCCAAACCCTGATGTTCATACAGTTTCTGCTACCATACATCAAGCTGTTTTTTGGGCATGCATACCGTCTCGAGCGCGAACATAAGATCATGCAGCGGATCATGAGTACAAGCGTAAATACTGCAGATGAATTGACGCGGAGAGGGTTGAGGCTTAGCCAGACGATATGCCGGATGAACGATGGGAAGGTGGGGCAGACGGTTAACGAGGTGGTGATCTGGTGGGTGAGGGGGGTGACGGGTGGGCTGCAGCAGGGGATCGAGGAGGGGTGGGGAGTTGTTGGCGAGGGGAGGCAGGGGGATGCTCAGAGGAGGGAGGAAGTCAGGAGGTGAGGTGGTGGTCTGTATTTGGTATAGCGATTTGGGCGTTGATTTAGATTTGGTAATTAGCATGATGAGACGAGATGCGACGAGAAGAATTGCATAGACGTAGAACAGAAACACTCGCAACTTGGAGAAGATGTCTCGGTTGCATTGCCCGTCAGTGTTCTGCGATAAGACGTCTTATCGGCACACTCTTAGCGCGACGCGTGAGTGGCCCGGCTTGGAAACTTTTTGAAAAGTCATCTTGCGGCACCATCAGCCTCCCACTGTCGTTCAAACCCTCGCCAATCGCCATCTTGTAGAGGCACTCCCTCCCAAAGCTGTACGAGTTCAATTCTTCGTCCTCTAGTACATTCCCAATCGATCCTTTGAGAGTCATTGCCACACCCCCGCACCCATCATGTTCGGCGCATTGCGAAGATGTCCGGCAACCCTCTCGAGGAGTCTGGCCGCGACTGCAGTCTCAGCTAGGGCTCTGCAGAGGCCTCTCCTCTCGTCCTCTGGCGCTCTGAGGACGCCGACTTACCGCCTGACGGAGGCATCATTGGCGGGCTTCCACCACAGCACAAAGTGGCAACAAATCGCTGCACACGCCCAGGCAGAGGCAGAAGATGCCCCCAGCCTGGATGAGCCCGTCACGAGGTTCAAGGATCTCGCAACCCTCGGCCTTGTGCACCCCAATGTCATCAACACCATCACCAAGCAGATGAGGCTCGAGACGATGACGGACGTGCAGACGCGGACCATCAACGAGGCCCTGAGCGGCGTCGACATGTAAGTCACTGCAGCATTGGCATAGATAAAAAGCACTGGCTAATGAACCCCAGCATCGCACAAGCGAAGACTGGTACCGGCAAAACACTCGGCTTCCTCATCCCCGTCATCCAACGCATCATCACAAACGACCCTCAGCTCGGTGAAAAGGCTCGCGGCTACAAGCGCGCCAAGTCCGACGACATCAGGGCCATCGTCATCTCGCCGACACGTGAGTTGGCAGAGCAGATCGCCGTCGAGGCCAGGAAGGTGACTGCGGGCACTAGCCTTGTCGTGCAGACGGCAGTCGGTGGCACACAGAAGAGACAGATGCTGCAGAAGACGCAGCGTGAGGGGTGCCACATCATGATTGGCACGCCTGGCCGCTTGTTGGACATCCTCTCAGACCCTTACTCGGGCGTCAAGGCTCCCAATCTCAACGCTTTTGTCATGGACGAGGCGGATCGTCTGCTCGACGACGGTTTCACAAAGGAGATTGACGAGATCAGAAAACACTTGCCCGACCCGGAGGTTGTTGAACGCCAGAACCTCATGTTCTCCGCCACCGTCCCGCGCGATGTTGTAGACCTGGTACGCAAGACTATGCGTCCAGGCTTCCACTTCGCCAAGTGCGTGCAGGAAGACGAGGAGCCGACCCACCAGCGTATCCCGCAAAAGTACGTTAACGTGGCCGGTTTCGAGAACATCATGCCCACGCTCTACGAACTCATCTTGACGCACCACCAAGCCACCCGGAACGGCAACGGACGCCCATTCAAGGCCATTCTCTACTTCAACTCAACCGCCGAAGTCACTCTTGCATCGTCCGTCTTCTACAAACTGAGCGGCGGCTTCAAGCGCGACACGCCTCTGGCTGGTCTACGCGGCTACGAAATCCACGCCAAACTGTCCCAGATGCAAAGGAGTCGGGCTGCCGACGACTTCCGTGCTGCCAAGAGCGGAACCCTCTTCTCATCTGATGTAACTGCCCGAGGCATGGATTTCCCTAACGTCACCCACGTCATCCAGATTGGTCTCCCTCGCGATCGCGACTCTTACATCCATCGTCTTGGTCGTACTGGACGTGCTGGCAAGGAAGGCGAGGGCTGGCTGATCTTGACGCCCTTTGAGCGCAACGAGGTCCGCCGCCGTCTCCGCGACTTGCCCCTCATTGACGCCACTCATGAACTCGAGACTCCAACCATCGACATGAGCCAGGCCACCGAGGTTCCTGAGAACGTCGCCAACATCCTCTCTGAGGTCATCGAGGCGCACAAGAAGGTTTACCCCGATCAGCTTGACGCCGCGTTCCGTGGTCTGTTTGGCTCATTTCAATGGTATGGTGACAAGCAGGGTCTGCTCGAGGGTGCGAACCGTCTGGCGGAGTTTGGCTGGGGAATGCCATCGCCACCCAACCCTCCGTCTAGCTTGTTCTCTGGTGGCAGGGGCCGCGGTGGTGGTGGTGGACGAGGAGGATTTGGTGGCGGACGAGGTGGGTTCGGTGGTGGCCGAGGAGGTGACAGGGGCGGTGACAGGGGAGGATTCGGTAGTAGAGGAGGCGCTGATGCGTTCGGTGACCGCCAATCCCGAGGAGGCGGTGGATTTGGCGGTGACAGGCGAGGCGGCGGTGGCGGCGGCTTTGCTGACCGCAACGGTGGAGAAAGGAGAAGCGGCGGCTTCGGCGACAGGGAAGGTGGTGACAGGAGAAGCGGCGGCTTCGGCGGCGGTGACAGGAGAGGCGGTGGCTTCAGTGGAGGCGACAGGGGAGGCGACAGGAGAGGTGGTGGAAGCTTCGGCGGAGGTGACAGGAGAGGCGGAGGTGGCTTCGGCGGCGGCGAGCGAAGAGGTGGTGGTGGCGGATCGCGCCCGAGCTACTAAGTGTGCGCACTCGCCTCGCCTTTTTGGATTGAAGCCTCGCGCTGCTTGGAACCGACTGTTGACGACGACTGTCGACGACGACGACGACGCATCCGGTATGATCTTTCCTGTCTGACACTGTTTGTATTATATGTATACCCCACGTCTGGTCTGTTTTGATAGATGGAAGCGGGTATCGGGGTTTGCATTGGGCGGCGTTTATGGTTGCGGGGACAGGACTACAAAATTTTTCTCATCACAAATCTCCAATCTTCGACTTTGGGGGAGGGGTAGTGGCTGGGGGTGTGGGTGTGGGCAAGAGGATGATACGACGTATGATGGTTATGTAGATGGCAAATGAGTGTATTGTACGATGCGAATGTGAGCTTTTGTTCAATGTTGTTAAGTGATGGCGCGTTGCGTGTTCGGGTCTTGCTGTGTGGTGCTGGGTTGGTGGGCTTTGTGGAGGAGATGGTGTTCATTCAATCATATTTCAACGTACACTGAACGGTATACCGAGATGTCTATCCTGTTCTGCTCTGCTCTGCGTGGTTCAAACTATTTCATAATCTGTAGCGCGCAGGACGTCGTTGGCCTCAATGTGTTAGCTGGGCTGATGTGGTTCATACGACAACAGAAGGGATGTGGATGGAGTGGATTCATATTCGTCTATATGCGTGTATGTAGTCATATCGACGTTTGACATCTGCTTTGAATGTATGGTTGTGAGACCTCTTTATTCAGGGTGGGTTGTTGCATTCAACGGGAGGATATATGAAGGTGAGAGTTGACGTGCTTTGCTGTTAGTGAGCAGATGGCTGGATATTGGGGGGAGGAGAGAAGTATGATCGGGAGGAATTGTTGTAGATGGAGTGGTACAGTAGTGCATGTTGTCCTGATACTATATGGGGATTGAGTTTTAGACGTAGAGGTTGAAACTGGAGTGCTAGATTATGGTCTGAAGGGGAGAGTGAAGAAGCAGATAGAGAAGACTGAACTTCTGTGCAGGTTTTCTAGGCAGTGTCACTGAAGTATGGGGGGTTTGCTTTGCATGGCCAGATATTCTGGACATCGATAGGATCAATGATTAGAGTCCAAGGATGTAGTCGCAAATCTGTGTTGTTCATGTTGAAACGATGAGGAAGTCGTATTCGGTCGCAACGTATGTCATCGCGAGACCGAGCAGGGCACTCTTATCATGATGGTCTGTGACCTACTCATGGTCGTCGGCAGGGAAACCGGCGACTTGTAACGTTGTTTGGTGTAACTTCTGGGATCGTGATGAGCGGACAGTCGACCCCTGGAGTATGTCACTCGCCATATTGGCACTTATCCCGGCGCATGAGGGGTTCGCTCTCGGTGGTGAACATCCGAGACGTGGAGTAGGAGCATGGCAGCGAGCGTACGGCTCGTCGCTCGGTTCGTCGCGTTACTTCGTGTCTTACTCCGATGCACCTTGATCAAACCCCGACGCCCAAGTCTGTGATATCGGCCATGAATGCTTGTTCCCGGACGGATGCAGCGTGCGAGTCTTCGGGAAGCATGCGGATTCGTTGACAAGTCTGGCTGAACGTCTTCTGACACACCTTGGGCAGCTTCGACAATCCGACGATCCGATAAGGACAGAGACATGCGACGATGCGATGTGAGCTGTCTAGCGTATGTGGGGAAGAGCTTATAATGGTTGTGAGCATTATCTTGACTGTAGAACTATACGAAAGGGGTGTTCGTTAGCGTATGTGGGGTAGGGTGTATATCCAAGACTTGCTCGGAAAATTTGTCCAGTCGAGGAAAATACATCCAGAGATAACGGTAGCATCACGGCGTGACAATGTGATAGTGATGTTGCTCAGTGGCGCAGATGCGAGATGAGCAAGCTTTATCGAATGGGCTCCCATGTTGGTAAGATAAACGGATGGTTGGGTTCAAGTGCTGCCTCTGATGTCTTTACAGACTACGCCAGATCAAGACCCATGTATCACACAAGCCTCGCTTGACATTATCTTTAGCGATCATCCTCAGCAAATATGCACAAGGCTAGGAGTGATGAATTGAAACAAGGTGTAGTGTTGAGCAATTCTGTAGAGTGGCTGGAGAGGCAGGGCATTTGCAAGAAAAGCACTTCCGAGAAGCATGGTACCCACCTGAAAACCATTCAGCGAAGACAAATATATATCAATGCATTTCTTGCAGTGACACTAATAGCAGTGAACAAAGAAACAAGTAACGTTGGCTGGAAAGAACTGGAAATATAATGACCGCTTGGTTGTTGAAAATATGTTACCGTGTGTGTAGTGCTCATGTTTGACAAATGTGAATGCATGTTGTAGTCCTCGATGTAGTTCTGCAGAGGAATGTAAAGAGTTCTGCCAAGGGTGTGATCGCTGAGACATCCTACGAAATTCTCACCCTGTAACGTCGCATGGGAGAAGCACGCCACCCAATGCCAAGCCCGCGTGCGACTCGAAAAGGAAGAATTGTGATGTCAATCAAAGATTCGGGGTGACCGACCGGGAGACGAATATTCCTAGACACTACATCCTTCGAGTGGCCGTACACAATTGACGTTCAAGACGTGCAGCGCGCTACCGGGCACCTGCAGCAATGCAACACACGCTTCTTATTTGCTAGGGGTACATGGAAGCTTCTCTTATCGGAACAATTATATGCAGAGTGCGGATACTGTACCGCAACGCTTGATCAACTCAACTTTAGGTAGCAACAGTCGGAGTGAAGCTATAAGCAGCAATTGGACAACAGAGATGGCGCGCTATGGCTAAGTGAGTGACGTTGACCACTTACTTGATATCTCGCTTCGCTTCTCATCCCTGCTAGCTAAAGTCGAAAGTTTTACGACATGTCCAGCTATGGTATTTAACATCCTGATCTACTTTGGGTCCTCAACGCTTAGGTACATCGGCGAGGTTATCGAAACGCCACGGCACGCTTTGGCTGTTCATCATGTCGATCGATGCGTGACGTTCTGGCCATTGTTGCGAAACTAGGACGAGACTGAGTACTGCGGATCAATGAACTGTGACGTTTCTTGTTAGTGCCAAGATTAGTCTGGTTTAACCTCACACCGTGTCCCGACTTGTCGACCAACATCCTCACAGATGATCCTGATACCGCCACATGGTACTAGCTCTTCCCGGAACCCTGGGTCAATTTCCGTCTTTCTTCCTAACATTAGGCCCCTTCTAAGCGAGTACCTGTGAATGCTGTCTCGACACGTGGGCTAGACAGGAGTCTCGCGGTCCATTGCGGATTGTCAACCCGTCGGGTATGGCCGGTCTTTTACAGCAATTGGCGAGCTGCAACTCAGCCGGCAAAGCTTTTGTCCAAGAGTTTGAGATGGCTGCGCCGATTCGAACTGTGCTCGAGCGTTGGTCAATGCGTTGTTATCGTAGCGGCGATGGAAAGCGATCGTAGGCGGTGGACACTTGAGCGTACGTCGCTTTTAGCATGTGCCGCTAACGTGTCGAGGTCAGTCTACATGAGAAGTAAGTGGGTATGAACAATAGTGAGAGCGAAGAAGAGATGCGCTTGACATTGGCTCTAAACGGTTGCGTGATCGCACGTGATCGGCGATGACCCTCCTGTTCTTTCCCCACATGCGCCAGCTGGGGATTGGCGTGGGGAGCTTTATCTATAAAGAAAGCGGTTCCCTCTCTCGCTTTCACTTCGTTTCCACAAGCGACCCGTGTTCTCCATCACTCGCGTGCTCACCTAACCTTTACCTAACCTCTAGTACACAATCATTCAACCACGATATTGGTTCACCTGGTGCACCCCGACCAGATCAAACACAACAGATACCCTAGTAGCTGTCGGGCTCAACATCGATTGAACCTGACAGTGACATGGCTCCCAGTATCCTGCTGCAGCCCGAGACGCCTCCATCATACGCTCACCCGACCAAACAGGCGAGAGCAGAAGGTGGTGTCTCACAAGCCCAAAATTTCCAAGGCTCTGTTGGCAGGAACTCCTCTTTCCATTCCCCATCTTCCAATGGCAACGGACATGTCAATAGCGGCAACGGTTCATCGAACGGCATTGGATTCTCAGTTCGTCAAGATGAAGGGAGGGATTTCGTTGCGTCTCAGATCCTCGATCAATCGTCGCCGGGCTTTGCATCCAGAAACTCAGCTTCAAATGGAACTTCGAAGAAACCCAACATCCTATATATTATGGCTGATCAGATGGCCGCACCACTCTTAAAGATGAATGACCCAGAATCAGTCATCAAAACGCCCAACCTTGACAAGCTTGCAGATACTGGCGTTGTCTTCTCCAGCGCCTATTGCAACTCCCCTCTGTGCGCTCCATCCAGATTTACTATGTGCACAGGACAGCTTCCCTCGAAAATCGGCGGTTATGATAACGCCTCCATCCTTGGTCCTGAAGTCCCCACATACGCGCACTATCTTCGACGTGAAGGTTACGAGACAGCTCTTGCAGGCAAGATGCACTTCATCGGCCCGGACCAACTTCACGGATTCGAACACAGGTAAGTTAGCCCCACATGTTCCAACGGTTGTCGCTAATTCCATCACCATAGGCTCACATCCGACATCTATCCTGGAGACCTTGGCTGGGCCGTCAACTGGGACAAGCCAGATGAGCGCCAGGAGTGGTTCCACAACATGTCTTCTGTGATGCAGGCAGGCCCTTGTGTGCGATCGAACCAGCTGGACTACGATGAAGACGTTATGCACAAGGTGAGAAAACTTGATCATGTGCGTAACAACAACTCTTTTCACGCATGCTGATGAGGTGTCTCAGGCTTCGCAGTATCTCTATGACCATGTTCGATCAGACCCAGACAGTCGTAAACCTTTTGCCTTGACTATATCCCTGACTCATCCTCATGACCCTTACACCATGATCCGGGAGTAAGTACCATGCCATACAATGTCATGTGTTAACAAACTACTTACACCATACTAGGTACTGGGACCGCTATGAAGGAGTAGACATTCCCTTGCCTAAAGTTGAGATCAATCAAGAAGATCAGGACTCTCATTCTCAACGCCTTCTGAAGTGCATCGACCTTTGGGACAATCCTGTTCCCGACGAGGCTAAAATTCGTGCGCGTCGCGCCTACTTTGCTGCGTGCAGTTTCGTTGACGACCAAGTCGGAAAGCTGATGAACATCCTCAAGAACTGCTACCTGGACAAGGACACCGTGGTCGTTTTCTCTGGAGATCATGGCGATATGCTTGGTGAGCGTAGCATGTGGTACAAGATGTCATGGTTCGAGAACAGCGCTCGAGTACCCATGATCATCAACTGCCCTTCGAAGTTCCAATCCAAGCGTGTTACCGAGTCTGTATCTACCATGGACCTTCTTCCAACGTTTGTAGATCTTGCAGGAGGAAATGCTTCGGCTATTCTTCCCATTGATGGAGTCAGTCTACACGATTACCTCGTCTCGGATGAGCCTGGCAAGGATGAGGTATTTGGCGAGTACATGGGCGAAGGCACTGTCACTCCTACCTATATGATTCGCCGAGCTCAGTGGAAGTATACGTATTCTCTGGTCGACCCGCCGCAGCTCTTCGACCTGGTTAGCGATCCGCAAGAGCTTAACGACCTGGCAACATCCGCAAAGCCTTATCATCAGCAAGTACTAGCCGACTTCCAGATTGAGGCTCGCGAGAAGTGGGACTTCCAGCAGATCCACAAAGATGCTTTGAAGAGTCAGCGCATGCGGCAGATTGCTTGGAGTGCTCTGCAGATTGGTAAGTCTTGTAAATGTCTAACCAGTGAGCTTGACTAACAGAATACAGGTCGTCAGGAATCCTGGGATTACCAGCCACCTTACAATGACAGGGATCGTTTCATCCGCTCGCACATCCCTCTCGACGATCTGGAACGCCGCTCTCGCTTCCCAGTGGTTGACTACCTTGGCCGCGAGCAGACACCTATGGCCACTCACCATGGCCTTGCTGGAGCCAACAACGAATGAGTCGTTTAACTACTGCTCTCTGAGGCCACTGGCACAATGTCACCAACCAACAGGGTTTCTTTCTTTCGAGTCCATTCAACATCCGCATTCAAGATACCATTTGCACGGCGCTCACGTTAGCGATAATTTTCAACGGGTCAAAACATCACGGTTTCTCTCAATAGTAATGTTCTCTCGGTTTTGGTAGTCATTTGCGATAGCAGTTTGGTTGATGCAACAGCCTTTTCGTTTCGAGATTAGCGAGGAGTTAGGATGAATGCCCATTCCCTGTGTAGACTACATACCATGCATCATAGAATGATTCAACGATACTTTCACAAACTCAGCTTTCCGTTTCATAGCGAAGACGGAGGGTGCCGGGGTAACATCTATTAGGGACCAGATGTAGAGGTTTATGATACTGTGGATCACCATGGACTATACACCTTGTCGTAATGTTATCTTGCTAACAATTCACACACCAAAGCAACGCACATGACACATCTAATCAGTCTTTGAGCGTGGTGACAATACGTGGCGAACGGCCTCCTGCTTCAGGCAGATGACATAGCATGGTGACGATCAACTATGCCCAACTTCAGCAGCTTGCTGCAATAGATTACGTGTAGAACATTTGATCAAGAGCGGAGGCTTAGTAGACTTTCAGCCGAGTGGCCGGCATATCAAGCCTGCGTAACTAAGTAGCTGTGCATGACTCGCAACGTGTTTCACTGGGATGCGTGGTCGCCTCCAACCAAGTGCGGGCGGTATCTCAGCGTCCCTCTCCACGCAACACGACATCACCGATTGTCTCCACCATCACCTTGATCTTTCGAACGTCGACGTTCCTCCTTCACAACACCTACCCTAACTCTACCTCCATCTAACAAGCAATCATGTCTACCGCAGCCCGCCGCCGCTTGATGCGCGACTTCAAGGTACGCCACTCCGCCCTTGCCGGCAGCATCACGAGAGTATCTCGATGTAGAATGAATGCTAATGACAACACAGCGCATGCAAACCGACCCTCCCGCTGGTGTCTCTGCTTCTCCGATCGCCGACAATGTCATGACCTGGTACGGCCCGCCGCATCTTCCCCGCACACGACACCTCCCGCCGCCTTTCTCCTTCGGATCAATATAAATCTCCATTGCCACATAGGCACAGGCATCGATGTATGCTGACATGCTCGTTGCAGGAATGCCGTCATCATCGGCCCTGCTGACACTCCCTTCGAGGACGGGACCTTTCGCCTCGTCATGCACTTCGATGAAGCCTATCCGAATAAGCCACCGGGTGTCAAGTTCATCAGCGTGATGTTTCACCCCAATGTATACGGCACGGGGGAGTTGTGCCTGGACATCCTGCAGAACCGGTGGTCGCCTACGTACGACGTTGCGGCGATCTTGACGAGCATCCAGAGGTACGTCCGGATAGGAATGGAGGATGGGAGAATGATGACATGAGAGAGAATGATGCTGATGGCATGCAGTCTACTGAACGATCCCAATACGTCCAGCCCGGCCAACGTCGAAGCATCGAACGCATACAAGGAGAACCGCAAGGAGTACACAAAGCGTGTGCGCGAGACGGTTGAGAAGAGCTGGGATGACTGAGACTACTGGCCATGCATGTGTGGAGGGGTCGACGATGCGACAAGGCATAGCAAGGGAGTTGTCGAGTCACAAATTGCGGTTATACACATGGTCTTAGCGGTTTCGTGGCGTTTACTTCTGTTCTCTTTTTCATAGCGAGGCGTTAGGTGTAGTCAGATGTAGCGCACGACAGTCCTTCATATAGTAGTTAGTTGTTCTGTGGTTGTTGTTGTCCATCTTGAACGACTGTCAAGTGATGATAACGATATGGGCTCAACACTAAGCCTTGCAAATGTGCGTCTCTATCAGTGACTGAAATAGCCCGTCCAAACCACCAACATGCAATGAGCAGGACCACGATGGAAGACTTCTAAAGTGAGTGTTGATTGACGCCAAGCTAATCAGGGATCGCGTCTGCGGGGGGAGTGAGTCGCGAAGAAGCAACAACCCGCGGACCCTGCACCTAACTCTGACCCTTGCAGAGCGGCGACTCCGAGTCTCCTCGCTATCCTCGCCCACCTGCCCGCCGCTTTCCCTTGTTTCCAAGGCCAAGGGAAACGACTCTTGTCTGTGTGAGGACTTTTGCATTGCTGTTTAGGTGGAGCAGTTCGATTAAGTGGGGTCGTCCCTTAATTACTTGGACGCACCCAGGGAGCACGACATTACGACCAGACCCTCGCAGCGGAGCGCTGAGAGGAACGACTCGAGTTGAGGCCTTATAGGCCAAACTGCTGAGACGTGCAGCAACCATGTCGTAAGTGAATTAGACTGGCTGAGACCTCCATGAGAGACAGACAGCTAATATTGGCGTTACAGGGGCTCCAACACAATCAAAGGTGCGATGCGATATAGCGAGGGGCAGACTGAGGATGGCTACTGACTGTGCGACAATGCAGTGGTGGCGCGGTTCCGTCCGCAGAACAAGATCGAGATAGCCAGCGGTGGAGAGCCCATCGTCGACTTCAATTCGGATGACACATGTACGATCCAGGTATGCGCAGCGCCTTGGCTATATCGGATCTTCCGGGATGTGTTCAGGTCACTGACAGCGTTATACATAGTCGAAAGAGAATGCCGGGGCTTTCACCTTCGATCGCGTCTTTGACATGAGCTCGCGGCAGGCCGATGTCTTCGATTACTCTATCCGCCCGACCGTCGACGATATCCTGAACGGATACAATGGCACGGTATTTGCCTATGGCCAGACTGGAGCGGGAAAGTCGTACACCATGATGGGAACCGACATCGACGACGATGTAGGCAAGGGTGTGATTCCGCGTATCGTCGAGCAGATATTCGCCAGTATCCTGGCGTCACCAAGCAACATCGAATACACCGTTCGCGTCAGCTACATGGAGATCTACATGGAGCGCATTCGCGATCTTCTGATGCCGCAGAACGATAATCTACCGGTACACGAAGAGAAGAACAGAGGTGTATACGTTAAGGGTCTGCTGGAAGTCTATGTCTCGAGCGTCGAAGAGGTATACGAGGTCATGCGAAGAGGTGGAAATGCGCGAGCGGTCTCGGCGACAAACATGAACGCGGAATCCTCGCGGTCACACTCTATCTTCGTGATTACTGTCACGCAGAAGAACGTCGAATCAGGGTCAATGAAGAGCGGACAACTGTTCTTGGTCGATCTGGCTGGTTCCGAGAAGGTCGGCAAGACAGGCGCCAGCGGACAGACGCTAGAGGAAGCAAAGAAGATTAACAAGAGTTTGAGTGCTCTGGGCATGGTCATCAACTCTTTGACAGACACCAAAACTTCGCATATTCCTTATCGAGATTCGAAACTCACTCGTATCCTGCAAGAGTCACTCGGTGGTAACTCGCGAACGACGCTTATCATCAATTGTTCGCCAAGTAGTTACAACGATGCCGAAACTCTAGGCACTCTACGGTTTGGTATGCGCGCGAAGGCAATCAAGAACAAAGCCAAAATCAACGCGGAACTGAGCCCTGCTGAGCTCAAGCAGATGCTCAAGAAGGCACAAGGAAAAATCACGTCTTTCGAGACCTATGTTGGCGCGCTAGAGGGTGAGGTTTCACTCTGGCGTGGGGGTGAAGCTGTTCCAAAAGAGAAATGGATACCATCGTTGGAACCCAGCACCACTTCTGCAAAACGACCGCCGTCCGCACCGCGTACCTCCACACCGTCACGATTGGATGCTACGAAGAGCTCTGAAACACCGTCCCGACCAGACTCGAGAATGGACTTGGACCGCGCGGGTACACCCAGTATACCTTTAGATAAGGACGAAAAGGATGAGTTCTTGAGAAGAGAGAATGAGCTGTCAGATCAGGTCACAGAGAAGGAACAACAACTCGCCAAGATTCAAGATCAGCTCCAAACGACCAAAGATGAACTGCAATACTACAAAGAGCGGGACACCAAGACAAACAAGGAAAGTGAGAACGTTGCGAAAGAGCTCAACGAGGTGCACATGCAGGTTGAGAAGTTCCGGTTTGAGAGCAAGGAGATGCAAATCAGTATGGATGCGCTCAAGGAGGCAAACGCTGAACTCACGACTGAACTCGATGAATACAAACAACAACTCCTGGAAGCAAAGATGAACGCAAAGGAGACTGGCGCTGCCATGGACGAGAAGAAGCGGAAGAAGGCCGAGGCTATGGCGCAGATGATGGCTGGCTTCAACCTTGGCGGTGATGTGTTCAGCGATAATGAGCGTAGCATTCGGAAGGTCATCGAGCAACTCGACCAGCTTCATGAGCTGAGCTCAGCCGGCGAGGTTATTGCTCCAGATGCGCTGCAGGACCTCCGGGAGAAAGTCGTGGAGACACAGGGCATCGTACGACAAGCTGAGCTTTCTGTTACTGCGCGCGGCGAAGAAGACACTGTGCACAACAAGCGACGTGAAGCTTTGGAGGAACGTGTCGCCAAGCTGCAGAGCTCGTACGAGGAGCTGCTCGAACGCAATCTTTCCGAGGAAGACAGGGAGGAGATCAAATCGCAACTCGCAGAAGCGTACTCTGCCCGACAAGAAGGCAATGTCGAGCTTGCCGAGGAACTTAAGGGCGATCTGTCACGGCGTGTAGAAGAGAACCAGAAGCTCAAGACTGAAGTCGAGAGCTTACAGCAGCGCATCAAGAGCGGCGCGATTGCTAACGGTGCTGCAAACGGTATCAACGGCAAGACGGTCCAGCAGCAGATTGCCGAATTCGACAACATGAAGAAGAGTCTGATGCGCGATCTACAGAACAGGTGTGAGCGTGTAAGTATTATCAGCGCCCTCATATTCTCATTTCTATACAACACTACGGCGCTGATCCATGCTCCCCACACCTAGGTCGTCGAACTGGAGATCTCGCTTGACGAAACCCGCGAACAGTACAACAATGTACTCCGCACTTCCAACAACCGCGCTCAGCAAAAGAAGATGATGTTCCTTGAACGTAACCTCGAGCAACTCACCGTGGTGCAGAGACAGCTTGTCGAACAAAACTCCAGCCTCAAGAAGGAGGTTGCCATTGCTGAGCGCAAGCTGATTGCCAGAAACGAGCGTATCCAATCCCTGGAGAGCTTGCTACAAGATAGTCAGGAGAAGCTCACAGCGGCGAATCATCGGTCCGTCTCCCTCGCTTTGCCTTTACTGTGGACCTCGTGCTGACAATCTACAGGTTCGAAGCCCAACTCACCGCCGTCAAAGAGCGTCTCGAAGCTGCCAAGGCAGGGTCCACTCGCGGTCTTGGATCCCCAAACTCGGGAGCGTCCTTCGCGTTTGGTGGGGGCGTGGGTTCGCGCATCGCTAAACCTCTTCGCGGCGGAGGTGGACCCGCGCAAGAAGGGCCTGTGCTACCCATTATTGGGAATTTGCAGAAGCAGGAAGATGGTGAGCCCAAGGGCAAGCGCACAAGCTGGTTTTTCAACAAGCAGTAGATCATGGCAGGCTATGATGGGCTTTTGGATACGACTTTTCCCAAGGGGCGCTGGGAATGGGCTTGCGATGCTCCACGAGGTGTTCACGGCGCATGCCACTTTTGCTTTGTAGAAGGCCGGGATTAGTTTCGCTGTACTTAGACATGTCACGCATGCCTACGACAAGAGACGATGGATGATGGGTTTGGTGATGGAACGCATGCACGCGGGGGGAGTTTGGATGCGCTTCGTATCTCTTCTTTGCAGTCCGCATTTGGCAGGGGTTATATCCATAGATGTATTGAACTGAGCGTGAAGATGCGCGCCATGCCTTGAATGGATGAAAAGGTTGAAGGGGCTGATCTCGTGATAGCGTGTTGTTGTGAGACGCGCCGGCCGCGTAGAAGTGGGGGTTGAAGACGCCATGGCAACCTCCTGCCAAGATTGACGCCTGATTTTGGGAAAACAAACAGAACGATCTCCCCCTCGAGACGAGCCTGTGATGTGAACTAATTCCAGCGGCAACTCCACGATCCAAGCGTAGAGGCTACGTCAAGGCACCCGGCCTAGTCGATGAGCAACAATCCCCGCAAGCACCGTGCGCCTTTTCGGCCTCTAGACACATTCGCATCTGCTCAGAAGCCCACTTTCCAGGCTGAGAGTGCAACGCGCAACAACCAGCTGCCCTGCCTGTACAGCGACGGCGAAGACAACTCGTCGCTGGCCGCCAAGGATAGCTATCTCGGCGACTCGAGTTCGCTCTTCGACGACACCCAGTTCGCGAACTCGTATACCCCTCCACCGCCCGCCGCCCACTCTCGAACCACAACCAAACGCCACGCGCCCACAGCACACAATATGGTGCGCGAGCGAGAGCCACCGCGAAATGTGCCCGCGCCGGCGCCGGCACCTGCGCCTGCGCCGAAACCCCTGCAGGAGTTTAGAAAACCAGGGCCACAGTTCGGGCAGGCCAGCCCTCTGAGAAACCCACTGAAGTTGGACAGGCCGATGGACGATGCATACGCTCACCTGTTCAACAAGCCAAAGCCAGGCCAGCCAAGGCCAGAACACCACCAGGCGCCTTCGCGCATACCCTCGCAGCCCCCCATACCATTCAAGCCCGCTGCCAGTCAGAGGCCCTCCAGCCAATCATCCCAGAGCACCTCAGATCCCTTTGTCAACCATCCTTTCAAAGCCCCTGCTCAAGCAAAGTCGCGCTATAGCACGGCCTCGTCCACCGGCTCTGACATTATGGAAATTCCCGCTGCCAACTTCCAGCCGCGAAAGTCATCCCAGAATGTGCCCATGCCATACAACCCGCCTACACAGACATCCTACCCACCTCCCAGGCCGATGTACTCCTCTGTCGGCCATGCGAACGATTTCCAGCCGGTGAATAGGGGCACCCACAACCCCTTACAGCAGGGCAGGCAGACGGTGATTCTGAACGACGAGGACGACTTTGATCCGGATGCAGAGATTCACGCACAGAGTGGCCGGTTCGGAACGCCTGACTTGCATGCTTACGTGGATGCTGGCCAGGCCAGTGAAAACATCAAAGCTCTTCTTGAGGGCGCCCTGGAAGAGGATGACGAGAAGATCCCTCGCACGCGTGGCCGAAAAAAGAAGAAGCAGCAAGAGCAGGATGCTAGTGCGTCTTTGGCTGATCGACTCAAGGCTCTTGATGTTAAGGACTCAGAGACCGCAGTCGAGGCCGAAGATGATGAAGATGACGACGGAGAAGACGACGGCACAGTCGACGGCCTGAAAGTCAAGCTTCTGCCTCATCAGGTCGACGGTGTTGCTTGGATGATCGAGAAAGAGACGGGGGCTCATAACAAGCGAGGCAAGCTTCCCAAAGGCGGTATTCTCGCCGATGACATGGGTCTGGGCAAGACAGTACAGTCTATCGCTCTCATACTTTCCAACCCGCGACCCGAGAAGGGGGCTGAGCCAGAAAACAAGAAGAACAAAATCTTGGACTCCACTGGAAAAGGGACTCTTGTCGTCGCGCCTCTAGCCCTGATCAAGCAATGGGAGGCTGAAATCAACAGCAAGGTCTCCAAAACGCATGCTCTAAAGGTCCTTGTTCATCACGGCCCCAATCGTACCAAGTCGGCGGACAAACTGAAGGCTTACGACGTTGTCATCACCACATACCAAGTTCTTGCGTCGGAACATGCGAGCTGTGGAGATGGCCCCGATGGTCTCAAGAAGGGCTGCTTCGCTGTGGGATGGTATCGCACAATGCTCGACGAAGCACATACTATCAAGAACCGCAACGCGAAGATGACAAAGGCATGCTATGAGATTCGGTCACACTACCGATGGTGTTTGACCGGCACACCCATGCAGAATAACCTTGACGAGCTCCAAAGTTTGATCAAGTTCCTCCGCATCCAACCCTACTGTGAGATGTCTAGCTGGAAAGAATCCATCTCTGGTCCAATGAAGAACGGTCGTGGCAATCTTGCCATGCGCCGACTTCAGATCTTCCTGAAAGCCTTCATGAAGCGTCGAACAAAAGATGTGCTCAAAAAGGAGGGCGCACTCAACTTTGGGGGCAAACCCAAGGAAGGCGAAGAGAAGCCCGCATTTCAAATTGTCGAGCGCAATGTCGAGACCATCATAGGAGAGTTCACGGCTAAAGAGCGCGCATTCTACGACCGCCTGTCTGACCGCGCACAATCTCGTCTCGATGAGATGATGGGCGGCGAGAAGCAGGATTACATTGGGGCTCTAGTGTTACTTCTACGGTTGCGACAGGCTTGCAATCACCCCAATCTCACCAAGAGCAATGTCAAGGACGACAAGGATGCCTTGACTACGGGATCGAAGTCTAGTGCCCAGAATAGCTTGCAGACTCCACGCAAGGCTGCCAGAGATGATGCTGACGATCTTGCTGATCTGCTTGGTGGTCTCAGCGTAGCGACCAAGCGGTGCGATATCTGTCAGAGAGCTTTGACGCGCGATAACTCAGATGGTGGGATACGGTGCATGGAATGCGAGAATGATCTGAACGCTTCGGCCACGAAGCCCAAGAAGCACAAGAAGAAGCACCGGAGACATAAACACAAGGAGAAGAAGGAAAAGAAACGTCAAGAGTCTGATCAAGAAGAGGAAGACGAAGACGAGGAGGAGGAAGTAAAGCCGAAAGCCTCCCAATCTGCCCGACAGCGACGTGTCATTGTGGATAGTGACGACGAAGAAGAAGAGGGCGAGTGGTTGGTACCAGAAGATCAACAGGAAGCTGAAGACCTAGGCAAAGCTGGTGGCACAGACGACGAGAATGCCGATGGTGGTGGCGATACGCTTGCCTCTCTTGACTCGCAAGCTTCTGAAAGTGCGGATGAGAGCAGAAGCAATCTTGACTCTTTCATCGTGCACGATACTGACAGTGAAGACGAAGGTCCTGCTGTTCGCAAGAAGCAGTCCAAAAAGCCTTCGGGTGTTGTCAACCTCGTCTCCGACGACGACGATGAATCAGCTAGCGAGACCGATTCCGACTCCTCTGGCTCAGAAGCGGACTCGGAGGAAGATGGCTCAGCGACCGAATCGGAAAACGAGTACAATGCCTCTGAGCTTGTTCCCTCGACCAAGATCCGCCAACTTCTTCAGATCCTGGAGAAAGAGACCCCAGACCACAAAGTCATTGTGTTTTCGCAGTTCACTTCCATGTTGGACCTCATCGAACCCTTCCTCAAGCGGGGAGACTACAACTTCACGCGTTATGACGGCAGCATGCGCAACGATCTGCGTGAAGCGAGTTTGAACAAACTGCGCAATGACAAGCGCACGCGTGTCCTTCTGTGCAGTCTCAAGTGCGGAAGCTTGGGTCTGAATTTGACGGCCGCGAGCCGTGTCGTGATCATGGAGCCATTCTGGAATCCTGTAAGTGCTTGCTCGCCCATCTGATCACTACTCACTCAGCTAACCGTCCAACAGTTCGTCGAAGAACAAGCCATAGACCGCGTGCACCGCCTGAACCAAACCGTCGACGTAGTCGTCTACCGCCTCTCCATCCACAACTCAGTCGAAGAGCGCATTCTCGAACTCCAAGAAGCAAAGCGCAAACTTGCCAAAGCGGCCATTGAGGGCGGTAAGGCGATTGGGAAACTCAGCATGAAGGATATTATGCAGTTGTTCAAGCGCGATGCCGAGTTCGAGGATAAGCATGCGGATGTGCATGATGAAGGCATGTTTAGGACTACGAGGGTGTTGGAGAGCGAGGATGGAGAGAGGGTCGAGCGCGAGAGGGTTAAGAGGAAGGCGGGCAGTTTGGGGTTCAGGAAGGAGAAGGAGGATAGTGTGTATGGGAGGCGGTAGGTAGAGTCTGGTGTTTTTCGGATCGGGCATGTGGAGTTTGTATGATTCACGATGGGGAGGTCATGTATGGAGGCGTCTCGGCTTGGATAGCCTGCTTTTATTCTTGGGTATGTACTTTGCATTCATCCAAACTCGCTTTTATCAGTACCTGCAATCTTGACAATCTTGATGTCCAAGTGTCCGGCCTGATAGAATTGGTTGAAGTAACGAGGTAGTGCAGCGAGGCCTTGCAATAGCTTGACAACTACATCCCAGGTTAGTGCGGTAGTCTTATACTTCTACTGCCATCTGTATACGCCTAGGGTGTATTTTCGTAAGTTTTATTGATGTAATTTGAGGCCTGTAGTAGTCACAAGGAACGCAGCTTACTGCCCGTATTTGAAGTCGAGCGAAAGGCGGGGACATGTCATAACCATGTGTCTTGACCCCACACTATTACCCCGCATCCTGAAATCAGACAACACATCACACCCTGTGTACCCATGCTTCGTGTAAACAAAATATGCGTTTCCAACCATTGTAGTTGATCCAATTCCAATATCCTCCATCAAATCACCGGCCGAATGGTCTAGTCGCATGATTCCTGCTTTGTAAGCTCTACCTTCACCACACACACCCAAACTCTCACTAACATTGTCACCAGGGGTTCTTCACTCATGTCTGCAGGAGGTCCCGGGTTCAACTCCCGGTTCGGCCCGTTTCCCTTTTTTGCATATCTTTTGTCTTTTTGCACATTTTTGCACATTTTTTGCTCGTCTGGAGCTTGAGGGGGGGTTTTTTTTTTTTGCATGAGCGGAGTTTGAGGTAGTCGAGACGGATGGCATGTACTTTCCATACTCTTTGTGAAAGCGCTGGAGTGCGCTTGGATTTCTCAGGTGAAGGGCTGGGGGGTGAATGAAGTAGGCTACATTCTTTGTGGCTCTTACAAGCCGCAAAACTCTGTGATTGGAATTTTTTAAGAGCATGCAAAGTGTATACTGCTTAAAATCCAGGCACAAGATTCCGACACTAAACGTAGCCGTAGTTGTCAAGCTGTTGCATGATTTCGCTGCACCCTTATTCCTGGTACTTCGACTGGCCTACAAGACAGACACACAACGTAGCACGACGACAGAATTTTGAACGAGTTTATTGATTTGCCATTGCTGGGTTTTGAGAGCAACCTGCAGTCTTAATCCCTCATCTATATGTAAAAAGTCCAACGCCGCCCATGCCCCCCTCACGTATCATTCATAACGCATATCCCATCGTCTTTGCCAGACCCACACATACCCCACCGCAACTCCGCAAGACTCCTCCAACACGCCAACCAACTACTGCAGAAGATGGTCGCGGAAGTGCTTCTGGAAGTTGCCGCGCTTTTCGTTTCCGGCCTGGTAGTTGTTCTGGTGGCGTTGGGCCTTTCTCTGTTCCTTCTTCTCTACGGCCTGGATCTCGGCCTTCTTCGCGTCGCTGACGCCAATCATTCCCGTGCCGCCGTTGGCGCGCGTGGCTACTTCGCGACCGCCACGACCGCGGCCCTGGCGTTGGTCGCCGTCTTCTCCGTCCATGTTGGTGTCGCCGTCTTCGTCCGAGGCGGGCCCAGTCAGACGGCGTTGTGCGTTCTCCATGCGCTCGGCAACGCCGGGGTAGTTGCGCAGGTTTTGCCTGTAGTATTTGTTCAGCGACCTGTGGCCGGCTGTGCGGCCGGATGGGAGGTGAAGCTCGTAGTCGTCATGGTAGACAGCCACAGGCGTAGCGTGTGCGTGTGAGTGGAAGCCATCTGCGGCCTTGTGTGGGCGGGGATCTGCGTGGGAGTGGTGGCGCGACTTGTTGAGCGACTTGTGGCGGTGGGTGCGGTCGATGGGGACAGCGCCGATCTCGTCTGTTGGAACGCTGGACACTGTGCTGTCGGTTTCCCAGCCTGCGTCTTCAACGTCCTCGTTGCTGGACATGGCTGCATCGTCCTCGGTGGTGGTGACGGTAGCGCGTTTAGCACCGAGTTTAACACCACCTTCCTTTGTCGAGGAAGAATCGTCCGAGTCTTCGGCGTCTTGCTCGATCTCGTCAAACCGGTCAGCGTCAGGGTAAGAGGCGCGGAAGTCATAGAATTCGCCAACTTCAACAAGCTCCTCGTCCGACTCAAAGCCGATCATGCAGTGGCCCCTGTCGCGCATGTGCGTCTGGATGCCTGACGCTGTGTGTAGAACCTTGTGGCACCTCAAGCACTCATGTTGCTGGTGCACCTTGTCGTGGAGGTAGGAAATAAGCTTCTCAGGCTCAACCAAAAACTCCTTCTCGGGAACGAACATGCCGTGGAAACGGCCCATGTGATCGATGTTAAGTTTGAAGTTTGGTGATTTGTAGTTGCAGAACAGGCAATCCAATAATGGCTCAGCGGGAGGCTTGCTTGATGCGGCCACAGAGCTCTTGTCGTCGTCGGCAGCGGACTCGTCTGCGCCCTCCAGCTTTGCGTCCTTGATGCCGTCTGTCACATCAGCGACATCCTTTTCAGCGCCGCCGTTGACTGTAGCTTCAGACTCAGCCATCGACTCGCCCAGCGACATGGCAGAGCTCATGACAGAGCCCGAGACTGAGGCAGCATCGTCCAGTTGCGCGCCCCTGCCCGCCCTCATGAGATTTGTCCGGTGCTTCTGGCTGTTGATGTGGTTGTTGTAGGCATTCTCGCTAAAGTACGTCTTCTGGCACGGGGAGCACAGCTTCTCAAAGGAGGCTTTGGCGGCGGTCGCAGCTGCCGAGGCCTTGTTTGCAAGGACCTTTTCGGTGAAGATCTCCGACGACAGTGGCGGGAGCTCGGCAACGCGACGCTTGAGGTTGTAGCGATGCCAGTCCGTTTGCATGTGGGTGCGCTGCAGGTCGCTGGAGCGGAAGGCGACCTGGCACGTGTTGCAGGTGAAGGGGTGCGTCGACTGGATGTTCGCCTGGGTGGGGACTTGCGACGCCATGATGTCTGCTGCTGTGGCCTTGTCTGGTGTGGTGGAGGGGGAGGATGTGTAGGGAAGAGGGAAATATTAGGCAAATGGCGGGGCACACGCTGATTTCTGGTAATTATGACTGTTCGGAGGGGCAAATTTTTGTGCGCCGAGTCAGCCACGATTAGGGAGCGGTAGTGAAGGGCTTTGTCTTGCTTATCAAAAGTCACGGCGGCAACAATCGCGGACTCGACAGAAGCGGCAAAATATTGAGTGTGCACCAGAGATGACGTTTATCGATACGGGTGACAGGGGTCCGCCATGACCCCTGCAGTCGTCGCATGCATCGCCGCCGCCACAGGGTAAGAGCTCACTCAGCCCTACGGCGGTCGTCTCGTTGCGTGATGCACCCAGCCCTCATGACTCTGACCATGCAATCCACTCACTCGGTGACATGAGCGCCTCAGATGGACGGCCTCAGCTAGCACGGCCGCCAGATGCCCCGCGGCGTCGCCTGAGCAATGTAATCGATGTGCAAGATGCGCTCCGCGTTGTCGAGTGCTCGCAGGTGGAGAGGCAGCTAAAGTTCCAGCATCTCGTGCGGCAGTTTGTCACTCCAGTCCCATGCAAGTCGAGATGACATGCTGATCTGTGGCCAGCTATCTCTCCCAGATCCTGCATGGCTGCAAGAGCGCCTACTGCGACACGTCCACATGCTTCTCCTGCAACAAGCGCAATGCCTCCAAGCCCTTCCGTCCTCCCACACAGCTCACCGCGCGCGCCCTGGCCCACTACCTCGCCAGCCAAGACAACCCCCACCGCGGGCTGTGTCCACACGAGCTCAAGGTCGCGCCTTCCACCTTTGAGATTGATGGTGCAGCGGGTGCTGCCGTACGACACGGGCGCAATGGTGCAGAGCCGCAGTACAGCGTCTATCCTGCAGTGTGGACGCTGGTGCAGCAACAACGCCATGCAGGGGCCATCACCCAGCGGCACCAGTCGAGAAAAGACAAGAACGCACTCGGGCAGCATCTGTACGACAGCGTCACCATGATATACTCCTACTCCAAGCAACTGCCCAGTCCTACCTCAGTGCTTACTACACTTCGCTCTCTCGACAATGCACGTTCAGGTGACCAGACTGAAAATGACGAATCCAGTCTTTATACAAACGCGCAACATGTCACGCCTCACGTGAATGATTCTGCGCCCACCGTTCGTCGACAATCGCAGCAAGATTCACAGACCAGCAGTCCTCCCCATCCAGAGCAAAGTGCTGCAGAGCTTCTCAAGAATGGCCAACAAGTCCTTAGAATCCCATACCATCTGCCCAGCACCACAAGTCAATGTCAAGCTTCCAAACCAGTCACTTCAACGTCGCTCGACGGCACATTTGAATCGCCCAAGTTGTCAAAATCAAAAACTGGAAAGGAGCCTTCCCCCCTTGATAGACAGAGTGGACCTGCGATGGGAAGACCAAAGCCCTCGCCTGCAGCACAACGTGTTGTTGATAACCCCAAGCCTGCCGACCGCAAAGATCCAGTCTTGCCTATCGTCTCGCACTTGAATTGTGACGTTCTCGATCAGCTCAAGGATGAGGTCTATCATCATCGCAAGGACCAGTCTACTGATTTCAATTTTGTTATAGACTACGACATGAACGCTCGTTTTCGACCTACCAAGCCATATGTTAATCGGTCCTTGTTCTATACTTTGAGTGACACTGATACACTACTCAAGTCTTTTCATGACAGCAACGAAGCCTTCAAGGATTCACCACTCTCGCACCTTGACTCGGCGCGGTTGACACACTCTTTCAGAGATTGGAACCGGCGAAATGGAGCTCTTATATTCGACAGCCTATGGATTGTTGTGGAGGCATTGTTTACGCCACCACCCGAGCTCGATGTCCAAAAGAGCCCTCGTCTCAGACCCTCGCGCAAGAGAGCATCTGTGGATAGCTCGTCTGGACACTCTTCGAACCAGCAGAAAACTACGGCCGGAGAAGCTCGCTATCTCGACAACAATGAGGCGGCTCATATTGTTATGATTTGCATTCATGCTCTGACGTCCCTGATTCCTGTTGGGTGGTCACACACATGGGCACAGCTGCGCAAGTTGAGATCCTGGGGTGTCATCATCCCCAATGCGGCTCCAAATACCCACGACTTTTCAAACCCTTACCTGAACATCATCGATGAGTTAGAGTACGAGCCGGCCATTCGACTTGCCGATCGCTTACTTCGAGGTATTGGAGCACGGACTTGCTTTGAACACATCTTGGAGAGCTTACAAAAGCAAGGGAGGTATCAGGATGATGCGGGTGGGTCTTTTGTTGACGTTGTTATCCAGCACTTGGAAGTGGTCGAGCGCGTCGCCCTCGCCAGCAAGCGAAGGATGAAGTCGTCTCATGACCCAGACGAAGATCCAGGGTGGACCGTTACTGCCACATTCATGGAGTGGCTGAAAACCATCATTGTGAAGAAGTGGGACAACAAAGCGGAGATTAATAAATGGAACAGCGTGGGCACCGCTGTCATGTTGCTCGACAAGTTTCGTGAGCAAACAATACTCTCTTAGAATACCACGTCAGCTGATACTGATAGATTTGAATCGCGATCGCCTCAATGTCCATTCCAACATGTTTCACATGCCGTTTTTCAACGAGCGTATTGATGTGGCTGTTGAACCACTCATGTTCCTCAACTGGGAATCGCAACCTAACACTCTCCACATCTTCCAATACCCATGTTTGTTTCCAACCGAGTACCTTGTAGCGTACTTCCGTACTATCAATTTCGCAAGCATGATGACGCAGTATGATAGCACAACGCGCGCCCACCAATTGCAAAGTCAACTTCATGCGTACCTCAGAGAGCCCCATCGATGGCTGGCTCAAAGTCTGCTGAAAGTTACGTTGAACGACTATCTAGTGTTAGACGTCAGTCGAGAGCAGCCACTGAAAGACACTCTCGATTTGCTGTGGGGACAGAATAGGAAAACGATGCTGAAGCCACTAAAAGTCAAAATTGGTCGAGAGGAGGGCGAGATTGGACTGGACCACGGTGGGGTAACGTACGAGTTCTTCCGAGTCGTGCTCAGCGAGGCATTCAAGCCAGAACATGGTACATATCTTGCCCCTCCTAGAATTGTACGCGCTAACACGCTTAGGAATGTTCACTATCGATCCACAATCAAGGATGACATGGTTTCAACCAGGCACTCTGGAGCCGATCTGGAAGTTCGAAATGCTTGGTGTTCTCTTCAGTCTCGCAGTTTACAACGGCATAACACTACCTGTCACGTTTCCTCTGGCTCTATACTACCACCTTCTCGACACAGGAGAGTCCTCCCGCGATCGTGAAACAGACACTAAGAGCCTCAATTTCATCCAAGATGGATGGCCCGGCCTCGCCAAAGCGTTCGAGCAACTTCTTTCATGGACCGACGGCGATGTAGGAGACGTCATGATGCGCGACTACACTTTCAGCTACGAGGCATTCGGCCAGAAAATCGACATCAACATGCAAGCCCCACCCTCGAGTAACACAACTCCCGAAGAGCCAATTCTAGTCACGAACGCGAACCGCACCACCTTCGTCACAGACTACATCCACCACCTAACCCACGTTTCCGTAGAAAAGCAACTCCACGCCTTCCACCGCGGCTTCAAAACCTGCATCAACCCCACCTCCCTCTCGTTCTTCACGCCCACCACCCTCCGCCACCTAATCGAAGGATCACAAACGATCTCCATCCCCGCGCTCCGCGCCGTGACTAAATACTACGAAGGCTACTCCGCCTCCCACCCCACCATCAAGTCCTTCTGGTCTGTCGTCGAAGACCTCGACCAGGACGATTGTCGCCGTTTACTTGAGTTCGTCACGGCGAGTGATCGCGTGCCTGTCACGGGGTATGAGGGCGTTACGTTTCATATTGTGCGCGGTGGACCCGATACGCTGGGCTTGCCTACTAGCTCGACGTGCTTTGGGAAACTGTATTTACCTGAGTATGGCGATGAGGGGAGGATGAGGGAGAAGGTTAGGTTGGCGATTGGGAATTCCAGGGGGTTTGGGGTTGTGTGATGATCTGGGGGGTGGGGGGGTTTTTTGGGTGGTGTGGTGTTATGTAGTGGATGTGTTTATGTGTAATGCATGGATGGATAGAGAGAGGGAGTTTTGAAAGTTTCCATATACTTTGTCTTCGCGGCTGCGAGAGTATGGTCCCTGGGTACTGAAGTTACCAGGCGTACGCTCTATTCCTACTCTTGGTTGTTCAGAATACTCAAAATTAAGCCACAGTTATGTCTTGCAACAGCTTGACAACTACATGCAGAAAAAATTGTAAAATTCATACGCGTTGAGTATTGTTGGTATACACCTTCTAGTGCATTCTCCTCGTTATGTGTAGTCTCGTAGTTCAGGATTGGTATCTCGCTAGAAAGGAATGTAGCTTAACCCTAGGTACATCGATTAGTTGAGAGACTGATCATTACTCCCGCATTCTTGATCTTTTTGTTAGCCCAAGCCAGAGAGTCCTTCTTCTGACACGCAACTATGTCACTCAATATCGCATCAATCGTGCCACGCTTTCTCTAGTCCGCATATGCCGACGATTGGTATAAGAATGCGTGAGGCGTAAGAGCTGAATCTCGCGTGGTAATCCTCCTAGTTGTACGAGAGAATTTGGATCTCGCCACTAAGATGATCTCTTCACATTATAGGTAGACATTTACAATACTGGACGCCTACTGCATTGCGTCTTTCTGCCTCTGTAACAAGCATAAATACGCTATAAACGCAAAATAATAATAGGTAGATATTTGGATGTGTTTTAGTCCTTTTGGTACAGTGTCCAGAAAGTGGTAGTTCATCTTCTGCGGGCAGTTAGGAGGCAAATACATGTATCTTGGCCGAAGGACAGTAGCTAGTAAGAGGTTAGGAAGAGTAAATCGACAACTTGCTGGATACTGAAATCGAATGAGAGGGTTTGTGGTGTAGAGTGTTGTCTTGTATCCGTCTGGTATTGTTTAGCTTTGTGGTGGATGTGATGGGAAACGTTGGGAGTGGAAATGCAAGCTACGAAGCAACGGGAACTTTGGGATAACTCCTAGGATTACGTTGATTGTCTCATGTTACTGGTAGATCATTAAACAGCCATGAGAAGAAGACGAGGCTGAGATGGTGGCGTATTTGATTGGACGGCAGTGAAGGGACTAAGCGATATAACGGTATCAGTATGCCTCTCTCAGCCTTGACCATTTTTCTTGAATACTTGAGGTCCATCTTTCGCGGAATTTGACATAGGGTGCTCCTAAAGACTATCCTTCTCCATATCCACTATGTCTAACATTACCAACGCAACGTTGGCATTGCACGCCGCCGAAAATGGGTTGAGCACCGGCGCAAAGGCTGGCGCTGTTATGGGGGTTGTGATGCTCGGCCTACTCTTCACTATACCTGCTGCCCTATATATATGTTTGCGAGAAGGTCGACGGAGAAAGCGTTCCCGGGAGGAAACTCAAGAGGAGCAGGGTCGGAGGGATTGTCTGATCCCACAGCGACCAACCGTGGAACAGATACTAGGAACAAACAACAGATCTTTACTAAAAGACCCTTTGATCCCGAAGCGACCAACTGTGGAACAAATCCTGGGTATCGACAAGAGGTCTTTGCTGAGAGATTTACCGATCTACGAAGGCAAGTACTGTCTTTGCGTTGATCTTGTTCCTGACTGTAAACTGACAGTGAGATAGTTGGTCGACCCTCATACCTCACTGCTGCTCCCGCGAGCGTTGGAAACTGGTACGATGACCCGGCCCCTTCGTGTTCTCATCAGGATCAAGAAGAATGTAAAAGTGTGGATCCATGGGAAGTCGAATACGGCCCGAATCCTGTCATGTTTCCACACCTCGCTGGCCCTTTGTCGGATCTAAGCACACTATCGCCGGCACCGTTGGAGTCGAGTGCTTCTCAGTCATCCTCGAAAGGCTTGACGGATACATCGCAAGCTACGTTACCGTTAGATCTCCGAAGAGACATCGAAGTCGAATACCATCAATCAGATGGTGGCTCAGGAGAGTTTCAGAGACCGTCAGAAAGCAGCTCAATATTCTCGTTGGATACTGAGGTAGCTTCTAGCAGCTCGTCGTTTACTCTACTCAATACCGAGTCTGGAGATGACCTCTCTCCAAAGCTCACAGGCTCCACGATTGACTCTCCTTGGAGCAAGATATCACTGCCCATGGAAGAACTGGTCTTTGTTCCCGCTTCAACACTGAATACGACCGTATACTGCCAGTCGTCCAGTGTTGGTATGCCAAAATCACTGCCGAGTGACATTGGTGGGAAAGCGAGCCCTGACACGGAGTTGTTGCCTACACCAGCATCAAAGTCACCTCTTGGAAGCAGCTTAGCACTCACCGTATCCAGTCGTCCCCAATTTACCAACGATAAGACTACCCTTCAGTACGCATGTCCCGCCTGCCATCTCAAATTCCGCACAGCGGGTCTCAGAAGGCAAGTGCGCCCCGTCTCCATCCCCTAATAAACAATCTAACACCACCGTTACAGAAATCACCACAACCGCAAACACAACCTCCGTTACCCTTGCACACTATGCCCAGCAGCCTTCGGTCTACGGAAAGACCTCGAGCGCCACGAGCATACCGTACACAAAGAACACTTCAAATCCGAACAGGTATTTCGCTGCACGAATGAAGGATGCGCCACGCCTGCGATAGAGTTCAACCGTAAGGATAACTTCCAGCGGCATGTCAAGCGCTGTGAGAAGGCAATTGCACACGCGAGTGGGAAATCGGGATGAGTGTCTCGCTACGCATGTGCTTCTGTCCTGATCTGGAAATTACGGCATGATCAGACATGCACGTAAACTCGCTTGCAAGACGTTGCATCCTTCGAGCTCCGGGATGGTTGTTGATCAGCTGTTCTCCATCGGGAGGAGCCAGTCTGTCTCATACCCTGAATCTCCACGATCACGAAATGGCAGTCACCTATGTACCTCCCAGCGCAGTCGGCCTCGCCCAACGTCAGAAATGGCCCCAGGTTCTCAGACCAGGTCCCGCCCCGCCTCCAGTTCCCCTCAGCAATCAAAATCGTGCATGTTCGTCGTCGACTAGCGCCGATCAAGGATGTCAGTCCGTGTCAACGGGCCACCTTTCCATTTCCGTCTTGGCTCACAACTCAACATCAGCGCTTGTAGGGAGATATCGATGTGAACCTTGGGGGCGGCGATAACACTGCAGCGCGCCCGTCTCCATCTCTGCTTATTTCTGGTTTTTGTTGTAGTTTTGGTGCACTGAAGAATCAAGAGCTGGGAAAGAATTGGAGCTTGAGTGAACCGACTAGACACGCCATCCACGGAGAAACCACATGACTTGGGTCAAGATGGACGAACTCGCGCACACACAAGCCAAGCACAACATGCTCAAGAACGCCGCGCAGAGCGAGCAAGAAGTCACAGACGCCGGCCCATCTGGATCGGGCGCGCAAGAAAGAGTAGCAGACGAAGAGCCCCGTGAACCAGAGACGGGACGCAGACGACGACGCAAAAAAACATATAGCCACGCGCACTTCAAAGTGTACAAAAGACGATGGTTCGGCCTAGCGCAGCTCGTCCTTCTGAATGTCGTCGTGAGCTGGGACTGGCTGACGTTTGCGCCCGTGTCGACGCGCTCGGCGGCGTACTTTGGCGTCTCCGAGACGGCGATAAATTGGCTGTCTACTGCTTTTATGTTCGCGTTTGTTCCCGCATGTCCGTTCGTTGTGTATTTGCTGCATCGTAGTCCGAAGGAGAGCATTCTGTGTGCGTCGGTGCTGCTGCTAATAGGGAATTGGATCCGGTATGCAGGAACAAGGGCGAATACCTTCGGCGTCGTCATGTTCGGGCAGATATTGACGGGGCTGTCTCAGCCGTTTGTGCTCGCGGCGCCGACGCGGTACAGTGACATGTGGTTTACAGAGCGGGGGCGTGTCGGCGCAACCGCGCTGGCGAGTTTGGCAAATCCATTTGGGGGCGCTGTGAGTTTACTCTCTTTTACTTAAACATACATTACTCACGCCTCTCTCCAGCTCGCTCAACTCGTAAACCCCTTCTTCGGCTCCATCCCACAGACCGTCCTCATAATCTCCATAATCGCAACCGTGGCCTGCATCCCCTCGCTCTTCATCCCCGCCTCGCCCCCCACACCCCCAACAGCCTCCTCCTCACTCTCGCGAACCCCCCTCCTCGTCTCACTAAACCACATGCTGCGCTCCCCACCCTTCTACATCCTCCTCCTCACCTTCTCCATCTACGTCGGCTTCTTCAACGCCTTCTCCTCGCTGCTAAACCAGATCCTATACCCATACGCCTTCTCCGAAGACGAAGCCGGAATCTGCGGCGCGATTCTAATCGTCGTCGGCCTCGTCGTAGCTGCCATCACAAGTCCGGTTCTGGATCGCACGCACGCCTACCTCCGCGGCATCAAGCTTCTGTGTCCGCTCATCGCCGTGGCGTATCTGGCCATGGTGTGGGCGCCGCAGACACGCAGTATCGTCGCGCCGTACATCATCGCTGCGTTGCTGGGCGCGGCGTCGTTCAGCCTGCTGCCCGTTGCGCTGGAGTATCTGGTGGAGATTACGTATCCGGCGAGTCCGGAGGTGAGCTCGACGATGTGCTGGGCTGGGGGGCAGACGCTGGGCGCTGTGTTTGTGGTTGTTATGAATGCGTTGAAGGATGGGCGGCCGGTGGATTTGGAGCAGGTGCAGAGCATTGGGAGTGAAGGGGAGAGACCGCCTGGTAACATGTTCAATGCGTTGGTTTTTCAGGCTGTTGTTGCGCTGGCCGTGTTGCCTTTGCCGCTGATGCTTGGGATTAAGAGGCTGGGCTTGGCTGGGGGGGAGGGGCGGTTGAGGGTTGATGAGCATAGGGAGGGGAGTGTTGGTGGGGAGTCGGAAGGCGGGGTTGGGCATGAGCAATGACTCTTGGAGGATTATGATTCTGAGGATGAATCCGCCCAAGAAATGTGAATTGACGGGATGATGGAAAGATAATGATGCCCACGACATGTCATGTAAGCGTCCGTCTTATCATCAAGAGTGAACGCTTGCTGTACAGACAAGACTTGGGAGGGGAAATAGTACATGATATTCTAAACATGACCCTGGTATATACAGTTGTCCATGAAGCGTCGTCGTGGTCGTTTCCCTCTATGCAAATGGGCCTCCCTGCCACTTTCTGGCTAAAGCTGCGCAAAAATAGTGGATCAGGTGGTTGCAGTTGGCGTTGTCGCAAGACATTTACTTGAGCTGAGCGAAGAGCTTGGGGGCGGCACATTGGGTCGCGCAGTGAGCGAGGTGGAAGACTAGACACGTTAGAGCTGTTCCACGCAGAGGTGGCAGGGTGTGGCGTACATTCTTCAACGCAGTCCTCGCTGGCCTTGCCGTCGTTGTCGATCTGGCCTGTTACGCGCTCGACGCACTCATCGTAGTGGTGCTTTGGGGCGTGGCACTCCTTGGACGAGGCGCATTCTGTGGTATGACGTTAGCCTTGTTCTTCTACACAACAGTCCTGCGTGCGGTGGATAGAGGTGGCGCGCCGCCATAAATCAGCCATTGCTCCTCCAATCCATCAAGAAAGCTGCCCGTGTATTTTTGCGAGCGTAGAGGGACTCACCCTTCTCGATTGTCTCCTTTGGGTCGGGCTCCTCCTCCTCCTCCTCTTCCTCCTCGGGCTCCTCATCCTCGTCATCGCTGGGCTGGCTGGGCTGGCTGGGTCGGTGTCCCTGCTCCTCAGACTCGCCACCGCTCTTGGCGTCCGCCTTGTTGACTTCGGCCTCTTCGCCGGACTCCTCGTCGGTGCCCGAGGCGGGCGACTTGGTGGACGAGCCGCCCTGGACGGGAGCCTCGGCGTCGGGCGATGGGTGGGCGAACGTGTCCCAGACGTCGGTGAAGAAATCGGTGATACCCATGGTGGCGGCTCGGGGGCAATTGGGTTGCGGGGCGGGCGGGGCGGTGTTGTGGACGTTGGTGAGGGTTGACGCTGTCAAGCCGGGAAGTCGCGAGCGAAATCGAAGATGCTTGGCGCACTAATTGTCAGCCAATTCCTCGCAACCTCAGTGGACGGTTTCGACATGTTCACGGCCATGCATCACTGGAATAAGTTTTGCTATGTAGATAGGGACTGGGTTATGGCTAGTTTCGATGGTGCTTGAAGGCCTCCTGGACACTAACGCCCTGTTCAACATCTGCAATCACTTTCTCGTCGGCTCCTACAAGCTTCGGCAACAGCTCCAGCAGCTCTTCCACCTTGTCTTGGGGCACTGCAACGACTCCGTTCTCGAATGGGTCGATCATGACAATGTCACCAGGTGCAACAGTTGAGCCTCCAATCTTGACGGGCACATTGCGTGCGTGAAACTTGGTCTCTGCGCCTGCGCCGATTATCGACGTCGCCTTTGACCAGATTGGCAGCTGCGTCTCGTTCAGAGCCACCAGATCTCTCACTCTGCCATCGACTACCAGACCTTCTGCGCCCAGATACTTCATGCGGGCAGCCATGATGCCTCCAACGACTGCACACGATTGGCCTACAGGCTGGCTGATGACGACAATGGTGCCGCTTTCTGTGTAGTCTGCATATGGTCTTGAGTCTGGCAGATTGGAAGCCGGGACATTTTCAGATGTTGGAGCTGGGTTAGGGAAGGATTTCGTGGCTTTTGGCAGCATAAGGAAGGTTGATGCAGGTGCAACTATCTTCCTCGGCGTAAGGTGGGGGATGTTGGCTGTGTGAGGCATTGGCCCTTGAACGTGTCAGTCTAGAGGAACGGGTCAATTTCACGGTCAGGATAGGACACACTTATATCTGCGAGAAAGCCAACGCCTGGGACGTTGAGCTTGAGCAAACCATCCGCAAGCTATGCAGCTTAGTTGGTATCCTTACTAGATGTTGCAGAGGGTGAGGACGTGCATCGCATGCTGCGTACTTGGACAATTCCTTCCACCTAGGGGAAGCCATAGTGGCCATTGTTCTTCTTATGATGTGAAATGGCATGTATTGAAAATGCAATCAAGTGTCTCGCAAGCCGTTTATAGAACTCGGTATGGTATGGCAGCCCCACTAACCCAGGATGTCCGCGGGAGTCCAGCTAGGTTGGATCTAAACAGACGATTACAGAAGGTGTCAGTCAACAGCTATGCAATGTTTTTCACCAAGAGGAACGTTGTAAATAGTTTAGGTATCAGCATGGGAAACACCCGTTTAGTCAGCAGGTCGAATGGTAACGTGACAGCTGTCAAGGCGGAGGAGCGATCGGCGGACGACGTCGATGTTCCGCCGCATTCTAGCAACAATCTAACCATCACCAGCCTGCGTCCAGCGGCGTCTCGTCGCGACATTCCTCGCAACCGCCCGCGCCTTCATTTCTCTCCATACATATAATCTGGTAGTCCTAACGCGTTTCCGCGGCCTTGCCGCATAATCACTGCACAACATGGCTTTCCACGCCGCCGTTCGGGTGAGTTGCCACGGGAGTCCGACACGGCGTCACTGAACACTGCTCACTGTCCACAGAATGCCATTTGCACACCCTCTGAACTGAGGCCCATCATGGCGGCTGTCCTGAGGGTTCCCTGGCAAGGCGCTGGGTGGAAGCCCGCCGCCGCCGCCGCCGCCCGCCAGCTGCACACGTCGAATGCGCTCGGACTCTGCAGCCCTCTCTCCCGGTCCACGACTTTCCACTCGCACATGGCCAGGCAGTTCTCGTCACTGTCGCGCAATGGCCCCCTCTCGCAGCTCCGCCAGCTCCCCACGCCGGGAATGGCTGGGCTTGGACTAGCCCAGCGGCGATCATTCTTCGGAGCACCCTCGCGCGACCAGCTCGCACGTCTGGAAGAAGCTGCCAACAAGAACCCCACCAGCGCAACGACCCAGGCCACCTTCTACTCGGCGTGCATGCGCGCCAACATGCCCCAGGTCGTTGTCGATCGCTACAACACGGGCCTCTTCGCGACCAACGGCGTCGTGAACCGCCTCTTCAACAACGCTTTGGAAAAGACTGGCTCCGGTGGCCTCACTCAGCAACAGGTTCAGACTGTCGGTCAGGCCGTCGGCGCGCACACTGGCGATGGCCAGACTGGCACCGTTGCGGGAGGCACCGGCGGGAAGAGCAGCCCAGTCTACGTCGTCGTCGAGGAGTCCTGGATGTCCATCATCTCCAAGTGGATCAGATGGATCTTGGCCTTTGGTCTGGCAGCCTACGTCTCCCTGATATTGATTACCCTCTTTGTCGAAAACAGCGGCGTGCTTAAGAAGGTTGGCGGGGCCAGCAGCGCCGAAGTTCGTCCGGAACAGCAGAGCACCCGCTTCAGCGATGTCCATGGCTGCGACGAGGCAAAGGAAGAACTCAATGACGTCGTCGATTTCCTCAAACACCCTGAACGGTACAACAAGCTCGGTGGTAGGCTGCCAAAGGGCGTGCTCCTCATTGGCCCTCCTGGTACTGGTAAAACACTGCTTGCCCGCGCTGTTGCCGGCGAGGCTGGTGTTCCGTTCTTCTACATGTCAGGCTCCGAGTTCGACGAGGTCTACGTCGGTGTGGGTGCCAAGCGTGTGCGTGAACTGTTCTCGGCTGCTCGTGCCAAAGCTCCTGCAATTGTTTTTATCGATGAACTTGACGCTGTCGGCGGGAAGAGGAAGTCTCGCGACGCCAACTACCACCGACAAACCCTGAACCAACTTCTCAACGACCTCGATGGCTTCGATCAGAGCACCGGTGTTATCTTTATCGCAGCTACCAACCACGCCGAACTCCTCGACCAGGCTTTGCTTCGTCCTGGGCGATTTGATCGTCACGTCCAGGTGGAGCTGCCTGACGTCGGTGGGCGTTTGGCCATTCTTAACTATCATACTAAGAAGATTCGCCTGAGTCCAGATCTTGACCTTTCGACCATCGCTCGCGGTACCCCTGGCTTCTCTGGTGCCGAACTCGAGAATCTTGCCAATTCAGCGGCCATTCGGGCATCCAAGCTCCAGTCCAAATACGTCTCTCTTCTTGATCTTGAATGGGCAAAGGACAAGATCATGATGGGTGCCGAGAAGAAGACCCGTACAGTTCCACTCAAGGACAAGATCCACACGGCCTACCACGAGGGTGGTCACACCCTTGTTGGTATCTACACAAAAGGCTTCAACGACGTCCATAAGGCGACTATCCTTCCTCGAGGTCATGCTGCCGGTATCACTTTCTTCCTTCCTCAAGAGGAACACCACCATACGCGCAAGCAGTACATTCGCCAACTACAGGTTATGATGGGCGGCAAGATGGCCGAAGAACTCATCTTTGGTGCTGAAAACGTAGCCGACGGTGCATCCGGAGATATTCAGCAAGCAACATCGTTAGCGTTCAACATGGTCACCGCCTGTGGTTTCTCCGATGTGCTTGGCAACGTGGACTTCAAGTCAAATTACGAGATGGTCTCGCCCGACACAAAGCGTCTTATTGACAGCGAGGTACGGCGGCTGATCGACGAGGCGAAGGCGAGTGCCATAGATCTCTTGAAGACGAAGCGACCCGAGCTGGATCGGTTAGCGGAAGCCCTCGTCCAGTACGAAACCCTGGACAAGGAAGAGATCTTGAAGGTCATCAAGGGCGAGAAGTTGCCTGATCGTATGATGGCTATGCCCGATACACCAATCAAGCTTCCCGAGAGACACATCAAAGCCGCAGTACTTCCGCCAGCGCGCGGTGATGGTGGTGGTGACTCAAATCCACCAGGACCATCAGGGGTACTTGCGTAAATTTGCGAGGAGAATAAGGACAGTGCACATCAAACATGACGAAGTGAATGGCGTTTTTTTGTAAGCCCTCTTCCCTCGTGCCTGGGCTGGAGCAGCACATGCTTCTCGGCCACTGCAGGCTTGCTTGGATCCCTTTGTACATTATCAGTGTGTACTTGCGACTAGCGAATGGTTTGGCTGGCATGCATATGAAGCGTTTTTATGGACACATTAGCAGGGGGACGGGAATATAAAGCTAAAAACATATGTGTCGCTTCTTTTGATTGTGAGTGTTCAAGTTCTTGTTCGTCAGTCTCGTGATGGGATGTGGGTTGAATAACTACTCCCTTGAAGTATTAGTCTTGGTGAGCCTACTGATAAGCAGCTTACTTGACTACTGATTGTAGTAAGAAGCGTAGTAATATTAACGCTCATTCAGGCTCTGACAACAGTAGCGACGTTATTCCCGCGAACAATGATTTAACGCGCTATCTCTCTTTTCGGGGTCTCGGGCCCAAAGGCTTCACGAACGTCAGACTGAGCGCCCGAAACCCGAAACCCCCTAAATCCGTGTCCGAAGTATTCGCAGTTGGAAAAATAGGCAGCAGCAGCATGGCTATATATATTCCCGATGATTGCGCAGGTTAATGTTCAAATCACAGTCGTCGCCCTCACAGCCTATGACCTCCACGATCTAATATTTATCGACAAACCTCAACCTTAGAAACATCCACGACATTCAAGACTCAACCATTCATCTCCAATTGAACATCAGCCCGTCCAACCACCAGCCCAAAAGCCCAGAATGCCAGCTCGTCCCAACCCCCTCAAAATCGGCATCATAGGCGCCGGCCCAGTATCCCTAACACTAGCCAACATCCTCCAGAAAAACAGCATTCCTTTCACCCTCTACGAGTCCTCCCCTGTATTCCGCACCCAAGGCGGCTCCCTCGACCTACACCCCCAAACAGGCCAACTCGCGCTCAAAGAAGCAGGCCTATGGGACCAATTCAAGACGCACGCCCGCCCCGAATCCGACGTCATGAAAATCGTCGCTGGCGATGGCGCCGTGCTCTGGGACGAGAACACGCTCCACAAGCAAGAGGTCAGCGAGGCGGATAAGTTCGACGGGAGGCCGGAAATCGATCGCCGCGCGCTGATGAAGATCCTGGGTGAGAATCTGGACGGGGAGAGAGTTGTGTTTGGGAGGAAATTGGACGAGGTTGTCCCCGCCGAGGGGGGAAAGTACGATCTCCACTTCTCGCACGGTGGGAAAGAAACGGGATTCGACGTCGTTATCGGCGCGGATGGCGCGTGGTCACGCGTGCGCAACCTGCTCACCGAGGAGAAACCAACGTACTCTGGCATCTCCACCGTCGGCGTGACCTGCCTCGACGCTAGCGACAATCCCTGGCTGCTCGACTACGTGGGCGCGGGATCCATGATGTCCTTCGGCGAGGGCTGGGCTGTCCAGGCCCAGCGCGGAGACGGCGCGAGCCTCACAACCTACGCATCGCTGCGCGTCCCCGAGGACTTCCTCGCCACGTGCGGGATCGACTGGAGCGACGCCCGCTGCGCACTCCGGCAGTACGTCGACAAGTACTTCAGCCACATCAGCGCGGACCTACAGCGGGTGATTCTGGATTCCGGGGACGACGTCACGCCGCGGCCGTTATACGAGTTGCCTGTTGGTTTCACGTGGGCGTTTCGATCGGGCGTGACGCTTGTGGGCGATGCGGCGCATGTTATGACGCCGTATGCGGGGGTGGGCGTTAATGTCGGGATGGCGGATGCGCGGGTGCTGGCTGGGGAGCTTGTGGCTGCTTGGAGGGGGGAGAAGGGCGTTGATGAGGCGTTGGGGGCGTATGAGTTGGAGATGCGTCCCCGGGCTGCTGGGAATGCGAGGAAGACGTTGGAGGGGAAGAGGAATCATTTTAGTAAGGATGGGGCGAGGGAGTTTGCGGATAGGTTTAAGGCGCATTATGTTGTGGGGTAGGGGGTTGCTGGACATAAGGAAAAGGTGATAGATGGGGTGTTATTGTATTAGATGAAACGATATACTATGACTTGTCCTGTCTGTTGACGGTGGTGGTTAGATGGTTTCATCCGTGGTGGAACTACTTGAGGCAAGTGCTCAGTAAGCTGGAGTTTAATGGGTCACTTACTCTATGCATCTTTGTCTGCTTGACATATGTTTGAGCTTTCTTCTGACTGTAAGTGTTCATATTCGTCAACCCTCTGATTTGTATTATGACCCCCCACTAGACTACAAAACACCCAGACACCAAGTCGAAGCCGTACCCACACAGCAACAGGTCAATATCCTAGCTTCTCCGTCCGCGGTTGGGTCCCTGTCAAAATCAACCCCATGGCCTGGAATCTGGGCCCACACTTGACCTCCACAACAGCCCCATTCTAGCACATGCACGCCCGGCACTACCAAATTTTGGCACAATATAAAAATTAGTTTTGATCATCTTTCCATCAAGATTCAATCAACAATCTCAGCTTCAGTGGTTTAGTGGTAAAATTAGCCGTTGCCAAGCAATTCCACAGTTGCGCAACTTCGGCTAGCCCCGTGTTCGATTCACGGCTGATGCAAGCATTTCTTTTTTGCTGATGTAGGGTCCTTGATCACCGCGGTTGAGACTTGCTCTGAGCTTTTTTGGCGTGTGGTTTGTGTGTGGGTGGGGTTGTGTATACGTTGGGCTGTGCGACCAGGTTTGATGAACTTCTGAATGTGTTTTTTTATGCATCCACTTGCAGCCATTTCGATTTCAACGAGACAGTAGTGTTCTACACGTAAGATAGTCGACAATCGCTGGGCTCCAAGTTGACACTTTACGGCTCTACCTAGCAGTTACCCTGGCCAAGTTTAAGATGGTCAAAGGGCGGAATGAATGGATGAAAGTCTTGCTGGGCAGGAAACAGAATTTGTGAAGATGGGAGAAAATATCTGAATATGATTGAAAATACGGATATCCTATCGAGGCAGCCAGAAATACTCTACTACTCAAGAACCTTCCTTCCCTTGTGGATGTGAGTTTGCATGCCTTGCAACCAATCCACCCCTGAAGTAATGTCTCGAAATCGCATAACAAGCCCTCTTACCAATAGATCCACGCACCCAAAAATCATTGAATTACCCGCACCATCCAAACTCATTCAAACTGCGCTTCACTTGTATTGTTTGCACAGTTCGAGACTCTCCCGCGTAACCCCCTCCAAGATCCTCTTAGCCTCAGCGACCAGCTGATGGAGCTCAGTCCGGAACTTCTTCCCCTCCGGCGAATCGTTCTCTTTCCTCTTCTTCATCCGCTCAAATGCATTCTGGACCTTCACGAAGATATCATCGACACCCTTTTTGAACTCTTCACTGAAATTGTTGACGGCTTCCTGGACATCTTCTTTCGCCCAGCCGGCAATCTCAGAGAAAGGCCCGGTGGGTCCGGGGATGGCTTCGCGGAGATATCGGCATCGTGCAGCCATCATCGTGACTCCTGGATACTCATGTCAGTGAAATGTGAATGTCGAAGTGGTGGAAATCTTACCCTTGCCGGCAGTGGGGGTTTTGACAGCCTTTTCGTAGAACTCTCTCATAGCATCCGGAAAATAATCGTCCTCTGAGAGTCTAGTGGACTCCAAGTGAGTCTTGCTAAGAGGATGTAAGTGTATGAGCATGTTTATGTCGGTATTCAGAACATACATGAGGCTGTCACGGAGATGCTTTGCTGCCATGTCGACTTGCCTATTGATCTCCTCGTCGAAACGGGCCAGATTATCTTTGAAACATATTTTATATGCTTCGCAGGCCAACGCCTTGGGATCATCTGATGAGGAAGTTAGCCATCTATTGTACTTGCTAAGAATTCGATACTTACTCTTCAGCATATGGTCCAACTCGCGAAGGGTGTCCTTGCTTGCTTGTGCGGCCTCTGCTTTGAAGGTGTCACAGTTTTCATCGATGAGAGTACGGAAAGTGACATCGATAGTCGGTCTGACTGCAGACATTAGGTTTTCGTTCCAGTTCATGTTAATGCCCTTTTTCTTCTGGGCATAGATACCTAGTCGACGTCAGTGTGGTATTCACGGTGGAAATATATCTATGTAAAGTGTACAAACCCTTCTTGTTGCAGACAGCCTTGTGGGTCATGGCATTCTGTCAGGGCAGTTAGCGATAGCCAACGATGGTCATCGGTGTCGGAACATACCAAAGTTTCCCATTTTCCGAGCCACTTCAGCGCGTTCTTGTCGAACATAGTTTGCAACACATGGTCCGAGAGCCTATCGTGAAGTAGCTTGATGTCGGTTGCACGAAATTTGAGAGCCAGCTCGTCGATCCTCTGTTCAAGACGCTAGTGTTTGTTAGCACTTCTGATTCATGCCACGGAGAACCATGAGATGTAACATACTCGTCGACTCTTTTTGACAATGCTAGTCAGATGGTTCACACGTGTTAGCGTGGTCGTGCTGCACGAGGTCTGGATGATGCTCAGAAGGGTTGGGACTGTGTTCCTGACGAAATGATCCAGGCTGGCTGTTTTGCCCTTTGAAGGCAGAATATATATGCTCTCGCAGAGGGCTGGTATCTGCGTCTCTTCTCGACTCATGGAAGGCGCCTTGCCCTCGTTGGTTTTATCGAATCCACGAATATGTCGCATGTACATGCGATTGGAAACGCAATAAGCCGAAGCACCTGCGTCATCTTTGGTGTTAGAGCGGTAACCTTCTTCAAGCCCTTGACCAACTCGTTTGTTGCGCATAGCCATGCGGATGTTCCTGCGTCTGATATCGTCAGTAAAGTGCTAACACTTGATCCGGTCAATACTCACTGCTTCACAAGAGCCTCTGTTCGCTTCGTGAGCTTGTTTTTCTGCTTCTTCAGCGTCTTGTTCGCCTTTGCGTTCTTGTGCAGTTTGTTGTGATCCATTTCATGTTTGATCAACTGGATCTTGTGCCCCACTTCTGTGATCTTCTCGGCAATCAATGCAAGATCTTCAGTGTCTGTTGATGGTTTGGAACCACCTTCATCATTCAAGTCCTACATGAAGCGACTTAGTAATCTATAGGCGTGAACAGGCATGTCAACACTTACGTCAGATCGAGTGGCTACCAGAATAACGCTTCCACTGCGTCTTCGCCGATATGCCTCTATGTATTGTCTGGTGAAGGAGACATTATCTACAACGCGGTCAATCTTGCCTACGACGATGGTGATGTCGCAAGACTGGAGATGGCGCTTGGCGTTATCAATGCGAAAGTAATTGACGTCGGATGCACCCGGAATATCAGAAATGATAATATCTTGCTGAAGGAGCGGCGAATTGAGTGTAACTCTGTGTTTATTTGTTAGTGTCTTTTGCGTGAACAACTAATAGAAGTGTAATTACCGAATGACCTTGACGACAGGCCAGGGACTGAACCTCATCGGTTTGCCTTTGAAGTTCGCAACACTGATAGCTCGCGTGAAAGGGTGGTATTGCTCAACGAGAGTTGCTGGGGTACTCGCTTCGAAGGTAACAGACGTCTCGCCATCTTGGACGAACATTTGGTGGATGTCAGTAGTCCACTTCAAGAACTGTCCGAGGACTTTTGGGTCATCCGCCGATGTTGCGGTGGACATGAAGGCCTCAGCACTTTCGAAACCCAGGCGGTCAGCAAACATATCGTTCAAGCAAGTTCGAGCTGTTGACATCTGACTCGTGTCTTCATCGTCAACGTCCTCCGGGTTTTGTCGTTGTTTCTGTTTGACTCTGAACCATTGAGAGAAAAGATCTGTTACGAGCTTTCGACAGACGTCAAGACAGAAGAACTCAACTTCTGCAGCGAACGGCGCTGTCTGGGTCGGTGGTGACTGTGAGAACTCGGTGATGACGCAGGTACAAGCCCCACCTTCATCGCCCTGTGTGCTTTGTTAGCCTCATGATCATTCTAAAAACTTGGATTCCGAATATACCTCGATGGTAAGGTTGTCCACTCCCATGATTGCGTTGAGCAAAGCGGACTTGCCAGCACCAGTATCTCCAGCCACAGCCAGGCGAACTGCGTCCTGGTAAGGAATCTCTTTGCACCTCACTATCTCATTCCAAAGGATGTTCGATTCATCGTCGTTGTAGCCATTTGCCCTGGCTACTCTGATGAAGTCGAGGAATGTAGCGACAATCCCTTGAATGAGTTCCTCCGTAAGTTTGAAGCCAGGATGATATATTGGTAGTTTCGGACGCTGCTGAGAATCTGGATTGTACGGAGGTACCATGTCGTCATCGTCGTCGGAACCAGAGTCGGAGTCATCGTCGCTGGTATCAGAGTCCATCTCAGAAGCTGCAAACGGGTAAGCCAATGAAAGACGTGTCAAAGTAAAGCACTCACCTTTTCTCTTCGTACCCGACGCTGAAGTTTCTGCTTGAATACCAGTAGCTTGGCCCAATAGGTCAGGAGTCCATTGGGCGATTACGGCTCTTGCGTTGTCCTCGATGGTCTTGAGCTTCTGGCAAAAGGGTGACGCTTCTCGTTCTTGCTCTGTGTCCAGCATCGTGATAGCAGGGGTAGGTGCAACCATGACTACTTCAGGAACCTGTAGGATCGGCTCTGGTAGTTCGACAATCTCAGGCATCTGGAAGGTCTGTTGCGGCAGTTCGACATCATCAAACACCTGTGGGATCGGCTCGAGTATTTCGATATCAGGTACCAGTGAACTCTGCCGTGAAACCTCGCCATCCTCAGGCACAAACAACGAACTCTCATCTTCAGCAAGTGCAGGATCTAGATCCATCCCCGGGTCCAGAGAAGTCTGGGAAGCCATTCGGCCTCGTGTTCAGGGGGATTGTAGAGTGTAAACAGCGACGAATGAAGCGCTCAAAGAGTTAGGATGGTAAACGATAGGTGGAGCCACGAAAGAGAGTGGAGGAGCAACGGTTGAAAAGCGCCGTCGACTTTTTATATGTCCATCATTCAAACTTCAGACACTAACTTATCGAGGTGAGAGAAGTAAGATCGAAACGCGCGCGCACAAGGTGAGAGAGACGGCTGCAGTCCCGTGGCGAGGAATACCAGAGAATCCGCGGTGAAGAACCGTAGTGCCTAGTGTAAGCAGTAAGGATGGCGGACACATGTTTGATGGTGCTCCGTGTGGCGTGGGCGAGATGTGTATTTCGGAAGAAAGCGAGTAGAAACGACGGCCGCAGCGTCAGGAAGATCAAAGCAGAGACGTGAAGTCAGCACAAAACACGCTAACCACTTCTCCTTCACGGCAATGTCAAACAACTTAATCGAACGGGCAGGCGCGATAGCTGGCACGTTGAACTTCTACTCACAGAGTATGCTTCGACGCACAGTAATCCAATGTCTAGATAGTTCCACTATACCTTCCAGCTGAGCACAACGACTACGTAGCGCATCGAGGCCGTCCAACAGGCCGAGCATATACATATATGTATATGTCCACAATCTCCAAACCTGCTCATCTGTACCCCGTTACAACCCGAACGTCTATGCAGAATCCCCAAACGCCAAAAAGCACACCCACAACCAATCCAACACATTAATCCAGAAAGCTTAACCCCCAAACCCAGCAGTCAAAAGCCAAGTCCGCGTCCGCATCCACACACTCAATCCAGCCTCACCGCCTCCCCCCGCTCCATCTGCAGCCTCCCCATCAACCCCCTAACAACCTCACAACTCCTCGCCCTCGCCTGATCCCTCGCCCGCATATCAACACGCATAGGGCCAAGCATATTCGTACCATCGCCCCTCTTCGCGCCCTCCTTCAGATTCGTAAAGAACAGCCTCCTCCCGCTCTCGTCCAGCGCGTCCCACTTCGCAATGCCCTTGGTGCGCTCGACATTTGGGTCGAGGAACTTGACGAAGCTGATGAAGTAGTCGCTGATCTCGTTCTGGCGGCGCACCATGACTTGGCCGACGGTGCCGGCGTGCTTGGTGCCGAAGCCGTTTTCGATGTCGACGCCCCACATTACGTCCCATTGGTACTGGTATGTGGGTACGTTGGCGGGGTTGTGCGTGGCCATGGCGGTGGAGGCGAGGTATGTCGGGCAGATGTAGCGGATGTCGCCTTGGGCTTTTGCTACGGCGTCCCAGAATTGGCCGCTGTCTGGCCAGTGGCGGTCGTTGGGGTAGGTTTTCGCGAGCAGGTTCAGGTCGTCGTTTGTGAGCAGCGGGTAGTGGTTTTGTAGGTAGTCTTTGAACTCCTGCAGCGTATCTGTCGTCTTCTTGACTTGATCTGTGCCCTCGTTGGACGTGAAGCCGATGATGGTGGGTACTTTGGCATAGCGCCCGTTCATGATGGCGGCGGGCGCAGGTTCTGTCCACATGCCGCCCTCGGGCTCCGTGGTGGGCGCCCACATCCAGCGGGGAGGCGTGTTGCGGTCGGGGAAGTTCATGGGGTAGTTTTCGTAGTAGAGATCTCCTGGGCTGGCATCGCGCACGCAAGCAATATCCGTGCAGTTCAACCCATCTGCGACCTCGTTCCAGAACTTCTCAGCCTGAGCGGGGGTGAAGAATGTCGGGCTGGCAGGACTCTGCGCGATGGCGCCGTGGAAGAGGGGTTTCCGTCCTGTGCCGGGGATGGGGGCGTGGTTGTCTCCCTCGTTGGCGGTGAGTTGCAGGAGCACCGATGCGCCGCCCGCACTCGTGCCCATCAAGACGACGTGGTCTGGATTGCCGCCAAAGTAGCGAATGTACTTCTGGATCCACTCCAGCGTGGCTCTCTGATCCCTAAGCGCATTGTTGTAATCTCCATCCTTTGCAATTTCCTTCCCGGACAGAAACCCGTAAATGCCGTTGCGGTAGTACATCGTCACAACCACAATGCCCTTGTCCAGCTTCCCATTCACGCCTTTTTCTCTCCGGCTCTTCTCCACCATCTCACCTCCATTACTGCGCCCGGGTAGGTGGAACCCACCACCAGGGATATTAACCAGCACCGGCAGATCATCTCCCGCCTCAGCATCAATCGGCGTGAAGACATTCAAACTCAGACAGTCCTCTGTAGAGCGTGTATTAATCCCCAGAACATCTTCCCCTGCAATATCATTCTTGTTCCTCGAATTTGCATCAATCTTCTGTATGCCAGGGCACATGCCCAACTCCCCACTCCAAACCAGCGGCTTCTCTCCCCTACCAACGCCATACGTCCTGTTCAGCGGCTGCGGGCCACGGAACCTGTTCTTCCCCGCCGCGCTCGCCGCATACGGGATGTTCCAGTAAGTCCGCACCTTATCTGTGACATTGGGCTTGATGCGCAGGTAGTCGAGCTCGATGATGTTGGGGTCTTGTGCATTTTTGGGCGGAGCGGAGAAATAGGGCGGAGGCTTGGACGTCAGCGGCGGTATCCAGTCTGCGCTCGGTCGCAGATCGGGCGAGTAGAGGAAAGTGAAGGTGAAGAGGAGGATCGCGGCGCCAGCGATGGCGGTGACCACGCGCCGGTCGAAGATCAGGCTGGAGTTGAGGATGCGAATGACCATGGTGGGTGGAAAGAGTGTCGGTGGCAGGCTATCATGAGATGGATATTGTCTGCATCTGAAGAGAGAAGAAACCGGGGGTTCAGGCGACTCGACACAATAGGGAGAAAATGCCCAGCGTTGGGTTGTTGTTGGCGATCCATTTCAGGTTTCAACATGCCAGATAACTGGGAGGCACGGGAGTCGGCAAACTTCCCCTGGGCGGTGACGCGTCTTGAGTCATGCTTTGGAACAGAGACGATTGCTTCGAGAAAAAAGAAAATTTGTGGGGCGCAATAGGTAGTCCTGCAGGGGAAACGCGTTTTGGCAACGCGGTCGCAGAAGCTGGTGTTTAAGACATGACGTTTTCATCGTGACTACGGGGCGGTCTAGAGGTTAAAGTTTAAGCTGGAGATCCACACTAGGACCATGCGCCGTTTGGAGATCATGCCGCAGGGCTCGTGTTATGCTGTGTAGCAACAACATCATCTTGCCATTTCTAAAAAGACTATTATCATATCTCAGAGGACCAGCCTTGATCCACTGCTCATCTTCGCATACCGAAGCCTCCAAATTATCGAAACGCCCACAATGCACGCTAATAAAGAAAAAATCAACTACGGTCTCCAAGACGCCCAAGGGCAATAGTAAGAAAAAGACCACAACACCAATCCAACTGCTTCATATTCTCCCACCCTCGACAATCTCCCTCCCTATCAGCTCAAGCTCGCCACTCTCGGCGGTTCGTCTCCGCTCAAGCACCCATCTCCCCTCCCCTGCCTCATCGTGCTCACGCACATACGTCACGCTGTCCGCCCCACTGCCGTTCCTCGAATGCCCGCCTCTCCACCCACTCCCATTTGGCGTCAAGGGCGACGACATGGAGATAGGTGATGCGAACCCAACAGATTGGCGACGCGGTCCGCTCGAGGGGGAGGAGAGCGAAGTATCGATGGGCGGTGGTGACGCAGGATGGTGTTGTTGGCCTTGGAAAGGCGAGCCCAATGGTATCGCGAATGGCGATATGGGCATAGGAGTGTTAGAAGCCGATTTCAGAGGCAGGCCAAAAGACGACATCAAGGACATGCCCTGGTAGGCTTGGACTTGCGCCGCCGGGAGCAGAGGCGGCATGTTCGTTGTGATGTGACTAGCCGGACTGGAGAGCGAGTTATTGTTGCTCATCCTGAACGTCGGGCTCTCTGGTGTCTCATTTTCGCTGTCCTCTTCGCTATCAGACTCGTCACCATAATCGGCATTGACGGCATCCATCAACCCTTCGTCGTCTTGCTCGTTGCCTTCGTAGTCGTCCGATATGTTGGCCGACTCATCGCTCACTGGCTCATTCTCGTTGAGTTCCCATATGCGGCTCCCCGCTGCACTAGACGCCCTAGGCAGAAACTGCATGCCTATCGGGGACGAGTTGCGTGGGCTGTTCGGCTGGCTAGGCAAGCTCACCGTACTGCCACCAAATGCGCCCTTCCTCAACTTCCTCAGCGCGTCTAGGGTCAGATCTTCTTCGTCTGTCCATCCACCAAACGGACTCATGCGCGCAAGTTGTGCCAGACCAGGGCTTGCCAGCGGTTGTTGCCCGTCGCGGAAGTGGTTGAGACCAATGAATGAGTTGCGAGTGCTATACTCGCTTCGCTCTGTGATGGGAGTCAAACATGGCTCTCGCACGGCGTTACGACCACTGATCGTGCGGCCGATGCCGGAAGAACCAAAGAATCCACCCCAGGTGTTTTGCGCGTCTCCCACTCCAGACGCATAGAAACCGAACTCGCTCCCGTAGAAGCCTTCATCATCGAATGCAAGCGCCTCAGCATTGGCAGCTGCGATCATGGGATCCTCTTCCATGGCAGAATCGTACTCATCCATATCGTAATCGTCCATGAAAGTAGAGTTCATCTCATCATCATATGACGGGTAATTGGCCGTATTCATACTATACTGGCTCTCATCCGGAACCAGGCTCGGGTGTGAGTCGCTCTGTGAAGAAGACGTATCAACCTCTGCACTCGTCTGGTGAGTATCGACACTCAACTTCCTGGAGAAACGGCCCTCGGCTTCAGCACGGTGTGCTGCGTCAGCAAGAGCACTGTGATATGCACCAATGTCATTCAGATCGGGCATGGCGGACCGTTGCGCAATGGACGTCTTGTGGGCGAGCGAAGGCTCAGACTTTTCCAGATGCTTGGATACAGTGTCATCTTCTGCTTCGTGGTTTGGCTCTGCGCTGAAAAATTCAACGGCGTTTGATGAGAGTGGACTCTGCGTATCTTCAGCCGGAGGCGGCTTTGCTTTCCTCTCATACAGTGGACCATCGGGGTCGTCAAACACGTTCTCGTCGAACCCTGGTGCATCATTTTCCTCCTGCTCTCCGATCAAACCATCGTCAAAATACATATCGTCGTCGAAGTCGAAGTCATCGAGACCTCGATTGTTGTCTGTGGGTGCACTGGAGGACATAGTTTGGGGTGGAGTTTCAGGCTGAATACTAACCAATTCTGGTTCAAAAGACTCATCAGTCGGGGCCTCGTGAGTGTTTTCATTACCACCAGGTACCATATATTGGAGTTGCCGAAGCATCTCTGCAGACACAGCGAAGCCAATCGGATTGCCATTCAGGTCAAGGGGTATCTGGGCCTGTCCAGCCGGACTCATAGAGTCATATAAGCTGGGTTGAATCGATAGAGTCGAGAAATCGAACGCATTGATGCCTGTATCCATGCTCTGGTCTCCAAGGCCACCAAACTCGTCTTCCTCGCCAAGCATAGGAATGTCTTCCTCGAACCCGCCGTCCATGTCATAGTCATCCATGCCATACTCGTCATATTCGTCCTCGAGCGTTTGCGCGGATACGTGGACCTGCTTGGCGGCTTTTTCCGCGGCTTTCTGCTTATGTCTTTCCTCCATTACCTGCTCCTGCGTGGAATCGCTCCCAGGAATTTGGAAGCTGAACCTCGAGGCTCTACTGCTCAGATGAGCAGGCAGTCCGGCCGGTTGCCACGAGGGATCCGTGACTGACGTGGCCCTTGACCGTGTGGGGGGTAATGTTTTTGAAGATTGCCTTTTCCTGGGTGTGGCGTCGGGCGAGGTATCCGTTGGACTATGAACCTCGTAAACGGGAGACAAAATGGAGGAGGTAACAGCGATGGCTTGGTACGGTGGTGGAGGTGATGAAGAAGACAGCTGTGGAATAGCAGGCGGCGAGTTCTCGGGTATGGTTGGTGGGAGCAGAGGTGAGGATGAGGGCGGAAGGAATTGCACAGAGTTTCTGGCGACGAAATCTTTGTTCGCCAGTTGCTCGGCTCTGATATTGGCTTGCGACTGCTCAAAGCTCGTGTCATCGTCAAAGTGCTCGTGGAAGACAGGCGTATGTGCTCTATCAATCTTTGGTGGACTGACACGGTCCAGATCCTGTGGTGTCGAACTACCCCCGTTCACATCATACGATGGGGTTCTGTTGAGTCTGGGCGCGTTGAAGTCGTGCACGATGTTGCCTCTGATTCTGGGGTCGTAGTTGTCAGGCATGGGCGGCATCACGGTGGGCGAGCGGCGGGTGACCAGGGCTTCGTCGGCCAGTGGGTCCAACGTCGGGCCTGACCGCCGTCGAGATAAGAGCGACATGGGATTGCGCAGGCTCAGCCGGGACTTGGGCTTGGTGGCTGTGGGCGTCGAGGTGGCCTTGGATCCGCCTGTCAGCTTCTCACTGATGCCGCTGAGCAGTAGCGAGGTCTGCGACTTGGAGTGCGCGGCGTAGCTTGGCGAGATGACCGAGGGGGACAAATGCGTCGACGACTGGGAGGCTGACTGGGTGCGGTGCGAGATGGGTCGCGCAGAGGAGGCTTTGCTCTCTTTCTTCTGGCTCTCGGTCTGCGAGGCAACGCGCGTGATGGGGGGCAGCTGCGGGGGGTACGGCGATATGGGCGACGAGGAGGCGAAGCTGGCATTGTCGGGAGCATTGAAGCGCGGCGAGGTGAAGTAGTCGGCGTCCTGCGACTGGGGGCGCATGGTAGGGCTGGACACGGGGTCTGGCGAGGTCAGACTCAGGGCACTGCGCTTTGCGTGGCCAGGCCTGAGGTAGGAGAACATGTGTGAGGGCGCCATGCTGGGCGTCGCGAAGAACGCGCGGCTGCTGTCGCGTTGCACCTACGAGGCTGTAGGGTATGCGAGCACTGTGGGGCTCTGTGTGCCTCTCAGCGAGGCCATACGCCCGCGGGCACCATCAGTGTGTGAGTGAGGCGTGCTTGACCTGTCGCGCAACAACTGCGAACTGTGTCGATATCACTCCAGCGGCACAGTGCGGAAGGGCAGCGTCCTGGCGCGCGGCGGAAGAGGGCAGCAGACAATTAGACGGCACAAGATGCTGGGCGTCGTACAGCAGCGTGGGCGTCTCGTGGTAGATTATCCAGGGAAGCGGTGCTGTCGTGCTCATTCTGCGTCGCGGTGCCTTCTGCGACTGAGGATGCGCCTGCCCTGCGCAAGCTTTTACAGGGATCCCGCGGCCCGCTTCAATCTTACTCAGACGCCCAGCTCCGAAACACCGCTGCAACCGTACACGTACCGGTCGGTTAGACCTCATGGTACTCATGATGAGTGGTACGTCTTTCGATGCAACTGCAATGTCTTTCGAGTAGCGGGGTAGAACATCACAGGAGACAATGACGTTCGACCCAAAATGTCGTGCATGCTCACTAAGCCCCACGAATTCCGACCTCACACCATGATCAAGATAATCGCTTTTTAACCACGTTCATGGATACCAATTCATAGAGTCTGAGGAACAGTTTACAATTGATATAACAATCATCTCTGCACTGCTCCTATTCAATCACCGGCGCCCTCGAGTAGTTCATTTCCCACCCCTCGGCGATCTTGGCCTGTCCAATCTCCACCCACCCCTCTTCTCCAATCCCCTCGCCTCCACCGCAACACTCCACGTCGGCTCTGGATCAGGCGCATTCAACGCTGTGTTATACGTCGCATTACTCGGCGTAACCTCAAACTGAAGCGTACTGTTGCCCTCGCGATAAGTGCTCGTCGCAGTACCGTTCGTCTTGTATCCACCTTCCACCTTCTCCTTGCCAGTCGCGATATCAAGTTGCTTTAACGCGCGCTCGAAGATCTCCAGCGCAGCAAGCGGTTGGTAGAACGGGACTTCATGGCCTGACTCGTAGATGCGGAGGAAGGAGAAAAGTCCAGACTGCTTGACCTGGCCGTGCACAATGTCGTCCGAGGTGGAGATGTTGACGAATCCTGCCGTGGAGTAGCCGGCTGCGTCGATTTCTCGTGCGACGACTTGACCGCCCAACCAGTTGCAGTTGTAATCGCTGTGTTCATGTCAGCATAATGACTACAATATCTGCATATGAAAAGAACTTACGCGTCACCGTAATAGAGCATGACCTGCACCCCCGCATCAAGCAACTGCCGGCAAGCCTCGATAGTTCCGCTCTCCCGGTCGTCATCTCCTGTATTCCCAAACGCACTGCTTACTGTGCCTGAACTTTCGGAGAAATTCTGGTAAGCGCCAATCGCCGTCTGCACCTCTGGTGTGTTGAGATACTGCACATAGAAGCTGTACGGGAAGGGGTCTGGTGTCAAATAACGCATATCGTACTCGTCTCGCCCACTGTAAATGTCATACATGTTCTCGACTTTGGAGTAGCAAAAGTTGTCTGCTTGAGCGCAGACAGAGTTTACGCCCGTAGCATAGCATTGCTTGGTCTGGTCGACGCAGTTGCCCTTGCCATAGAGGTTGTTGTACCATTCTGCCTTGACAGTCTCGTTGTACGGGTCGTAATCGTATGTGTTGCCGGGGAAGACGGAGTAGTTGTAGTAGGCTTGGTACTGGATGAGAGGGTCAAACCAGCCGTTGCCGATTAACACATTTTCGAGGTCAATCTTGTGTGCTCCGGTGATGTTCTTCGCGTTTTGATCGAGGAAGTAGGCTTTGCAAACGTTAGCAGCTAATATACAAGGCCCAAGATGGTGCTTACCGTTGAAAATAGGTCCGTAGTGTCCTCCGTAACTCTCAGTCGCAAAGCTGAACCCACTGCGCGCGTAGTCTGGGAATGCGCCCATGAAGCCTTGCAGCGTTTTCCACATGTCCGGCGCGGCGCCAGCCGTAGTATTCGCCGTCAAAGTAAGATCCGACTTTGAATACGTGCCACACGAGCCATAAGATTGCGCATAATCCGGGCAAGTAGCATTGGGCAGTTCGACAATAAACCCACCGTCATCTTTGTATCCAGGAATGGGGATCGAGTAAGAAAAGCCGACGGTTGTAGGCTCATCGATGAAGAGCATGTTGCTAGCATTCGACCATGAATACGGATTGTTGAACGGCTTGAGATCTGGCCCAACGCCGCAAGGTCCTAGCTCTTGGAACAATCCGATCATAGAGCTCGATCCAGGGCCGCCATTAATCCATACGGTCAATGGGGCTTCGGAGGGATCTTGATTGCGCGCTTCGAAGAACCACCAGAAGACGTGCTTGTTTTCGCCGACATCCGCGTAGCCAGAGTAACTCTTCACATTGGGATCGAGCTCACAAATGCCTAGATTGTACAATTTAAGCAAATGTCCTGCATATACATCAATTTCTGGACTTACCTGCGGGTACCTCCTTGTAGCGAACATTGATGCCTGCGTATCCTTCCTTTGTCGTCAAGTCCGTGGGAGCAGGGACGAATTGCGCGACCGCCGTACTTGCGACCAGCAAAGTCGCGATAAATGACTTTGACAAGCCCATCGTTGCCTAGAAGAGAAATTGCGATTTCTACTATCCATCGTTAGCTTTCCACAGCTTGTTATTTCGCACGCTCGACTTACCTTGTATGCAAACACAACAACAACCCTCCAAAAGTCAATTGGCCAAAAATAGATTAATCAATTGTAGAGACGCAACGTCTACGGATGTGAGCGGGAGGGCCTTCTCTTAAGCTCACGAAGCTCGAGAGCCATATTCCCAAGCTGCGATAACCGTCCATACTACCTTCCCTTAGAGGTTAAACAACTGTTCTTTCAAGCCGAAGGACCGGGATGGTAGTTATCGATGACATCGGCCCATCCTGAATGTCCGAGCCCTCATGTCGTCACTGCATCCGACCGAAGGATGTAGCATAGATAGCATTCGATTCCTCCGAACCCGTCCGCATTTCCAGATATCACTCCATTGAAAGCATGATTACTCTCGTTTGTAACTGAGATTAAGACATTCGGTCTTCATCGCGAACACTCCATGTTCCTCAAAACAAGCATTCTTGTGCAGGGCTTGTGTGAGCTTGCGTGTCTAGCTCGGTACCGTGCATGACGACGATCATAGAAAGCGACCTAGACACGGTTTAGGCAGGTAGGTAAGGATGCGCGTAAGCGTTACGGAAACCCGAACCGTTAATGGCTCGAAAATAGGTGGTCGGTCGGCAACATATGTTGAGAACGCTGTTGGATTGGTCGGCATGATGGAGAAAACAATGCAGAAATCACGACTAGGATGTGATCGAGGCGAGCTGGGACAACGCAGAAGGACGAACTAGTAGACGAGAGCCTCACAAGCAAAACCATGGGAAGAACTAAATCTTCATTTGCAGCAGTTCTTCCAAACTGCTACTGCCATTCAGGCTATCGTTGATTCTATCGATATCCATCACTTCGTATGCAATCGTCAATTCCTCCAAAACGCCTCGTGGTCTCGTGATGGGCTAGTAGACACGGGTGTGACGGCCTCAGGCGCATCTCTTCGTCTACAGCACAGTGCCGAAGCCGAATGTAGTCTTGATGCTTCGGACATAGTACTGGTCCCAGTTTCTCTTCGTGGGTTCCTCTTGGCCAACCGGGACACCCTTCCACTCAACCCTCATCACCGTCACAGCATCAACATCATTCTGGTCAAACCAGATAGAGAGCGTCGAGTAATGTCCGGCAGGCCACTGTGCAAGTCGCCATTTCTGGACAATGTGCGTGGGTTCTTGTAGTTCGGTGAACTCACCGCTTACGTTGCCGCCGAATAGCTCGAACGTACCACCTGGCTTCGCTCCAGTGAAGTTCTTGGGTGGTGCCCGAGTGAAGGCCGCAATGCGCTGAGGATCCGTGAAAGTCTGAAACAAGTTGGCCGCATCAGTGCGAAACTCTGTGCTGTCAGTGATAGTGGTCACATTCACGACAGCGCCAGAACCAGTCTGTTGCGAACTGGACGCCCCAGACTTGGTATCGGTAGACTTGTTGACGCTGGAGCTCGAATACACCTTGGGGGTGTTGAAGCCAGTTGAAGGATTGGACCCAGGCGCGTGCTGGATGTCCTTTCCATGCTCCGCCATGAGCGCTGGGCCAAGTTTTGCAAGGCTCGTACGCAGTTGTGGCAGGATCTTAGACCGCACCAGCTCCTTAACAGGCTGCTTGGAGCTGTCCTCAGAGTAGACATCTACATCAAACTAACGACGCGTTAGCCAAATCACGATGGCAGGCTTAACTGAGAAAGACAGGTCGAGCGAGGGAACATACGACATACTCGTCTTCCTCCGTGTCATGAGCGACCTCAGGAATCGTGATAGTGCCGCTAGTCTCCTCGCTCTCCTTGTTCTTGCCTGCCGACCAGGTCAGCCGGCCAAGTGTGCACCATAGCTAAGACTTCACCAACCAGAATATTCTAGCTTTAGCTTCACATCAAAGATGGTGATGACCTTGCCCTTGCGCTGGCTCACGTCCACGTCTCCATCCATGCTGACAATCTTGTCTACCTTCGCCGACACGCCATCCTGCTCAGCCGAGATCTGGGCCAGCTCCTTGTCGAGGTACTCCCGCGCCCAACCTGACACGTCCTTATTGACCCAGTGCCAGTTGTTTGGGTTGTGAAGCACCATCGTGAAAGTCGGAAACGTTAAGCTTGGGACAGTTTACTATATGACTGACTTGTCAGCATTTGCATTCATAGAGCTCGAATGCAATGGAGAAGCGAGGATTGATTATCAGAGGTAGACTTTGAGTCCAAGTAGCTGATCCGCATGTAAAGAGTACAAGTCTTCTCAGACTGGTGCCAGCGTGTATCTCATCCTTCAATCGGGTGTTGGGCGTGAAGTTGCAGTATTTGACTTACCGAATATTGCTCTAGCTGCACCTACGCTGTGCGACTGGAATTTAAGTAGCGACAGCAAGGGCAGCAAAGATGTGGTGATTCGAAGTTGAAGTAGACAGAGAAGTTGGAGCAGAAACTTCGAGAAGGGTAGGTCCACCGCCAAGGCGTTCGGCCCGACGATGCTCCGTCCCCTCCGTCACACGGCCGCTCGTCACGGAGTTCAACACAAGCATGTGAGCAACCTTGAGCATTTTGGAAAGCAACCCCAATAAACCCGACTCAGCTCAAACTTGAGACCTGGGTATTCGCCAGACATGTTGAACACAGCCCAGACAGTCCAACCCAACCTCGTTCTTTCAGACCTCTTTCTGGCTTCTTGACTACACTGACATAGAAGAACTATGCCTTTGTGCGAAGACTTGCATGCTTCTAAGGTACGTTCCTGAGCAATATCATTGATGAGATTAGGGGAATTCCACCAGACGACTCATGAATTCGTCATTACTAGCTTTAGTACTGATGCTCGTTCGGGCTGTTTCTCGTGTGCACTCAACCCTACATTTCATGAATTCACAGCGCAGAACACATCAAAGACTTCCTCACATCACCCCTCTCAAAGTACTGATGCTGTAATGGGTCGGCAGCATAGTTTCGTTTCACATAACCGGACTTGATCAGGTATAACAACATCAATCACCGCACCAATCGTATAGAAGTTGCTAGAAGCACGACGTTCATGAACAGTTCTTCATGGGAATAGTCTTAGGATCACAAATAAACAAAGCAGCAACTGTCACACGAGTCAAAAGAAAAACGGTGCATCACTCATTTCCATTCCAAAGACAAAACTTTTGATATTGAGCTACCTAAGTAGCCACAACCCCGACCCATCTACCCATTGCTACCCATTGCTACTCAATGGTACTCAGTGGTACTCAGTGGTCCCACTTCTCACCACGGACAGCCCACCTGCATGCCGGCGTGATGCCGGAATTCTCCCTCATCACCTACACATGAACAAATCAGCTTGGTAATCCAAGAAGACGTTACTTTATGACTTACGCCGTCCTTGGAGCATGTGATCGCATCGCATGCGGTCCATCCCCACTTCTTGCACCACAACTCGCATGGCAGGCATTCCCAGCTGAGGCCAGCCTCTTCGATGTCCGACTCCGAATCGCTGCCGTTTTCCTCCAAGTCGTGGAGGATCTTCTCAGCTGGCCCAGAGTCTTGCGCCACTGGTGCCGTGATGGTCGGCACAGCGATGGCGAGCAGCATTGCTGCGATGAGGGTGGCCTGGAATGAGAGCTTCATTGTGAAGGTGTTCTGTTGGTTTGTGTCAGATATTGAAGACTCCAATGAATGGAAGTTGATCTTGTGGGGGTATGCTTGGTGTTTGAGAAGGGAACGATGTAGACATACTGGAAGGTCTTGTATTTGAATGTAAGACTTGATGGTGGATGATGATAAAACATTGAGGACGGGAATCAGCTTCTCTTATAGTCCATGGGGACTTGTATTCGTGGCATTATATAATCCCCTCTTCCCAAAGCCATGGAATCGAAATTGAATTCTTGTTGAACTTTGATCATTTGCCTTTCGGAGTGGAACATTCGAAAAACGAACAGTGGTCAAACTTCTCCTCTCAACCACCTCAAAACTGGTGATCAATACTCAACTTGCTCCCCGTTGTGAAAGATATGCAATTCTGGCTCCTTAGAAAACTATACTGGTCAAGCTTCGAACTAGTTGTCATAGTCTACCAAACTTTCATATAAAAAACTCAACTATTCAACGACAATCACACTCTCAACCTCTGGGCTGTTTCGCGTATAGAGTGATCAACATAGTACGCGCATGGACTTTCCAGTCTTTGATATTCTTATTTCAGAGAAGCAGACGCGCGTTGCCGCGAAAACATGGGTAGCTCCACTGCGAGCCCATGAATTTGGGAAAGCGGAGAGACGAAGAAGATCAACGGAACAGAGTCTCATATATGCGGAGATCGGTGAACAGTGCAATGGAGGCGAGAACGGAGAAGGAAGATCTTTAGTGACCGTGACGATCAAGTGTGGCTATCGATAATCACGGATAACGATTCAGGCAACGGTGTGTGAAGATTCCCTTGCAACTCTGGAACAAGTCGTTCAGAACGCGTACGCCCAGTCCGTTATCGGTATCTCATACCTACGTACCAGCCTGACGACTCCCGTGTGCATCCATTAAGATGGGTTTTGAGCATACCGCAGTTTGCCGCATACTCCCAGAGACTTGGTTGAAAGAGATCCTGATCGTGTTGTATTTTTTCATGGGTATCATCTACGTATTGATTCGTGTCGTGATGCGGCTTGCTTCAGCTCGTCTCACATCGTGTGGAGTAATGTGTTCGCACACCCTCGAGGATCTTCCCGACATCGCAAAGCCTATGTCCGTGTCTTCCCATTCATGCATTTCCTCTCAACTGTTTTTGGCGTATTCCAATCCCCATCTTCGCTCAAAAGACCATCTCGTGCGGTTTCTCGTTGCTCCTCAGGCTGAAACTAGCTCCCAAATAGCCCTCTAGCTCTGGCACCTTCTTGATGTTCGCCATAAGCGCTTTGTCGACCTTCTTCTGATCTTCTATCCGCTGGGGATCTGTCTCCTTCTTTTGAGGTGTCTCGCCGTCCTTGAAGAAGTCGTCCTCGCCCTTGCCATCCTTCTTCTCCCGCGACCAGTACTCGTCCTTGCTCACGCGATCCAGAACCTCATCATCAGCACCCGTGATATCGACGACTGTGGACGTGGCAATGACGAAGCGGTGGTTGACGCGGCGCAGAGGCACACCGTTGGACTTAAAAGGACCGGTGATGAGGAGTACACCCTGTTCGAGGTGGCGGAGAAGAACGACGCGCTTGCCTCGGAAACGGCCGGAGAGGAGAATGAGAACCGTGCCGGGTGCGAGAGAGTCGCGGTATTTGGTGGGGTGGACGGTCTTGCGGGCCTGGTGTGCATTGTTAGCTTCCGGTTCGCGACTTCCACAATTTGGATGTTTTTCGCGATTCCAACACCTCCAAACATCTTCTAAATCTACTTTTGGCGCGTACCTTCTTCATTTGCGCCTCCTCCTCGGCAGGATAGTACTTGGAAGCTTTTTGATCCGACATGGTTGATGATGGACGGTTCTGTATGGATATTAGATCTCGTGTTACCAGTACACTTCTCAAACGTGTCAATACCTTTGAAATGCCGTAAATGTGAATATATTGTTGTTGATGTCACCGTCGCGATAAAGCGCGGCATGTGGGAGACTCGCTTGGAGCTCTCCCAGGCTAGATACATTGCGGTCTAGCGGTCGATCGTTTATCGATACGTGTCGAGCTCAAGTGAACCTCATCCCTTTTGTTCTCAACACTGTTACAGGTCGCCTTATCTGTGAAGCCCTTAGGAGATGATCAAACTGGTCCCTCGAAAGCCCAGTCTCTGGAATATCGCGGTCTTTTCGCTTACGTGGAAATGAAGTCTGTTTTCACCACATACTACAAAAGTCCGAACATACTCAAGCCACAGCTCACCTTACCTTTCTTGAAGATCACATCAACTTACTAGAGCTTCCGAACTGCATGAACGTGGATATTGCGCTAAAATAGTGGAACGAGAACATAGCTGCGACGTAGTCAGAATATTCACATTTACCATATCAATCAGTAACTGTCCGCGACGAACCGTGTCCGTCGACAGAAAAGAGTACTTTTTGTTCAGCTGTAGTGCCGCTCAGATTTATCTGTAAGTACTCGATCCTCCAATACCACCTTCGTTGAGGATTGGTAAAGGCAAAGTCATGTTGAAGGCACTGATGCTTGTACGTTGAGTAGCCGTACGAACTATACCTATCGCAACGTAAGTATACGATGTCAGGAATGTATACGATGAGGCTTGAATGTCGGTTTAATAGAATTACTCTTATACCTATTGTCAACTCTAGCTAAAAAAGCAAATATTTACCACTTTGAGATCCGGCAGTGATAATCTTAGACATTTTGCTGTTTAGATCGTACAGAAGGTATTATTGTCTCCCGCAGCTACAACACATATCGGCTCGAGCCACGCAGTGACTACAAATCGGACGAAGATGCCACAATTTCTCTTGTACAATTGCGATCCTCGAAGTTCGTGCTGAGCATTCCAGGCGCCTTTGCCATGCGACGACGTTCGGACACGAGGAGGCTTCTGACGATATGATTGCTGCTGGCAGAGACGTCATGTGCAAAATTCCAATGCAAGCGTTCAATGAGTTTAGAACTCCTGGAGCATCTCTATATAGGTTACTAAAACTGCCTAGGTAGTGAGTATCGTCGGGACTCGACATGCCCCCTCTTTCTATCAACATTTCATCCGAGAGGAATCAATTACAAAGAGAACGGGGATACGACCCAGACTTGAACAGTAGCCGACTTCAATGCGTGGAAATTCATGGTATTGCCACAACTCGACATCGGACACAGTTCCTTGGATAGTAAAGATGCGAATACTGCGCAACTATAATTATAATCTAGTCGATTATCAATATTTTTCCAGGACGTCCTCGTTGCATCAAGAGATCAGTCAAAGAACTTTGTCAAAATGATAATTAGGGAGCATATGCTTGGTCATAACTTTTCGGTTCATCTATCTAGACACGCAACCCGTCAAGTCTTCTGCGCTCAGAAAGGACGCACCTCAACCAGATAAGAAACTTGTGGAAGGCACTGATCCGTGAAATTGCAGCAATCTCCCAAGATCCAGATCGGTTCTCAGAGCCAAGTGGAATCAAAACCAATCAGTCATAGGAATCACACTGCCTCTCAATAATAGCAAACCGGGGTATTCAATGAGAAACATCAAACTGGTCACGCACTCACACCAGCCAGCAACCCGAAAAGTCCAACAACTTCCCCCTACAACCAAGATCAGCCACTCAAGTATACGAACAATAGATATACCGAGATTCTCAAGCAAGGCATACCATAGATGAGTGCATGAGTCCACACCTCGCCTGTCAAAACATCACATCCCAACTCCCCACAAACCCTCCCTCACCATCCCGCACGTCCGCGCCATCAACACAGCCGAGCATGCACCCCCCAAAGCGAACATTGTCCGTGCGCCAAGCCACTTCATCTGCATTCCATGATTGAAGCTAAAGTTGCCGCATTGGGGATGATGGGTCACGTGCAAGCAGGGATAAGGGCTGCGGGTATGAATGTAACGGCGGGTTTGACTCGGTGACGGGCGGGCTTGGGCTGTGGGTAAGGGTTGGAGGGTGATGTGAGAGATTTGGAGCCTGATGAGAAGGGAGTGGTGTGGGGGGAGAAGTTTCGTTAGAGGGTTTGTAGTGTGTGAAAGTGGTGTTTGGAACGGCTTTGGGTTGGTCTGTATGGAGCGTTGCCTTGTTTTTTGTTGTGGTGAAGGTGCTAATTGGTATGTGATAATGTTGGTGGAGGGTGTGGTGAGTGCTTGTGTCCGCAGGTTCTGTTCGTGTTTAGTCCTTTCATTACCCGGCATGGACAGGAGACTTACGCAAGATATTGATATCGATTTTGTCCTAGTAGCTTTCGAATCAGACCGGACGTTTCCATCTCTCAAATTTGTTTTGTTATTCTGAGTGACCTCCTCTCACAGTATTGGCGCTCTTCTATATTGAAACAAGAGATTTGCAATGTACAATCTGCTTTTCAATCCTACCCCTTCTACTAAAGAAAACGTCAAGCACAACCCATGACTTCGATCGTTGAAACAGCAATGAATATTGTGATATGCGCTGTCTTTGCTCGGAGCAAAGGGAAATGTAGAAGCTGTTGTAAAATATAAAATATACTTAGTGCACTCACTCAGAAGCATCGGCATCGTCACTGGCGTTGTTTTGCAGCCGAAAAACGTGTAGAGTTACCAAAATATCACTATGATTGCCGATAAAGTCCTACGAAGCATGCTTAAAGTGCCCGTCCCTGTGGGAGGGTATATAGATTCAACTACATCACCGTCTGTCTCTTCTTCGTTTTTCTCAATTCCTTGTCAAAACTCGAAAGGAAAAAAGCTAGGCCCGGACCTGTCACACAAAACACAGTTTCAGATTTACGGTGGTTGGCAGATTTATTGTCAAAACAAAGAAAGGCGTAAGTTTGGATTGCTTCGACCCGAGAGAAAAAGGCATGATTCATACACATTGATAAAGAAACATTCACGCTTTGAGTTGTGAGGCTTCAGTGACAGGGTTCAGTTGAGCCTGAGCATGATGGTGGTGCGACAAAGTTGCAGCCCCGTTTTCACGACTTTTGCTTTTGTTCGTTTGTGCCCAGAGACAAGTGGCTAGAGTAGTGGATCATGTAACGAGACCTATCACGTACCGAGAGTTGATTGCGCGCAATTCTCAGCCCCTCCCTACTACAGAATTTTAGAAGTAATTAAAAAGTAGAACCTTTGTTACCTATCTACTAAAAAGAGTTTTCTTATTCTAAATCTCTTAAAATAGTTTTCTTACTGCTTATCTAGCTAACAGAATAGAGGATTAAAGTTCTAAGGGCAATATATTAAAATTAAGAATTTAAGCCTAATTAGAGAGAAAGTAAAAAATTACTCTTAGGAAGATTTCTAACACAAAGATTTATCTCTAATATAGCCTAATTAGATTGTTAATGCAGCTTTTTGTTGTAAAGTTACAGCGTTGCGAAGTCGACTCTCGGTACGTGATCGGTCTCGTTACATGATCTACTACTCTATGGTGATGTCGGACGGTGTCAATGCCCAGACAAGGCACTCCTGCCTTGGCAGACACTGCCACGAAATGCCTTAGGCATAGACGGCAATGTCTTGGGAGCGGACTTGGATGGTCGTTCAGCGGAAGCGCCGAGAGGCAGTGAGAGAGCGGTCTGCCCTGCGGTGGTACCTCGATGCGCTGCGACTGGGGACTACCTCGGACAAAAGATGGGTGTACGAGGTAGGCGGTGTCGCAGATTACGGTAGAGTCTACGCTTGGGCGATCTTTGCCTGAGTCGCAATTTCTGGCAGTGTCAAGCGCAAGATTACTGAGACCTGCCATGGCCAGAACGGTGGACCTTGGCGAGAGATGACGTCGACATGATAGGTGACGCGCCAGCGCATGACGCTCGCAGCCGTCAGTCACTCCGCGCGACAAAGACGCAGACAAAGGCGGAGGGCGATTGCAGTCTTGTTCAGTCGTGCTGCGGCAGTTGGCGACGAGTAAGTGAATTCTGAGGCGGTGGTTGTTCTGCGACAGCAATCTGCAGGGGCAGAGTGGAGCGCGTGTTGTGGACCTTGGCGTTTTCGCGCAGTGCTGGCGCCAGGAGCTGGAAGCTTGCTCGAAGCTCTCCAACCTCCGTGCCAGCCCTTGCCGTCATTGTTGTTGACTGCCGACAAGACCTGCTGCGCCCTCCTCATCTCTGCGCTACCCTTATCCCGTTCCCACGCATCCCTAGAGTGCATACAAGACACTGCCTCGATTCCTTAAATTGTCTTGTCCGCCAATTGCAAGCTTCTCTCAACCCGCTACACCTCCAATCCGCCGGAACTTAGCTCTGCGACGATCAAGCTCTGCGGCCATCACACGTATATCTGCCATCCGCTCCCACGCGCATCCTGACCCCCCTCGACCACAGCAATGAGTAAGTCAACGTCCCTTTTTGTATTACCGCCGTGCGCAGTACCCGGCCGTGGCAGACCAGGGCCTTAGCCGGCAGCTTCCTCATCAACACCTCGTTCGTCGGGGATCCTTGGCTACATGTGCCCTCGATATCATCCGGGCGCAGCAGCGTCCATCTCATCTGTCGACCTCGTCGCTAACCATCGCACTCGGCAGAAACCATAAGAAAAGAGTTCAACAAGCACGGTCGTGCACCTCCCCGTGTCATGCAGGACAACAGTAATGGCCACAACGAGTCGACGCCGCTCATGGGCGGCCGCTCCAACGGCGCGAGCTACGAGCAAGAGGAGCCAAAATGGAAATCGATTCCCAAGCGTGTGCTGCACTTGACCTGGGCCACATTGACGAGCAGCTACGTTAACGTCCTCCTTGTCTTCGTGCCCATTGGCATCATCGCTGGCATAATGAGCTGGAACCCAACCGCCGTCTTCATCCTCAACTTCATCGCCATCATCCCGCTCGCCGCGCTCTTGAGCTTTGCGACCGAGGAACTCTCTGCAAAGCTTGGCCAGACGCTGGGTGGATTGATGAACGCGACCTTTGGAAATGCTGTTGAACTTATCGTCTCGATTGTTGCGCTCAGGCAAGGCGAAATCCGCATTGTGCAGGCCTCCATGCTGGGTAGCATTCTCTCCAACATTCTTCTCGTGAGTAGAACAACGACAACAGCTATTTTGCAACGCTGACAGCAAATTACAGGTGCTAGGATGCTGCTTCCTCTCTGGCGGAATCCGCGAACAAGAGCGCAGCTTCAACACTACCGTCGCATCCACCATGTCCTCTCTCATGGCCGTCGCCTCCGCATGCCTTATCATCCCCGCGACCCTCTACGCCGTCATGGCCGATGGCAAGCCTGCTCATGACGCCGAGGCGCAAAAGACTGTTTTGTTCCTCTCGCACGGCACCGCCATCATCATGCTTATCCTCTACATCCTGTATCTCTACTTCCAGCTCTACTCGCACCACGCCCTGTTCGCCGATGTCGAGAACCAGGAGGGTGGAGACGAATCCGAGGACGGTAACATTCTCTCGCCTTTCGCTGCTGGTGTCGCCCTGGTCTTCGTGACTATCTTGGTCGCCGTCTGCGCCGAGTTCCTAGTCGACAGCATTGACTCTATTGTCGAATCCGCGCACATCAGCAAAACATTCGTCGGCCTGGTACTCATACCTATCGTCGGAAATGCCGCCGAACACGTTACAGCCGTTATTGTCGCATTCAAGGGCAAGATGGATCTCGCTATCAACGTCGCCATTGGTAGCTCCCTGCAGATCGCCCTTTTCGTTACGCCTTTCCTTGTTATTCTCGGCTGGATCATCCACGAGCCCATGACACTGCAGTTCCAGGGCTTCGAGACCATCATCTTCTTCATCTCGGTTCTCATTGTCAACTACCTCATCCAGGACGGAAAGAGCAACTACCTCGAGGGCGCAATGTGTCTTGGAACGTAAGTCAAATCCCAAGTTTGCTAGCATGCCAGTTTGAAGCAATTGCTAACATGAAATCAGATATGCAATCATCGCGCTCGCGTTCTACATCTACCCTGATGAGAAGGCTGGTGACATCACCGCCGAGACCGTCAAGAGGTTCTTCACTGCCCACTAAATGCGATGTTGTCGCTCAATTGTCGCAACAACATTAATGACGGGCATTTGAGTAAGCGCTCGCAGTGCGGCGCAGCCTCCGTATTTTCAGTATATATCGGATACTAGCTCAACACATCTCTCTTGCATAAAAGAGGTGTGAGAAATGCATATCCAATATTCTCCTTTGTTGTTTTCCCAACTTTTCTCTTGTTATGTACGAATACACACATGGCTGTCACTTCCATTATGGCCAAAGGGTAGTGTCTCTTGGCGTTGTATGCAGTCGTCCTCTTGCGGAGCCGGTGTCTTGATTTCAATGTTTCATTATTGCTCTGAAAAACTAGCGTGTTACTTGGTCGAGAAGTATTTTGGTACAGATGAATATGTAGGAATAGTATACCAATTGAAGGAAAACAAACTCACCATCTACGGGTGGGAGACAATAACTTCTGGCGTCGACGTGTATACTTCGCACTCATGCATAACAACAGTCCACCGGAAACATGTCAAGCATGAGGTCCTCACGTGGAATCCGAAAGCAAGTATGTATACACATCAACATTCGAATTCAATTCCAGATCCATCCATCCCCTTTCTCATCACAGCAACCCCCTCTTCGCAAACTCCCCCATCCCCGCCGCCCAAACCAAATACCACGTCCGACTCGCCCCGCCATCAATCCACGCATCGTCCCAAAACCCCTTGACGCCATCGCGAAAAAACGCATAACTAGCCTTCGCATCAATAAGCGCCAGATTCGCATACAAGATGCCGCGCCACCCGCCGTCCACATCAGCGCGCAGACCGCGCCCGAGACCTAGGTCCGAGAACAGACGGTCCCATTCTTCTTTTACGAAGGCGCGCGGGCGCAGGTAGGAGGTTGCTGGGTTGATGGGCACCATGTGGATGCCGTGGATTAGGGAGGGGGCGGTGCCGAAGTATGCTGGTGGGTTTTAGTTGGGGGTTGAGGAGGGTTGGGGGAGGGCGGGAAATAGGGGGGGAAGGGGGTGTAGTACTTGCGTAGTCGGCTTTATTCTCGAATAAGATGCCTGTTACTTTATTCTGGATGAAGCGCGAGGGGTGGTTTTTGTTTGTGGACTGGAGGTAGAAGTACGAGTTGAACGAGCGGGCTTGGATGGCAAGCATGAGGTTTCCTGTTTTTTTTTGGGTGTCAGTCCTTCACTCCCCACTCCCACCTCACACATTTCATACGGCGTACGTTACGTACCTCTCTTCTCCATATTCACATCCCCAACAACCTTCCCCCACATCTTCACCGCAAAACTCGCAAACCCATCTTCACTCGTACTCTCCTGGTCCTTGCCGTCGGCGCTCTCAAACACCCCCTTCGCCCAACTATGTCCATGCCACCAGTCGAAGCTCCTCGAAAACGGATAATCCCTGCCGCGATACTCGCTCTCCGCGAAGTCCTTGACCAGCATATTCGTCCACGCGCGATTATCCCCAGCGGCCAGCCACTCCGGATCCAAGTACCCGATGACCGCAGCGCAGTACACAAAGTACCCGTAGTGGAAGTGATGGTCGTTGTAAAACGTATTCCCAAAGTCGGCGCCGGGATCTGCAAACCCAGCGCTGGACACGACGCCCTTCCAGCTGTCGTCGTAGTAGAGTGGGAAGCGCTGCTGGTTCGCCACGTAGCGGGCGAATTCCGACTTAAGCTTGTCGAGGCCGGCGGTCGCGAGGGCGGTGTTGGATAGCACGTCTTTCGTCACCCAGACGATGGTTGCGAACTTCGCAAGGGATTTGCCCGCGTAGTACATTGAGTCTTGCGGTGTGGCTTCGGCCATTGCGCGGCGTAGGTCGCGCTCTGCGACTGCGCTGATGAAGGCGAGGACTTCGGGGGGGTAGCGCACTTTGGATGTTGTGCTGTTGGGGGTCCAGGGGCCGAAGGACATTGTTACGGGGAGGTTGGGCTCGATGAAGGTTAGTTTTTCGGCCCAGATGGCGGTTGCGGTGCCTTTGGTTGTGGTGCGGAGTTGTAGTCTTGTGACTTGCTTCTTGAGCTCTGGGTCGAGGGATTGGATGTGGTGTGGTAGGGCGAATATGAGGAGGGGAGAGGTGCCGATCTTTGTGTAGCTCAGGGAGTAGACGCCTCTGCTGTCGTCGACGGTGGCAGTGATTCTGGCTTCGCAGACGAATGCTCCGCAGGCTCGATCGTACAGCGCTTCTCCTTCTGCTCCGAGGGGGTTCTTCGCGACTTGGATGGTGCCTTTGAAACCTGGGGGTCCGAGGATGGTGTTCGTGTCGATGCGCACAAATCTCGTGGCGTCGTAGTCGACGTCTGGAACAGGGTTGATATATATGACCCAGTCCCTACCGTCCAAATCCTTAACACGATACTTCACCGTTCGTCCCATCAAGACCGGCGGGCCAAACTCAACAAACCCCTTCCCACCAGTCTGTATAATAGGCGTAGCATCACGATACCCAGCCGTGACAAAGCTCATACCCTGCACGAGCGGAAACGTCATCTTCGGCTGCTCCCCCTGCAACCCAGAATGCAGATTAACATTGACCGAGAACGGCAAATGCGTATCGGTGGTAAGAAGAGTCTGCTGGCCCAATTCCCTCGCCGACAAAACAATGCACTGTTTCCTCGGATTGACATAAACCTGTGCGCACAAGATGATTAGCACCACTCACTACCCACCAAGCCCCCCCTCACACACATGTAAAAACAACAAACCTTCGCAGGATCCCCCTCCTCAAACCCCAAATCCCCCTCCTCCACATGCCCAACATTCAAGCCCATACTCCGCACCACCCCGTCCTCCTCCCACCCCCTCCCCCACCACACCGAATACGGATGTGTCCAAACAGGCTGATTCTGCTGACCCAGAAATGCGTTTGCGTAGAATTTATTCGTATGCAGCGTCCTCAGGTCGTCATCTTCGACTCCCTTCCTAGGAACCGGGTGGTGCCGGCCGATGGGGATCTGGGGGAGTATGTGGTCGGGCTGGATGGGCGTGAAGATGTTGTCTGGGGGGATGGTATCGTCGGGTATGGTCGTGCTATGGCCGAAGTGCGTGAGGAGGTTTTTTCGCGTCATGTGGAGGGCGTCGGTCCAGGAGTCTTTTTTGGCGTGGGAGGGGGGTTTGGATGGGGTGAGGTGGGATAGGGAGGCGCCCATGTATGGTGTTGGGGTTGGAAGGAGGTGTGGGGTGTATGTTGTTGTAGATATAGGGATAGAAGCGGCTGGTAGGTGTATAGGTGGAGCAATAGGAATAGGACGTATAGACGTGAGGGTATCAGGGGAGACAGCAGATGTTGTCGAGAAATTCCATGATGAAGTCTGGAAAGGAGCAAACAGGGTAGTTTGCTAAAGCATGTGTAAGTTCGTCGTCACTTCCCCAAGAAAACACAATACTCACCAACAAAGCAAACGCCTCCAAGCCCCCTACTCTCCCATCCCTAACGCTCGAAACCCCCACCCTCCCTTCTTCAGCACTAATTATCATACTTTCCGTACCTTCCCCTTTCATTCCCACCGGCATCCCAACACTGCACGACACAAACAAGCCCAAGCATGCCACCCATTCCCGTGAGGATGTCCACATACTCGAACAACAAAGTCAGAACGAGACAAGACGTCCATACACAGGAGTAAATATACAAACCCCCTAGTAAAAGCACAAACCGTAGGACATACCAAAAATGTATACGTGACAACACCGTAACCCCGAGTACTCGACATACCCCCACATGCCAGAGAACGAGATATACAAACACAAACGGGCATGGACGGCGTACAACCTCCACCCTGACCTTGTCCACCGGTACAAAGGCACCCGTAAATGCTATCAGGCCTCTCTCCAGCAGACTCGCACAAACAAGCTGGTATCATAATCTAATTGGGACAGGTATTGGGAGTACGAGACGAGCATGTGCCCTGCATACATAGGGAAAGCAGGTGCTCGCCGCGGAAGACGTGGAGTCGTGATACATCAGTCCCGGCGGGCTGTTGCGCAAGGCCGTTACGGTGTGTTACATCCGGGGCGTAGGGTTCAGCTCTTGTCGTACAACGGCCGGAAAATGACAAGACGTTGAGAAGTCATGCGCAGAGCTCTGCGCAGTGAAGTGAAGTAAAATCCTGCTGTCATTCAAGCATACACACATACACAACCCCTCCATACCCAAAACAACACCAACCCACCCCTTAAACCATAGGTTTCCGCAACGGCGCCACAACCCCCTGCCGAACAATAACCCTCGGCCTCGTCCCCTCCTGAAACGTCTTCTTAGTAGTCCACTCCCTCCCCTTGGGCACCCTAAGACTCCTCTCATACTGCTCTCGACTCTCAAACGGAAACGGCAACTGACCAGCCATATACTTAATATTGGGCTTAACCCGCTTCTCATTAACAATCACCCTATCGAGCTTCGCGTCTTTCCGGCGCTCGGCTTGAATGCCCTCGGTTGCCGTGACCGTTTTATACCCCTTGTTGCGCTTGGCTTCGCGCTTCGACATGCCGGAGCCGGTCCAGGCGCCCCAGCCGGGGAGGTAGGATGTTGTTTGTGTGGCTTCTTCGAGGGCCGTGGTGGCAGTTTTTTCGGCGAGGAAGTCGGCGGCTACGTTGTCGCCGGCGAAGGCGGTGGAGGTCAGGGCTTGGTTGCGTAGGATGACGGCCATGTCTAGGCCGTCGTGTTCGGGGTCCGAGGCTGCTGCTTCGTCGTTGGGGGCGGTGGCGTCGTCGTCGTCGTCTTGGTCGCCGAGTACGGTTGCCCAGCCGTCGTCGTCGGCGGCCGTGATGCGTTGTTGGAGGAAGGCGTCGACGGAGACTTGCTGGTCGGGTTTCGCTTGGGCTTTAGCCTTTGACTTTGATTTGGACTGTGGCTTGATGGTGTCCTGGGCGGCGGGTTCGTCGTCGGCTGTGAAGGGGAAGAGCTCAGGTTCAGGTTCAGCCTTCTTAGACTTTGTAGCTTTTGTCAAGAACGGATTGAACGGCGGCTCATCCGTTTCCGGCGCCGCGGACTTTTGAGCCTTGCGCGCCCCGTTAGAAACACCTGTAGCGAAAGGGTTCTTCGTCTTCTCAGTCTTGCGTGACCCGTTTGACAATCCGCTCGCAGTGGGCTCAGCAGTTGCTGTGTTTTGACCTTCCTCGTCGTCAGAACCAGGGTGCTCCTCAAACTCGTTGCGACTAATCTGGATCGCTGGGGCAGCAACACCACCAGGACCGTACTTGCGACGTCCAACCCGCGCAGCATTCTCATTCCCGTCTTCGCTATCACTGTCACCAGCAAGCTCCCGACGCATGCTCTCCACAGCCTGGTCATTCTGAAGACGTCTCGCTGCTTCAGATTTCTGCATAAACGCCATCTGCCCCAACTTCGACTTATCCGTCGAGAAAGGATTCTGTGTGAGTTTGCCGAGTGACTTTTGCAGGACCTCGCTGTCAGATATTTCTTCGTCATCATCATCTTCGCTCTCGTCTTGCTCACTGGGTACATCGGAGCCCTCGTCGTCACTATCACGAATAGCCTTGCCTTCGACACGGCGGCGAAGCTCCTCATTGCGCTTCGCCATCTCGGTGACACCAGCGAGCGCATCCTCATCCCAATTAGCCCGCCCGGTAGCTTTGATACCCTTTGCCCATTTGCTCTCGCGGTGCTTGGCGCCCATGCGCTCCTCAGCTCTCCGACGGTCGTTGTACTCGCGCTCCTCTTCGGAGAGATCGATACCGTCAGCCTTGAGCCCTTCGCGCTCCTTCTGCAGCAGCTTCTCGCGCTCTTTGCGGTGCACGCGACGGTAAGACTTGCTCTTGATCTTCTTGATGCGCTTGGCGCGGACTTCTTCACGGAAGAGGAGTTCTCGCGCCATCCGCAGCTGAGCGCGCCGCTTCATGACTTCTTCGAGGGGCATCTTGTTGGTCTGTAGCTCCTCCCACTTCTGGATCTGCTCCTCGTCGTCTTTGCCGTTTGACAGGCCGCTCTGCTGGAGAATGGACTGGATGGTGCTCTCGAGGTCGTTTGCAGGAGCAGCGCTTGTAGTGGGCAGGAGGCGGTCTTCACCCATGGGCTTGCCTGCAGACCTGTGCTGTAGGGGAAACATGAGGTGCTCGGCGCGACGGTTCTGCTTGATGGTGTCAGTCCAGCGGTCGAGGGTCTCGTTCGCTTTGGTGTTGGCGGCCGCGCGGTCTATCTTGTCCTGCTGTCGCTTTGGGAGCGGAGCGTCCAGCCTCCTAGCAATATCGTTTCGCTTGGACGACTTGTCGTCTTGCAGCAGCTTGAGCGCCCTCTTCTTCTCTTCGTCGGCAACCTTGGGCTTGAAGCTGAGAAGATCGACCTTCCTCGAGACGCCGAACTCGTCGGGCACAGCGGATTCATGGACCTCGACTCGCTTGCCCCTCTTCTTGCCCTCGTCTGCCGTTGCCAGCGAGGATATGAGATGCTTCAGCTGCGCCTGTCGGTCCTCTTCGTCCTCGTCGTCGTCAGATGAGGTCAAGTCGGATGCACCGTCGGCGGCAACATCCTCCGCTTCACTCGGCCCCTCCTCTTCGCTGTCGTCAAAGGCAGAAGCCTTCTTCTTGTCCTTCTTGCTCCTCTTCTCTTCCCTCTCGTCCTCCTCATACTGGTCCAACGCGGTAGCAAGATCAATAGCGTCCTCACCCAGATCGTCTTCATCATCCTCTGCATCCGCGCTATCCCCCTCATCGAGATCCATATCGCTATCCTCAGCCACAATCTGCCTCTTCGCCTTCTTCCCCTTGGGCTTGCCCTTCATCGTCGAGCTCCCACGGAACGTATACCCCTCGAAACGCTCCTCATCGCTCTCGCCAAACGCCTCGTCGGAATCAATATCCTCATCATCATCATCCTCAACATGTCCCATAGTCCACGTGTTCCCCTCAGAATCACTGCCCTCGTCAAAACTCTCATCCCCCCTCCGCCGCTTCTTCTTGTCGTCTTCCTCATCCTCTTCCTCGTCGTCGTCATCCTCACGTGTCCGCTTGCGAGCAGACGGCCCTTCTACTTCGCCGAGGCGGTTGCGGCGAATCTTCAGCGTGTCGGGGTTCTCGTACTGTGCGATGGCGAAGGCGTTGAGGGCGCGCTTCTGTGCTTTCTTAGGGTTGCGCGCATAGGTGCGAGATTTGGCATCTTTGGCGGGCGCACTGCTCTGCGCCAAGCTGCGGGATACACGGGGCGGCATTATCGTCTTGTTGTGGTGATTCACGCAGTCAGGCAAGCCGTGGAAATGGGAAATGGCAGACGACTTTGCGAAATCTTGGCGAGATATTTTTTGCGGGAGTTGCGCACGGACCTGCATTTGCGGACCACCGAGTGCGAGTGAGCGAGGGAACGATGGCAACAACGACTTTGGACGGCTGGCTGCGTTGATTGCACGAAATTGACTCGACGACATCCCATTCACAATTGCTGTCGCCATCTAATACAACGCCACAATGTTCCGCGCCACGCCCTCCCTCCAAAAAACCCTCCGCCGCCTACCCCTCTCGCCCAAGCAAGCCGGCGTAGAATACTACAAGGGCAACCGCGTGGGCAACCTAGGCAGCATAGACGAGTACGGTAACTTCGCGCCCGACTGGGCCAAGATTAGGACCTATGTGTATCCGCTGCACGGCACCAAGAACACCGAGGTGCGTCCTGTCCTAGTCCCATAAAAGAGCACGGCATGGCATGGCATGACGAGAGAGAAGACGTGGACGCTGATATTTTGATTCTTGCAGTTGACGCCTTTCGTCGGTTTGTCCATTGAGACGACGCGCCGCTCTGACATGGGCGAGTCGGAAAATTACCCCAAGAGGTTCACGGGCGAGGATTATTTGCGCGCGTGGAAGACGGCTGGCGGGCATGATTTGGTTGAAGGGCAGGGGGAGGCGGGGCCTAGGGTTAATATGCCGGAGCCGTTTGAGGAGAAGACTGGGACGAAAGCTTAGGGAAAGAGATGTGTTATGGGAGATAGGAAGTTGAAACTTGAAGCTTGACGCTTGAGGCTTAAAGCGTGGAGCGTAAAGTTGAGTTGAAGAAGAAGGCGAAGGGAGAAGATACGACAGCATTGCAAGGCGTTTTCGACTATGGGGCACCAATGGGGAGGGTAACTGTAACTGTAAGAGAAGGAGCTGTGATCATATCATCTCATATCAGTCAAAAAGAAATGGCCACTGGAACTGTAAGAGGAGGTGCAGTCTTTGTAACCTTTTAGTTCAAAGAGAATGGCTTTTCTCGTTTTAAACGACTCAGACAGCAACGTACCATCGAACTTGCTTCAGCTTGATGAGTTCTTGGTTTTAGAAAGACCAATAAACCATAAAACATTTTCTCTACTTCCAGCGTCAAAAGCGTACAGGAAAGTAAACACTTCAAACATGATACATGGATATTCACATCCACACAGCAAAGTCATTTCAGAATTATATTTCACATAAACCCCTTCAACAACAACTCGACAACCGCCTACGACGCACCCGTAAGCGCCTGCTTCTGCATCGCCTCACCACTCTCATTCGCCGGCTCCAATCCCATCTTACTCGGCCCACAAAGCTGCACGCCATCCTTGCTAAACCTACTCCCATGTACGGGGCAATCCCAGCTCTTCTCCGTCGAGTTCCAGCACACCACACCCTTCAGATGGGGACACAAGGCACTGAACTTGTGCACCTGACCGCCGTCGTCCTTGTACACCGCCAACGGCTTGTGAGTCGCCGAGTTGAGAACACCACCTTCACCTGGAACCAGATCCTCAATATCCTTGATGTCGGATTGCAGAAAGCGCTTGTACTGCGAGTTGATCTGCACGTCGTGCGAGACCAGCGCGGGCAGCGATTTCAGCATGGAAACAATGCGCTTGGGGTCGTAAGCAGAGGCCCATGGGTTTGCTTCGCCTGTGATGCCGTCCGCGATGAGCTTTCCTGCTAGCACGCCGTGCGTGAGGCCGTTACCTGAGTCACCTGTTACAATGTAGATGTGTTTGCAGCCTTGGTTCAGGCCGATAAAGGCCATCAGATCTACGGGCTCGAAGACTTGTCCGCTCCACTTGTAGTCGATGGACGTAGCTTGGGGGAAGCGAGCACGCGTCCATTCCTCCAACTCTACAAATGGTGCCTTTGTGTCGCTCTGGCCTACTTTGTGGTCGCCGCCACCAACCACCATGTAGTCATGTTGTTCGTCGCACTCGGTCAGGCGGACGTACTTGTACATCTCGGCGGAGTCGTAGAAAAGAGCGTCTTCGACGGAGCCCTTGGGCACCCGGATTGCAATACAGTATGTGCGGTAAGATTCCTCTTGTGCGACAACTGACAGCTTCTGGAGAGGGACGCAGGTGGCTTCAACAGCGTCGGCACACTTGATTGTGTGGCCGTCTATAGTCTTGACATATACATCCTTCGATCCCATACCCAGAATCTCAATCCCCTTCTCCTGCACGTCAATGCATCGTGTGTTGGTGTAGCACGAGAAGTTCGGTTGATTCCTGAGGAACTCAAGGACACCGGCACAGTACTTTGTTGGGTGGAAAGTGGCTTGGTTGCTGTAGATGACGGCATCACTCTGATCGATGTTACCTTCCCAGCCCTTGAGCTTGAAGCCTTCCCTGTATTCTGTCATAAGTCCTAGCTCTTTTGCTTTTCGGCCCTCTTCAATGAGAGTCTTGACATCGTCCGCATGCTCCTTTGTTCCTTTCGGATACTGCGAGAAGTCGTAGCCTGGGAGCTGACGGTACTCGCACTCGATACCCAGCTGCTTGGAGATCTCGCCAACGCGGTTAAGCGCCCATTGATGCGACTCAGCTGCAGCCTTTGCGCCCTTGTCACCGTGCTTTTTCGCAATGTCAGGATAGCCATCATCGAGGTCACTAGCTAGGTGACCAGACGTACGGCCCGTCTCGCCCGAAAGGACCTCGCGACCCTCAATCAAGACGACATTGCGACCGCGGGTCACGAGCTCGTATGCAATTGAAATTCCAGAGATACCAGCGCCAACAATGCAAACATCTGTCTCAAGATCCCGGTCGAGTTTGGAAAATCTGGGCAGGCTCTTGTAGGGCGTGGTGTGAATCCAGACTGGGTCGGTCTCTCCGCTGGTGTACATGAAATGTTGGGGTTCGGACATGGTCGACATACTGAGTCGCTTTGTCAGGGTTGGAGATACCTGAAACCGGTGGCTTTGTGATGTAAAGAGCGGATAACGTGCTGCCCGTATGAAATTCGTTCGCACGGTGTGTCGTAGGAGAGTGGTAGTCAGAAGACGGGGAGCAAGGAGCGACATATTTCTAAGAGAAGTTGCGGGGCCTGAGGGCATGCACGTGAATGGGATGTGGTATGTTTTTGAAGCTGCCACTGCCCGAATTGTAAATAATGATGACGGCTCGATGTAATAAGTTCTCCGCGATTGGCTACATGAGTAGTTGCGGTAAGGTGAGCGTGTTGTTGTCAAGACGCCAACCAGATGCTCTGGTAATGCTTTGACGATGTGATGACGTTTCCTGTGCGACAACTGCAAGCCTCCCTCGGAGCTGTAAACAGATAAGAACAACAAAACTCCATATTTTACAAGAAAAAAGAATGAAAGAGGGTAATGTGAACGCATATTATACCATGGGATCGCTAAAGTTGAGTCTGAATAGGAATAGAATACAGTGCTGTTCGGCGCTAACAGGGGAAAGTGAAATGTGAAATATGTACTGCATGCAAGTCTAGCGTTACACCTGGATAGGACTAGAAATCATCTACGATGTATTGCATGTCCATGTTCCAGTACCTAATCGATCGTGCCTGTCTGAGGTCTGGGGTCTGGCACCGCGGAGCGTTCGCAAGCTCGTGCTCGAGCTGGGGTAAGCGGGCCGCCTCAAAGTTTATATCAATAGCGTTGGGCTAAGTACCTGAGTATCGTCAGTGCTGCGCACATCAATGACTACATTATCTGTGATCGTGAAGTCATACTCACAGGCCTGAATTCATACCTGTCCTTCCTTAAGCAACTTCTCAGCGACATCCCTCAGCACAAACTTCTTGATCTTTCCACTTCCCGTAAGCGGCACTTCGGCGCTACAGTCCTCTCCAAGCCAGAACACATGCGCGGGAGCCTTGTGCCTGCCGAGTACTTTTCTGACCCAAGCCTTGACCTCTTCAAGTGACGGCTTCTCGGCGCCCTCTTGTTGTTCAAGAAAGGCTGCAGGTACCTCGACGTAGCGCTGATGTGATACACCCACAACAATGGCGCGCGCAATGGAAGGATGTTGTACCAGTCGCTCTTCAATCTCGAGCGGATATATGTTCTCTCCTCCTACAGTTTGATAAGTATCGTCCATGACTAGGAACCATGTATGCAAAGTATGTACCTCGAATGATAATGTCCTTGAACCGCCCTGTGATCGTGCAGTATCCGTCAACGTCCAGGACAGCTTCATCGCCAGTATGTAGCCACAGCTCACCGTGCTCATCCCTGACCAGAAGTTCCGCTGTTTTCTCCGGATTTTCCCAGTAGCCCCTGCACATCTGGTAACCAGTGATGCAGAGCTCCCCTCTTACGCCGATCGGCACGACCATGTTTTCTGTATCAACAATCTTGACCCGAGCATGTGGCAGCACAGTTCCGACAGTTGTCAACCGTGCATGCAGTGAATCAGTAGTATGTGCATTGAAGACGGTAGGACTCGCTTCGGTGAGCCCGTAGCTAGATGTGAAGTCCGTCATGCCCAGTTCGCTGACCATGCGCTCCATCAGCCAACGGGGCACAGGACTTCCCGCTACAATACCAGTACGAAGCTCCGATGTCCAGCCAGAGGGCCTCTCGGCGCTGAGAATCGAATCTATCATTGCTGGTACGCCGTGCAGAGCAGTACAGTGCTCGTTGGAGATAGCGTACATGCATGCGACAGGATCAAACGACTCGGCCGGAAAGACGATCTTGCCACCATGTGTGAGAGTTGCAAGGAGACCAAGGGTAAGGCCAAAGCAGTGAAAAAGAGGTGGTGGGCAGCAGAGCGTGTCATTGGGGGTGAGCTTCATGCGATCGCCGATAAACCGAGAGTTGTTGATGAGATTACTGGAGCAAGGTTAGTAGTCACTCGCCTTGACAAAAACAATCACACGTACTGGTGTGTCAACATCGCAGCCTTTGGATTTCCAGTGCTGCCACTTGTGAACTGAAGATTCGCAACGTCATGCGGGCCTATTATACCATCAAACATATCGAGGATATGGTCTGGCACCCTATGCGCTTCGTCTAAAAACTCGTCGTAGGGAATGAACCCTTCCTGGTTACCTCGTATAAGGCACACAGTCTTCAAATCTGGCAATATTGAGGTGATTTCCGCATCTCGAAGTTTTTCTAATAAGGGAGTGTTGTCAAACTTTGCGATTGTTGGCGTGGTGAAAAGAACTCTACATTCTACATCAATTAGACCAAGTGTCGTTTTCCACATGATGGAGGACTTACTCGTATGCCTGAGCGCGTACTTCATCTCCGTCGCTGTATATGTGTTGTTCAATGTCACACATATAGCCCCAACTCTAGCGCAAGCAAAGAATACCGCAATGTATTTCTCGCAGTTCCCGCTCATAATGCCTATCCTATCTCCCGGCCGGACACCATAGCTAAGCAAAGCTCGCGCCAGCAGACTCGATTCGTTCCATAACTTTTGATATGTCCATCGCGCGCCAGTCCATGGTATTATGATCGCTTCGTTGTCTGAATATGCATCGACTTGCTGACGGAGCAGTTGCGAAACTGTGCATTGTAGAAGGGGAGGATCGAGTGGTCCAGAGACGATGGAAAGATTTGGATACGGTGGGAGGATATATGGGTCGATCTGGAGGAGAGTTTGGTTTAGACGTTGGAGGGCGTCGTTTCGCGACTGATCATACAATTCTGCCATATCTTTTGACCATGCAGTCCACCTGATAAGCCCCCTACCCAATTGCAATTGATGGTACGAACGCGAATGAGACTTGATAAGATGTGACAGGGGTAAGATGCCCACTGTGGAATTGAAAGCTAGCGATGAGAGGACGACGTGCAAGATCAACAGCAAGAAGTCAAGCGATCAGCGTTGAATGTTCAAGGGGCCGACTGTCTGCATAGGTTTATCTTCACAGTGGCCACAGTAGGAGCTCGCTGATGACTCGGATCTAAGTATTATGACTATGTATTCCATCATGACAGTCCGCGGGACGAGGAGCGTTGTTTTGCCTAGTCTTGGTTCTCACACGGCCTTGAGAGATGACATGTTCGGCTTGCCTAGCACACCATCAGGTGGTTGGCTCCATTCGGTGGTAATGCCGCTATTGTCGTGCCGTCTCGTTTTTTAGCGGAGCTATGGAGATATTTTGCAGATTGCGTCCTCAGTTGGAAGTGATCATCGCGGACTGGTGGTGAAGCGTGGGAGACGAATCCGATGACAGAACACGGTCCTGCCCCGGTCTTACTAAGAACAGGGGACGGGCATTAATCTCATCTGATAAGATTTGTTTTGTTGGGCGCACAGTCGCTAGCGGCGTCGGTGGTTAACTGCTTGAAGCCTGGTGTGGCAAATTCTTTTTATCAGATGGAAGGCTGGCGGCGGATGGGGCGTGGAGGTGGAAATGCCCACTCGCGGGCCGGTGTTAAATTCGGTTACATAAAGTTATCTGATCCGCGTCTGGCGAACTTGGCATGTGTCAAGGCTCGAGATGTTACATCTGATAAAAAGTTTTGCGCTCGTTGTGGTGGTCCGTGAACACCTTAGGGTTTTGCCGGGTGCATCCATTCTCCTCGGGACGACATTGAATCTGATCTCCAAATTGCCGTTACGTGTTACGCCCACAAAAGTCCACCTGCAGGCCCATGTCGAAACCCTGCGTTCGTCGGCGTCCTGCATGGGCCGGGGTACGCATATAGGGACGGATCAGATAATATCATGGACCGTGCATACACGAGATGACGACGCCACGCATGAATAAAGTTATCAGATCCGTACCCTGCATTAGGCGCACTGAGCAATGAAAGCTCTTACTGAGACATAATTGGTGTTGACCAGGAAAAGTATGACGTGTGCACTATGTCTTCTACAGGTGAGACGTAGCGTATCGGCTGATTTAGAGCGACAACGTTAAGAGTTGTATTTTTCGAAATCTACAAAAACCTTGTAGTTCGGGATCACGCAAGATTTGTTGAACACATAGGGTCTGAATTGAATTAAGTCCATTTCGCATACGATGCCGTTCAACAATCATGGCTGGAATCAAAAACTTGAAGCAAAAACGTGATCATCGCATGTACAGTGGATATCGAGGCTCAACGAAGTGAAATGGAAACCTCATCCCAATTTACAATTTCGCAAGCGCATCCAAACTCGGCCTGACCTTTTTCTCACCATCCCATACGAATGGACTCAACGTGAAGAACTTCTCCCTGTTCACCATCATAAGCGCACTTCGTTTATGTGGCAGGTCCATTAGCTTTTCGACATGGAAACCATGGGCGAAGTCGTACGCCAACACAGTACTACTTGTGGCTGCTGGCTCACCGACAAGATTCCACGTCCGGGGCTCATCCAAGAATATGTAGTGCATGAGTCCAGACCACCAGGCAGAGACTCGATACGGGCCTCTAAACCTGACATCGCCGACTAGTGAGTGCCTGCCGCGGTCATATGGTGATGCCTGGTAGTGAGCACCCATGTGATCCTCCTAATGCCATGTTAGTATCTAGTGTACGAGACAGGTATCAGATGTGAGCCTACCATTGCCCAATAAACTTCAAAGTATGCAAACAGCACATCGTCAAATGCAGCAAACATGGTCAACACATGAGGGTCCTCATGAAGCTTTCGTAAATACTCGCGATGCTGATCTAATGTTCCAGTCTCGTTCCAACCAGCAGCGACACGTGGGTCGTTCTGCCATTGATGGAATAGTTTAAGGTGGTCGTGATTGGTGTAGTCCACAGCGATCATTGTAAAATGCTCCTTCAGATGGGGTATCCAACGGCTGTAGATGATTGATCCAGGTTCAGGCTTGGGTTCTCTTACAGGATGCATAGTGTGCCGTGGTACGGCCGGGAACTGGGTAGACGGTGCAATCTGGAACGGGAACGTAGGGTAGTGTTGGATGATTGGCTTGTTGGACGCATCCAGCCTCGGTGCCCACACAGGGCGAGGACCAAACGGTGACGCAGCACCCTGCCAGAAGCTACCTCTTACAAGCAAGTGTCCATCGTGTGGTGCCGATGTGCTGGAGGCTCTGGGATGAGGATGAAACAGGCCAGTCGCGTGGAGTTCCTGGGCTAGTGACTGCGAGTCCTTGCCGGAAAAGAGAACTCGAAAGTTCTCGACTAAAGGATGCAGCGAAACCAACGCATAGGAGACGAGCCATAGCTGCGGGACGGAAGGTCGCTCTCCAGACCAGGAAATGGTAAGATAAGGTGATCGTCGTGCTCGAGCCCAAGAACTGTTGTCTCCTTTTGGCGGCTCTGCATCTTGAGCTAAGAAAGCAATACCGCTGAATGAGAGTGTTTCGTTGTGCAGTAGCGTTGGTGGAGGAGTCCCTTTGCCGCTGGTGCTTGCGGAAGATGGAAGTATTCGATTGCTTGTAGGCTTGCCTTGTGGAGCAACATTTGTAACTGCATAAGCTGTAAGGTATGGATGTGGAAGCTTGAGGACTAAAGGCCCGACGACAGCGTCTGTTTTCTGTGATTCTTGTGCCATGGTAATGAGGCGGTGCGGTAAAGAAGAGTGCAAGAAAGTCCGAATGATGCAAGTTGGCTGGGGCTGCAACGCGCTCGAGAGTGCTCAAGTTGGCCAAAAGCTCACCGTATGAAGGCCAAGTTAAGCCGAGGTCTCCGGGCGTATTCGACGACTTGGTCCACAGCATTATGCAGTGTCAACGAACGTGCTAACTCGTTGGCCGGTCCAAATAGTCTATAACAGGGGTATATCTTGGCTGGTCACACTATGTGGGCCCTGGTTGAGATGGCCATTGTCGCATGCAGACCCACGTAGGTGGTATGCACCACAGTCGGCGCTAGAACACCGGTCACAGTTTTTGCATCTTGCTTATGTTTTGCTTGACCTTGAAGGTCAGTGCACCTGCACCTGCAATTTGAAGCCGAGCTCACACGATTATACATACCAAATCCTCGTCAAATCAGACGACGAGCCCCGAAACTTTTCTTTGCATCGAACCGAGACAGCTATCACTGCCACTGCTTCCAAGGGCGACATCAGCATACCCATCATGACTTCGACGGAGCAGCCTACCAGACAGCTAGAGCCCATCTCTAACTCGTCTACTTCAAACTCTTCGTTTGATCTCGTCTGCATCGGTTTTGGAGCTGCCCAGCTAGCAACCGCCATTGCGAACCGGGAAGCTCGCAAACCTTCCAATATACTATTCCTCGAGCGAAAGCCTTCATTTTCATGGGGTTCAGGCTCCCATATTGCCAGGACACGCATGGAAAGCCCATTCATCTATGACCTCGCCACGATTCGGAATCCAAGAACAGCGTTCAGCTACGTCAACTATTTGCTCGCTCGCGGTCGTCTCGTTGAGTTCGCAAACTCCGACCGTTTGAATCCTCTACGAGAGGAATTTGAGGATTATATGAAATGGTCCGCGGATCAATTCAAGGACCAAGTGCGGTACGGCTGTGAAGTTGTTGGCGTAGCTCCAGAAACAGAAGCCAGCACAGTAAAGAGTTGGAGGATTGCAGTGAAGGATGGCAATGGAAAGTCGTACACCGTGCGGACAAAGAGCATTATCGCACCATCCCTATCACAACAAAGCAGTACAAAGCCAAGCGTCTTAACCACTGTCGATTTTCTTTCTGGACAACGAATTATCCCGATGAACGACTACTTTTCAAGAAGAATCGAGCTTCGTGGCTTTTGCGAGCCGCGATTAAATGTCTCTGTTGTGGGATCTGGTCAACAAACTCTGGAAACCATAGACGATCTACTGTCCTGCCCTCATTTGGGCAATATTACGGTCGTGACGCAAGATGAGTCTCTGGCTCCATTAAGGATCCTCGGCGAGCAAGAGCCACCAAAGCCGCAACTATGTTCAATCTGGGCTACACCGTCAGGCGAACGACAGCCTTCAGTCACCGAAACGTCGGAGCTCATCCAGAACATCTATTCGCGTGCATACGAGAAACAGGTCGCTAGTAAAGGCGAGTGGACGTTCCGTGTCTTCATCGGCCAAGATGCAGCTGCGCCATGCTCCAAGTCGGACTTCATCGTCAAGGACACTACCGCTGTTCCGCTATCAAGCAGGGAGCTGCTACAAAGCTTGGATACGCTTGTGTTGGGCTGCCATCAGAGAGGCGAAAGCCTGGAAGAGGTGCATTTCAAGCACGGCGCTGTTGCTGAGGATTGCAGGGTGTGGTTAATGTCGGCGCACTCAGAAGGCGGTCGCTCATTGGCAAAGGATATCGCCGTACGAGCCGGCGAGGTGGTGAGTGCGTTGTCGTCACCAACCGAGGGCGCACGGGATAGAATGGTTCTCCACGCCAGGATGTGATGGGGAAGGTGGTGCGAATTGGGCAGGTGCGGGTGGGGCGGCGCTAGGCAAATTTTTATCTGATCGCGCTAGTACATAATCAAATCAATCTGATAATCTCGCTAAGCTCTTCTCCGGCCTCGCTCTCCAGCGACACGTCTCAATTCTCCACCACAGATCGTCACCCTGTGCACGCGCCTGCATAACGCGTGCGTCTTTTCTTTTTCACGCCACGCAAGGCAGTTAGCCTCTATTGACGTTATGCAAACGATTCGGCTACTATGTTGATCCTGGCTATGGTGTCTTGGTGGGACCACTGCGTCCTGGCAAACCTCACGGAGGCGCGTCTGGACATCTTTATCACATCACGACGACGAGTGATCCGTCAACCCTAGAATCAGACTTGGTCTTGTATGCTCGATGCATCTTACCAGGCCTTCGCGGGCGTCTATCAAGCCCTTCTTTGGCTTTATTCATCTTCTTTTCTATGCTGATCCTACATGGCTGGACGTAGTCCTTGTTTGCGTCGGCTGTGTTGCAGCTATCGCAGCAGGAGTCCCGTTTCCCATCGTGGCCATTGTGTTCGGAAAATTGGTTGACGACTTCAACGACGCAACATGCAACCAGGACTCCGGAGGCTCGACCAAGTCAATCGACTCGCAAATCCTTCTATTGGTCTATCTCGCCATTGCCAGCTTGGTCTTGATCTATGTACATCTTGTGTGCTGGAGCATAGCATCTCAACGGTTAGCTCAACGCGTTCGTGATCGATATCTGAGGAATCTTTTACGACAGGACCTGGCTTTCTTCGACAACCTTCAAGCCGGCGAGGTATCTTCTCGACTCAATGGCGATATTCAGGCAATCGAGAGCGGCACCTGCGAGAAAGTGGGTGTTGCTCTAGCATGTGTGTCATTTTGTGTCACTGCATATATCGTTGGCTTCACCAGGGATGCTGAGCTTACGGGCATTCTGATCTCGTTGATCCCTGCATTTTTGCTCATGGCAGTGATTGGCGGTCATTTTTTCGGAAAGTATACTGCGAAGCTGTCGGCATGCTTTGGATCAGCGAGTGCCATTGCTTCTGAGTCTTTAAGTCATATCGGGCTTGTGCATGCTCTCGGGGCCAACACAAGACTTGAGGAGAAGTTCAGAGCTCATCTAGGGGATGCTCGTGAAGCAGGTATCAAGAAGGCGAATACTGCAGCAGTACAGGCCGGTCTACTCTACTTTATTGCATTCTCAGCCAGTGCACTTGGATACTGGCGGGGAAGCCGTAAAATCGCCGATGCGATCGAGGGCAACGGAAACACGACTATTGGACAGATATACACTGTGACCTTCATTCTGTTAGATGGTAGATACCCAATCCTCCCCTTGCTATGTCATTGCTGATTGTTGTTCAGGCGCCATTGTTCTAAGTCAGGTTGCTCCTTTATTGCCACTCTTTGGAGGCGCGGTAGCTGCATTCAAGCGTTTGCAAAAAGACATTGAAACTCAGCCTACCATCAACAATATTTCGGCCTCTTCCGAAAGCCCTTCTATGGTTGATGGATCAATCGAGTTTCGCAAAGTTGCTTTCACATACCCATCAAGGCCTGATCAACCCGTCTTGAACAGCATATCTTTCGACTGTGAAGCTGGAAAGCTAACTGCGATTGTCGGTCTTTCCGGAAGTGGCAAGTCGACCATCGCTAGTCTTATCAGCCGATTTTACGATCCACAGAGCGGGAATGTTTGGCTTGATGGGCATGATGTCAAGGATTTGAATGTTCGAACCCTTCGAGGGTTCATCAGTCTCGTTCAGCAAGAGCCATCACTCCTAGACCGGTCTATTCTAGAGAACGTTGCGCTTGGCCTCATCAACTCGCCGGCACATTCGCACTTGGAGAAAACTTTGCTTAGCGATACCTTGGCACAACTCACGGAGGAGGCTAGAAACGGCCACGATCTTATCGAATCTGCTAAAAAGGCCGGACCTGAGGTGGCCGAAATCATTCATTTGGTTCAGCATGCAGCAGACCTCGCGGATGTTGCTACTTTCATCGATCGTCTCGAGTTTGGTTTCGCCACGCTCGTCGGCTCAAGCGGGAGTCTCGTTAGTGGTGGACAGAAGCAACGGATCGCTCTTGCTCGTGCCTTGGTTCGGGACCCAAAAATTCTCATCCTCGATGAAGCCACAGCAGCTCTCGACTCGGCAAGCGAACAACGAATCCAAGCCGCAATCGAAAGAGCCTCCCAAGGAAGAACCGTCGTATCGATTGCTCATCGGCTGTCGACCATCAGGAATGCATCCAAGATAATTGTCATGAAAAAGGGGACCATCCTTGAGCAGGGCACTCACGAACAGCTTATGAGCCAGGCAGGATCCTATGCAGATATGGTGCATCTTCAATCCGTCAAGCCCACCGGCGACGGGACATCCAGCTCTAGAACAAGTCTTTCCGAATCTGAGATTAGTGTAGTTCCAAACGAAAAACAGGTGTTTGACCCAAAAGAGAGCGATGCAGTCTTGGGGGGCGACGCAAATTCTCCAGATTCAGCGAGCACAACAAAAGAGCAAGTAGTTGCACGTTCGACTCGCAAGACAATGGCTCCACTGGTACGACCGTACATACTTCTTCTTGCCCTCGCATTCTTCGCTGCTTTGATCGTTGGTGGTCAGTACATCGCGTCCAGTCTCTTGTTCGGGAATATCATGGGCGGCATGTCGCCCTGTAATGAGCCAAACTATATTCGATCACGAGGCGAACTTCTCTCCGGAATGTGGTTCATGGTTGCTTGTGTGGTGTTTTTCGCAAACTTCACAAGCTGGTCAGTCTTCGGACTAGTATCTGAGCGATTGGTTTACAAAGTCCGGAATCTGTCTTTACAAGCCCTTCTGCATCAGCCGTTGCAGTGGCACGAATCCGAAGGGCGAAGCCCATCGAGTCTTCTCGAGTTCATCACCAAGGATGGTAATGCCCTAGCCGGGTTCAGCGGCTCTATTGCCGGCACATTGTTTTCCGTCATCGTCAACTTCGTCGGTGCCATCATCCTCTCCCACATCATTGCCTGGAGGATTGCAATCGTCTGCCTTGTTACAGTTCCCATACTTTTAGGTGCTGGGTTTATGCAATTTCGCGCCATCGGACGCTTTGCAGCTAAACATGCCAGTGCGTTCTCGTCTTCCATTGGAGTTACAATCGAGGCAGTCGCAAACATCCGCACCGTCCATGCACTTTCCATCGAAGATGAGATCGTACAAACTTACCGAAGATCATTGGAAGGCCCACGTAAAGAAATGGTGAAGCAGAGCTTGAAGACGAATGTCTGGCTAGCAATTGCCAACTCTTGCGGCTTCTTCATCTACGCCTTGGCGTATTGGTGGGGCTACAGGAACGTCAGTGAGGGCAGATATAAGCAGACCGAGTTCTTCATTATTCTCATAGCTATGCTTGTCTCCGCCCAGCTTTGGGGCCAGCTATTCACCCTTGCTCCTGAGATATCGAAAGCCAAGGGCGCTATATCGCGTATTTGTGGACTCATCGAGCTGGGGGGAGACTCTTCAGGCATACCATCTGGTAGATCGTCTCCGGCTTCCGGTTACAACGCAGATGAGAAGCGAGATATAGAAGCGTTAGGGGAGTCAGCATCACCTGCTTCGCCTGGAGGCGGCGGCGCTCAGGTCGTGTTCCGTGATGTCTCTTTTTCGTATCCCGCGCGTCCTGGCATTCCAGTGCTCACATCTTTGTCGCTTTCCATCCAACCTGGCCAATTCTGTGCACTTGTCGGTCCTTCGGGAGCAGGCAAGAGCACCGTTCTTGCCTTGCTTGAACGCTTCTACCGTCCCACTTCCGGCAGTATTTTCATCAACGGTTACGATATCTCGCATCATCACGGCGTCTCTTTCCGCGACGACATCGCATACGTACCTCAAGCTAATGTGCTTTTCCAAGGAAGCATAAAGTTCAACATCTCTCTTGGAGCGCGACCAGGGCACACACCTACAGATGAAGAGATCCAAGAGGCTTGCAAGCTTGCCAACATCCATGAAACGATTGTCGACCTGCCACAGGGCTACGAGACAGACTGCGGTGCCAATGGCTCGCAGCTGTCGGGTGGCCAAAAGCAACGGCTGTCCATTGCACGCGCTCTAGTGAGGAAACCAAAGCTTCTGCTTTTAGACGAGAGCACTAGCGCTTTGGATGCAGAAAGCGAAAAAGCCTTGGAGCTTGGTCTTGAACGAGCTGTCAAGGGCCACGGCGTTACGGTCATTGCCATCGCCCATCGGCTACGTACCATTGCTAGGGCTGACGTCATCTTCATGGTGGATGGGGGTAAAGTCGTAGATCAAGGAAGACACGAAGACCTTGTGCAGCGTAGTGAAAGCTACCGTGTCAATGCCTTGCATCAGATGGTAGAATAGTCTTGTCCGCATCATCATAATATATTTCTAATCTGTTCAAAACTGATCATATCATACCAACCCTTGGCTTCTGGCAGTTTTTTTATCCACTCTTGGAACTCGGAAAGTTGATAGAGTCTCTTACTCTTCTTTCGCACTATTGATACCATCTAATGATAGATACTCCAACTTGTGGACGAGCATTTTCGTTAAGGATTTAAATGTTTAAATCTTGTCTTCCATGTAACTAGTTTGCTGTCTACGTGCTTATGCAGGCTTGGTTGGGGATCCAATCTACAACCAATTACTCACATGATTGCAGATATGTCGTTTCGTACTTCCGTAATAGGAAGGTTATGCAGAACAGTTGTCTTGCAGCGAACCTTCAAATTATACTTGTTTTTTGGACTCGTAAACCGATGCAGACGACTGAATGGCGCTGTTCGTAACAACTTGACTTCGGTTAGTTAAGCTACGAAACTGCGGTAACTCCAGTATACATCGGTCACCATCCTGTCCCTGTCAGGCTAGTCGTGGTAGAGTAAAAGGTCATGGTGGTGCTGCACTGCACCTTTAGCGCCAGACGAACAAACTTTTCAGCTGCAACTATGACTAGTTCACGCCACAAAGGCAAGCCTTCTCGGCAATTGACAGCGCCGTGCCTCCCCCTGGCATGTGAGCGTTATCAGATCCGCTCCAAGCGAAGCCTTCCCCTTGTACAACTACCATTTTGGCAACATCAATGCTGCTCGGTACAACTTGCAACACGCATCAACACTAGTCTTCAGAAGATGGTATCGACACAAACCCTGTTCTTTCGTTGTTGACCATGACCGGGGTCGAATTTACTATGTCAGCCAAGAAAGTGATAGACAGGGTGCATCTGTGCAATACCGGCCCTTTTGCGTTTTCAGGCGCTTGGTCGTCTGATGCACAATGACAGGCATCAGGCTAGTAAACACGACCCATGCCCACAGACGACCACCAATTGAGCCCACTCCGAGCATCGGCCGTTATCAGATGAAAACGATCCGCATCTTGCCGATGTCACCCTGCATGAACTCCACTCTTCGCGTCCATTCTCCCTCGAACAGGAAGCTCCGTGGGTGCAGAACAACAACGTTAGTTAACGGCTAAAATTATCAGATGAAGCTAACACGCAAATTTTTAATCTGATCCGTTGACTGTGGGGGTAGGACGCGCGGGGTGACGCGCCTTTCATTACGGCTGAAGAGGTGTACCACACAAGGAGGGGATAACCCATCCTTAGCGGTGACGTGAGGGAATGACCGAGCCGATACACCAATCCGTGAGCCGCCACGCAATTGCGTATAGTGGGCAACCCTGCGTTGGTGTCGAATACCAAGATGACGCCGGCGGCTGCTGTCGGATTTTATGGAGGTTGACATAGTAGTCAGATGGTGCGCGCATCGGAGCCCCATCCTTGCTCGTTGTGTGGGCAGTCAATCATACTTCTGACCAAGATGGAAACTCATGTGGAGAGTTTGACCGATACTCCTTTACGATGCTCGGCTCTTTCCATGAGAAGGTCTGGGAATTGACTCGCCAGACTCGGACAGATCCGCACTACTTCACTGCTCACTCCCAATTTCAATCCTTAAAGTCACCGAAGGAGGATTACAAACATACTAAGAAACACTCAAACCATCCCAACAAGATGCATCTACCGAACGGCGAGCCCACGATACGCTTTGGTGAAATTCCGAAAGAGCGTGTCGAGAAGGTGTACAGCAATGGTACACTAGATACACAACAGAATGGAACGTACTCCAATGGTTGTGCGCCCACCAATCGCCATGTTTCCGACTCAAATGAGGTGGACATATACGTTCCCAAAGATCTGCCACAAGATTCAATACTGGATACTGTTCTTGCGGCTTGGATTGTACTCATCCAGCGATACCAGCGAGATGTGTTTCACCAGTTCACATGGGGGGCCAAAGATGCTGAAAAAGACAAGATACAATGCATTTCAGCAGGTGATCTAGACTCACCCAGTCACGAGACATGTGACAGTCTGACCACGAAGTTGAGAAACCTGAGATTGAGAAATATCTCCGGTGACGAAACCACTATCTTCTTGAACGACGGAACATCTGAAGAAGTATGATGCATGAAATGCTGTTTGTAGGATAATAACTGACGTGCTCGCAGTGGAGCTTCGAAGTGTCGCTCAAGTTTACGCGAGGTTCACTCCAAGCAGTGTCCCGATGGCAGGCTCCGAATTTGTCTGGTCACCAAGCTGTTTCGCAGCTTCATTTCTTTGTTTCTATACTTGATACCCTATTTTCCGAGCCAGAACACCCAATCTCGAACTTTCTTGCCGTGTCCGAGAACGAACTTGAAGAGATATGGAATTGGAATACGCCTATGCCACCAGATCTACGAATCTGTATGCACGAGATGGTGTCTGAACAAGCGCAAAATAAACCGGAGAAAACCGCGATAGAAGCATGGGATGGAAGCTTGACATATCGCCAAGTGGATGATTACTCGACCCATCTGGCGCAAAACCTGCGATTACTGGACGATTCGGAAAAGCAAATCATTCCAGTTCTATTCGAAAAGTGTAGATGGACAGTTGTCGCAGTGCTCGCCGTAATGAAGGCGGGCGCGTGTTTTGCACTCCTTGATCCTGCGCAGCCCGAAGGACGATTGCGTACGGTTGTACAGCAGATCAATGCCTCACTGCTTATCGCATCAAAGACGCAAGCTACGCTTGGTGCACGTATTGCACCCTCTGCGACTATCATCCCTATTGCCGAATCAAAATTCGACAAAATCCACGGGCCATACGCCGAGCAGCAGCCCAAGACAACACTTCCGACCGTATCGCCATCCGCAGCACTCTATATTCAATTCACAAGTGGAAGCACGGGTCTGCCAAAGGGATGCATCATTTCGCACAGTCAATATACCTCCGGGGCGATGCCACGTGCGTACGATGTAGGCTACCGATCACATTCTCGTGTCCTGGACTTCGCAAGCTATGCTTTTGATGTGTGTATTGACTCCATGCTTTGTACTCTGGCACACGGTGGAACTCTTTGCACGCCTTCTGAAGACCGTCGAATGAACGATCTTAGTGGAGCGATGCGAGACATGCGTGTCACTCTAGCAGGCATGACTCCTTCCGTTGCGAGAACGTTAGACGTGGACATTCTAGATCATCTTGACTCTATCGCACTTGGGGGTGAAGGTGTATCAGCCAGCGATGCGGCTACCTGGGGCCAAAGAACCAAGGTCGTCAACGCATATGGACCTTCAGAATGTACCGTCGGAGCTACCATCAATGCGGATGTAGGTGCCAAACCGTACATTACCATGGGCAAAGGCAAAGGATGCGCAGTATGGCTAACAGAGCCCAACAACCACAACAAACTTGTGCCCATTGGTGCTGTGGGCGAGCTACTCATTGAGGGCCCGATCGTTGGTGACGGCTACCTGAACAACCCAGCGAAAACGAAGGAGGTGTTCATTGAAGATCCAGAGTTCCTTATCCAGGGAAGCAAGACTATGCCTGGTCGCCACGGACGAATGTACAAGAGCGGTGATCTTGTGCGTTACGATCCTGACGGTAATGGTGAGGTCATCTTCGTTGGACGCCAGGACCAGCAGGTCAAACTTCGTGGACAACGAATCGAGCTTGCTGAGATTGAGTACAATATGCAGAAGCATCTTCCTTCAGACACCCAGCTTGCGGCTGAAGTTATCAAGCCCGGCGGCACTGGGGAGCCCACGCTTGTTGCCTTCTTGGTTGAGCAAAAGAAAAGCGGTATGCGACATCTTGACGGCAACGTCTTCGGCAGCTTTTCCAATAAGTTCCAGACAGCTCTGCAGGAGATGACAAAGGAGCTCTTCAAGAACCTGCCTGGCTATATGGTTCCGAGCGCATACATTCCATTGTGGAAGATGCCTCTGCTTGTGTCGTGCAAGACGGATCGAAAGCGGCTTCGCGAAGTTGGTGTTTCAGTCACGCGACAAGATCTCAGGCGGTTCAACGCTATTATGTCGGAGAAAAAGGAACCGACCACAGAGATGGAGCTCAAGCTTGGCCAACTCTGGGCGCAAGTTCTAGGTGGTGACGCGGACTTCAGCGCCAACGACAACTTTTTCAGCATGGGTGGTGACTCTCTCAGGGCTATGAAGCTGGTGGCTGCTGCGCGGGCAGACGGAGTGATTCTTACGGTTCCAGACATCATGATGAACTCGACACTTTCGGCCATGGCCGCCAAAACAAAACCGCTGTCTGGTGAAGAGGACAGTGAGATCCTTCCATTCGCTTTGATTCCCAAGGATTGGGACATGGAGAAAGCAAGGGACGAAAGTGCTGAGCTTTGTGGCATCGATGCTTCTCTAGTTGAGGATGTCTATTCATGCACCCCCCTCCAAGAAGGCTTGATGGCACTTTCCGCCAAGTTCCCAGATGCGTATGTCGCTCAGCGTGTTGTGACACTTCCAGTGGAAGCAGCAGAGAAATTGAAGAGAGCTTATGATACAACCGTTGAGGATTCCCCGGTTCTGCGAACACGAATGATCAACGTACCTGGCCGTGGCCTGTTCCAGGTCGTGCTCAAGGACGGACTACTGGTCCGCGATCATGGTACTGACCTCTCGGAGTATCTTAAGTTGGACCGCGAGGAGCCAATGGATCTGGGAAAGGCTTTGTTCCGCTACGGAGTGGTTCGTGAACCTCAAAGTGACAAAGCACACTTCGTCATCTCGATGCATCATGCCATTTACGATGGATGGTCGATGCCTTTAGTCTTTGAACGTATCAATCGTGCGTTCAATGGCCTCAAGACAATTCGCCCTACAACCTTCAAGCACTTCATCAAGTATCTCACGAACCTGGATCCCAGTGAAACAAAGAGCTACTGGAAAGAAAGACTGGATGGTGCCAACCCCTATCAATTTCCTCCTCTACCGCAAAAAGGGTACATCACTCAAGCCGATTCGTTGCTTGAGCACTACGTCAATGTTCCGACTTCTGCACACTCCAGACTTACCCTCGCCACTATCATTCGTGGTGCATGGGCGCTCGTTTCGTCGCTTTACATGGGCCATCCTGACATAATTTTTGGTGAGACTACAACTGGTCGTTCCGCTCCCGTGCACGGTATCGAGGAGATCGAGGGACCAATGATTACCACCATCCCTGTGCGCGTCCGTCTGAATCTCGACCGTCCTATCTCCGAGTTTTTGCAGACTGTGCACGCACAGACAGTACAGCAAATTCCACACGAGCATCTTGGTCTGCAAAATATCCGTCGCCTGAGCAAGGACGCTCGTGGAGCATGCGAGCTGCGTACAGGTCTGGTCCTCAACCCCAAGGAGGAAGAAAACTTTGGAGAAGAGACCTTCGAACATGCGCCAGCAAATGCCTTCCTTCCCGCTGATGATGCTGAGGCAGCAAGAGAGGCATTGAAATTCAATACTTATGCGCTTATGCTTGTCTGTACATTGGACGAAAACGGCTTCTTGATCATGGCCAGTTTCGACTCAAAGTGTATCACTTCACCGGCTATGGAGAAAGTGCTTGTGGTGCTAGATCGTATCGTCACTGCGTTTCTTGGTAACCCTGAGAGCAAGTTGGGTGATATTGCAGTCTTAGATCCTGAAGAAGAACAAGATGCGCTAAGGTTGAGGCCGACGGACATGATGACGGATAGTGCGATACAGATGTCGCCATCGAATGGTTATACCCCTGGCAACACTCCTGCCCAGGCACTGTCTGCGAATGGAGAGAAGCTCCGCAGTCTCTTGAGCCGTATTCTCGGTATGCCGGAGACGGATATCAAGCCAGAAGACAGCTTCTTCGAACTTGGCGGTGACTCCATCAGTGCTATGAGACTTGTGCCAGAGGCAAGAGCGCAAGGGCTCAACATCACGGTCGCTCAGATCTTCCAGAGTTCGTCGCTGTTCGAGCTAGCTGCGTCGATAGGCAACGAGAAAGAAGACAAGCTTCTTGATCTACTCAGTCGCATTCTGGGCATGCCTAAGAGCGATATCAGCCCTAACGACAGTTTCTTCGAACTTGGAGGAGATTCTATTAGTGCCATGCGTCTTGTACCTGAAGCTCGTGCACAAGGTTTGAACATCACTGTTGCGCAGGTCTTTCAGAGCAAATCCCTCTCTGAACTTGCTTCTGCTGCTGAAGAGTCTTCGTCAACACAGTCCGAAATCAAGGTCGATGCGCCTTTCGTTGCCCTTGGTGCCGATGCCTCTTTATTTAGCGCCGATCGCATGTGTGCCTATCTGGAGAATCCGGAGTGGGAAATCGCAAACATCTATCCCACACGGCCGCTTCAACAACTCGCTGTCGAAGGCACAGTTGATCTTCCACGATATTCGCTACGCTACGAGCTCATGAAGTTCGCTACGGCTATCGACCGCCAGAAGCTTGCTCAAGCTTGCCAGGAGCTTGTAGCTCGCAATGAAGTCTTGCGCACCGTCTTCGTTCAAGACGATAGGAAGACGCTTGGTGTAGTAATCTCCTCACTGCAAGTGCCATACTGTGAAGTTGCTGTTGCCGACGATGACGATGTCGACACCTACGCGAAGACATACATTCAAAAGGACATCGAAGCACCCAAGCCCTACGGTTCTTCGTTCATAGCGTTCACACTCTTCACCTCCACATCCGGTGCTTCTACCCTTGTATTCCGCATCTCACACGCACAGTACGATGAGATCTGTCTGCCGTTGCTCTTCGATCAGCTCTCAGCTCTGTACGCAGACACCGCTGTCCCGGAAACCGTGGCATTCAGCAAACACGTAAACCACGTTGTGCTCAACAACATCCCCCAAAGCATCCCCTACTGGCAGCAACTCCTCTCAAATTCACAAATGTCTGTTCTCAAGCCAGATATCCCACTCACGCACCGCAAGGCCGCAGACATCTATCTCGAATTCGACATCTCCTCCCGTCCGCAGAACATTACCATCGGTTCGCTCCCAACCGCCGCTTGGGCCATTGTTCTCGCACGTCGCCTCAACATCAAAGATGTCGTCTTCGGCGAAGTCGTCACAGGCCGAAACATCGGCGCCCCATCCGCTGATCGCATCTTTGGCCCAACATGGCAGTATATTCCTTTCCGTGTGCCTTTCAAATCCGGTTGGACACATCTCGACCTCCTAAACTTTGTGCAAAAGCAGCACATCGAGTCTGCAGCGTATGAGGGCATGGGTCTCGCCGAGATCGTGGAAAACTGCACGACGTGGGATCCCAAGGAGGTGACATGGTTTGATACAGTGGTACACCAGGCGCCGCAATGGGTCGAGGAACTGCCATTTGGTAGTGGGGTAGAGGCCAAGTTTGAGACGTTGTACCCGCATGCAGAGCCTTTGAGGGAGTGGAAGTGTCAGGCTTTCGTCAAAGATGGAGGGAAGAAGTTGGGAATTGAGATTGTCACTTTCGAGGAATGGATTCCTGTTGCGAAGGAGGTACTGCAGGAAGTTGGGAAGGCGCTGGGAAGCCTCATGGCGGGTAAGGTTGGGGAGAGGATCTTTGAGGACGTTGATGAGGTTTCTAGGGAGGTTAAGGAACCCACTTTGGAGGACTTTGAAGGTGTGATGTAATAGGGAGTGATATCAGGGTGGTGTTAAGATGTTTCCTGAATTTAGAGACCTTTCTAGTAATTTGCGTATCTCAAGATTAGTTTCATCTCGGCTTGCGTATGTATTGCCGACGCTCTTTCCTCCAAGAACTATGGGAGATCTTTCACAAGCTTCGAAATTGCGAACTTGCAATGTTGCGCTCAAAACTCTGTAGATAGCACATAGAGACTTCCATTGAGTGGTATCGCAGCATCTCCTTGAATATGGTTAGCATCAACCACTCTCTCTACTCCGTAAACAAAAGCATGATTCGCAGTGTGAAGCAGCAGTGAAAGAGCCCTCGCATCCTTACTCAATCTTCTTCGCAACCCTCCTCTGCTCCATCCCAAGACCCATCAGAAATGCTATGCGAACAACACTAACCACCACCAAGATCACAACAGTCCCCCACTCCTCCCCTCTCCACTCTCCTACACCCAACCGCCTCTGACTCGCCAACGCATTCCCCAGACTCCAAAATGCCGCCCCATCCGTCATCAACACGCCAGCTTCAAAGTACTTCCAGACCTTGAGATCATTTGTGGCGCGTAACATGAAGACCATAAGGAACGCGAACATGGCGAAAGCGCCGCCCGCTTGGTGCATCAGCATTGTGTGAGAGGGCGTTACGGTACACCACGGCGATGATGGAGCGAATGCGGAACCGAGAATCGTTTCGGGAGAGAAGAAGTTCATGTAGATTGCCGAAAGGGAGATCAGCGGGTCTAGCGTGGTAAAGAAGTGGTAGTAGAAGGCTGGAATTGGAGAGGTGGAGCGTGACATTGCTGTTTGCTTGTCTGTGAGCATTTTGGAGTGGAGAGTGGGATTTTGGGGTTCGGAATTGTTTGTTAGATGTTGAGAAGGGCGATAGAGATGTAGTCTAAGGTCACTGGGAGTGCTAGTGCTGACGCTGGCCTAGCCGGATGCAACTCGACATAGGCGATCTAGGAGCTAAGGTGTTCCCACACGGTAAGTAGTCATTGCCTCTCGCAGGCGCTATCCTTTAGGAGAGACCATAGCTTGCGTGTCTTCCTAAATTCGTCCTTTTCCCCTTATCCTTGACATATTGGTGGACGCGCTTCCCGGCCCGGTTCTCCATGTTGTGGTGGTGAACAGGCATCCCCAAGTGTTAGGCCATAGCTTTGATTTGTGCGCGGTATATAGCTAACCAGCCCCACAAAGCTTGAAATCTGACAACCATACCTTGGATTCAAATTCGCGGCCGGTTGACTTGTATTCTAACATTTCAGCCGAGACTCGGGGAATTGATCAAGTCAGAATCTGTCCCTTATAGTATATCGTAACAACCTCACAACAACGGATGAAATCTTGTACTATAATATATTGGGCCATGGGCGCGATTTTGTAGCAGAAGACTGATTTCTTTGAGTACCTTGGTATAACGTTGCCCTGCAAAGTTGTACAGTTGTTTCGCATGTAGAGGTTTAACACGAATAGAAAGTTCAGCAAAAGTAAACGGCCCCAAGGTTACCCCACAATCGCAGTTGGCGTGAGCCCACAGTAGTCATAGACTAGCAACAATCATTACGCATCATGGTCCACCCCACTCTGAAATTCCATTCTTAGCACAAATAACCAGAAAAGACATGGGTTAACTTTTTTGACAAATTTTCATCAAACCAGTCCTCTCCGGTATAGTCCAGAGGCTAGGATATTCCGCTTTCACCACTTCTTGTCGGAGATAGAGCCGGAAAGACCCGGGTAAGTTCTTCGAGATGATGCAGTACAACACAAACTAACATCCATAAAGGTTCGATTCCCGGTACCGGAAAATTTCTTTTTGACCTGTGGGTTATCTATTTTTGCATCGAGAGGAAGGCTGTGGAGACTGAGAAGGGAATAGTCACGTGTGGGGCCGCCAGGTTCTCGCTTAACAGAGATGAGGGGTAGATGGGACTGCCCCTCCACGAGGTTCACGACTCCTCTTCGATGTTCGCAGATTGGCCACCTGGTAGACGAGAGCCATCTGCTTTTTTCGCTGCGTGTTTCGAACAATGGAAGACCTATATATAACATAAATTGGAGCCAAGAACCAATCAAAGGCAACGTGCCAGAGTGGTTAATGGGTATGACTCGAATGAGGTTCCTCAGAAATCATATGCCTTCGGGCGCGCAGGTTCGAATCCTGCCGTTGTCGTACGATTCTTTTTGTCCATCTACATAAGTTCATGGGTTATGGCTCCGCAAGAGTTTTTTTTGAAGCTTGTCTTGAACTTAGAGACAGACGTGTTGTTTGATAAAGCGTTAAAGTGTCCGATGTGTCGCCAAGAAAGGAACGTGACCGCGCGATTCCAGGCGACGCGTCTCACACAGGAACTCACCACCCCACACTATCGTGTCGTACATCAGAGTAACGACATGGCTACTCCTGTAACTCGAAAACCACCACCGCGCCGTTCCTCTTCATCTCTCAGTATCCTTGGCCCACCGTCTGCCGCCCTCCTTGCCGTAGCAGCGCGACCGCGACATCCCCAACGACGCCCTACTAAACAGTTGTCTTACGAACTCGCCAACCACGCGAAAGCGTATCTAGAGGGCTACCAATGTATGCTCGTATAAATATGTCTCTATCCTTACTCACCCAAGCCCAGTCGCCAGCGGCTACGACTTTCTCTCCACGCTGCTGATCACCAATACCTCCATCTCGACTCCTGCCCTGTCATACATTGGGTTTCTTGCACCAACCACATACATATCCCTTGCCTTCTCTCTCATCGTATACCCTCCTGTTAACACAAAAGCCCAGTCGCCAGATGCAGCCAAAGGCGCAGACGCCGCTTTACGATATCTGCGATGCATACAAACAACAATAGACGACCCCGCATACCCGGCGGTCAGGAGAGCACTCACATTTGCAAGAGACCGCACGCGACGACGCACACCCGGATATCGTAGCGCGCACGGGAGTGCCTCACCAGAGCCTAGCGGTGATGTTGAGCGCTTGGCGGGCCCGGCCGCGAACAAAGAGAATCTGTGGCATCGCGCCGAGGACTTCTGGCATATTGTTGGCTGGGTATTCAACTGCTCGGTCGTGCACAAAAGGCGATGGGATCGTTGGAAGCTGTGGCTCGGGGTCGTGCTGGATTTCCTAGAAGCAGATTGGGATGTGTGCATCAAGCAGACGAAAGAAGACGAGCGAAATCTCGACTTCGTCTTGAAGGATAGCCTGATCTGGCACTATGTCTCCGGTAACGGGGATCCTACAAATCGGACTGTCAGGCGAAGAATCGCTAAGTCGATTTTTGCGATGGCAACACCGGAGTCGTTGAAAGATTTCCCTGAGGTCTGGGAGAACGAGACAACCGTACCAAAACAAGACGATAACAAAGACCAGCACGTGGGGAACGTCGACTTTGAGACTGGTGCGGTGGCCGACTACGACAGTGATGAGGAGATGCAAGATGCACCAGAGGATGCGCCCCGACCCAAAAGCGCTTCTAGTGACGACGGGCGAGTGAGTATGCGCGATGCCTTGGAGCAACTCGGTGGCACGGATGCCATCGACCTTCGGCAGCGCCTTATCGTCTTGGTAAGTCATTCTCGATCGTGTTGTATATGCTTACTCACCGCTTCCAGCTTGCCCAGGTGTCCAAAGCGCTTCCTAGGCAATTTACCCTACTGGAAGACTTCTTTGACAACATGCTCGAGCAATTCGATCACCTACCGACAATGCTCTTTAATGTCCTTCTGTCAACATCCAAGATGTCAGGACTAAACCAAGTTGCCTTTGGGGCCAATCTTCTGCCTCCATTATGTAAAGGGAAGATACCAGGCTTTTTCGCCCGCGCACCCACGCAGACTGATCTTGAGAAATCACTTCTCGCCTTGAATGCGGCTAGTCAAAGCTTTGCCGCTAACGCCAAAGTCTCCCTGATTCTGGAACATATATTTCTGTATTTGATGAGCACGGATGCGCTCAAACCCACCGCAATGCTCCGGAAAGCCCTCGAGACCGGTATCGAGGCGCGACACGGCGTTCTGGGCACGGCGAAGGGTAAACGGGGAAACAAAGACGAGGAAGAACAGGCGAAAGAGATGATGGAAGCTAGCTCGGAACGACTACTCGGCATGCTGGAGGTTTTGGAAATCGCAGCCGGAAAGGACCCGCAGCCGATGACGGAGAAGAGTGCAAAGCCAACGTTTCTGTCTTTTGGGACGGACTCATCACTGACTCCTGCGCCAGAAAGCGATACGGAGACAGACGAGGATTGATACCGTCCATGTAGGTGATGCCGTTAGAGGAGATGGGAAGAGTTGGAAGATTTGGATAGACACTGGCATTCCGGGTCGTGATTCAAGAATCATCGATGATATCTCGTCGTGAAACTATGACTGGTTTGCGGTGTATCGTGATTGCTGCAAAGTTTCTCTACACCCATATCGCTGAAGATGACCAAATTGGATTCTGCCGCGGGTGACAGCAACGGAAAGGACATCTCTTTGAACTCTATTGCATGTCACTCTTCCCATCATTTGACCTTCTAGTGTCATTTACGTTTAGTGATCGATACCTCTCGCAGTTACTGCACGTCTGGTTTTGAACTTGCTTTCACCGTCTGCAACACACGATGTCACGCCTTCACCTTCACTTCGAGCTCTTATGCATATTTCCCACCTGTTTCATCTCCAAATCATACGTCCTTCTCTACTCTCCTCTCCTCTCCACAACTCCGACAACAAACAATCCGAAGTATGGCGCGAAACCTTTCCCGCGCCTACAGCATAGTCTCCACAGACGACGGGCCCTACACCGCAACACGCCGCAGTCGCGTATCCTCTATCATCTCCGACAGCCCAGCACCTCCATCGCACTCCGACGCGACGCGGACACCAGCGCACTATCTCCTCCCACCCACCATCCCCTCACCATTCACCGGAACACTGGACGCAAGTCTCGACGCCATCGCCGATTTTGGAGCAAAGTACGCAGGGACGCAAGGCGTCACAAACGCGCTGCTAGAGGAGGTAGATACAAGAACAAACTGGCCGATTCTACTTCGCGCCATGATCACGAAGGGCGACAGCAACGGCCCAACTGGTCGCGGCCGTTTCCTCCTAGAAACCTTCCTCTTCTTGGTGACGCGGACGTTGCTCCCGGAGCAAATCGCTGAGAACCGAGATCTGATGGCGCGTCTGTATGAGCGGAAGAAGCAGCTAGCGATTCGCGTGGTGCTGCGGTATGACATGGTGAGGGAGTGGAAAGTGTTTGGCGGGGCGAAGGTAGAGGTTTCGTCTTTGCCTCCTGCGGTTCCGCCGGTTACACCTCCGTTGCCGGTCTCGGTCCCGGTTGATTATCCCGATCGGAGACCGCTGATGCTGAATGTGCTCTCGACGCTTATTGTTGCGCCGCCTGGGGGGTGGACGACGCATGCTGTGAGGGAGAGGATGAAACACCATGTTACGGATCTGGACGACTATCTTCTTCTTAGCGACGAGAAGGTAGCGCTGTGGAGTATGGATATGGTGTTGATCATGGCTAGTCAGATTGTTCTGGCCTGGCAGTGGCTGAGAGCTAATAACGAGATATTGGGAGACATGGAGATTGGAGGGTGGGAGGAGTTGGAAGGGAGTAAGGAGGAGTGTGAGTGGATCGCAGCGGATATGAGGGAGGACAAGCGGAAGAGAGAAGGGAAAGGGGTTGGAGATGAGGACTAGATGTACTGAGGTGGAAGCGCGATGAGGAAGATGGAATGAAACTGCATCATCTTGAAATATTGTATGACTGCACTTCAAATTATTTGCGCTTCTATGCAGAATTGAATATGAGAGACGATGCGAGAATCAACAGACAGTGAGTCGCGTGGGATGTTCTTCACGGCGAGTGAATTATTGCCACCTTCCATTCCTTGACTCGATTAAGTCGGGTGAACCTACAACTTGTGCACGTTGCTATTCTTGGACCATCTGCGCACGGTCTTGCCCTTCCACCAGAATAGTACGCCGAACAGACAGAAGAACAGGGCGATGCTACCGTTGGTCATGATAGTCGGTATGAATCTATGCATAGTCAGTACAAAGAAGGCCATTTATCCCAAATGTTAAACGTGGAATCTTTTGACTCACCCATCCTCCATGCTCCACTCTGTGACGAACTTCGAAAATCCATATCCCCAGACATTCTTGTTGACTGTGATTGCCACGAACAAGCTTCCTGCGACCGGCTTGTAAGAATCGACAGCATAAGTACTAACAATGGCAGGTAGACCTGCAACTTGGATACCAGCGCAGGTATATCCGATCATGACTATGACCTGCCAAGGCCAGTGTTTCTGATATCCCACTGCGACAATGGTGTTCCCAACATACATGATGATGACGTACGGAATCATGGCCAAAAGTCTCATCTCCGGCTCACGAATGCCATTGTTCCTCCTTGTCGACCTCGTGCTAACCCAATCCGAAAGTGGTCCCGCAGTGAATAACCCAATGAAAGCACCGACAAGAACAGCAAAGTTAGTCAAGCCGACAGTCATGGGCTTGAAGTTATACGGTGGGCTTGCGAGAACTTGGCTCTGTGTGAGGTTGACAGTGAGGAATATAGAGCAACTCCAGGAGACGACGAAGGCAGCAAACTCAACGATTGGAAAGGCGAAGAGTTTCCATGGAGTCCGGAGGTCGAAGAGTATTGATTGGAAAGGGTGCGCGTTGGGCTGGAAGAGCTTCCATTGCCATTTGCCAGGAGTGCCGTGGCCGAGATAGGGATCGCGGGAGGCAGTGTCGATCGCGGTAAGGGCATTGGGTAGAGTCGAGGATACTGTAGTAGTAACGTGTTGCACATCGTTAGGGTCCCTTACGACATCTGGGGAGCTGTCGAGGTTCTCCATCTGTGAACGTCCTGTCTTCTCGTTTACCGTAGGCGTGTGAACGTGTTTCACGGCCTCGGGAATTGCGCGCTTGAATCTCGTCTCAGGGAACATGAAGACTATCATGATGAAACTCAGTCCCAGTACTGCGGTGTTGAGCCACCAAAAGCTGCGCCATCCCGTCGCCTCTGTCATTGCTCCTGCGACAATGGGTCCAACCATCAGCGAGCCCATGTACGTGACCCAGTACAACGTGTTCCACTTTCCGCGATCGTGTAGGAAGAAGATGTCTGCGATGACTTCTGGCATGATGGTTTCTGATGGGCCTGCGCCCATGCCATTAACGATACAAGCACCCATGAAGGAACCATAAGAGTTGGCTTTTGCGCGCCAGATGGAGGTGCCGAAGTTGACAAGCTGAGAAAACAGATAGACTGGACGGCGGCCGAATGATGTGCTTATTGGGACCCTTCATGTAGTTCGTTAGTTTCTTTCTCTCCACAGGTGGAGAAAGACGTACCAGATGAAGTTGCTGAACCCTAGCACCAGGATACAGACACCCGTCAACTGCACCGCATCGGCAAGTGAACAGTCGAACGCTTCCATGAGTGCAGGAAACATAGGCCCAAGAGCCAGCGGTCCGAAGCCTTGACTGAACGTAGCCATGGCTGCAGAAGTAATGCAGGCAAGCTTCCACATGATACTCCAATTCAAAGGATCGTTTGGGTCATCGCTGGGTTGTGGGACGAGAACTTGATGGTGAGCACCTTTGACAAAGTGATGCGATCCAACATCGGCCATCACTTCAGTGCCAGGTAGGATCTCAGCATGAAGCTCAGCTGCGATCTGCCGCCGCTCCTGCAAAGGTTAGGTTAGGTTTTCAGAGGTAAATACAAGTGTCATGGGTACCTCGTCAACGTAGTTACCGGTCTCCATGTTGAATTGGCTCGCAATTTGCACAAGCCTATCGGAGATAGCTCTTGCTGTTATCCAGCAGAGTTCGAGATGCACTACAACTGTAACCCGAACTCGGACTCCAGCTCTTGTTTCTTGCTTTTCAGCTGCGAGTTGGGTATTCCTGGGTTCGCACGTTCGCAGCGCGGGTCCGGTTTCTGACAGGCCTGAGAACAACAGTCTTCAATCAAAATGCTTGCAAGGCGGCATCTTTAAGTATGCTTCGGTAGCACCCTGAATTATCTACCGAGTCCGAGGGGCATGCGAACTTGGGTCTAGATTGAGCGCACTCCATCCCATGTCTCGCTGTTTCGACCAATGATCAGCTCGGAAGATCTCATTCGCGCGCCACCATCCGAACGGAGATTTCTGACCTGGTAGAAGGGTATCTTCCCCTCATTCCCCTAATCTTAGTGAGTTTTCTTAGTCGTTAATTTGCGTGAGTATTTCACCGTTAATGCATTCCCATGACGAGTGTTGATGGCAAAACACACCCCATCAGGACCCAGAACTTCGGCAGTTGTTATCCACGCTATCACGGTGTATCAATCAGGTCGGGATTTCAGTTGCCATTGGCATCGCCTGAGTAGCGTGGTGTACCCGTGATCTAGACTCAAGTATCAGTTGAAAGTCGGAGATAAAGTGATGTCCGCCACGATAAAGAATCAGCAGAACAACGCAATCTCGCAGAAGTCTGAAACGTGCAAGGTCTCCGACGGTTCCTTCTAGCCTTAGTGCTCCTTTTCCCCGGATCGTATGCATGTATCGTCGTGGTAATATTGCTTGTTTAGACAAGGATCGTACTTCCGACTTTCAGGTTGACGCTAGATCTGTGATCTGAGTATCGTGGCCCATGCTTGTATTGGTTTCCTTGCTAATCAGAAGGTGTCTTCGTGAAAACGTGTTCCCTGCATCATGGCTCCTAGACGCTACTTTCATGCCGGCAGTTGTGTACGTCGTTAGAAGGACTTCAATTACCTGTAGTTAGTACTGTAAAATCGCGGAACGCTCGGGATTGTAAAGCTCTACGTAAGTTTCCAAGTTCCCTCTTGAGGTGGACGTGATGGTTGACGTTTGTGTTGTTGTGCAAGGGAGAATGTGCGATGTCATTCCCCCATTATACGCTAATGACGCTAGCGTTATGCGGGGAAACACAGGCACGTGGCAGGGGGCAGCGGTTAACGAGCACCCACATAACTATTCCTGAGCACCCACGTAAGGCACTCTTTTTTGATCCCCACAACACCTCAATTTCACTCAAAATCCTCAATTCTAAAAAGTGCAATTAATTAAAACTTACCTTCTACGCCTACCTGTCACCAAAAAAAAATCATTTCTCACCAAAAGTGGGTAAGAAATGGAGGAGGAATGTAGTGTTTTAACAGGGGTAAGGTAGATGCCAAGAGAGTCTATACTCAGTTAAGAAGTTAGCTCGTGTTAGCGCTATTTAGTTGGTTGAATGGGGACTTAGCGCCTCTTATGTGGGTGCTCGGGAATAGTTATGTGGGTGCTCGTTAACCGCTGCCGTGGCAGGGGCATGACCATGACAACTTCCCCAGTCGCTCCCCCCTTGACACCGCAGATCGAATTGCACAGACATAACCGTAATGTCTACATGAGTCTGGCATGTTGATCTCCCAGTTCCACAATTCAAACATAAAACTTTAATACCTGGTCTCCACGTACAGCGGTCCGTCCCGTATACACCATCCTACATCGCCCAAAAGTTTATGGTGTTCTCAAAACTACTCTTCTTACGCTTTGTGTGATCTGCTCGAACAAGGCGCCCAGATAACCATCTTATTTCGAAGGGAAACAGCACACAGGCATAGTCTACAATAACCAGCTCAGCATATTTCCGAGCCAAACAATCATGGTTGTACAGAATCAACATCTAGGAAGCAATATAGATGCCTCAAAACCATTTTCAAAACAAGTTTTACTTGCAAATATTCTTCAACATAACTCACATGGCAGCATTCAAGTCCTTTTTGTGTGTGTAAAATGACTAAAACGTTGAAACACGGCTGGAAAGGACGATAGTGAAGAGTGAGATGTATAGAAGTAGTGATACACACTCTTCTGTGTCGAGTGCCCCATCATCATCTACACATGCAACATGTTTTGGAACTTGCTCGGATATAATCCAACACAACACGACATGTGGCTAGCAAGCCGGACTTTTGAGCGAGAAGATCCTATATCTGTAGAACAGAAAATGTATGCAAAAAAGGCCACGAAGCGAAACACCTCCCAGAAACATACATTTTCTAGACAATCTTTTCAGTAACTTTCCCTCATAACTGCTCGATATTTGCACAACCTGCTCGCGCCGCAACATGACCCATTTCAAGGTCGTTTTTTAGTACCGCAGTCCCCACTCCCAGGAACTGCATCTTCACGATCGAAAAGAAGGAGATCCTTTAGTAAATGTGCCAGCAGAAACCCTCCATCCCGAAGGTTGTTGTTGTTTTCTGGAGAAAGATCTCATGGCGATAGCGGCGATAGATTTTCAGAGAGACAAGAACATAACACAGTGATGCTGTAATTTTGAGAGGGCTCTCCATCATAGGTTGAGCTTTTGAATTTTGGATGAATATTTTTAAAAAAAAGCAGTATGTGATATGGGGGTACTTTCGGGAAAACACTCCATCTAGGAACTGGTTCTTCTTTTTCTTTCTTTTTGCAAAGACAAACATGTCTGAGTGTGAGGAAGGAATGTACTGGAGAGGATGGATGAAAGTTTATAATGGAAAAAGACATGGTACGAGCGTCAGATGAAGGTTGTCCGAGTCGGTCTTCTTCTCTGGCGCGTAGTGTGGAGAACGAAGACACAGCACTTGACAAGCTGATCACAGCACTTCCATCATCGTATTCCGTACATACAGTGATACAATGTCTTCTCGCCTCTCTTCTACGATGCTTTCTTCTCCGCTTCCTTGCACCTCTTCAACCCTGCTCTCGCATTCGTAACGCCCTCCGTAAACCCCAGCTTCTTCGCCAAGCCAACAGCCTCCTGGTATTTCTCCTTCGCCTCCTTCAGTCTGCCCTCCATCTCGAAGAACTCGCCAAGATTATGCGTCGCCACGGCACATCCCATATCGCACTCTTCGTCTCTGTCCGGCGCCTGGATAGCCCCGCCTTGTGCGAGGGCTTTCGTGGCCCATTGACGGGCTTGTTCTATGAGAACGGCACGCGGCGCGGAGTTTGTGACGGGGAAGTCAGAGGGTGTGGAAGAGAGAGTTATGGCGGAAGAAGATGAGGGTGGTGTTTGCTGGACGAGGGATGTAGAAATGTTGTTCACTGCGCATGTTAGACTTGTGATGAACAGCGTGTATGAAGGCAGCCTTACTGAGAACAACACTGTGGCAGGATTTCGGTGGGCAGAGTTCCAGGGCTTTGACGAAGAGCGGGGTGGCAAGGTAGTGCGAGTCGAATTGCTCGTAGTGTGTACCGAGAGCTGCACACAATCAGCATGAGACCTACAGCGAGGAGAGGATATGCGTACCTTCTAATGTGGCGCCCATCTCGTCGTCTGTCATCCAGGGCCCCTCGCCCGTCTTCAGACCCTCCTTCTCTCGTCTTTGCTTCTCCCCCAGTGCGCTTTCGACAGCCTCGACCAGCCTCTTCTCCCCGTTCTCCGGCTCGTTGACATATTTTACGTCGTAGAGCTGCGCCAGCTTGACATTGATCTGCACCATATTCTTCTTCACGCGACTTCGATTCCCGTCATTCCAGTGTTTATCCGAGAACTTCTCTTCCCATGTCCGACAATCGGCCCTCATAATCTCCAGCACGTCAATTGCCAGACTGTAGTACCCGGCATCCTCAAACAGCGCGGCAATGGTGTATTTGACGCCCATGATCTCGTCACTAAAAGGATCCATGCCCAACTCGTCGGCGAGCTGTAGGGCCTGGCGGAAGTACTTGTTGGCCTCGCGGATGTCGAGCCACTTGCCGCGGCTGTAGAAGAGAGCCCTGCGCAACTTCTTGGCAACGGGCTCGGGGAAGTTGTGGTACGGCTTGGTGATGATGTTGCGGTAGTACCAGGGAATGTAGAGGACGCAGATGCCAGAGACGACGGTGATGCTGGCGGCATTAGCATTGTATATGTATATGTACTGGCAGGAGAGGGGCCTACATGACAATGGCAAAAGGAAATAGTACAGGGCTCCTGCGCACCTGTTCCTTGAACTGCTCACGCATCGTGGCCTTGTACCGCCTCCCCAACTGCTGCTGGACGGGGCGCCATGTTCTTGTCGGCAGCTGAGCGACTCTCTGTAGTGACGGCTGTGCTGTACATTGCGCGAATGCGCTTATTCGCGGTGCAGCGCGAGGGATGGTTCTGCTGAACATTGTGCGCCGGGCAAAGGCGACGATTCGATGCTCGTGATGGCGGCTGAAGTTTGGTGGAGCAACTTTTAGTGTCCCGCCGCGTAGGGCTGGAGCGCGCCGCTCCATGACGTAGCAGCGAATCGTTGATGCGTCGACGCGAGCACTCAACCAGCCATGCGACCGTCAATAATGCACTGAAGCACAGCAACATGTGCGGCCGGTATGTCCTGGCCTTGGTGAGTCCATGTCATCACCGTACCTGAACCACAGCTGATCGATCTTGTAGCGGCCGTCCGAAGTGCGCCAGCAGCTGCAACAATCACGCATGCCCGTCGACGAAACTCTAGACGACGAAGCCGTTCGCCAAAGTTACAACTTCGCCCCTGGCTACCACGGGCTCATATACCGAGCAGAGGGTTCAGAACACGGCGGTCAACAGGGGGAGGTCGAGCGTGAGGAGCACCTCACCAACGCAGACCCGACTAGCGCCACCAAGTACATGCTTCAGTCCATGCAATGGGGTATGTCCTCTATGCCTGTTATACGAACACGGTTTTTGACACTCTGCTACAGGCTTGGTGCCCTTCTGGACGAAGCGCAACCCCGACTACGGCTCGAAGATGAAGACAATTAACTGTCGCGACGACTCACTCATAGAGGACCGTGGAATGTGGACGACCATGAAGAAGAAGAAGCGGTGCATCATCGTCGCACAGGGCTTCTATGAGTGGCTGAAGAAGAACAACGGCAAAGAGAAGATACCGCACTTCACCAAGCGCAAAGACGGGCAGCTGATGTGTTTCGCTGGACTGTGGGATTGCGTTCAGTTTGAAGGTGTGTACCCTCCTTATTCACGTACCACATACTGGGACACTCATCCTACGAAAGATGTCTATCACGCTCGAAGCACATCTGCGGAACAAGTGGTCCCAGTTTCTCAGCCTGCGTGATACCTGTTCTTTGCCTTTGTGCCTACCGTAGACGTACTGACCGCCTACCAGACTCCGACAAGAAGTTGTTCACGTATACAATCATCACAACCGATTCGAACAAACAACTCAAGTTCTTGCACGACCGCATGCCTGTCGTTCTGGACAACGGCTCAGATGCAATAAGGACTTGGTTAGATCCAAACCGTACCGAGTGGAGCACTGATCTTCAGTCACTTCTCAAACCATACGAGGGTGAGTTGGAGTGCTATCCAGTTAGCAAAGATGTGGGCAAAGTCGGCAATAATTCGCCCTCGTTCTTAGTGCCCATCAACAGCGCAGCAAACAAGAACAACATCGCCAATTTCTTTGGAGACCAGAAGAAAGCCGTCAAGTCCAAAACAGACGAGGAGGTCATTGGCAAAACGGAGCATCGCCTTAATGATTCGATCACTGAAACAGGCAAGATCAAGATTGAACATGACGTCGATGAGACTCGTGAAACTACAGACCGCATTGAAGGAACCGAAGACAATGCGCCTCTGCCTGTTCCAGAGTCTGACAAAATACAAGACAGCGAGAAATCGAGGAGTATCAAACGGGAGCACAGCGACGACGATAACAACGGTGTCACAGCAGACGACCCTTCACAGGAGAAACGTAGCAAGCCCACTCCAACAACGAAACCGTCGCCGGTTAAGACTCCTGCGAAGAAGCAAGGCGTACGCAGCGCCACAAGTAACAACAGCGCCGCGAAGACTCCCAAGAGCGATGGAAGCCGCAAGATCACATCCTTTTTTGGCAGCAAGTGAGCTCGAAATACCGGTATTGCATCCAGAGCGCCGGGTCCAGATGAGCCATCATGTGGTCCGTCGTGTCTGCCGCCTAACCTGTATTCTCCACGCAGGGCATCAAACGGTGGGGATTGCGGTCTGTTCAGGCTTGCCGCTTGTGTGCGTGACGGTGACAGTCGCATTATAGCACTCCCTCTACGTAGGATTCGCGACGGCACGACATTGAGCAGGCTATCACAGTCGTGAACGTAGTATTGAAGCAGCGTCATAGGTGCAGAATAGAACGGACGGAATCGTTTGTAGGGAGGTTTGATATGTAGTTGTAGTCGAAGAGGGAACACTTGGAAACAGCCAATATGCGCTACAACGTGGTTGCGCTTGCCAATCATTCTCGACGCTAGGGTCGCCCCGCCAAAATATCAAGCTCCGCCGATCAGTGTTGCTCAACCTCGCCCCTGCACGACACTTACTGCAGCACAACCGTCGAAACCAGTCTGTCAGGTAGCAGTGTTATCGCAATATGGTTCTCAAAATACCTCTCTCTCCAGCAGTCTTTGCGCTAGTTGCCTAAACAATCATGTGATGGCAGCTCTACGTCTTTCAGAACTTATTTCCCTATTCGTCCGGACTCACTTCCGTTAACCTCACTCCATCCAACCGTCTATCGTCTATCCCTGCGGTTCTTCCGAGTCAGCTTATCACTGTTACCGTTGCAATCGACCTCAGTATATGTCCGTGCTGACCGGCGTTACCTATTTATCCGTCGCATGTCACTTTCCCATCCTTCACAGCGCGTTTTTATCTGCACATCAAAGTCAACATGGCTACCCAAATGTCTGCCTTGATGGACCTCGTGTGCCAGGCTCAACCAAGTTTTCAAACCTACCAGGCTCTCCTCGTTATTGGTCTCCAAAATGATTTCATCCAGCCCGACGGACGTCTCCCCGTGGACATTACGACAGGATTTCTAGATCGTATACAAACCCTGATTCCAAGATTTCGTAGGCTCAATGGCAAGGTGATTTGGGTAAAAACTGTGTATGAAGCAGATCGGATCGCCAACGACGCAAACATAGGAGAGGGAGATCCAGTCACGGTGGGAAATTTGGTGGAAGACGAAGCTAGTATCGAAGGTGTTGAGCAGTCCAGGGGAGCAAAACACAAACAACGCGCGCTCGATCTCTTGAAGCGCGTCGGGGCGCGCAAGAAGACGGCCCCAGCTCCAAGGACTGTGGTGGAAGAAGACGAAGAAAGCTTTTTGCTCAAAAGTGCGACCAGGGCACCCGCTTGTATGCCGGGGACACCTGGCGCAGAGTTCGCTGGCGTCACCAACTCGCTGAAAGAACCGTTGGATTCAATCATTAAGACAAGCAACTACTCAGCCTTCCAAGGCACGTCTCTTCTCGTGACTTTGCGCGCAAGGTTAGTCACAGAGCTCTACATATGCGGATGTATCACGAACGTGTCCGTGCTTGCCACCGTCATCGATGGGGCACGACACGGCATCAAAATCAATATTGTCGAGGACTGTCTTGGATGGAGAAAGTTTGCAAGGCACGAGCTAGCTTTGAAGCGTATGACAGATTTTTTTGATGCGTGGATAATCAAGAGTGAAGACATACTGGCACGAGAAGAAACAGTCGAAGGGAATGGGAATACAGAAAAAGAACTCGAGGCCTTGGTTAATAAGTTGTCGCTGAATGACCAGTCGCAAGTAGTAGCTGAGAAAGCTGCCCCGGATGAAGAACCTAGCGATGAACAATTTGCTGACGCGTTGATGCGAGGTGCGAAGAGTACAAGAGCGGATCGAGAAGGGGAAAAAGAGGAGAAGAGGGGTGAGACGACGATGGTCAAGACAAAGATTCGCATGAGATCCAAGGCGAAAAGAAAAGCAAAGAAGGCAGCTGGGGAATCAAAGAATGAGGTTGCTGTCCCCGCGAAGATCCAACCCACAGACGAACAAGGATCGAATAGCAGTGCGCCCGCCGAGACAACGCAACCAATCACATCGATTGCAATTACTGAGAGTGCTCCAACATTACAAGGACCAGAGGAATCTAGTTTGCAGCCTCCTGTGCTAAGTGTTGTAAAAGAGGAGGATCTGCCACTGTCTAGGGAGTCAACAGAAGCGTCAAGTAGCACGGAGACAAACGATCCAGAAAAAACAACGACAGCCTCAAAAATCGAAGAGACTCAGAAAACACAGCCTAGCACATTATCAAATGATCTGTCGTCTATCACACGCAAAAAAGAGTCTGGCGAATCAGACCACTCCCAAACTCCTTCAATGTCCACAAACACACCTAAAATGGGCAAATCTTCGAAGCTGCAGTCACTTGCAAACTTCTTAGCCCTTGGACCAGGTGATTGTATAGCAGAAGGCGATTCACGCATTGTTCATGATTTCTTTCCAACCAACTTCCGCCATCCCACCGATCCTTCTGAACCGCTGAGAGATTTGATATTCGCACAACTCTACAACGAAGTCCGATGGCAGAAAATGCTACATCAGCAAGGCGAGGTACCTCGCCTCGTGTGCTGTCAAGGCGAATTCAGCGAAGACGGATCGATGCCCGTTTATCGACATCCATCAGACCAGTCACTCCCGCTCTTACACTTCTCGCCTAAAGTTCAGGTAATTCGCAAACAAGCCGAGAAGCTTGTCGGGCACCCGCTGAACCACGTTCTTATCCAGCTTTACCGTTCCGGGAATGACTTCATATCCGAGCATTCTGACAAAACACTCGACATCGTCAAAGACTCTTCCATCGTTAACGTATCTTTCGGCGCACAACGAACAATGCGTCTGCGCACCAAGAAGTCAGCAAACGATACGGAAGAGCGCACCACACAACGCGTACACCTGCCCCACAACTCCCTCTTTGTCCTTGGCCTCGCTTCAAACGCAAAATGGCTGCATGGAATCATGGCTGATAAGCGGCTCCCAGCCGAGCGCAGCAGTCCTGAGCTTGATTACAACGGCATGCGTATCAGCTTGACATTCAGACACATCGGAACCTTTCTCGACGCAAAAGAAAGCATCATATGGGGTCAAGGCGCTACAGCAAAGTCGCAGAGCGACGCAGCGGATGTCATAAACAGCGATGAGAAAGAAGCCGAACGCATGATCCGAGCCTTTTCACACGAGAACCATAGCAGTGACTTCAACTGGGAGGAGCATTATGGCGCAGGCTTCGACATCCTGCATCTGCACACACCACCTGCCGACCTTCCTATTCTTTTCGCTTCGAAAACTGGGATTGAAACCAAGCAGGTGCAGCTAGCCTTGTGGGAGTGCAAGATTCCACACACTCTGATGGATGCACCGGTTCTCGACCACGCGTTCGAGCATGCACAACCCCGCGAAATCACGTTCAGAGACAATGATACACATCACACTGAAGTTTCACTTGTACAGCCCGTGTTGCTGTATCTCGATCGCTATCACCCGCTCGATCGCTCCGACTCGCGTGCGTGCACCGCAGCTGCGCACCCGGTCATCGCCCTTGCATCCACGCTGCTGGAGAAGTATCAGCGCTGGATTGAAGGTGAAGCAGAAGTCAAACAGTCACGTGGGGACTCTGTAAAGTCTCTTGAAAAGGGTTTCGTCAATGCGCTCGCCGTGCTCGAGGAACGAGTGCAGATGCACGGAGGACCGTTTATCGCAGGCAAGAGGTTCAGCATTGCGGATTGCTTTGTCTGGCCGGTCGTTGATGAGTTGGTGGGGTGGGCGGGCTGGAGTCGGGAAAGCTATCCGGCGTTGAGCGAGTATTATGTGGGGACTTGGAGGAAGAAGGCGAGCGTGAAGAAATTGCGGGATGTGTTGGGGGATATCGTGGAGAAAACTGGGAGTGGGGAGGAGCGTGTGGAGGGATGAAGCGATTTGGGGATTTTTAATGTTGTATATTTGAGCATGTGTGTATGGTAGGGTTCATTTTGTTTGAACTTTTGTTTCAAGACAGAGGGAACAAACGGCGAAACACCTTGTGGTGTACCGCCTTTCGCGACTACAAATACGAAATAGCCGATTGCACCAGCATATGTTTCTTCTAGAAGTAATCAAATCCCCAAGCCCAACAAACACTTTAATGGTCCGAGTTCGTAATACCATCCATCCCCATCTAGTCCTCACATGTGCAAGTCCACTCACACTAACCGCATGCATCCATACCTCGGCATCACCACGACTTCCACTGTCAAGACAACCGACGTCGTCGCGAATAACGACCCGCGATCAACAACGACCCTCGAACACCAACCAATAATCCCCAATCGTCTTACCATAACGCCAGGAGTTTATATCCCGGACTATACGTCTCATCCACACGACGCAACTCAACTTAACACGAACACGAAAGCGATCATCATACACCGAAACCCGCAGCCATGGCCAACCCGCAAGACTACAACTACAACTTCTACAACGTCACGTTTCCCGCGGAATACGTGGCGCATGTTGAGATCAATCGACCGGAGAAACTGAATGCTTTTGTGGAGGAGTGAGTACCCATTGATTTTGCGATTTGCGTGAGTTTCCTGGGTTCGAGTTTGTAAGAGATGGGGTATGCGTATACATATGGATCTTTTGCGATTTCTTTTCTGTTCTGGGTGTGTGTTTGTGTGTTGCATGCGTTGTTGTTTTGTCGAGTGTGCGCGTCGATTTGCTTTCATGCGATGCAATGCGATGTCTGAGTGTTTTGGTCAAGATTTCCTATTTCTTCTCATTCTCCTAGTCCGTTCTTCAGGCAGTCAGTCAGTCTCATCACTACCCCTGCCCTTCTCGCGAAGTATCCATATCCACCATCCCTCTCACACCCTCTAACCCGCCCCCCAGGATGTGGCAAAACCTCGCTCTCATATTCCGCAAGCTCTCGCACGACCCCAACGTGCGCGCCATCCTCCTAACCGGCGCGGGCGACCGCGCCTTCACAGCCGGTCTAGACGTGCAAGTAAGCCTCCCCCCCTCCCCTCATATAACCCACCCATACCCTCAAATCCCCTTTTTAAAAAAAAAGAGAGAGAAAAAACGAGGAGAAGAGAAACCCATCTAACCCCCCCACCCCCAGGCAGCATCCCAAGGCTTCCTCACAACCCCCTCCAGCGACCCAGCCCGCACCGCAACCGCCAACAAGCGCCACATCCTCGACTTCCAAGAATGCATCTCCGCGGTGGAGAAGTGCGAGAAACGTACGTCCTGCCCATCCCTCCCCATTCCCTTACCCCCACTAACCCCCCCATCCTAGCCGTTCTCTGCGTCCTCCACGGCATATCCTTCGGCCTCGCCCTCGACCTCAGTCTATCCTGCGACATCCGCTTCAGCACGACCACAACCCAGTTCAGCGTCAAGGAAGTCGACATCGGGCTCGCAGCCGACATCGGCACGCTGTCACGCTTACCCCATTCCGTGGGCAATATGTCGTGGATCAAGGAGATTGCGCTTTCGGCGCGGGTTTTTGGCAGCGAGGAGGCGTTGCGGGTCGGGCTTGTTAGTCGGGTGTTGGGGGGGAAGGGGGAGGCGGTTGGGGAGGTGAGTTTCTCTTCTTCTTTTTTCGCCTTGTTGTTGGGTTTTTGGAGGGTGAAAGGGTGAGGTGGATATGGACGTGGACGTGGACTGACGAGTTACTAGGCTCTCAAGCTTGCGGGGCTCATTGCGACGAAATCCCCCGTTGCGGTTCAGGGGACGAAAGAGATTCTCAATTACTCTCGAGATAGGACGGTTGCGGATGGGCTGCATTATACCGCGGTATGGAACGCGGCCATGTTACAGACCCAAGACCTCAAGGACGCCATGTTGAGCGGGCTGCAGAAGCGAAAGGCCACTTTCAGCAAGTTGTAAAACAAGACACGAGAAGATGTAAACTGGACTTGATAATTTTCATTGACTCTGAGCGCCTGGAAGAGAATTGACCATGCCCAAAACCCATCCCGCGTGAGCGTCACTCATATCCCATGGCATGCTACAGAAAATGTGGAATCATAATTTTCCCATATGCGCCCTTCGACTATCTCGTCTGCACAAACTTATCCCCTCGCCATAACACCCCAGCAGCGGATGCGGTTATCAGTGTAACCGGCGAACAGGGTCTGGCCGTCGGCGCTCCAGGCCAGGGACACGCACTCGGGCTCGCGGCTCTTCTTGCCAACCTCCATGTACTCGGGCTTCAGCTCGTCAACCTTGCTCTTCTTCTCGAGGTCGAAGATGATGATGCTGGAGGCAGTGGCGGCGCACAGCCAGTAGCGGTTGGGGGAGAAGACCAGGGCGTGGATCTCGTCACCGGCGGACAGAGAGTACAGGTGCTTGGACTCGTTCAGGTCCCACAGCATGGTGGTTCCGTCCTTGCCACCGGAGGCGCAGAGCGAGCCATCGGGGGAGATGGTGACGGTGTTGATGTAGCCGGTGTGGCCGATGTGGTCCGTCTGGATGCGGCAGGAAGCGAGTTCCCAGACCTGGGGCATGTCAGTGTGTGAAACCAAAACATGTCCGAGTGGAAAAGGTGGGAGGGTTGTCGAGTCAGGATAAAGGTGATTGTTTGTCTCATAGCCGAAGCTCTGAAGTAGCAAATACATAGTAATCATCATAGAAACAGGGGTAGAAATTGGGCGTGTGCAGGGGAGTAAACGCACCTTGACGAGCTTGTCCCAGCCAGCGGAGACGATGACGGGGTTCTGGGGGTTGGGCGAGAAGCGCACGCACGAGACCCACTCGGTGTGACCCTTGTCGGTGATGGTGTACTTGCAGTCGCCGAGTGTGTTCCAGAGCTTGATGGTTCGGTCGCGCGAGCCGGAGACGATCTGGCGGTTGTCGGCGGAGAAGGAGACGGAGAGAACGTCGTTGGTGTGGCCGACGAAGCGGCGGGTTGTCACACCGGTGGACAGCTCCCACAGACGGAGGGTCTTGTCCCAGGACGAGGAGAGCGCGTAGGCGCCGTCAGAGGAGATGACCTGTCCGCGATTGTCAGCTCAGCGTCCTCGCGTCCTCGCCAGCCAATTGCTGCCTTTGTGTGCTGTACGTACGCAGTCCGAGACAATGTGAGAGTGGCCGTGCAGAGACCTCTTGGGGTAGCCGTACGAGGTCTCGTCGCGGGTGAGGTTCCAGATGATGAGCGTCTTGTCACGCGAGGCGGACAGGAGCATGTTGGGGCTGGCCTCTGGTCAGTACTGCGCGCAATGCATCGTCGGCGCGGGGAAGGCGCACTTCTCGAGCGAGGTAGCGAGGGAGGTAACCCAGCCAGAGTGGCCCTCGAGGGTGCCACGGAGAACCAACTGCTCGGCCATGATTGCGGTAGGAGGCTTCTGCGGAGGATGGACGGTTGGGAGGCAGAAGTTCGAGCAACAAGTCTGAGGGCGCGGTTTGGAGGTTGACGATGGTGGGAAGGCATAGAAAATTCGCCTAACCAGCCAACCACGTGCTAGCGCGAGCGATGGTCTTGGCAGTGACTCGATTTCTCGACTTCTCATCTAATATATAATCAGACAATGATAGGATGATTGGTAAGAAGTAACTTTTTAATTTGACGAGTGAACAATCTCGATGTACAGACTGATAGTGTTGAAGTATGTATTTGCTTTTGTATATTCAGGTTTAAGGTTTGCTTGAAGTCGACGTGCACTTTCACGTATCACGGCCTTTCCCAATGAAAACACCATGAGAGGTCGTTGTCGGCAATTGAACAACGTCGGCAATGTCTTTCAACTTTGACACATTCACGATGACTATAAACTTGGACTTATCTGCTATCTAGAGTATAGTCGAACCATTATAAACTATGTCGCATGCCTTCCATATGCTCTCCAACAACACATCTGGCCATATTCAGGCCATACACACTAGCAAGAAAATGTATAATAAAGCCTATCATAAATTAAGCCAACAGTCAATTATCAGCACCACAAAGCATCCTCAACGCACTCATTTGACTCGAATAACCAAAAACATAAATCCCCTCCAATAAGCGCATCCCGCACGCCAAGCCATCGGCGACTCCAACCACCGACTTGTACATGTCCATTCTCGCGTTCTAACCTTCGCGTCAACCTCTCCACGCCCATCCAACAACCACCTTACCCACGCAACCCTCCGACCCTACCTCCAAAATGCCGAAATTCTTCTGCGACTACTGCGACGTCTACCTAACGCACGACTCCATGTCGGTCCGCAAAGCGCACAACAGCGGCCGCAACCACCTGCGCAACGTGCAAGCCTACTACGAGCAGATCTCCTCCGACCAGACCCAACAAGTCATCAACAGCATCACAGACGCGTACAACAGCGAAGGCCAAGCCAACCCCTTGTACCAAGCGAACCTGAACGGCGGCGGCGGCGGCGCGGGCGGCTTCGCGATGAGCGGCGGTATGGGCGGGCCAATGGGGATGCCGATGGGGATGCCGCCGATGGGAATGCCGATGCCGATGCCGATGGGGGGGCCGCCGATGGGGATGGGGGGGCCGCCGTTGGGGTTTGCGCCGCCTGGTATGTTTACATCTCCCTAAAGATATATATCTTGAAAGCAGGAACGACAGCTAACGAAGCAGGCGGAATGCCCAACATGCCACCCCCGTTTATGGGCCGCGGCGGTCCTCCTAATATGCCCCCCTTCCCCCCGAACGGCATGCCGCCTAATTTGCCCCCCTTCCCGCCCCCCAATATGGCCGGTGGCCCGCCCAATATGCCTCCGTTCCCGTTTCCACCCCCGCATGCGGCGGGCTCGCCGCAGGGGGGACTGCCGTTTCCGCCGCCGGGCGCGATGGGGATGCCGCCTAGGGGGTTTGCTGGACCGCCGGGGCGTTAGGAACGTGTTGGTGTTTGTCAGGGGGGAGAGGAGGGGATGGGGGGATGAGTATAGTAATGCGAGGTTGGACTGTGGCGCGCATACCGCGGGCATCGGGAGGGGAGATGTGTGAGGCGAGCGGGCAGTGTATCAACATCAACATCAACAAGCATGATATTTTCCATCGGCGTTAAGGTTCAGGGTCAGTATCAGGATCAGGGTTAGGGTCCATGTTTTGCACACCAGAAGAAGAAAAGCATAGCGATACCCATAGGAAGAAATCTTTACAATTTATTTAAACACGCCTGAAACGTGATTGAGCTTGAATATAGTGTCGATAAAAAAGTCTAATAATTATAAAAACGCTAGAATGATAGTTTCTTCATACTCAGCCTCACGCTACTCTGCTGTGCTTGATACGGTGTCGGTGTCGATATCCACATCCACATCCGCATCCTTCTCAGTCTCCAAGTCCTTGTGAGCGTCCTTTACAGCGTCCTTATCAGCATCCTCGTCCTTGTCCACATCCTTGTCAGCCTCCAAGTCCTTTTCAGCATCTTTCTCAACGTCCAAGTCCGCAACCAAGTTCGCATCCTTGTCAACGTCCTTTTCAGCGTCCTTGTCGTCGTCCTTCTCAACAGGCTTTTCAGCATCCAAGTCCTTGTCCGCATCCTTCTCAACACCCACATCCACCTCCAGCTCCAAGTCCATCAAATGATAATCCCACAAATCGACGACTTCCCACCACCCATCCTTCTTCTTCTCGATGCGCATATCGACCTGCACAGCCTTCTCTTCGTGTGTCGTGACTGGTTTCGTCTGCATAATAGCCGGTATAATGTCCGTAACATCTGACGTAATGCCCAGGCCAAGCACTTCCACCCCTCCGTCTAATTCGACCTCAGTATCCAGCTCAGTCTCTTCCTCATCACCACTCCCACCTTCAACATCCACCGCCATCCTCCCAACGTCCTCCACCCCCTGCCCCTCCTCATCCTACCGCGGCCCAAACGGCCTCGGCCCAAGCACCCCCCTCTTCCCGCCTCCACCCCACCCCATCCCACTCTGCACCGCCTCCCCCTGCCCCCCCCGCTGACTATCCTCCCACTCCTTCTGCCTCTCGCGCTCGCGCTCCATCTCGCGCTCAAGCAAACTCTTACTCGCCCAACCCGCAGCCTTAGTTTTCTGCTGCGCAGCCACACGCCGTTTATCCTCCGCCGCGCGCTCAGACGCGGAGGTTGTGATTTCCTGCGGAGTGTATGTGTGTGGTTTTGGGGGGAGGGGGGCGGGGTGGGAGGCGAGGTGGCGGTCTGTTCTACTCTGTGCGATTGGGGTGGTGTTTTGTTTTGCGTAGAGAGCTGGGTCAGGGAGGGGGCGCGAAGTCGTCGATGTCGAAGTGGATGTGGAAGTAGAAGTCGTGGGGGAGGGAAGCGGGCGCTGCGTCGTCGTCTCCCATTGGTTGCGCAGATACTCGCGGTCGTCTGCCTGGACCCACGAGGCCTGGCTGTCCTGGCGGGAGGGGATAGCGGCGTCTGGGTCGTCGAGGGAAGGGGTGCGAGGCGGGGGGCGGGGACGGGAGCGTGATCGATCGCCTCTGACGCGGCTCTTTGAGCGGGCGCGCGATTTCTTGTCCTGGATGCGACCGTCGCGCTCGAGTTGGTATTGGCGTTCGCGTTCCTTTGCCTCCTCTAGCTGGCGCTCTAACTCGATGATGCGGTCGCGTTCGGAGGAGTGGTGGTGGTGGTCTTCGGACTGGCTGTTGCGGCGACTGCGGGGCTTGGGGGTGGTCTGCTCGGCCTGGTACTGGCTGAGGAATTGGCCGCGCAGTCTGGCGTCGCTGCCTGCTCGTTTTCGCCGTGTTTCTGCTTCGATTTTGGCTTGTGCTTCGCGCTCGGAGCGCTGGCGTTGCTCCTCGTCTAGCTTCCACTGCCGCTCTTGCTCTTCCCACTCGCGCTTCTGCTGCTCGAGGCGCTCTTCCTTGGCCTCGCGCTGCTTGCGGGATTCTTCTTCCCAGCTGCGCTCCTCCTCTATGCGTGCGCGCTCCTCGTCCGTCTCACGCTCGATGCGGCGCTTGTATTCGGCTTCCTCGGCCTGCACACGCAGCCGCTCGTCTTCGCCCTCCTTGTCTTTCCGGCGCTTCTCCTTCTCCGCGGCGCTGGGCACGCTAGGGCCGGCCGTGGTGATCTGTCGTCGGGCGCCAAACGAGACGCCCTGGTTGCCCTGGCTCGCGCCGCCCATGTAGCCGTACTGGTGGATGTTCCATGCCGGCGACGTGACGCCCTCGTCCCCCTTCTTGCTCCAGCTGCTGAAGCCGCCCAGGGGCGATGTGGGCAGGCCGCTGGACGTCTTGGATGTGTTTGACCCGCCGGTGCGTGCAGGACTGAGGGCCCTCTCTGCGGGCGGGCGGGCGAGGGGGTTGAAGGTGCTGGAGCCGCTGGTGGAGCTGGCGAAGCTGGGCTTGTTGCGGCCGTAGCCCGACGAGACCAGGCTGGGACTTGGCAGGCCGGGGCTGGTTGCGCCGGGCCCGCCGCGCTTGGGGCCGATGCAGTTGGGGAAGGTAGCGGGGTTGATTGCGTTGGCGACGCGGCTGAAGGCGACGATGCACTGCAGGACCTGGGCGGGGTCCTTTGCCTCGAACAGGTCGACGGTGAGGAAGCGGTCGTGCGAGGGCATCTTGAGCGGCGGCATCTCGCACGCCTTGAGGAAGTGCGAGATGTTCTCCATCTGGATAAACGGCATGCCCGACTTCTTGAACTTGACGCCGGGCACGGGCACGGCGAGGTTGATCAGCCGGCACAGCACCGTCCCGTCCTTGAGGGCGTCCAGCAGGTCGCCGGCGGGCAGGCGCTCGCCCAGCGCGTCCTCGATCCAGCCGCGCACCTCGTTGGCGGCCTGGGGCGTGTACCTGCCCATGCGCAGGCGCTTCATGTCCTGGTCGAGCGACGTGACGGACGCCATGGTCGGTGGTGGTGGATTACTCGGCGAGCTGGTCGGGCGGTCGAGTGCTGGTCGAGTTGCTGGTCGGGTAGGGGGGGGAGGGTGCAGTTGGGAGGCGGCGGTGAGAAGCGGCAACGCATTCGCCAGTCGAGGCAGGCAGTCGAGAGGTTCCGTGCGTCGGGCAATGCAGAGCTTGTGCTGTTATGCCAGCGAAGAGTCGGGTTTTGGCGGGGAATGCTGCTGCCCGGCCACGCCACACCAGCCAGCCACACGTCATGCATCGCGTCGTGCAAAAGTTCCCGCAACATCACCATGTCGTGACATGACTTGACTTGAATGACTTGACACGCCCAGACTAAAATGGCAAAACCACCAGGCCCCATCCTCACAGCATGGTACAACTGGAAGATGCTGCGCTTCCCCTGGCGCAAGCGCTGGCTCGTCGGTGCGTATCCCCCATACCATACAACCCAGTCGTCCTATCATTCATGCTAATACACCCAGGCTTCGACCTCGAAGGCAACACATTCTGGGAATTCAAAGACGCCCTGCACGCCCTCCGCAACCGCCGCACCGCAAAATACAGCCGCAAAACCCACCACGGCGACGTCCAAGTCTCGCGTGAGTTCTACCCATCTACCCATCTACTCCCGTGCATGCGCGGGTGAACGTGAATGTGAATGTGAATGCAGAACTAACACCACCACCCCACAGCATCATGGATGCAATGGCTCCGCCACACGCGCTACGACCCGCCCACCATCGCCGAGCAAAGAAACGACCTGCTGCGCCAGCAACACATGAAAGTCCTCGCCGCCCAGGCAGATGCGCGCTGGGCTTCGAAACCCTCGGCCCTTGATGCGCCTGATAAACAGCAGCCGCTGCAGATGCTGAAGAGTAGGGATCCGGAGAGTGGGGTGAGGCAGATGAATGCCACGCAGGAGAAGCTAGATGCGCCGGTTGTGCGGGAGCCTGAGAGTGCGGTTGTTGAGGAACGACCTGTCGAGGAACAACTTGTCGAGGAACGGCCTGTCGAAAAACAAGTGCAACCTGAGACGCCAGCAGATGAACCTGCATTCAAGCCCCGCTTCCCCATGAAGAAGGAACCCAAGGACTCGCCGTGGAAACAGGCGCATTCCGGTCAGAGCCAGGACTGGCAGCCAAAGGGTTGGAGTCCTGGGCCTGCCAAGCGGAGATGATGATGATGATGAGCTTGTATGATTTTAATGTACCAACACTTTGTACACGATGTCTTTTTACGATTCCAGTAATTGATGAATGACTTGGGAAGAAGTCTGGCTGAATGTATGTATGTACGATGGATGACTATACGAGCTGTTCTGCTATGTATACTTACACTTCGAGAGGAAGACTGACTGTGTATAAAGTTCTGTTTCTATGCCGAGTGTGCTTTGTCATGGCCATGACAAGCTTTTCATCCATCTAAATGATTGTACAATACAGAACAAGAAAGACTCCTCTATCCAAGATGAGGAAATCACTTACTCTTCTATCTCCCCCTTTCTCACAACCGCCCTTCTCACCCCTCAAACCCAAGTATCTCTTTGTTCATCAGACGCTCCCCCTCCACCTCCCCCTTCCATATCCGGATCCGCCAGCTCAAGAAGTTCCCGCTCCACAGACAAGACATCGCGTTCTCCCACCACCTCCCCATCCCCCTCAACACCATCCCCCTCCCCCAGATCACCTCTCAAAAACCGCACAGCCTCCCCCCACCCCACCCTCGGCAAACCCACTTCCCCCTTCTTTTCCCCCTTCCCCCCCTCCCCCCTCCCCTTAATCAGCCTCCTAATCTCCCCCCTAAGTTCCCAAATCTTACTCCCTTTCTTCCCCATTTTTCGGCCTACACTCGCTGCATCTCTTATATCCCCAATTACATCTCCAACTTTCCCGTCTTCCCGCTTCCCATCCGCCCCGCGCTCCAAAGTCGCGCGCTCGGCGAAAAAATCATTCATACCCCCCGCCACAACCCTCGCGCCGGGTAATCTATTGATATGTCCGCGCTGCGCTCGGCTGAGGAGTTTTACGTGGAGGAGGATTAGGTAGGCTGTTTGGGAGGGGGTGAAAAGTCGTCGGTGCGGTGGGTGGGTGGGCTTGCGGATCGGAATTGGGAGTGTTGGTGCTTTGTCTTCTTGTTTTTTTGCTGGGTGTGGAGGTGGAGGTAGAGGTAGAAGGGGAAGTGTGACTTTCTTGGGCGCTGTGCGTTTGGGCTTGGGTTTTGATTTCACCCTCACCTTCTTCATCGGGTCGGCATGGGATGTTAACGAGGAAGGCGACACCTGACCGACGACGCCCCGCTTCACCGCAACCACGCGTTGCGCCGGATCGCGAACCACCTTCTTCTTCTTCCCGTCCTTTTTGCACCGATTGATGTACGCGATATAAGCATCATGCTCGAAGTACTTTTCTTCATCTTCTCCCTCCTCCTTTCCATATTCCTCCTTTCCATACTGTGTACTATCCTGATCCCGATCCCGACACAGCGCAGGAATATCAAATCCGGCGGTGGTGTTGAGTGGTGTCCACGCCCCCGTATATACCCTCCTCTGTGTTTGTACCTGGGGTGACATGAGGCCTTCTAGCTCGTCTAGATCCTCTTCGTTGGACAGCCATGTGCGCTGGTACACTGTCGTAGCTTCATCCAGGGGTCTGAATACTCGTGTCGGTGAAGGTGAAGGGGAGGCGGAGGCGGAGGTGGAAGTCGAAGGGTAGATGGGGAGCCGGTTTAGACCTAGATCTTTATATCTGGAGATATATCTGGCCGGCTCGTCGGGCGGGCTGCTTGCGTGGGTAGTCGTCTTGTCGTCTGGCGCCTGCATGCCGTCAACTTCCTGCTCCGGGGGCTGACTTCTCATTCTCGTTGTTGATAGGATGCTGGGGCGGTTGAATGAGGTTGCTGTGTTGATGGAGAGGAGGAGGAGGTTCGGGTTGGGGGAAGTACTCGTGGGTGAATTCTCGCGTGCTGGTTTACCTATTTACTGTTTGATAGGTCGCGTAGCGTATTAATTTTCGGTGAATGCTAGATTGACGTCGTGGCCTGTCTGGGAAAGATCTTTCCTCCATGCTCTGGGTTTGCTTGAGGGGTGCTGGCATGGCGGGACGACTTCTAGAGCTCGAGTGCATGATATTGAGATTATGGGCTCACGCGCCTTTTGTGATATTTGAGCTGTCAGGCAGCATGAAAATGGCAGCTCAAAGGAACGTAACAATATTCTAGCCAGTATGGTATGAGTACATCTTCATCCGGGTCAGGTTGCGTTGAGGTTGCGGGCAGTGACGTAGTGGCGTCAGAGTGAAAGAGTGAAAGCAACTTGTCATGTGCATGCGCGATTGGGGAAACTCAGCCACGACGAGGAATTAGCTGTTTTAGGTCACAAAATCTGCGTGTCGTTCAGAAATGTAGGATTGATTTTGCTTGAGATTTCCGTTGGCCAAAGGACTATGAGCTGTTTCTGCGAGACTGACTGGCTCTCGGAAATGGCGAACATTGTAGCGAAACTGCGGAAAAGTCACATTGTGTACTGATTATGTGTAACAATTTATGGAACATCGTGAAGATTGTTTACTTTGTGCGAAGTGAGGATGTTGTTGAATGGGGAGTTTATAGGGTACTCTTGGACATGGTAAAAGTCTTTCATTTCTCAGGCAGCACTCTGGAGTATTGCTATTGCCGATTCACTCCAGATATTAACTATAACTCGAATTTATCACACTAAATCTAGCGCTTCAAATACCAGCTCGTCATTCGATCCACCGTCAAGATGAAGACTGAAGATCAGTGGAACGCCATTAAGCAACACGATCTTCGATGTTACGCCAACCCTCGTGGCGTGCTTCAAAATGTTCGAAAGAAGGTGCTGGTGGCGGGTTTGATGGCATGGGACAAGGAACACGGCAATGCGGAAGCAAACAAAATGGATCGAGAAGGCGAAAGACTTGTTGCGGAGAAAAACCGTGATGAAGCAGCCGAAGAAGCAGCTGGAAAAGCAGTAAAACCAGGTAGCACATCAAAACCAGTCACTGATAAACGCAAAAGGCCCTCAGAATCAACCACGGGTCCATCAAAAATCCAAAAGACGAAGGGAATGGGCTCTTCAAGTGGAACATTGTCTGGCAAGACGATTGACACTCCGAAACAAACAGGCCAGAGCAAACCTGGAGCTGATAAAAAGTATAAGACGCGTTCGACTCGAAGCAGCAGACCAGGCAAAGGAACGTCGAGCACCACGAGCACTATGAAGGGAACCTCCGCCGAAACCCCCGACACACCGCCTCCTCACAGCGAACCACCCTCCCCTACAGAGCCCACCAAAGATCCAAAGACTCCCATCGGCCCCAAGCTCACGACAAAGTCGCCCCCTGGCTCACCGGGTTCGTCTTCCTCCTCCTCCTCTTCCTCTGATGATGAGCCAGAGGACCAAGGTCCAAACGCCGACCCCGGCCGCTATACCGACGAAGCAGACGCAGAGAAATACCGAGCCGACCACCACGTTTTCGAGGAGGTGTATTCGGAGACGGAGGAAGAGGAGGAGAACGTCCCCATGAACGCACTTGGTGGGCCGGAGCGGGAGAAGCGCCGCAAGAAACAGCGTCAACGGAACGGTGAGCCGGAGCCAGAGGCGTGGGATGGGAGTAGTAATTATCTGAAGGAGAGGAAGTGGTACAAGGAGGGTATGAATCTGGATTGAGGGCAGGGGGAGAGGGTGAGATTTGGAAGTTGCCATGGGATTTATTTCTGTTCTTCCGTGTAGGTGGGGACTGGTTAGATAGTCGCTTATACTTGAATCTGTGTTGTTTGCTATAATTCCGTCTTGAGAAATTGAACATGTGACTACGGTTTTCAGTATTCTCGCTAGCCTTGTTAGGAGTGTCTTTGTTGCTAAGAAGGGACGACTTTTCTCTTTCATTCAACCGAAGACACAACAAAGAACAATGTCTTACCAACGCTTAAAACGAATTCTTTGTGCATAGCCCAAACTCACACATTGAATAGATGTCGATATCCCATCTATCGCGCCTGTACAACACAAATCCACCGTATATTGTCCACGCGTAGACTACAAGGAGTCATATCGATAACTAACACAATGCCTCCTAAGAAAACCCCCGCGACTAAAGAAGACCAACACTCTAAGAAAGGCGATGGCAAAGATGAAGTCAGCGCATCACCTGCAACCGGTGGTAGGACGACTCGCGGTCAAGCTGCAAAGGCTACTGGATCGGACTCCCCGGATGCGAGACCACAGCCCCCATTAATTCGTGTCGGCGGTAGAATCGCATACCACGATTTTGGGACGGGGACTTGTGCGGAGATCGAACGTCATAGAAAGGTCGTTGAACGCAACCTGCAAAAGAAAGAGAGCGTCGTATTGAGCGGTTCAGATGAGATACGCAACCTCCATATGAAAAGAGTCAGACTTGTAGACGAGTTGAAGAGTGCTGCCGCCGGCAGAGCTACAAAGATAACATCGGAGCTGAAGATCCTTGACAAGAGGTTGGAAGATAACGGCCATGCCGTCAGAGAGTGGAAAGCAGTCGTGGCACTTTACGAAGATTTCATGTACTATCAAAATCCGCGACATCGACAGCACTTCCTCAAGGACACAGCGAAGAAGCCTACGATTTATGAAGAGACACTGGCGAAGAGCATCGGAAATATCCCGCCTGTCAAATTCACCACTGATGATAACTACAACCAGAAAGCGAATCCGTATGTGCGAGGAATGCGTGCTAGCCGTGTTGGCGTCACGAGCAGAATGAGGAGGGAGCTCGCTCCCCAAGAACTTCATATGCGAACGCCAGTGTGGAGACGCCGACCACTCGGTGTGGGAAGACCGCTGGAGCGACCACGTGAACCACCGTTGGAGTTAGCGCTTGACCTTGAGCAAATCGAAGCAAAAAGGCTTGAGATCGACAGCAAACCTGATGATGGGACGCGGGATGTTGAGTACATGAACCACGACGCGAGACGGATCGCAGAACTTGATCTAGGGGCTTTGAATGTATCGCGGGATAGATTGGACCGACTTAGAACGGAGGGTGGCCTGTTCATATCTGCGAAGGAAGACTCGGATGATTGGCCTACATCCTTCGACTACTTGAGCGCTGTGCGGGATAGCATTATGGCTATAGTACCAGCTGCACCTAACCACGAGAACAAGAGGAAGAAGGCGGGCGGACCTGATGTGCTGGGGGAAGGCGAGAGCGAGAGCGCAGATGAGAGCGATTACGAAGACTTTGGATTTACTCGCCCGCTTAAGCCCCTCAAGACTGACTACGGATACGAAGTTGTTACAAAGTGGCCTGAAACAAGGCCTGGCCGAAAAGAGTGGCATACAGATCGTTTACTGTCGCCAGCATCTGCGGCTGGCTCATCGCCTACACAATCGGAGCATTCTGTTATTGAGGAGGTTGATGATGAAGACAAGGAATCTGACCACGAAGGCGAGGAATCTGACCATGAAGACGAGGAGTCTGACTACGAGGGCGATCTGTTCGTGCAGTCATATCTTGAAGGGTCAAGCGACGTGGAATAGAGTTGGACAACCTGAAATGGTGTATCAGCGCAGAGTTAATGTGTATTGTATGTGTCGCAATGTGTGAAAACCAGAGAGAGAATACGTATGAAGATCTACCCTTTACATCGCTACCTTTGGTGACCGTAACTCTGTCGCCTTTATAATACACTCAAATTCAAAAATTGACTGACAATTCAGTCCAACCAAACACAACTTGAATTGACTGGATACGGAAAACTTGATAGGCATTACTAGCTAAACATGGGACTAGCAAGTGTAAGCTTAGCATATACTATGTATGGGTTACAATACTCATCCTCCATCGTAAAAGTAGAGCACCGCAACCATCTATCCCCACATGCTCATCAGCAAGACCTTTTTCTCAGCATCCTCCACATACTGCGGATCCTCGCCCAGACACCTCAGTCGATTCTGCCTGTAGCGTCTCCCATTAGGGCCCTGCTCCTTCCCCCACACATTCATGATCTCACTGAACACATGCGGTGCCCGTCTTCCGAGTTTCGTCGCCAGCACTCTCGCTTCCTGCGCATATGGAGCCGCCTTGGGATCAGCGGAGCGACGATGGTCAAGCCAGTATAGATACGCATGACGCGCTGATCGAAGCTCGCCTACAATCCAGGCTTTCAGGTTCTTCGGGCGTTGGCCAGGGAGTACATGTATGGTGAATGTCTCATCCATTTTGAGTTCGGAGTCATCCCATGATAGCTTATCCTGCAGGCCTTCACGTACGCTGAGGGCGGTGATGATCCTTGGGTCATTGATTATCAGATGGTCGATAGAGCCTCCGTCAATGTCTGCCGTGACTTGTCTTATGACTCCATTGTTATCTCGGTGAGACCACATGGCGAGAATTTTGGTACTTGGATATCGCTGGGCTTGCACTTCCTGTATCCGCTGGATGGGAAACTCTTCCAGATTGGTGATAGGTATTATAGAGCAGTGGTTGCTGAAAGTACTGTGTTGGCCGCAATGTTGACCGGATATGGGGGTTTGGCGTACTTTTGCCAACGTTTTGGTTGCAGTGATAGGGAGCTGAGGGCTTGCCGGCCCCTGCATCACTGTTTTGGACTGAGCTGTTGACTTCCTCGTATCCTCCAATCTTGCAGCAATGTCTTCAGTTTGTGCTTTGTTCGCGGTGTTGTCGTATGTTTCCTCAAATACAGGTAGTTGGTACGACTTTCGCTTCTCCGATTCCGTCTGCAGTCTAGCGTAGTCATTATAGAGCAATCTGACTGCTTCATTCTGCGTAACGATTTCCCGAAGCTTCTCACGACACAGATCAAGTGCTTTCGACTTTCTATGTCCGTACCAGGTGATTTGGTTCATTGTGTTGATTAAGTCTTTCCGCGTGCTTCCATCAAGCAGTGCGTCCAATTCCGTCTTTAAGACGTCGAGCGGGGTTGAGGATGTAATCCGCGGCTCAACAATTATAGTGTCGCTGCTGTTTTGAGATGCGAGGTTCTGCTCTTGCGCATTCCTTTTACGGATCTGACCCTGCTCGTCTTCGGAGTACTCTGACAGCTCGCTCTCGGAATCGTTTGCTAGAAGGTGATTTTTTGTAGCCATGGTAGGGATAGTCTGATCAATGTCGATGGGTTGAGTAAACTATTGCGTCTGTATAATTGTATCGGTTTGTGTAGAAGATCTGAAGCGGTGGACGCGAAGGCGAGGACATGTGTCGCGCATGGGCCTTCACCTTCACCTCTCTGCTTCTCCACCTCTACCCTGTTTCACTCATAACCGGAATGTCTAACCAAGAGTCATCGTAATAAGAGACATATTAGTAATGGGGGGAATATCACTGCAAAACTTATGGTAGCGCTGCCTAGGATTCATTCAAAAAGATTACAAGATCGTTGAAACTAAAAGTTATGAGGATATAAATTACTAGGCAACGTTAATGATATTGCAAGCAAATAAGCAGATAACTCAGAACTGAAATCGATAGAAACCTGAAAACATTACTACAGACACAGATTTGGCTTACTCAGTGATCACGATAACATGGCCCATGGACGCAACCTTCGAAGGCGTCAAGTCTGGCGTCATAAGTTGACTCTGGCTCACCTTCGTCTCTCCGTCAACCTTTTCTAACTGTTCCTTGGCCTGGTTAACGTCAGCTTCTGCTCGATCAACAGCGATACGCGCCGTCTCAAATTTTGTCTTAGCCACCCGAAGCTCTGCCTTTGTGTCTTTGACTGAGTAGCCAACACGCTTCTCCGCTTCTGCAAAGCGCTTCGCCTGGCGAAGATCCATCAGAGCGTCTTCTAACTCTGTCCGCGCTTCTTCTAGATAGTTCTCAGCTACAGCCAGAGTGTGTTTGACACGCTGGGCTGGAGTCTTGAGATGAGCGTAGGCAGGGTGAGAAAACAAGATGGCGTCTGATAGGGCGGACTTGGGGTTGACAAAGCCAAGCGATTCGTAGGGCGACGGCGAGTTTATATGTGAATCATCATCATCAGTATCGCCTACAGCGTATCGATTAAAGGGATGAACATTGGATGGCCGCAAGTGTCGAGTTTCAATCATCCAAGTCATCTGAGCATTGACGTGGTCGTTATGATCAGAAGTATCTGGGGTAGGCTCTACATCTGATGAAGCAGCTTGACACGAGTCATACGAGTCTTCAGTTGCAGACCCTGGTGAAGACGGCCCGCTATGTAGATATTCACCTTCATAGAATTGTGTCATTCTGCAATCTGCCTCTTCCTCAAACCTATCATCTGAGCTGGAAGAACCATTTTCCTCTGAAGAACCGTCGTCCTCTTCCGAAGAGGAATCATCGTCACCAGCGCTGTTTACTTCGAGACGATCTTCTAAACTTCGATTAACCGGTCGAAGTATAGCATGTGGCCTAAGACCGCCTGGGATTGGTACCTTGAGGTTTGCATGACGTTGATCGCATGAGGTTGTGCTCATCGTGTCGGAGTGAAAAGGTTGCTATTGGATCAATATTGACCAGTAAAAAGTGAACCAAAGAGTCGTCAAGCGAGCCAGCCTAGGAGTGTAGATTGATGTAACTGATGGGAATAACCGGTACTATGCTTTATGCTGGCACTTCGGCAGTGTACTTTGTGCGGCCCCAAAGTATGAGATTTGACCATTGTGCTAAGTAGAGTAATGTGAATGTAGGAAGTGAGTGACTGATTGCGTCCCGTTTCATCCTTCTTTGCATCCGGGAGGTCCCCCTTTTCAGCATAGTTCAATCATGAACGTTCAGGGTCATCTTCACACGTTCAGGCCATACTCCAGACCAGTTCGTCCTCGACGAAAACCCCTGATTAGGGTACATAGGCAATTCAGTCAAGCTTTGTCCCTCAAACGACTTTTGCTATGTAGTCTATCAAAACATGTTATGATTATTCGTGCTCGTGTACCCTAGTTGTCTACATGAAATGTCACAGACTCGAACTCTCTTTGTCGATATATTACGGAAAACTGCAAGACCGCAAGTCATTTTGTTCATAAGCGAGCGGGTACTAGCGGGTTCAAGGCCAAGCCCGAATTGCCCTGATAATTGTTGCGGAACCAAGACTTGAATTATGTTGATGACGGTAAGCGGATTATCCGCAGTTTGAGTAGGGTATAGATGTACGAGGCCTCTTTGCGCCCGGCCCAAAGATTGATGCAGGCTCGCAAAAAATAAAACTGGGTGCCTGAGGATAGAACCTCTGATTCCTGAAGTATGAGACATCTTTGCACTAGTGGACGCAGTGAGCTTTCACACAAAAAGCATGTGATAGTGTAGTTTGCACCATAGCCTGTTGCCTTGAGGCATCATTGGAGGGGTTGGAATGCCTATTGCTGCCTTCCGTTATCGTGGATGCGATGACGATGACTGATCGTCGGCTGTTTCGTAGGGAACTCCATGGTATACCTGTAAACGGACAGAGATCGACGAAGCGAGACAGCGAGACAGCGCGAGACCGATATTTGGGATCCCACCACTGTCGAATTGACTTGAGATTCACGCTATTGATGACAACTTGCATTTGCCGGGCAATTGCTGACAGACATCTCACTCCGACCACCGTGTTGTCGTCGGCTCCAACGTTGGTTGTTTGAGTGGTTGGATGGCTGAGTGGGGTTGCTGGGATGGGAAGAGGTGAGCTGTGGATCAGCAATGGGTTGAGCGTGTAAGACAACTACCTATACTGGATTGTTGAAGTCCGTGAATTCTCGAGCGCTTATCGGCGATTCTCTAGTTATCTTGCCATCCCTCTTCACCTTTTCGATATCAGTTGAAAATCCACGTGTTTTTAGAACGAGGAATCGTCCGTACAACCACTCATCCCATTGGTCACTGGGCGTAATTTTGAACGCACGTGCACAACCGTCTAGGCCAACGTCCTTCAGTCGGGATCGTCAAAAACGGAAGTCGGGAGCACACTGCTGTCGTTTTTCGCTGTCCAGCCGAGCATCCGCTGTCAGCTTACTGTTGAGATTTACGAACAAGGGATGATGGCCGGTCAGATCGCCAACCTGAAAGCACGTGCTCGTGTCGTCTTCACGACCCCAGAATATTCGCCCAACTCGAGGGATTTCGAAGGAAACATGTGGATCGCAAGGGACAGCGGATGTATTTAACGACTCGCGCCCGAGAACGGTAGGGCTGAGCTGAGATGAGCCTCGTGGTCGGATTCCGGATTCGCTCTCATCCGCCCACGCTAGAACATCTCGCGTGCACGGGAGATTGGGGCAACGGTAGCCGCAAGCGCGGTTAAGCTTGGGCGCAAAATGCGCTCGGTTGGGGCATTAGGATTGTGCAATCTGCGACTTTCGTCCGTTAGTCAACGTAGAAAGAATGTAGCAGACATGCTGGATAAATGCCTGACAGCGAATGAGATGCTTAAATGTCAGGTCAATATCAAAATGTCGCAACAAAGAAATATGTAGACGTCAGATCGTGCCTGCAAGAAGCCAAGTGCGTCGCCCAAGGGCGGACAATCAGCCGTGTCATTACACCTACTCGCTTCTAGCCAAGCACCAAGACTTCCAGGTACGCTGGCGATACGGTCGGACGAAATGCTGCGGAGAGTTGTTTGTACCTCTGAGGACGCAGAATCCCACGCTCTGGTTGCCGGAGAGGCACACAGATATTGCACGACGCGTTGATGGACCCTCGTCGATGGCGTTATCCAGCATCCTGATTTTTGAGTTTGATCTTCAGTGGCGAGCAATATGCGTTCTCCACTTGCATTGCCGTATAGAGCGTATCCGGTGTGGGCGAGCCACCCGGACTAAACGTATCCGCTCCCGGTCATCTGCCAAGCGCCCGTCCACTGTCTGTTGGACCAAATACCCCGGCCACCGAGGCCCACCTCATTCTGGCTCGACTTTATCAGGCAGCTGCCCCCTTGATTGTTGATTTGTATTGCGACTTTGTCCCCCACGTTCCTACCCCTAGGATTATTTTAATGCCACACTGTTCTTGATTGCTTCTTTTTTAATTATACTCGTGCGTCAAACGAGGACTTCGTGGCGATAGCTCAACCGCCCAAGATGAGCTTAGTTGGCAACTTCGGCAGCAATTACGACCACACTGCCGCAAGTGGCGGTGTTCCCACACCAGAGATGGCTGCTCGCCGGCACTCGCAATCGTATTCTAATCCAAAGTCATCCGATTCAGACTCTTCGACAATTGCAGCAAACAACGAAAAGTCCCATCACCAAACAGGGCGGAAGACCTCACTATCCGACGAGCAGGAAACTGCAAGAAGAGAAGAGGAGGTTTTGCAGTTGGCGAGGCGACTGACATCGCAAAGTCATGCTTCTGGAGGACATGGAAGCCCGTTCGATGCGGTACCAGGATCATCGCTTGACCCTAGTGGAGAACACTTCAATGCTCGCGCCTGGACCAAGGCTATGTTGAATCTGCAGAGGAGTGATGAGAACGCGGCACCACAATCAACAGCTGGTATCTCTTTTCGGAATCTCAATGTCCATGGTTTCGGTGCCGACACAGATTACCAAAAAAGTGTTGGTAACGTATGGCTTGATGGTCCAGCTATCGTGAAGAAGGTGATGGGAAACAAGGGGCGGAAGATCAATATCTTGCGCAACGTCGATGGCCTGGTGGAGGCTGGTGAGATGTTGGTCGTCCTTGGGCCCCCTGGATCCGGTTGTTCCACATTTTTGAAGACAGTCACAGGAGAAACCCATGGCTTCTTCGTCGACCAGGCTTCAGTGATCAACTATCAGGGTACGTTGTGGATTCTCTACCAGTTCTTTTGTTACTCCCCACTAACGACCAACAGGCGTCAGTCCAAAGATGATGCACAAGAACTACCGAGGAGAAGCTATCTACACGGCAGAAGTTGATGTGCATTTCCCACAGATGACTGTTGGCGAGACACTCTACTTTGCTGCCCAGGCTCGCCGCCCGCGCCATATTCCGGGTGGGGTCAGCGAGAAGGTGTATGCCGAGCACCAGCGAGATGTCATCATGGCCATGTACGGCATCTCCCACACCATAAACACTCGGGTTGGCAACGACTTCCTTCGTGGTGTCTCAGGTGGTGAGAGGAAACGTGTGACCATTGCGGAAGCCTCCCTCAGCCGGGCGCCTCTGCAAGCATGGGACAACTCGACGAGAGGTCTCGACTCCGCCAACGCCATCGAGTTTTGCAAGACCCTTCGTATGGAAACCGAGATCAACGGCACAACCGCCTGCGTGGCCATCTACCAATCTCCTCAAGCCGCGTATGATCTTTTCGATAAGGCACTTGTTCTTTACGAGGGCCGCCAGATCTTCTTTGGCAAGACCACAGAGGCAAAGCAGTATTTCCTGAACATGGGATTCGAATGCCCTGATCAACAAACCGATGCCGATTTCCTCACCTCGATGACAAGTGCCCTGGAACGTCTTGTTCGCCCCGGTTGGGAAGATCGTGTTCCACGCACTCCGGATGATTTCGCTCAACGCTGGAATGAATCAGCCGAACGAGTTGAGCTGTTGCGCCAAATTGAGGCATACGAGCAGAAGTACCCCATTGGTGGCGATCAAGCCACTAAGTTCGCAGAAGCTCGAACGCTCCAGAAAGCCAAGGGTCAGCGACAAAGATCGCCTTACACTCTGTCCTACATGCAACAGATCAAGCTCTGTTTGTGGCGAGGATTTGTTCGTCTCAAGGCTGATCCCAGCATTACCGTCTCTCAACTTGTTGCGAACTCGATCATGGCTTTGATCATCTCGTCCGTCTTCTACAATCTTCGGCTCACCACCTCCAGCTTCTATCAACGATCCGCTCTGCTTTTCTTCGCCATTCTGATGAACGCTTTTGGCTCAGCGCTCGAGATGTTAACTCTCTATGCCCAACGACCTATTGTTGAGAAGCATTCTCGATATGCACTCTACCACCCGTCTGCCGAAGCGTTCGCTAGTATGTTAACCGATTTGCCATACAAGATCGCCAACGCAATCACTTTCAACTTGGTCCTCTATTTTATGACTAACTTACGACGAGAACCTGGCGCCTTCTTCTTCTTCGCACTGATCTCATTCACCCTTACCATGGTCATGTCCATGTTCTTCCGATCCATCGCTTCGTTGTCACGATCTCTCGTCCAGGCTCTGGCACCCGCTGCGGTTCTCATCTTGATGCTTGTTATGTATACCGGTTTCGCAATTCCTCCTACTTACATGTTGGGATGGTCTAGCTGGTTGCGCTACCTGAACCCTGTCAGTTATGGCTTCGAATCTCTGATGATCAATGAGTTTGTTGGCAGGCAATACCAATGCAACCAGTTCATTCCCTCTGGTCCCGGGTACGAAAGCGTTACTGGCGTACAGCGAGCATGCGCGGCGGTCGGCTCAGTCGCAGGTCAACCTTTTGTGGATGGAGCCGTGTACATCCGATCGGCTTACCAGTACGAAGCCTCGCACAGGTGGCGCAATTTCGGTATTCTCTGGGCTTTCATGTTTGGTCTCATGATGGTTTATCTCGTCGCCACTGAGTACGTTACTGCTGCTAAGTCAAAGGGTGAAGTTCTACTTTTCCGACGTGGTCAGAAAGTTCCTGGAAGCAAATCTACTGACGATCTGGAATCCGCTCCCACTGGTCGCAATGCAGGTGTACAGCACAACTCGGACCAAATCGCTATCATTGAACGACAGACGGCTATTTTCCAATGGCAGGACGTTTGCTACGACATCAAGATTAAGGGTGAGGGTCGACGTATCCTCGATCATGTCGATGGATGGGTCAAGCCGGGCACCTTGACTGCGCTCATGGGTGTTTCTGGTGCTGGCAAAACTACCCTCTTAGATTGCTTGGCTACGCGTACTACTATGGGTGTTATCACTGGCGAGATGTTGGTTGATGGCAAGCCACGCGACGACTCATTTCAACGCAAGACTGGATATGCCCAGCAGCAGGATCTTCATTTGGCCACATCTACCGTCCGAGAGGCTCTTCGTTTCTCTGCTCTGCTCCGTCAACCAGCTCATGTTCCTCGTCAGGAAAAAATCGAGTATGTTGACGAGGTCATCAAGCTATTGGACATGACAGAGTACGCTGATGCCGTCGTCGGTGTTCCTGGAGAAGGTCTCAACGTCGAGCAGCGCAAGCGACTCACCATTGGTGTCGAACTGGCAGCTAAACCCGCTCTCCTTCTCTTCCTGGATGAACCCACTTCTGGCCTCGATTCACAAACTTCTTGGGCTATTCTCGACCTACTTGACAAGCTGAAGAAGAACGGACAAGCCATTTTGTGCACTATCCACCAGCCCAGCGCCATGTTGTTCCAACGCTTCGATCGCTTGTTGTTCTTGGCCAAGGGCGGACGCACTGTCTATTTCGGCGAAGTCGGAAAGGGCTCGCATATCCTCGTTGATTACTTTGTTCGTCAAGGTGCTCCCCAATGCCCACCCTCGGCGAACCCAGCCGAGTGGATGCTGGAGGCAATCGGCGCGGCTCCTGGGTCGCACTCTGATGTCGACTGGCCACAGGCGTGGCGCGGTTCCAAAGAGTACGCTGAGGTACAACGTCATCTCGCTGAACTGAAGTCGGAACGCGGTCAGGCGGATGCTCTCCAACGCACAATGTCTGCCCAGAAACGCGAGGATAAAGCTGCCTACCGTGAATTTGCTGCTCCCTTCGGGCTGCAGTTCCGTGAGACCACAATCCGTGTATTCCAACAGTACTGGCGCAGTCCTGCCTACATTTACTCCAAGATGCTTCTCTGCACCTCATCGGCTCTGTTCATTGGGTTTTCGCTTTTCAACATGTCAAACACCCAGCAAGGCATGCAGAACCAGATGTTTGGTGTCTTCATGTTGATGACTATCTTCGGTCAATTGGTCCAGCAGATTATGCCGCATTTCGTCACACAGCGTGCTTTGTACGAGGCTCGCGAGCGACCCAGTAAAACCTACTCCTGGAAGGCATTCATGTTGTCGAACATTCTTGTCGAACTCCCCTGGAACTCGCTCATGTCCGTCTTGATCTTTTTCTGCTGGTACTACCCCATTGGCCTCTACCGCAACGCACAACCCTCCGACTCCGTGACCCTCCGTGGTTTCCAGGAATTCCTCTTCGTCTGGATGTTCCTGATGTTCACTTCCACCTTCACCCACATGATGATTGCTGGAATCGAGTCCGCCGAAACTGCTGGTAATCTTGCCAACTTGATGTTCTCACTCTGCTTGATCTTCTGTGGTGTTCTCGCCTCACCGAGCACCTTCCCCCGCTTCTGGATCTTCATGTACCGTCTTTCGCCTTTCACATACATGGTGTCTGGCATGTTGTCTGTCGGCCTTGCCAACAGCTCAGTCCAGTGCGCAGCTAACGAGCTTATCAATTTCGAACCGCCTTCAGGCCAGAGCTGCGGTGCTTACATCGACGCGTACCGAAACCTGGCTGGTGGTTACATGAGCAACCCAGACGCCATGACAGGCTGCGAGTTCTGCGCCATTGGTGACACAAACGTGTTCCTTGCACAACTTTCGGCGAACTACGCGGACGTGTGGCGGAACTTTGGTATCCTTTGGGCATTCGTCATCTTCAACATTTGCGCGGCGCTCGCCTTCTACTGGCTCGTCAGGATGCCCAAGCCCAAGAAGGAGAAGGAAGACAAAGCCGTTGTTGTTGACAACCACGCTGGTGCTGCACATGAGGAGATGACACACGAGCCTTCTCGTGTTGGCACGCCTGTCACGAATGTTGTTCATGACCACGAGAAGGTTGATGAGCAGCCGACGTACGCACCTATCGCGGGTACGCGCACGCCGCCTCGTCAAGAGGTCTCGGAAAAAATCTGAGCGTGTGCATTGTTATCTGCTTTTTGACTAGATTTTCGACAGTTGTTGGTCCGTCTTCGCCCGCTTGTGTGGCATATGTTTTCCCTTTTCTACCTCGATCTCAAACATAGATCTTCGTTGTACGCCTCAATGGCGGATACGATCTCACGCATACTTCTCTTATAGATTCTAATCAGTGGCTCTGCGTATATGCAGCCTCAATAGATAGATGAGATACTTATGTTCTAATCTACATTTTACTTCTTCATCATGCATCCGACTTCGTGTATTTCGTGCATCGCAATTTGGAAAGGCCAAAAAGTCCTGGCGAGCATCGTGATCACGTAGTAGTTGCAGAGTCACATGGGCGGTAAGCGGTTTTGCGCGTAGACTCATGGTCTACGTCACGATGCATCCACACAGTGTTGAGAAAGCACATAGAAATTCGGTGCAAAAGCATTAAAAAGTGTATTCTCGTAGCCTGTCCGTAGGCTGAGTTCAAGGAAGAAAATTACAACATTATATCGCTTGATGTACTCATCAAATTGATCCTCCCATGCATGCTATGGTGTCGTGTAGCCCAAAGACCCCTACGCTAGCAAAAGAACCCGAGGGCAGAATATCCAACCTCATCGTCAACTTGTGCTCTCACAGGTCTAATTAGTCTACCTGCCATGCATTGGACTCTTTGACTTGTGAGAGCCTACGTTCGACCCGTTCTAAGTAGACTCACTTCGCCTTAACAGTGAACTGAGTACCGTACTGTCTGAGCGATTTCTACTTGTATGCGCATTCATGACTTCCTCCTTAGCTTTTCGTTGCTGGATATGCAACAGTGTCTTCTTGAGTGCGGCGTATAAATTCTGATTGTCGCCCATATCGAGGTCAACCCAGAACGAGTAGATGGACAGACCCCTCTGATTGACGTTTTTGAATCGGCGCAGGATGTACTGACGTGCGGATGTGTCCGGATCAGCCTCGTTGGGCGTGTAGTCTGGGAAGAAAACAGAAAGCGGCGTGTGTTGCAGTTTTTCGCAGAAGCGGCTGAAGTTGTTGAGGACTAGGATGACGGACGAATCTTTGAACTTCTCCCAGTTCACGAGTTCTTCAAAGATCTCAAAGTCGCTTAGAAGCCATGAATCGGTGGAAGAGCCCAAGTAGGGCTGGTCGTAGAGGGAGACATCAACTGTGTAGATGAGCGAAGCTGTCCCTTCGAGTTGGTGGAACCAGCGCTTGCGGAACTGATCTGGAATGTGGCCGCCGATATTGAAAAGATGGACATCCAATTCGTCCCAGCTGAAACGCAATTCCTTAATGCCTCCTTCCGATTGGTCTAAACGGATGATATCTGCCTCGGATGGAATGTATTCGTTTTCGGCAATTCTCGAGGTCTCTTGCGCAAAGTATGATGCATACTGTGGAAAGCGAATTTCAGAGTTGCGGATGTAGATTGTGGAGAAGACCGAACACATCCAGATGTTCTCAATTGCCTCAGCAGCTGCGGGCGTAATGTGTTGCACATCCTCCGTTTCCACTTCGTGGAGCAAGACGGCAAAGTCTCGGTTCAGGTCTCGTGAAAGGTTGATACCTGTATCTTTCAGCAGATCGATGATAGCGTGAACAAGCAGTCGAATCGTCGAGCGTACGTCTTGACAATAGCTGGTGCGCTCGCTAGTTGTGTAGTAGCCTCCAGCATAGAGAGCTTTCATTTGACGCATGATGAGCTGTTTGCCACTTTGAGTGGCGCCCATAAGTACGATCTTCGTTTCTCGACGAAGAGTAGTCGCGTCGCCTTGCAAAACACGATCGATTGCTTCCGAGCGTATCATTGCTGCGGCACTCTCGTAATCCTCTCCAGTCAATACATAGTCTGACCCGTTCCGTAAAATCTTCGAATTGAGGAAGTATTTCGAACATTGGATGGTTCGAGAGACCTGCGTGAGGGCTCTGATACACCCGCCATTCCACTTTGATGATCGCGCTAACATCTTGAGGGATGTGACGTCTTCCTCCTTGATATGGCGGCCTTTGTGAAGTAGAATCTTGCGCTGCGCTTTGGCATGACTGGGTGCTGTTAGAATCTCAACAGTCTCACCCGTTCCAACTGATCAGTAGCTTACCAGTTGCATGCCGCGACTAATATTGTTACAGCCTCTGTTTGCCGCTGCGCAACTTTTCTCAACCTCTCCATTGTCCTACTGCCTATTGTGTACCTCAATTTGATGGCACAGTCCATAGCATCATGATTAGACTGTCTGAGTCGCTCAATCAAATCATCCAGATGCCGCACAAGCAGGGCGCATGAAGTCATCAAAACGTCCAAGTCAGAAAGTAGTTGCGGGTGCATGTCGTTGATCGCATAGTTCATGGCGTCTAGCATGTTGTCAAAGTTCGATTTCAGCGCTGCCAGTTGCGCGATAAGATTGATTGAAGTGTCATTGTGATCCTGCCACCGGTCGTGCAATTGCCGTAATCCGTCGATACTTTGTCGTAAACGATCCCTGTTGGCGCCGACGGCACTTATAAGTGCATGAACCTTCTTTCCATCGAGCAGCGCGTTTGTCATGGTGTATACGATCAAACTGCGACGAGTCCTGGAGGTGTATGTAAGAGGTCTGTTATAAATCTCAGCGTGTGCTGCACAAACTACAGATATCTTCGCAACAGCCAGGGTACCTGGCTTATAGCTGAAGTTAGCGCTTGAATTACGATTTAGAGTTAGCGACGTGGCCGCGGGGATTTGCGGCTCATAAGAATGAACAACAGAGGAGGCAGCAGATCTGAAAAAGCAGTTTATCTCGTATATTCCTGTTGGGCACTGCGCACGATGAAAATAAACAAATTCAGCTAAACTCGACCATGCCCACAAGCAGGCGACGAGATGTTCATGGTGATGTGTGAGACATGGCGCCGTTAAGGAGGCGGCTATCTCAGTAGCGCACTTGGCGTACATCACATGCTGGTATTATGAATTCATCTAGGCCTTGAAGCCGCCATACCAAAACAAGTCGCACATGTATATTTCGCTGATGGGCGTTGGTGTTGATAGACTCAAGTCCAAGGTCAGGAGGAGTTGCTTTCTTTGACTCATAATTATGGGTAGTACACGCTAGTCTACATCGATACGCCACGAGGCGAGAAATTTCCGTGTCTGCCGTCATCGTCAAAGATTACTTTTTGCGCAACAGTCACACACTGGAACAGACTATGAACACACTCTTTGGCTCAACCACTGTTCGCTAATCTCATGAATGAAGACCTCCCATCTTTCCGCAATGTCAACTCTCAGTGCACTTCCTAATGAGATTCTGTCATTGATAACGAGTCATCTTGACCGTCCTTGCGATGTGCTGAATCTTTCCCTGGCAAATCAAACCCTGAACGGCTTCGTGGAGCTTGACGGCTGGAAGGCGTATCTGAAGGGGCGCTTTAGGCTTGGCGGGTTAGATACAGACGCTCGGAGGGCAGTCCACGGCATCACCACACTCTACCGTAACTGGGATCGCAAGGGTCTTGTCGCAAAATACCTGGAACCTACTTTACACACAAAAAGCCTCAATACATGGGAATCAAGTCCATGGAGAGGCCCTCGTGGGCAGACAATGGGCTATCAGCCTAGCCTTGACAGCTATGAAGAAACATTTGGCGCCTGGAAGGAGCGAAGAGAGGTCTTGGCGTGGTCTGCTGGCACGCAAATTGTTATGAGGATCAAAGAGACAGGATCAGGCATAGACCAAATCTGGGAAGATGAGCAGAACGTAGAGTCGCAGCCTGACAAGACATGGGCATTCGACGCGTTCAAGCATATGAACTCATGGTTTACGTACAGGATACCAGAGAGTTTTGAGGGACGAGACGACATCACGAGCTTGAAGCTACTTCGACCGCATCAAAGGGACAGCAACTTCGAAGATGTCGTTTTTGGTACAGCGTCAGGCCAACTGTCATTCCTGAGTGTAAGCCCTGAACGAAGCGAGACGCTCGAGCAGCGTTTTGAGACCAATCGACGAGCAGTTGGTTCTATTTCAATATCTTCCTCCATTAGGCCTTTGGTTGCTGCTACGCTTGGAGATTCATCATTAGCCGTGTATCCCATCAATAGCCATGATCTTTCAGAAGACACAGTAGACCCGCTTACAGAGGTGCGACCAGTCGTCGGCGCTCAGAATTCTCGTATCTGGTCTTGCAACTTCATCTCTAACAGTAAGGTTGCACTCGGTTTGGGCCCATCTTCTGAGCCGATTCATGTGTATGAGATTACGCCTGAGGGATTCTTGTCCGAACCAATTCGCACATTCAATCTCGAGTCCAAGTCTCGAGATAGCCGGGTCGACGTTCAGCGCAGCACGTCAATTTACCCTATTCAGCCAATCCCGAACAATTCGCAGGGTGGGTCAGAAGCAGGCAATGTATTTCTCTCTGGAGGCTATGACGGAATCATTAGACTTCACGATATGCGCTCTCCACGCGGATTCGACACCTTGTTCTGGGACCCAACCAACGACTCATCAATATACTCGCTCGCCATACAGGGACTGGAACGCGTTGTCGCAGGTGTCTCGATGCACAGTATGGTCAAAGTTTTCGATCTACGCTTTTCGGGATCGCACGCATACCATACGGTTTCACTTCCCTCCAAGCCAAAGAAAACCCAAGGTCAAGATTTTGCGTGCAACGCCATTGTAGACGAGACGAGAGATACCGCGTTAGCGGTATCTGGTGGCTGGAATCTATACCTCAACCCTCGGGTTCCTCCGAAACGCAACGTCTACCGAGAAGAATATTGGCGTGGTCGCGAGAATTCACCCGTCTACAGTCTCTCCATTCCATCTCCCACTTCGACAAACATATACGCCGGTCTCGAAGGATCAGTCCAAAGTCTGACATTCCATTCTGTCGCCGACGCACATCCAGATACGCTTTTCTCGCAGACAACAATGCGCTCTACCAATAATGGCGCGATCGATGCCAGAACAGCATACAATCCACATGGTGACGGGTTGAGTTTAGGTATGTACGAACAGGGCAATGCAGAAGGTTTGGATATGCAGTTGCTGGTACAAGACGACATCGCTGCAGGCGCAGTAAATAAAAAAGACTCCAGAGATGTAGTGAGGTCCAGAGGATTAGATGAGCGATGGAGAGACCCTCGGGATGATGGTGATCGATGGGTCAGAGGTGCAACTCCGCAAGGACCAAGACGAGGCGGACGGCATGGCAGAGGCGGTGGACGAGGTGGGAGAGGCAGAGGTCGAGCTCACACATGAGAGTTTCTCATATTGAGGGGGCTATGAATGGTATAAAGTTCGTATTGAGAAACCATACAAATACATCGTGTTTGTAGAATTCCACGGCCACTAATATCAAGTGTCTTGAGGAGTGCTGACGTTCGTTAAAAAGATTGCATACAGGCTAGAGAGCTGATCACATCCTACAGCAATACTTCAGCCTTCCCATCGAACGTTCTCGCTTTTCAAAACATCCACCAGCCCGACTGGAAGCAAACCAGGAGTGCCCAGTTGTAGCCCCTGGCCCCCAAACCTTTGCTTCATATCACCGGAGTAGAGGTTATAGATCCATAACCAATAAGGTGTTGGTTCGAGAGCGCGGCTACTAAGTTCAATCAACAGATCTGTCGAAGATGCAACGCACTCTTCCAATGGACAGTCGAGCAAACCCGTGTAAGCGTCCCGCAAATGGGTAGATACCTCCTCCCTATACCTGGTATATTCGTCAAAGCTCATAAAAGGTTCGTCGCCTTCTGTATCCGTCCCAGTGTCCTCCCTCGCCAATGGAGCATACTCCATTCCTCTCGGTTTGTGCTCGCCTGAGTCCCATTTCTCTTTCAAAAGATCATATTCCTCTTGCTCCTGTTCAAACGCCCGATCGATACGCTCGCTTGGGTTACTTGACGAATGTGTGTATGTCGTGAACGCATTGATGAAGGGATTTCGCAGTCCCAGTCCACCAAGCTCAGTTGGGAAGTAAAAGAAGCCATCCGGGACGGAGTCATCTGTACCAAAACGCTTCTGGAGCATACCGCGCAGGTTGTCTGTCACGCTAGCCGTGCCTTCACCAGCAAAAAGACTGCGTTGGATGTGCTCGAACGTGTTAATGATCATGTCGTTGTGCTGTCGGCCAAGGCAATTTGCCGGTTGTCCAAAGTTGTTGGAAAAGAAGCGACTGACGTAGCTGTTCCAGGCCTGCACCCAGGCCATGACACTACGGCATGCACCTAGTTGACGTCGCAATTCTTCGATATGTTTATCAACTTCGCCACGATCAATGACCCAGCAACCGGTACTGGCATCTAGATTTAGAAAACCCCATTTGATCGTTCCTTGGGGCAAGGATTGTGGAAAGGTACGGGCCTTGGTCTTATCAGCAACTACCAATGCTGCTCCAGTTTTCTCTCCGTTTAGCTCGAGCCCCATGACGCCAGTAAACTCTTGCAGGGCATGCCAGGCTTGGATACAAGTGGATTCCTGGCCCCAGAACCAGAGATCATCATGGAAACGATGAATGTTTACGCCTTGTGTGCGCTTGTTGACCGCAAAATCCAAACAAAATAAGACCGCCTCGCCAAGTGCGTCACTGAGTAGATGACTCATGGGAATTCCGCAATTTCTCACATGTATCTGGGCTCCGGGACCATCCTGTGCAAAGACGACGGGTGCTTGGAGAAATGTCTTGAAAAATCGTAGCCATTTTTCGGGAACACCGAAGAACTTTAATACCGCAAAGATGGTGTCATGGGGAAGGGACGGGCCAAACCACTTGAAGTCGGACTGCCACACCAAGAACTCGCCATAAACCTTCGTGTTGAGCAGCATCTCGGTAGTCACCAGGCGTAGCATGGACTGTTTTGTTGCCAATGGTGACTTCGACTGTCCAAGCTGTGACTCTTCGTGATCCTCGTGGTCTTCGGCAGCGTAGTCCCGATAGTCATCGGAATCGTTATCTGGCAATTGCGTCATGAAATACTCTTGCGAATATTTCTCCCGCCGATGGTTTCGGACGTTATCCGATTTACCCGTGCTGCCCTCCACGAAATACTCTCGCCTTTGTCGAGCCTTCTTGTTCATAGACCGATAAGACGTCTGGAGCCAAGCACCGGAGTGATAAAAGGCGTTGAATGCCTTTTTCAATGCGACTGCCCAAGTCTTACCAACGAAGTGCAACAAGATTGCCTGATGAACTTCCTCGTCCATGTAGACTCTGTACTTCCCATTGAGTTGCCTACGCATATGCAGTGGAACCGGCGTTGGATCCCATTCCCATTGGTCAAGCCCTTCGAGATCAAAATTTAGCACGTCGACCAACTCCTTCAACACAGCTGGCTGGTTTTCCAGCTCCGCTAGAGCCTCGCGCTTCTGGCCGGCAAGTAAATCCGACTGAAGCACCCCACGGATGCACGATGTCAGCTTGTCGACAGTGAAGCGGTGCTCGTTTATTGTACGGCGAATTCCCTTGCGGAGAGGTTCTTCCCGCTTTGGCGTGTCGAGATTCGATTTGAAGTCCATGACTTCCTTCATGGTCTCCCGCAGTTCCTGTAGAGGCGACTTCTTTAACTTTTTGGCTTGCAGAGGCGTGCCGAAGATATCATTTAAATATGCATCAATCTTGTGCTGATCCACCTTCTTCTCGGTGAACGCATGGCGCTCCCACTCCTTTCGCTGTTCATGCATCTCTTTGCGGCCTACTGCGTCGAAGCTGTCATCGATGTCGGAGTCGGAGTTGGAGTTGGAGTTGTTAGACGTTGAGGACGCAGGGTTCGGGTATTCAATCCATTCGATGACAAGATTCCCAAACAAGGCTGCATATTCGTACTTCAGGCTGGTAACATCTAACTCGTGTTCCAACTTGGTTTGCCAGTCCCGAAGAAGATGAGCCGGGACAGACGGGTCGTGTTTAGCCTGGTGGATGAAGCGTGCTAAATTATAAGTCGAAAGTTCCGGCTGTTCGATGGTAATGCCATACAAATCGAAGCCCTCAAGCAAAACCTGAACTTTACTTCGATGGTCGGAAGCAGCAGCTACACTAGCTTGAATAGCTTTCTTGTCCGCCTCGAACTTCTGCCGATGCTCTGCAAGTTTATTAAGCTTGCGCTTGGTAACATGATGTAGCGTTGATAACGATGGTGTCGCCATGGTGTTATTGATGGAGAGATTATCGGGGTTATTAAGTTGAAATAGCGTAGCTGGATGAGCGAATTGGTAGTTGAATTCATGAACTGTGGAAAGTCTGATAGATTCTCAATGGTGTGCATTCAGATTTGTCCTTATATTCTTGACGTCTAGGCAGCATTTCTCCCGTGTGCGCCCTTTAGCGTAGAATGTCAATCGAAGGAGGGCGGAAAGGCGGAAAGGCGCAAACCGACGAAAGAATCTACGTGAGAGCAGATGCCAGCTGAGGTGTTTTATCACTGTCTTCCTAGACGTTGACCTTGGGCAGATATCATGAGACGAAAAGGAAGGCCAGGAAACAAGGTCATACAACACTAGGGTTAGATGTCGTTGTTTTCGGAATGTTGCCGCCTGTATGACGTAGGATAGGCACCCTATTTTAGGCATAGCTCCATATCATTTTTTTGCAGAGCAGATGGCTGCGCAGCACTTGGCACTGCTAAGAAGCTGGGTGTTTTGTTTGTGGGGTGCAACTAACACAATTTGCAATAATTAGAACGTCACAGAAAACTAAAAAGGGCAGAATCTTTAGTAACTCTTTCTTAGTTTGCTACTCGTTTCTTAGATCGTGTAGATGTATCTTCGTAGTATTATTGTTGTGGTGTTACTAGTTCAGACATCGACATTACTTTCGGCTTTCAACTTGATGCGAGAGACACAGTAGCAAAGCTAATGCAAAACGTAAAACATAGGTTTATCTCTTGTAACTATTCTGCTTTCTCAATACATAACTATGTGTAGTTTAGTGGGCTAGAAGTATTCCAAGACATTTGTGACGTTCACAGCCTGTGCTATTCCATATTTGGGATATACAAGGTAATTCGCGAATTTTAGTAAACGATACGAGCCTGTGATGCGCAGGTCGAGCGGCGAGCCTCGCCCGCCGACATATTGTCGACAAATCCCCTCACGCGCCAGTGGCAGCCCGATCTGCACGTGGACTGAGAGAAGCTGAGAGAATTACAGAGAAGCTCAATGGAAGCTGAAGGAATCACAGAATTGGGCTGAGCGTTGGGATCGGTCAATGTGAGATGGCTAGCGAAGCTCACCGCCATATAAACACGGTGCGCATCATTATTGAGTGGGACATGCACTGTGTATGAAACATGTGCAGAGCTGAGCATGCGCTGGATGATGTCAAGCTTCATCTTAACTCCTATTACACGGAAATTTGTATACTGGACGTGCTTAATGCTTGCGAAGACGGGGTTTCCCGCTGTAACATTAACTCCATGAGTGTACAACCACTTCATCTATGGCACGCTGTAGGTACAGCGTTGTATTTGCACGTTCGTTGCCACGTAGAGCTCCAATCGAAGAATAATACGAGGTATGACCACCCAATATGTTAGTGGACAGAGGCTATTGTTCTATTCCTGGTGTACGTCGGCCCGAACGGCTGTCAATGATGCACGACCTTCTAAATTAGGCACCGAGCTACCCGACTAAGTCGACTTGGCTTTTCTGCACGGTGTCACTCAGAGAAAGATTTGATTGGACAGCATCGAGGACGAACCACGCTATCCCTTACTCGGTAATGAGTGGTCCTGTTATGCCCGTCGCGGGACTCTCCACTCTGCAAAATAGGTCTTGGGATACGACCGTTTCAACGTCCTAGTTCTCGTATTGACAACGTATGACTTCATACTGTTACAACAAGCTGTGCACTCAGCGTGATGAGCCTCATTGCTTAGCTGATGGCATTAAGAGCAGTTAAAGGTATAAGAGGAAGACTCTGCTCTTCTTAGAATTTATCATCACAACAACATCAACATCAACATCTTCCACTTCCACACACAACAACCTCAATTCACCAACTCCAAACCACCAACAACAACCATCAACATGAAGTTCACCACTGCCACTCTCGCTGCTGCCACCGCCGCCATTGTCTCGGCCTACCCCAGCGGCACCGCATCCAACGACACCCAAATCGCAGTCGGCGATGTCTTCCGTCTGATGACCATCCGTTCTGCCTCCGACCTTCAGTATGGCTCTGTCCAGGCCTCCAACGGCGGTCTGCTCGTCAACCAGCCCGATCAGGGTGCCTCATGCGACGAGACAGTCAACTACGCCTCTTTCCGTCTCACCGAGGCTGGTGATCTCTACCTCAACACTGCCAACCCGCCCCAGCAGATCTTCGTCGACCGCTCCGGTATGGGTCAAGGTGTGATTCAGTTCACCACTGGTGTCCAGGGCATTGGCCGCAACCAGGAGCGCGGCCCCTTCGCCATCCAGGACGGCAACCTCGTCTTCGCTCAGCACAACAACCTTCCTCCCACTGGCTTCCAGGCTTGCCCTGGTGCTAAGAACGGCGGCTACAGCCTCTGGCTCTCTGGTGCCGAGAACCCTGGAGGCAACAGCGGCTGCCTCGGTGTTCTTGTCAAGGCCGTCAAGGAGGACAAGCCCATCTCGTGCGCTTACACCTCCTAGAGTGTGGCGCTGATAGGATTGTGCGACGGATTATGTAACAATCTTTTGTATATATTGGATTTTAAAATCTTTCACAGCATCACATAGCGTCTTGTTTCCAGCCTTGTACATACAAAATTAGATTCATAGAATAATAATTCGAGATTTACATCGAACCTTCTCCTCTTCAGTTGGCTTGACTGTCTGATGTTGTGTCTAGCACGAGTGCACTAACAACTATGTTGCGATTAGCTACATCTTAACCAACAAACATTAACATGTCATAGCCTCTATCCCAAAACGGAAGGAAAAAATCGCAGATGTGATCGAAAATGTTCACTTGTCGAGTCGTAGTCGGCGCAATCTTCACATATATTTGGCATCATCCCACAGCTCACTGAGAGTTGCTCCGCTATATTTATGCTATTTATGATTGGATTGGTTCTATATTCCTTTGAATCCTAAACAGCTGTTCCCGGATTTAGACAATCCTCTACATATGGGCTCTGAACACAAGCATATTTCCGGACACGAGACCACGGGTCACGAAGAAGCATGTACTCCCGAGAACCACGACAGCAAGATACAAGCCAGATGAGGCTGCTGGAGATATTGCTTCAAGTAACTCACCGTCGACAGGGATAGCAAGTAACGCTGCAAAACTGACTGCCCAGTTCATGGTACTTGTCACACTGATTGGTGTCTCTTTCGAGCTCACAACGGAACTGTACGTACCATAGCATCTCCCGTATTCCTTCGGATCGCAAGTCTTACCAACACAGACTATATGTCCTCGTTAGATGGTCTGATTCAGAAGTGCATTGGATTTCCCACATACCGGGCATGATAGAAAGCCAGGAACCCGAGCCAAATCCCCACAATGTGGCAAACGCGTACAACACAGACATTGAACTCGTGGTGAAAGGTACGAACAACGCTCCAGTGACTACAGCAGTAGCGATGGTCATTGCGATAATGACATCAAAGTGGCCAAATTGGTCTCCAACAACGCCAAGCAGAATATGTCCAAGACAGGAGCAGCCATTTAGAATGGTAATACGAGTATAATCTGCGTCAGGCGCGAAGCCAGCTCCGACGGCAAATGTGAGAAGCAGACCACTAATACCAAAGATCGCAAACTCCAAGAAGACCATACCCGCAGTGAGAAACGAGAACGATCCAGAGCGGAATGCGTCAAAGCTGATGGCCGCATACTTTTTCTTCTTTTCGGTGACAACGGCTGCCGATGGAGAGTGGAGTCGGGGAAACGGTAGTAAACAAATAGCTCCCGTCATACTGAGCCCGGTCGTCAAAAAAGCAAGGGCGCGAATTGCCCATGTCCACCCCAACAACTCACGGAGCATCAGAGGGAATATGACACCACCCAGCGACGAACGGGATAATGCTACGCCAATTGCTAGGCCCTTGCGTTGCACAAAAAGCTTGCCGATGCATGCGATACCTAGTGTGCCCGCAAGAGCAGCTTGCGGTCCTCCCAAGACTCCCAAGCAAAGCATAAACTGCCAATACAGCTTGCATCCTGCAAGAAGAAAGTACAATCCGACAGTGAGTGCGGTGGCAATCGGAGCGAGCGGCCTAGGTCCGTACATGTCGATCAGGGGACTTGCTTGGACGCCGAAGAAAAGCCCAAGGAACGTGTAGAGACCTGTTATCCATCCAACGTCTGGCGTTGAGTAGTCTTTCAGTTGGTTCTGGGCGAGATAGGATTGAATTGTTCCGATAGATTGCGTGAAGCCTATCGACCGAGTCAGTTTGGAATGCTGGAAATAAACGAAGTCAAAGAATGGTAGTAAGGTGCATATAGATTTGGCTTACCTCAGGAGGAGGCCAGGAGTAACGAGGAGCTAAGACAACAGATCCATGCTTGTACGCTTGATTCAGATTCTTTGATAGTCAGTGACTGCTTTCTGTTGATTGATCTTCGGATTCGGCAGCGGACCTGACTGTTGATGCTGCGACTTCTTTCGGATGGTCCATTGGAGCGATGTTTATGTAGACAGTGATTCAAAAGATTATATGTGAAGGTTCTGGAAAGAGAATTAAGGTGATACTTTGGAGCATATATACGCTCATGAGAATTCGACTGAACATGTCCATGTAAATGATTGCCCTATCCTCCTTGACTCACATTGTTGACACTAAGGATGTGTTTTGTTCAACCTACATCTCGCTGACGGACGTTGTGCGATGTTGGAAGAGCAGAAAACACGCCTTCACAAAAAACTTCCAGATACAACATCGCCTGTTCGTTGGTTGTCTGCAGAAAAACCGCAAGGCATGAATGACATGCACTTTTCCTTTTTCGGTCTAGTATGCTTTTGATCTTTGTGTAGTTGAGACCTTACACCTTAAGCTGACGACATCACTCAAGACGTGGACAATTCAATGAGTGTTTCGTCAAACAGTTTAGACAGGATCTCATACTTCTTTCGAAATTCGGGTCATGATGTCCAAGATGCCGGTGTCGCTGAGTTATCACAAACTATGCCATCTGACTGGGATGGTCCATTAATGCTCAAATCTGCGTTCCCAGACGAGTTTAAGCTACCATAATTGGATCTCTCCTGTCGTTGCCAGATGCAGCCATTTGAACTTATATGAAAGTGGATTTGGGCTGGGTATATCTTGTGCAAACACTGACACTGCAAAACTTCTTCGTTGCTTTGCCACTAATATGTTCCTCTCGGTCAGTAAGAGCTAGTATGCGTCACAGATTGCTATTCTCAGAACACGCTCGTCCGCCCTGGTCTCATAGCATCCAGAATCTCAAAAGTTCCTTTCCCCGTTCCACCCGGCTTCGTCTCTCTCGCAACCCACGTAACCGCCTCCTTCCTCTTCAACCGTCTCTTCCGGGTTTCCCTCCAATCCACCAACCACTCTGTGATCGCCCCTCCATAAAACGCGAGGAAGATGCTAAACGCCACAGTAGCAGTCGTCAAGCTCACTGCGACAACCCAGAACCGTTGCTGCGTGCTCTCCATATCCCTGATGTCGGAGAAATTCATGCCGAAGAACGAAGATATAAAAGACAATGGGAGGAAGATGATAGTGACTATGGTGAAGACAAGGATTGCTTTGCCATGGTCTTCGAGCCGGATGTTGACGAGTTGGATTGTGCGATTTATGAGTGCATTGCTGTTCTCGCGGAGGTCGACTAAATCGGCATATTCGCGTTGTAGGTTTTCAATGAGCTGGACTGTTGGGTCAGAGAAGTGCGCGAAGGACATTTGGCGATACGTTGCGATGTTCGCGGGTCGAATTGAGGTTGGATTATGCTGATATTGTGGTTTGGTGGAGCCATGCGATCGTTTTCTGAGTCGTACTTGTTCTGTGTCGTCCTGCAAACTGGTGACGAGTGCGATCTGCTGCTCCATAATGGAGATGATTATGTTGAGCTCCTCTTGAACCTGCAGTAAGTCCATTACGAGTTTTGTACTAGGGTTGCGATGGAGGCGATATTGAAGGTGACCGAGATAGCTGGCATATCTATCCGATAAGCAAAGAGTAATATCTGACCAGAAGGTACGATGCAGCATTCCAAGTGCTCCGCTCAGAGCGGCGACGACATGTATTGATGAAGTGTAGTCTTGTTTGCCAGTAGTATTAACGTAGGCGTTGCGAATACCGCGAAAAGATATTTCCATGATTCTTGCGGAGAGTTGAAGTGGCGGCCAGCGCGACTTCCAAGATTGATTGCTGGAAAACGTTACGACGTGTCGCGCATCTACAACCAGAATCCAAAGTTCGTCTACATTAAGACTCGTAGGATAGTGCCCATACCACCGACGGACTTTCAGATCCAAGTTGCGATCCGTGAGCCACGGCTTATGCTTGGTAAATACCTGTTGAGATTCGCGATCGTCCGTATCCTCGAGGCGATAGAAGTGCTGTAAGACTGATCTCAAAAGATGCGGTGAGCTTCTTGACGACTGATAACCTTCTCTTGGATCTACTTGAAATCTCAGAGGAGGTGGTTTCCCTTCAACGGTCCAGTCCAGAAATGGGACACTTAGCAGCATCGGACCATCTTCCATTGCATGTTCATCACCAGCCAAACGTTGAAAAAAGGGCGCGAAATATCTTCCATGTTTGGAAAAGCGCTCTTGCTGGTTTACACAATGATCCAATTGATGAAGAGCAGCCACAATCTTGTACGGATCTTTACTCCAATCCGACAGCGCAAGTAGACATCCTGAAAGGTAGTCCGAGAACTTGCTGGATATGTGTATCCACCGGCATTTCCTCTGATCTTGCGGGTCCAGAATTGATTCTTGGACTTTGTCGCTTCGCAAGCAGTTCATCCAACCAAATTCTGCTGCCAATTGCTTGAGGTGAACTTGCTCGTTCCTATTCTTTGTCACATCTTCGACTGGCAGACTACTTGCTAGACGCTCTCTTTTTTCAAGATCTGGAAGTAATGTCGAAGGCAGAACCTCTCGCATTTCTAGCATCTCGCCGGCATCGTACCTGCGTTCTTCGAGGCGAATATCATGGATTTCCAGTTGCGCAGGTGAGATACGTCGATTGCGCCAATACGAATCGGCACGCCAGTCGACTTGAGTGGGTGTCGTGCCTTTCACGTTGTCCATATCCAGAGCAACGCGACGACATCTTGTTCGTCCGTGCAAAGTTGGAGACGAAACACGACAACGCGTTTGGAGAGAGAGGGGCTGGGCTCGTCTAACCAATTGTAGATTAGCGACCACAGCCACGCGAGACCTTATCCCGTGGAACATGATCCATGCTCCCCAGCCCTTTATGTACTATCATGACATCAGAATGAACACGCACACTCAAAAGACGAACGTAGAAACGTGATTGTTGACAGATCAAGTGCGTCTAATTGGCTGCGAAGTAGACGATGCATACGATAGTGATTCCGTATACTTCAGCCGCAATTGCTGCTGTACTTGAGGACGACACCATCCTCGATAGACTCCCTTAACCTTCTCTATTCACAACCTTCTCCCAGAACCTATCACATTCTCTACAATCACTCCACAGCGACAACCCACGAAAATCATCTCACAATGAGCCATCCCAAGCACCCCGCGGTTGTCCACTTCCCCATCACCTTCACGGCACTGGCAGGCGCCCTTGACGCCGTATACTACGCCTCACTCCAGCCTGCGACCTCATCCATTGTCGCCTCTGCATGTTCGTCTTTCCAAACCTCCAAACCCAAATCTAAACCCACACTAACACGCCCCAGTCAAATCCCTCTCCATCGCCATCCCCCCGAGCACCTTCCCCATCCTCTCATACTACGCCACCATCCTCACGATCCTGACCTCCCTCCCCGCGATATCCACCGGCGCATGGGAGCTGATGCCCGTGCTGAAGCGCGACGGCCTGTCGTCCAAGAAAGCCCAGGTCGGCATACTTCACGCGGTCATCAACGACATCACGGTGTTTGGCGCCGTGTTCAATTGGTGGAGTAGGAGGAACCAGGCCGAGTTTTTGCCTAGCGGCATGAATGTGTTTGTTAGCACTGTGTTGGCGGTGCCGGCGACGTTCTTTGCTGCGTATCTGGGTGGTCATTTGGTCTATGTGTATGGTATGGGCATTGGGCGGGGCAGCGCGAAGAAGTCGCAGTGAGGAATGACACCTTACAGTTGAGGTTCGGCAACGGTGGGTCTCGAAGTCGAAGAGCCCATATTGTCCGGAATAAATAAGGACACAATGCTCTGTCGAAATGGAGATTGCATCAGTCATACAACGATTAGCGCTGTTATAACTACCCATCTGAATTACACATGTCAAGTTGGCAATTCTATGTTCGCATGTTTATATAGTGAAATCAATGATGAAATCAATGATGAGCTCATCTAGAAAATTGTATAGACTAGGAGTGGGATATCTAACATGTGGAGGAGGAAATGTCTTGAGATAATGAAACAGCCCGAAAGGCCATGATGAGAATGGCAAATGCGCCGTGATGACTACTCGCTACCGGCAGCAGGCTACAACAGCCCAGCAGCCAACACAACAACCGCTGCGCCTACAATCGAACCAACACTCGTCCTGACGCTCATAGCCGCGCCCTGGAACTCGGTCGACCCGCTTGAGCTGGGTGAGCTGCTGTTAGCAGGCGGCGCTACGGATACCAGAGTCGTGGAGACTGAAGTTTGTGAGACAGCAGGGACCCAGACGGTAGTTGTTAAGCTTGGAGTGCAAGTGACCACAGGAGAAACGGTGTCCATGAGCAGTCCTGTCTCGGTCTCGCTGGGTTGAATGTCAGACGTAATAGTCGAGGTAGCTGCCGAAAAAGACTGGCTTGTAACGATTGCGGAGGACCTGATCGTGGTGGTAGGGGAAGAGGAATCGGAAGAAGAAGCGATGCTTGATGCAGAGGTTGATTCAACTCCAGTGGACTCCGCAGGTAGTGTATCCTTAGTCGTGGAGGGAATGGGCGCAGCAGCCTTAGTCGACGAAGGTGAGATGTTCGTAGGTGATGCCGGCTCCTCATCTGGTGTAGAGCTGGGCTTTGAGATGACAGTGGACGAAGGGCGTGCTATGTTGACAGATGAAGTCTGCTTAACAATCGACGTTGAGCTAGATTTGGGTGCAGCAGCAGACGATGTCTGGGGCGAAGTTGCACTGTACTTGGCAGGGACGAAGTTTTGCTTCAGCATGAGAAGAGCTTGAGTGACTTCCAAAGCAGCAAGCTGTTGACCAACACCAGACATGCCATCCCAGGCGCCTGTGTACCATTTTGAACCACAAGTCGCTCCATCTGCGCCACCCGAACAAGACTTGGCGGCTCCGATTGCAGAGGCTTTCAAGTACTTGGTGATGGTATCCTTGGTGAACGGGGCCATCATTGCCGTCTTAGCCATGAAGCGAGAAAGGTAGGCCTTGAACGACTGCTGGTCGAGGTTGCAGTGGCGTCCCGACTCTCCAGTCTCGCAGGCCCATTCGTACATGATGTCCGTGGAGTTTTCGAACGGCTTGAAGAAAAGTAGCTCGGCATGATCCAGGAAGCCTGATGTTCTTTCTTTCCATACGCTACCACCGTTGGTGTAATCGTACATGAAGGCCGACCCGTGTAAAAACATGGCATTGTTGTAGGTCCATTGGGTCTTGTCGGAAACGGAAGCACAGTTTGTCTTGTCATCAGTTCCATCGAAAACCTCGTAGATGTCCGTGATCAACCCAACACTCTTCGTCCAGTCGTAGATCTTCTCCGCCCAGTCCGCGTATGTCTGGTTGCCAGTGTATCGGGCCAGGCGAGCGCCAAGTGCAAAGGCACATCCGTTGGAGATTGAGTTCTTGTAGTTGTATCCGTACGCATTCTCGGGGTAAATTTGCCACTTGAGACCTCCATCGCAGGTTGTAGTGTCCCATCGTCCAACAATGTTATTGAAGGCGTTTACAGCAACGTTCATGTAGGCCGAGGGCGCTTGTTCGGGGTCCGGAAACGAATGTTCAAGCGCAGACATGACCGCTAGGGCCCAGAAAGCCTGATCATCATTGCCAGTCTGACTTTTCCGGTACGACAAGATGAAGTCATTGTCAGGCCCGTAGTTGGCAGACAGGGCCTGTTGCAGGGCTTTGACGTGCGAATCGTCACCCGAGACTTGGCTGTACTCGATCATTCCGCCCCACGCAGCTCCTCCCTCCCACCAGTAGTGAGGCTGAGGCCAAATTCCAATGTTCTCTACAGCTGTGCCCGAGGCGTCGCCTTCGTAGAGAGACATCAAGCCATTGGCATACTGTCGCGTGGCGCTGCGAATAGACGCTATCTACAAGTCAGTCCAACGTGTCGTTTGCACAAGAATCCCGTAGCGCACCTTCATCCTCAGGATCGAATTCGATGCCGCCAGCGGTCGAGGCAATAAAAGGAAGGAGCACAGCTCCGAGTGAGAACAAAAACCTCATGATGCGAATAGAAGTGGTGGAAAACGAAAAGGAACGAGAGACAGAAGAGAAAAGAAGGTGTGTGCCCCGAAGAAGCAATTGACTGAATGTGAAGGAAGGGAAAGAGCCATGTTGAAGGGTGGGCCGTGAATATACCTTGTGGAGGGTTTCTCCGCACACTTGCAGTGAAGATGGAGAAGGAGCGCGCGGCTTCAGGAAATTCCCCAAACAGGCAAGCGGCGTTTCAAGACGCAGGGACAAATCAATGGTACAGCCAATCGCATCGCGCAGTACTGTCTGAAACACGGGGTTACCATATTCTTTGAGAGCCTCCGAGTCACCGCGTCCCTTCATTTGATAGCGAGCTCGTACATAAGTGCGCTTTGCTCTTTCCAAGGTCGGGCACCAAGAGTCTAGAATCGCCGTGCTTCCTGTCCAAGTCCTACCTATCAACACTGCATTTTCTTGGTTAGTCGAAATACTAATAATGTCTACCGAATTTTGCAGCAGCCACACAATACATGCAACTTGGTGTAAACCTCGTGTGCTATAGGCGTTACTAATAAGAGCCTACCCTGGATTGTTTGCAGCCTTCAACCCTTTAGTTTAGTCGCGTTGCTTTCTAGGTGAACTGTCGACTCCCAAAAAGCGTACTCCATGGATACTACACAAATCAAGGAGGTAAGAGTTCCGAGCAGAGTATGCACAACGCCCGAGCCTTAATGTTTTCAGATGGTCCAACGCTCGCCACTTTCTGATCGTGAAGTATTCTTAAGTCATCGCGACCATCTGTAGACAGCATGGTGCACTTGAAAGTGTCGAGAATACTCTGATAACGATCGATAATCCCAACAACATCCATTGCTTCGTACGTCGCCGGAGAGCAACATTGAAAGATTCCTAAGTGATCTCCTTCCTAGGGTTTTGACATATTATAAACTTTGATGTTGGGGAAAAGGTTATTGACCGCCTTCACTCCGACTGCAAACAGGAAGACTGAGCGAAGTGGTGGATTGGAAAAGCCCTGAGTCTGAAGTCGAGGATGGCTCATGTTGCGAAAACCTGCGACGAAGCATCTTTTGAGATGATCATAGATCATCGAAGTCAGGGTAGGACGAGAACATGATAAGATCAGCTGTAAGACTGTAGTTCACAAGGCTGGGAGCTGGTCGCCGTATGGGGGCAGTGCGTAGTGATCGGCGACAGCCTCAGTTGATGCACTCCGCATATGTGGAGAACGTAAATGGGTCTCTGAGGCGCAGACATCACAGCCTCATCGGAGCAAGGGGGACCACAGTAAGTGGTCTGATCATCTTACGTACATATCTGCGGCACAGCATCATTCTGTGCCCTCCTCCCGTGTCGCTTTTGTAACCGGAAGGCTTCAGTTCAAAGGTTTAGTTTGGTTCGGCACAATATCAGCTCAACCATGAATTCGAATAACGCTCATGGCCACGCTGCTACCTGGAGCTCTGAAGAGGGTTAACATTTGCACGCAGCGCTCATCCTTTCCTCGTGCATACACACCACCGGCATCATGCAGTTACCCACCAAAGCACTTACCCCACCTCGGAGGACAGGTGACAGGTCATGTAGGCATGGGCAAGAAGATTAGCCTATATAGACCAATCAATCAATAAGTTCTATTGCACTAATTCCTGTCGAAGAAAGGACCATGCATTACTTTGTGCCCTCCGCTTCAGTTTAAACTCTCTCCCATCTCACTTAACCAAAGTATCTTTGTCGGATTACAATGGATGCTACTAAAGACTCCAGCTCGATGGCCTCTATCAATCATCAACCTTCGCCGCCTGTCTCACCGGGTTTAGAGGCCTCCGCAGCGTCCGAAATGGCTAGTCAACAATACTCAAGCGACCCGTTCGCCCCAAACTACCGCCACATCTGCCCCTGGAGCGCGCAGGAGAAGGCCGAATACATAGCAACCTGGCCGGTGCCTTTGCAACCCAACTTCTGGGAAGTCTACGAGTCCGCCGAACACGCAGAATGGACTCGACCTAGGGATCAGCTTGATGTCCTCCTCCGCGAACGCGGGCTAGAAGAAGTTTGTAACACAATTTTGTATTCGGAACAGAAGACTGAGCACGGAACTGATATGGGCATGGATGAGAGGCAGGAAAGGGTACGAGAACTACTTAGGGACGCAGGCGAGCTAGCATTGCTCGAGAAGGCAGAGAAGATTTGGCGAATGATGGCTGAGCGAAATGATGTTCAAAAGGGCAAAAAATCAATTGAGCATCTGTTTGAAATAGGAGATGAGGCGGGGTTCAGGTGGCTTAAGATGAATCCAGATTGGGTGAGGACAGATCATGGTGAACGCTCTAAGTAGCATTCAAGAACGAGCGTCGTTTTTTTGGTAGCTGCTCACGACGGCAATTATAAAATGAAACGCATAAAGAGTGGGTTTATGTTAGTGGTGAGTCCAAATAACCTTAAGAAGAATAGACTGACTGTGCCCCACGCTCTGTTTTTCCATCCACCGTGACCCTTACAGCCATCCCAGATCTGAAGCATGTCGGTTTAGCAGTCATACACAGTGACAATATGCAAAGAAAAACGGGGTTGTTATGGTCCACACGGTAATTACCTATCGTAATTCAAGTCTTCTACCAATTCCTCGTATACGTCTGGAGCTCTTGGGGCAACCAACCCCAGAAAATTTGTGTACCACCGTAGTTATCTGACCAAGAAAAGTTGTAGTAATGGCGGAGAAGAATCGTCGGAGTTTGTACAGTAAGATCCGAAGTGTAGTCGAAGAATTCTTGAAGAGGAGCGGGTAGCCTTATATGTGCTATCCAATATGAAGTAATTTCCCACCAGAACTACCAAGCGCATAGCGAGAGGGCTTGACTTGAACTGAGTTCCAAGCGTAACAAATGAGCCACTTTTATTTTGTCTAATCGCTTTCAGTGCTCATGATTTCTAGGTTTTTATGCATTAGACGCTGCATGGGCGTCACGTTCCAATGAAAGGCGACTACATAACTTAATCTCGTGATTTAGCATGTGCGTTCAATTCTATGACTTCAAGATAGAGCCAGAGTTACGTAAACATTGGCAGGTGTAGTGTGGGTTGCGTCTTCGGGAGATCATGCTTTAGCCGCAACGGAGCCGAACAAGATCCGTTCTGCAGTTAAGTGAGGCGGGTAGGATTATGGAAGTACAGCAGTCTCTGGGTCTGGTAGAAGGCATGGGACTAAGCTCGACATCGAGAAGCAACAACACTGCAGCATGTAGAAACCAACGTTTGTAGTCGAATCAGAATAATCTAGAGATTAGGATTTCTTAACTTGAACCCACAAAACAGTTACAGGTCCAGTTTAAGCTTGGCCTACATGACCTTGAAGGATCAACGTTCGTGGCCGGCCTAACTGCACTGCGCCTCAGTAAGGCTCTCACCACAATCCCTGTCCTTAACACTCTGGAATACGTAGTGTTGTTTTACAAATGATCGTCAAGCTTTACGTTATTGTAGACTGCGGTCATCCTGCAAGGCGTAACTTGCAGTTCAAGTCGCTGGGCATTTCACAAGCACACATACTTACAACAGCCATTTCCAGTCTTTTGCCCTTGACGCTTTAGATTCAATACCATACAACATGAGTAGAACATGCAGTCCTCGTCAGCTGCTGTTCTGTTTCATCGGCATATTCTGCCTTTTCATGATTTTCATGACAGGAGCCCTTCTTCGCTATCGTCTCCAAGTTCTCGACTCGCGTTCTTTTTCAGAGGCACGGAGACCTCTCCAAGACAACTTGCCTAGACCGCAAGGATCAGTGATTCCAATGGCACCAGAGATTCTCCGCGAACCGACGATTGACCGCCCACGGCTAACAGCACCCGGTTCAAACTACGGGCTCTCTCCCACGGAGTGCCGTGCCAGATTTGCAGGTCTCTTCGACGAGATAGATCGCTCCGTTGCGCTGCGAAAGGATCTGGGAAACGTCAGCTCGGCGGATATCGATTTGTCTTGGATCCCTTATGGAGCAATGCGGGTTATGATATACAACCACAAGGTAACCTTCATCCCCCCCTTTCCTGATTCGTCAACAAAACGCAGAAGCTCACACTATTACTTACAGCTCTACATCATCGAGGCAAAACTCGACGGAAAAGGCCACTACCCCCGCCTTCTCGCCATTCTCCACCAACTCAACCGCGCCATCACATCCTCACCCTCCCGTCTCCCCTCGATAGAATTCTCCTTCGTCGTAAACGACATAGCCGATGAATCTCACAATCACCGCACAATCTGGGCTTTCTCGCGACATGTCTCTCTCGACGACGAAATGTGGCTTATGCCAGACTTTGGGTACTGGTCGTGGCCGCTTGAGCTGGTGGGCGAGTACGAGCAGATACGCACTGAGATGCGGGGCAGCGAGGTAGAGTGGGAGAAGAAAGTTCCCAAGGTGCTTTGGCGAGGGGCTGTTAAGACGAATAAGGAAGTAAGGGGTGCGCTGATGGGGGTTACAAGAGGGAAACCATGGGCGGATGTGGAGGAAGTTATTTGGAAGGGCAGAACGGCTGTGAGTGATGGGAGTGCTGCGTTGCCAATTGCGGAGCACTGCAAGTATCAGTTTCTTGTTCATACTGAAGGTAAGATGGCCTTCTCTCGGTGAATGGAATGGCTACGACTGACACCTTGATAAAACTGCAGGACGCAGCTACTCTGGTCGAGGAAAATATCTTCTTAACTGCGCGTCCGTTGTGATAACACATAAAGCCGAGTGGATTGAGCCTCATTCGCACCTTTTCATTCCCTCAGGACCGCACCAGAACGTCGTAGAGGTTGAACACGACTTCTCTGACCTCGAGGCAAAAGTACAGGACCTCTTGCAGAATCCAGAGCGCGCAAAAGCTATTGTAAATAATAGTATAGCAACATTTCGTGATAGACATATCACACCAGCAGCGGAGGCATGCTATTGGAGACAGCTCTTTCTGTCGTGGGCTGATGTGAGCTTCCGTCCAGAGCCATGGGAAGTTGATGAAAATGGGAGGAAAAGGATAAGGGGAGTTCCCTTTGAGACGTTTGTGTAAGTCGTGAAAATGCGTTGCAGGGATAAAGTTTTGAGGCTGATGCAGTGCACAGGATTGAAGCACTCGACCGATGTTCTTGGGGGAAGTGGCTCACGCTTCAGTGTTAAGTGTTGGCTTAGTATTTGTTTTGGGAGCTGGTAACTAGCAACGGGGTAAGGTTATTATTTGGGAGTGCACAGAGCAACACTATGCGTAAAGACGTGTAGAGAAGAGAGAGAAGAAGCCATGAGTGCGACGACGGCCCATGATGAGAAGCATGCCAGGGCAGTATAAATAGGGTGTAGTGGAGATTCGCGTGATCGCAGTGCCAACAATCACACAGAAATGGTGAATGCGATGTGCGTATGCAAGGTGTTCTGCCCCAGGAAGATACATCAGTCATGAGAGGTGGGGAAGAAGCCAAGTAATGACATGGGTAAGATTCTTGAGAAAGCCGCATTAGTTTGTAGATGGTCCAGTTTTCCGTATCGGGATACATGTAAGCGCGCTTGAGAATTCTTTCCAACTGCATTGTGGCGACGGGTGTTGGACTTGTCCGTACGATCGGAGGCTCGGATTTAAGATTGGTATACGTGGGCGTTGGCGCCACATAGTCAAAGTATGTCAGTACTATGATCAAGCTAAGGGGTTTGTTGACGAGCTGTTGCTGGTACGAGTCAAAGTCTGATAGACGAGGAGGGTAGGCTGGCAAGGAAGGCACCCCGAGAACGCATCGACGTCTCTCACCATCGATTCACGACTCCACACCGTTCGCAGACTACCGAATCAGAATTCGTACACAGTGTTGTCTTGTACAACGCCAAGAGCCTTCGTTTTTGACAGTATTTGTCGAGTGCAAAACGGCGTCATCGTGCATACCTCGGAAGCTCCGGAACTGAAACAGATGCGTGGGTCTGGTAGATGGAGTGCCTGAGTTTTTTATCGTCTCACACCGAGGCAGTTGGTCTGATAACATGGACAACGATTCATGCAGTCGTTGATATTGGGAATACGCATCCGGCAGAATGGCGGGGCTGCAATAGACACCGCCACGTCTTCTGCATCAACGCCTCACCGCATGTGTTTTCGAGTGTGCATGTCATTCGTTTTTGGTCAGCAGAAGGATCGTTGCCGCCGCTACGGGTGGATCTTGTCAGCATGCCCCTTGTCTGACGCACGCACGAAACACTTCGTATTACAGTTGACCAGACATGACTTCACTGTAATGCAGCAAAGCACCCAGCAAAGCACTCAGCAAAACGCGACTGCACCGCATACAGCGTTCCTGTCTGAACTTGGTTCGTGGGCGAGGCCGACAAGGGCCAAAACCGGCAAAGATGAGCAAACCGACCCATAATTAGACCTGTCGCTGATGCACACAGGGATCCTCATCCCCGTCATCGCAAGGCAAATGAGATCAGCGGCCGCCCGAGTCTTCCGGGATTGGGCGTTGAGCACAGCCGCGTGTGCATCGCGTCGCGTCCATGCCGCACCGTTCCGTCGTTGAAGATTCATTTAACCCTATGCCGCCTCTTCCACATTCGTTCATTCTTTGCAACCTCTTGCGTAGTCGGTCTTGGTACCTGTAGTTTTACTCGCCCCTAGAACTACAGACACTGTTACCTCATTTTTTTTTGGCAGGATGAAGTGTAGCTCCTTTTTGACGGCGTCGGCCTTCACATGTCTGGCGAGCTGTATGTGACTCGACCCGACTTCCGATCATACGACACTAACGCATCCACAGCATCTGCAGTTGTTGCCCGAGATGCGACCGTCAAACCTATCGACATTGCGTTGGAGGTAGTGAAGCGAGCGTCTCCTGAGGCGCCCAACGGTTATGCGCCAGCCGCGGTTGACTGCCCTTCGACACGCCCAACGATCCGCAAAGCAGGAAGCCTTTCCAGTCAAGAGACAGCATGGCTGCAGAAACGAAGACCCAACACCGTCGACCCCATGCGCGAGCTGCTTGTACGAATGAACATTAGCAATTTCGATGTTGGGGCATATATCGACAAATACAGCGACAACACAACTGCATTACCCAATATTGCCATCTCGTTTTCTGGCGGAGGTTACCGTGCATTGCTCAACGGAGCAGGTGCACTCTCCGCGTTCGACAGCCGCACAACGAACTCGACAAACAGTGGGCATCTGGGCGGGTTATTGCAATCGTCTACATATGTCTCAGCTCTATCGGGTGGAGGATGGCTGATGGGCAGCATCTACGCGAACAATTTCACCTCTGTAGAGAACATCCTGCAGCACGATGATATCTGGCAGTTTCAAAACTCGATATTCGAGGGCCCACCGACCAGTGGCATCCAGCTTCTGTCGTCGGCCGACTACTACAAGAATCTACTTGACACTGTCGACACCAAGTCCGATGCGCCTGGAGAGTTCAACACTTCTATTACTGATTACTACGGCCGAGCTCTTTCCTTCCAGCTCATCAATGCAACTGATGGGGGGCCAGGTATGCTTAAATTCTCTCTGACTATTTGTTCGTGCTAACACACCCAGCCTACACCTTCTCTTCTCTTCAAGACGATTCTGAGTTCTCGAATGGAAATGCACCAATGCCCATCCTCGTCGCTGATGGACGCAACCCTGGAGAGTTAATTGTGTCCCTGAACGCGACCGTCTATGAATTCAACCCATGGGAGATGGGATCCAGTGATCCCACCACGTTCGCTTTTGCGCCTTTGAAATATATTGGATCAAACTTCTCCGCAGGCGTGATCGCCGACGACCAGGACTGCGTTTCTGGATTCGACAATCTTGGTTTCGTCATGGGCACTAGCAGTTCTTTGTTCAACCAGATCTTCCTCTCGCTCGATACCTACACCAGCAGCCTGCCAAGTTTCCTGACCACCGCGATCGCGAACCTGCTAGTCAAGCTTGGACAGAATGCAGACGATATTGCAGACTACACCCCAAATCCATTCTACCATTTCAACCAAGGCACAAATCTCAACGCGAACCGCACGCGCCTGACACTCGTCGATGGAGGAGAGGATCTGCAGAATCTTCCTCTCAACCCAGTCATTCAGCCGAACCGTCACGTCGACGTGATCTTTGCCGTTGACTCGTCTGCCGACACAATTGCACCGAACACACTGAACTTCCCCAACGGTACCGCTCTGATCGCGACGTACGAGCGTGCCAACACGGACATTATGAACCACACTTCGTTCCCTTACATTCCAGGCCATGACACTTTCGTGGCCCTCGGTCTTAACAGCCGCCCCACATTCTTTGGTTGCAACAGCAGCAACGTCACCGAAGGCGACAACATCCCCCCGATCATTGTGTATATTCCCAACGCTCCTTATGTATTCTGGTCGAACACGTCGACGTTTGGCAAGCTGGATTACACCCTTGAGGAGCGCCATGCTATGATTGTCAACGGCTACGACGTTGCAACTCAAGCCAACTCTACGCGTGAGGGAGCGTCGAACTGGCCTACTTGCGTTGGCTGCGCTATCTTGTCTAGGAGCTTGGAGCGCAATGGCGAGACTGTACCTGACGCGTGCCAGCAGTGCTTTACCGACTACTGCTGGAACGGCACTACGGTGTCGAGCGTAGCATCGTACCAGCCAGAAATGATTCTCACGGCTCTCAATGCGACGGCGGACAGCGGTATTGGGAAGCTTGTTGTTCCAACCATCATTGGCTCTCTGATTCCGATGGTTGTTTCTGGGATCATGCTGTTTTAGGCGGCACTCCAATTGGTGGCCGATCTGACAGCGTTTTCATTTGTTTTGCATTCTCATGATTCCCCATGTTATATATAGCAATTTGGATACTCGAATAATTGGTCCTGCATCTATGGCAAACAGCCCAGCCTATCACTGTGAGATGATTCCCGCTTACTGACTAGCCCCTGCATTGCGGCTCTTTTCTACCTGCATGTCATTCCCGAGCCATGCCCCGCACCGTCGAAAAAGATTCCAGCCCCGCCATCCAACAGCCACTTTCTTAACACAAGGCCCAAACACCACCCAACCAACCTTAACCATGGCTGTGCCGACCCTCGCAACGGCCCCTGTGCTCTCCACGCCAGACACGCACATCTTCGAGGACCCAACTCCGGTCGTCGATACGTCGAATCTCCCGCGCCTCTCTGACGAGCAGGTTGCCCTCACATACGAGATCGAACGGACTGTCAAGGAAATAAAGGAAGGGAGATGGAAGAGGATCGCGCTGCAGTTTCCAGACCACATGCTGGTCGATGCGCCGAGGGTGTATGAGCAGCTGGGGCGAGGGCTGGGGAGAGCGAGGAAAGCACCAAATGAAACGAGCGCGGAGGGGGAGCTGAGTGACAAGCTGGAAGGCACTGCGATAGGGGAAGAGCGCCTTGTGGACGAGAAGCTGTATATACTCGGCGACACGTCCTACGGCGCATGCTGCGTCGACGAGGTGGCTGCCGAGCACGTCGATGCAGATGTCGTCGTCCACTACGGGCGCTCGTGTCTGTCGCCTCCGTCCAGACTACCCGTCATCTACGTCTTCACGGCGCGCCCCCTCGACCTCGACCCGCTGGTGGAGACGTTCAAGACCACGTACCCGGACACAGCGCAGAAGATCATCCTCATGGCCGACATACCCTACGCCCACCACATCCCCCTGCTACACACACGCCTGCAGGAAGCCGGCTACACACACCTCCACGCAACGGAAATCGTGCACAACCCCTCCTCCCCGCTCCCCAACCGCACAACCCCGCCAGACGCCCAAGACACCCTCAACGACTACGCACTCTTCCACATCTCCGACCCCCCAACCTCCCTCCTCCTCACCCTCTCCTCCCGCGTCTCAGCAATCCACATCTACCCCACCGACACCATATCCCCAACCGCCACCCTAGCCTCCACATCCCTCACCCTCCGCCGCCGCTACGCCCTCCTAACCTCCCTCTCCACAACCCCCATCTTCGGCATCCTAATCAACACCCTCTCCGTAAAAAACTACCTCCACATGCTGTCCCACGTACAATCGCAGATCGCCGCCGCGGGCAAAAAAAGCTACACCTTCGTCGTTGGGAAGGTCAACGCGGCCAAGGTTGCGAACTTTAGTGAGGTGGGGGGCTGGGTTGTTATCGGGTGTTGGGAGAGTAGTTTGGTGGAGAGTAGCGAGTTCTGGAGGCCGGTTATTACGCCGTTTGAGTTGGGGCTTGCGCTTATGGAGGATGGGGAGAGGGTGTGGACGGGGGAGTGGGTGGGGGGGTTTGCGGAGGTGATGCAGCGCGGAGGGAAACTTGCGCTGACGCTGGAGAAGAAGCAGGAGCGGAAAGAGGGCGGAAAGGGGCGGGAAATCGCCCACGACAATGGACATGATGATGCTGACGAGGAAGATGACGACGACGACGAATCCGCACCCCCTGAATTCGACCTCCGCACCGGCCGCTACGTCTCGCACTCGCGCCCTATGCGCGCGACCAAACCCGCTCAATCTGTTACTGACGCGGAGGGAGCGGCGAGTGGGAGCTCGGCGCTGGCTAGGCGCGCAAAGGGTGAGCTGGCGAGCGTGGGCGGCGTTGTGTCGCCTGGGGCGGAGTACTTGAGGTCGCAGCGTACGTGGCAGGGGTTGGGTAGTGATTATACTAATGGTGATGAGGGGGCGGGAGGGGCGAGGATGGAGGAGGGGCGGAGTGGGGTGGCGAGGGGGTATGTTGTTGGGGAGGGGGGGAAGCACTGAGATATTTTGGGGATGGTGGGTGTGTTGGATGTATATATATATATATATATATATATATATTGTGTATGGAGAAGGAACAAGCCAGATATTCTAACATGATATTCCTATTGCGTTTGGGGGGAAAGGTATCTTCCACGTCTCTTTCTCTCTTTCACACTCACTCACTCACTCACCCACTCAAACCATACAAGAAACCCCCCGAAACACCACAACGCCCCAACACCCACCAAGATCCATGCGATAATTTCCCCATCAAACTCCAACTTTTCCACAACAACCTCACCCCCCACCCTCAGCAACCGCCCTCAACAACCCCCCCATATAATTCCGCAACACAAGATTATGACTAACCACAAACGCAATCTGCTCCCTGACGGGTCCAAAAACCCTCGGCACCCACCCAACGCCCAGTTCCTCAATCTCCTCTCTCTCTTCATCGCGCTGCGCCTGTTCCCTCGCCGCATCCCCAGTGCGGGGTTTCTTCGCGCCTGTTGTTTCGCGGCGCGCGTCGGAGCTTGCTGCGCGCTTGTGGCTGTGTGATGTGGGGCTGTGAGGCACGTTGACAGAGGGGGCGGGCGGGGCGAGTTTCTGAAGTTGGCGGGCGAGGTTGCGGAGGACGAGGACGGAGGAGAGGGGGAGGCCGGCGGCGTCGTTGGAGTCGTCTGTTGCGGTGTTGTAGTAGCGGAAGTTTGGCGGGGGGGAGGGTAGGGTGGAGGAGGGGTGGTTGGTGAATGGTGGTAGGGATGTGGTGTCGAGGGGGCCAGTCTGCGCAGAGGCAGTCGACGGGCGTGCGTCCTCTGGCGTGCGGTTATGCTTTGCGTGGATAGCCTGCTTGATAGACGTATCCGGGAGGTGAGTTTTGATGTGCTGGCCCGCTTCGAAGGCGGAGTGAGTGCCGTCCGAGTCAGCGAAGCGGGTACATCCGCCCCAGTGGCAGGAGTACGTTTGTGGTTTTGCGGCGGAGACGGCGTCGCCGTTTTCCATGTCGATGTCTGGTTTGGGCTCGAGGAGCCATTGGCCTGTTTCTTGGTCGCGCGGGATCAGCAGGTGTGTGGCTACGATGTGCTCCCACATGGCGCGGGCGCCGGATGTGTATTCGCCGCATTCGAGTTTGGTGGCTGCGTGTTTGGTGTCGGTGAAGCCGTTGAGGAGGGCGGGGGGGTGCCAGCAGCAGCGCATGTAGGGCTTTTTTGTGCTTGGGTCTACGGGGATGGAGCGCGATTTGATGCCGCGGATGGTGTATTTTGGTTGCCCGCCTACGGTGAGGACCTGGGCTGATGCGCCACCGAAGGTTGTGGATACGTTTGTGATGAAGTCCTTTGCTGGCATGAGGGCTTTGAACGCTGAAGGGTTGGATGCCATTGCTTCTTGGAAGGCTGCGTTGTAGGCTGACCATAGTTGGATTTGTGTGATCTCGCCAGTGGAGTCTTCTTCAAAGCACGTCTTGAGCCATTGCGAACTTCGCTCTGGCTCGTCGAGCGTGACTAGGTGGTCGATTATCGCCGATGACAACTTCGGCGCGCCGTCATGTGGCTGTGGTGATTTTGTCGTTTTTGGTGTGCTTCTTCGTTCTTCGTAGGCGATGGCGCCGTGTTGTAGCAGGCGGACAAGCTGGTTCACGACACTCCCGATGTTGACCTCGTTTGCGAGTATCTCGACGTTATCTGCAAACCCGGTGAACAGATACAAAAAGTCGAGGCATGCTATGCGGAGGTCTTCGTCTTCAACAAGGAGCCAGTCACATATCGACTGTAGTGTTTTTGTGGGTACGTTTGACAGCTTGTTTGTGGCTTCCAGGTTCATGGCTATCCGGGCTAGTGCTCGTAACGAGGTGATGATTCTGCCGCGGTCATCTGAGTCGACTTGTGCTAGCAGAGAGCGGTAGACGGGGCTCTGGGCACTGAGTTCCCAGTATTTTGTCAGCTGCTCGGCAATTTCGAGAGCGTAGTGCTGCAGCTCGACGACGGTCGAATGCTTGGGCAGATTCAGGACAACGACAATCAGGTCCTGGACAGAGGGGATCATGGAGACGAACAGGGCATTCTCTTTCAGCATGACCATGTTCCGTACGATCAGAGCCGCCTCGTTGATCATATTAAGAGCCTTGGCGTCGTCCTCTGGCAGGAGGTCGTCGTCGGTGTCGAGCGTCTGGAGCGATTCTATCCTCTGCAGCAGGTCCTGGGTGCCAGACAGGCCGTTGAGAACATGTGGCTGGTCGAAGTCGTCTTCCACGTAGGAAATGTCCCAGCTCACGTCGAAGAAGAGCGAGCCCACGTCGATGACCTTGGCAATGAGCGCCTCAGCCAGGCCGGGGAACTGGTCGAAGCGGTACTTGTCGCCCCGTTCGTGGGAGATTTTGACCAGGTGGTGCAGGGCGTAGGCCTCCTCGTCGGGCTCCCGTGAGCGCAGTGCGTGGAGGGCGCGAATGTAGATGTTGGGCCCTGGGAAGCCGGTGCCGGGCAGCATCATGCCCTTGGGGGGGACGGGGCGGTTCTTTTTGTTGAGAATGTACTTTTTGCGCGACTGGATGTACGTGTCGAGGCTGTTGGACGGCGTCACGACAGGCTTCATGGTCGAAGGCACGGGGTTGCGCGGCTCGTAGCTGGCTATGGTCATGGCGGCAGCGCTGGTGCCGTAGCCGTTGACCTGGTGGCCGGTGGTGGACTGGCGTGTCTGGCGCGTCGACGACTCGGGCTGGAACAGGACGCGCTGTGGAGGGGCATGGCGGAGGGAGCGAGTGGCGCGGCCGGTGCTGCCTGGGTCGTCGACGTCCATCTTGTCCTGGCTGGGCGTCTTCTTGGCGTCGCCGTCGTCGTCCTCTTCGTCCGAGACGTCCTCGCCGTTGCGCAGACGGGCGTCGCGGCTGCCGGGGCCGAAGAAGTTCTCGACGGTGCGGTTCAGCAGGTCGCCGCCCTTGGCCGTCACGTCCTCGAGCACCTCCTTGGGCGGCGGTTCGCGGTGGTGGACGGTGGAGATCTCGTAGGCGGCCAGGTTCTTGTAGTAGGCCGACTTGACCAGGAAAGCCTGCGTGTTGAGGCTGGGGCTGCCGGGCAGGAACTCGGCGGCGAGGCGGCGCCAGGCAAGCTTATTGCCCTTTGTATCGGATACCTTGTCGTAGCCGCCCTCTGCGTTCACGCGCTTCCACAGGCGCAAGAGGTCGATGTGCCGGCTGCCGACCTTGGGCACGCGGTCGAAGACGGTCCTGCACGTGTTGAGTCAGTATGCGTATGCACCATGCGACTGCGTAAGAGGGATGTGTGTACCCGCGCTGCTGGTGGTACTCGGCCACCTTGTCCAGGAATTCATCACGTTCCTCCTCCGAGTACTCGTCCTGTACTTTGGTCGGCGCCATGTTGCGATTGGCACATGAAGCTCAGAATGTGGCCGTGAGCGTCGCGCGATATGCAAAATGCCAGCCGTGTGTTTGGCCGGAGGGTCGTCGAGGTGGTTGTCAAGTTGGTCGAGGGCGCGCGTTGTCGCGGTCGCGGTGCCGGTGCTGGGTGATCGAGCTCCGACGTGTGGAATGCCAGAGCTCCATTCCAACGCGAACGACGGACACGGCTAGCGCTGGTTTCACGTGACAGGTACTGCTCGCGCCTTCCTCCGTCTCCCACAACCCTCACACATTCGCATTCACAAACGCCAATGGATGCAGTGCGAGATTCCATCACGCGTTTCACCAAATGAAAACAAATTCATCCCCGACTAACACCACAGCCTGCTCGCTAACCCTCTGCAATGCTCTCCCTCCCATTGGCAAAACTGTCGACGGCCCAAGACGCTGACCCAAACGAGCAAAAGTTCACCTGGACCCATGACACCCAGAACCTTGTCGTCGTCTTTGATTCCTATGGTGCACATGGCCCGTCGTCCCAGCTCTTGAAAGTGGTGCAGGGCACGCAGGTTCGAGTAAGAGCTGCAAACCCACCCCTACACTGATCTCAGAGCCTAGCGAGCCGTGAAGTGTGCGAGCTGACATGTCGTGCCAGCAACTAATCGAGCTGGAGCGTTTGATCAATGAAGGACATGACATTGTCAGGACCATGCAGGAATGTGGTGTCGAACTCAAGAACGAGCAGTTACCCATATCAGCCATCGTCCGCTGTCCGCTACTAGCCATTCGGTGGCAGCGACCTGATAAGAAGGTGGAAATCTTCGTCTGTTTACATCAACAACACTAATTTACAGCAAAGGTTCGTCGTCTCCAACTCAAGTTCAAGTCCAGTGAGGATTACGCCGCTGCCTACAGTCACCTCTCCCAGCTCGGTTTGCGCATGAGTTCTGCAAATGAAGGTCAGAATCAATCACGCGCGCCGGCTTCAACACTCCCTTCCAAGACTGCAAGTGCAAGCCTATCATGCCCTCCATCAAGACTGGCAGATATATCCAATCGACCGTACACTGCCGTTGCAGCACCGACAGCCCTTGAGTCCCACATACAAGAGGCTGCCAGAGCTCGTCCCATGTCCGCTTCCACAGCCTTCACCAATCAAACTCGCAATAATCCTGCGTTTTACAGCCCCCTATCACCTCCAGAGTACTTCCCAAGGCCCGAGACAGCCACATCGATGATTCTTGACTATCCATCTGACACATCCCCGTTCCCACCACGCTATCGACCGTTGTCTACTAGTGATGAAAACGGGCGTCCAGAGACTGCGACACTCTACAGCCGTCCTAGTACCGGCGAGGCAACACTACCGCCCAAACGAGAGCTCCCGTTCCAACGTTCATCTTCTCCGCGATCATCGGGAACTGACGGTGTTCGGCCCCTGAGTCGACCCTCGAGTGCTTTGATGCGGCCACCGCCTTTGCCTTCTCGTGTCACCGATTTACGACCAAGCTCTAGTCGGGCAGCAAGCCAAGACATGGAATTTCCTCCCCTTCCCAAGCCGACTGTCATTGGAAATGGTGTACTTCAGGCGCAGGTGATGCAACAGGCCCCCAAGACACCGACCCAGGACGGTATCGTACCCACACGTGTCCCTGGCATGTTCTATGAGAACAGCGAAAACTTGCCGCCTGCAAGCTCGTCCCCAGGTTCTTCGACCCCTTCGCCTAGGTTGTATAAGCAAGCAGCTGCCAGCAACCTTCCAACCACTCGACCCCTGAGCAAGCTTGGTAGCAGCGCCCAGAACCGACGTCAAACAGAGTCACACAACACTCTCACCACCCCTCCAGCATCCGAAGCCAGGTATCAAGATTTCCCAGTGCCCGAAACCGCTTTTACTTCTTCAAAGGATCACGGAGACAGCCTCGCAGCGTACGCAATGCAGTCTGAGGAAGAACGACAAGTCGCCTTGAACGAGTTCATCATCCAAAATCTTGAGAGCGATGACTTCCTCACTTTGATTGAAGACATGGAGACCTGCTGGGCTAGGGTGGCGCTTGGTATGCGTTGATACACGCAGGGGTTAGTATTCAGGAAGTCAGGGATGGGTCTGATGTTGCGGAAAATGTGGTGGCAGAAAAGTTTCGTTCATGATTTTTGCTATTTTATGCTCGCATGCCCCGACAGCAATACATCAACATCACCTACTGCAACCCAGGCCAAAAAATTCAATCACTAACCCGGTACACATACCACATTACTTCACATCACCGAGACAATACCCCAGTCCTAGCTCCCTCCTTCAAAGCTTCGCATGCATCTCCCCAATCCGCCTCTCACTCCCCTCAACCCCCCGCTCCCACTCAGCATACCGCGCATCATACCAGCCCGCCCACCCCCCATCCCCATCCTTCCTCCCTGCAATAAACTCCGCCATCTTCAACCCATCCGCAATCGCCGCATTCGCCCCACCCCCACCCAGAATCGGCTGCGCATGCACCGCATCCCCCACAAACAGCACGCCCTTCTCCCCCCACGCCCGCAGCTCCCCCACAGGCACCCGCACCGTCCGCATCAACCAGCTCAGAATCCGCTCTCGGCGCAACTTCGCAACGTCGAATATATCGGCGAACGGCTGCTCGAGGCCCTCCTGCAGGCTCTGCACCTCGGCGAAGAACGCGGGCGGCGTCTCCGTTGCGCCCGCTTTGGGGCGATGCGGCGCATACAAGGCGTCGTCGGCGCCGCGTGACGCGCGCGAGAATATCCAGCTCACGCCTACGGAAGCGCTGGGTTTTGCGGAAGGGGAGGGGGGAGGGTTATCAGTGACATGAACCTGCAGCTTCACCCCCCCGAGCGAGGATTCAAGCACATTCGCGCCCCTTAACGCAGGCGCATAGCGCTCCTGGAACAGTTCGCGAGACACACGTCGCCGCCCATTAAACGCGACGAAAGGCAGGACAGCGGGGTGTACACCAGGCATCAGCGCGGTCCGTAGCGCGGAATGCACGCCATCTGCACCTACAACCATATTACTCTGCACGTTCCCCCCGTTGCTAAACCGCAGCTTCACTCCCCCTTCCCCGCCCTCAACCACCGCTTCAACACCACATCCCCACCGCACATCCACACCCTCCCGCAGCAGCTCCTCGAGCCGGCCCCGATGCGCGCGGAATTCCCCCGAGCCATCCCGCCTGTCGACTGCTACGCGCGCCCTGAATGCGCGCTCGTCTATGCCTAGGATCGGGAGGAGTGGGGTGTAGGACGTCGGGCAGAGGGTTATGGCGTAGTTGTGGGGTGGGGGGGAGGGGGATTTTTCGTATAAGGTTGAGGGGATGTTGAGGTGTCGGAGGGCGCGGCTTAGTGTTAGGCCGCTTATTCCTGCGCCGACTATGGGGAGGGGGGTGGGCATTGTTTTCTTTTTTCTTTTTCGGCGGAGAGTTTTGTTGGGGGGGTTGAGAAAAGATGGGAGGTGGTGGTGGTGGTTGTGGTTGTGGTTGGAGAGACGTGATTGGCTCGATCGTGTTCGATGGGGGTGGAGAGTGGTGAATTGTACGGGGTGTGGATATCTGGATGGAAGATTTTAGTGTCGTGTTAACGCTTGAGTAGTGAAAAAAACAAGAGAATGATAGGCTGGATACTGCGGTTACTTTTTCAAGTTGCGCGCGTTTCGAGAGTCGTTTAAACAGACAGCGTCAAGGTGCTCTCGCAACGAAACCACCCACAAGACTAACCAAAATCCTCCCCCCAACACACATACACATACACATACACCCTTCCCCCACCCCATCAACCACACATCCCCTCACGCACCACCCCCCCGATACCGCCGCGCAATCATCTCCGCAGCCCTCTCCGCAATCCCATAAACCGCCGTCTGCACATGCGCCGACAAAATAACCGGAATAACACTCGCATCCACGACCCTCAACCCCCCCACCCCATAAACCCTCAACTGCGGATCCACGACCCCGCCCTCCCCCCTAGGAAGCATCGCACACGACCCCATCGGATGGTAAAACGTAAACACATTCTCCCTCACATACCGCACCCAATCCGCATGCGTCTCCGTCGCAGCCCCGGGGTCGAACTCCGATACCCAGAGATCGCGGAACGGGGGTGTGCTGGCGATGGTGCGGAGGTACTGCGCGGCGTGCGCGGTGGCTTCGAGATCGAAAGCGGGGGCTAGGTATCTGGGGTTGATAGTGGGTTTGGCGAGGGGGTCGGGGGAGGAGATGTGGACTGTGCCGCGGGCGAAGGGGTGCATGACGCCTGCGATGAGGGAGGCGTATTTTTTCCCGTAGCCTGTGGTGTTGGCGGCTGGGTAGCCGCGCGTGCCGAGGTAACCGTCGCTGAAGACGACTTCGAGGTCTGGGGCGGGGGAGGCGGCGTCTAGTAGTGTGGAGAGCTTCATGCGGTCTACGATGTTGGATGTGTTGGCTGAGGAGCGTGCGAGCTGGAGGAGGCGGCTGGCGTTGGGGCCCGTCTGGTGCCACTTCAGGAACCCGAAGCAGCTACCCGCGTACTGGTAGAGGGACTTTTCGCCCTGCTTCCATAGCGCTAGTTCGAGCGCTGCGCGGGTTTTGTTGTATTTGAGGATATCCAGCCCTGTGATGTTGGGGCGCAGCTCGTATGTGTTTTGGATGCGGAGATGGTCTTGCAGGTTCTCTCCCACGCCGGGGAGGTTGAGCTTCTGCCGTATACCGGCGTTGGCGAGAACGGCTTTCTGGCCGATGCCCGAGAGTTCGAGGATCTTTGGGGAGAGCAGACTCCCGGCCGAGAGGATGACTTCTTTCTTTGCGGTGAGTTTTCTGCCGTCTGTAAGGACAACGCCGGTGGCTCTTGAGGCGTTGCTATTCAAGTCGACTTTGTGTACTGTGGTGTTGAACATGATGACCAGGTTGTTGCCGGCCCTGGGAAGAAACGCCACTGAGTACGAGCGCGTGTGGTTTCCGAGATAATTCGTCGCCGGGTGGTATGCAGCCCCAAGAACATGTCCATTCAACGGAGTCAGATTGTGTTCCAGGCCGAGGTTCTGCAATGTAGGAATACCGGCTTGCAGATGGAGAGGAGGATCCTCGATCAAAGATGTCTGGATCGGGCCTCCATAACCTACTCCATTGTCACCATACTGGGCAGTTCCATTCGTACGCTGGAAGTTCTCCGCCTTGAGCATGGCAGGATACATGGACTTCCAATTCCAGCCCGGATTGCCCAGTTCTTCCCACGCATCGTATTCTCGCATGCTGGCTCGATCCCACACCAGTAGGTTGAGGGCAGATGAGCCTCCTAGGACTCTGCCACGGTTGTGCACAATAGTGCGGTTGTTTGCCTCCGTTTGGGCAGTTGTTGGCAGACTCCAGTCGTACGCGGTGCCAAATGTCGTTCCTCTGAGTCCGGGGACATATATACCAGGCTCGTTACGTCCATCGGGGCCGGCCTCAACCACCAGCACGCAGTCATCTGGCAGTTCTTGACTGAGTCGAGTTGCTAAAGCAAGACCGGCGGTCCCGCCTCCGACGATGATCTGAAGCAGACGTGAGTTGGACAACTGATGTGTGTTTAAGAGACACGCATTCATACAAAATCGTAGCTACCACCATTTGCCCGGCAACTCGCGCCAACGCAAGGCAAAAGGCCAAGCGTCGCGCTCAAGAATCCCAATGCCAACCCACGCATCATGTAAGTCTTCTTCAAGCAGAAGACACGCAGAGCGACGGCGAAATTAAGGCCCAACGATCTCGAACTTTATAGGTTGGTTGGAGATCGAAGAAGTAAACGCCATCGCAAAGACACTATATGCAATTGAACCCTACCCACGGTAGGCATTGTCAAGTTCAACCGCCTCCGCGGATTGGAGGATGTGCGAGCATCCAATGGGATGCTAGCTGTTGGCACTCCCAGGGCTGGGATAAATGAAGCATGGGTCGGAGTCGTGCATCCTGCAAGAGCGGCACTTATCGATCTGACCCAACTCGGGAATCAATGCGGCATGTAATCGCTAATAGCAACACATATCTTGCCAGCCTCCGTACAATTGTTCGATGCATACTTTCGAAGTAGGTTCGATTGTGAGTCGCAAACATACACGAAACCCCCTCAGCTAGAACGCGGATGTTAATAAGGAGAGTGTTGCGCACTACGCATGAGACATCGGCTCTAGAGCGGAAGAAGGTACGTTTTAGATTGGCATTCAGTCCGCCAACCAGATGATGGAATCGAGATATCTCCGTAGAATTACCGGCATGACCCGCGCGATTACACTCTACGCTGTTGCGCCGATTACAGTCCACGACGAGAAGTAGAGAGATGAAATAGATATGGACACGGAGAGGGCGAGTGAGCGGAACGCCTCCCACATACACAAGATGCATGCGGAGAAAGCATTATCTCAACGCCTCTTTGCATTCTTTGTCTCTGAACCTTTCCCTGTCTCTTCCCACTGTTCTAGCTTTTTATTGTCATATCGCTGCGTTGTTGAGAGTGAATTCTCCGATCAATATTAGTCAACTTGTAGCACTCGGAATGCCGTTTGACAAATATAGAAGATCACGCCTTGAAGAAACCTCGTCGTTGAGATCGATGTGATGTATATCGGTGGTGTGTGTTGTAGGCCCAGAAGCTGAGTGACGAATACTGAGCCAGCTCTAGAGCCGTCAGTGCAGTATGTGTCAATCAATCCGATCCGTCTGCGGGCCCTGTTTGGTGCGGGTCTCGTTTTGATGAGTTCGCGGTGTCTTGGACAGACTGAGGTGATTGTAAGACATGACGTTCTAGGAGGGCGATCTAGCCATTTCCTCGCTTCTTCTCCATCCTGCCGGTAATGAATGGCCTAGGATAAGAGCAATGCTTCGCGTTTAGTCGTTGACAAGTCTTCCAGAATTTTGTTGGACGTCTTCGTAATGCGCGAGAAAGTAATGTGCATCGTCGTTAGACGTATGTCCTAGCCTGAAGATATGGTAGTAGTACACACATGTAGTGCTGAGTCGTCCTTTGATAGCGAACAGCATATCCTAAACAACGCTCTTCTTCAACCCAGCGCCCATTTCGCAGCATTGTTGGGTATAAGCCTCCTAAACATATCGAGCTGCTTTCTGTGAACCGCCATCCTCGCCTCCAAGATGTCCGGTCGCAGCTGAACAGTCTTATCGACGCGCTGCTCGGTACCGCTATGTACGATGGTATAGTCGGGAAGCTGTGTATAAGGCGGCACAACCGAGGAGGCAGCAATGGTGCAGTACTACAGCCAGTCAGTATACTGCAGCAGTGTCTTGCCCACACACCATCACATACCTTGCCAACAACACACCCCCTCCCCAGCACAGCACCAACCTCCACCACACTCCCTTCGCCCACTTCAGCCGCTTCCACCACGGCATTACTCTCCACCACGACATTGTGTCCAAGCCGTACCGAGATCGGACCCCGCATTGATGCCATGCTGCTGCGCTTGCTCTCGACATCCTGCACTGTCTCCATGCCCATCCCAACTTTTGCTCGCTCGTACACGATCACGCCGTCGCCAAGTATCACAGGCGCGAAAGTACTACTGAGCTTGCTGTGAGGGTGGAGCACAGTGTTGGAGCCTATGGTGATTGCATGTGTGCCTGTGAGCTGGGCATGCTGTGCGATGAGCGCGGTTTGGTGGAGAGCGACCGATGACGGCTTCGGGAGCATGGATGTGCGTTTTGGGGCAGTCGAACTACGACGATCGGGCGCCGGGCGCGCGGGAGTTGCTTGTGAGGACATTATGGGAGGTGAGCTTTTGGTGAGTTGAAGTTGGAGTTTGACTTCATACTCCGAGTACGCGTTGGGCGCGTCGTGGATTTAACGGTATGGCCGAGACACGTGACTATTTACGAGATCCTTCCCCTCTCTGTAGGGTTGACTATTTGGTCAACATTTTGAGGACTTGCAGTTACAATCATTCGCACAGCATGTAAGACCGCTTTTGTTGCCAAAAGACATTTCCATTTTTTTCGCAATGAGCAGATATCTGAAGAGGGTATGCACAAGCTAGTAAGTGTCCGTCCACAACTCCATGATAGCCATCAATGTTTAGGAGTAGTACCATAACCAGCCGTCGAAATAACATTACAACCAATAATTTTTTGGAAAGAAGAAAACAAGAAAGAGGTAAAACCATAACTGTAAATAAGCAAATGTATCCATCAAGAGTCTGACCTAAAGTCTGTTGCAGCTGATGATTGCCGCAAGCGCCAGATGCCATGGAAAGTCGAGTGAGATCTGGCCGTAGCTCGTCGTCCATGCAAGTATATGTGCATTAGATGCCGTGCATAGTGAAGTGAAATCTGTGCCGCAGCAGCTCCTAGCCGCAGACACCCGTAAGTCGCAATAATCTATAGTAGTGGGCAGGGAGCTCGTCGTTGTAAGAAATGATCTATGCCAATGGACAGATAAGCCATAGTGTAGTCGAAATGGTCTGATGTCTGATCAATGCCGACACTTCCCTGGATCTTGTGAAAATATACTGATGTTTGAAATCATGGCTTAGTTGTTACCGAATGACAGGTTTTGCATAGCCGCCAGGAAGGCTGGGTCATTGCTACCAGAGTAGGACGCACCGGCCGTAGGTGTGTGACCGTTTCCGTTTCCGTTTCCGTTTCCATTTCCGTTTCCGTAGCCGCCAGACGCGCCAAAACCTGCAGTGTTCATTGTGCCAGAGGTATACGGAGTGTATCCCGCGCCGGAAGCGCCGTGCCCAGCTGCTTGATTATTCGCCCCAGAAGTGGCGTATTGGTTATATGAGGGACCTGTAGTTGACGTGAAAGACTGGCTTGCAGCCTGATAGCGTCCACCATAGGCCGGTCCACTAGTAGGAACGTTGTAGGCGGGAGACGTAGAATAAGTCGCGGGCGGATAGTAACCACCGTAGTTCATAGGGCTTCCACCGCCTGTAGCGTTGGGAAAGCCGTTGTAGCTGCCATAGCGATCATACATCTGCTGATGAGCGACCTGTTGGCCATGAGCCCAAGGCTGCATGTAAGGAGCCTGAGGGGCGTAGTTGGGAATCTGATGGGAGAAGGCACCGTAGGAACCATCGTCGTAATAACCCTGGGCAACATTGTTGCGGGCTCGACCTGATTTATGTTAGTTGGGTCTACCATAGGCCTCAAAGTACACTCACCGTATTGCTCGTTGGAGCGTTGTCCGTACTGCTCATTGGCGCGATGGCCATATTGCTCGTTAGACCGATTACCATACTGCTCGTTGGAGCGCCGACTGCTGCTTCCGAAACCAGGACCAACAGCGAGAGGGGTGTTGGCGGCGTTAGGGTTTAGAATGGCACCAGGACCGATCGCAGAGGGCGGTTTGACCTGGATCAAGCCTGCCGGATTGACAACTGATGCCGGATTGACAGCGGACATCCAGATACGCTGCTTGTAATGTTTGAAGAGATCGGCGACGAGCTCATTGAAGTTGACGTATGTCTCAGCGTAGTAGAAATACGTGATCTTGTGGAAATCGCTGATTCAGTTAGCAGCGAAACGCGTAGAGCTTGGGGGAGGACTTACGCCTGGTACTCAGCGTCAAGTATTTCCATCGGTAAGTTATGCTCGGCAGCCTTCTGGGCTCCGAGACGTTTGGCCTTGGCCTCCTGTCCCTCCTTGTCGCGCAAGCCCAGAATTTCATGCTGCTGCGCAAGACGTTTGATCATCTTAGGCTTCGCATCTTGATCCTGCTGAACACCCATCTGTTGAGGGCTGTTCATGCTGCTTTGGAATCCTTTGGCGCGAGCAAGCGCGCCGAGCATGCCTGAATCGTTCTGTGCGCCAGCAAGCGAATACTGAGAGAACATAACAAGCCAACGGAAATGCTCCTCGTTGGCCTCGTTCTTAGCCTTCTTAGCCTCTTCTAGGGTCACGTCCGCATGCGTAACCTGTCCAAGGTCGCATCCGCGATCGCCTTCGGTGATGACAAGGTCGCCGCGACGAATCTCGAGACCGGTGTTGTCGTACGTGTAGTAGATGTCAGCGCGAGAGCACTTGAACGTCACGACAAAAAGCCGACGGCCAGGGCGACCAAGGACATGTGGAACAGCGTACGGATTGCTGGTGTTCATCGCAGTGTTTGGCACAATGGGGTCTGGGTGAGCAGCAGAGATGGCAGAAGCGTTGATAGCCCGCGCAATAGGGCCGTGACCAGCGAAATAGGCAACATGGTCGAAGGGCTCTTCCTCAAGAGGTGAGTGAGATGAGTGGTGAGGAGACATGATGTCTTCATCCTCCTCCTGCGTGTGGCTCAGAGTGGAGGTGGGCATGGTGGGGTTGTAGTTGCTGTAGTGCGCGAACGAATGACGGCGACCAAGGGGATCTCCACCAATAGCATCGATGTTCCCTGTGGCCCACTGCTGTCTCTTGGGACTGACAGTAAGCTCCGCCGCTGGATCGCGACCGAGCAACGACACGTGTTCACTGAAGCGGCGAGTAAGCGACAAGGCAGGAGGGTGCATTGTTGTGTCGGAGTCGTCAAGTTCCTCGATGGCGTACTCGGCGGCGGTGCCGTAGGAGACGTTTCGAAGACCTGCGGTAGTCTTGCGACGCTGCTGCTGTTGTTGATGTGAAGGTGAACCGCTGGACGCAGCTCGGTTGCGAGCCCGTGCGTTCTCCATGGCGGCCTGCTTGATGAGCAAAGCTTGTTTGTTTTCACGCTCCCAATATCCGGGTGGCAGACGTACCCCGTGCTCAGATCCGTTCGACGATTCGACTTCGTCAGCTTCGTCTTCACGCAGCTGCGAGAGGCCAATGCCAGACTCGCCAAGGAGACTGGGCTTTGAGGGACGGTGGTGCAGGTTGGGCAAATTGGAGCGCAGGCGAGCAGAAAACTGACCCACGGGGCTATTCTCAATGTCACCTTGTCCGATGCTGTAAGACTGAGACCTGACAGATTTACGGAGTGGCGAGGGTGGTTGTTGGTTCAAGAGGAAACCGATACCTTCGTCGGTTTCGAGCGCGGCAGGCGAAGGAAGCGGCCTGTGATTCGCTGACGTCGGCGAGGGCAAGACCTCCTTCAAACGGCTGTTCGACGACGCGGTGAAGCTTGTCGTGTTCCACGGAAACGAAGTCGAGGTGGTTGGCCGCGCCTGCTGTGGGAATTCGCTTGATGGCGTGGTTGGTTGAGATGCTGCAAACGACACTGACGGAAGTGAGTATTTGCGGTTAGGCTGTATGTCTTGCAGCCAACCACTAGACGGACGCCGACCGCCAGGATATCCGCCAGCCACCGGGCGGATAGCGGTCGGGGTAGGTACGTGCTCGCGGTCATCGTCGCTTGAGGCCAAGGCATCAGAGTCTGGGGTTGGGCGACGAAGTTGCAACTTCGACTTGTCCAACAATGGGCCTCCTACGGATAGACCGCCCTTGTATCCGGAAGGACTCATGGCGTCTTTTTCTGTTCGTATTATTAGGACTGTCTGACGCATTTCGTGCAGACCAGATGGAGCGTACCTTGAATCTAGTAAAAATGATGAAGAATGGACCGATGTCTACCTGCACAGTATCTACACTAAGGCTATGTGTGCTCTGCACAGCGAAGATGTTGTAGGTTGTAACACGCAATGTAGGTAGACGGCTAATGCAGGAAGACTATATGTAGAAGATCTGAAGGTACCTATAAAGACGAACGCACACACAGTTAGTGATGACTCTTTAGGAGAGAAGTGATAGTCGTAGGGTAATTCAGGTGAGAGAGGTAAGAGGAGTGAAGGCAAATGCGTTGAAGGTATGTCTTGGGCATTGCAGATGTAGCACAAGCATAACAAAAGGTTATGTCGCGCTTGATAGTGTAAGAGGAGAGTAGATAGGAAGACTTACCGATCGTCTAGTAGTCGTCAAATCCGCGACCACCTGTAGATTGCCTATGACAGAGTTTCCTGGCGAGGAGAGCACTTGGGTATAAAAGCGAGTAATAATGATACAACCACTGACAGTACTAGGTGCTGAGAGTTCTCAGTACGGTCGTTGCTTTTCTGTTTGTTCTTGTTAGGCTTGTCTTGCAGCGGTTAAAGCTCGGGAGAAGGATAAAAAGCCAGCTTAGGGTGTGTGACAATGAGCGTCATGGACAAGGGAAAGCAAAGCGATATTCCTAAGAAAGGTTTTGAGGGAGTAGAAGAGAGGTTAGGTGAACTGGAGGGGGTATCAAGGGACAGTGGACACTGGGGTCATGTGCAACGAACAAATTGAATTTGTTGTGAGACTCACCAGTTGTGATTGATGTAGAGAGAGTCCTTTTTGAAGGCTGATAGGCGAAGAGAAGCAGAGCCTTCTACACGCGGCTGATGGTCGAGTTCCTTGCGTGATGCCAAATGTAGATTGGAGTAGGAGGAGAGAGAACCGAGGAGGAAGATACTTTGCGTATTGCGAGGCTTGCCTCACTCTTCTGGGACGTCACGTCGTTCAGGTCGCAGCGAGCTTTGTTAAAGCTACCTCTACAAGTACAAGCAGACTGAGAGCAAGAAGAAGGTGGTGGAGATGGGGCTGGTATGAAGAAGGTCGATGGTGGGTGAGAAGGAGGAAGGAAAGAACGCCAGATGGCGGGGCTTTCTGGAGAGACCAAAGCTGGACGAAGAGGCGGTCAGGTGGTTCGATGTTCGGCTGGCACTGTTTGACAGCCCGTTGTTGTGAGGTCGAAGGCAGGAGCGGTCTGCACGGGCGGGCCTCAGGAATTACTATTGCAAACGGAGCATCTTAGCAAAGTACAAAAAGAGAAAGATGACAGATGTGGAAAATAGATCTGATCGAAAGAAGTCCAGCTTTAGTCCTGAAGACTTGGTGTAAAGTATGAAACAATATCCCTCGCCCTGGTGTGCTGCTCGGCAATGGGGTAGAAGCCTCGCACTCTCCCTGCACGAAACACCACATCGCCGAACAGCCTTTCAACGCGGCTACCTTCTCTTGAAGGCTAGTAGACACAGCCAAGTCTTCAGATACAACAGAAAGGCTCTCCCAAGTCCGGAGATATATGCAGCCCTCGCAGTCATTTGCGATTGATGCTTTTCTTCTAGCAAACTCATGCCGCACCCGACATCGCGACACCCCGCCTCCACACTCAACAAACCACACGCTCTGCATAGCGAACAATACTCCGAGAAAGAGGCTTTGGAAGGGAGGGAAAACAACGAGAGACAAAGGAAGTCGTAGTGAGAAGAGGAGGGGGATGGGTTGCTTACCTAGATGTACAGGAAAAGTTTATAAAACTACCGTCGACGGCAGCAAATTGAAGCACGAAACCTTCTATTCGAGAGACCCAACAATGTATTCTGATGAACGTCATCAGCGCAAGTTCGTTTCTCGTATCCATGAGCCTCCCCCTACCACGCCGCATACGGGTCGTTAAGCTTTGAGGCAGACGCCTCCGATTGCGCAGAGGACAAGGACCTTGAGGTGGATGAATACATACCGAGCAAGATCTATCCCACAATAACGCTCAATCTCTATCGAAATAAACGCTTTGGAAGTAACTGCTCTCGTTGTCAGCACAACATGCGGCGGCTCCAGGTTCGATGCGGTTCAGCTGCAACCCCGTACCTCAGAAATACGCAAAACAGAAAAGCGCCAAACTCTTGATCCAGTCTATCCCTATTCTTTCTTGTGGAGAACGATTAAAGAGATGATACACTATAGCATCAGTCGTCGCATGAAAATAACACAGGCCTACGATCGGCAAGGACGCTCCAGAGCGGAAGGATGTGATAAAGCACGTTCTACTCAGGGCCGTCTTGTGGATCGACCGGCGGCGTTCGTTGGGAAATGCACGCAACCACTAGAGTGAGCACATCGCCGCTCTGTCTCCCGAGCGACAAGGCGATGATATAACTGGGGGATAGTCGTTCGCAAAGGCCAGACTGCCAGCTGGAGGCCTTGTGCTTGGCGTTTTGATACGAAACGTTGGGACAAGGTAGGTAATTCGCGGCGAACACCCTGCAGCTTCTCATACACCGTTAGGCCAGGAGAGAACTGAGAGCGATGGTGGCGCGAACGACTGAGGGGTACCAGGAAATGGGCGATGGTTGGCTGCCAGTTGCGAAGAAGAAAGGGTTCAAGGTAAGACACTCATTACAGAAGAGCGAACAGAAGTCAGAAACACGCAGGCTTCCAACGCCTTTGAGGCTTCGCACGGGTGGCCAAGGATCAGGGGCTCGAGTGCCAGATGGAAAATGCGGAGACGGCCAAACCCACTGCGGTCTAGCCCTGCGCGAACACCTGCAAATTACTGCGCTGTTGGGGGGCGCGAAGTGCCGGGGGGCATCGAATCATCGGTTTCCGCGTCACGTCCCGTACCACCCTCCAACAACACCGTTTCCATCGTTCCTCGTCGGAACAGCACCGTTGCCTCTCCGTCGAGCCACTGGATGCATATCAAACTGTGTAGTGGACTCGGAACTTGTGGACAGAACCCCTGTTTTCTTCCGTCCGAACTCGGTTGGGCGCGTCTGATGGCATCCCTTTTCCTTCAGGGCTCTATGCCACCTTCACGCCATTCTGCGCTTCGCTTCCAGCGCCATCGACCAAACCTTGGCCAGGCTATGCGCTATCACGATCAGACCAAGAAGCCAGTCATTTCAGCCCTCCAACAAGTCACGCGCGTTTTGAAAGACCTTGTACAGATGACAAGCCTCATTAGCTGCTTGCTAACGATGCTACCGCTGCGGCAAGACCCTGGTGCGAAGATCCCGTAGCATGTTCAGTGCAGCTTTAGGGCTTCTTTCATTCGTCGTTGGATATGCCATTGTCACGTCCATGTCCGATTGAGACTGTCCCTGAAGCTAGCTATGAACAGTTGTACGCCATCCCGGGTCGTTCGCGAGTTGTTCCTCACATGCGATGGCTATGGTGCTACAATGTGTCTTGTGCTGCTGCTGAGCATGCGCACAGCATGCTTCTGGATGCGATCTCCACTCGGCTCGGCCCAGAGCTGCGAGGGGAGCTTGTCAACCCCGCATTTGCTGCAAAGCATCAATGTCAATCAGGATGTAAGCTTCTCGGATGACTTTAATCAGTATTGTGTCTGCTTGGAAGGCTGACACCCAGTTAGGGTTCTTCGGCATCCTTTCCCGCCTGAGAAGCCAGTCTAGCGTTCTCGTAGAGGGCATTTCGACGCATTGGAGCACCCTAGGAGCTTGGGGTGCATCGTCGGTACAGCCTCAATTGTCACCAAGCTAGACTGCCACCTCGACCCCTTTCTCATTATTGAGTAACGTGATGCCTGTGTGGTCACCGATCGCGAATCCGGTTCGGTGCGCGGCGTAGTTTCGTCACAAAGTATGGCGTAGGGCAGCCCTCGTGCCGTTACTTTGTCTTCGTATCCAATCAAGGCCATGCGTTTATATGCATCAACAGTGTCCCCTCCGTAATACGCGCTGTTCCAGTGTATTCGGGTTGCCGATGAGTTCTGCAATATCGGGACATTGATCCTCCGTTCGAGTTGTGTGGTGAGTCTTCCGCGGAGGGGTTTTGTCGATCGACAACAAGCTGTAGCGATCGTTTTTAAGAGGTCTACTGGCTCGAGAGTACATGTTGATGTGAGGAGCTTGAGCGGTGGAGAACACTGATGGCAACGGTGGTGTGATTTGCGCGCTGACATTGGACAAGCTGCTAACTAGTTAGAGATGGTATACTTATAACTTACCTGCATAAGAGTCGGAAAGCTAGCAAGTGAACAACACGGGGCGACTTGTCTTTGTGTGTGTGTTTGGTGTGGGTTGAAGGCGAAGACACGCACGGAGAAAAGATTTGTGAACGCAGCTAGTCAATCTCGAGGCATCACGGCGCTATGAGAAAAAGAGACTACAACAACTTCAACTTTGATTAGAAAATGTTCTCAGCAGAAGAGGCATATCATGGCGCCTACCTTTACTTTGCCTGGAGAAGTGTGGATGGCACACTCACGAGCTGTCCCTTCGGTGGGGTAGGTGGTTTGGCTGTCAAGAAGGTAAGGTTGAGAATGCATCACACCCTTCTCTCAGCCAAGACAGCTGCCATTATTATTCACATTTTTATCCTAAACTACTGTGAAGGCTACAGGGCTCTTCAGTGTTTCCTAGATGGACTCGGTCACCTACCACTTCTCCTCTCGGTCTCTCTCTGGGCGTCTGATCTCCCTCACCGCTTTCCCGCGATCTCTTACCCTACCACGGCCGTTCGACACTTTCAAAGCACCGTCTCTAGCGCCGAGTATATCAGTAACTTATAATATCGTCTCCTTTTTGCAACCCACGTCGAGGTTCAAGCCCACATACTGCCCTTCGGCAGGCACCCCTGCATTCCGAGCCGCTCTTGGCTTCCACTTCTTACCACGGACGCACGCCCACTTCCGCGACCCACCTTTTTCATGACCCGCATTGCGGACACCTGCATGTCTATTATGACTACAATCATGCAATAGGGAGGAGACAATTCTCAGAAAAACCGGGCTATAGGCCTTTCCAATACACTAATTCCTTGGCTACTATAACAGCATCCTTTCCAGAAGCGCGCAAAATAAGTACTCGAATACCACCGTGTGGCATGATCCTTCTGCGTCGCACCTGCAGAACCCCCGTTCCCCCGCCCTCGGTGCCCTCAAGACGTACATTACAAGACGAACAACCTCGGCAATACGTGCAGCATCAATATCTACAACTCCGCTATAGCGGGAGACACCGCCTGCGATTTGCTTCGCATCATCTCATCGCGAGCGAACCATGGAGAAACAACGGCGGCAAGCTCGACGGCCTGCCACCTTCTCTATAAGTCCTCATTCGGGAGCATTGAAGGAGACAAGCATCCAAACAAGACACAAAATGCGCTTAATGGCGATGTAACGTCTTTGTTGCAAGGATACTGAATCGTTCTAAGCAATATCACGCACTTTTGCGGATCTACCATGTCACAAAACCCGGGGACTAACAAAGAAAGGTTGAAACAACATTGACAAGAGTGCAGGGCTCCAAAGCCTTTGACTCCCAGGAGCATTGTCTACATTGAGACGAATCAGCTCATCAAGCAGACACTTGTGTCAAAGATTGACTCTTTATGCTGAGAAATGTCTGTCACAGGCTGTAGATTGACCAGACTCGAGAATTCCACATCACTCTTAAAGCTGCCCAAGCCGATAGTAGATGTTCTTCCAGGTAGAGTTCAGGCTCAGTTCCATGAAAATGCCAGGTAAGCTGCATCACCGATTGATTATGCACAGCTCCAGCCTACCGTATGAATACGTGGTTCGAAGTTATTTGTGAGATATCATCCAATCCGAACACGATACAAACGCATTTTGTCAAAGCCCCACAAATGGCATGAGAAGGTGTCGACGCACTGCTTGCCAGTTGTCGAGATGTCGAAGATCAATTTTGTCATGGTATCCTCCTACTTCGGTAGTGATGGGTGTCTGACTATCCGCCTTTAAAAGTCGCCTAGACGCTGACTCTTGTCTTTGCAATACAGATGCGGGCTGGACATTATATTTTGAACAAGAAGTGGGGTCTGAAATTCGTAGATGGTTTTGGAGTGATGCGTTGTTGGTGATTGATATCACAATACATTCACACTTTTGGATCAACTCTCCTGCCTTTCATGAGCAGAAAGCTATCGATACTTCGCACCTATCATGATGAAGTTCGACAGTGTTGCTTCAGATGTATCAAGTTCATGTGGTTTGTTGTGACCATTGAGTCTGAATCACGATATAGTTGTTGACAGCATTTTGAGCAGTTTGCAAAGAAGGCTCTTGGAACACAATTGGATACATCGAGCTCTTTCAACACACGAGCAAAACCAATCGCTATTCGGAACGTCGAGGAAGCATTGAAACACATGTCACACACATAGACCCTACCTTTTCGAGGTCCAGATTAAAGTAACCTTCAAAGAGAAACAAAGACAGGAAAATCGGCACTCGAAGCGTTTCGGCGTCATAGCCTTCAATCGATCCGAGTGGACCGCGAACGTTGGTCCTCGACGCCCTACACACAGGCCATGTCCGATCGGTGTGCCGACAATGACGATCACGTCGATCTGGAGAAGTTCTTTTGATGACTCTCATTCTAGGCTTGCCAATAGTCTACTTATTTCCGCGTAGGCCTGATCGCTGACGCTCTAGATTTGTTCAGATGTCATGTTACGTAGCACAGCGCAGTAGCCTGTTCGGAGAATTTGTCTGACGGACTGGTGATGTGAGCTGCTCATGAGTTGAGCCACGATCCCTGCATGGACGCTCACATCATCGCCTGTCATTGTCAAATTGACCATGCGAAAGTCACAATAACTAATGTTGTTATGGCACAGCGTCTCTATATTACAGCATCAAATACAGTTCTGTCTGAAATGAAAGCTCGCCATCGTTACAAAGATTGCATGATTTACATTCAATCCCTCGAGCCTGCCCAGAACCTAAAAGAGGGAGATCGGCGTCGAACTCAGACATGCGCACCCATCCGGAAGAGGCGGCTAGGGTCTGGTGACGTCGTCCTTAGTTTTTCGAGCAATGACGCAGGGAAGCCGCAACGCCCGCGCTAGCTGAATATATGTGCAGTCGCACTCCTCACAGCGATCCTTCACAGACAATCTGCATCTTCCCGAATAACATCTACTCGCCGCGCCCTGTACGACACTCACGTCCAAAGCACATCGCATCCCAACACATCAACAACCACATCCTCACACCAACTTCAAAATGGTTTCAAGAGTAGTGAACATGGGCCTCCGTGCCTTCCAGGTAGGCATCGATCAATCAGAACCCAAGAATTCTACTCACATCATATAGCTCTTCTGTGCTGTCATCGTCGTTGCTCTCACCGGTGACATGGTTGCACGCGCATACAGTGGTGTACACTCAGTCGTCAACTACACATTGTTCGTCGGTATCTGGTGGCTGCTCACATTGCTGTACTTCCTGCCCACATCCTTCATCGAGAAGTTCAGCATCCCACTCGTGGATATGGCTTTCGACGGCTTGAGCGTTCTCTTCGGTTTCTGCGCCGCTGTCGCTCTTCCCGCATACCTCCATGCGCACAGCTGCTCGAACAGGGTACGTTTCACCCCTACTCTGTCAATTTCAGCATACATGTACTTACAATCAACAGGCATACACCCTTACCAACCGCATCACCAACAGCTCTGCCGACACCGGAAAAAACTGCCGCGAAGCTCAAGCCTCGACTGCCTTCCTGTGGTTCGGCTGGCTTGCCCTTGTTGCATCGCTCGCCTTCTCCGTCATGAACGGACGTGGTAGCGGTGCCAACCTTCGTGGCGTCCGTAAGGGACCTGGTATGAGCCAGGTTTAGGATGCCTGCAACATTTACTCGGATTCATCGTGGAATACGCGGACGGACTGCAGCGACGTGTAGGCTCAAGACGAACCACCGAGGATGCTTCACAACATGTACAACATTTTACGATAACGATATGTCTTGCTCGGGACAAGACCACGGCCGGAAAGGGAGTCAGGATATACCAGGAGGCTTTGGATATGATTATAGCGTTGTGCGATACAGTTCTGTTGAATTTTTCTAATGACAACTAATAATATTACCTCATGAATACATCACATTTTCACATTATATGATCACCATTTTCATCGTTGTGTTTGCATGAGCCAAATTCATCAGTTTGTAGGGTGCTGTCATGTCATGCTTAGTAGCGTCTGTGCGAATACCCCAAACTCGATGTCATATGAACAAAGTTTTCATATCGCATGTCTAGTTCAGGTTGCACATGCACAAACATTTACATCTTTACGGAAACAAGATACTCACGAAAAACAGATAGAACACAAATCACACAAAACGCGCAGTCAATCCATACAGAATATCATTCCAATGCAGTGAAAAGAAGATCTACAAAAAAACAAGTAACTCAGCCACAGAGGGGCGGTCGATAGTTCCCCAAAAAACGCCAAAAAATGCACAACAAACTCCATCGTAGCGTAACAAACTAATGCTCAGACACCAACTCAACTCCCAAAAACACCGCGGCCCTTCCAGTCATATGTATTGTATGCCAAATTCTTGCTCATGCATCAGCCCGCTTCATTACACACCCAGTGCCCAGTTCTAATTAATGCCAACACCAGCCATCATATTCCCATATTTCACGTTCGTGTCCAACACAATCTAGTGCGACGGCCCCGGTCTACCAGTCGGGCGCGGCGAGGGATTATACGTCCACGCGCCCTCGCGTACAAGGCGTTCCCTGGCCTCGCGCTCCTTGCGCTTCTCCTCGGTGGTCAGCTCGTCGTTTGCCCAGTAAGCGCTACTAGTGCGTTCGCGGAAGCGCTTGTGGCGCTCCTTATTGGGGAAGACCTGTTCCATGTTGAGGGGCGCGATGGGGCCGAAGATCTGCTCCGGGTCCATGAGCTGCTGCGTCGAGAGCATTTCGCGCAGGTTGGGCGTGTTGACCCAGCTGGGCTGCTCGAACTCGTTGTCCGAGTCTTCGTCTTCCGAGTCGGTCATGATTTCGGGGAGTTTGATGTCGTCGCCGTTGGTGTATTGGATTTGGGGTGGTTGTTGTTGCTGTTGTTGGAGAGGTTGTGGTTGTGGGGCGTAGGCTGGCTCAGCGAAGGGGATCTTGCCCTTTGCGAACTGCGCGTGCGCAGGCGTGATCGGGTTCATCTTCGCTTGTTGTGACGGTCGCTTGGCGGGACGGTGTATTGTCTCGTCGTTCTCGCCCTGGAATGGTCGCTTGGCTGGCTTTGCGGGGTTAACAGGAGGTACAATGATGCGGTTAGCATCTTGTACTGTCTGCATTCTAGAGACGGGTCTGGCGTTTCCAAGATCTGCTCGAGGTGGTGCTGGAGCTTTTGGCTTTTCGACAGCTTGTGGCTGTGGTCGAACAACGCGGGGAGCCGCCGGCTTGGGAGCGGGTTGAGCAGTTCTGGATCCTGGTCCAGTAGATTTGGACAAGGCTGAGGCTGGTCGTGAAGGTGCGGGTTTCGGAGCAGGGGCAGTAGGTTTGGAGATAGCCTGAGGAGCTGCTGGAAGAGCTTTGTTTGCTGCAGCCGACGCAGGTCGTGGAGCTGGGGGAGGAGCCTGGCCGTATCTGCTGCTGTTTAGGTTGACCATGATCTTTTGTGGTGCCTTTGCTTTCGGTAACGCGTCCTTGCTTGTGGGCTTGACGAGCTTTCTGGGTTCCCGTAAGGAGGCTTTTGTAGTTTTGGTAGTTGGTAACAGGCTTTTTGGTGGTGGTGGAGGCGGCATTTCATCAGCGGAGTCAACATCGTCCGATGTAGAAGCAGTGTCGGTTCGAGTGGGGATGGGTCGAGGAAGTGGTTGAGGCGCGGCCACAACTGCTGGTTTGCTCACTGGCGTAGCTGCGCCCTGTCGGATGCTGGTTTGCGATGACATCGCGGATTGTAATTTCGACATGGCCACCTTGCTCTTCTGATGTTGAACGGCGGCCTTGGACTGCTCCTTCTCCCGTATTTCCCTCAACTTGTCTTCACTACGCTTCTGCTTGGCGTCCTTGACCTCCTTCTCTCTGGTCTCCTTTTCCTTGCGCTTTTCGCGCTCAGTCGAGCTACGAGTGCGTCGGCTATCTTCTTTCAAAGGGCTGCTAGGCATCTTGTATGACTTGGCAGACTTGATGGAATCCTTGGACGGAGAGCGCATGTGAGAGAAGAGGGAGTTTGCCTTGTCGTTCCGCATCGGGCTGCTAAAGACTTCGTCTGATGAAAGCAGTACTTGCGACTTGGGCCTCACTGGACTTTGCGGGAGACCGTCCATCTTGACTTGAGCGCTCGCGGCACTTGAGCCGATAATCTTCTCCTTGGCTGCACGAAGTGCCGAGTAGAATTTGGCCTTTGACGCGCTGAGGGGACCATCCATGTACTTCTTCCCAACTGGAGAGCCGATTGGAGTAGTAGATTCCGCAACGGTCGACAGATCAGGATCGGAGGCAGAGGTGAGCTTGGCGACCGCTTCAGCAAGCAACGGATGTGTGCTTGCAGAATAACTCTTGTTGAAGAGTGGTTTGGCGAGACCGGGGGCAGGTGCGGATATCCAATCGTCATCGTCATCGGCGCTCTCTGGTTCGGCCGCTGGTAGTTGGGGGTATGATGGTTGTGAAACCTGGGTCGGTGCTGGGTTTTCCCATGTTTGCGACGGGGTGTCCTGAGGTTGAGATGGCTGTGATGCAACCGCGGGCTGACTAACTGGCTTGGGTGCTTTGTTTTGTTGCTTGAGCATGTTGATGCGGTCGAACAGACGTTGCGTGGATGTGTGGTTGTGGATCTTTGTTGTTTCTGATTCCTCTCTTTGGAGTTCTGGACGTTGCTCTTCCTCTTCCTCGTCCACCAGTTCATCATGGTGCGCCTCAGCAGCGAGTACAGCCTGGGACGCTCCCAGGCTCTTGCCTCCTGTAAACCTGCCCATGTGGCTGCTGCGAGCCCTATGTTGATCGACATGGCTGGTTCGCGAGACGCGGTTGCCCATACTCTTCTTTGCGAGGATTGGCTCGCGTGCAGGTAGGGACGCAAACGTGAGGCTACTCTTCCTAACGAGCGGCTTCACAGGGCTGGAGCTAGAGTCGGAGTCGTCCGAAGGCGAGCGTACATTGTCGTCGACATCCATCTGCTCTTCCTCATCGTGGTGGACAAGGGTATCGTCATGTTGAACAACGTTGGGAGAAGTTGGTGGAAGGCCAGCTGGTGTGGTGGACTGCGCCGGCGAAAAGAGGGTCTGGGGTTCTTGTAGATGGGTTTGTTGGTTCGCTGTGTGAAGCGCCTCGTGGGTCTCTGCGGAAATGCTGTATTGCTCGGACACGACGCGAGACGGTTGCGGAAACTCGGGCACGTTCTGTATCTCTCCGCCGTCATCCTCATCCTCGTCCTCGTCGGCCGAACTAAGGTCGTGACGCACGACGGTGCCCTCTGCGTCAGAACGTGATGTGTCTGCCTTGTCATTCTCAACGTCCATGACATCGTCCTGGTGCTTCTTCGCATATCCCTCGTTTGCCGAGACGAAAGAATCGCCAGTGTCATGTCGCTCATCTTTCTCGTCTCGTTCGTCTTTCTCATCATCATCCTCATCATCGTCGTGAATGGAATGCCGGAAGGAATGACCCGCCTGCGTGGGTTGTGTGGATTGGGTCGCTGGAGGAGAGAAGACGTCGTCTGCTTCCGAAGTCATGACTGTGTCTTGGGTCAGTTGTACAGGGCTCCACAGTGCGCCGGTGTTTTCTGCGGGCCGCTCGTCAACGGCATAGTCATGGTAGCTGGTATCGACATTCTCCTTGCCGTTGTCCGATGGCTTGGAAAACAGCTGTCGCGCTATGGGTGTCTTCGCAGCGGGCGACTGCGTTCGTGCGGCATTTTCTGCGTCTTGGGCAATCTGGAAGTGTGTCTTCGTCGAGTTCTTCTGTAGGTTGCCCATCAGGCTCTCTTCGGCAGCGCTCGGTAGACGTTGGGCGTTTGCATCAAGCAAATTCGCGAGTGGCTGTGTGTTGTCAGTGCATGGAGTGGAAGGTCAAGGGCGGCGGTCGTACCTGGCGCGGCTCGGCCACGATCCTCTTGCGCGCGGTGCGAGGCGTCTTCCCGCGCAGCTTCCCGGGCGTCTTGAATACGTCGAGGTTGTTTCTGCGTGATGCGTCAGTACAAGACGCGTCGCCATGTGTTGCGCGCGACATACTGCCCGTTGTTGGCGAATATGTCCATCATGTGCTCGTTGAGCCATTCCAGCTCATTGCGGACAGAGAAGCCAAAGTCCTCGGATTCTTGCGCCACGAGGTCGTTGGCCTGGTGTCGCTCCTCGAGGATCCATGGGGCGGACCCAATGGCGGGTGCCTTGCTGCGTCCTGACATGGCGGATGTGTGGGTGGTAGTTGTCGTAGATGCAAAACACGCGCGTCGCGGCGGTGTAAACACGTCCAAGGCAAGGGGAGAGAAATGCACTTTAACTACGCATAGCGCTTCGAAGCTGTGTTAGTAGAATTGTCGCGGTGCCTGGGGGAGAGGGCGTTTGGCGGGAATGGCGTTGGTGCGGGAGGACTGGACATTGATTGTTGTGACCCGCGAAGTGAATTACCCAAACAAACCAAACGGGAAACGGATGGCACGTGCACGCCAAGAGATGCATCTCCAATGATGTAAGATCAACACCACCCAACCAAGACGGCATCGACTCGTCTTGTTTGCTTTTTTTATCTGTATCATGTGTGTCTAGTGAGAGCGCTTAGTATTCCTGCGAACTTGCTGCCAAGAAAGTGCATCGTATAGCCGACGTCTAACATATAGCCGACCTAGTGCGCTCTAGAGTGAGGCTCTTCTTAATGCATGAGCAAAACATTGCGTCTTATTACATAGCTGCTTCTTCACATCATCGACGGTATACTAGATCATAACTATTCAATACATAATGGCTTCCAAAATACTACCAAGAGTGCGCGTCCTATCTAACCTCACACGTCATGTATCTCCAACAACAACCAGGACGAATCTATTGAGGAACATACAATCGCAAACAAGATGCTTTTCTGCAACCTCCTCAACCCACCTCATGGAGATGTCAGGCTTCACAGAATCGCAGCTGGATGTCCGTGAGGCTGTCTCGAAGATCTGCGCCAACTACCCTGATGTGCGCTTAAAATCACAACGACGGCTTCATCGATTAACATCAACCAGGAATACTGGGCTGAACACGATGAATCCGGAGAGTATCCTCACGAGCTTCATAGAGATTTGGCCAAGGACGGCTGGATAGGCATAGCATTACCTGAAGAGCTTGGAGGCGCTGGCTTAGGCATCTCAGAAGCTACCATGATGCTCCACACAATCGCTGAGTATGAACTGAAATAGTTAACATCCAAATTTCATCACTAACTGAAACCAGGAGCGGAGCAGGTATCGCAGGAGCACAATCCATCCACGCCAATGTCTACGCAACACAACCCGTAGCCAAATTCGCCTCAAAAGAGCAACTGCCGAGTATGCTCACAGACCTAGTCACCGGCAAGACAAGATGTTGTTTCGGCGTAACCGAGCCCAACACCGGTCTCGAGACACTGAAGCTCCGCACAACCGCCAAAAAAGACGGCGACAGCTACCTAATCTCAGGCCAAAAGATGTACGCCCTCCATCCCTCCATACATCCATCCCAACTAGCCTCCCCCCACTCACCCACGCAGATGGATATCCTCCGCACAAGTCGCCACAAAAATGGTCCTCCTCGCGCGCACCACACCCCTCGAAGCCGTGAAAAAGCCCTCAGAAGGCCTCTCCCTCTTCTTCATCGACCTGGACAAATCCGCGCCCGGCCTCGAACTGAAGCGGATCAAGAAAATGGGCGGCCGCGCCATCGACGCAAACGAGATCTTCTTCGACAACTTCCGCATCCCAGCGAGCACGCTGATCGGCAAAGAAGGCCAGGGCTTCAAAATCGTGCTCCACGGCATGAATGCAGAGCGCTGTCTGCTCGCCGGCGAGGCCCTGGGGCTTGGTTACGCGGCACTTAAACGCGCGGCGAAGTATGCTCGTGAGCGTGTGGTGTTTGGTCGGCCTATTGGGCAGAATCAGGGCATTCAGCACCCTCTTGCGGACGCGTTTATGCATCTTGAAGCTGCGAAATTGGCTACGTATCATGCTGCTAGGCTGTATGATCGGAGTGGTAATGACTTGTCGATAACGCAGCATGCTGTTGGTGTGGCGTGCAATTCGGCGAAGTACCTAGCTGCCGAGGCGGCGTTTACTGCTTGCGAGCGGGCTGTTCTCACACATGGTGGCATGGGGTATGCGCAGGAGTACCATGTGGAGAGGTATTTGAGAGAGGTTTTTGTGCCACGTATTGCACCGGTTAGTCGGGTATGTGCTTGATTTGCGGATCGTACTACACTGCAGAATGTAGAGCTAACGGAGTGCAGGAAATGATTATGAACTATATTGGTGAAAAGGCTCTTGATCTGCCTCGGAGTTACTAGTTCATCAAATGAAGGTATACATGTACATACTGTAGTTGCTACACGTGAGTCGAATATGCCGGACCACTCCTACACTGCCAATATGTAGGGGTTGAAATCTGCAGTCATCTGAATCATAGAATGGTGATAGTCCTAGAACACAAAGTCAACTAATGAAACAACGAATAGCAATAACTAGAAACGAACCGTAGACACAGATTACATTTACGTAGCTGGGATGCCATAGCTATGGCGATGCGTGGCCTTGTGCTGCTGGGCAGTTTAGGAGAGCGGGCTGTTAGTGCATCGATGCTAGGCAACTCGTCTTCCGCCCATCTTTCCTTTGGCCGAGCCTACCACGAGCGAAGAGATGGACAAATATAGGACTGTGAGTTGCCGCGCTGATTGTTGAAGAGGCTGTTAAGGAGGCGAGGATACCGCGGGTGGAAGCGTATTGAAGGTTGGTGTGGGCTGCGGAGAGGTGGTATGTGGTTAAGGAGCATGGATTTGGGGAGGTAAAACATCGTGACGATGTTGACGGGTGGTATCAAGAAGTGGATATTGGAAGTAACAAGGAGGCGATGTGGGGTAATTGTGGTGAGAGCTACACTAGTGAGGAGGACGATGATAAGGACTGGAAGCTTTTGGAGACTCTGAGGGGGAATATTGAAGGTGAGTGGTGGGTAGATGGTGAGCTTGCAGTGAAGACCATGTGGAAGGTATGAACGGGTTTACGGGAGATTCCATTACGTGGTTTGACTCTAATGGAGAACTTGACGATAGATTAGTCTTGTAAATAGCGAGACATATCTCAACTATCAATCTAACAACCTTTTCTACTTATCGTTTCACCCTGTCTGTCAAGGGTGGAGGGGAAGGAATGTTCGGCAGTCCATTTTATTCTGCTTATATATGTTGTGCCTGGAGCATACCGAATAGGTGACTGTCTGTTGAAGACAGTTTTGTACTGTACGTATGTGTCTGTCTGTTGAAGACAGTCTTGTACTGTATGTGTATATCTGTACATTCACATATCTCACACGTACACACATACACTCACATCAATAGCGCGCTGTCGGCCCCTGGACCTCCTTTCCGTCTTCCCCGACTAAGCTAGAAGATCAATCAACGGCGCATCGTGACTCTCCCACCTCCCATTCATCGCCGCCGCCTGCTCACTCTCTTCGGCCCAATCGATCTTCGGCATCTCAGGTTGCACCCAATCGACAAGCGTCAAATCCATATCGTGCATGCTAGCCGGCATCGTGCACTCATCATGCTTCATCGGCACACACTCGTCACTCTGGCACACATGTCCACTGTAGCAAAGCAGCAACCTACACCTCCCTCCCTTCTCGCACGGGAAGCCGCGTAGCACGTACTGCAGACAATAGTACACATCCGGGCTTACTGGCGCGTGGTCGTCTGGGCATGGGTTCCGGTCGCACGCGTCGTGCAAGTGATAGGCGTTGCAGGGTTTTTTGGTGTACATGCGTTCTTCGTAAGCGGCCCATTGCGCACTCGTAGGGGCCTTCATGTATAAATCCAGACGCTCGGCGGCAGCGTTTATGGGGATTTTGCCCGTGATGCCTTGCCGGGGAAGGTGCGTAGCAAATATGGATTTTTGCAGTGGGGATCTGGTATTCCGCGAGCGCGCTTCGGCGCTGACGGCAGGTGGTTTGGGCGTGCGAATTCGCTTGGGGATAGGGGATGGAGGAGCGTTGGTTGGAACGAATGCGGGTGCTTGAGGATTCGGGCCAATCTCGACGTGTTTGAATTTGCAGTTGTGTCGGAAACAACCTTCCTAGTGTTCACGTTAGTATCTTGTCGAACAGTGATTTCATCTCAGCTCGGGGAAAAAATTACCTTTTGAAATGCCCAACAGATTTCCGTTTTTAAGATGTTTGTAGGGACTTCGGCAGGTAATTCTACGGGGGCGCCGTTTGGATTTGCGGAACAGAACACTTGCGAGAATGCCACCTTTTTCAATGGTAGTTGCATAATTCCGGGATCGAGAGATTTTCCTTGGATAAGAGAAACCTTTTCGTAAAAGAGTGAGTATGCCTCTAGCACACGCATATATCCTGAGCTGCAACAAGCGCCTAGAAGAACAGCCTTGCATTGAGGGCTTTTGACGTGGAGTTTGAACATCTCTACAATATTGTCAGAATGTTGAGCTTCTCACAGGGAGACAAGTCACGTACCCACGATCTTGGCTTCCACAATCGCTTGATCTCCCACGTCGGTGAAGTCGAAAAGGGTGTCTTCACGCGAGAAGCCCACGGCGAACGCGCTCAAAGAACGTCCCCCTTGATTGTTCTGCAAAACCCCAGCCTTGAAAGCTTCCTGAGAGAGACCCTTCATATTGGCATAGACCCGTACCACGAGGCGATATTTTTTGGTTTTGGGAAGATACTGCCTCACCGCTTCCGTAAGTAATTTTGCTGCTTGAGATCCGCCATTGTTCATGCCACGCACAAGGTCACCCCTGAACTACAAAGGGGAATCAGTAGGATTTCCAAAATGCTACCGTTTGGTGACTAACCTTATGGCTGTGTGCATCAATAAGCACAATTACATACGGATCTGCAGATCCATCCCCTTCGGCGGCCACCTTGACTTGCTCGTAACTCTGTTGTAAGGCTGCGTACTTTGCGAGTAGCTGTTCATAGCTTTCGGTACTTTGGCCCAGTACCTTGCCATATTTTGCAGTAACAGTCTTTCCGAAGATTAGCACGCTGCGAAACTCTCCTCCCATCGAAGAAGACGCTCACCTCGAACTCTCGCATAGCACTGGCACCCTGAAACTTGAGAGCGTCCAGTTGCGCCCTCAAGCCCGCAACATTCTCCGGTTCACCCATCTCTTTGCCCAACCGTTGTCGTGCTGGCGAGTCAAGCCGATTTCCGGGACAAAGAAGAAACAATACTACCGATGGAGAAAAGTGCGCTCAGAAACGTGCAGCCAAATTACACCTACCTTCCCCTAAACGGACATGGCTGTCGTCTTTTCACTATGTGGGGTCTGACGATGCTTATGTATTTTTCGGTTGCGTGACGCCGAGAAGGAGCCGGTTGCTGTGGGGAAGCCGCGATAAGTGAACCCCGTTTCAGCCCTGGCTCGCGTAAATAGCGCTAATCTGGTTTGGTACTCATGAATGTGGATCGAAATCTTTTCTCTCCAGATGCAGTATCTTTATGAAATAAACTTCTAATGCTGAACTAAACAGAAATATGTTGCCCTGTTCTGTCCCATCCTTCCGATAACGATAGCATCTCCAATTACATGGTGTGAATCCTCCTAGAATCCAGCAATATAACGATGCTTATCAGTGACCTCCGTGATTGCAAATTTCATCCCAACCCTGAGCTCGCCAGTCTCCCTCGGGACACATAACATTCCAAAGCAAGGCTTAAACGTGATCCCTTCATCTATCCTCCGATACTTCATTAATGTAGTCCAGGGTTCCTTCTTGTGCTCATCTGCAGTCTCAGGATTCACATTTGGAACCCGGCACCTAGCGCACCTCTGTGTAACATCTAACGTTATTGACCCAGTCTTCGAAGTTATATTGAGCGTTTTCCAGCGATCTTCGTCCCAGGGTATCTCGGCGTTGCCTTTGACAAGGATATTGGGTCGGAATCGACGAACGTCGATCGTCAGGTCTTCCGCAGCTTTGAGCCGCGAGTTCAGCTCGTTCATGCTGCTTTCATTGGCCACAAGAAGAGGCATAAGGTCGGGGAAGCAAGTTGATGCCTCCCTTCCTAGAACTTCTTTCGCACCATTGGAGCGCAGAGTGCGGGGCGCATCTGAAACAGGCGATTTGTACACGAGTCTTACTTCCTCCCCAAAGAAGTCATCAAAGGGAGCGGTTATTTTTGTAGAGTATACATTCGATGGCGTCCATTGGTTCCAGATCTTTGTCTCTAGGACTTCCGTATGCTGGGCTAACCACGCTGCATTCGGATGAGCTGGGATAGAGAACTCAAGCTTCTCATCGATAGAGTTTGGAGCCGGTGCGGTAATGGTGAGAGTATCCGTCTCTTCGGTGTATGTTGGACGGATAAGAGTCATTTTTGCGGAGTTGCGGATAGTGAGGAACTCATAGCTGGGATAGCTAACCCACATCCACTGACGATCTAGCGATGTCAGTATTTTGGTAACAGACAACTTCAAATACATACCTAGATCAAGTCCAGTAGGCAACAGACGCGCTGACTGTACCGAAATGCCATGACATGACTTGATAGGGTGAATGTAGAGAGCTGTAATCTCTGTAGGTGGAGGGATAGGTCCGGCTGACTTCTTTCGTTGAAGTTCAGTGTAAAAGAGAAATGTAAGCAAAGGTACGAAAAAAACCGAGATGACAATTGAGATTTGCGCGATATCTGAAAGCGCCATTATGGGAACGTCGTGTGGTCCAGCAGAATAGGCTCAAATCGTAGTTCGTTTACGAGATTGCCGGCAAGCCGTCTGCTTCCTTTTGATGTAGATTTTGTGCTTCTTTTTACCAGCCCCCCGTTATGGCCGCTTGAATGTAGGTCTTGGGAATAGACCGTATCCGAGCAATGTCTAGAGATCTTCAGGTGCTGACTTAGGATTGATGCAAAGCAATCTCAGTTGGTTTATTCAGTCGTCGTAGGTAGGCAATGACGCACTGTGAGGCGGGGAATCTAGCGCGGATCCACTGTGGGTTAGCGACTGCAGATCACGTTTTGACACTGAATTGTTAACCGCATGTGTCAACGTTGAGCATCTGGTAGAAACATGTTTGCAGGGAACAATAAAGTGATTTTATCTATCTTATCCGACTGGCCCCGTACCCCAGACTTTCCATCCTCATTACCATGTACATCAGATGCTTGCCTCAGTCGCGATGCGATAAAAGGGGTATTAGGTGCAAGAAGCTACGCTTAAGATACATAACATAGGAAATTGGAGCATGCAAAACACCAGAAAGCCCAAAACCAAGCATGAAGAACGCTGCATTATGGGTATACCTTGCTGCCATTTCGCTCGCCGTTATTGATTGGAAAACACAAGGAAATATTGAAGAATAGTGAAATTGGGGCTCCGTTGCGGTGACGTGTAGCTCGCGATGGACACGAGGTTCGGGGTCACTTTCTCAGTGAGGGGGTTGGTTTGGGTTAAAGAGTGTAGGAGGAGTGGTTTGGCTGAAATCTTTAGCCCCATTGAAGTTCGCCATGCCAACTCGTTTCTTTGATATTTTGTTGACTTGTACGCCGTCTAATCATCCGTGAAAATCGGTTCTGTTGTGACTCGTCCTTGGGTGGGGGAGGGGGTGGTTGATCTTGTGGCGCACTACGGTGGATTGAACCTGAAATATTAACCAGTTTTGGCACATATCTTCTCGAAGTCGGAGGAGTGGATTGGACTAAGTTTGTCGGAGCGTATTGTGTAAATGTAGCGAATTGTGATGTAGGTACTTGAATGACTTCCTTGGGTTGATTGTAGTTCATGTACGTCGATTGCTGGAAGTTCATAAGATCCGGAGTCGCTACGTAGCCAGTGTTTGGCCAGGTCTGTTGCTGCTGGAAAGGCTGTGTCACAACAGGCTGAGCAAACTCCCCAGACATGCCGGTCATGTTGGGATGGTATCCTACAAAAGCACCCATACCGGAGTCCACAGTCATGCTGGTCTGCGACATATCCGCGTTTACAGGCCACTGGGGTTGGTGTATCCCCTGGTGATGCATGTTTTGCGCAGGTTCGTCCAGGTCCATCATCGAAGTGTCATGCGAAAGCCCATGTGAGCTCGGGAGTCTGTGATTGTTCCCGAAATCAGATGATTCCAATTTGAACTCGACGATTTCGCTATGGGCGATGTTATTCGCCTCTGAGACCTCGGGTGTAGACTCTGGCGAATCTTCAATGATGTCCTTCGCTTCGATTTCGGCCAAGTCATACGTGTCTTGTACGAGTTTTTGTAGGTCGAAAGCCCGAGTATCCCACTTAGTCTCCAGCTTGTACCTCAACCGGTTGCACTTCTTTGGTTCCCACGTTAATGTTGGCCAGTGCTGTGAGTCCTCTCCGTGTCGTCGTGACAGTAGTGTGTTCCATGCATGCCCTACCTCGGGCTGTTTTAACAAGGCGAGGACGACATTGGTGAAGTTCCATCTCGAGCTCCCTTTCTCTTCAAAATGTAACGCAATATGTTCGCAGCGTTCCTCCCAGGTGGTCAGTAAAGAGCAGCAGAAGCCACAGCCCCATGCATCTTTGTCATGCATAACGATTTCGTATCTCTTGACGCATGGAGATGCTTTTCTACTGGTGGGTTGCCCACTTTCTCGTGGTTGTTTGCAATGTTCACAGCCCTGTCTTGTGTTAGCCCAGGAAGATTGAGAAGAAGACAGATGATCGTACATGTAGCTTGGTATGGTGTTCTCGAAAGCGTTTCCCAGCGTGGAATATCTGCTCACAGTCTGGACAGCGCCATGTGAGCCTCTGCTCGTGGAACTCCTCCTCGTGCGATTTCCAGTATGGCTTGGATTTTAAGGCCTTGTCGCAGAATGTGCAGGCAAAGTTCTTTGGTGCTGGGGTCGAGGCCGTAGATATCATAGACAAGCGAGAGGAGGCGGTGGACAGCCGCGAGGACGCGGCGCTATAATGCGTGAAGGACGAGTCTGTTGACGCAACCGAGGATCGATGATCGGAGAACATGCCGGGTACTCTGCTCGACGGTACGCTCAAGTACGACGATGCGCGACTTCCCATGGTCGATATCGAAGACCGATCGGGTCCTGAGGGGCGTCTACCATCTACGAATAAGTGAGTAAGTGCGCTGTTAGGAATAACATGCTACTGACCTCCATTACGCGCCGCCTGAAGCAACAGGAGGATCTGTTGGTCGTCCAGATGCTTCAGTCCATGTATGTGATCGATGACTGTAGGCGCAAGATGTGTGTGGCCATGGTGACGAGGCGACGGTGATACGCTCTCGATCGCGCTTCCTAAAGGCATGGAGCCTTGTACACTGCGACGTGGGCGTTTGAAGCTGTTGCTTGCCTGTGGAGTACTGAATTGAAAGTGTTGAGGCTCATCGATCTCCATGTTATCCAAAGTGACGCGTAGGAGCCACTGGCATGCCGGAAATTATTTGTGAACGGGCCGTGTCAGGCGGGAAGAGTGGTGTTGTCGCTGTGAAAGGGGGACGGGTGGACGCGATATGGAAGCGTTCGAGAATGTCCCGCGCTTTTGTTAGGCAGACGGATAGGTACAAGCTTAGATCTTAGGCCTTCAGGAAGACATTGATCGTCTAATTTCCCGGGCGGAGGCGGGTGGCTCGTTTCAAAAGTGTCCGGATGAAACCAACGGATAGCGCATGTCCAGCACGCTGGTAAGGCTCTATGAACAAGACGGAAATTTCTGCACGAACAGCTAATCCCCTCCGATAGAGCAGCACGCGACCAAACGAGTCCGAGGCGCTCTGTTGTGCGCTGTTTGGTTCAAGATGCGCATAAACGGTCGCGAGAGGTGTTCACGAGTGATCGCCCAGAACCCAGGGGCGCTCCTCGAAACAGCCGCTAAGCCTATTGTGGATACGTTCTGGGCGAGTAGAAACCTCTTGGCGGCCAGGAACACCATCGTTGCACTGTGCTCAAAGAGCTGGTCGGTTCAACATGCGTGCTGTCTCATAGTTCGCTTGCGTCACTCAGACCATCTGTTACCCCACCATGGGATCTGTGGTAGTGTCAGGTTGACGTATAGCCAATCACCAGTCGGAAACATATCTCAGGCTACGGTTTGTAGCGTTGTCTTGTACCCATGCCCCCTAGCAGAGGAGCAAGGCCACGAGGTGGAGCTGAAGAACTCTATTTCGAGTTCAGCAGAAAACAACATATGCTGATGATCATGATTCTTACCCAGTCAATATGTTTCAAGAAACCCCGTTCACAGTCATGTATTGAAGCAGCCGGTATCTTATGTTTTGTACAGACGCGTCGAGCTGGCGCGTTGATGGCTCTCACACGCAGGGCCAACCCAAACCCCTACGTCTTCTATGTATCGTCAAAGGATTGTTTTGCTTATGATGATGGCGGTTCTCGTATAACCCTGAATGAGCTGTTGATGATGTGCCTTCATTCCGGGGTACCGAACGAGGTGTAGAGCTGATGCTATTCTTAGGCCGTGCGGCCGGTTTGGAGATCTTCGCTTGACCATGACTGCAGGCTTGCAGCAGTGAAACACCATTGACTAAGGAGTGGAGCAAGATCCTCAGTCAGTGTACCAAGTTGCCGTGTACAAATAGGCTCCGCGGCGCTATGAACGATTCCAAATCCCATGATGGATGACGGAATATCTACAGTCGTATGATGCTTCTCTGGATTCGGCTCTAATAGACTGTGTCTTACAGGGAAGAATATTGGACTTGTTGCAGACGTAAGACGCTTCAACGTGGTAGACCGAGGCCAGAATATAGCACCACAAGCGCTGGATATGTTGATCCGTTCGTGATCAAGCAAGAAGATCAGCTTGGTTTCAGACAGTATATCTTGGGTATAAAATACTTGCATGGGTTGGGACAAAGCGAGGAGGTTTGTCGAGGTCGCTCGACCCAGAAGTATGTGTATTATGTCAGGAAGAGGTGTACTTTTTTCAGGTAGATTAAGAATCAGCAAGCAATTCCCTATGTTAGACTGAAGACTATGGAAGTCTCCGACTCCTTGGAGGAGTGGGATCAGCAAAACTGGATGACTTCCTCCGGCCCTCCGTGAAGCAATCGTCGATCGTTGTTTATTCGACACACCCAGTGCATTCACTGAAGTTTATGATTGTTAGTCATCTTCTCGGCGTGACGGGTTCATCTCAAGCAGGCTAAAGCAAGAAAAATAAATATGGGAGCATTTCAACTGCGTAGTGAGAAGCCAGAGGGGAGCATACTGGACTTGATGTGCCATTTGACTCGACGAAGAGTTTACGTCACATAGTTCTACCAGTGGTAATGCAACTGTAAGTGACGATGGCCCAGACATATGTCATGTTGGTGATCGATTGCTGTGAGTGTGTTGCGAAAAAAGAAAGTAAGACGGCATTTATGTTGTCACCCACGAGCCACAAATCAATTTACAAAGTGTGGCGCGGCAGGCGCGATCGCGTCGCGTCGCAACGCGAATGATTTCCCCGCCACAAACATTCGAACACCTCCACCACTTATTCGACTCGTGTCTACATCTTTTTCTTCGGGAATATCTTCACAAACTAACTACGGAATATTAATTGATACCCACATTTGTACAATCACACGTCAACACGAATAAACCACGTATACACTATCTGATCCGACGGCGCCCAATTCGGTGCAGTAGATTGCATCTACGTGACCAACATATATTCCAATCCCGGCGAAGACTTCGAGATGGAATCCCCACGAGAAACTGCGGTTAGCTCGCCCAAACCAACGCGCTCATCGCCGTCGTTATCACGCGCCGTCGACGCGCCAAAACCTCGTCCCAAGCTTCTGGCAGCTCTACGGAAACGCACCACAGCGGGGTCGTCGGAAAGCGATACAGAATCTGAAACCGATGCATCCGAATCCACCGATGATGCCTCTATCCCTAAGAGTGCAAAACCACTAGCAGGCTCACGACCACCACCCAACATGGACTCTTCAGAAGACGAGAACCAAAGCGAAGGAGAGGGGGCTTACGAACGCATGAAGAAACGACTTAATGCTGAGAAGGAATCAAAGGAGCCTCAGAAGTCAAAGGGAGAGGCAAAGGGAGAGGCACAGGGAAAGGCACAGGGAGAGGCACCAAAGATCACCACTATCGCTAGCAGCGAGGACGAAGACGAGATGCCAGTACGAACAAATGCTCGCAAAGTCATCACAAGGAAACAGAAGACCCCAAGCCCTCCTGTATCACCTACACTGAGCATACGCTCACGACGATCATCCCCTGGACTCTTTGTAACACCAAATGCGTCGCCCGCAAAGAAGCAGTTGCGAACTCTCGAAAATGTGGATTCAGAACTCCACAAATCCCCAAGATCATCACACAAGACAGATCTGCAAGAGCGCGTAGAGCGTATTCGAGCCGAGAGACTAGCGAAGCAGAAGGAGGAAGAAGCACAGCAAGCAAAGCAGACGAAGACGACACGGCGGCAGGCTGATGGAGAGTCTGGCAGCGACACAGACGGCGAGGATGGAAGACGTCTGACCCAACACTCTAAACCTACCAGAAGAGCTGGCAAGAAGGCACTGGAGGCAATGGCTCGTGACCAGCAAAGAATCAGCCGTAATATGCAACTCACCCACCAGGCCAAGACGAAGAAACGATATTCAACCAAAGACCTTTTTGCCCGTATGGGGTTCGCTGCACCTGGCGTTGAGACTGTAGCGACAAGTGGACTCCCTACCCCGGATGCAAGTTCTGCCATAACGTCTTCTGACGCGGAGGCAAATCAGATTCACACTACCCTACCACATAGTCCACCAAAACAGGGGGTTGTTCAGGAAGAGGCTGCTGTGCTTGCTATAACTGAAACATTAAAAACAATAAACACAGAGCAGACCGAAGTACAGTTGCCTGTAATTATAAAGGATGACAAGGGCAAGGGAAGAGCGCCAGAGTTTCAGCACCTTCCCATACACCCTTGGATGAAGACGACCGAAAATGTCACTGTTCAAAGGGCTCGCGTGGATGCGCAGATTCCTTCCAATGATGCAATGATAGAGCTTTCGGATTCCGACGAGGACCTCAAGACAGCGCAACCCAAGAGCAGGTTTCCTGTCTTTGACCGAGTCCCTTTGAGAAAACAAGAAGAAGGTGCTTCGTTGGTGTACTTGCGCAGTCTTGCTCAATTAAGAACATCTCCCCAGAACGTCAAGAAGGGTCAGAAATTGATAAGTCGCGCCGAAATGGAAACGTCCCTTGCTCAGAAAGCTCGCCAGCAAGCTCAGAAAGAGCGCGCAGAGAAGATTGAAGAACTGAAGCGACGAGGCATCCATGTCGAGACGGAAGAGGAGCGAGAGAAGCATCAAACCGAGGTCGAGGACATGGTAGCACAATTCGAGAAACAGAGGCAGGAAGACTTGAGCCTTGCAAAAATGGAGAGAGCTGAGGCGAAGAAGAACGGGGAAGTCGTCGATGATTTGCCTTCTAGCGACGAGTCTGATGATGATTATGTTGGCAGCGGCGACGAGATGGCGGAGGATGTGGGGGCTGGTAGTGAAGAAGAAGTTGAACTTGAGCTCTCCGGTTCTGAAGACGAAGATGGGGACGAGCCCAACGTTTTGATTGACGAAATGGCCGATGAAGATGTAGAAATGGAGGATGATGATACGGTTGCACCTACCCGCAAGCAGACCATCAACCGAAACCGAAACAGGGTCGTCGATGACGAGGATGAAAGCGAGAACGAGGCTCCGAATGGATCCCCAACTCAACAAGCAACCCAACAAGCAACCCAACAAGCAACCCAACAAGCAACCCAAGACGATACAATGGCTGCATTCGGATTCGCAAACTCTAAGCCTAGCCTCGGTCTCACCCAAATGTTCGCTGGCACTATGGCGAACTTGGAATCGGGCTCACAATCAACTGTTGCGGACCCGGAACAGAATTCGCTGGACTTTCTGCGCAGCCTCCCGGACACGCAGCCTGTGGTCAACTTCAGCCAAACGTCTGACTTGCTAGTTCCCAACAGCCAGTCGCTAGCATCGCCACAGAAGCAATCAAAACCTGATTTAGAGAGCCAGTTCAGTCTAGGAATCAGTCAGTTGGTCATGGCGTCTCCAGCAAAGTCGCAGCTCAACGACCTCCCCGAGCCCACGCAGGACGTCGGCTTTTCATTCTCACGTTCGCCGGGGGGTGTTGTGCTACCAGATTCGACGGTGGATACTGTCTTGGTGTCAGTTGCTGAATCGCCTATCAAGCAAAAGAAGGGCAAGCTTCATCGTGGACGGCGCGACGCAACTGTCGAACTCTCTGACGTTGAGGACGATCTTGGTGGCGCTGAGTCCGTGTTTGACGAGGAAGGAAACGACGATGTTCCAGTTCTTCCCAAATCCAAAGATGTCTTTTCCAAGATGAAGAAGGCGGCCAAGAAGCAGAAGGCGATTGACGACTTTAACAAGAAGACTAGTCTGGCAAAAGACGCCGTCATGGAACAAGCTGAAGAGTCTGAAGATGAGTATGCGGGACTTGGAGGCGGCAGTGACGAAGACAGCGGGGAGGAAGACGAGGAGATGGAGAATATGATTGACCATGGCGATGTCGATGTTGACGAGCGGCAGTTGGCTGCACTCTTTGCGTGAGTTCTTCCGTTTCTCCATCAACGATTACATACTAATAACTCTACAGCGACAAGGCAAGAAAAGAAGACGAAAAGAACACAAACCAACTCTACAAAGACCTCATGAACGGCGGCCTCCGCAAACGAGCAGGCCGCGACGCATTCGACATGTCCGACTCGGAAGACGAAGAAGAAATGCGTCGCAGGAAGAAGCGCGCCGAATTCCAACGCACCTACAACGCGCTCAAAAGCGACGAACGCCTTGGTAAAATCGCAGACGACCAGAAGAAATCAGCCTTCTTCAAAACCTTCATCGACGTAGCAGACGAAGCAGACTACGACTTCCTCGACATGCCCGCCGACGAAGAACCAGCAACCCCCACCTCGCAATCCCAAGACACCACCACCAACGAGCCCCTGGTCCCAGACTCGCAGTCCCTAGACACAACACTCAAGCGCAAATCAGCCTCACCCCAAAAGGAGAACCGCCCCCCACCACACCTCCGCCGCACCGCCCCCTCAGACAAAACAATGCGCAAACCCATGTCCTTCGCCGATGTGCAGAACTCGGTCTCAGAACTCCTAGACGACCCGCGCATCGTCATCCCAGACAGCCAGTTCTCAGACGCATCGGACGACGACGGCGGCGATGCCCCAGCGTCAATCCCCACGCGCAACCCCATCATCGACCGGCTATCCCTCTCGCGCCAGTCCACGATGGAAGACGCCGCCTCGGCAGACGGGAATGTGGCGTTCCACGTCGCGCGGCGCAGCAGCGGCGCTATGGCCGGTGGGTTCAAAGTGCCTAGTTTGATTCGTCGCGCGACGAGCAATTTCTCTACTGCGAGTGAGAAGGCGGGGTCCGGGGTTAGTACGGGGACGGCGGCGGTGGCGGCGGAAGGGGGTGTGAGGCGCGGCGGGACGGGGAGGAGTAATATCCATGCGCAGGCTAGGGAGGCGGAGAGGAGGGCTGCGGTGGAGAAGAGTGAGGGGAAGAGGAAGGAGGCGTTGAGGAAGAAGGTGCAGGGTGGGCGGAAGGGGAGGAGTGTGTTGAGTGGGTTGGGGGGTGGGTTTGAGTGATTGAATGAGATGGGCGTTTGAGTTCATGTTTGGGTATAGTTCAGAGTCTTGTAAAGTATAGCTTATGATATATCCATCTCTTCATTACTTCATGTTCATACTCGTACACCCATCCATCACACCCTCTCACTAACCCAAATAGCGCCCCTGCACCCCCCGCGGATAACCTCCGTCAACAGCTCATACGGCTTCGCACTCTTCGCATCATTCTCCACCGCATGATCCAAATGCTCCAACTCCTCATCCCGAATCCTCCTCAACTCCCCCACCAACCCATCCAACTCCGGTCCCAGCCCCTCCCCCCTCTCCCCACACTTCCGCGCCCAATCAAGCAACACACCAACCTGCTCATTATAATGCGTCCCAATCTCCGTCTCCACCGCCTCGGTACACGCCATCGCCGCCTCGCGCCCCATCATCGCAGTGCCCCAGCCCAGAAACGAGGCTGCCGCGTACCACACGGGGTACATGGCGGTAGGGCGTATGCGGTGGCGCGACAGCACGCCGTTGAAGTACGCAAAGTGCCCGGCTTCTTGCTCGTACATGTGCTTCATCAGGGTGCGCAGGTGCGGGTGCGAGCGTGTTAGGATGGGGGATTGCGCGGCGTAGATGAGGATCGCGGCGAGTTCGCCGGTTTGGTTTACGCGTAGGGCGGAGGAGAGGAAGGCTTTTTGTTGGGTGGTGAGGGTGTGGATTGGGGTTTTGGAGGGGGTTGATTTGGGGGGGAGGGTTGCGCCGTCGTGGGGGGGCTGTGGTGTGGTGGGTTGGGAGGGGTTGGGTTGAGGAGTGGTGTGGGTGCCATCTTTTGGTGTGGGGTGTGTGTTGTTGCTGTGTGGTGAGGGTGAGGATGAAGGCACCGATGAGCTCTGGAAGCGTGAGGGCTGGCGCGAGGCGGAAATGGTGCTTGGGGCGAGGAAGTCGAATTGGATGTTCCGCGCAGCTTTGCGGGCTAGTGAGCGTGAGGAGAGTATTGTTGACGCCATGATGGTATTGTGTTTGTATAATAGTAAAGACACAATAGCAGAGAGAGGAAAGTGAAGTGCAAGTGCAAGTGGTGAGTGGTGAATGATGCGCTCACTAGACGTTAATTGGACCCACTCCCGTCTAGTTCGCAGCGCGTTTCCACGGCCCGAGCGCCATTTCACGACTTCCCCAACGGCCCTCGACTTTCTCCTGATTTCGCGTCTTTCTTCACTCACCACCGCCCAACCCACGCCGTCCCGCTCGCCCTCGCCGTCTTTGCAGCCTCAATTTCCTCCCCCTTCCCGCCCCGACCGCTCGCACCATGTCTGCCGATGATCTCGACGACGAGCTCTTCGCCCTCGCTGGCGGTGACGAAGATGCAGACGTCGAAGAAGGCGAAGCGTGAGTCTCCCATCTCTGCGCGCACCCGGCCAACAGCGCCCGGCCCGGCCTGCCCTCCCCCAGCATGACGCTGACTGCTCCAGCTCGTCGCCCGCCGCCTCGTCGCCCAACTCGCTCGGCTCCGACGCCATGGACGAGTCCGACTCGGACCGCGACGACGACGTGCCCGAACGCAGCGCCGACGTGCCCTACCCGCTCGAGGGCAAGTACATGGACGAGGCGGACAAGCGCAGCATCATGGCCATGTCGCAGCTCGAGCGCGAGGAGATCCTGGGCCAGCGCGCCGAGGAGATGAACAGGGCAAACTTCCAGGCCGAGCTGCAGAGGCGTGCCGCGAACCTGCAGAACGACCGCAAGAGGAAGGCCGACTCGGAGGAGCCCGACGACGCGAACCGCAAGAACAGCCGCCCCAAGGTCAAGCCCAGGGTGAACGACAAGCTCGAGGCGTACAAGCGCGAGCGCGAACAGCGTGGACGGCAGCAGCGCCAGCGAGCAGACGACCATCAGAGTGGCCGCCGGCGGTCAAGCTCGGCGGAACGGGGCGGCGCCTCGGATCTCGATGCTGACGGCGAGAGCGACGTCGAGTGGGATGACCGCGTGCCCGAGAAGGCCCGTGAAGAGCAGCCAGCCACCATACGCGACTTCGACTCGGTCCGTGTTGGTCGCGGCTTCTTCTCCGAGGTCTGCTTCCACCCAGGCTTCGAGGACGCCATGACCGGAACCTTTGGCCGTGTCGGCGTGGGCCAGGACTCACAGCGCCGGACGCTGTACAAGATGGCGCAAATTAAGGGTATGTGATTTGACACGGCTTGCAGATTCTCGCTAACAAACCCCCCCAGGCTTCTCCACCGGCAAGCCCTACGTCTTCGAAGGCAAGAACAACCAGCGCATCGCAACCGACCTCTACGTCATCGCCCAACACGGCTCCGTAAAGAAAGACTACCAATTCCAATTCCTCTCCAACCAGCGCTTCACCGAAAGCGACCTAGACGTCTACAAGCAATCGCTCGTGGAAACAAACGCAAAACTCCCCACCCAATCCTTCCTCCACAAGAAATACGACGACCTCAAAGCCCTGCAGAACCACCACTGGTCAGAAGCTGACATCAGCGCCCGCATCGCTAAAGCAAACAAATTCTCACACCTCCTCCACCGCGCCGCAGACTCCGCTCAGCCTAAAATCCTCACTCAGTCGGAAACTGCGGCGATCCGCACCGCGGAGCTCAACCGCCGCAACCGCATTCAGGAGGCGGAGCGCGTGAGGAAGGCACAGCTGGAGCAGCAGAAGCAGAATAAAATGGAACAGAAGCGCGCTGCGGCCCGGCGTAAGGCGGAGGAGGATGCGAAGATGAAGGCGCAGATCGAGGCTGATGCGCTGAGGAATAAAACGTTGGATGTTGATGCGCTGTTTGATGGCGATGCGAGTTCTAGGGCCACGACGCCGAAGCCTATGGAGAAGAAGAAGACGGAGAGGAAGGGGCTGCCGACGTTTCGCAAGCCGAAGATGGATGACGATATTATTGCTAGTATGGATATTGGGCTGGATATAGAGATTTGAGGGGTCGGTAATAGCGTTGGGTTTTGGGTTGGGTTGTGCATTGCGTGGCGTTTTTGTTTTTAGTTAGGACGGAATGGATATGGACATGGCTTTCTTTATTACCACACTTTTCATTTCTTGGATATTTTCGGTAGATTGGAGATGCCATGAGAAATTGAAGAAGAACGAAGAGACTATTCATCATTGATTTATTAACTCACATGTGTAGCCAGTGTTAGTTTGCATTGATTTGCGCGGAGTACACTGAACAGGTTTTGCACATCTATCATAGTATAATACAAATTCAGATGTTGAATTTGATCAGAATCTCCACATACGACCACAGGACGCTGAAAATAGAGCTTCCCGTTCGCTCAGCTGTACTCAAGCAGCGTACCGGCGGATTAGTAGCTGGGTTGGAGACAACTAGCGAATTCCCGCTGTTGTATGTCTTTTTTGCCATTTTCTCTTTTTTTCTTTTTGCTCACGATCGATGGGTGATGTAAAATATACAAGAGGGGAAAATACCTTTTTTGCATGGTATGGCAAAATATCAATCAATCAATCAATTCATGAAACCGACTAATAAATCACTACTATACCATTCCTCTCACTCACATGTATTCCAACACCCTCATCACCTCACTTACTGACTGACAGACTCACCTACGTCTGAAACACATCCCCCACGCCCTCCCACTCCCCACGCTCCCTACACTCCCAATACCCCTCCCGCCCCCCCCTAAGCCTCCAAACCTCATCATCGCCCAGCGCCGCCGCCTCCTCAACCCCCAGCCTAGTAAACCAGCGGGGTTTCCACTCCTCGCCCTGATCCTCTAGTACCTTCCTCCTAGCGCGCTGGCGCTCCTCAAGCCTTGCCTTCAGCGCCTCCGCTTTATCCAGATCGCCGTCTTCAAGCGCGCGCTGGTCGGGACGAAGCCGCGAGTCCGTAGCCGCCATGCGTCCGTCTTCGATGGAGGTGATTTGATTAAGCGCCGCGGCGAAGGAAGTAAGTCCGTAGTGTTTCTCCGCCTTGTCGACGAGGGGTCCTGCTTTCCAGACGGTGGTGCCGGTGGGCTGGCCGTTGGAAGTGAGTTGTAAGTCTGATGTCCATTTCCCGGTTGCGCCCATGGGGAGGATGGCGCCTGTAGCGTCGGAGACCTGGACGCTGACTTCCTCGCTGCGGCCTGCGAACATGCCGCCTGCTTTGAATGTGCAGAGTGCTTTTGCGCCGGTGGTTTCGTTTGTGATGCTCATTGTGCCGCTGGGCTCGAGGTACTTTTCTCCTGCGATGACGTTGCGCAGGTACGAGGTTGCGATGGTCCAGGAGTAGTGTTCGCCGGATGCGTGGAGGAAGACGCGCACGCGCCCTTCGGTGTTTAGTTCTGCGCTCTTGCCCCAGAATTTCTGCACAGGTGTGGGGGACTGGATGAATGTCCATTGGTCGGCCTCGGCTTGGCATGCCATGCGTACGGGGCGGTGCAGGACTTTCTCGGCAATGAAGCGGAAGCCTTTGTCTTCGCGGACGAGCTCGAATGTCTCGCCGAGCATGGGGTTGAAGGGCTTGCGGATTGCGCGGTCTTTTACGCGCGTGTTGCTGAAGTACGAGATGGCGAAGGCGGCCATGTAGACGAGGCGTTCACCGGTTTCGGGGGCAGCGGTTGCTGCTGCGTCGAGGAGTTCGCTGTATTCGAGTTGCTCGGCGATGCGCTGGAGGGCGGACGTGGGCTCGTTGGCGGACACAGGCATAGCGATAGTGGAGAGGTCTTTGCCGACGTTCTTTCGGAAGAAGGCGATCAGACTTGGTGGTAGAGTCTTTGGGGCCTCAATATTGCTCCTGCGCTTAACAGGAGACAATGGTAGAGGGCTGAGAGACGTCGGCTTTGTAGGGAAGAGCGCGGGTGTAGCTTCTCTCGACATGCGGGCTCGATCAACAACTCCCGTCTCGCCGGGCTCGGAGGACGATTCGCTCTCGCCGTCCGAGTCATCGTCGTCGTCGTCGATCTGCTCTTCCTCGCGTTTCCGCTCTGCATCCTCGCTGTCACGTCTGATAGTGAGGAGCTGTGACTTGCTACCAGCACCGTCATGAGCATCGAAGAACTCGTCTCCAGAGTCTTGAGAATCGATACTGTGGCGGGAAGAAGTAGCAGGAGGAGGTACAGCGCTACGTCGCTGCTTGCTTTCCGCTATCAGGCCAGAGAATTCCTTCACCACCGAATCGAGATCGCGGAGCAAAGCCATGCAGTTGTCGTGCACGCCCCCCTCCTGCGATTGAGGCGCAACGCTCCGACGAGCATTACCATTTGCGGGAAGATTTGCCGGCAAGGGCGGTACAGGAGGGACGGTGCCAGATGAGGCAACACCCATTTGCATTGTACCAGTCCTTTTGAAAATTCCAGCTGGACTCTGGGGTCCTGAAGTACTCGCTTTACGTTTCCAGAAAGCTTTCTTCTCTGGTGCCGCATTGTCAGGAAAGTACTCAGTGGCTTCCATGTCTGACGGGGTCGGTGATAAGCTGTCGTTTACTCTGCTGTTGGTTCCAAGTCCAGCTGGAGCGTTGTACTTGGGATCGGTGTCTTGGGCAAGCCTACGCACGGCATCCCTTGTTCCAGAAACCCTTCCCAGCAACGCCTCGACCCTCGCCCACTCGTTGTCTTCGGCTGCGTTCACCACATGGGCGATGTTTTGATAGGGACTATCTTTGATTTGCACTGTCGGTGAAGCCATTGCCCCAGCAGTCCGCGACGCGCGATCGAGCGCATCCTTCCACATGTCAAAGTCTTTTGCGTTGTTGGCTCTGAGCTGCCAGATTTCAGCTCCAGAATCGACGGAGATTTCCCTCGTGTCCTCGTTGGCGCCAATTGCTGCTAGTGATAGAGGAACCGCTCCCCGCAAGGCTGATGAGCGATCATTCCGATAATAAGATAGCGTAGAGGATGTAAAATCGAGCGAGAAAAAGCGCCTCGCATATCCTTGGTTCCTCTTCCTCCTCTTTTTCTGCAGTACACCCGTAAGAAAGGAGTTGCTGGAGAGGCTGGCTCCATGTGGTCTAGACACAGATTTCGGTCGTTCTGCCAAAGTTTGAGCCAATGATTCGGAAGAGTCGAGGGGCCCCATGGAGGGACTCGATCTGGTGAGGCTCGTCGTGCTCTGTCCCGCTAGTGCTTGGGCGTAGTGCATGTGGTGGCCTGACTTTGGTGCCGCATTCGTGGGGTACGTCATGAGCACAAAAGTGGCCGTCTTCGACACCGTTTTGGAAAAGGTGTTGTCAAAGACGAGGCCGTACATGCCGCCCTCGCCCTGCGGGACATCATAAGTCCCCATGGACACTTGATCCGCCTCGCATTTCCCCTGCCAGTGTACCTGCTTCAGCCCTATAGCCGACAACTTCTCTAGCACGAATGTCTTCTCGTTCCTCGACGTTGACAGGCCGCGACCCCGTGTGGGTGCTGGTACTTCGAGGCCCGGTGCCTGGCTGTCGAAGGTGGCGGAGGACGTCAGAGATGGGGTGGGTACGGTGCCCGCTCCTGGGTGCTTGAAGATGCCAAAATTCACCGACTTCTTATGGGGCTGAAGGCTCCAAGATATCGAATGACCGGCAGAGACGTTTACCCAGCGCACCAAGTAGCTCTGTAGCCTGGTTAGCAGGGAATTAGCAGCTGTCAGTCCCTCATACCTTGCTATGCACTTCGATGTTCTCCATGCCCGCCATGGCTTTTGCTTAAAGAGAAGCTCTTCGTACGGTGGTTTGCGACCGGTTTTGTGCTTACGCGTGGGTGCCTGAAGATTAGGGAGCTACGAATGTTTGATAACAAAGCAACGAATGACAGCTATCATGTACTTCAGCGAATGAACATGACGGCGGACGAATAATATGCGAGGTCGGGCGGTGGGAATTGTAAGCTTCAAGGCGGATGTCTGGCTGAAGCGTGCTTTCGCGGGTTGCGCCTGGCTCTCGTCGGTATTCGAATGACCGTGGACAAATAACGGCGGTTTGAGAAGAATACACGAGAATCAGGGCAACTTCTTAGATAGAACGCCTTACAACATGTGCATGCCTTGCAGCTATGCGACGACGTGCCGCTGACACAATACAAGTACTTCCAGGTTTGTGACACTGACACGCTCCGCGATGCGGCTGGAGACCCTGGTCGCTTTTCTAGCCTCTGTCTTCAGCCTTACGCCTCCTCGTCAGCCACACGCATTATTTCAAATCCTCCAAATCCTTTCTTCTGCTGAGATCGTCTTGCTTCGCTGCGTCGCTCAGCGTCATCCTCTCTGTATGATAAACCGGCAACGTGGCTTCTTGTTCCCCTCGTGGCGAGCCCCACGCCCCCTCATCAGCACATGTTCACTTCTCTCCAATGACGCTGCACTTCCTCGCGCACGCGTTGTCAGCCAAACCTGGAGAATGGGCCTCCCGAGTTATCCGGCCTGTCGCTATCAGCAGGGCGTCTTTCTTTACAGGTTCCTGATAGCAACCGTTAAATATGGCTGTTTACACGTGAAGCGTCAAGTGATTGATTTTGACTGATCTCACTACCTGTTAGTCGCGATCGAAACACGCGTCTTCTCTCATCCCGTCATAATGACCAACTGCTCTATGCACCTGAGAGTATGGTCGTGAGACATTTACTATGATTTCTCCATTGGCACTCAACCATCAAGACTCTTCAAAGGTTATTGGAGGATTTTCTACTGAAAGCCCCGCTTAACTTACAGGTCCAACCTCCACAATTTTCAGTGTCTCTCGAGAACTTCAGATCGTCTTGGACCAACTTTGGCACTTTCATATTTCATAAGATGTATTCAGGACATCAACGTGCTATATCCGAGTTTAGATTTCCTTCTTAAACGCGGAGTAAACAGTCCCGAGCTAGTGTCGTATGTCGCGTAAATTCTCTTTGCACTCTACCAATCAAAGCTATTAAATTTAGAGAGCTCTCCTTCGGGACTCTTTTAAAGTACTCTGTTACATATTCACCAAATGTGGGGTAGGTCCAAAGGAGGTCCATCAATCTTAATCTAATTTATTTGCATCGCGCCGGCAAGGGTAATCTGTTTCCGCGACCCTGGACATTAGGTACTCTCATTTTTTTCTACTTCATACTTAAGCTTGTCTTTCCTCAAAGTTTGTTTCGTAGTCTTGATTTGTTTTTGAATTTCTATGTACAAGATGGTTAAATTAGTTGCTGTTTCCCTGTTGTTCGCAACCTCAGTTCTTGCTGCTCCATCTGCGAGCGCGTCGTGGAAAGGATGGAAGACAATGAAGAATCTCTTCGTCTTGTAGGAAAGCCGCACACATCATCTCTGCACTCACTAACACTCCAAGTGGCGACTCTTATTCTCAAACCGGATTCGATCCTAATGGCACTCAGCCCTCGGCATCCAATCCCTTTGGAAACCCGACATACCCGTACGCCAATCTCCATCAATTCCAAACAAAAATAGTGCTAACTTTGTAGCGGCTGGACATCATCGAAGTACTTGCCCCATTCCCACTTCTGACCACCAGCCTAATCATCTTTTAGCGGCCCGAACTGGGTTGGTTTTCTCACAACAACATATAACGCCTCTCGCCTGCAAACGTACAATCTCGCCTATGGTGGTGCTACGGTCGATTCTGCTCTTGTAACACCTTACGCTTCGACTGTGCTTTCCCTCAAAAACCAAGTAAAAGACGAATTTCTACCCATCTACGGCGCGCACCCCAGCATCGCACCCTGGAAGAGTGCCGACTCGCTCTTCGCCTTCTTCATAGGCATTAACGACGTCGGAAATACTTGGTGGCTCAATAATGGCACACTCTACGACCAAATCTTTTCCGTCTATAGTGGCCTGCTTTCCGACGTTTATGCGACTGGGGCGCGGAACTTCCTATTCCTATCCGTACCGCCAATCAATCTCGCGCCATTGACGCTTAGCACGGACGACGGCGGCTATGCGGTTCAAGAAGAGGGCAAGGTTGTGCTGGACTGGAATGCCATATTAAGAAATATGACCACGAGGTTCGCCGCCTCTCACTCTGGAACCAAGATCTTTGTCGAAGATACCTGGACGGTTTTCAACAACGTTATCAAGAACCCGGCGAGTTACCCGCAGACGAGCGGGCTCAAGAATGTCACTGGATATTGTGCCGCTTATGCGAAGTAAGTCTGGCCCCTATTTCTTGCTTGCGCGTTCGCGCGATGCTTGACTTGCACATAGCTGACATGAAAATAGCGGGACACCTACCTGGTACACCAAAGACCCTAACTGCACATACTCCGTAAACCAATATCTCTGGCTCAACGAATTGCATCCCACATTCCCAGTCCATAATGCTACAGCGGCGTCGATTGCGAAGCTGTTGAACGCATCGTAGACGTTGATTGAAGGCATGGTGAGGGGATTCGGGGAACTACCGAGTGATATTTAACTGTACATATTCACATCTTCTGCTATATAAACCATATTCTACTTCCTCTTGACCTTCCCTAGTGTTTTTCTTTCAAATCATACACTTACTCTAAGTACGAAGGTAATGGAAGGTCGAGAGTTTCTGGGGGCTGAATGTTTTCTCTGCAGCTCTCATGTGTGTTCTACGAATAGGCTTTAGCTAGATTGAAAAGAACGTCTCTTTCATGTTGCACGCTTTTCGGTCAACTGTAGCAGTCTGACTATCACGTTTGGTATGACTGTATGACGTCGGCCCAGTGTCGCGCTAACGACCGGGTGAATGGCCGGCTAAATGCCTTCTTACAACATCCACCCCCTTGAATTGGCCTCTCTCAAGGACAGAATCATCCCGAATCAACGGCAAGATGGCTGATCTGGTTGTAGGAAGGTTGCTCCGCTGTGCCGACGGTAAGATGGTTAAACTCCGTCTTGCGGGGTAGTGGAATCCGAGCAGCCATATATATCCGCAATGCCTTCTATACGACAGCCCAGACGTGTTTTTCCTAGAGCTAGAATACCGAAACTACCAGACTCGAAAACTCGTACACTATGACGGACAAGGAACCCATCGTCACACACATCTATACTGCGGACCCTTCAGCTCATGTTTTCAACGGCAAGCTTTACATCTATCCCAGCCATGACCGCGAAAACGATATCGAAGACAACGACAATGGATGTCAGTATGATATGTCCGATTACCATGTTTTCAGCATGGAGGAGGTGGGCGGGCCCGTTACGGATCACGGTGTAGTGCTCAAGCAGGAGGAAGTTCCCTGGGCTGCCAAACAACTCTGGGCGCCAGACGCAGCGTACAAAAACGGAAAATACTATCTATACTTCCCTGCCAGAGATAAGGATGGGGTATTCAGAGTTGGTGTGGCTATCGGGGACAAGCCGGAGGGACCGTTCAAGGCAGAAGCGGAACCAATCAAGGAGAGCTTCAGCATCGATCCAGCAAGCTTTGTTGATGACGACGGAGAAGCATATCTGTACTTTGGCGGCATCTGGGGCGGCCAACTGCAGTGTTGGACCTCCGGTAGATTCGACCAGGCCGCATATACGAATATGGAACCTCAGGAAGGAAACGCACTCTGCGCCAAAGTGGCCAAGCTCAGCGACGACATGAAATCATTCGTGTCAGAGGTGAAGGATGTGTTTATCCTGGACGAAGCCGGCGAGCCCTTGAAGGCTCCAGACCACGATCGGAGGTTCTTCGAAGCCGCCTGGATGCACAAGTACAATGGGAAATACTACTTCTCCTACTCGACCGGCGACACACATTACCTCTGCTACGCTGTCGGCGACAACCCCTTCGGTCCTTTCACGTACGGGGGGAGGATCGCAGAGCCAGTTGTAGGCTGGACTACACATCATTCCATTGCAGAATTCAAGAACAAATGGTACCTGTTCTACCATGATAGCTCGCTCTCAAAGGGCGTGAATCATCTGAGATGCGTAAAAATAAGGGAAATCGTGTACGACAAGGACGGTAAGATTGAGCTGGCTGAGCCGCAGCCCAAAGTCTAGGACACATAACTAGACCTGGATATTCTGTGTATGTTCAATACGTTTTATTCTTGTTTCAATATACAAGCTTCGAGCATCTGATATCCTAAGAACCAATCTTTCTCGTTATGTTCCCCTAGGAGACTTCTTCGCCTATGCCTCCCTCTGCACTTCGTGCTCATAGCGCGAGGCACTTAACCATCTCTCATTTCTCAATCAGTCGACATACCTGAAATCAAGTAACATACTTCTCAGCAGATAATTTAACTCAAAGATAAGTTGAAGTCTACAAGTAGAGCTTGCTAGGCGTATACTGGTAGTGCTGAAGCTGCACAAGGCTTGTGTGGATTTTGTATGTAGTTGTCTAGCTGTTGTAAAGTTTCGCCGGATGAATTGACAACTGATTCGAGCACGACCCAATGGCTCTGAGTTGCGTACTACGAGACTGGACAGGAACTACCGCAAATACAGCAAACTGGAATCAAAGTGACAAGAAGAAAGTCAAGTTATGCAGGAAGAATTCATAGCTAAGCAGAATACCATTACTAGGGAACCTATGGTAACCATAAAAACAAACGAGTATCTAACGAAGAAAGAGTCTCGCGAATGGTACCCATAGAAGATAGAGTAACGCCAATGGTAACCATAAAAATAGACGTGTATCTAATAGGGAAAGAACAACACTGATGGTAACCATAGAAGATGAAGCAACGCCGATGGTAACCATAGAAACAAACTATGGTAGCCATAGGACAGAGAGTGAGGCCAGTGGTATCCATAGAGCAGAGAGTGACGTCAATGGTATCCATAGAAGAAACTTCAAGCAACTTTTGATGGAGACGAACATTGGTTCACCATAAACTCGAAAATGTGGGCCATTGTGTTCGTTCTTGCGCAGCGGGACGTAGGGTGGGCTGAGACCGAACCCGACTGCCAGCGTTGCTGCCATGTTGATAACAGCCGGCAGTGGGGAGAATGCGTCGCCGACAATATAATGCGGTAGTGCGTATGGATATGAGCCGGACGGCGGGCTTGTTCCTGAGAGGAGAAGGTTAGCGTCTGTACAAGAAGTGGAGGTTATCAAGCTGGGGATACTCACGGCCTGGAATGTCTCAGCCGACTCGCAGAGGGTAGCCTTCAGGACGGCGTCCGCGTCCGGATGCAACGGGGCCCAGACACTCTGCAGAGCAAAGTCAGCTGTTGTGTATGAGACAGATAAGGGGGGCTATTTCTCTTACCGTTAGCTACCTGGCAGCACCGGCAGCACCAGCAGCACGCAGAGAAATCCTCTAGCTGGTGTTGGGCCTTGAGCCAGGTGTCAATGTGATGTCGAAGGCTGTTAGTCTCATCCGTCGCTTGACAGTGACTCGAAGTTGAGCGACCATAACTAGAGGCGTGGAAGAGAAAGGAGTGATACGCGTTGCCCAGATTGAAAGCGAAAGGCTGTATAGCCACGAGAGAGAGAACTATGGAAAGTAGATAGTGGAGAGTGTTGAAAGCGAGAGGCGCCGTGTTTAAGTAAAAAGAGTAGAGGTGTCCTGACGTATTGCTCGCTGGGCCATGACCGCCAGCTACCGCGGAGAGGAAACGTCATGTGGTTGCGTACAGAGGGTGAGGAAGTAGCTGTCGCGCCATTTTTTGTCGTCGAGGCAAGTGGCAGTACCGTAACCGGTCTATCTACGTCTCTTCTTGGCAAAGAGGCGGCAGTCGTTGATGTCACATCATGCGTATACGTTGTTGGCGAGTCTGGAGTATCATAGTCGTGTAACATTCATCTTGAACACCAGAATAAAATACACATACTATGTTCTTCCGATTTGGCATTCAAAAATGGAGCATGTTATAGTTCTACCACATTCCGTGATGCCCAAATGCCACGGCGTAGGCCTGGCAACATGCACAGCAAGTCTTCAATCGAGCTCCACTTACATTATCATGAACAGTAAGGAAGCTTCACATCTCGAGCATAAACCTAAACCAGAACCTCGAATGGTATGCTCGTTGTGTGCAAATTGGAAGTCTCGGTCGTGGGCTTGACGTGCATGAGTGATGGGGACCTCAGGAGAAGATATTTCCTGGTGCCAATTCACGTGGTACCTGGTATCTTGACACTCTCGACTGACCAATCAGGCACTCTATTTCGTCTGTCACGAACGTCGAACTACTTG